AATTGTTGGCAATGATCAGGTTGGAGCATAATTTGCAGAATTTCCTGTGAGAGCGCCGGCCCGAGACGGAACACTCGGAGAACAAACGCCATGAATTGTTTCCATGTACGACGGTATCGATTTCGGCTCTGTGCAGTGCCCAAAAAGGAGAATGGTCGCGATGAGGGTTCAGTGACAGTATGACTTTTGAGCCAGGAAAGAATGGGATGTCCGGTACGCTGCATGGTTTCCTCACAACGGTCAAGTACGCCATCAAGCCCTGCAGCCAGATGATAAATTCGCGCTTCGTCTGCTAGCGGGCTCATCATGGTTCGGTCCTGGATGAAGCCTAGCCGCATGCCGTGTTTGATGCTGGAAATGGTGGGGAGAAGCGTTAATCGCTTGAGAACGTCCCGTGGAACACCCTGATATATTACAATCCACTGTGTTCGGTCAAGCCAAGGGCGAGTTCCTTCATAAGTATCTTGCCCGCTATACTGAGAACTATTCTGTTGTTTCTGGACTGTCTGAAAGTGCGCTTCTCGTTCACGTAGATTGCGTAAGAAAGTATTACTAGTGGTGCACGTTTGGTGGCTCAGACGCCCGTTTGCCGCATCTCCTTCTAAGCTCTCTGAGTCGCTTACAATAGTCCAGTATGATTGAGTCGCATTTGACTAGGTCCAGGACTGTACAAAGATTGGCTTGTAGAGTGTGTGAAGATCTGGACGCGCCGAGGGATTATCCCGGAAATGAAAACCTCTTAGGTGCCGGCCTACGAGGTGTATGCTGATACTGATATAAGAACACCATACACACTAGAACCCGTCACGAACCTGAAGAGCGGGATGAGATGCTGACCCGTTCGGGCGTGGTTTAGCTAAGCTCCCATTTTAAAATAGTGCCGGCGGAGGTATCGGTCAAGGCCACCTCGTTGGCTTTTCGGGATCTGATGTTTCTTTCGAAAATGAGTGCTTGCCTGTACACCTTCGGTTGAAATCGCGTACTGGCACAGGGTGCATATAGCAACATGCTCCCCCCAATCCAGATACAGCGGGAGTGAAGGCCATTCGCGCGTGGAAACCGGATAGGCAAGGGGCACTGGACGTGACATTGAAAGACGATGGAGCAGACCAAAATTTAAGTACGACAAACGGGGCGAAAATGGCAAAGGACGACCAGGAGGGGGGAGAGTGCAGGAAGACCAAGGTCCTCCTTATGTGTACCCATTTTTGGTAGCGCGACGCGTCGCGTGTGTCGGATCAGGGCAGACAATTTGCTTTTTCTCATACCTCCAATCGTCAACGCCATCGTTATAGATGACTGGGCATTGCTGCCAGTTCTGATGAAAGTTAGGTCCGAACAATAGCAGGGTACATATTCTCTTTGATGTCCAAGTATGGGGGAAGCATGGTTCGATCTATAGTAATGATTACATAGGATGGTAGGAGTACATGGTCGGGAAGCACATGGGCATAGATATAGACTGTAATGGCGGGACAGGTCGTTGCAGTCGACCGGACCCTTTACTATGGGGTGCACGGACAAAAAGTGTGAAATGGGTGCCACTTCAGAAGAGACTAGTACAGTAGGGCCGTGTAGCTGCCCAGGGATTTGGCGAGTCTTTATCTCCTGCGGGCTAGATGGCAGCCGTCGCCTCGAAGCTGCGCAGTATATTAGAACTGCCGTTGAAATACATAGTGGCCCACCAAGCCCGGCGCCCAGTCCAGCACTAAATGCAACTGCTGATGGGTGGGATAAAGCCGAGTCAGTACATGCCCCTCCTAACGTCGTCGTCGTCGATCCCGTTGTAGACTCAGTCATGTTGCCGGTTCCTGTTTTCGTCGTCGTATTGCATACCGAGGTATCATTCCAACCAGCGTGGGCTGTCGTTACGTTTCCACCAGAGACCCATGTCCAGGATCCTGCGGCATCGACGCCACAGGCAGTGTCTGCATCACCTCGCGTGCTACACGTCATGTTTTTCCAATTGCCATTCCCTGGGCATTGAAACAGATTCGCATAACTCCCTTGAATTTCTGCTCCGAAGGGGCAAAATCGGTCAACCACGAGCACAGATTACCACGCAAGCTCGACATACTGTAGACTTACCTGAGTAGCAAGTATAGAAGCTAAAAATGAAACTGGATATAGAGAATATATTAACTTAGAACTTCTAAGAATTTCAAGATGATCGTACAAAGAAAAGTGCTTGCAGTCTAGGTAGGAAAAAGAGAGTGCAGTCTAGGTAGTGGGGCAAATACTGCCTATATATAAGAGGTCTACACCGCTATACAGTCAGGTAGACTGCACTAGGTCCCTTGGGTTAGAGTTTAGGTAATTTAGGGTTAAATCGTACGACTGCTATAAGTGACTGTAGAAGCTAAAAATCAAACTAGTTATAGATAGTATGTTAACTTAGAACTTTTGAAAATTTCAAGTAAATCGTACGAGGGAAATTGTGGGCTTTCAGGGTAGGAAAACAGAGAGCTTTGGGGGTGGTAGGTCCAAATTCTGCCTATATATAAGGTGTCTATACCGCCGGGCTTTGAGGCCCAAAGCCCTAGGTCCCTTGGGTTAGAGTGCCAGATTTCTAAGGCTAATAATATAGGCTTAGGAAGGCTGGCCGAAAGCAGTATAGCTTACCCGTAGGCACTGGCCTTGGCATCCCCTATCAAAAAATAATTCATGTAACCCAGGCCCTATAGGGTAACCCCCTTCTAGCTATAAATGTAGTAATATTTTTTGATAGGAAGATAATTCAGGCTATTCTATTAAAAGATCTAAAAGATCCGATCAGAAAATACTAAGATTTGAGGTAACTAAGGAAGGGGGGGGGGGGGAAGATTTAAACCTTAAATTTATGCCCCCCCCCCCGCGCGGACATTCTTAACTATGGCCCCCCCCCGGCGGGGGCATAGCCCGACTATATTTAGGACCAGAGATGCACTGCCAATGGCAAGCATACTGGTTACTATGGTCGAATTCCATGGAAAATATGCACCACCTCCCGAGATGGGGATTAGTATGAATATGGTACCGACAGATGATGTCAATACTCCCAAGAAATCTACTTTCTTCATCCCTTCTTTGAATGTTGTTTCTGATTCCTTCGATGGAAGATATAGAAACGCCATTAATGCATTCAGTGCCCCAAGCGGAGCTAACATCCAAAAGAATCCCCTCCACGTCGACCGCGACACAAAGGCTGCGGCAAGGAAAGGCCCAATCACACTCCCAAGTCCAATCATGGTTCCTATGATCCCTTGGTATTTGCCTCGTTGCTCCAGTGCTACGAAATCTGAAACAATTATAGCGGTCAGATTTGTGATCCCACCACTGCCGATACCCGCCACGCCGCGAGAGACGTAAAACATAGCTGCATTCGCACTCAACTCGCACGCCAAGTCCCCAGAAGCAAGCAACAGTATGGCGGAGATGAAGATCGTCTTGCGGCCAAAGATATCTGACAGGCGGCCATACATCATTTGAAACGCCGTATTGGCTAAGAGCGAAGAAGTTCCAGCCCAGGGTATGGTGTTTCGAGCGTCAAGGTCGGCAGCAATAGTTGGCAATGCTGTGGATATGCCATTTTGATCTATAAAAGAGATGAGTTGGCCCAGAGACACAATACACAGGCAGAAAATGAGTTTCCTTTTGGGTAGGAAATTGGACTGGTCATGTAGTGTTTTTCCTCCCTGTGTTAGGGAGTCACGACGCGGGCGAGGCATGTCTAGTTTGGGACTATATGACTGCTCACAAGGCGAGCACGATATATTTCAGACAGAGCTTTGATACTAGTGGGTAGGATGAGGTGAAATAAGGTTGTCCTTCCAAAACCCGGATAGGGCTGCAAACTTTGCAAGTCGCGAATCATGACGGAAGTGGTGTCACCAGTGGAGTATCTCCAAAATGCCAAGAGAACGCTCGAGGTCCCCCGTTCCTGTGCTCCGTACGGAGTACCGATGCGGGAGAGGATCTCCAAAATACCAAGAGAACGCTCCAGTTCTCCTGTTCCTGTGCGCCGTACGGAGTACTGACACCAAAAAGGAACGATCTGAATAAATCGGGAACTAACATCATCATCTAGTTGGAGGGGGTGGCTATTAAGACAATGTAACAAGATCCACTTCGCTATGTATCAGAAGAAAGACGAAAGTGCTCGCTTAACTCACGTAGCCTCTCCTTTCTTGACGCACTCGCGGGGAGTTTATGATCTACTGGTTTTGGTTGCAAAGTAAAGCTAATTCTGAGCAGTACCACTCTCCTCCTAAAACAACGATTATTTTCCATAGTGAGTGGGCTTTTTCTTTTGCCAAACAAGTTTATTTAACGGCATTAAAGAGAGTATTAAAAAGCGAAATAGATCCTGTAGTTCGGGTGCGCTAGACTGCAGCCTGAGCTACATGGCTTAGACCAATATCCTTACGATTCCTTGTCAGCCCCACAAAGAGCTTGAGAGCATTTGTGGTATCCATAGATTATGGGGTCTTCTGAGTCACTTTCATCTAGCAGATTGGCCACTTTAAGCCACATAAATAAACTGCTCTAGACCAACTTCCAGGCATTTTATCCACCGCTTCTTTCACAGATCAGGATTTTATAATATGTGGACACATCAAAGTCAAGTGGTTGAGGACTTCCCCCTCAACGAGTCCATTTCCCGGGTCAACATGTCAACTGCGACAGTTGCGACAGTCAACAATCGAGCTCCTGCCGATACACGTGATTCAGTCGCCATAGAGTCTAGGCAGTCAAACAGACATCTGAACAGGCTGGAAACCTCCAGTGCCTCACAAGCGCACTTGTGTATTCAGCCTTCAAAATGGTAAGCTGAACTTTGCATCGCATATATTGGATCGCGAAGAACCTTACTTGTTTTAAAGCTAATTCTACGGCGTATATCGTGACTGACATTTGCTCTAAGGAGATGTTTCATTATTGTCTGCGCTTCTTTCACTATAGTATTCACTACCTGCGGTCTTATTTTTGCATTCGGAGTCTACCAGGCTCTTTATGAGAACATGGCCAAGAAACCGGGCACTCCATTTACTGGTGCATCACCTGCGAAAATCGACTTAATTGGCACCATCTCTGCTTCGCTTATGACGATTGGAGCTCCCTATACTGTTGCCTGGGCAAAATATTTCTGCCCTCAGGCGGTCTCACTTGTGGGTGGTGTTATCTTTGGGCTTTCACTGATTGCCGCGAGTTTCGGTACTGCGCTATGGCACTTTCAAGTGACCCAAGGGCTACTTCTTGGCATTGGAACCTGCTTGTCTTTCGTGGTCCCTGTTACCGTCGCTCCAAGTTGGTTTGCAAATCATAGAGGCCTTGCTATGGGTATCATACTGTCTGGCACCGGCATAGGTGGTTTGGTCTGGGCACCGGCTCTTCAAGCCTGCGTGGATGGAATTGGATTCCGAAATAGTCTACGCTTGACCGGTGCTCTTTCCTTTGCTCTTATATCAACTGCTAGTGGTGCAATGGCTTGGGAACCTAGCACCAAAGCACGAATCGAGACCGAAAACTCCGCTCGGGCAAGACGCATAGACAGCCTGTTGAGAGTGCCGCTTGTGGACTTTAGAATCGCAAAAACAAAAAGATTCTTTGCTCAAGCTCTTGGTGCAATGTTTCAGTCAGCAGCCTACTATATTCCCGTGTTTTTCTTTGCTTCTTATGCTCGATCACTCGGTTATAGTGATACTGCCGGTGCCAATTTTGTTGCCATCAGCAATGCTTGCAATGCTATTGGCAAAATAGCGATTGGTTATGTTGCTGATCGTGCTGGTCGACTGAATGCGTTGTTTCTGACTACGCTCTTAAGCGCCGTTTTCACCATTGGTTTCTGGCTACCCTCCACCTGTGGCAAGGAATCAGCAGACTCGAAGGGCCTTTTCATCGCCTTCACTATCCTCTATGGGACCTTTTCTAGCGCATACGTCTCCCTATTCCCGATCAGTCTTGTTGAACTATTTGGCGTACAGAATTTTGCCTCCGTGAACGGCGTATTGTACATGATGCGTGGCATCGCCACGATGATTGGCACGCCTGTTGGCGGTGCATTTATCAGAGGTACGGGTAACACGTCTCAACCACAGGATTTTTTTGGTATGTCATTATTGGTTAGTTGTCTTCTTTTTGCAGCTACGGCGGCTGTACTTTGGGTGAGGTTAGAGGTTTTTATAGGAGCGAACGGATTTTCGGGCGGGAAATGGCGCCAATAGCTCCCCAAGGACCGGCTACGCTACCAGATTCAGGTAATTAGTCTGATAGGGTGATTTTTGAATAAATTTATCATCTAAACTTACAGCCTGGGTTAGATTGAGCTCTCTGTATATATTTTGGAGATGTTTAGGAGATACGTCTGATGGTTAGTTGAATTGCCTAAAGAGTTCTGCTATTGTCGTACAAGTACATTACCTCTGGTTATAATGTATTGTTGAAGCTATGTGCCGTTTTGCCGATAAATGTCTGCTCTTTGCCGCCTGTAGGCACTCTATCAGGGAGGTCAAATTCGACACTAACGAACGAAGAACCAGTGAGTTTTCGTACCCCGGCGGCGATACAAGATAAGTATCCGGTGTTGGGAGTCTAGGGCTCCGAAAGGAACATGATTATTCGTGAATATATATGCAATTTTCTGAATATGAATAATATGAATTAAATAATATGAATAAAATTATCTGAATTAAATAAGCCCTTTTGTTGAGATAAAGTAGTTGTATTGTGTTTAATTTGACTAACTTACTAGAAGTAGGAACCCTATCTAGTTATACCTCTATCGCTAGTCCCACTATAAGCTTTGACTACCGCTATACTGAACAAAAAGAACTCTGCGAATATGAATATGCCGTATATTCGTATTCATTTATTCCTTTCGCGGCCCTATATTATTTACTTCGAAAGAAGCCCCTGATATTTCATTATCATGAAACTCCCTCTAGACGCTAATAAGTAATAAAAAGAGGTGCTAGGCCCTATGTTCACTAAAATTTGTTAAATATTGTATCTAAGGGGTTATTAGCTTATATACTGATGGTAGAATGATAACCCCGCGAAAGATTTCTACTAATTTGTATGCGCTGTCTTATCCCGTGAATCTCTTAGCGAAGGTTAGCGTTGGTTCGAGATCGTGTAGTCTTCTATTCTATAGACGTATAACTAAACCATTTAAAATGCATGAAGATCAATAACTCAGAGCCCGCTTACTGATCGCTTAGACGCCGCTGGAGTCCTCTAGCTCTATAAAACTGGTAAATAATTAACTAATTAACTAACTATTACGTTCTATTCTCCGAATAATCGGACTGAATTGTACCTAGGCGTTTACTAAATCATATAGATATACAATAAACACAAGATACTTCTAAGTTTCTAGAAGTAATGTAATATCACATTTGAGTTGGTATTCCTATCCGAGCTTATAGCTATTCCTTTTTGGAAGCGTATTGGTAGAGATATATGCGCCTATAGAAGAAGTATATGGTTAGAATATAGAAGTATATAATAAAGAGAAGATAGTATATTACCTTTGATTGGTGTAATATCCTTATCCTCTATTAATAGATAGAAAGATGCGTTGATAGTTCTCTTCTTCTGGCGGTGGTATAGTTGCCTGTGGGCGTCTAATATAAACACTCCGAACCTGGCTAGTAGTGCTAGAAAGTGCTCTAAAGTGAGAATTAAGCTATGGTGGTATATGCGAAACCGATAGTGGTATATACGAAATCGATGAAGGTACTGGTGTTGGTGTAGATATTGGTGTTCTCGTTGATGATGTGGATAAAGAAGTATCCGTAGCCGCTGAGACTGTCTCTAATAGCTGTTTTAGAGTAGCCTGTAGAGTAGCTAGGGGGATAGATGGTTGGGATGCCTTCTAAGGAGATATAATAGATGGTGGAAGATGGTTAATGAGAGAAGGAATATGCTCGATAGAAGACGGAATATGATAATCTAATCTTAATAGAGTTTAGTAGCTTCTGCGCCTGGTGCTATTGGCCACTTAGACCCTATAAGAATGCACTAACAGGCTTTAGGCTAATTTCTAGAAGGGGTAATGCACCTGATTAGTAGTATTAGTTAGTTCGGTATATAACGTAGAAAATATATATTTAGATAATATACCTTATTACTATCTTTACTAGGAATTATTTACTAAGTATCTATATCCCTTTATATTTAGTTAAAATAGCTAATATAGGTATTATTAGAGAGCTTAGACTCTCTAATTAATTATCTATCTAGAGAATTCTATCCTTTACTACTAGTATACCCTAATAATCTCTATAGAAAATTAGTTTTCTATTATATAGAGGATAGACTTAGTTAAAGATTAGGTAGTTTTAGTATATATAGATCTCCTAGAGAGCCTTACTACAGTGTTTTAGTCTTTTCTACGGTGTTTTAGGGTTTTTATACGGTCCTAAGTAGGCCTAACGGTCTTTTTAGTCTTAACCCTATCGGACTACTATAGGATAGGCCCTTCTATCTAATTATAATAGAGAATCTAATATAATCAATTAGTATACTAGTAACTATTTTCCTTTAGGAATCTTCTATTTATTATTTTTCTACGAGCTAAAAATATTCTAGTAAGTCTATCCTCTATCTACTCTCTTTTATCTTAAACCTAATTTATCGAAATATTATAGTACTAGGCCTTTTAGCTCTCTAATTACTATCCCTTATTAGTATTTAAGGATAATCCGGTAGATACCCTCTCTTTCCTTATATCTAATAGGCTATTTAGTCTTAATAGGGGCGAAACGATTAATTCTATCCCTAACGTAACCTTTACCTAACCGGTAGTTCCTATAATCCCTAAAATACTTAAATATATTAGCCCTTAAAAAGGAAGCTCTATATTCTTTAGATAGAAATAGTAAACAGGGACTTTGTTATATAGTAGTTAAAAATAGAATATAGAAGTAGGGCGAAACCGAATCCCTTTAAGGGTAAACAAAATATAGAGTATTAGGACTACTTCTACTAGGTAGCTACTATCTAGGATAGGTTTCCTAAGGTTATATATAAGAATTACGATTATATTCTTATCTACTCTTCTGACTATAACTATAGAATATCTACTATAAATAGATATTATTTAAGTAGTTTCTTACTAGAAAGGAAGGAATTAGTTATAAGATATTAGGAAAATTATTAAAAATATGGTAGTAAGTAATTGTGAGATATGAGGGCAAGATGCCTAAGCCGTCAGGCAGTATAGCAAGCTAGATTCATAAGGCCTATACAACAGATTCTATACAAGAACTACTATATAGCTGAATCTCTAAGCTTTATGCTATAACACGGTCACTACTATCTAATCGGATAATCAGGCATAAAAAGACGTATATAATAGTATACGTTCTACATCATCACTACATCACTACGGTCAATTATACCGTACAATCAAGAAACGACCAATCAAACAGCTACTATATAAGATCACTATGTATCTAGATCTATCTAGGATCTATTGTAAAGATATGGTCTACTTGCAGGGTAGAAAGCCTGTCAACTAGGTAGGAGAGCAAAGCACTAAGTCAGATTGTAACAGAGACTGTTTCTTAGAGGGCCCCTTTACCCCGTTTACCGCTGGGCCTTATATACAGTAAGCCCCTCTTTCGAAGGAGGGGTAGACATGCAGGGAAGCGGATGACTATCCTCCGTAGGAGCAGCGGGGAAAGGGTGATGGTAGATCACCGAACCAATATATCATGGTTAGTGATCCTTGGAGGCCTGAAGCCTAAGGCCTCAACATAGGAATAGCCTCATAGTGCAAAATATCATAACATCTATCTAGAACGATCACATACAAGAAACAAGTTTGGTAAGTTTGCATAAAAGATTGATTATAAATATGCCCTGCTTTCTCTATCAAGATAAAAAAAAATAATGTTTAATACATATAACGAAGATTCAATACCATCAACCAAGCTTCAGTTCTACCTCACTTTTCTCTCATCTTATCTTTATGATTCTAAGCCGAATTGATTTTATCCTTCCTATTCAATAAAGGAAGAAGATTAATCAATCTTCTTCTTCCTCTCTACCTACCTGCGCAGCATCGCTTTCTCACACTAATAGAAAGACTATCTTTTACCTAAAACTTTACTAATATTATAAAATCTACTCTCTAGATATAACTAGCGTCTTATAAAGTATTAGTTATACTATAAGCTTAGATAGAAAGATTAATTATCTTTATTACTACCTCGCGGCTACCCTTCTAGCTTATTAAGTATCCTAAATTTTATACCTTTCTTAAGATAGTCTAGCTTACTCATTATTTCCCCGAAATCTCTATTATAACTACAGTCTACTATTACCTTTAAGAAATAGTAGAAGAATACTAGTGTACTTGTAAGGATAGAAAGGGTGATAGGCCAGGTAGAAGATGGTTGAATCAAACAAACAAAGATAATCGTCAAGGCAACGGTTTGGCTACGAATCAATCTCTTTTTCATGTAGGTCAAAACTTCAATTGATTCTTGAGGATCTTCCAAAGGGCCCCATTGCATGGGCCTTTTATCCTCAAGCCTCCCTTAACTACATGACGTAGTATACATATATCATCTGCCAAATAGAAACCTTCCAGAAGGGCCCATCGCAGGGTGGACCCGTCATCAAAGAAAGCAAGGTTTATATGACATACTTGGCAAGGGCCTAAACCGGCCCGAAGCGTTACCGAAAAGCGGTAGTTCTGGTTGGTTTCCCTTACAGAACCAGATCATCCCGAAAGGCGTTTGGAAAGATCTTCCAAAAGATATATGGAAAGATCTCTCTTTACAGTACTCTTCTATAGAAGCTCCTTAATAGTACTAAGCTCTCTATTACGTTAGATTACTAGACCTTACCCTTTTACTAAGTATTTATAGTAATAATAAGCTATTTTATTAACTAAGAGTATATTAAGTATTATATTTCGATTAACTAAATATATAATCATAGGATATTATTCGTACTCTTAGGAACTACGTCCTAGTATAGGAGAGTTTACTTATAGTAAGGATTTAGCTTTATTAGCTATATCAGGCCGCGTTCTAAGAGAAGTGGGTAAACATAAAAATCGATAACCGAGGTACCGCGGTAGTTAGTTAGTCGTAGATAGATATACCTAGCGACTATAATTATAGTAAGAACAACGTGATAACTTTATAGAGCCGTAATAGACTAAGAGCGCAGAGGAGTAAAGCGCCGCGAGCTTAGAAGCTAGTAAAGACATACGTAGTAATATATTTTACAGCGTCACGATAAAAAGAGGGTTAAGGAGCAGCACACGAAGCAATCATCGAAGGAGAACGTGCAGATACATATATATAAAGCCCTATAACCCTAATAGCTAAGAGAAGCTAGGCTCAAGAAGGTAATTCATGGGCGAATGAGCAGCGTGCGTGGCAGAAGAGTCCCTATATAGATAAGCCTCTTCTTTTTGCGGACGCGCACGTACATGCATGTTGATTAGAACCCTTTCTCTCACTACGTTCATTTCAGGGCATTCATCACCCGTGTATCTCAATTGCGGAGCGTTTAGCTAGAAATGCTGCCACACAAAACTCTTCTATTTGTGGAAATAAAGGCGTCGATTGAAGTATGTTTGCGGTCCATGTTAACCCTACTTGACACCGTTGTATATGAGGGCACTGATCCGAGATGATAGCAGCGGCCTGCATAGATAGCTCCTCTGCGATGAAGGAAAACTGAAAGTTCTCCAGACGGGACAAATTAGACAAAAGGTTGTCCAAGTCCATATCCGTGAACTCGTCGATTTCGGGATAGTCCCCGTCCGGCTTTATAGATAGCGAGCGGAGGTTTGTAAGTTGCTGGATCGGTTTGAACTCGTTCTTGATCATTCTTACGGATCCACATACACAGAGTTCCATTTCTTGAAGATGTACCAATCGCGACAAAACTGTGAGCTGGGGATGATTGTGCAGATGATCCGCAAACTCCACCTCTAATCTCAAAATGCGAAGAGGAGTTGATTGGAGCATGTCCACAAGGTTAGACATAGAATCCGAAGATATTCGTATAGACAAGTTTTCAATAGCACGAATTGGTGTCGAAACCAGGCCTGATACTTTAGTGATGGAATCATGGTGGATGAGTCGACCAGACTTGAGACACCTCAGATTTTCTCGCGAGGACAGACAAGTAAATAATTTATCGCATACTGGCTCGTCAAATTCCACATGTTCGACCAAGGAGCTATTCTGCAGGAAAATGACAACAGCTTTTGATGTCAATTTAAGTCCAGACGCGGGGAGTGAGATCTTGCGTAGACGAGGACACAGAAGCTGAAGATGTTTCAAAACAACCGGATCTAGCTTGCTGCCATTGTACGCCAATTCTTCCCATGATGGCTGTAAATATTGGAGATTTAAAGAATTCTCGTTGCTGCGACCATAAGAGTTGACCGTCACCTTTCTCAGCCGTTTGAACGCAAGATTTTTGAGGTCATCATAGTATCTCCAGTCATTTCTCTGGAATATCAGATCCTGTACTTGTTCTGCACAGATTTGACGACTGGCTGCTCTGACTTTTGCCAAGGTATCACATGTTGGGGATATCCATAGAAACCCTATCCCGTAGGTGAACCCGGTGCGACTGACTCGGAGGCCGACCGCCAGAGAGCCTTTATCCTTTTCAAGGCACTCAAAGATCATAAGCAGAAGTTCCGGCGAATTTAGGACGTGCTCCATGGTGACGCGTTGTCTAGGAACTCCCTTTGGTTCGCTTCGTCTTGAGATTCAATTAATCTTAAGACACGGGACACGGGGTGGCTATGCAGTGAAAACATTAGTCTTGCTGGTGTTTGACGTGTTTGCATTTCTCTAAAGAATTTAGCTGCCATCATGGACTTGAATGTCAAAAGTTCAGAACGTATTTTGTCCATTGTACATAGGTCAAATCTTGAAGGGATGAACTTCAATTACCTTTCTTTCCATTTCATTGCAACAGAAGATTGGACGATTGGGGTTGTATCGCCGTAGGCTGTATCCTGCAGCGAAATTACGGAATAATAAATCGGCATAAGATGACCAGCCGAATAATTGCCAAGTCTTATTTACCTCATGGCGCCAAGCCCTTCACTACAACCGGCTTAGAGAGGCCGGGCGACTACATAACCCTTCCTGGTAAATAATTTGGTGCTTATGGTTGCTTGTTCCAAGTTTTTGAACCCTGGAAGATCGTAAAATGTCGCTCAGTCGAATATAGAAGTGCCGGGGGAAAGAAAACTCACAATAGGACCTGTATGCTTGAAAACATTGTAACGGGGATCGTCCTTACGCGCCGGGCATTCGCAAATACACTTCTCACTGAATGTAATCAGCTGGACAATCGGAGGCCGCATAGATGATAAGTACTTACCAGACTGCGTTAGGATCTATCGCTGCATCGTGCTCTTGGAGATCCTGCTGCACGCGCTGCGCCTGCCACGAATCCTTCCTCGGGACAGGAAGGCTGGGAGCTCCTGGTAAACACCGGTATTTCTTGATGACGCCCGACTTCTTGTGAATTCTGCGTGAGGAGAGTGTCCGGTTCAAAATATCTCGCAGCCTGCTGCTACTCGTTGCGGAAGTGGCCAGGGAGCTAGTTTGGTTCTTGTTCGGTGGAGCCATCTTCCATGACTGGAAGGGTGTTGCAATATCGCAGAGACAGGGAGAGATTTTGTTGGATTCCTAATTAGATGCAAGCATGGGTGTCAGCAAGAGCCAAGCAAGTGAAGTCAGGCGTCGCCAAATCTCTCACACCGATCGAAGTGAATATACGCAGTTTTGGACATGGAGACGTGTAGCAGCAAAGAATGTGTAGCGATTCGAGTGCGTTGTGAGAAAAAAGTCCGTATCGAGAGACCATTTCGGAGCTGGGTATCACGTCTTGAACGCTCTGCTTTACCGTGAAGTAGAGTGCTGGTGGCTGGTGTTCAACGCAGGCTGGATAAGACTTACCGAATAGAAGGGTGATATTGGAAAAGATAGAGACTGTGAGAGAAAAATGGAGGACGAGGGGTCTCTGTCCATCAAACCCTTTCTCCCATCAGGAACCTCCCGCTCACTAAAGTCCCAATCACCCAATGATTCCCATGTTAAGATGTGAGAGACATGGCGTGGACAGGCAAACAACGAAGATTTTCATGTGTTTGTTTGTTTGTTCGGGACTTCCCTGACACAATCCTTTCTTATCTTTTCCCTTAAGGATGGATGTTTCGTGTCACAACACAAAGCTTCTCGGTCTTCCCTGATCAGCCGTACCTTTTTGGCTGAGAAATTATAATAATCGCTTGATATCTCATTGATGCGTTGTCCAGATCCAGAACAATGCCATCTCGTTGGGGAGGGGAGTCAAGGTCAAATCACGCTCTGTGACTCATTCTGGTCACCGTAGACAAAAGCAGGATGATATAGTCTGTGATTGTATTAAACAGACCACTAGCGCTAGGAAGAGCTGAGACGCTAGATCTTGTTAGTCGTTTTGGGGGTAAAAAATCATGGACAGACATGGAGACAAACTTGATGCAATGTCCGGGAATTGACTTGTCAAAAATTCGAGCTCTCGGTCTGCATTGCAAGATCTTGACAAGAGTTACGCTGATGTAGAAGCCTAACATGACTACAACAAGAAAGAAAATGACCATATTGAAGGGATTCCATCTCATGGGCGAGAAAATGCGTCAGTAGAGCCATAGTACGGACAGGTTGGTAAACTTGATGAATGCACCGTATCGGTTCAGTGGCTAGGCCAGATTCGGAGACTGCACCAAGGCTTAGCGCGCCCGAGCTCCATCTCTGACTGGTGCCCACGCAAGTTTGGAAAGACTCAACCTCGCCAAAAAAAATAATAAAATAAAATTCAAATCCGTCCTATTGAATATTCATTTCGGAATGAGGTAAATCTGTTGGATCCGTTAATATTTTCCGTTCCTTGGGGCTACAGACCAGGGCGAAAAATAACACTTACATAGGAGACTAAACCCTATTAGGGAACCATATCGGAGCGGCGATTATCGGTAGGCGCCATAAAGTGACCCAGTGGGAGTTTTTGTTAGGGTCAAGCTCACAATGACCGATCTGGCTGCTTGTTAACTAAGGACAACATATTGCGAATAAAAGGCATGCCCAATTAGGTAGGTAGTCCAGCTTACTTTCGTTACGCAAATGTTGTGGGGAAAGAATTCTGTTTGCTTCATTAAACTGTGAGATGAGGCGTGTCTCTTTCGGGTAAATAGAGTTTGCACCAAGTGTTCAGCTATTGTGGGGGCTTGTCTAGGTAGCCAGCGGACCAGCAATATGAGACGTCGGCTTTTGCGATGGTCATTCCATTCTATGAGCCGAGCCCTCTTAAAAATGGAGCAAGTCATTCTGAACCCATCTTCAACAGATACTGTCACCTCGTGACAGTGTGAGATTAAGAGGGTTTGAGATAGATCGAGAGGGTAATTCTGTACAAATTTCCGCACGGAAGTTGATTCCAAGCCCTTGTCGAGGCTTTGGTCGCGAAGATTAGGAACTCCCTGACTCGGTGCGGCTGATGAGGCCCCCGGCAGTGGGTCTGAGCAGTTCAGCTGGATTGCCGCAAAGTTTGAATGTCGTCATAGAAGTGATACGATTCTCAAAGCTCTTCATCGCCAATTGTTAAGTCAGTGAGATATACTTAAGGAATATCTACGCGAGCAGTTTCCCAGAACGGCCAAGAGCATAGCATAGTGGCACTCCCGTGGTAAAACAACTGGAGCCAGCGTAGTACTTCGCTGGCCAAGCTATAGCCTTGCCTAACGAGGCTGATAGTTCGTGAGGTACGTGACCCTCTTGCCGGTTCAGCTAGGTTAACGATGGGAAGAAGAGACTCTTCAAAGACGAATATAAAAACCCCTTCTCTGCCAGTCTAGAACCTACAAACTTCTCCTCACCATCCTCAAACTGTTCAAAGTTCGCACACTTTTTCCTTTTATTACGATGGTTCACCCGGATCAGAGCTTGGAGAGGATCGGCACAACCATTGCGGGGCTTTTGAAGTCTCTGGCTGATCAGCTTAAAACTTTGAATCAGCCTGAGCCCTCCTTCGCCGCGGACGCTCCCACATCGTTTCCCCAGGATCCTGAGCTTCAACGTATCCGACTGGAACTCTTGGATTCTTTGGCAAGTATACAGCACCTTGTCACCGGTGCGAGCGACTTTTGGCTCAATGGGAGTGTGTTTGTAAGTTGCTTTTCTCTGGAAATCAAATTCCTTACAAATAGATACCACATCGAAAGTACACCTACTGACGCAAGCCAGCCAAACCACGAGCTTCTTACTTTTGATGTGCTCAACAGTTTCAAATTCTGGGACGCTGTTCCTCTCAATGGTTCAGCCAGCTATGCCCAGATTGCCGAGTCGACCAACCTGCCTGAGTCGATCGTCAGGCGCTTTTTAAGATACGCTTTTACCTCATTTGTCTTCACCGAGGCACCTCTAGGCTCTGGAAATGTTGTGCATACACCGGCGTCAGCATATATCGCGCGTTCCCCCTTCATGCAAGCCTTTCTCGCGCATAACTTGGAGGATATTAGGCCTGCTACCACAGTCGGCGTGGATGCCTTGAAGAAATGGTTTGTTGGCAGTGTAGAGCCTCCCGAGGAGCTCACAACCTGTGCCATGTCATTGGCAACAGATGGCGGTGTTCAGCGTGATACAGATCTTTGGACGTTCTTTAATAACTTTGAGCGAGACGATCAGCCGAAAGGGTTCCGGGCCAAGCGGTTCGCTGAGGCAATGCAGGGAATTGCACAGAATATGGGAAATCTAGCAGAAGCAGTGTTGAAGCTTTTTGACTGGGAAAGCTTAAATGATGCTACTGTTGTTGATGTAAGTCAGCGGACCAACATGCTAGACCATCGTAATAGAAATGAAGATAATATGCTAATCTGGCCTAGCTGGGAGGTTCCGCTGGACATATCAGTGTCATTCTTGCCGATAACTACCCCAAGCTTAACCTTGTGGTTCAAGACCTCCCAGTTGTCGAGTCCGCCTTCAACGCGAATATTGGATCCTCCAAGCATGCATCACGTATTCAGTTCCAGAAGCATGACTTTTTCAATGCCCAGGACTTCCCAGCAGATGTCTTCTTGGTAAAGTCCGTCTTCCATGACTGGTCTGACAAGTATGTCCTGCAGATTGTCCGGAATCTGGTTGGGGTTTTCAAACCAGGAAACCATCTACTCATTTTTGACTTCATCGTACCCGAAGAGTATGACGAAGAAACCAAATCCATGGTACCATTACCGGCAAGGAAAATTGTCTCGGCTTTGGACTTGCAGATGTTTGTCGCATGTAACTCTAAGGAGAGAAAATTGAAGGATTGGAAGGATGTTGTCAAGCAGGCTGATGGCCGATTTGAATTCCAGGCGGTTCATATCCTTCCTGGAGTTCCATTTGGACTTGTGGATTTTGTTTTTAGGGAATAGACTGCCCATTAGGTCTAAATTTATTAATCCAGACGAAGACTACTTTTGAACTAACTAATCCCACTATTACCCAAGAAAATATCTACCGAACTAGAGATAGACCAACCTTATTATATAAATGAGTACTATCAATGGTGGAATTGATAGGGATACCCCAAACTTTACTAACGTAAAATTCGTGCTAATTAGCGTCTATATTTGTTGTCGTTCTTGGGAATATACTTTCATTCTGCTTCTGATATTGCCCACATTTTAGCCGGGCACAGCCAAAGTTTCAGCCTTTTACAGTAGTTTCCGAATCCAGTTATACCTCCACACTCTCACGACATGATTGCCGGAATATAAGTCCGACGAGTGTGAGTTCTGATTGGATATGACCACCCCCGCTCGCCTTTCATCTGCTCAGTGAGCCGATCAGATCAGGGACAAGAGGGAGGCGTGCTCAGGTGTACTGTACTCAGTGAGCAAAGGTGGCGATGGTCTGAGCATTAAAACGGAACAGGAAAGCCCAGACGTGGCATAGGAAATCCTATAGGTAAGCAGTAAAGGGAAAGAGCCGGTGGAACCCAAATAGTAGGAACGATGACTTTAAATCCTAGATAATAGATGTCGAAAAGGGACATAACTTAGGAATGTTGATAAAAGTATGTATATCAGGTTCCCTAGATAGCCTCGTTCATTGGGTTGCCACACGTTCACACTGATCTACCAGATCAACCGTGTGGTACACATGCTAATCATAGATATCCAGGTAATTTGAAAGCTCAGGTTTATGTAGCTAAATACATACTAGTAACTCGTCTTCTAACTCAACTGGGCGGCCCATCTTTCTTGGGCTGTTAATTCTCTTATAGTATTCTCAGCTCAATTTTTTTAAAAAAAAGAAGATCATATAATGTAGATTTACAATCTATAAAATCAAAGGATGGCAATACCAGTGAATGCCCGGGTGCTGTCTGCGTATAGAAGCGACTTTGGCTCACCAGTCAGGCCACAGCGATAAATGCTTCCACCTAGGTCTGTAACATAGACTGCATCGTTTTCGACATCAAGCTTCAGTCCGATCGTCTCGTTGAAGTTGCGTGCCAACAACTCAGACTTCTGAGCTGCTGAGCACTGTCCAAATTCATTAAGGTGGACACGATTCAGGGAATTGCCGAAAGGAATCTCGCCACGGTCGGTCCAGTACAGCCAGCAGTTTGACTCGTCAACCTCAAGATCGATAGGCTCTGGGAGCCCGCTGCGGATACAATCGATATCGGACCGTGAGCAAGGCAACTCGCCCACTGGGGTTGAGATATTGGCACAAAAAATGCGGCCTTGTCCGCCCTTGGATGGACCTTTTTGTGTCCAGTAAAACTTGCCGAGCCTTGGCGCAACAGCAATACCGACGCACCATTTTCTAGTATCTTCGGCATCCTCGAGTTTCTGCGGGTTGCCGGCCTGCACAATCTTCTCTAGCTCGGTACCATCAAAGTTGCATCGGTAAACACAGAGGCCTTCACGGTCCGAGAAATATAGTTTGTTCGACGTGCTGTCGAGGGCTAGCTGCTTCGGTGTATTGATCTTTCCCGTTGGGATTATTGTGTCAACAGCCTTGGTCTCGGGGTTGTAGCAAAGCACACTTCCGTCTTCCTTGCCAGGGATACCCATGTTGGTCCAAAAGAGTCGACCAGTCTGGGGGTCAACGACTAGGCCATCAGGCAGACACTGATTCTCAACGAGAGATTTCTGAACTTGTCCATTTGCTGAGATTTCGAGAATGGAACCAGATGTCATCGACGGTGTGGCGGAAGACAGCCCAATGTCTAGGACAACCAGTCTATAGTCTTTGGAAGCGCACTTATTTTCAACCGCTTGAGGTGGGTATAGTCCCCCCTGGGAGCTTTTTGTGCCCAACCTCCCATGGTTGATGTAGCATGCTTGAAGGTAATCAACCGTATTTTCAGAAGAAAGACCGCGTTCCTCAACATAATGCGACTCAATAAAGGCGACAGTATCGAGACCAACATCTGGGGAAAAGTGTTAACAAACCGTAAATATATGTCAGTGAGCTGGTAAAACTCACTATCCATGGTCTTGCAAGGGGTTGCTCCTCCTTTAACAAACATTTCAGTCCACAAAGAGTCGATCTCTTCCGGAACTGAGACCCCTTCCGCCAGGATGGTCAAGGTCTCCCGTTTGACAGCTGCCCAAAGGCGGTTGAAGATGAACCCAGTAGATTGCTTTCTGGCGACATAAGGCAAAGTTGCCCCCTTCTTGCAGCGATCGATCATGAAGGGAAAAATGCCTTCCTCGGTGTGGCCATTTGTCATGAGTTCTACGACCATACACTGCGGCGGCATATAGTAGTGCATGTTCAAGATCCGGCTCTTGCCAGCTTCTGAAACTTTCTCAAGCATTTCGGAAGATTTGTAGGACGACGAGTTGGACGCCAAAATACAGTCGGCTGGTGCGAGTGTATCAAGTTCACCGAAGGTATCAATCTTCAGTTGAATTTTCTCAGGGACAGCCTCAATTACAAGCCAGGAATTGGCAATGGCGTCTTCCAGGCTCTCAAAGGCGTGCACAACGCCAACTTTCTTGCCGGTCTTCTGAGCGTAAAGTACGGCATTCTCCTGGATGTAGGCAATTCCATCCTCTCGCTGTTGCGGGCTTGGGTCCCGCAGGTGCACATCAAAGCCAGCGGAGGCCCAGATGCATCCTATACAGTGTGGTCAGTGGATATTCTCCATTTCACAAATTACATGTGGCATTACCTATCCGTCTTCCCAGAACCCCAGCACCAAGAATAGCCACAGGCCTACTCTCGTAGTCATTGGGAGGTGTCCATGAGGATGACATTGCGAAGTTGTGAGAGTTGGTTAGAAGTGAATGCTTGGGATACGAAGGGGAAGGAAAAGAGCCTGTTTTAATTCTCAATGGTGCAGGAAAAATTGTCAAGACCACTAGGCGGATTCATGGGTCATTAATATGACCATCATGGTGGCTTTGATGGATAGGCCTGTTCGTAGATGTCCGGCAAGTACACAATATTGTCCGAATTATCCGCGGCTCCTCGCTCAAGGAACATACTTTTCATTGCCTCGGAACCAAAGTGGGGCGGAAGGGAGAGACCGAGATACAGCAATCAGTGAAGAACTTGAAGTTGCTTCCCGTCCGATCCGTCCGATCCCGATGTCTTCGGGTTGCCGATTATCCTCGGTGTCGAATGGAACTAAATAGCTTATGTCGTCTCTCCAATGACGTCGACTTTGAATTGTCCAAGAGTCGAAATCCTCGTACATTCCTAAATTGCAAGATACCAAAGTGTCAAATCGGAGATTTCATTACTACCGGTATTATGCTCCACAAATGTGGCACTATCCAAAGAAACGAAGCAAATTGTTACAGGCTCGTTATCTAACCGCTCTTGAGTTCCAGTGTAGAGATCCTTGGGATAGCCTTTTGCGAAGAAAGAATATGAATGTGAATATAAGATCAAGGAATTTGTAAAGGTTCTTATGCATTTGACTGGATTGAACATGGTTGAATGGCAAATTATACAAGGAATTGATCTATGAAATCACACAAAAGACATAAAAGTCAACCATCAGTCAAGTAATTAAGAGCCACGACTAGAAGCAAAATATCTGGTCCACCATCTTGGAAACCGAGCCCGGGGCTTGGAAACCTAGAGAGCACAATGCCTTCTTCGAAGCATTAATCATTCCAGGGGGGCCACACAGCATGATCCTCGTGTCAGCAGAGGGTGCTGGCAATTTTTCCGCCATCACCTGTGATGTCACGTAACCCTTTCCGTATTTCCACTTTGGAGAAGGTTGGTCAAGCATGTACCAGATCTTCAGGTTCTTTGGGTATCTGCGGGCAAACTTCTCCAGCTCCTCACGCAAAAGAATATCTTCCTCTGTGCGGTTGGCATAAACCAGACTGATCTCCGTCGTATCAGTTTCATTCTCGCAGATGGCACGAATGAGCTGGTACATCGGGGTAATACCAGTTCCACCAGCAATCATACCAATATGACGGCAGATGCCGTTTCGATATTTCATAGCACCCTTTGGGCCTCGGAAGAGAACCTTATCACCAACTTGTAAGTTGGCAAGGTATTGGCCTGTGAGCAGACCATCCGGGTAGCACTTGATTACCAATTCCAAAACTCCAAGATCCAGGTTACTTGATGTTGGCGTATAGGACCGGGAAACGGACTGGCCTTTGATGGTGGCTTTGATGGCCACATGCTGGCCGATTGGAAGACCAATAACATCCGTAGGACGAGGAAGTGCAAAAGTGAATCGGTAAACGCTCGGTGCGAGCTGCGTTTTCGCAATAAGAGGAAGTTCTTTGAAGTCCTTGGGCCCGAGAAACCCTTTGACAAGGTGGGGATCGGTTTGAGCCAGCTTCTTGGTCTTGAGGTGTGAGGGGTAGCGGGTGAAGCCAGACTCAATTTGAGTAAGCTTCATCATTTTAGATCCAACCGCGGCAGCGATAGCTGTGTAGATGCCCGCAGCAGTGAGGAAACCGTTGGAGAAGTCCGCTCGCCCAAGGCTCAGTTTCGGAATTGGCATTTCATGTATCCAAGTGGGAAAGTTCTTCAAGGGCCAAGTCCCAAGCCTTCCAGGCGAGAGATACCCATAGTAATGGAGGAGAGCCAAGAAGGTACAGCCGCCTACCGAGCAAAGAGTCATGACAATCTTGCCGCTTGTGAGACTGGACGGCTTTCCTGTGGCTCCATGTGGCGGTTGCTGGATGACCCGAACGGGCTTGGGTTTTGTGAACTCTTGAGCCCCTTGGAGAGTGCCAATCAGAAAAGTCTTCAAAATCTCGTCGGCATCTTCAGAATGCCCAACATCTTCGTATGCTGCGGTCGCATCTGTTCCAGCGGCATCACAAAGGACATCCGCTCCACCAGGATGATCACGGACGTAATTTGTAACATCGTAGACTAGATTTTCATTTCAGAAATTAGACCCGGCATTCCAAATGATTTTCACAGCTGAACTCACCTTTCCCGTGCACAGCGATCCATAGATCAGTTTTTGTTTTGTGCAATGCAACATCCGCTGAGGTATACTCCTTCAAAAGAGACATTTTGACGGGAGGAGGTCCGGTGCTCGCAGAGCCAAGTGATGTATTCCTGTCTCGGGGAAGTCAAAAAATTGGTTGTGAGGGCGAGTGATTGGGAGAACATGAAGGTTTTTAAGCGGGCAGGCGCGTGCAATATAATACAAATCCGTCGCCGAGGTTACAAAAATTGGGGCATATGCACTATTCGAATACTGCCTTGATTACTATGTCAATATGAAAATGACCCGGACCGAGTTCTTCTCGGAGATTGAATCTGGAATATCATACCAGTGGTCCGTCTTCCTCGGCAAGCCGAAGGTCGACCATCGGGTAAAATAATGTATTTCTTTCCGAGGTAGGCCTTTCCGAGGTAAGCACTGTCTGTTTTGAATTCTGCCAGCAACGGGGTATCTAGAATCAGGGTAATACTAAGGAAGCAATTTGAATCTAGAGTACTTAAGCCTTAGTTTCTTCCCAAAGCTGAACTCAACCTTTACCACAAGATTAGATCGTTGCTTTACGATGACTACGCAACAGTTCCACCTTTTGGGCGATGATTCCTCATCTTCTAGGCCCATCGAGCTCGACACGACACTTGATATTGACGGTCTGAAGAATCTCATCGCAGCCCATTTCGCCATCTTTGAACCTAGCGGTATGTGTCACGTCTACTCTATTCCAGACATTAATTACTCACACGCCAATAGGGGTTGGCTTCCTGAGCCAAGATCTAACCTTGACCGATGTCACAGAGGTGATTACCGCGCCGGGGCCGGTTGCTATTACCATTGATGGCCACGAAGTCCGAGATCCATGTGGCCCTGCCGGCTTGCCAATCGTGGGAAACTACTTTGAGGTTTACCCTGACCACCTCGGCAACCATCAACGCCTTTTTGAACAGTTTGGACCTTTGATCAAGACAACGAACATGGGCCGAACTATCTATCAGACCAACGATCCAGAGCTTTCCGCCATCGTCTTTGCTGAGTCCGACTTTTTTACTAAGAAGATTAACGAAGCACATCCGCTCTATGCTCTGAAAACTCCAGCTGCTGGAGTTTTCCTCGGGGACACCGATACTCCTGAGTGGAAGGTCGCTCATAAATTCCTTCCGCCTGCGCTCGGTCCTAAAGCAGTTCGTCACTACGCCCCAACAATGCAGAAGACAGTTGAGGATTCTTTCCGTGTTTTCGACGCCTTTGATAAACAAGACGAGGCCTGGAACGTCTATCATTATATGTTGAAACTGGGCTCACAAGCCGTTGGCAAATTGACACTTGGCTTGGATTTTGAGCATTTCAATGAGCCTGATGCTCCGCTGCATGAAATGGTCCACCTCATCGCTGAAGTTCTCTCCTTGAATAAGAAGGTCACCTCCAAAGGTGATTGGTATGGCCGGTTACCCTTCGGAGATCCCCAGAGACTTAAATGTGCAAAGGCAAGGGTTGAGCAAATGGTGGAAGAATCAATCCAAAGGGCTGCACGAGGCGGCGTCGAAGACCTCCCCTCCAGGACGCGGCACTTAAGGCATCTAATATGGTTGGTATGCTTCCCGTATTCGATTTTGATCATATACAATCTCTAACCTAGAGCAGACTATGCTATTCGTGCGACCGATAATAAAGGCGCGAAGCTACCGAAGTCAAGTTTGGTTTGGGCGCTCATCGTCGCGACCGGTGCTGGATTCACTACAACGAGCTCGCTTCTCTCGTGGCTTATTTATGGCCTTGTTACCTATCCAGGAATGCAGGAAAGACTTCTGCAAGAGTTGGTCGATCATGGTATTGACGAAAATACCGAGATTACAGCCGATGTGACTGATCGGCTTGAGTTCCTGGACAAGTACATCAAGGAGACTCAACGTCGACATAATCCTTCGTTCCAGCCTGGTCGTACTGCTAAGATGGACTTGATTCTTCCTGGGGGTTACAGATTGCCGAAGGATGCCGTTGTGATCCCTGCATTGCATCATATTCACAACAATCCGGCCCTATGGGACAATCCTCAGAGATTTGACCCTGATAGATGGGACACAGATGCAGTGAAGTCCAGGCACAAGGCAGCGTATATCCCATTCGCGACAGGCCAGAGGATGTGCATTGGCTTTAACTTTGCGCTTCAGGAGATCAAGGTTTTCCTTCCAAAGCTGATCTATCGATACAAGTTTACTCGTGAGGGAGATGGACCAATCGAATACGATCCCATGTTCCAGCTAATCCGACCAAACAACCTGTTTGTTCGCGCGCAACGAAGAGTCAAATGGCCCCCGAGAACGGAAACGGCTTGAATCTTGGAAGCTGCTTGATGAGCTGATCGTCGGGTTCTCTGAAGCGGGCATGAGCGAGGCTTTCCTTTCCGGTTGTAGATGTCTTGTGCAATAACCATCCTGTGTTGGAAAATATTGTATAGCACTATTGATGCTCCATTAGATACAATTAAAATTGCGGCCAGGTGCACATGTGTCACATTATTGGTCTTCAACACCTGCTTCATCGGACACTTTTCTTCCCCCCACGCGAGTTCCAGTATCTGTAGAGTCGATGACTGCAACCGACTACTGTAGAATTTTGTTCAAATTCTGTTCCGTTAGGACGAATAGCAAGCTTCAAGTGATCTAAATAATGAGTAGCCAACTCCCTAAACACGCGGAGTATTTTCGCATAGAAGACCTACTAAGACATAGCTCATCAAGCTTTCTCATACTGCCATTCATTTAGGTCTACCTGCTACCAATTTATTCGCTCTGTGGAAGCGCTGTCACACTGCTCCGAGCATCCTTATCATCTGGAGCCAACCTGACACGCTATTACTGCAAGGTTGGAATAAGTTTACGAAGAAGGAAAAGTATTCAACACACTGCCACGAATGTGAATAAGACGAGAATATTGGTGCATTTTCTCTCGCCTACCGCAGCGCCAACGACGGTTATTCCATGCATAACTGCATTGTTGCACTAAAAATTATTTGGATTTAGACTTCAGACTTGATTACAAGCCTGCCAGAAATCAAAGACTGAAGCATTATCCATCAGAGTAGCCATCAAGTCATCCCCATCTAAGACTCCAAAATCAGACTCCCCAAGTTGATTGGTACCTGAATTTTCAGCATTGTCGACTAAGCTCCTCGCAGGGTCCGCGCCTTGGGGAAAAGGTATAGAAGCGGGTGAACAACTGGCATGCATCGCACGATCCGGGTAATCCGGGAAAATCTGTTGGATAGCCTTTTTGAAGATCCCACGATATACCGAAGCGACCTTATACGTTTTCTGGAGTTCCTCCATTACAAGCATGCATACTTCGAGCTTATTCAGCCTAATGCGTTTGGCGAGAGGATCGCCAAACTTGGATTGAAGCAGATGCGTTTGCATCGCTGGGACCAAGAGAGGAGGTCTGCGGAAAATATGAATTAGCCGCGACATGCACTTTACAACGGCTGGACATCTATCTCTGGCGTTACTCACGTCATTGGTCCTGCCAATCCAATCAGTCCATCTTGGACAAGCCTATCCAGTATTTCATTTGTTTGAGACGCAGCGTGATCGGCCTTGAGCTTCATTCGTTGTTGCCAGTCTCCTTTCACATTAGCGTCGATCCCGTCTGGAAACTCCATTCCCCAAGGACGGTAAAAAGTGATCATCAATGCTCTGCGCTAATAGGTCAATAAACGTAGTTATTGAAGCGAAATTGAATACTGAGGGAACATACTGGTAGTGCAGGTGAACATGATTCGAGTAAAACTTCGAAATGTGTGTTAACCCTCCTTCATACAGATCAGGGAGTCTGCTCTGTAGAAGACGCCTCTCGAGCATTTCGATGTCCTCAAGTGTCCCCTTGGGCCGGGTAGCTTGAAAATTCATAACCAGAACGTCTCCCAAATGACGGCTCATCTCAATAAGCATCACCCAGTATTCGCTCAGTCTTGACATGTCACTCGGCAGATGGCCAGCGAGACCAAGTTCGCCCAAGCTCTCAATGTCAAAAAGCATATCCCCGACTAACGGCATGGGAACATCAGAGTCATTAAGATTTATGCGCAGAGGTCTGCCTAACGTAAGACCAAGCCAGCGGTCACGGAAGAAGCAGCACCACCAGAGGCGACGCCAAAATGATCGCTGTCTGTCGGTGACATGCGGATTGTATGTTGAAAGCCCTGGGTCTCGATGTAGGCCTAGGATTTGACAATGGCTTATCGCAGAGCCTGTCCAATACCAAGGTTGCGCATGTTCTTCTATTTCCGAGTGCCAAAAGCCCATCAGGAGTGAAGCTTGTAGCAGGACAATCTTGTTGCGTTCATTTCCATTCTCGTACATACACTATTCAGATACCACCTCATGAAAGTTAGCTCACGAATCTTGCATAGCAGGTTCAAGCGAGAGTGTTCTTGCCTTGGCTCGGGAGTACATGGCAAATTTCATCGCCCTCCTTGATGTGAAGCCTTCCTGTTCACATATTTGCGCAGGTAAAAACTATAGACTTTGTCAGGTTTGCGAAGAATGAGTTGCTAACTAGCGACATACATTGACAGCGACGAAAAATATACTCCATAGGAGCAAGATGTTGTAACTCTCCAGTTGCCCAGATTGATGATGACTCAGAAGCACATCGGCTTCAATCACCGGTAATATTGGATGAACATTGAGGAGATATGCTTGAATCAAGCTTTCACAGGTACTTCTTCCCGGGAGTGTGTATACCCCCTTCCTGCGAAGAAACTCCTTGTTCTCCTCAGACAAGCTTGTCCGATGAAGGGGAATGAGAAAGTGCCTCGGCAAGGACTGCTCCGTAGAGCAAATATCCAGAGCCGAAGTTGGCCCCGTCTGTCCACCTGTTCGGATCGTCAGTTACAGCGGTGTTCCTGATTCGACATTCCTGCTTCTTCTTACCAGCATAGAAGGGCACTTCCCCCATTTTCTCTGGCCGACCCAATGCCGCGGATGCTATTTCCAGTCCATTGCGCTCTTCGTCTTCAGGGTTGTCAGGCAATGAGACTTCTTCAGCTCCTGTAGATCGCGACGTAGGAAGTTCTGATCCCATTCGCGACGCAGTGGCACTCGGAGGATCAGGGGAGGTAATCAGGGGCATAGCTCTGGATTCCTGTGCCCCGGAAATATTTTGACTGGCCCGAGTAGAAATCGGGTGATTGGTCTGTTTCACTCTAAAGGATGTCGTGTGTTTAGTTCAAATTCAAAATCTGGCATCCAGGCCTGGGATGCTCCTACATTTTGGCTTTTTTTGCATCAACAACGCACTCTGAGCCGTCCTGGATACACCCAACACAAGGAACACCAGTGACCGTGATGCTGCATCGGACTTTCCGTTGGCGACAACCCTGGCAAGCAACAGCTGACCTGGGGCGGCGTGTCCGAGGAGTCTGATTGGGCGGCGCCATGATTTTCAAGGATTGCAACTTCGGCTTTGATTCCGAGGATTAAGCATCACTTGTTCATCAGCTAAGAATCGCGGAAATTCTGTAAGGGGGACGTTGCACTAAGGAGCTTGGTGGTGAGAGCTAGACTGATTGTCCGCGGTAACGGACGGGCCTAAGAATAGGCTGAACAAGATCGTTACCTCGGTAAAGGCTTGGCTGAATAAGCACCAACCTTCGAGGTCGCGGTTACCGCGGCCACAGGAGAATAAAGTGAAACAATATCTGATAAAAATGCCTCTATATAGTTATTACATTCATCATATACGCGAGCTGACTAAATTTCCAATGTAAGGTAAGTAATAATAGAAGACGGAAAATAAAAGGCACAGAGCGTGGCAAGGCCCTGCTACTAACTAGAGCGCTCTGGTGGCCCCCTAGTATTGCAAGGTTAACATGACGCTTTCCGCTTTAATTTGAGCTGTATCATCTTAAGGACGGACTTCTAATCAGAGGGATGTAGATAACGTAAGGCTATGGCTACGGTCAAAAAAGGTAAAAGGAACGACCATTAGAATAGAAAGTTGAAAGTGGAGGTTATCTGGATAGAGATGACTTGAATACCTATTCATACACCAAGAATTTTCTTCCTTAGGTTGCCTCTTTGTTAGTGATGCACTTGTGGATGAATTGACCTAATCCTCTGGCAATCAAGACTTGATTCCAGTGGTCTGCTCTAAACATAACCTTAAGAAGCTCCCGTCTAATTGCAGTACTTCTTTTCATAAACCTAGCATAGTAGGAGGTCAAGTCTTTCCTGCTGCCACTCAGAATCTGTTTCAATTATGGTATTCAATCAGAGACTGTCGAATCACAGTTACTCAACTGTATTCCGATTTATTGGTCCGCTGACATGCTAAGAAATGATCCATGATACAGCCAGGCAGAGCCGGCAACCCTAGACATGAAAAATAACAAACTAAGGATGCTAAAAACAGGAAACCTCGTTTAAAACCGTGATATGCAAATTTCAACCTCAGATCTGGGGAATCTTAACTAAAATTCAAATTCCTTGCGGAATATATTCACATCCATGCCTGCAACCACCTGGTCGGCCAAATCGCGCCGTCCCATCTGGCTAAAGACGCGACGCAGCGTATCGTACAGGTTCGTGCTCTGGTTCTGACTAATATGTAGCATTCGCTCCAGGCGCTCGTCATCTAGTCCGTCAGGTGCACCGCCGCCACCGATAATTTCGCGAGCGCGCTCGCGACCTTCTTGCTCGACGACGCGGTGCATGGATAGCGCGCCCAACAGGTGCTGTGCGGCCTCGGGATAGCAGCCGATGTTGATGCAGGAGACGCCGAGGTTGTAACGGGCGCGGACAAAGTTGGGGTTGATGGTGAGGGCCTGCTCGTAGGCCTCGATGGCTTCTTCGGAGCGGCCGCTGTTGGCGAGAGTGGCACCGAGACGGTTCCACAGGAGGTGGAGTTGCTCGCGCTGATTGGTGCTGCCGGATTCAGTGGATGCCAGAGCAGCGGAGAAGCAATCGACGGCTTTGTCGTATTCTTCAGCACAGTAGAAGAGAACACCCAGGCCGACTTGAACATCTGGGTCCATCTGGGCACCAGAGGGGGAGAGCTGTGCGGCTTGAATGAAGAGCTCTGTCACGCGGTCGTGCAGGAGTTGGCGATCTGTGAAGCCCAGATCGGCGTCGCCGGAAACCTCCTTTGGGTCAATGATTGAGGGGTACTTGTTTGATAGCCAACGCTCGAGGGTGCGGTAGGCGGTTGAGTCGTAGCCCTCGTTGGTGTATGAGACGGCCAGGCCCATTAATGCGTCGAGGTTACCCGGGTCAATCTTGAGTGCCTGCTCCAAGGCTCGGATGGCGGGCAGCTCCTTTTCGTTCTGAGCCTGCGCAGAACCCAGCATCGTCCATGCTTGCACATGCTGGGGATCTTTCTGAACCGCAGCCTCAAAGGCCAATGCAGCCAGTGACAGGTTACCTCCCTCGCGCATGATCTTCACACCTTCCTCGAAGGGGTTGTTCACCGCCGAGTACACATTATCCTCCTCGAACATGTAGTCACCCAGCTGTGGGTCCCGGAACCGCGTGTTCAGGCTATCGAAGCCATCCCAATCACCGAGATCGCCGACGTGCACACTGTCCGTGACCTCGAAATCGCCGCCTTCTTCAACCAATTTCCTACTCGCAGCGGTCTCAGCTTGGATTCGTTCCCAAACGGATTCAAAGGCATCATCGGAGGTGGGCACTGACCTGTCCAGCTCGTTCAGCTCCGCCTCCATCGCCGCGTTGGCCTCCTCATCCGTCTGGATCTCATTCCCAGCGGTCTCCATCTCAGCAAACTGGGCCTCCCAGTTCTCATCGTCCAGCTCTACCATACGGCCCTTGCCTTTGTCCTGTGTCTGTCCCTCCATCGGCTGCTGCATCATTTGCGACTGCATGCCCATCGGCCGCATCATGCCCATGGCGCCCATACCACCCATGTATCCACCCATCCCCATCGGCCGCTGATACCCCGCCATGAGTGGCGGGGTCGCCGTCGTAGCGGGGCTCTGCGTCTGCGGCATACCCATCCGGCTCTGCTGCTGGAAGCGCGCGAACTCGGCCGGCGTAAACCCAGGGCTATTGTTCATCTGTGCAGCACCGGGGAATGCAGCCTCCATGCGAGCCTGCTCTCCGGGGTCGAACTCCGCAGCCCATCCCGGTGATCCTGTCCGTGGAGGCGCAGTCTGGAAGTTCTCCAATTCCCGGCGCATATGCTCCATGGCGAAGGGCTGTGGCGAGGGGCCGTTTAATTGTTGGCCTGGTTGCTGCATGAAATCATCCATCATCTAAGAAAGCTCTCGGACAGAGCGTCCAAAGAGCCTCGCCGTTAGTCTCCGAGTGACATTCGGTGGTACACAGGCCGCCGCTGAGACCCCTCCCTCCTCGGGAAAGAGACAGGGTGGGCTGCAGCATTCCAAGAACGCACCTGGTCCTGTCCACCCATCATACCCCGTGATCGCATGCTTTCTTGCATGCCCGGGCCCCGACCAACCAGCCGGTCTCGCTGGAGGGATTTATCATCTTGGACGTGCTTGGTGAATTGCGTGAGGGGGTTTCCCGCCGTGGAGCATTCGGCGCCGCCGAGGAACGACATAGTGATGCTGTGTGTGGTGTATGTAAAGTAAAGGAAGGATAGTCGAATCCGGTGTGGGAAAAATCAATTTTACACCGAAGCACAAGCAGTGAAGAGGATGAAAGTCGTGCCCCGGATATTCGTTGAGACGTGGGGTTGGATCGCTCACTAATGCGCTTTCCGTCAGCCGAGGTTCCCCGGCGGTCACGTGTGGCGGCATCTGCCGGGAATCAGATGGATTGTGTATACATCGGCATATACATACTGTGTAACCATAACGCAAGTATACAAGGTGACAACGGAGTGCTGGTGTCAATATGGTACAATTTGATACATCGGGCGATATATGGGTATAATACAAGAACAGTAGAGAGAGATCTATGCCTTCTTCTCCTCCACAGGAGTCTGATCCTCCACTTTCGCTCCCTCAGCCGACTCAACATCATCCTCCAAACCCTTCTCAGCCTCCTCCGCTTCCTTCCTCTCCATCTCCTTCCTCTTAGCCTTCGCCTCTGCCCTCGCCTGCTTCCCATCCACAGGCTCTGGCCTAGGCTTCATCATACCAACCCTCTTCCTCTCCGCAAAATTCACCTGCATCTTCCGCCCATATGGCCTCTTCCTTTGCAATATCTCCATCCCCTGCGCCGCCGCCTCCGCATCAATAAACTCCACATGAGCAAAGCCACGCGGCATGCCGGAGCGGCGGTCGACGGGAATCCGAATGTCGGTCAAATCTTTGACGTCGCGGAAGAGGTCTTGTAGATCACGATCGGTCATTTCGAGGGGTAGACCGCCGATAAAGAGCGTTTCGGTGGGTGGGAGGAGACAGTTCGGTAATTGAAGTTGGCGCGGGCGTAGTGCATGACTACTTGGCGGCCTTCAAAGATGGTGGAGTGCATGTCTTCGATTGCGGCGGTCGCCTCCTCGAGATTGTTGAACTGGACGTAGCCAAATCTGAGGGTGGTATGTGGTTAGTTGGATTAGTTGGACAGAGTAGAGGCGGTTATTGTTCGTGCTGCTCACCCTTTGCTGAGACCACGGTTATCGTGGGCGATCATCGTGTTCAGTACTGTGCCGTACTTCTCCATATGCTTCCGCAGATCTTCGGCGGTAACATCGTAAAACAGATTGCCCATGTAGACGGTTTCGTTGGGGGGGAACTTGATCTCGGTGGCTTGCGGTGCCTTCTCCTCCAGCTTGTGCTGGTCCGCATGGCTCGAGGATATATGTTGTGGCTGCTTTGCTACCTCTGCCTCTTTATCCTGTGCTTCTATATCTTGACTTTTCTGTTCCTTTCGACCCGGTGACGGTGATGCATCGTTTTGATTTGAGTTCCATCGGACTTGAAGGGTTGCGAGGTGCGGGCTTCGGGGAGAAAGACGAGGAATGAAGTGACGAGCGGCGTTGCACCGAGACCGTGCTACCGAAATAGACTGGGAGGACAGGGCCGAACCCGAACCCAGGAGTCGTGATGGGGCTCGTCGGAAACAATGCCTTGAGGGAGAGTTGAATTAGCAGTGGTCTGACTAGAATCAAGATGCCTGCGCATTTTGAAGCACTTAGGAATCAGTCGAAGCAGTATAAATCGAGGGACTCACATTGTCTCGAATGGTACACCAATAGCGCAGAATTCTCCACAGCTAGAAAGAGAATAGTTATCAGACCTCGATCTCCAATGCGCGTTTGTCGTCCAATCAAAAAGTTCCACGGAGCGATAAGGGTAATCACGTGGTTCGTATCGGGCATCCAGTCAAAGAAAGGGACAAGCAAGACTATCGCTGTCTCCAACCTTACTTCGAGGACCATCGATAACCATATTAGAATGGAAAACCAACCTATAGATCCAATAGAAACATTCTTAGAGAGGAGTCTGTATATTGGCATAATTCCCGCAATATGGTACATCCAAGTCCCAACCCAAAACAGTGCGCAATGCACCATCCAATCCCACGAAGACTAACTAGATCAAACCCAAGCTTTTTCCTTATTGAACTTCCCGCCAGAAAACACTCGGTCGCAATAAACCAAGAAAAAGCCCATTTGTATCCCCTGTATCCATTCTCAAGACACCAGTATCCCGGAGATAACAAAAAGGGTAATGGCAATCTAACAAGACGGCTAAATAAAAGCTGGAAAGGAGAAACATGATCACATCATATACTAGCAACGTAACACATTCTCTCACAGCGGGCCCTGGCTGCGACCGCTATTGCCTGACTGCGAGGACATCGGTGTGAAGCCAGGTACCGAGGATGTATTGCTTTCAGGCGAAGGCCCGGGTGGTGAAAAGATATTGGGAAGACGTTGTGAAGAAGCGCCGTTCGGCATTGACGAGTTTCTGGTTGTCCCCAATGGGCTAGTCACGGGGGGTTGAGTCATGCCAACCCCTTGTGGCGTTGGTTGGCGCTGGGGGTCCATCATGGGCCAGAACTGATTTGAGGTGTCGAAAGTTGGGTTTTGGATATACGTATCCCACGCATCCTGTACACAAGCCGTTAGTTAATTAAGCTCAGTGATATAATCTACAATTTCACCTACCCAGTCGAGATTCACCTGCATGTCCGGCATCGTCCCGAACATGCTACTAAATGGCGACAATGGCCCAGGCATTTCAGCCGCAGGTGCCATGCCACTCGGTATCGGCGAGTCGCTCATCTTGAACAACGGGTCCGTGAACGGAGGCGGGCCCGGGTTCATCGGGCTCATGCCGCTACTAAGCAAACCCAGCGTCATAGCTGCGTTTTGCTTCTCGTCCTGCGGCTCGAACATAGCACCACCAGTGCCCTGGGTATTCTCAAGCCCAGGAACAGCGCTGTGAAGCTTCGTTAGCATGACGCCGAGCACGGAGCTCGCCTTGAACGCCTCCATGCTCTCGTCACGGAGCTGATCCCAGATCTCTTTCGAGCGCTGGATCGCCGCCATCATCTCGTCGCGTCGTTCGTGGCCCCAGGTGTACGTGTCGCCAGAGGGGCGGTTCGACGCCTGAAGCTGGTAGCTCTGGTAGAGGTCTAGGCAAACGATTGTAGCGGCTAAAAGGTAGTCGGCGGAGCTAAGAGAGGTGATGAAATAGCCACGGCCGCGAAAGCGTCCATTGCGCGTTTCTGCGTGCAGGATCGCCTGGAACTCGAGAATCTCGAGGGCCGAGTCAATGCAGGTGCGCCGAGAGTATGTGAACCGGGGGTTCTCCCGAGCGCGAATAAGATAAGGTCGGTGCAACACGCACTGTGCCTTGTGGTAGACAGTCATTACCTAGAAAAATGATCAGTACCGAATATACGGCGAATGTCAACAGATTCACTTACAGAGAAGCGTGACATGATGAGGTTGGTTGGGTCAAGCTGGCACTCTTCCAAGGGCCGAATATGCAAATGCTCCGGAATCAAATCCCGTCCCCTTCGCAGATCGGCATCAATCTCCATAACTTTGTCATACGAAGAGGATGAAACAGCCGAATAGTGCTCATTAACCCGACCAAAGGCCCATGAAAGGCGAGCCTTGGTGATCAAATAGGAAACGGGCGTCGGCTCGCTTAGTTGACGAGCTGGCGGCAGTTCTTTGCAATCTTCGTCAAAGTCATCGTCATACAAGTTTCGTGGAAGCTCGGTATCAGTGTCCGTGGTGCGAAGCATACTCGGCATGCCGACCTGGAATGAAAATAGGAGATCTGCCTGTCGCACAAAGGACCATACTCGACGCCGCATCTCACCCTGGAAAGGGGTGATGTTGGGGAACATCTTCGAGTCACGGTGATATCCCATGCGCATCGCCAGGCGGGCAATTACACCCGACAAAACCCAAACGGAGATATCTGCATCCCGGATTTGCGAAAAGTCACCGTGAAGATGGAACACAAGGGTTTCTATTAAGAAACGGTGTGGTTTTGTATAGTCTGCCAGTGTCAGACATTGCGCTACCGAGTTCCTGAATGATCCCGCCATATCCATCGCCTTGCCGTGGAACTCTGGAGGCTCGTCGCCTTCCCGGTGGTATGAGAGCATTGCTAGTCGCATCATGGCAAAAAGCATCGCAATCCAGACTAGCTCCGTTTGTGAGGGATCTTCCCAATGTTTGTTATACTGTGCTTGGAAGGTCGGCCCGTGGAGAATATGTGTTGCTGGGTCATAGCTATTGAAATAGCGGGCAACGAGGAGATCGGTTGTATACTTGGAGGGCAAGGTCGCCATGATCTCCGGTCGACTTAATGGCTTCATCGCGCCAAAGAGTAGCGTAGAGCCTCCGGGGTTGTCCGTTTCTGGCCGTGTGGCCTTCAACTTCTCCGCCTGATCCTCAAACTGCTTCTTATGCGTTGTGAAGAAATTTCGAACTTCGGAAATCTATGATAACTCTGATTAGCCGCAAAATTCTCGCTTTGAAGTGTTAACTACTGCGCGCATCAACTCACATCATTCAGTACTGACGCCCAGTGGGCTTCGCTAATGTAGTAGGACTTGCCGCTGTCCATCTTCATAACACCGAATGATTTCGTCACCTGTTCCGTGTCGCTCTCTTCGGGGTTACCCTCAGCATCATCTTCAATATCATCGATATCAATCTCGTTCGACAACCCCGTTGACCCAGCACTACTCTCCCCTGAGATCGCAGCCAGGGCAGCCGCTGGGCCAGCTGACTGGTTACCATTGGTCATCAATGACAATACCAATCCCTCCAATCGATCAATTCGATTTTGCATATCATCGGGCGAAGTTGGGGACGTCTGTTGTGGAGAGTTCTTCTTGCGGGTACTGGTCTGGGCGTAGTTGCAAGAGGCTGCATCGCCTCGTTTGACGCAGTTCTCGCAAGGATGGGCGCGGTTACATTTTAATCTGTAGGGCCACCGTTAACTCTGATCTCGATGAGCGAGCGTTTTCATTAAATTTTTCCCCTTCGTTTCATTTGGATTTTTTTTTCCGGTCCAGGCACTTACTTTCGATGGCGGCAGGGTGCACATGACAAAGGCACCCGGTTTCGCTTGCGAATGACCCGGAATTCGGGGGAATGGGCACCTGCGCTGGACGAGGTGGTAGATGGCGGTGTCGGTGTCATTTTGAGAAGGTGGGTCGAAGGTGGTTTCGGGCGGTGTTCGAGGGGCTCAAGCAGGTATCTCGATGTGGATTAGAACAGGCAGCGGGTGCGCGTATCTTTGTGACCCCGCTCCAGTTCAGCAAATCTTCCAATATCTTGGCCTCGGTGGACTTCCGTCGAGATGGCCTCGATTTGCAGCCCAGTCTCGAAATCCGCAGGATCGGGAAGGGTTATAGAATCCGTTTGTCTTCGAACGGTTCTCGTTCAGCCGTGCGCCGAGTTCACGGTCGGGGTCGAAATGGTTGGGTCGCGGTTCTTTCGCAAAGGAGTCGGGCGATAGCCCCCTGAGGACTCGCGTCGAAATTGTGTGGTTTGCGCCTCGTCAGCCCGAGCCTTGCGCCAAATCGTCCACGGCGCCTCGAAATAGTCAACGTCGTTTTCGGGACCAGACGTTGTCGGAGGGTAAAGGAAACGCTCCGGATGGTTGGGACAACTTCTGCTGTTTGCGCTGGGCCTCGAGGTGATGGAGTAAGCTTGGGACGGGTATAAGAGGGGTCGTGGAGAAATTAACCAGTCGCCTCGTGCAAATGAAGCAGTCTTGGGGGCCAAAGGCAGGTATTCCAGATGGGTCCTGCAGGCGTATACAGGTCGCGAGACCCCCTTCGAGTATGCGATGGATGAGGAGGAGAGAATTCAGGAGGGGACAGAGTTTCGGAGCACCCAGGTTTCCTTGGAGCCCGGAACGGTGATGATTAATCCGAAGCTATATCTCCGTTTTTTGGTGGCTTATCACCACCCACGATCGCCCGTTGATGATCTCACGGTTCCCTGGGTTCAGCCAATGCGTGGGTCGGGATGGGGCCACCGCCCAGACCTGGCTCTGGCAGTACTGGACCTAATGATCCTAATGATGTGGGCGATGCTGATGAGGATCGTGTTGCTGCTGCCTCGACGACTAGATTTTCAGGCCAATTTGGAAGATATCCAATGATAGCCCTCGATTCAATCCACTTGGGGACTATCCTCATCCCACGACCGGGCATCGCCGACACTAAAGGCACCTTGAATGCGTGTGTTTGGTGCCCACCGAGCAATATGATTGGCCATGGCCGAACAGACAGGGATGGAGTGAGTCACCTCCAAAAAGCCTAGACGTGGCTAGGGATAATTAGTAACCTAGTTAAGTGGTTAACTAGTTAACTAGTTACTGTAACCCATAGTTAGTTTGCTCGAGTGACTTATATCGTGGCTGATAACTAACTATAGCCTGACAGCCTAAGCCTACACTCAGTGGAGCCTAAGGCAGCAATGGCTTCCAGTCCTCGATATGTACTTTTGAACTGCCAGACAGACCAACGTTCGAACCAAAAAGATGACCAGTCCAAACTGAATTGTCCAGCTGCATGGAATCCAGCGTGGCACACCACATCTCCTTAGCCCCACTACGCTGGTAATTGATGGGTATGCCCCATACTCTTCATATGTACGTCACCAAGTATAGTGTACAAACATAAATCATCAAGAATCTACGCCTCTCTCCCCACTCCAAGTACTTTGAAAACTACCAGTCAGTCATGATCAAAATACAAATCCAGGAGAATCTCCCTTGAAACTGCTAATGGAATCTTCCAGCGTTTGTTTCTTTGTGTGTTGGCGACTAAGCCGGGGAACCTCCAAGGGCCCAGGACAAAGACGATACGATACATTCCGTCATCCCTAGTACTAAAATATTACAAGGGAGCTCACCAACAATCAACTTAACATCCCCTCCACTTCTCTTCTTTCACTCATCACAGCACATTACCCCTTCTTATCTCTCTCAGTTTCTGGTGTCAGCTATTATTCAATTCCTAATCCAGCTTTTCTTAACTTAATATCATGTCCGATCAACCCCGCGGCCGCGGCGGCGGTCGGGGTCGAGGCCCTCGTGGCGGAGACCGTGGGGACCGTGGAGGTGGTCGCGGGGGTCGTGGCCGAGGACGAGGCGATTTCCAAGATCTGCCGTTTCGCCCTTCTGGGGGTCGTGGCGACTTCCGGGGCGATTTCCGTGGTGGCCGTGGTGGCCGTGGTGGTGATCGTGGATTTGGTGATCGCGGTCGTGGAGATTTCCGGGGGCGTGGTCGAGGTGGCCGCGGTGGTGGTCCTCAGGGCCCTCGAATCTTCAAGTAAGTCATGCAGCTATTATAAAATCTTTACATCAATCTATCTTTACAACTCATGGGTAATCACTCTAACCTCATGAACCTCGTAGTGAAGGCAAGCCTATTACCCCGCCTGACACAACCGTCAGCAAGACGGAAGATAGCATGGCCAAGGCGCTTATTGCGAGTCGCCAGCAGAATGCAAAGAACCCTGCTCAAGCATATCCCGACCGGCCAGGATACGGCACTCTCGGCCGGCCGGTTACCCTCTATGCTAACTATTTACCATTCACCTCCGTGGGCAAGCCAATCCACCGCTATCATGTCTACATCGCTGCCGAGGGCGGCCGGGAGCCTGCTGGTAGAAAAGCACGACATATCGTGCGTCTCCTACTAGAGGAGCATTTTTCTGCAAACCTGAAGAGCATTGCAACCGACTACCGTTCAACTCTCATCTCTGTCAGCAAGCTCACTCAAGGCCCGTTTGATGTTCGCTACAAAGATGAGAGTGAGGAGGAATATGCCGAGAACCCCAAGGTGTTCAAGGTCACTATCCAACACACTGGTGACATCAACCCCACTGACTTGATTAATTACCTCACCTCCGCCAATGCGGGTGACATGTTGACCTCCAAGCCCGAGATCGTCCAGGCCCTGAACGTGATTCTCGGCCACCATCCCAAGACTGTGCGTTCGGTGGCTTCCATCGGCGGTAACAGACATTATAGCCTTGAAGAGGGCATGATGGAAAAGGCCAGTCTTGAGGGTGGTCTGGAAGTACTGCGCGGGTTCTTCGTTAGTGTACGGGCTGCCACAGCCCGTGTTCTTTTGAATGTCCAAGTTAAATACCTGGCCTGCTACAAATCAGGCCCCTTGGAATGGATGTTGAAAGAGTGGAAATATAGCAACTCCAACCAGAGCCTCTACAGACTGGAGGCTTTCCTGAAGCGTGTGCGGGTGAGTCTCACTCACATCAAGCGCAAGAGCAAGAGTGGCAAGGAAAGACCTGCTCGCGTCAAGACCATTTCTGGACTGGCAACTCCTCGCGATGGTGGTTCGTCACCCAACAAGCCCAAGGTGGACTTCTACGGAGCTGGCCCCCAGGCTGTCAGCTTCTTCATGGACGCCCCTGGATCGCAGTCAACATCGTCTAGCCCCGGGGAAGGCAAGGGAAAGAAGGGCAAGAAGAATCCTCCCAAGGCTGGTCCGCCTCCAGCTGGCCAGTATATCACTGTTGCTGATTTCTTTAAGAGAGGTGGGTTGCACTGATTACCAATGGCATTTATACTTGACCAATCACTGACCACGTCTCTAGAATACAATATCACTGTGGATCCTAGCCTTCCTGTTGTCAACGTCGGAACTCGAGAGAAGCCTGTCTACCTGCCTACGGATGTGTGCGAGGTCGAGGCTGGCCAACCTGTTAAAAACAAGCTCTCCCCTAGACAAACACAGAACATGCTCAACTTTGCTGTGAAGGACCGCATGCCAGCACAGAATGCCCAATCCATCGTCACGAAGGGTGTAGGTGTATTGGGAATCGGTCAGCCACTAAACTCCACCTTGGTAAGTGAATGAACTACCCTTCCTCTCCTTCTTACTTTCCTCACTTCCTCACCTCATCATTTCTCCACTTTCTGATCTCGACAACTTCGCATAATGAGGATTTCTGAGCTTAGCTGACCATACATTTCTTCTCTTATTTCTCTAGAGTTCATTCGGTATCAACCTTGGAGACAATCTCATTACTGTGCAGGGCCGTGTCCTGCCACCACCCCGCATTATGTACGCCAAGCAGAAAGAGCTACAGGCTAGATTCGGGATCTGGAACATGCAGGCCATTCAGTTCTCTAAGCCTGCTACTCTAAAGAACTGGACTTGGCTATTTATCGACGCCCCTAATAGCAGACATGGTCTCACTCCACCAGGGCTGGACCACGCACTAAATGAATTTGTCCAGACTCTCAGAGACATGGGTGTCGCAGCGGAGAAGCCCAAGCCAGGAGCGAGGATCGAATATAGCTGGAATGTCGACAATGCTCCGGCTATCGAAAAGGCCGTTCGTGGCCTGCAGGACAAACACAACCCACAACTCATCCTGGGTATCCTATTTTCGAAGGACTCCCAGGTCTACAACATTGTTAAGCAAGTCTGTGACGTACGCTGTGGGGTTCGAAACGTTAATGTGCAAGCCGAGAAGCTCAGAGACGCCAAAGTGCAATATTTGGCAAATGTCGGCCTGAAAATCAACCTCAAAATGGGTGGTGTCAACCAAACCCTTCGCACCTCGGACCTAGGCTTCTTCGCTGATGGCAAGACCATGCTCGTCGGCCTCGACGTCACCCACCCATCCCCCGGTTCCACTAGTTCAGCGCCCAGTGTGGTCGGCATCGTCGCCTCAATTGACGCACAACTCGCACAGTGGCCCGCAGATATCCGCATCCAGCCTGCGCGCCAGGAAATGGTGTCTGACCTAGACACGCTTCTCCAGAGCCGCATCAAAATCTGGGCAAACCACAACAAGGGCAAATTCCCAGAGAACATCGTCATCTACCGTGACGGCGTGTCAGAGGGCCAATACGACACAGTCATCGAGAAGGAACTCCCGCTCCTCAAAAAAGCCTGCCAGACCATCTACCCAGCCTCCGACACAAAGAAGGGCCTCCCGCGCATGGCCATCGTCGTCGTCGGAAAACGCCACAACACCCGTTTCTACCCAACAAACGACACCGAAGCCGAACGCTCCGCCAACCCCCAACCCGGCACCGTCGTTGACCGCGGCATCTCCGAATCCCGCCACTGGGACTTCTACCTGCAAGCGCACTCCGCACTGCAAGGCACCGCCCGTCCCGCACACTACTTCACCGTCTGGGACGAGATCTTCTACCCGCTCCACCCAGGCGTGGGACCCGGCATCGGCGCCGCCGATAAACTGCAGGACCTTACACACAAGATGTGCTACCTCTTCGGCCGAGCCACCAAAGCCGTCAGCGTGTGTCCACCGGCTTACTACGCCGATCTTGTCTGCACTCGTGCGCGCTGCTACATGAGCGACTTGTTCGACCCTACGCCCTCTGCGACTCCGGCGGGTAGTGTCGTCGGTGGAGATGCCGGTGAGCGTGTACCCGAGGCTAGCCAGGCTACCGTTCATGCCAGCATTAGGGATACCATGTTCTACATTTAAGTGAAATAGTCCAACCATTGGGCGGGCGGTTGGATTACCTTGGTTTGTTTTGAGAATTTGGTTATTATTGGGTGTTGGGACGCCTGTTGCGCCTTGGGTTTCAATTGGGTGCAGCCTCGTTGCTCTTGGAAGGTTTTGGTTTCTTTCGCTTCATTTGGCAGCTTGGGGTACCACGATCTTCGGTTTTTGGATGCTGTTGTTCATGCGGCTTCAGATGCCGCTATTCTTGTTCTTTTGGACTCTTGGCCTTTGGACGTTTTAGGTTCATTCTGAGTATGCAGCAATTGGGTATGTAGTTGAGTCTCTTGTCAGGTTTTACCATCCAGCATAGAACTTGAAACTTGATGCTTAGTCCAGAAATTCCGCTCTTTCCATCAACAATTATCAGTCTTTGGTCTACGCCCCGTACTCTATTTCATGCTTGCTCCTAGGCGCCGCTTCTTTCTAGATTAGCTAGGATATCTCGACCTAGTGCTTGAAATGTACCCGAAAGCTCATAGTAATACAATTTTAGTACTAAAACCAGATTGATGCTACCTTGACTCCACAAAAGAGATATTGAAGTTGTTTAGTTAAGTTATAGATAAATAATCTAAGACGATGAACTAGGGAATTACCCACTACTAGGGGGCATAAATAGAAATAGCAGGGCTAGTCTTTACCTAGTTTGTCAACCTTATGTCAAAGATCTCTTCGTGTTTAGGATCCTCTTTCTCCTCTTTTCCTTCTCTGGCTGGGTTTAGTACTATCGTTAAAATACACAAATTGATTTCAATATCTTTCTGGAGTGTCATAGAATCTTAATTCCAGGACAATCGAGTACACACAAAATTGCCTAGATATATATATGATATCCTGGTCGATACGACACCATAACGCGAGGTAACGGTAAATTAGCCGCCAAAAAAGACTACTCTTGACGCCATTTTGAGCGTCCTTCCATTTTACCAGAATCTTACTCATCAAGTTCACACGTGATATATTTCGGCCTACTAATTCCATATGCTCTCTGGGCTGCCGCCGCTTTTACGAGGGCGCTTATCCGCGTCTTTCTGCCCACCCACCGCTTCCGCTTGTGGGTGCGCCCTAAATCCCCGTCACTTTGTATTTTGTACAGCCTCACCATACAAAAGGTACGTACGTCATAGTTTACATTTACTCGAATATCTCAATAACCACTGATTGTTTCCCTCTTATTTCTAGTGATATAGATAGTTAACTATTTATTTTAGTATCTACTACTATCTACTATTTATTTTATACCCTAAAAGGTAGACTAATTACTAGAGTAAAAGTTATAAACTATCCTAAAAAAATAAGTAGATTTAGTACTTAATTACTATATTATTATATACAATCTAGCCCCCTTTTAATAAAATCCTAAGATATTCGAGTAAATGTAAAACTAGGAGGTACGTACCTTCGGTATGGTGAGGCCATACAAGATACAAAGTGATGAGGATTTCGGATGAGAGGGATTTAGGGCGCACCCAAACCGGGAACCAGTTTGGGTGCGCAGAAAGGCACAGATAAAGTCAGACTCACGTCAGACTCACTGAGTAAATGTCAGTGCGGACTTAGGTCGAGTCTCGAGGCTCAATCCTGTTGCTGTCCCCTGAGCCCCGCACGTCTGGGCGTGGGATAAACTTGGACCTGGTCCCCCTTTCCAGGCCAAGACTCGTACCACAAAGGTTGTTCTTCCACCATTCCCAGCCCACTCGTCGCACGAAGCACAGGTGCCGTTAACATCTTCGCTACTTACTTCCTGATTGAGTTTTTTTGCGCTGTCATTCACCTCCCTTCTATTAATCCAAAATATCAGTTGAAATTGCGTTAAACAGACTATACGCAATGGTGGGCGTGCCAAGGAGTAACGGCTGCCTAGCATGTATCAAACGGCGGATCAAGGTAAATACGTCTTCGGCGACACAAACACAATGTAGTCTACTGATAAGCATAAAACAGTGTGATCAATCGCGCCCAGGGTGCCAGCGCTGCCGAAAAAAGGGCATTCCTTGCCCTGGATATACCAGGGATCTGGAATTTCGTTTTTATCCCCACAATCCTCGCACCGGCCAAGCTAGACCAGGAATTAAACGATCTCCTGACTCGAACCCATTGATGTTCGCTGTTGAGAACTCAATCGATGGAACCGTGGTGCCAAGCTTAGCCGGCAAGGCTATAGCACATGGCTACCGCGAGGCTCTTTGTGGTTTTATAGAAGTCAATTTTTCGGGCCAGTTCTACGCCTACAGCAACCGCATCGATATAAATTGGTTCGACGTGGTTCGTGACTACCAGGAAACGACTGGAACGGCACTCGATTGGAGTATACGTAGTCTTGGTGCTCTACATATTGGCCGCTCACAAGACAATACCCAAGTGGGCCTTATTGGCCGAGAGATGTACGGCCGGGCACTAAGTCACCTAATACGAAGCCTGAACAACCCGGCTCTGGCTACCACAGATGATACTCTTGGTGCCGCTATCCTCTTAGGGGTATTTGAAATGGTTTGCTCGAGCGGTCAGAAGTCATGGATGATCCATTCCCGTGGCATTTCGTACCTTTTTCAGGCACGCGGAGCTCAGGCTCATGCTCACGGTCTCGGTCGGACCTTTTTCTTGTCCTTTCGAGGTTTTCTCGTATACGATGCGCTGATCCGCGGTGAACGGTGTTTCTTAGAAGACAAGGAGTGGAAGTCGATCATCCCGGACATGATTAACGAGGACAGGCGACGTGGAAAAGCTAGTCGGCTGGGTGAGCTGATTGAATTCTCATTTCATGAAGTAGCTCGCTGTCCAGGCTTCCTCGCGGCAACACGGACTCTAGTCGGATCTGCACAAAGAGCAGATACTGAGAGAGAATGCCTCATTGCTTCAATTTCTGATTGTCAAAGGACTCTGCTCGAGTATCACTACGAAGGAATCGCTGCCATGAAAGCCAGTCAGCAACCCAACAGTAATGAGGGCTGGCATTTCTTTGGGCCAATTCCCAATCGGGTTCAAGTTTCACTTGGAGAATTCACCTTGAAAGGAATGAGTTCAGCTATTGCTCTACTCCAGCAACTACTTGTGATCTTGAGCTCCGACGGTTTACGCAGAGGGACTTCGGCATTTGGTTCAGGCAATCAACAGTGTCAAATTCAATGGGAAAATGTCAGCTATCCGTTGACGATCAAATCGAACAAAACAGAGAGTTCCTCTGACAAGGTCTCCATTTCCAAGGAAGATAATGGAACCCCGTATACATGGTTTGATCAGGTCTCTATGATGATGGGCATGGTAATGAACGAATAACAATTGCAATCTGTCCTTCGAGGTTGCCTGGTCCGAAGCAATATTAAAGGTTGTGGTACAGCCTCCCTACTATTTGAAAATACGCGAAAACATCATACAACGTCCTTTTCAAAGAGTATATTTCAGCACACTTTCAGAATTAAGTCACGCTCGGCATTCCACGCGTGGTCCCTTTTGAGAATGGCGGTCACTCTGCAGGACCTCACTGTTTCAGATGTGTCTGGTATGATTGTGGTATGGCATTCGGTAAACTTCTCGCACTGTAGAAGGACGAACGCAAGCTGAGAAGGACAAGGTCGGGGTGAGGCCACAACAACAAGCTCTGGCCATTGACACACACAAGCGCGTTAGGGGCCATGAGCTGTGGGCGCTTGGTTGCAGAACCCTCTACCTGACTGGACAACGTGATTGGGGGTAGACAATGCAAAGAAACTGCCTCCCACGTTGTCCAGCAATATTATGAGCCTGCAGGTGCTTATCCCAGAATTCGAGGGTTAGGCGAATAGTGAGCCAGGTCGATTGACGACCCGAGGGGCTTTGATCGGGTAATGATGCATGAGAGTTTAGCCGAGAGGTCCTCGCAGAGGACTCTCGCAGACCAGCGGCAGGTTACCTGTCTGGCAGATTACTCGACCCTAGAGGATAAAGAGTGCCTCGGAACACTTATCGAACCTGTGCGCGTCATGATTCTTGAGAGAATTGGATAGCTATTCGATGCACGTTTTTAAACCCATTTCTAAACAATTCAATATAGTCCTTATTGAAGTTGTTTAGTTATGTTATAGATGAATAATCTAAGGCGACGAACTAGGAAATTGCCCTTTACTAAGGGCGCAAATGGAAAAATCCGTGCTAGTCTTTATCTGGTTCGTCTACCTCATATTAAAGGTCTCTTCGTGTTTAGAATTCTCCTTCTCCTCTTTTTCTTCTATAGCTAGGGAGAGGACTATCGTTGAAATACATAATTTGATTTTAATATCTTTCTAGCGTGTCACGGAATCTTAATTCTAGGACAATCGAGTACACTTGAAATTGCCTAGATATATGATATTTTGGTCGATACTACGATATAATCCTCTTGACCTTAGCCTTATATGTGTGGTGAGGACTCCAGTGACAAGTCCGTAATTCACAGCCCTATCCATCTCGGTATCAGAGTCAAGGCGACTCGCTTTTGAAACGAGAAAACCCCCGTGGGCAGAACGTGGATATTTCTCCTTGCCCTTGTAGCACTTTTCCAGATACATTCTGGCTTTGTGTTCTCCCTCTTGGAGCGCATTGGCCTTCTTTCTCCTTTGATGGCCTCGGCGGTCTGGACACCCATCTCATCTCCTGTGTAACCTTCCATCATCCTCGCCTACCATCAACCCTTTTTGGTCACCACTATCGACTCATATTTACGTGTCATCCCCCAATATCCTGTTCAGACACCCTATCTCCGGACTCGGTGAGCATCGCTGACATCATGGAAACGGCTTCCTCTCTCACACTCCTATTTCTGACAGAAAAGAGATCCCATGCACGCGTACAACATGGCGTCCAACGTATCATTCCTCGATCTACCTGGAGAAATAAGGAACATGGTTTATCGACACGCTCTGATTAATGAGGAGCTGATTCGACCTCATCAAAAATATTCCAACCTAGCCCTCGGACTCATTCGAGCCAGCAGTGTCATCTCGCGAGAGGCTGGATCTATCGTCTACCGTGAAGCCATAGCAGAGGTGTGGACGAATATGATAGTGTTGATTTGATAGATTTTATCTAGGAAGCATACCAGTGTATTCAAGAGAACCCAGAATTCGTAACAAATATGGTCACAATTGGGTAGTGTGTGTTGGATAATAGAGAATCCTAGTTAGAGTATTGAGTACGCTCTCATCATGGTCGCAGAACTGAAGATTCCTGTTCTTCACGATGACGTGAATCTTGATATCCTGATCTTCTATATAGGTTGAGCCTCTACACAGCATCTAAAGAGTCCGAAACTGGCAGCATTCTTCCTCTCCATACGAGGGCAAGTGTAGACCACAAACGTTGTATATCTAGATAACCTTCATGCTTACTCTCGTGCCTTTGGATACTTTTCCCCTTCTTGTTTGTCTACGAGATATAGGCATCAAACACCTCTCTCCTCGCTCGCCCAATATCGATATCAACAATCTTTCTCTCCTCTCCATCTCTAACCATCTTCCTATCACCATCACTACTTCGCTGACAGTCATTCCACAAGCATCAACAACACCCATCAAAACCCCCACTCCTCACACACTCTCATCATCAAAGACTATCCAATTTCCTCAAGTCATCACCATCATCATCACCATGCCACCCCGCCTATCCATCCTCGACCTCCCAGGCGAAGTCCGCAACATAATTTACCGGCACGTCCTCCTCAGCGCAAACCCCATCATCCCGGACCTCCCCATAACAGGACTCCCCTCCAACTTCTTCCGCACAAACAAACAAATCTACCACGAAAGCCGCTCAATCTACTACAGCCAAAACTGCTTCGACCTCCTCAGCCTCCGCCCCGAGGCGCCACTCTCCTTCCTCACGCGAATCGGCCCGCAAAACGCATCCTGGATCGAGAACCTCATGGTCCCATTCCCCTCTTTCCTCCAACAGGGAGAGGGGGAAGGGGAAGAGGTCACGATTGACAGTGCCAGCGCTCAGATCCTAGATAAAGTGCAGAGTGCTTGTCCGAGGTTGAAGACGCTCGCCCTGTGTCCGGGGATCGGTTTTCGGACTGCGGAGGAAGATCCTGATGCGGAGTTTATTTGTCAGGGAGATCATCATGTGAAGATGATGGAGATGGTTGCTTCTCGGGTTCGAATGATTTCGACCGAGTTGGAGGTTGAGTTTAGACTTTATTTGAGTTGTGACTGTGTGACGCAGGGGGACTTCAAGGCTTTGCTTGATGAGTATGGGTGGAAGGTCAACATTATTGGGGAGAAGTTTTCTCATGAGAGTGATCAGTACCTTGAGAGTGATTCTGAGGATGGTCCTGATTATGATGATGATGAATACAACATTGAGAATAACAGCGACTATTAGAGCGTTGGTTTGAAGAACCCGCGTCGAACGACAGGTCGTCGGGTTCGCGGGTTGATCAGGTAAGAGGAACGGACAATTGGACTCGGTTTTGAGAATGTCCGAGTCTATCAATCTTACATAGTTCTAACTCAAAAGGACATGATCAAGTCAAAGAATCCAATCAAATAACAATCCTAACACTGGGAATAATAAATCTTGTACAAAACAGCAAGACAAAATAGCACAACATATTGAGATACTCAAAAAGAAAGTAGAAAGTCGCACATCCAGTGCAACAGACAGAAGGAGGGAAAAAATAGTCACAAGAATGGCAAGGTACTTCAAGCTTGAAGCACACTGTGATATGGTGATAATGCCCCCCGGGGGAAAATTGGAAAAAAAATCAGAAGACTCTTCATCTTTGTCTACGCAAACCGAACTTCATATCGTCCGTCCTCTGGCCTGTCTGTCCTTCGCAGGTTGTTTTTATGTTGTGGGTATCGGTACACATCACTCGTGATCGGGGGTGGTTTCGGGGGGAAACATTAGTCTCATGTGGCCATCGACGGCATAGCCATTGCAGAAAATTAAAAGGTATGGTTTCAATAGAGCAGGGTAGCTCAAAGTTCACCGTCGTATCTCAACAAGAGATAATTCAGTGTCAGTCTGCGTCTGCAGGCCTTTACTCATAATCACCCATAGTCCAAGAAGGCTGATTGTGACGCTTAGGATTGTGCAGAGACGTAGCAGTGCGAGTTGGTTCGGGGGACTGGTCGTAGTTATCCCACGAAGACTCCATCATTTGAACGGCCTTAGCACGGTCCATAGCGATAGGCTTCGGGGTATTGCGGCTAGTAGGCACGGGCGAGACATCCATCATCTCCCAGTGAGGGTCGAAAGCCTGGCTGCGGCTGGCGTTGTTGGCAGTCACGCCAAGGGATTCCGGCTTCTTCTTGTCTTCTTCGGTGGCTTTGGGGGTACCATCCTCGTTAAAGAGTCGGTTCTCGTACAGGCCCTTGCCCCGGTTCCCAAAGGAACTGATAACCCGGCGATCATCCTCCTCCTCGCTGTCGTCCGTCATATCAAAGTGCACATCCGCATCGCGACGGGGCTTGTGCACGGCTGGACGGGCAGGAGGCGACTCCGTCTCCGCGTTATCATCGCTATATCCGAATCCACGAGCCTCCTCAGCCTGGGTATTCGCGGGCTTTCGAGGAGTGGTGTAATCGCCAAAGTCCCACTGCGACTGGTGGCGCGCCTTGCCGGACTTGGGCTCGTACTTCACCTCCAGATCAGCGTTGTCGGCGCCAATCTCGAAGTGGTTAAACTTCAATGGGTGGGTCTTGTAAGGGGCGCGGTCGTCTGTAGCCGCGTCGTCGTCTGTAAAGATGCGGTTGCCCTGGAATTTGGAGCCACCCTTGGGCGCAATCACTTTCTCGGCTTTGGAGGGTGTGCCGGGCATCTCGTCATCGTCTCCAACGAAAAGCTCGCCGTACTGACGGGGCAGAGGCTGGGCCGCTGAAGGCGCATATGGGCGGGGAGCAGCGGTGTCATCCTTGCTCGGCGACAACAGCTCGGTCAAGGAGGCTGCCCCATAAGGGTCGCGGGTATGTCTCTTGCCAGGAGATGAAGGTCTGAGGGCCTCGTCGCGCTCTGTTGCGTCCGCGCCCTTCTGAGGAGAAAGGAGATCAAACAGCGAGTCTGCGGCATAAGGATCCTTAATATGTCGCTTGCCTGGCGAGGCAGGTCGGACGGGGAGGTCATTGTTGCCTTCGGCGGACGGGGCGAGGACTGGCACAGCGGATTTCCTTTCGATCGCTGACTTCAGCAGACGAACCTGTTCTTGGGCCGGGCGAATTGGCCAGGAACGGCCACGCGCTCCAATTACCTCCACCTCCTTCAGCAGCGAGCCCTGATCCCAGTAGATACGGACCTGTTGGATTTGTTGTTCGGCATTGAAGTGGACGATGTGGACCTGCAGGGGCAAGGGACGTGCATTAGATCTCCGGGAAACGTTATGCGCCGTGCAACATGCAACAAGATCGGGGTGTTTACCGTGGGGAAGGTGACGACGCGGTCGACCAGGAAATTATCCTCGAGCGAGGGCAGATACGCGCCACCACCCTCGAGGAACTCCAGGGTGGTCTCCATATCCAAGCACAACGCGTCCGAGCCTTCAATGGCATTGATCACCTGCTCAGACTTCTTCCTGACAACGGCTGCTTGTCGTGACGTATGGGTTGCGATCGCGTCGGCGCCCTCGATGTTGGTGGTAGTGGGGACATAGATCAGCGAGGCATTGGCAGCCAACGGCGCGTTCCTGGGGTTCGCCAGGAACCGCTGATAGCTGTCCTTGAGGTAAGTCATGGTAGGCCCGGGAGGTTGTTCAAGACAGTCCGCAAGGGAATGAAATGCAGGCAGTTCGATGACAATGATACAACGGGGACAACGGGGGGGGAGAGAGGACGGGAAGATATCAGGGGGTGGGAAATAATGAGCCAGGCCGAGGGGAAGCTACGGAGGGGAAAGAGAGAAAGCAGGTGGGACTGGATGACAGTCAAGACTACCCAAGAAGATCCTCAGGAACGACTGGAAACGTTCAAGGAGCATCGGACGAACTGGCTCAGCCCGTCCATACGTGTCTGGAAGTCCTGGACCGAACGTGCAAAGGCACCAGCCTGGAGTCTGCAGCTACGCGACGAGGATACTCTCAAGGTACTGGGTACCACGGACAAGTATAGGTATGACTATAATAAGCAGGGTATCCGGTACTTGGACCTCCTTCTGCAAAAGGTAAATAAAAACCGAAATCAACCACGCGAACCAGGAGGGACTCTGGAAAACGCGCCAGTGTTTCACCAGTGGCCGGGAGAGCCCCAGTTTTGCACGGTGGCAGAGCCACGGTTGAGCCCCCTCCCCCCTTCACTCCGTCTCTCAGGCAACTTCTGAATGTCTTGGTTCAAGCCAAAATTAGAGTTCATAGCCAGCTATGCGGAGCTTCGACAGACATAATAACTACTGGATGTGCTGTATCGAGTGCAACCACTACCTAGTTGAGTTGGCTGGTTGGTTTACTCCGTGCATAGCTATCAATCCCAGATTCAATATGCGTGGTATATGGTACATAGCTCAAGCTAGTCTCGGGGAATATCTCCCAGGCCTAGGGCAAATGGGCCTCGGCGATCATCTGCTGCTCAGCGGGCCCTGACCAGCACCGGTCTAGCCCCTCTTCCCCCCCCCCCAACGTAATCCTGTAATATCAAAAGACAACAATGGGGGGAAATAGCGGAAATGAGACTGTGGATAAACATGGGAATGCAATGCATCAGCCCAGGAAAGGGGGGACTATCTATGGGCGAGTTCCTGGCTTCATCGATCTCGCGCTCGCCGTGATAAAGTATGGTTGCACGAGCATAAGCTTCAATCGTCACCGCGTTATCCGTGTAGACTCCCTGGGGGATCCATTCGACAAACTTCTTTTTTCTTGGTGGATATCTTCTTCATCACGAGAAGAAAGGTCTGAACATTCGGCCATTGACAGAGATAGACTGAATGGAATACAATATCATGATAAGAGGAAAAGAGGAGGAATTGGGTATGTTGCGGCTCGTTTCTCATTACAGGGGTCTAGGTAGAACACAACGATTAGTTACCCAACGGTAGAAGTTGTGAAAATAGCAGAGGTACTCACCCAAGGTAATCCTCCTTGATCGTGCCAATGGCGTTGATCGCCGCCACGTCTGGCTTAACACCGAGGATCTTCAGGCGCAGACTCGTCCCTTTCTCAATCACTTGGTCGGCATGGTCGGTGTACTGTGGTGGCACAGTATTTGGTTCCCACTTGATATCGGAGGGGATGTTCTGGTTCGTATGTCAGCAGCGTGCCTCGACGAGTTGGAACCCGGGTAAGCCCATACTTTTCGCGCAATGAATACAGATAGTGGCCCGGCCAGCGTGAAGATACCGGTAGGCTTGACAGAGGTGACAATGGCATCGACCTAAAGAGAGCCAATCCGTCAGTAATTGCTCCAGAAGAGAAGCACTCAGTGGATGTTCCCGAGATACGTACCGTCTCGCCTCGGAACGGCTTCCAGATAATCGCACGGTACTTGATTGTGTACTCCGCACTTCCACTCGACGGGACAACTCGGCCCTCGCCAATATCAACCATGTCCATCACGCAGATCACAAAGTGGTCACCCGTGCATCGGCCCTCTTCCTCCTCGTTCAGGCGGGCGATCAAAAATTCGCGCATGTTGGGTCCAAAGTAGGACGGGTGCATGGTGATGACCTTGGTCTCTTCCTTGAGGAAGAACATCTTTGCGGTTGTCAGAAGCTTGGGCGACGCTTGGACAGAGGACGGGGGCGTGGTTGCGGAAAAGAATCTCCCAATCCTTCGACTTTGACCCTCCCTGTGGTCGCTTCGACAATCGAGATCGTAGGGCGGAGGTTGCTTTCTCGTAAAGCAGTGGGTTGCGGAGGAGAGGTCAGAGGTAGGTTTCCACCGCTGCTAGCTCATGACCCGTGGACGAGGCGAAACAGGGGGGAAATATCGCGCCAAATGAGCGTGGAAGATTGTCAGAAGCAATTGTGATCTCCGCCTGGGTAGGAAAGGCAGATACACAGATGCTACCAGCGCGACGTCGGAGCTTGCCTGAGAATCTCGGCTGGTCCCTCATGTGGTTCCAAGTTGATGGATGAGATAGTCACGTGACACATGCCCCGGCTTTGATAGACTCGAGTTCTCGGAGGCATAACCTTAGACAACGGGAGCGGACTACCTAGTGGATGAATTCTGGGTCGCAGGAATATATTCTCTTTCATTTTGAGCTTTGATGACGTTAGAATGCTGTTAAGTGCCCGAAAATTGTCGAACCTTTAGCAATATATATCTTCCTGACCTCGACGTTACTCGGGGTCAATTTCAAGAGCTTTGGGTGTCATAAACTTGCCCTTGAACAAAGCGTCCCTCTTTCTTTTTGATAAAACATTGGAAAAAGGTATCCAGCCTCCAGCTATGGAATCTTCAATAGCTAAGGTAGGTAGCCGATGACCCTGGTCATATCAGGAAAAGCCTGCCCTGAGTTTAATCTCGTCCCGACAGCCCCGACACTGCCCTTCCCATGCGGAGGCCACGGCATATCTCAGGTCAGAATATAGGTGTATAACTGACGTGTTCAGTGGAACTGTCAACCAAGTAGTTAAGCGTTGCATGATGACTATATGACAGGTTATGCCGGTGAATCAAAGCCATCAAGTCGCTGATCTCCAGTTGTGCCCCGCAGCCAATCCCCCGACTCGTCAAATCTCCTGGAGAAGCCTTCCTTTCGGGCCATGCATGAGGAACGGAAATCAGCCGCGATGCCGTAATAATAATATTGCAGTGTTCTTGTTCTTGGCTAGTCTGTCTTCTGCGCTCATTTTCCATGAAGAAGACTGCTGGCTTGGAAAACGCCCAGGAGAGTGAAAGGCTTCAGATGGTCTGGGCGATTGCACCATTTATATCATTCTAGGAAGATGCAAGTTCATTGTTCAGATCAGAAATTCAAACTTAATCTGACGCCGTGTTTCAATCCTCTTCAATGACCGGCCAATTGACTGATCCACACGAAATGGCCCTCCATCCATCGGACTCATCGTAATCGATAGTCTTGCTTACTCTCACCTCTTCGCGAGAGACTTTCAAGAATACCTCTCACTTCGGGAAATAGTCTCCCATAGAACAGATATTCCGAGAACGTAGAAATAAGCCTGCATGGTAGCCCCTATGCATGTTCCAACCACGTGTTTGGGACCATAAGATCGCGATCCTTGTATGTAGAGTACAACCGCCGGAGGAAGGCCGCAAAGTATTCTTACCCAATGGACATGGCAATGCGGCTTAAATCAAATCTGGCAGGAGTGAGGACAAAGCTCGCAATGTGCCACCGTGTCAAAGCTCTCGGTTGGCTTTTATTTATGCACGAGGTCGAGTTGTCTACGCCCGTGAATGGTTCATTACTCTGTGACCCCAGGTGGGGTCCCGATATCATCATGCAAGCAGCACCAGCACCAATGTAAATAACAAAAAGAGGCGGAGGGTCCGAAAGCACTACCTAGTCTTTCCCTTCGCGACTCGAGTCCTGGTTAGACTCTCAAAAGGCTTAGCCAATAGAACTCTATGTCTTTCATCCCTTGATTCATGATTCAAAAAAGCCGGCTTGCCCGGTTTGCTTAAATCCCAAGGTTCAGTTTTGCGGAATTCGCAACTCGCTACTGCTTGTTTGACACAGTGTCTTGGCAGTCGAAGCAGTCACGATATTTGCTACAACGTCCCCGTTTCTCGTGAGCCAGTATGCTGCCGAGATTTTCTCTGTCTGTGGTGTACTGCTCTATGTCATCTATCAATGCTTCTTCTCGCCACTAGCGAAGTATCCGGGGCCTTTCTGGGCTAAAATGACGAAGCTATATCGTGCCTATCTGTCGCTTCGAAGAATAAATTCCACAAGCCGGCGGCCTATAACGTTGTACAAGGTACTCGTTCATTTGACCTCGTTGGCCAGCGCAATGCAAAGATCCACTCCGAACAGCGGAAGCTCGTGGCTCGAGCTTATTCCATGGACTCCATGGTTTACCTCGAACCTAAAGTTGATCTCGTGATCTCGGAAATGGTCGAGCAGCTTGACAAGGTCAATGGCCAGACTATTGACTTGGGACTCTGGTTGCAGCTTTATGCGTTTAGTACGTGGGTCATGCCTGTCTCACACATTCAGAATGGGGCTAAAATAACGCAGACATTATTGGTGCCATAAGCTTTTCAAAGCCATTCGGATATATCGAAGTTGCAGACGATCATGGCTTGTTCCTGCGAATCACAAACTCCATGTCATCTATAGCATGGCTCATACATGCTGGGTGGATCTTCCGCCTGCACCAAAGGCTAAGCCCTCTGATTAGAAACTGGCTCGCAGCAGCGGATCGAAATGGTCATTTCTTCAAACTTGCTGCACAGGAGATTAGCGCTCGCAAGGAACGCGGTGGCGATAGCAAGGATATTCTAGGCCAGCTTTTTAGAACTCAAAAGGCCAAGCCCCAATTAACTGGCCAGGACATTGCATTCATAATGAGATTGAACGTCTTTGGTGGATCAGATACCACGGCGACATCACTCTGTGCGGCATTCCTGCTGCTTCGGAAGAACCCAGGTGCCTATGACCGCCTGATGGATGAGTTCAAAGAGAAGAGAGCGCAAGGAAAATTGAGCGATCCAGTTACTTTTAAAGAAGCAGAGTCTTGCGAGTACCTCCAGGACGTGATGTACGGGTCGATGCGCCTTCACCCGTCGTTTGGAATGATCATGGACGGAGACGTTCCGGCCGGGGGAATGCATATTGGCAAGAATCATATTCCAGAGGGAGTAAGTAATTCCCAGAACTTAAATAATGTTTGCAAAACCTGACCTTCCAAGACGGTTGTTGGAACTACCCCATGGGTGATCGATACTCTTCCTGAGATATGGGCCCCGACGCCGAAGAGTTTCGTCTAGAGAGGTGGCTCAACCAGGAGCAGCAGAGCTATTTCAATATGTACCATCCGAACCAATATGCTGGGCACCGTCCATCTGAAGTACTGACTGGTATTACCAGAGCGGTTCTTCTTCAACTTCGGAGGCGGATCTCGAACCTGTCTCGGGAAGAGGGAGTACTATACAAGCAGAACCATCCATACGTTATAGACTGACATGCAAGCAGATATTAGCTGGGTTGAAATGTCCAAGGTAAGGCACTATCAAATTGAATTTTGAATGCTAGAAAATTCTCGTGATTAGTTGATATTACACAGCTCATCCCAACGCTCCTCATGCGCTACAAACCTAAACCCGTGGATGTAATGAAGGTCGTTGAAAATTGCGGGCAAGTTGGAATAACACCCTCTCAATATTGAAGCCGACTTATATGGTCTAGTGCTTTGGTACTCCTGGAAGGAGTGGAGGTTCAAGTGACAAAACAAATGACCTAGAAGAGGAGTATGAGGGCCCATGGATGATACCCGAATTCTCACACTTCATTGTACATGCCCTTTGGGGTTCTAATTGCCTTTTTGTATCTTGAACGCTGGCTAGACACATGCTCTAAGTCGTTTGATGGGTATCGTCATGATGGATTCTCTGAACCTCTTTTGAGCGCAACCGAAGGGGGACGGGGAATCCTAGTGACATTGTGTTCTGGACATATGTACTTATTATCAGCATATTTTAAGTTCACAGGCTGCCAAGGACTCTGTTTCTCCATTTTGATCGTAGCTTGTGAGAGATGGATTACATTCGAAAGCGGATGTCTAACGGTCGTCACAAAATACGTAATATTACAAGAATACACACTCCGAATTTCACGACATACCGTATGTAAACACTCCGGGCGGTCCCTCGGCCCAAGCACATGCCTCTGTGATTGCACCACTTGGCGCGTCCGAATAACTAAGATTGGGTCTTGCTAAGTAGTCCTGTGACGTTCTTCCCCAACATTCATCCCTCCAGCATCCGTCGACCACCGGCCAGCACTTCAAAAATGGCGCTGAACCTCGAGAAACAGCTGCTCTTCGTGAGTTCCCGGCCTCGCCCGGCGGAGTTGATTACCATGGGACCATGACTGACTTTCCGCAGTATGGAGCATATCACAATAACCCCGTACAGTGACCCCTCCTTGTACAACTGGGATGGCCCAGCATTAGCTGATGAGAATCAATAGGTGAACGTTGCCATTCACATTACTTGCGTGCCTATTTTGCTCTTTACGGGCATCATTCTGGTGAGTTTCTTTTCGCTATCCAGCCACACCTTCAACGCCAGCAAAGCTAACAATTAGCTCGGCTCAATAGGCCTGTAATTCCCCTTCTCTCCTTCCTACCCCGGACTTCCTCTCCTCCAACTACCTCCCTGCCAACGCCGGCACAATCGGAGCCTTCATCTACGCTTTCTTCTATGTTCTTCTCGAACCGGTCGCGGGCGGCCTGCTCGCTCCGTTGGTGATCGGCTCCGCAGCTTGCGGCAACTACCTCCTTGGAACCTACGGAATGGATGTGAACTACTGGGCCGGTGGCATCCACGTTGTCTCCTGGCTGGCGCAATTTGTCGGCCACGGCAAGTTTGAGGGCCGCGCTCCGGCGCTGCTGGATAACCTCGTCCAGGCCCTGTTGCTTGCGCCGCTGTTTGTCTGGATGGAGATCCTGTTCTTCTTTGGCTATCGGCCGGAACTCAAGGCGCGGATGGACAAGAACGTGGAGATTGAGATCGCTAAGTTTCGCAAGGAGCAGATGAGTAAGGCGGCGCAGTGAAGCATAGCTGGGATCTCGCTGGTTGGCGGATATGGCTCAGTTGGATGGATGATTTCGGGAATTCGTTCTTTCGGGTTGTTTGCTGGCTGGAGGAAGATTGATTTGTGATGGAAAATTTTGTCGAAGCAAGCGTTGAGTTGTGTTTTCTATTTCTTCTCGAGGTCTCGTATGATGGACTTGCTATGAGAGTAAATGAGTTTCTGCGGGGGTTGCACTGACCCTCGTCGGGTTGTGATGCCCAGAGCGCATCTGTTTGACCAGCCTCGGAACTGGTCGTTGCTGGGGCAGGACCCGACAGAAAGACGCCCTTGGAGTATTGATAATGCCTCCTCGGAGGATGATCCATGGAAAATGAATGGATCCAATGGAAGGAATCTTCATTTGGGAGATGTCTGTAGCTGTACAGAAGTATAAACTTCCCTCAATGCTCTGTACTGCGACAGGACAGCCATCACCTTATCCGCTCTCCTCATAAACTCACTAAATGTGGTTGCCGTGACGAAAGGCATTAGCTAAGCAAGTCAGCTGACTTGTGATCCCGCTGATCCGAAGAAGAGAAAAAACGGAAAGGGCTGGGCCGCTTCCAGCTCCCACCAAATCACCCACAACCCACAGCCCAACACGTACGGGGGTAAAGGGGGTGAATTTAGAGTCAAAATAGAGGTTGTAAATCTACAAGATCAATTCCATCAGATCTAGACACAAGGGAAAACAGACCACCCGTCTGAACAGGGCCGAAAAGAAGACACGGTGGTGAGGGTCCGCACTAGGGCCACATCGGAGCGTCCCCTGCCCCAAGCAGTTTAGCGCGAGTCCTGAGAATCCTGGCCTCCCACCCCCCGACAAAGCTCTCCCTTCCCACCCGTCCACAACCTTCTCTCTCCTCTCCGAACTCCTCTCCCCAATTACATCTCTCCTTCAGAGAATTCCATCCTCCCAACCTCTGAACCCTCCCTTTCACAATGTTCAGGAACGCTCTGCGGCAGTCCAGCCGCTCCGTCGCGGCCGTCTCGGCCACTGGCCGTGTCGCTTCGGTGAGTCCAATTCATCCTGGCCATCCTCCTGCTCGTCCATCGCCCATCTCGCCCGATCCGACCTTTTCCATCTCGAATTCGAGCTCGATTGGTCCTCGGATCTTATCCCTCCCCTTCACACACCCATTGAGGATGGCCTCATCCCACGTTGGCTCCAAGAGCACCCCGTTGACAAGTTTTTCTCGCTCCCGTTCCAGGTCCGCGCGGCTGTTCCCGGCCCCCTCGCCGGTGCCTCCAAGCAGGTCCGTTCCTACGCCGCCGAGGCCAAGGCCCAGCCCACCGAGGTCTCCTCCATCCTGGAGCAGCGCATCCGTGGTGTTCAGGAGGAGGCTGGTCTCGCTGAGACCGGTCGCGTTCTGTCCGTTGGGTACGTCAAAAGAAAAGATGTCGCTAGGGTTGCCCGGGGAGAGAAAAATTCGGTTACCCGATCCAATCTCAACAAACGCGCCCGCGACACCCTCCATTCGACAATGCAACGGTTTAGAAACTAATTGAGCTTCACAGTGACGGTATTGCCCGTGTCCACGGCATGACCAACGTCCAGGCTGAGGAGCTGGTTGAGTACGTGATATCTTGCCTCTACCCGAAAAAGTCTTGGCATTCGGGAAAACTAACAGGTTGCCTAGGTTCGCCTCCGGTGTTAAGGGTATGTGCATGAACCTCGAGGCCGGCCAGGTCGGTGTTGTGCTCTTCGGTTCCGACCGTCTCGTCAAGGAGGGTGAGACCGTCAAGCGTACTGGTGAGATTGTAAGTCACATACATCCTCATTCCCCCCCTTAGGAGGTCCAACTTTTGATATTGGTTCCTATCCTTCGCAACTCTCAACAATTATACTCATGCTGTCCACTAGGTTGATGTCCCCGTCGGCCCTGAGCTGCTCGGCCGTGTCGTCGACGCTCTCGGTAACCCCATTGACGGCAAGGGTCCCCTCAACGCCAAGGAGAAGCGCCGTGCCCAGCTCAAGGCCCCTGGTATCCTTCCCCGTCAGTCCGTCAACCAGCCCGTCCAGACTGGTATGAAGTGTGTCGACTCCATGGTGCCCATCGGCCGTGGTCAGCGTGAGTTGATCATTGGTGACCGTCAGACCGGTAAGACTGCCGTCGCTCTCGACACCATGCTCAACCAGAAGCGCTGGAACAACTCTGGCGACGAGTCCCAGAAGCTGTACTGTATCTACGTTGCCGTCGGTCAGAAGCGTTCCACCGTCGCCCAGCTCGTCAAGACTCTTGAGGAGCAGGATGCCATGAAGTACTCCATCGTCGTTGCTGCCACCGCCTCCGAGGCCGCTCCCCTGCAGTACCTCGCTCCCTTCACTGGCTGCGCCATGGGTGAGTGGTTCCGTGACAACGGCCGTCACTCCGTCATCATCTACGACGATCTGTCCAAGCAGGCTGTTGCCTACCGTCAGATGTCTCTGCTGCTCCGCCGTCCCCCCGGTCGTGAGGCTTACCCCGGTGACGTTTTCTACCTGCACTCCCGTCTCCTGGAGCGTGCCGCCAAGATGAACAACAAGACCCACGGCGGTGGTTCCCTGACTGCCCTGCCCATCATTGAGACCCAGGGTGGTGACGTGTCTGCCTACATTCCCACCAACGTCATTTCCATTACCGACGGCCAGATCTTCCTGGAGGCTGAGCTGTTCTACAAGGGTATCCGTCCCGCCATTAACGTCGGTCTGTCCGTCTCCCGTGTCGGTTCCGCTGCGCAGGTCAAGGCCATGAAGCAGGTCGCCGGTTCCCTGAAGCTCTTCCTTGCTCAGTACCGTGAGGTCGCTGCCTTCGCCCAGTTCGGTTCCGATCTCGATGCCTCCACCAAGCAGACCCTTGCCCGTGGTGAGCGTCTGACCGAGCTGCTCAAGCAGAAGCAGTACTCCCCCATGGCCGTCTCTGACATGGTTCCCCTGATCTTCGCCGGTGTCAACGGTCTCCTCGACACTATCCCCGTCGCCAGGATCCTCCAGTGGGAGTCTGACCTCCTTGCTCACCTGAAGAGCAGCCACCCCGAGATCCAGCAGACCATCGAGAAGGAGGGCCAGGTCTCCAAGGAGCTTGAGGCCAAGCTCAAGGAGGTCATTGGTGCCTTCAACAGCGCTTTCAACGCATAGATGAGCAGCGAAAATCGTGAATGATTTCCCTTATCAAAACATGAGGTGATCGTTCCTTGTTTTTCCTGACTCTATGTGTATAGACAAGATAGCTTGTACAATTTTGACCCCATTTGTTTCGTTCTGTTCCTTTCAGCTTGTCCTTCCACAACGCCCCTTGGGTGCAAAAAAAAGAATCGGATTTGATTTCACAGAGTACTGGATCGTAGAGCGATGTAAACATCTGCGTCGTCAACTGTGGTCCGGGAAAAGGATATCTATATTCTTTTCTTTTCTCCTGCTCCTCAGTGCCGTGGAATGACATGCCCGGGGACAACGTGCTAAATGGGTGGGCTGCCAAAATGTGATTATATCCTGTACGTTTAGATTTTTTCCGCGCATCGGGGGGCGCGAGATGGGAGAAGGACCAGACTAGTCTTACTTCCGTCTGGTCTCCATGTGTCTCTCCATGTTGGATCCGCAATTTATTTCTTTTGTTCTATTATGTTACTTTTGTAGATTTTAGTTCGCTGTATATCTGTAGTGAAGCTCAAGCTTTACCGCTACATCATCCCGAAGGATGATGCTTCGCCTTTCATCTTTATTAGATGGCTGCGAACGATAAATCCTCATCCCTATCATCCACGTGTCGCTTTCTGAATTCTCATATCCTTTTTCATTGCCTGTAAGCTTGATTCTTCGACTACTAGGAACCTAATAAGCCTTGATCCTCATCGGTGATATATGCATCTGAGCTCCGTCTCTCGCCCGGTCCGAGAACCGTACTATTCCCCCTGTATCCATACTCATTAGCACTATCTCTAAGATTTGTTCGCCTGTGCTCTCTTGTTACTGCTTGCATAGTTCGCTAATATTTACTCCATCCTATACACCATGTGAAGGGCCTCTGGGCCAGCCTAGTGTTCTGCCTCGCCATCTTCCAAATAGCTCGTATAGACTCCTTTATCTCACTAACAGATGTCAACTTCTGACCAGACCAATCGACTACCAGGTGGGGATTTGCGCCATGATCCAACAGAATTTCATAATGATGTCACCTCCAGCTCTGATGGCTCAGGACGGCGGGTGTTAACGGTATATATTGACCTGATTGGGGTCTGCACCAGCCTCGAGAAGAAAGATCACCATAGTAGGATTTCTTATGTATTCCTTACCATTCTGTTTATGAGAGCTTTTGCAGTTCTCATTTCTGTCATATTCAAGCCTAACGGCCCAAAAAGCATGTAGTGGTAGAAGACATGATAGGTCCCAACGGGCTGCTCCGAACACCACACATTTGCATCGGCTTCCTTGTTCAACAGCAACTTCGCCCTGGTCAAGTCCCTCATTGTGTTCAGCCAGGAGGAATGGTTTTTCTCATGTGCTTCCATCTCCATCCTCCTATCTTGACCTACCCGATTGAGGAGACTCGGTCTACGCCCATCTCTGTAGACAAATTTCACTCACCCATTGTGGTGCTTGACAAGGTATCAGGCCATTGAGGTTTGATCCCTGATTACGGCGGCCCATACTGCATGCTGGATATTGTAGGGAACGCCATCTACCCAAAACTCCTCTAAATCTGCGATGACGAAAGCGACAACATCCCAATAGCTATATAATGCTGCCAGCTACATGGGGTAATGGATAATATGACTGCGAAGATTCTGGCAAGCGCACTTGTCGAGCAAGAAGCGAACGAGCGAGGTATGGCCGTAAATAGTGGCGGTGGCTAACATGAATCCATCTCCGTATCTCAAGTTAACCTTGATTTCTTGCTCAACCATGAATTAGACCATTGGATTGTAACCGTCTTTAGTAGCGAGCGAGGCCGGATGGAGCCGCCAGTCTTGCTAAACACGTCCACCGTGGTTGTGGCCGAGTCCATTCACGACAGGGCCATGCTTGGTTCTCCCGTAACATGGAGTGGCATGTAAAGAAGTGCGGGCGCCTATTGCTTCTTGGAATGTGGCCATATTTACATTCTCTGCTTCCCAGTCCAGGGCGGTGCTATTGCTATACACCACGTTATATCATAAACGCATGGAGAGCAAACGGCATAACGATGGCGGCTTGTGTGTGCTAGTCTCCAGATGGAGGACTCCAGGGACGGACATGAGATGTAATATGGATGATAATTTGGTCCGGCAATATTCCTAACGTATCTTTAGCCATTGGTTGAAGTTGTGGAAGAGTATTGGAAGGGAGGAAAGAGCCGCAGTGTAGTTCACTACCAGAGAAACTGGGGTGTAGAGGGTGGTGATGCTGGGCAAGAGCTCGAGGCTGAGTGGTAAGCTGTATGTTCGATGTCAGCACGGATTGGAAGAATGAGTGAGGATCGCATATGTTGATCCAATCGTTTTACAGATCTCGAAGAGTCTTCCAACTCATCTTGAATGGTTTTATAGAGGCTTCTTATTGCATTCGATACATGGCAACTTCCTTATGATTTCTTCACAAAGCCCAGGAGACAGGTCACCAAATTTGAAATATGACCTCATGTTCGGCCAGCCGAGCAGAATAAAAGCAAATGAGCTTATATTAAAAGACAATATGATGATTTCCAGGCAAGTAGTGCTAGCACACGGTACATAGTTCCAAGCAGCGACTTCGGCATTTGAGGCCGAATGCGGCATCCGATCTCTTATCGATAAGCGAACAATCTTTTTCCCTCAGAATCACGAGTCCCCCGCGTGAACTAAAAGAGACTATTCGCCCAGCTCTTGCGTCTCGAAAGTATACCAGTCGCCATGTCGGCCCCAGCATCCTCTTCTCCGTCTTCCTGCAAGGTGATGCTGTCAAAGCACGTCGCCAATGGCCTGCTTCAGGAGGTCCAGGAAGGACTCAAGACCCTCGAGAAGCCGCCGCACTTGGTCGGTTTCCTGGCGAACCATGACCCTGCTGCAGTGATGTATGCGCATTGGACGCAGAAGACTTGCGAGGAACAGTAAGTTTGTGGATTTGTTCTTGTTTCGCGATGTCAATGGTTCCCAAATGTGGTGGTTGGTGGGGTGGTTTGTCTATGATTCATACCTGCCCCTCCTCAAGATTGCGACAAGGGAACGCCATATACAACCCCACATGCACAGCATCTGCCAAGCAATATAGATCCTTAACTAATCATCTATCTATTTTTACAGTGGCTTCAAGTACTCCCTGCGTGAGGTCTCCCGCGACGATATCGAAGAGTGCCTCATTGCCGCGAACGCCGATTCTGACGTCGACGGCATCATCGTCTACTACCCGATCTTCAACAACCGTCAGGACCAGTACCTGCAGCAAATCGTCGATGTCGGCAAGGATGTTGAGGGTCTCAGCCATCGTTACATCTTCAACATGTACCAAAACATCCGCTTCCTGGACCCGGAGACCAAGCGCCAAAAGTGCATCCTGCCGTGCACCCCGCTAGCCAACATCAAGATCCTTGAGTACCTCAACATCTACAACACTATCCTGCCTTATGGTAACCGTCTGTTCGGCCACACTATCTGCGTGGTGAACCGCTCTGAGGTCGTCGGCCGCCCCTTGGCCGCGCTGCTGGCCAATGACGGCGCTTGCGTGTACAGTGTTGATATTACCGGCGTGCAAAAGTTTACCCGAGGTGAGGGTCTGAAGAACCGTCGCCACGAGATTGTCGATATGGAGGGTACTACTCTGAAGGATGTTGCACCGCTGTGTGATGTTGTCATCTCGGGTGTGCCCGGTGAGAAGTATAAGTTTGATACTAGCCTGCTCCGCGAAGGTGCTGTGTGTATCAACTTCTCGAGCGAGAAGGTAGGCATCGTTCAATATCCCACTCTCCCACCAGCAGACCATTGGCTTACATGTTTTTCTAGAACTTCGGCCCCGAGGTCAAGGAGAAGGCCTCTATCTATGTTCCTTCTATTGGCAAGGTCACTATCGTCGTCCTGCTGCGGAATCTGCTGGTATGTGAATATCATTCAGTCCCAACTATTCATACATGTCGACTTTCTAACCGAACTTTACAGAGACTCATCCAGAACCGCCGGGTGGATAACGTCCAGCCTGCCGCCGCCACCGAGCGACCGGGCACCCTGGAAGCGTCTACCTAAACGCCTGTTGATTGTGAAATTGATTGATGGATGTTACGAGGTTGTTATGTCTGAAAAATTATCCATATAGACTCTGTTGTTGTTAGCCATTTTGAGTATACTGGAGAATGCGATCGCTTCATTCTCGTTGTTTTGTTCCATACTTGCTGTATGTCCATTCGGATAGGGAAAGAAATATTTGCTCAATGATGGTGAGATTTATCGCATTCGACTATGACATGCAAACCCGCTCTCGCATTTCAAAATGCATTTTTGTCCTTCAATTGACACTCGAACATAACCCAAAGCCAAAAAGATTGATATATGAGATTCTGAAACAGCGAAACTCTCTTACCAGCATTCCTAGGGCTAGTTTCCTATTGGTTTCCAACAAGCGATGAAGCACCACCAGTCTTCTTCTCGGTCTCCTTGGCGGCCAGTCTCAGCACATCAACTTCAATCGCCAACCAGCGGCGGTACGGCTCTGGGTGGAACACGCCATCGGCGGAGAACCAGTTGGTAAAGGGTGCTTCGAACTTCTTGTCTTGCAGTATCTTGCCGGTGGGCGACTTGTATACGACGTGTAGCTTGTAGGGGACGGAGTGCTTCTGCACGGACGAAGAGATGGAAATCTGTTTGCGCAGGAATGGTTAGCCTCTCGCGCATAGAAAAGAGGCTCTGTTGGACGTCGAATAGCAGAGCCGATGCATTTCACTTACAGTCTCTCCAGACTTGCGCTTTCCGTAGAAGACCTCTCCAGCCTCAACGGCCCAAATCCAAAACGTCAGCGCGCCATTGAGGATGAAGTATGAGACCACTGCAGCAATAATCCACGGTGACGTGGTCGCTTCCCATCCTAGCTTGCGGTCTGCATAGAAGGTAAAGGCTGCAATTGCGACGGCACTATAGCCCAGCACGAAGCGGATGTTGCTCTTTGTGTTGTCGACCGCGAAGGTGTAGGGTGCAGGAAGGTTGGTTAGGTATGGGAGGAGCGCATCATCGCTGGTAGATTTGAGGTCTGCAAGTTTGGAACATGTTAGTTTAGACTTGAAGATTTAGTATCTTGCTAGCGAGGACAAGGGCATTCGAACGAAGGAGTAGATCGGAGACGCTACGGACCGTTGGTAGAATAGACTGGCACCTTGTGGTCCGCCATGGATGCAATTCAAATCCAAAGAAAGAAGTTCAAGAAATAGATATCAGATATGACTTCAGATCCGGAAAATAACCAGAGCAAATGGCGTGGGGTCGCAGACAGGATTCACGGTGTTTATCGCGAGGAAGCGCAAGATGCGGCGTGGCCCTTTGGAGAGAGCTGGAGCTAAGGCGGGCCAATGACACGCTACCATACCTCCGTCAGGGTTCGCCTTCCTTCCCCCCTCCGAAGCCACGGACAACTCGTTGGCCTTATTCCACCAGCCATTCATTCTCATCCTGATCTTTCGCCATGGCTGTCCCAGGCGTTGAGCAGACTATCCTTCGGGATCCGGCTCTTTTGTAAGTCCTTCTCTCAAGCCTGCGCTGTCGCGGCGCCCGAGCTAACCCTTACGATTGTAGCTACTGGATCCTCTTCCCCATCTCGGTGGTTATGGTATGTTTGTGATTAGGACGACTCTATACACTTTGAGACTCAGTAGCTAACCCATTCCTTGCTCAGATCCTGACCGGTATCCTCCGCCACTATGCAACCGTCCTCATGAACACGCCTCCCAAGCCCGCCTCCACCCTGGCCGAGTCTCGCGAACGCCATGCCCTCCTCCGCGGTGTGAACCTCCGCAACCATGCATGCTCCGTCCTGGACCGTGAATCCTTCGAGGCCCGCAAGAACTACCTCCTCAATGGCTTCCGGAGCGGCGCGTTCCTCAAGGACCCCAACAACCGCGGCCAGCCGCCGGCGAACCCGATGACGGATCCAGCAGGCATGGAGGCAATGATGGGCATGCTGAAGGGAAACATGATGATGATGATTCCCCAGACGTTGATCATGAGCTGGATCAACGCTTTCTTCTCGGGATTCGTGATTTGTAAGTCGACTACCAATTACCATGGGATATCGGAAAATGCTGACTGGAGAACACAGTGAAATTGCCTTTCCCCTTGACTATTCGCTTCAAGTCTATGCTTCAGTCTGGTGTGATGACCCGTGATTTGGATGTCCAGTGGGTGTCCAGTCTGTCTTGGTACTTCCTCAACTTGATGGGCTTGCAGTCCGTCTTTGGATTCATTCTGGGCAGTGACAACGGTAAGCTATACTCGCGAATGAGAACGCACTTGTGTTGCTTGGATTGATTGCTGACCACTCTACACAGCTGCCAACCAGATGGCCCAGCAGATGGGTATGGCCAACCCCGCCGCTATGATGAACCCCATGCAACCGGGCCAGGATCCCGACAAGCTGTTCTTGAGTGAGGCGGAGAATTTGGAAGTCATGGAGCACTTCTGCATCCTTGACGGTGTTGAGGAGCGGATTCTACGGAACTTCGCCCCGGTGGTGAACTAATTGATGATAGGAGGGGGGATTTCATGCTCGGTGTCGGTGTATATATCTGCCCAGCGGAGGGCAACTCACTGACTCTGGAGACAAAAGAGATTGCGGCGTCTATTAGACAAAGCGTTTACATGTCAATTTTTTTGTAGAATATGTCGGGTCGTCCCAACAATCATCATTTCATTCATCATGAAGCATTTCATCTCGTTTCCTCGTAGCTATGTACGATCATTCGGAGCGGTAATTAATCACCCCATTCAACACCCAGACTTCTCCGTTTGCCACTTTCTCGGCAATCGAATCCACCTCGATGTTTCCTGGTTGGAGCTGTAGCCAGTCAAGGATTGTCACTTTTACGAAAGCTTGCATAAGGACTCACAATAATCTTGTCACCCTCTTTCGTCCACTTCAGCTTCTCTCCTCCCAGGCTTTCAACCTCTTCGTTCTCCCGCCATGGACTGACAGGAACGATATGAGCCTGTACGAAACGTCGCAAATTGCGCATCGCCCGCTCCTGTCCATCGCTGCCCGAATAGGCATTTACATCTCCAAACTTAGCATAGTCTTCCGGATCTTCCCATGGTTTGCGGGGAAGGTCCTGCACAGCACTGTTACGCGGAGCTAGGACTGTGATATTGTGAGAGGCGTCATTGAGGCGAGAGGAGATGGAGTCGAAATCCCGGGTCAGCTGGGCAAAGATATTGATGCCTTTAGTCTTTGGAAGAACGTCTGAGACAACTGGCTGATCTGCTCCACCGACAACGTCCTCACTCGGTGCTTTGGTCTGGGGTTTGAGGATGTCTGGGATGAATTTATCCATGATAGATTGCTGACCCCGCGAAGGAACTAGCGGCTGTTGGTGTTGTGAAACAGGGAGAGATAGGCCCCAAAGAGCAGTGCCAATGCTAGCAAGGCTTAAAAGTAGAAATATCGATGCGAGAGACCTTGTGCCTTTCATCTTGAGTGTATGCGGCGTTATCAAGGACTCGCATGCCACTGTCAGCCATGACGCAACGGATGCACGTGATGTGGAGAGATCCGATATCACCTGACTGTTATCGATAAGGGCCACAAGAAAATGGGAGGAGGGGGAACCCGGTGAGGGTGCTATCTCCAGTTCACTGCACTTCTTCACAAGCTTGGCTTGACCCGGCCGATTAATTGGCACCATGTCGGCCCTTCAGACCTTCATGTTGGTGGTGGATCACGACAAAGAAGAAGCTAAACGCATCGCTGAGGGCGTCGCCCAAGGTCAGTCCGATCATCGGCCCACACTCCCCCGCACTCACGACGTCGTGTGACTCTAATTGATGGGATTCAATGCAGATGTCGAGAGCAAGAAGACTACCTTGATAGAGATTGTTCAGCAACTTGGCGAATACATCAATGATGAAGATCCTATACTGCGTGGAAAGGCTGTCAGCTTCCTCACCTCAGTCATTAAGGCGCTGCCACCGAAGTTCCTGTCCCGACAACAGATCCAGGTTTTGACGTCCTTCTTTTGTGATCGAATTGAGGATGGAGGTGCGGTTGCGGGATTGGATACTTTGCAGAAGCTGGATCGGTTTACAAAGGAATTGGCTGCTGAGATAGTGCAATCGTATGTTCAATCGGAGATATCAACTTTCCAATACAATTGGGATACGTGGTGTGGCAGTCGACTCAAGACTAACTTTTCTATAGCCTCTTCTCCCATTTCCAAGACCTCCAGTCCCGATCTCAATCGCAACGGTTCCAAGTTTACCAATTGCTCAACGAGTTGATGTCATCACACCGTGCGGGTACGCCATCCATGTTCCAGCTCACTTGAGTCAATATACCTTACTCACTATGATTAGCGTTGCGCGATATGGGCGAGACATCTCTCGTTGGTATTGTGGATCTCATGACTGGTGAAAAGGACCCACGTAATTTGATGATGGTGTTTTCAATTCTCAAGGTGGTCATGATGGAATGGGATATCACAAGCCACGTCGAGGTATGTGCACTCTCGCTAGCTTTTGCAATCTTTGCTAATATGCGTAGCTACTCTTTGACTCTGTGTACAATTACTTCCCAATTACCTTCCGACCTCCGCCAAACGACCCCTACGGGATTACTGCACAGGATCTGAAAGGTCGCCTGCAGGACTGCATCTCTTCCACGCGACATTTCGCTCCTCACTCCATTCCGGCATTGCTCGATAAGCTGGACTCTACCTCGCCTAATGTCAAGGTACGTGCTCATGATGGACTATAGGCTTCACAGGATCTAATGTACTTCCAGAAAGACGCTCTCAACACTTTGATCGCCTGTATTCATTCATATGACCCCGATACTGTGTCTCGCTATTCAATTACCATCTGGGAGGTCTTGAAGTTTGAGATCCTCAATGCTCAAGAGGAGTTTTTGTCAGAGTCTTCTCTGCAGGCTCTGCAAGCTATCGCGCAACGCCTCTCAGAAGGCGTCACTCAGGTCTCTCAGGACCTTCCCCTTGCACAGTATTTGCGCCCAATTACTAAGGAGTGTAATGAACAATTGCAAGAGCCCCAGCAGAAGCAGGCGAAACCTGCGCAACAGATTCTCAAATCCCTGTCTTCCGCTTCGGCGGTTACATTTACCCTCATCGTCCAAACAGTTGTCGCCCCGATCTTCACCATTTACCAAGAAGCAGATGGCATCGCCAAGCAAAGAGCTCTCCTTGAGACTCTTTCAGTGCTCTTTGAGTCTGCAATTCAAGTATTCGGCCAATGGACCACTCGGGGAGATGAAGTTACTCTCGAGAATCCCCTGCTTGAATTCAAGGATCAATTTTCGGATGTCTTGGGTCAGGCATTGATGGGTGCTGCAAAGGAGGAAGTTTCCTTCCGGGTGACTGCTCTCAAGGGATTCCTTCGTCTTTCCACCTTGCGTGATTTCTTCCAAGACAATGAAATTGGCTTGTTCGTACAGTACCTGGATGAGATCCTGCTCCAGGAGGAGTCCGTCGGCCGAAATGACCTGAAGAAGGAAGCAATTGCGGCACTTGCTGAGATCTCCAAGCACAAGCCTCGCCTCATTATGGATATCACTTTCCCTGCATTCGTGGCTACCCTTCCAGATGAGGATGATGGCACCAATCTGACTTATCTGTCCACATTGGATACACTGGCTCAGATCAGTGTCGAGAGGGACATCTTTGAGACTCTGTTCCGACGTCTCTTCAGCAAGTTGACCATCCTGCTTCAAAAGGAGCAGCCTGGTGCTATCGCGTACCCAAGGGCCATTCTAATGACCCTACTCTATGTCATGCAGCAGAGGAAGATGGATACTGATCCTAGCGTGGATCTCTATTTTGACAAGATTGTAATTGGTGTCTGCCGCAGTGTCTCGGAGTCGGCGTCCGGCAAGGGTAAGAACCAGATTCTCAATGATGCCACTATCCTTGACACGCTCGGTCGGCTCTGCAATCTGCTAGTCCGGTCAGTCTCCCTCCAGAAACAAGAACAAGTAGCGGAGAATGTCTACAAGCTCTTCTCTGCGACCGAAGATTTTGTGCCGGTACCTTTCGCACAGGGCGCAACAGCCGACCAAGAGCGGACCATTATCATCTCCACCTACCTTCTTGCGGGCCTGTTCAAGGACTGCGGTAACCGCATCCCTTACACCACCCCCAACATGTCGGAGCTCCTGTCCGATCTGGTGCAGCGTTGTGTGTCTGAAACTTCAGAGCCGGCTACACACCTCGCCTTCCTGCGCCATCTAGCTTTGCTTGTTAACAAGTTCCTGTCAAAGGAGGATCTGAACATTGCAGAGAAGCTCTTTGATGGTCTCCTCTCGTCAGAGAAGAACACTTACAGCCCAGCTACAATTCGTACCATTTTCTGGCTATCCAAGGCTCTTGTCCTCCGGCTCGCTCCGACAACCACCCATGTAATTACCTCGCTGTTGAGTCTTCTCTCATCCCCCGACCAGCAAACTAGTTCCTCTACTGCCCGTGGGTTTTCCATTCTTCTTGGTGAGGACGACGTACTCTCCACAACCAATGGTGCATCGATCCGCCTGTTATGCAAACAACGCGTCTTCACCACCGTCATCCCGATGATTTCTTCGCGCATTCGCGAAGTCAATGTTGCTGGGAGCGACGAATCCTCGAAGGCTCTGGACCACATTAAGCCAGCCCATCTGACCGCACTTACCGGTATTCTCTCCACCATCTCCACGGCTCTGGTCATGCCCGAACTTCCCACTCTTCTCCCTCTCCTCCTCCAATCCCTCGACCTCCAAACATCCGACTCCGTCGCTGTTCGTGCAGCTACACTCGACACCCTGGCTGTGATCATCCGCGACAATGGCGTCGCTGTGATCGATAAATGCGGACACGTCCACAGCCTGGTCGTGAGACTCCTCAAGACTACAGAGATCAAGTCTGACGTCGTCAACCCGCCTAGACTTCGTGCTGATTCCCTGAAATGTCTTTACCTCTTGGCTGCCCAGCAGACGCCTGGCGATGCAGGATCTAATGCCCGCCTACCACCGTCTATCTCCCCACTTCTACCGGAGAAGACCAACGTTTTGCGCTCTCTGCGTGCTGTCTTGGATGATCCCAAGCGAGATGTACGGAAGGCAGCAGTTGACGCTCGTAGCGCGTGGTTGCGTGGTGTTGATGATGCACCTGAGGAGGAAGACTGAGCAAAATTGGCTGCACGTGTAGATACGACAATTTGTTTCAGTGGTTTAGCTGTGATATGTCTTGATGTCCATTCGCAAAACATAGCTTCTGAATATATCATTAGAATATAGACTTTCCTTCATTCAAAACTGTTCCTTTGAAAGCAACGGGTTTCTTTACGCAGATTGAACTTTAAACATCGTTCAAGTGAATATGTGAAACACTCTTTGTTCTGATTGACACCCACTTTGCAGGAAGTCAGGTGGAGATGGCATGCTCCTGATTGTCAAAGTTGTGCCGAAGAATAGGGCAGAGACATGCAAATTTGTATAAGCGGGAATCTTCACTTCTAGCGTGTACTCAGCTACTAATATGCTTAAATGTATTCATATCTCCTGGTCTGAAGCAAATCATAAGAACCTCTAGTCAAAGTTAGTCTGCTATATATGTATAGACTCCTTTATCAGACCAAAAGTTCCCAAAGTAGTCATCGGAGCACCGAGTTACCGTATGGAGACTCACGTGACGGCCGGCTGGCCCAATGGCAAGGCGCTTGACTACGAATCAAGAGATTGCAGGTTCGACCCCTGCGTCGGTCATATTTTTTCTCTCTTTTTTTCTCTCTTTTTTTCTCTCTTTTTTCTCTCTTTTTTTTCTCTTTTTTTCTCTCTTTTTTCTCTCTTTTTTCTCTCTTTTTTTCTCTCTTTTTTTCTCTCTTTTTTTCTCTCTTTTTTCTCTCTTTTTTTCTCTCTTTTTTTCTCTCTTTTTTTCTCTCTTTTTTTCTCTCTTTTTTCTCTCTTTTTTTCTCTCTTTTTTTCTCTCTTTTTTTCTCTCTTTTTTTCTCTCTTTTTTTCTTTGTCGATTCTAAACTACTCTACATCAGGTATTAATTACATTTGAAGTTAGCGTTTGCCCCTTTGGGAATATGAAATTTTTTTGTTCACTAGGTACAAAGAAGTCCTATTGCAGCTTAATCTAGTGACACCTATTAGTAAACTGAGTCTGTCACCCTGGTAATACCCAGGTTTGAGCGCGGTTGTGAATGACTGTAGGGCGGGAGTCCACCTCTGGAAATATATCTTCATCAACAATATACCGTCTCGCAGGGCTGCACAATCTCCGCACATTAACTCGAACCAAGCTCTTCTAGTGAAATACATCACAGGTGCTCCTACCCAATAGGGAATACCTCTTAGTCGATCGACTTCAATAAACTACGCAGATGGGACCCGTCCAGCCTCGGGTCTAACGTAAGCTCACCTACCAAGTGCAAACCACCTAAGCCAATAAAAACTTTTGAAAATAAGTTCAGATCCTGGATTGGAGTGTGAACGACGATCGTCATTTTTAATGGTCGAAACAGGAATCTGACAGTACCTATGTCAAGGCGCTCTGGGGCCTCAACCAGAAGTTAGGGCTGTGGCTGCGGCATATGTAGGTTTGCATCCATGTCAGCAACTGCGCCCAGCACCAACGATAGACTCATACTCAAATATCGATGAATATCTCGCCCTTTTCCATTGCTTGACCTACCCCCCAGGGCATCAATCCTAGATGCGCTTTGTACTTGGAAGCTGCAGCCTTGTGCTGGGGGCCTTATCCCTTTCCCCAGCATCCCTGGCCAGCTCTATTCACACCGCCAGTCCGGTGGTCGACTTGGGATACGCGAAATACCAGGGTGTCTATAACGACTCTTATGACATCAATATATTCAAAGGGTGAGAAAGAGATCATCTAGATTGCGGGAAGAAAGTGCTAACGAATTGCTAGAATTCGATATGCTGCCCCGCCCGTAGGAAAGCTACGCTGGCAAGCACCACAGAAACCACCATTGAACAGGACTGCCATCATCCCTGCTATAAAACAACCACCTCCCTGTCCTCAATCGGGAGCTGCAGAACTACCAGAAGCCTATGGCTTTAACTCGGCGCTAGGAGATGAGGACTGTCTGTTCTTGAACGTCTTCGCCCCCGCTGGGGCGAAAGATCTTCCTATTCTTCTATGGATCCGTTAGTTTTTTTTACTCTATCAATACGATCTAAAGGATTGAATTGCTAACATTCCTCAGATGGCGGTGGCTACGGTCTTTTCGGGGCGATTTATGACCCTAGCGACTGGATGAAGACCAACAATAACGGCTTCGTCTCTGTCGTCATCCAGTACCGACTGGGAGCCTTCGGGTTCTTGTCTTCCGAGGATGTGCAGAAATATGGCAAGCTCAATTCTGGTCTCCTGGACATGCGGTTTGCACTTGAATGGGTACAGCAGCATATAACAAAGTTTGGTGGAGACCCGTCCCGTGTGACTATTGGAGGCGAGTCCTCAGGTGCTGGAGCTGTGATGCTGCAGGCTATGGCATATGGAGGGAGGGAAGATGGGCTGTTCAACAATGTAAGCGTGGCCTTTGATTGACGGAATTTCCGAGACTGCTGATCCGACAATGTGGTAGATAATCGCTGCGAGTCCGTACGCTGCGACTCAGTTCAAGTATAACGATATGGCACCGACGGCCCACTATCATGACTTTGCAGCACGAGCTGGATGTTACCAGTACACCAGATCAGATGATTCTACCATATTCGACTGTTTAGTACGCGCAGACACTGAGACACTTCAATATGCCAGTGGCAATGTTTCCACATCAGGTGCCTGGGGTACCTGGGCATTTACGCCAGTCACGGATGGAAAATTCATTCAAGATCTTCCATCAAAACAACTGCTCGAGAAGAAAGTCAGCGGCAAGCGCATTCTGTCTGGGGTACGTGATACTTTCGCCTTCTTCCTGCATAATGCTAAACTCATATAGAACAACGCCAACGACGGTGTCCCCCTCAGTCCCCCAACTCTGAACACAACAGCCGCCTTTATTCAATACCTCCAATCGACGTTTCCCCATTTGACACCCACAGACTTTGACCAACTCCTCGAAATATACAAAGTATCATCATCTTCTCTCGGATCAACAGGTCCTCTTTACGATACCCTCGGCAACCGCGGTCTAACAGCCGTAAATCAATCTGAATTTGCAACAGGCCTCCAACAAACTGCCTTCAACATCTTCGCAGAGACAGCCTTTGACTGTCCCTCATACTGGCTAGCTGATGCCTTTTCTTTCAAGGCCAGCGGTTTCGCCAGTAAAAGGAAAGAGAGCTGGAAGTACCAATACTCAGTGACACCGGCGTACCACGGTGTAGATCTAACGGCCTATTTCTCGGTAGGCTGGACCGTGCCAAATTTCGAATTCAGAGAAGCCTTCCAACGCATGCTGGGCAACTTTATCGTGAATAATACCCCGGTTATATCGATCAGCGATGCCAAAGGTGGAATGGATAATGCTACCGTTCCTGAGGGCACGAATGGTGATATTGATTGGCCGCGATGGGACCATGACTCGCCTGTGCTCATGAATCTGAACACTACGGGTGGATTTTTGTTTCGACGGACAGTGACGGATTATCTCGCGTATTGGCTTAGAGAGGGATCTGGGATTACGAATGAATTTAGGCTGGCGGATGCCGAGGCGTGGGAGGGTGGTCGTGGGGAGAGGTGTGACTTTTGGCAGAGAGTGGGACCGTGAGTGCCACAGTAGGAAAGTGGATGCTATATGTATATATGGTTGGAGTATTGATAGATGGAATATGACAGTAACGGTTGATTCCCGAGTCATGATGGTACTCTAATTCACAGTGTTACAGAGAGACTACAACCTTTACCATCTTTCTTCCTTCTTCCAGCTTTTCAAATCAGCATACAACCACTGATGCAATGTCAAATCGAGATTCCAAATACCATGAGCGCGTCAAGGTTTCATGTCTTGACCGAGCCTTTGAAAAGCTCCCCAACCACTACTTACAACAGGCCTTGCTCGTCTGAGAAATTCGTCCGTTTCGAGACTACTTGTTGCTCACGATGATCTCCACTCCAACAATTTTGTCCGCCAGCTCAGCTTGTTTTTAATCCCGACTGGACCAACATTGGAATATCCAACTGGATCGATGTTCTCAATGACAGTTGTAGCAAGTCGCAACAGTTGACCCAGACCATAGTGACCAATTGATTGTGCAGTCGGTGAAGCAGGTGTGTTAGTGATGAGTCCAGTCTCGCTGCCCAGAATGTCAATAGGGCACCAGTTACGATGGCCATCGCCAATGGTGGCAGGAACACCCTCACTGAGAGCTGTTTGAATGGCCGGACTTATCAAAGCAACTTCCCACCACTGCCGATGAGCCTTGACCATGTCATCCAAAGACTTGCAAGCAGCCTCCAAAATGTCGCAATTTGATTGACGAGCTGTGAGAACCAGGTCCTGTACCTCGGTAATTCGAAGGTGAAGGCCGCGCATCGAGGTCTCACTTTCTATGTCATTCACATACCGATCCATTTTGCAGCGATGGTAGTTAATGCGTTTTAACAGAACCTTTTTCACACTCAGGACATCTTTGTTGAAGCGAGTCAACAGGCGAACGTGAGTTCGGTTGGGCTCTACCCATAAGTTCTCTGCAAGGTATTGCACGGCACGCTCAACTTCTGGGTTCGGTTCTCCATGGGGACCGAGATAACCATGAAGAACTGCTGCAGCATCCCAGATGCGGTCTGGGTAGCTGACATGAACGGACCCCAGCGTCACCTTAGATTTGTTGACAGTGGCATTACCGTTCTCATCGATAGAGATCACGAGTGGTACACCGGTTTTCAAAACGCAGTGAAACTCATAACTGATAGTGAAAGTGGACATTCGATTCTCGAAGAGACGGCCTCCATCGGTGCGGATATGAAGAATATGATCAATATCAGCAGGCAAGGTTGTGATTCTATCGAAGAAGACTGTGCTGGGCCCATTGAGGTCTCCACGAGGATGGATAACCTCATTCATTTCCTCAAAGGCCATGAAGTTGCTTTCCGTGGCTCCCAACTTGTTCATGATAATGACAATGCCGATTTGGACCTCTAGCTCTAGAGGTCTGGGGAAGACTTGGGCGGTAGTGAGCAGGGGAGTAAGAAGCCTGTAGACATCTTTGACGAATGCAGGATGTGCTGAAATATTTTGCAGGCGTGGAGATCTGGCTGAAATGGGCATGCTGACTCTTTTCGCGGTGCTAGGGTCATTGAAGATGTTCCAGGTCATCTTGGGAGCCTTTGTATTTGCCTTGGAGTTGTCTCTCCTTCCATTGCCACCGGGGTTTGTTGTGCGTTGATTCATCGGTGAGTGGAACTCTATCTTGTCATCATCGTTCGGGTGGGCAACGGTTTCCCGGATAGGTCGATCAGTCGCATCACTCTGGCTCTGGAAAGTGGCCCGAGAAGCCCGACTTCGGGCCCGAAGATAATCATCATAACTAGGGGTAGTAACAGCAGCCGAGGATACAATAGTATCTGGACTTCCGACGCCCTCGCTTGGCACTCCGGGCTGATTGGGATGTTGGATCGGCTGGACATTTGGATAGGGAGGCTGATACGGCTGCCAAACAGGCGAGACCAGGAACATAGGCCAGTGGACAAAGTTGGTAGAGAAGACAGTCCCGACAGGATACATTGGCGCTGCATCGAAGCCACGAAGATGCGTCTCATAATCTACTTGTGTGTTCATAACAGGAAAACCTGGGTATTGTGGCCAAGACTGGCCATAAGTTTGCCGGCTCGGAGCATAGAAATCATGGCTTGATGTGCCGAGGCTTCTTTCCTGACTACCAATATCTTGTTGGCTCAGGTTTGCCTGGTAAGGAAGTGCAGCATGCAGTGAATGTGAATCAGAATAGGTGTAATTGACCGGCACTCCACAACGGCGAACTTGCTGTGTGATTGGGTTGGCAGTAGCCGTAAGTGTCTCTGTCGACCTAGGAGACCATTGATTATCGTCTGGTATGGTGACTGGCCTTTCGGTTCCCATAGAAGGGTGGCTCCTTGTCGACTGAGGGGTCTTTTGATCGTCGTCTGGCGGGACAACTGAGTCGTTAGAAGCCAGAGTGAGTCTCTTGGTCGGCCGAGGAGTCTCTTGCTCGTCACCACAACCATCTTCACCCGTCATGATAGGTGATTTGATGTTCTCAGGTGGCCGCAACGAAGGCTCGGAGTGCTGCAAAGGGGGTGCATCCTCAGAGGGGGTGTCCGAGATCTCTGATCTCGCCGATTGAAACAAAGGTGACTCAGATGGAGCATCAGCCCTCATCGACGCTACTGATTGAAACAAAGATGACGACGACAAACGTTCAGATGATGAGTCTACATTCTCAAGATTCGAGTTTGCACCTGTGGCTTTTTCGTCATTGGACGTAGCAGCTTCCTTGTCAAACAAGTCAATGAGTTCACGTTGCTCATCATTGGCGACAGATCGGGCACTAGCCTGGGAGACAGGCTGAGCAAACGTCGCGGCTACCTGTGATGAGCAAGGAAGATCGGAACTTGATGCAGAGAAAAGATCAGTGCTCATATGTCTCTCTTGAGAGGGTCGAGACTTTGGAAACACTTTGATTGATATCTGGATCCCATCCGAAGGGTTAATTTTGACTTCCGTGGTAGACTGGCGCTTTTCAGGCTCAGAAAGCTCAGAATTGGGCATTTTCTGGGATTCAGAGGGTTGAAGCTCAGACTTGGCAACGCCTGATTGAGGGCTGAAAGGTAAAATGGATTTTATAGACGTCTCAGACAGTGTAGACCTCTCAAAGTTTGTAAGATTCGTAGAAAGTACAGGCGACTTCCCCTTCATCGAAGGCGTGCTACCATCAAGCAAGACAGGCCTGCGAGTCTTTAGTCCAGGCAATTTGATTGAAGTTGACGGAGTAGACTCAGAGCGATGTGCCAGGCCAGGACGACTGACACTCGTCGCCCTTTCAGACTCGGCCTTTTCATTTGCTGTGCTATCCAGCGGAGGTCTTGAAGGCCTGGTGTTGAGAACTTTAGTGTCGGCGGATGTATGAGCTTGAGATTCCTCAACAGCAGCAGGTTCAGCACCCGGCGGGCTTGGCTGATAAAGAACGACGAGCTTGGAGTATTGTGCGCCTTTATTCTCGCCCGGCTTGCCAACCTCCGGGTACTTAAACCTAGACCAACATCTAATATGCTGGTACCTAAGAAACGACGGCAAGTCAATTCCACAGGGATGGTGAAGGTGCTCAAAAACCTGGAAGGAATCGGTCGAGGGATCGATGCGGCAAGAGACTGGGACTATGAAATCCGCGATGTTGTTTGTAATGGCAGAGCTCGGATCCACGAGGAGGCGTTGGGGCGCGATGTCGTTGAGCTGAGCGACTTCCAGGAGACAGAAGCGTAGACCAGCTGTATCGGGAACAAAGGTTGCATAGGCTTGAGAGGGGACATCGATCAAAGCCTGCAAGAGTAAGTCACTTATCACGATCTAGGGAAGGGATTTTCAATCGTACCAGAAGACTGTCTAGCTTCTTGAGCCTTTGCAGTGCATTCTCAACCTTGTCAAGGACATCTGCAGACACACGAATAGAGCTATCCTTATAATAGGAGTGCTGAAGACTGATATTCGTACCCGTAGCCGCAGCTACTCGTTCAAGCATGTTGTATGGGTCCTTGCGGAGGTAATCGACTCTAACACGACTCGGCTTCCAGTTCTGGGAGACTTGAGTTGTAGCACTTGTCGCCACAGGACTCAAGTAGCTATCATCGTGGGCATCTCCTTCCTCACCGAGTGCCGGTGTTTTGCCATACTTCTGACCCTGTCGGCTATCCAAGGCGGCACCAACGTCAATTTTGACAACCTGGCAGATCCGTAGCTGCTCCTGTATTGTTTAATTAGAGTCGGTGCTCAATCGAAGGGCTGTACGGTATGAATGGAGAAACTGACATCAGGGAGGTTGTGGTGCGTGTGCTTCTCTACATAGGCTTTGGTGCAGGCCACCACGGCGGCTTCGCTTGCAGCATCAGAACAACCTTTGATGGTCAAGACCTGGAAGCTCTTCATCAGCATGTATAGAGAGAGGATAATTATAGTTCAGGAGGGGTGCTCACATCATCATCAAGCGAATAGGTTACCTGAGTACCAGGACAAAGGGTTCTATACTCTGTGAGCTTGGTATACATCGAGGGAAGCGGATTTCATACATGATCTCTTCCCTCAGCTCGCGCATCTGTGAGTCACCATATTAGATGGCTTTTATCATGTTGTGCAAGTCAAGAAGATGAACTTACCCCGATATCCCGGAGACCCCACAGACAGGCTATTTGCAACTCTCGCTCAGTCGCCATGATGAATCAAAGTCACTGAGATTTGAGCAAGTCTAGTCAGGAAGTGATGTTACGAAGCGATTCTGATGACTGGCAGAAGGTACAATGGGGATACGATGATCTTCCACGCACCCCTAAAACGGGATAAGTGAAGGATTAAGAAGAGCGTGGATATTCTGAAGGGAAAAGGTTTTAAGGGAGATAGACAAGATCTGACAACTCATGGGAAGTAGGTAAGCATATTCGAAAGTAGTAGACGAATACAAACGAGGGTAGAGGGTAATTCCACATCAATCAATAGGGTCATCGTACACATAATATACGCTTTGAAAAGGGAATACCCTTTTTTTCGGCGTGTATCAATTGTTGCTCCCAATGAAGAGCTAACGAATGACTTATGGGTGTATAAGATGCTAGGCCTAACATTTGATCACAAATAGCCATTTGGTGATAAATATTATTCAATTAACCCGTTCACAAATGTGGAACAGGAATAGAAGATATGTGAATAAAAACATTAGAAGAAAGGGTATTGATACAGAGAAAATATGAATAGCGCCCATCCATGGGGGTGTACCATAGAACGCAAAGCCAGATGCAAATGTGCATGAAGATAGAAGAAAGAAACCGAACCGAATCATGCAGGGTCATCACGGCATCAACTCTAACAATGAGGAATAGATGTAGCAGGAAGGAAGAGTAGGGGAGGCGAGAGAGTCGGCAAGAAGGATGATAGCGGGAGGACGAAAGAAAGTCTGGACGGCACTGGGTATCTTCGCTGCCAAAACGCCAGGAACCACGAAAGGTATGAACATGAAGAAAAGATGGTCGAGGCAAGAGAAGGGGTGTCGGACGGAGATAAGTGGACGGAGACGGAGAGAAGCGGGCAAAGGCTGGCGTGGAAGATATGATGGAATGGGGGACGGACCTCAGACGTTTGGGGCGAAGGCGGGAGAGAGACGGGTCGAAGCATCAAATGTCGAGTAGCAGAAGACAGGAGCAAAGCGCAGGATCAAAGGACATCGTGGACTGGAGGTCGGATTCCACTGAGTCTTTTCGGACATAGACGACGCTAGCAGGGAAGCAGATTTATGAGGATGAGGAGGGTTCGGGCGTTGGTTGCTGTTTGGCCTGCTTGGTCTCTTGGAGCTCACTCATTCGAATCACCCATTTCATCTTGTCGCGAGTTTCCTGGAGCTCTCTGATGGTATCATCGATCCGCTTGCTGTTGGCGTGGGTCCGATTGATGGTGTCTCGGAACTCGTTGTCCTTGGTCTCCTTGTAGTTTTCATGGAGAGCGATGATCTTCTCAAATCGCTCTTGCTGCCCGTCGATCTCTCGGTCCTTCTGGTCTCCGATGACCATGAGCCGGTCGATGCACTCGGTCTGCTTGGTCTGTGTGTCCGACATGGCGTATACCTTGCCCCACACCTCGTCCACCCGGCGGTGCAACTCGCCCTTGTCCCGCTTCGTGGTGCTGCTCAGGACCTCGTACATGTTTTTGTAGTACTTAGCCTCCTCTTGCAGCCGAGCCAGTTCGCGATGGTGGTTCTGGCGTTCCACGCGCATCGCCTCATTGGTCTCGTTTACCACGATTTGGGCATCGTGGCGCTTGGTGCGCTCAGCGTGCAGCTCGGCGCGCAAGTCCTCAATCTTCCGTTCTTTCCGTTCGATGGACTTGAGGCTGGTCTCATGGACCTGCTCCTCATGGCGCAGCCAGTCGGCCGTGTCCTGCAGTTGGACTTTGAGGGCCTCGCTGGTTCGCTGAGACTCCTCCGCTCTGGATTGCCAGAGGGCAGAGTCCCGCTTCAGACGGGCCACTTCCTCCTGCAGGTTGTGGATGACACGGCCGGACTTGCCCGTCGCCGCTGCATGGCCGACTGCTGACCATTCTGCCGAGGCCTCATTGCTGAGGCGTGGACTCGCCGAGGTGAGGGGTAGTGCGGGCGAGGTGTGAGGGTCTGCGTAGCGATTGAGTGACGGTTAGTGGATGTCATGCCTGAGAGGAGATGCATTTAGATAGTAACCAACCTTTGGGGCCTTGTACCCCCATCTCCTCTTCAAAAAGGGCGTTGAACCGGTGCATGTTCAACTGAGTGTCCACGGGTGCAAGGTTCACTTGCGGCGCTTCTTCTGGGATCGAGATCAGCGTGTCAGTGCTGATCATCTCCGCTGCATGGAGCTTCCGCGAGGAGCCCAGCCGACGGATGACCCGCCCCACAGACGACATGTTGACAGTTTTCGGAGGGTGGTGGTGACAGGTGTTGTGGGTGCGGGAGGCGGACTGTTCGTTGGTGGTGGCTGGCGAGGAGAGAGAAAAGGAAAGAAGATTGCATACCTTTTTCAAATTTTAACAGGGCTAGATGCGACGATGCGATCCTGTCACGGATTCTGACCATCGCCGAGTCAGCGACTTAATCGGGAAGTCAGCTCGACATCCCAGGAGGAGAAGGTGGGCGCGCGCCGGAGGTCAGCGGATCGATTTGTCCGCAGCCAAAAGCGAGAATTGATGGCGTAGTCGTCAATGTTCACAGAATGATCCGGGGAGCACCTAACGAGTTCTCAAAGTTGACGAAAGGGTAAAAGAAGGTTTAGGATGAGGTTGGAGAAGAGGAAGTGGTTGAGCTGTGGAAGATGTTGTGTTGGAAAAGGAATCCCTTATCGATTATTATTTCCGCCAGGCACGGATCGCGCTAGCGCGGACGCTAAACCCAATTAGTCTGTTGATAATCGCTGGAATCACGATCCTGCCAAACTATAGCTGACGTGTCATATTGACAGGTAACTACTCAATTGTATGATCAATGACATCAGTCGTAATGATATAGGGCATACGGAGGGACAGAATAATACAGTCATTCAACGTGTCTCGAAATTAATTCAATTACCTCCACAACGCCCGACCAAAGCCGCCTCTCAATGGTATGCAGGGAGTACTGGATTATATACATGAAAATGGCTCAGTCCAGTGATGGACGGAAAGGGCCAATATGACAGAACAGAACATAGGAACATGTTTTGGAGCGAGCGGCTGGTAGCAGGGTACCCAATTCAACAACATCACCAAGGCCAGTACCCTTTACTGAACAAGATACACCAGCAGACCCAGAGCACCCATGGCGAGCTGTGAGAAGGACTGCAGAGAGGAAGCGCGACCATTTTGGATACTTCCAGTTGCCGAGGCCGCTTTGCCGTTCTTCACATTGCTAGTCTCGAAAGGTTCGGCAGCAACGACGGAGTGAGTCACAGTCGTTGAAGAGGCTGGGGTGCTAGAGGGAGTAGCTGCGGCCGATGAGCTGATCAAGGGCTTGCTTGTTGTGGCAGCGGCCTGAGTGGCAGTTGTACCGCTAGTGCTGGAGGAGCTGCTGCTAGTTTGAGCAGAGTTGGTGTTGGTGTTGGTGTTGGTGTTGGTGTTGGTAGCAGTGTTTGTCTGCGAAGATTCCGAGGCGGATTCGGCGTTCACCGCAGGTCCAGCCTTGAGAAGGGCGGAGTAGTTGCGTTCGCCACCCTGGCTGATCTGGAAAGCATAGTCCTCTCCACTCTTGACATTGTCACCAGGGGTCCAGGTAAAGGTGCCATCCTTGGCCTGGGCGGTCATAATTTCCACATCCTCCAGGTTGGTGGAGGTTCCTTTGCGAAGAGTGAGAGTGACGGGCTAAATGCAGCCACCCGAGTCAGCGATTCACACGCTCAATCCACAATAAAAAGAATGATGTACCTGGTCTGGAGCACCGCCTTCCCATGTCAGAGTAACAGGCTTGCCAGCCTGAATATTCTTGGGCCAAGCAGTGAAGGCCAGAGGGTCATTGGCGTAGGCGACAGCAACGAGAGAAGCCGAGACGGCGAGGACACCTGTGAAATGCATGGTGATAGGTAAATGAAAGCGAAGAACCGAATGAATTCGATTCGGATGTTAAGGATAGTAAGCTGTGAGATTAGAAGAACGGCGTATGAAGATGTGAACGTCGGAAGCAGATAGAGTAGAACAAAAGGTCGGATACCAGTGGCGCATTACGATGCTTTATTCTGCTGCAAGAAAATCCTAAATCTCTCCCAGCCCCGCACATTGGACCTGAATTCTAGCGTATTGGTATTCTATTGTTGATGCTTAGGTGTGTCTGGTAGAGAATGCGACATTCCTGGACTGTGGATGGCTTCAAGTTCTGCCCAATAAAGCATGCGACTCTCAAATGCTTGAAGGATTTGACCAATAGGCGGTCAATACATTGACGGAAAAGTTCCTCCTTCAACAGAGCCAGCTTCTTGCGCATTGCATTACATTTGAGAGTAGTCAAGTGGTATGATTGATGTGAAGAGATTAGTATAACGCTCCTATTAGATACCTTTTCGAGACCATGGACTGCCAGAAATCAAGTATCTACGTTCATAAACTTATGTAAGAAAGAAGTGCTCCTTGAACGCCAGTAGAATGGCTGACTGGAACGCAAGGAATGTGATCCCTTCCCGAGCTGTTTTGACACAAATCAAGGTATAGGGCTGGGGCCAACATCGTTCACACCTGCAGTCCCAAGCAACACATTTTCACAAACATTTCTCAAAGCTGCTCAGAGAGTGAGTATCATACCAAGGGGGTGGTCAGTGTAGATGAAAGTTGTGTTCACACTATAGCTGCTCGGTCGATCATATAATCTGCAAGGGCGGCTGCCCGCCCGAGACTGACGTCGGTGGATATAAACAGACCAGGAATCTTGTTTGTAAGGAGAATTCCACATAACGTAGTCAGCACACGACATGCAATCTACTAACTCTAATCATAGTTGTGGATAATAATTGCTAGCATGGATTATCTTCTATCGCGTGACCGATTCCTGAATGACCGATCGTATATGTACTCCATCGATCCTAGATCAGCTGTGCAGGCACTATCTACAATTCTGTCATCACCTCTCCCGGACGCAAAAATCCCGTTAAGAAGTACCCTCCTATCGTTTACATCTTCTTAGCATTAACCTGATACCAGAACCGGGATATTGATCACAATGGGCTCTCTGTCTAGCACAGAGGGCTTCTACAACATAACGATGTTGATCTATTGCCCATAAGAATTTTGTCCACAGCCGAATTGGACGATCTATATCTCAAATCCCCGCCGCATCATCCATGGAATCGATCACGGCAGCAATATCAATGGTTGAGAAATGACAGATTGTACCTGGAAGCCATTATCTATGTCAATTGATAATGGCATCTTCAAGACTCATGCGTCTGTCGAGACCATATGGCATTCAGTTCGGTGCCTTCCTCACATCCACCCAGATGGCGACGACGACTAAGCGGCGACATCGTCAAGCGCCGGCGAGGTCAATCGCAGCCAGGACCAATGGACCCGCATTTGGATGAGAGAGACAGAGACTCAAACGATCTTTCCTTTTCTCTCCTCAATCGCAGACACAAGCTTCACTTTTTTCTCTCGCAAGTCGTTCCCCATCTTGCCATCCAATCTCAAGCTTCAAATCTCTGCATACAAAGCTTTTCTCAATGTCTCGTTCACCGTCTCCTACCGAGAGCGCAGCTCTTCCTGATAGTGAGTCTCTGTCGGAGAGCACGACCGCTGACGCTCCTCAACTGGTGACCGATGAGATTCCCTGGTCCTCGTCTTCATCTTCAAGTGGAGGCTTTCCCGAGTTCAGCACTCGTGCCTGGCCCATCATCGAGGAACCAACAGACAGAAGACCTCCGGTGCAAATCGCCCTCGAATATCTCCACCAGTCGATCCCAGCCATGCAGCGAAGCCAGCAGCCGACATCAACCTCCGACCCGGCCACCCAGGCCCGTCTGGAGACTGCGCGCCTTGAGACCGTGGCAGTAATCGCCCGGTATTTTATGATCATGCAATTCGCAGAGAACCGGCGCAGCCGCCGCGTCTCCCAAAGCTCACGCTGGTGGCGGTCTCTCTGGACATGGATCTTCGGCCGCAGTTTTTGGGAAGAAGTCAACCAGGAGCTTGCGCCCCTTGTGTCCCGGGTGACGCAGCTCATGGGGTTGTACTTCCGTTGTCTGGACTGGGTGTGCGACTTTTACGTCGAAGCTGTGCGAGAGGCCGAGTCCATTGAAGGCATCGACAGGGCTTTCAGGTGCTTCTTCCATGGAACACGTGAACTAGATGCCTGGCGTCTAGCAGTACTTCGCCTTGAGTTCGAGCAGCTCCGCCGGAACATAGACGGGCTGCTCGCCACCGATGGGCGTCGCTGGATGTGCTTCGTGGATGCCTTCTTCGCCCTGGCGCTGAACGGGTCGTACCCGGCCCGTAATTACCAGGTGGGAGTGTTTTTCCTGGCGGCGATGAATGCCAGCCAGGAGCATGAGATCACGGAGCGGGCGTGGCCAGCAGTCGAGGAAGACCTCGGTCGCGGTATGAATGCATTTCATCTCACATTTAATCACATACTGTGACTAGTGCTGACTGTTATATGCAGTGATTGCGGCGGAAGAAGAGGAGGAACTGGAGGAAGTCGTGGGACTGGACGAGGGACTGGACGAACTTGACAATTTGATGTAAGTAGTTCTATCCATTGGCAGGTTTGATTTGTAACGAACATTGGCCTGACTTTTTCGTTTGCAGTGACGGCCAGATGAATCGTCGTATCTTCAATTACGACTCAGCTTCTTCGGGCTGAAGGTTACAGACTGGTCTCGTCGTGGTGTGGTGCTGGGTGGGTGGGGGTCAGGAACACCATATTGTGTGTGTACAGGCTGGACATGAAATACCAGCAAGGAGAAGCTTAATTTTGGAGGCAGGAATGGAGAGAGATTCTGCACAAACAAGAAAAATCCTTTTAAACGCCCATCTAGGTGCATATGCAAAATATCAAAGAACTTAGGGCTAACGTACATCGGACAGTCAGGACCAACATTAAGGCGGTCAGTGAACGTTGGGATGTTAGGTAGATTAGGATGAAAAGTCCCACAGTCCACGCATGAAAGAACCGGCTCCAGAGTCCACACCGTCATCTTCTTCCAGTAAGCGGTCCGTAAAGATACGCTTCGGGATTTGGTACTCGACCACTGGAACCTTGCGCAGCGGTTTCTCCCCGGTACCGAGCTCACCCTGCACCATACCCTGATAGGTGTGGTCAAGGAAGTCCTCCAGGCTATAAGCCTGTTTCGTGAACTGCTCGGAGATAATTCGGGCAATGGCTGCGACGTTAGGGTGGTAATGAGACTGGAGAGTTTCGATCTCCCAGATACTGCTTTCGATGGCATTGGTCCGGGTGGGATCTGTCTCATTCGGATCGAAGGGATCCTCAAAGCCTTCAGACTCGATCTCTGCGGCAGATTTCTGGTCACGGATCTCACGGTGCATTGTAAATGTACAAGTGGGGTGGCTCTTGAAAAGGTTGTACATGAACGGCACAATCACGACAATAGCCGAGGGAGGCGCATTGAGTGCGAGACGAGAGAGACGCTTGATGAAACTTGCCACGAGGGTAGCAGGAAGATGGGTCGAGGCGAGGAAGTTATTCAATAGGCGGAAGAAGCGTGATCGGTGCTTGGAGTGCAGGAGGTCTGCGTCGAGGAGCGAGTAGAGTTTGGCGTAGAATTGCGGGTAGTCAAGGTTCTTCTGTTGAATCAGGTAGAAAAGACCGGACAGGGCGAGCAGAGAAGTGGCCCCACCCTCGTTGTAAGAGTCCGTCAAGAAATCCATCAGGAGTTCGGGGCGGGTGAACCAGGGCTCGATGGTGTGGACCATAATACGCAGAAGGGCCTTTCGTTGCGCTTGGGAGAGGTTATTCCGAAGAATGGCCAGCCATGCGTCCTGCGCCCGTCTCTTGTGGCCATGGACAGTGCGAAGTCGCTTATTATTTGGGTCGGGCTTTGCGAAGAAGTTTTCAAAGTCGATTTCGTGATCAGGGCTCGGGGCTTCGTCGCAGGTCGAGAGGAGGGAAATGAGGATCTCGATGGTGTCGGTCTTTCGTCGAGTAGAAGCATACTCACTGTACCGAATTAGTCAACAACTGAGGAAGTTCAGCGAACAGGGGGACATACGCTATTTGCGCAAATGTTTGGTATCGGATATCTTCATATTCTTTCATGAACTTGGTGACGAATTCTGCCCGCACGTCCTCGCCGTCCTGGGCCTCCACGAGAGCCTCGATAATGTCCTTGAACAGACCGGACCAGATACTGCTGTCTGCTCCCTGAATGTGTGTAACGTATTCTTTCACGAGGCGCATGCTTAGGGTAAGGGCCGTAACCTAGTGTGCTAATTAGTCCAACAGTAACTTGTTGATACACCGACAGAATTGCACCCACCTGAGAGGTACTATCAGCCTCACGAATGATAGATAGCAATGCGCGCTGGTATTCCGAGCATCGTTCCTTCAACCATGCCACCACAATCTTCTCATTTTCAGCATCGCGACTGCTCTCGGAAAGGTTGCCCGCCGCCATCAATCGGCTGAATACTCTGCAAAGCGAGACTGCCACTGCTAGCTCTGGCTTTTTCGCCGATGGTTCCACGTTCAGCATCGATATCAAAGTTGCAATATTGTTGTAGTGTTTGCGCGACTCCGCAATTTGATTCTCCAGCTCTTGGACCTTTGACAGTGTCTCGGCGAAGCCATCTTCCTCGGCCACAGCGCGGCGCTTGGACGAGGGGGCACCGGCATTCTTGGTGTTCTTGCGCTTCTTCGAACTTGAGGAGTCCACTGCTGTAGGCATTTTGGGTGAGTGTCGCGTAGATTGCTGGCGTGATCTCGGATCTACTACCATCAACTTTTTTTTTTGGCTGTACCTTTTGGGTATTTTTTGGAGCTCGGGGCCCGAGTTTTTCCGCCGCACCGCACTTCTTCCCAAAGAGGTTAGCGTGTGCAAGCCCGTCCTAGCCGTCCCGACCTCAAGTCTCCTCTCCGAATCACCCACCCTATTCACAGGATTCTTCCATCCGCAACAATGGTCTCGCGTCTTGCTAAGAGCGCCATTGGTATGTTACATGCTGACCCTGACTGTCCGAGCAAATGGATCCAGGTAGCTGACTCGCTTCGCCTAGGCGCCGCCCGGCTACGGCCCTCCGTTACCGCCCGTGTCCCTGCCATCACTGCCCTGACCTCGATTCGCGCGGCCTCCAGTGTGCCCGCCGAGGAGCCTGCTAAGAAGGCTCAATCGATCCTCGATGCTGTTCCCGGAAACTCTCTCGTGTCCAAGACCGCCACCCTGTCCGCCGCCGCCGGTCTGTCCATTGCCGCCATCAGCAACGAGCTCTACGTGATGAACGAGGAGACCGTCGCCGCCTTCTGTCTGCTCTCCGTCTTCACTGCCGTTGCCAAGTACGGTGGTCCCGCCTACGGCGAGTGGGCTCAGGGTCAGGTCCAGAAGCACAAGGACATCCTGAACGCTGCCCGCGCCGACCACACCAACGCCGTTAAGCAGCGCATTGACAACGTCAAGGAGATGTCCGGAGTTGTCGAGGTCACCCAGCAGCTCTTCGCTGTTTCCAAGGTAAGATTGCCGCAGCATCTCGGGTGAACGGAAGTATACTCCGAGAAAAGCGTGAACATGCTCTGACCGGGGATTGCGTTTTTATAGGAGACCGCCCAGCTCGAGGCTCAGGCCTACGAGCTCGAGCAGCGCACCGCCCTTGCTGCCGAGGCCAAGACCGTCCTTGACTCCTGGGTCCGCTACGAGGGCCAGGTTAAGCAGCGCCAGCAGCGTGAGCTTGCCGAGACCATCATCGGCAAGATCCAGAAGGAACTCGAGAACCCCAAGGTCCTGCAGCAGATCCTCCAGCAGAGCGTTGCTGATGTTGAGCGTGAGTACATTCTACATGGATTGGTATAAAGTGCACTTACTGACGGTCATACAGGTATCATGGCGTCCAAGGCCTAATTGGATAGACTCTGATGGCTCCCTCGGCGATTGCCCAATGTGTACAAAACTATAGGGGTCATTTGCATCTTCTGAGTTAGAATTGCAATACCATTTCTTTTATCGGCATGCCTTTTCACATTCTAGATCTTTTGCCCGTCTTTGCGTTCAAGTAGACTATATTCCGTTGGCTCTGCTTCGTAGTCATCCAGCCAGGCTCATTGCTCTCGTCAAATTCTCTATATGAAGGCTACGCTCGGGCCTCCACGAAAATCATAAGGTCATTGGATATAGGGCTATGATTGATACCCTGCTATACTCAACCAGTGTGCAATTTTCACTGGTAATTCTGTGTCCTACTGGGCCGATAGGTAATCTTTGCTTGCTTCATTGCCCTGTAATCATCTGGGGAACTCCTGGGTCTGGAGATATGGAGAGATCAATTAAGCTCGCTGATCCAGGTGATTCACTAGATGGATCGGACTGAACATGAACGAGATGATGCTTTCCATCCATATCTTGATCTTCAGACCTTTTGATATGCCAGCGTGGCTATCAATCAGTCGGCCACGCGCTAAAAACGCAGGGACCGACATCGCACGCCACATGTGGGACATGCATGTATGAGATCTATCAGAACTGCAAGAAGTATACGACAAATTCTTTCCAAGTCAAATGTCCAATTGTATACTCATCTTTATACTGTTCTCCCTTTGCCTAGGGTTGCATTCATCAAGCGCTCCGTATTCCGCTTAGCCGCCGGGCGCGACCCAACGAACCAAAGACTCTCCGCACAGCCCCAACCTGATGTTGCTGTGTTGCTGTTCTTGATGCGGCTGTGTCTGTCCTGTGTTGGCTTATTCCTGCCTGGAAAATAGATAAATTATTCTCTGATTCCCCAGACTATTTGGCCTTCTCCATCTTTGACTTCTTGTTCCACTCTTCATTGGATCTCCAGACCCTCCGCATCACCACCCGTGCCGCATATCGCAGATTGCAGATCCCAATCCCCAGATCGACGTAACCACCTCAAGATGCCCTCACTACGAGACATCTTGCACAAACGCGAAGACCTCACCGAGAAGTCCTCCGCACCAACAACCAACCCGCAAAATCCCCCATCATCCCCGCCACCACCCGAGATCACCTTTCTACGCTCCGACACCTTCGGCCAAGAAGTAATCACCCCTCCAGCACACCCACACGACGAACACACGCCCAACTCACTCGCAAGCGCAACTCCCGAGTCCCCGCGTCTCTCCTCCTCCAATTCCCGCCGCAGCTTCCTCTTTAAGCGCTCCAACTCCTCCCGCTCCCTCTCCAGCCCATCACCACCCCACCCCCACCGCGAGCGCCGCCTCTCGAACCTTCTCCACCGCCGCAGCCCAAGCAACTCGCAAGAGTCATCAGCAAATATCCCCGAGGGTCTGCCGCAGATTGAGGACGAGAAGGGGGCGGATAAACAGGAGCGCGAGGCGCAATGGGAGAAAAGGGCCACGGTGCTGGTGCAGCGGAATCCGCACTTTGGCCAGTCGCTTTCGTCGCCACCGCAGTCGGTGGGTGATTTGTCGTTGCCCGGTGGTGGACAGGGAAGATCTAGGAGTTCTAGTCATAGTCGAGTTGGCGATCAGCAGGATGATGTAAGTTAAGATGTCGAGAGGGAGGATGGATTGATGATGTCGCAACGATGCTGACCATGACTGGGGTAGGTCAATATCCAAGAGGCTATCCGGCTTCATGAAGCAGGAGGTGAGTACATGCCATTGATCCTAAGACATGTGACTTGTTGCTAATTACACTGACATACAGATCTGGAAAGATCAACTATGATGTTTGGCCAACTTGCCGACCCCAATGGGCATAACAATCCGCTTAGCCAGGTTCTCTACGGCTTAGCATTGAGGTAATATGGTACCATACATATAGCGTCTTCTCAAAGACTAACGTTGCGTAGACACGGCTGGGGCTGTACGAAAGACGAGACACGCGCAGTAGAATACCTTTCGGCGGCGGCAACAAACTCAGCCGCCGTAGAATCCGATGCTCTCCGTGCAGGCATGAAAAAGGGCGGCGTTGCAAAAGGCGAGCTGGTCCTGGCTATCTTCGAACTTGCCAATTGCTTCCGCATGGGTTGGGGGGTGAAGAAAGACCCTGCTGCTGCGAGGCAATATTACGAGACTGCAGCGAACCTAGGTGATACTGATGCCATGGATCAGGTGGCGTGGTGTTACCTAGAGGGATTTGGTGGGAAAAAGGATAAGGTAAGATCATCAGCCTTCGAAATTTGGCGATATAATTGTGGCCTGGAGCAGTGCTAATGTCGGCGGGATTATAGTTCAAAGCGGCCAAATACTATCGACTTGCCGAGGAGAACGGGTGTCCTACCGTTGGGAACTCTTGGTATGTTGCCGACCCGCGTCTCTCAAATGAAACCTTGGGACTATACCCTTGCTGACTTCTATGTCCCTGCAGGATCTGGAAAGAAAAGTATAATCCCAAATGAGGGATTCTAAGAAACGGCTTTCAGATCTGATTTTAGGAGCTTCACGGGGCTCTTATGTATTCCCTGCAACGATATTGTTGACGAATTTCCTACATGTTGCACATACTAGCACGATGCCTACGAGGGTTCTTGATTAATGTTTTCTCTCCATATATGTTTACGAGCACACAAATGTGAATGCAGAGCTCCAGCATCTAGCTAATGTACCGAGGTCATAAAAAGATGTAGTCATCCATAAACTAAGTACAACACAAAGTGTCTTCTTGAATCGAGAGTATCTTTAGAAGTTCCCCGCATTCACTTTAGTCCCGCCGTCAATTGGCTTCTCACCATCATCGGCTAATCCTCGGCCCCCGGGAGGTTCGGCACCATTTGTCACCCCTTACTGATGATTAGCACGATCTCCATTCATTCCTGGGAACAACCTAGGCCAAACTCTATCTAAGCGATGTAGGAAAGCCTGCGTTCTTGGTTCGGAGAGGTACCGCCCTTCCAGTAAGCGAAAGATAGGCTAACAAGAATCCCGAGATCAATGGATCCGTATAACGCCATGGCATTGGGTACACCGGGATCACTCATCATGGTTGACTCCATATCCCCACACTTAATTCCCCGCGCTTCCTCCGCGTAGATGGATTGGCATACCCCAGGCTGTGGAGCATTTGACTTCACGGTCGTATCGCGCAAATTGAAACGTTCTCGGGAGTCATTTGTGGGACATAACCGGCCTTCGGAGGAGGGGGCCTCGGCCGCATAAAAAGTTTATATGCCTCTTGACCGTCCCATACCAGTCGACCGCAAAACGAGTGAAACTTTACTCACAGACCAATTCAAGGTTGACAGTCAAGTGACCGCCGTGATGTCAGGCAAAGCTTCTGCATCAATTGCAGTGCGGGATCTCGCATCGGTACAGACATTGCCCATCTTGCTACTGGAGCTTTCTTAATGCTAACAGGGCCGTCTAGGTTCTTCCCAAGAGAAGCAAGCCGTGGTGGCAGACATCCCATCTGCTAATTCTCAATGCATACATTATCAGCTTGCTCCTTTTCTCATCTACCGGCGGCTACGACATATCTCTCATGAACAGCCTCCAATCTCTCAACCAATGGCAACTTTTCATGGATAGGCCGACAGGTGCCTGGCTCGGTTTTATCAATGCCCTCCAATCCATCGGCAGCATGGCCTTCCAGCCCATCGGCGCCTGGTCAGCCAATCGCTTTGGCCGGAAGCGCACCATTCTCATCGGGTATCTGTGGCTGGTACTCGGCGTTGGTCTACAGGTCGGCGCACCGAACCCGAAATGGTTCATCGCATCGCGATTCTTCGTCGGAATCGCAGGAACTTGGTTCCAAGCATCTGTGATTCTAGTCACGGAGATTGCGTATCCCTCGCACCGCTCGTTCGTAACGTCGGCTTATATGTGCCAGTTCTACGCCGGCTCCTTGCTATCTGCGTGGATCGCGTTCGGGACCAGGACTCTGGATAGTAATTGGGCTTGGCGTATCCCATCGCTGATGCAGCTTGCCCTGCCGCTTTTGGCTTTGCCGGGTACGCTGTTGATTCCTGAGTCGCCGCGTTGGTTGATCTGTCAGCAGAGATCGGGTGAGGCGAGGAGTATACTGGTGCGTTACCATGCTGGCGGTGACCAGAACTCGGAGCTTGTTGCTTTTCAGATGGCGGAGATCACGGAGTCCATTACATTGGAGCAGAGCGTGCAGCAAGAGTCGCGCTGGATGGACTGTGTGAGGACCAAGGGTAATCGATACCGATTCTTCCTCAGTGTGTCACTGGGATTCTTCGCGCAATGGAATGGATGGTGAGTTCCAGCCCTGAAACTATTCTCGCGAGAGATGTAAACTAACCTCGCATCTTCCAGCGGTGTTGTATCTTACTATCTCACACTAATCCTCAAAACAATCGGCATAACCTCGGTCACCGAACAAACACTCATAAACGGCTTCCTCCAACTCTGGAACCTAATAATGAGCATTGTCGGCGCCTGCTTAGTCGACCGTGCCGGTCGACGCAAACTCTTCATAACATCGACAATAATAATGCTCACAAGTTACATATTCATCACCGCCCTATCTGGCAGCTTCAACACAACCGGCACCGCAGCCATCGGCACAGCCGTCATCCCGTTCCTTTTCATCTACTTTGCCGGATACGACATTGCATTCACGCCGCTATTGCTCGCATACCCAGCTGAAATGTGGACATTCTCCCTGCGCGCAAAGGGTGTTGCTATCTCGATGATGGCGAATTATGTGGCGTTAATATTTAATCAGTTGATTAATCCTATTGCGCTGGAGGCAATTGCGTGGAAGTATTATATAGTGTTTTTGGTGATATTGATCGTGATTCTGGGGATTGTTTACTTGTATTATCCCGAGACCAAGGGGTATTCATTGGAGGAGATTGCCGTTGTTTTTGACGGCGAGGAGGCAAGGGTTACGGATTTTGTGACTGTTAAGGAGGCGATGGAGGGTGAAGGGACTGCGAAGAGTGAGAATGCTGAAGATGTTTGAAAATTAGACAGCCCGGAATCGACGGTAAAAAAGATTAACTTCGTGGAGACCTCCTTATATCTTTGTGCCCTTCGCGGCCCATAATTAAATCCGGTTTGATGATAGATGCCTCGGAGAGTTCCCTCTTTGCTCTCTCCCTGGCTATAACCAGAAGATGTCTCTAGTCCTTCTATCCCTAAACAAAACAGTCGATGGTTATTCTCTCATTTTTCCTTCCATCTTTTCTTGGCTTCTACAAGACCAACAATTGTTTCGTTTGGATTGTCCTAGAAGATTTCCTGTTAGTTGGTTTCTTGCAGATTGTTTCAAATTGTTTCTTTCTAGATCGCTTTATTCAAGGCCTCCATAGAGAGATCCCTTTCCTGTTTCTTAGATTCCTTCGTCCATAAGGATCCAGAGTTTTCGAGATAGACAAACTTGCTCTCTAGATTCGCTTCCTGGCTTTCTTGCGTAGCGACGTCTTCAATAGCTGACCTATTTCTCACTTTCCCGCCCTCTTTTCAAGTCCCCATAAAGTACCCCGAGCCACTGGTGAGAAATTTCTATGCAAATATTTGCGATCAAAACTAACAAATCGTGGTAATAACAACAATCAAATTATGGCAGTTATTGTAGCAAGTTTAGCCGAGGGCCGCCACGTTGGCGCTTCAGGGGTGTTCAGGTAAAGGGGCCTGAAGGGCCTGAAGGGTAAAGTGGCAAGAGCAACCGGCTAGACGAATGACAAAAACGGGTGAACAAAAACATACAACCACCCAACGTATGGCCGAGCTCACCTAGCGCCCAAGTTTCGGTTACGGGCGACTCGCCATTTATTCAGGTACGCTTCAGGCGGTTCCAGGCAGCAGTTCACCCACCTGAACATCCTTCACCCGACGGGCGGACGAAGCTGCAGCGCACGCGTGCAAAAAGAGCATTTGCATAATTTGGCGGAAGGAAAGGTTTTACGAGCGATCAATGTGGAGAGCGACGGGGGATTATTTATAACGAGGCCCGGGGAGCGTCCAGGTGGCTCCTCTCACCATTCAGCCTCCCCGCTCACCTCGTCCTAGACTGAACGATCAAATTCACCCTCGAAATAATCAAAAGCAAGGATCAAGCTACCAATTTTACCCTTCTCATGAATTTCAACGAGAATGATAACTCAGAAACCTGACGTGCTGCCCTTGCGAGGATAAAGGGGGACTACCAGTTTGTGGTCTGTGACTTTGACAAGTAGCGCCTCAGCAATGCCCATTCAGCTTAGGAGGTCTTCAGAGAGTTGATCCGCTCCAGAATATGGAGATTTGATCGGTGATTCGGAGAAGTTCACAGAGCGTCAACCGATCATCGGTTCTCGCAGCCACGTCTCTCCCTTGTTTCACCTCAAAGCAGGTCTGAGCCACAAAGGCGTCCTTCTCAACTGCTTATACATACCGTAATTCAACGGCCGAGCTGCGCACACGGTCGAGCTGCGCACCCCAAAACACATAGTAAATACGATAAATTACAGCTTCATCTTTCAACGCTCAACACTTAGAATAAGGTCTAAGTATATCTTAGTCCTCAGTACTTTATATTAAGTATGTTTATTAGGTCAAGAACCACTTTGAGGTATAACCATGTCGATATATATATATCGGTATCACTCGATCGGAGCGTATCTTTAGTAATGTAGGTAAAAAATCATTCACTCTATATTTTAGTTAAGTTACACTATCATTTATGCTAATAATCAATGTTCTACCAAATTCAAATAAAATGGACTTCTCATTGTTGATATATAGTGACCTGAATAATCCTATTTACTATGTGTTTAGGGTGCGCAGCTCGACCGTGAATTACGTTAGCACTGATGTTTTGTCAAAGAATCACAATTGGCATTCCGTCCTTATAGCTTTCTATGTACTCCATACATTGTGATTGAAAAGAAACCATCGGAAGTTCAACAATACGTTTCACATACTTAACTTTATTGTCATCAGTAGCTTTTAACTATCGGTATTGCTTGTACACTCCACAGCACTTCGGAATATCTCTCCTGGCTTACTGCATGTCTTTCCGAGATCTTCACAGAGACAAGAATATAGAATAAAACTTGTAAGTGGTCGCTCACCGCACTGTTAACTGGCCTACCTGAAGGGAGCCTGGGGGGCATACATGGAAGAGAAACAGTCAGAATCGGAGGGAACCACATGTTCAAAACCCTGGGGGCCAAACTGAGAACCGCATGGTTCGTCTGCCCCTGCAATAATAGGCGATTAATTATTACTGTACGGAGTAGTATGACTGATGTTTCTGAAACACTGGTCTCTGGAAATCTGTGCATAGCCACACCGGACGCAGTAGCGTGGCGTTCGTGATGGCCCCACATACTAAGCGCGATCCATCATGTGATTGAATTCGTACTTCTAGCCTACTCAGGGGGTCCCTCCTTGAAAGATATTTATAATGCGAGCCCTTAGATTTCAGTCTGGGACAATATCCTTGTGACAACCTCTCCTTATAGTGGGCATCTTATAGAGCTGCAGGATGCTGATCCGCGATAATGGTCTATCAAAAGTATTTCCTCGCGGAGCGGTGGAAGGAAATAGTGGCACGAATCCCCTTGTCAAGTGAGCATCTTAAAACCCTCTTACATCTATGGAGACATATTGACAGAATGACAGCATTGTGTTTGTTCATGGGCTTCGGGGCCACCCAAGACGAACCTGGGAATACAAACAGACGACTGTGAACGAAGTGGGTAACAAGAAAACAGATGCCTCCAAAGTTCCATGGTTGCATCGAGCTCTGATATCTCCCCCTCAGCCACAACCAATAGATGCTGAATTGGATAAGAGCCCTAAACTGGAATCTTCCCACAACGATGGTCTCGCATCAAGCCATATTTTCTGGCCCGCGGACGAGCTTCCAGAGGTTGTGCCCCAGGCGAATATATTCACATATGGTTACAACGCCAATGTGATTGAGGGAGTTTTCTGCTCAAATAATCGGAACAGTATCTTGCACCACGGAAATGACTTGATGGTCAAATTGGAGCGTTCACTTGAAAATGATGTAAGGGACACGCACATTCCTTTGGTGTTGGAGGTTAAACAGACTATGATTTAGTGAGACTACACTCACTACTAGACATTATTGCTGATTATGTTTGATTGAGGAAAGCTTCCTGTGATTTTCGTCGCCCACAGTCTCGGAGGAGTCGTTGTCAAAACCGTCAGTCTTGTTTTCTCGCTTTGTTTCAATCTGGATGACTGAGAAGTAAAAGGCAATTCAAAGATGCAATGCGAGTCCCCAACCTAGATACAAAGATCTTCTGGCCCGTGTGCATGGGATTATATTTTGCGGAACACCTCATAGAGGAGCGAGTGCTGCAGCTTGGGGACATCTAGTTTCGAATCTCGTGACTGTGGCCCTGCAGAGCTCTAATGATCGGCTTCTCTCTGAGCTTCAGATTGATTCCCAAATTCTGGATTTGGTTCAAGATGACTTCCTTCGAGTACTGCAAAATTTTGACATCTCTATCCACTCATTCCAAGAAAGCCGTGGTCTTTCGGGTATCAAAGGGTTCAGCGGAAAGGTATAATTTCCCACTACCTCATATTTTGGACGATTCTAATTCAGTATCTAGGTGGTAGATGACATTTCCTCCAAATTAGGCTATACCTTGGAAACAACGGAGACAATCGACGCGAATCATATGGAAATGGTGTTGATCGGCTCTGGAGACATCTCTGCAGTGCTCAAAGGTTACGTCCGAGACATTGAGAAAAGGAAAGATCATATGCCTCGTGCGTAACATTATGCTTCGCCTGTCTTTATTATCCCAATTGAAACTAGGCTGACAATACTTGGCTCAATCCTGTAGCTGCCCTGATTCCAGCCGTGCCGTATGATTATGTGCACAAGTTCCGCGTATTCAATTATCAGGATGTCCTTTCCCGAGTACCAGAAAGGCATCCAGATACATGCACTTGGCTTACTAATAATCCAAGTTTCGTCCAATGGAAAGACAGTGTCCACCATAAGTTTTTCTGGCTTCATGGTTATCCAGGGCAGGGAAAATCAGTACTGGCAAGATACACACTTGACATGCTCCGTGAAGCTAGCTGCAGTCCTCTTGATAAACAAGACAAAGCGAGGCCACTGGTATGCTACTTCTTTTGCTCCGATGACGATCAGCGGACCAAATGTACCACAAATTTACTGGCTTCGTTGATTCACCAGCTGCTTTACGAGGACCCTGGCTTAGGGCGCAAATTGAAAGAAAAATATCCCAAAATTGAACCAGGCTATCTCGAGTCAATGTGGCAACTCTGGGACAGCTTTTCGCTTGTGTTAAGTGCTGTGGGCACCCGTCCTCTGTACATTGTGATTGATGCTCTGGATCACCTGAATAGGACAGAGTGGGGATTATTTCTCCGAGGCATTCAACGGGAGATTCAGTCAGAAAGGCAGAGCGTCAAGATGTTTCTGACAAGTCGAACAGAGCCAGAATTGGAGAGAACTCTCTTGTCATGGAATATCTTACACGTCTCTCTCGATGATTCTCTGGAGAAGGAGGGGGACTGTGCTCTGTTTCTTCGAGAGGTTGTGCATGAATACGCCCTAGCACACTCTTTCGAAAGCCGCATAACAGAAACCGTCTTAAAAGAGATCATGTTCCGTGCTAAAGGATCTTTCCTGTGGGCCTCTCTTGCCTGGGCCAATTTCCAAGACGGTATCGGTTCTTGGACAAAGGATCTCCTTTATCAGAAGCTAGACAAGCTTCAGCAGTTACCACGTAAAATGGAGAGCCTTTATTACCGCTTGCTCTGCGCCGTTGACGAAAGGCAGCATGAAGAGCTTCTTCATGTTCTTCAGTGGATTGTGGCGGCTCGACGTCCACTCAGGATTGATGAACTGTCAGTCGCAATAGCACTTGCGGAAAGACCTTGTTCTTATGAGGCCATAGATGTCAGATTCTCACTTAGTGAATTCCTCAGACGTGCATGTCCGCACTTGATTCGAGTTGACGATCATGAATATATCACGCTCGTCCATCATTCGTTCAAAGCCTTCCTGTTGGACGTACGTCATATCAGTCTCGATAAGGAAAAACGACATAATAAGTTCCATATCGACCTAGATCAAGTGAACATTCAGCTTGCTCGAGACTGTATGTGGTATATAGGGTTAAAGAATTTCCCATTAGGAGACTTGGACGTGACAAGACCTAATTCCACTGATTCTGTGGCAGCATACGAATATTTGTCCGGAAAGTACCCTTTTCTTGCCTATGGCTCACGATTCTGGGTGTCACATATTGGTGAATCGGATGATTTGCAATTCTACCAGTTCTTCAAACGAGTGCTCATCAGACCGCAAAATTATCTTGCATTGTGTTGCTTCACCATATACTTGTCTAGTTTCGAAGGACCTCCGCTCTTTTTGGCAATGCGACACGGACTCTATGGTCTAATGAAAAACTTGGTTGATGACGGACATGATATCAATGCACTCAAGGATGGAAAGCCCCTTCTGCATTACTATAAGACTTTTGAGCAAACCATGTTACTTCTTCACCTCGGAGCTGACCCTAATTCGCGGGATTCATACAAACAAACAATCCTTCTTCGTCGACTCAGAAATTCATGTCAGCTACTTGTTGAAGCAGATTCAGACGCGGGATCTCAGGCGGGCTCGGACTTGGAAGATGCAGAATCATGCAACCACTTGGCCAGCCCAAGAAATTCTTGTCAGCCACTTGTTGAAGCAGATTCAGACGCGGGATCACAGGCGAGTTCGGACTCGGAAGATGCAGAATCATGCAACCACTTGGCCAGCCTTCAAGAAGCTCTGAGCTTTACCGGTCTCGACTTTAATGCGAGTGATCAATGGGGCTTGACATCATTACATGCGGTTGTTGCCCTAGATTGCCTCCATGCTGAGAAACTGTTGGAGAAGTTGATGACTCGACAAGATTTGAAATTGAACCCCCAGGACGAGCTGGGGCGCACCCCATTGACTCTGGCTATCCACTGGGGAAAAGAGAACATGACTCGCGTTCTACTTAATATTCCAGAAGTCAACATTGAGATTGCGCAGATTCGAGGAGAAAACCCTCTAATCAACGCTGCTCGTCAAGGTTGGACAGAGATTGTTATATCTTTGCTGCACCGTTTGGACAGAATTGGCAGATTTTCGGACAGTAACGGGAGAAACATTCTACATTGGGCCATCATAGTCGGAATGATCGATGCTTTCGAACTCGCTTTGAAGAAAAGCCCCGATCTCTCGGCTGTACCAGATAGGCAGGGCATGACGCCTCTTCATTATGCCAGCCAAGAAAACGAATACCGCGCAACCGAGATGCTGTTATCCTACGGTACCTCTCCGACAGATAAAGCATCATGCGGCCGAACTCCTCTTCACCTGGCAGCAGCCAATGGTCATACACGGATCGTGAAGGCATTAGTTGCCCATTTGCCAGTACCATCCGCTGTCAATGAAAGGGATTCCATGGGTTGGACCGCACTTCACCACGCCGTCGTCTCCGGCAATGACGTGCTTGTGAGCTACATCGTTTCACTCCCGAGTGTGGACGTGACCAAAGTTGACCGTCATGGCCGGCCTGCCGTCGCTTTTGCTGCGTCCTTTGCGCCTCTCTCAATATTGAGCATTCTTCTTGGAGCGAGGGCCAGAGACCTCAACTCCAGGCCCGGAGAGGCGGACATATCTTGCGTGGATGCCTTTGGCAATAGCCTCCTGCACCTGGCAGCGAGAGCTAGCAATGAATCAACGCTGGATTTCCTTCTCAGAAGGATTCCGCATGTCGGCAACCAACCCAACAAGTGGGGGAGAGCCGTGCGTGATCTTATCTCATTGGAGCTGTGTCCTCCTTCGTTGCAATTGAAAATGGACACTTATGGCTTGCAAAGATTAGTCCATTTCTCCAGACTAGCGCCTCATAGTTGTCTAGCCAAGATTCGGGGAACCTCGCACCCTCCAGTTCATATCGATTGGAAGATTATTAAACCTGGAGCATCAAGTAGCACCATACAAGGAGACTCCCCGAGAATTACAAATCAGTCCTCCGCTTCTGCCAGCCAATTTACTTGGTTCCCAAGCACCCAACAATCCCCCAGCAACATCACTCAAGAAAAGCCAGTGCCTTTTTTTTCCGGATTAGCAACTCGGTCTTTCAAAGCTACATTCTCTACCCTTTCTTTTTCTGCCGATCAATTTTGTTTCGATCCTAAGCCCCCACCTGCGGTTACTTCATTTGCACCTTATGGCCAACAACCCTAGAAGACAAAACGCATTAGTTGATTCCTATAGCCCAGTCTATCACTTATCCATTTACAACCGATCAATTTGGCCCTACGCTCCTTCCTAATCTCTCGCTATTCCTAAGGAGGGATTCTCTTCGAATGAAACAGTGCGGGAAATGCTTGTGAGACTCAAGAGAGTATAGTGAGGGATTCGTTTCCGGAGATCACGCGCGTTTTAAGCATGTTCGCAGTACTACCACCTGCTTATTTCCAACTCTTACATCATTTTATTCTGATTCAGACGTTGAGTTCAGATCCGATCTCACGCTTATCGAAGCATAAGAGTATGGCCGAGACATTCTCGCGGAGGGCCGCAGATTGGAGTCACCGCATGGAGGTACCCACCCACGAACGAAAGAGCCATCATTTTGCTGTGAAACATCGCCTAGTGTGACAACTGCTCATTGGTTAACCCAGTGCATGGGAATGCAGATTCGGGGTCTGATGACTTAAAAATAATTGAAATACCTCTCCCTCACCACCTGCCACAGAGAACATACTTCCCGCTTCATTAAGGTTCCAAGAACGAGTGACTAAGGAATTGTGATAGCCTCTCATCCAAACCCGCCACGGATGTCCTGCCTCCGCCAGACCACCCTCCGGTTCAGCCGAGCGAATATCCTTAACTTCCAACTCGAACGCCAACAGCGACTCTTGAAAATTCGCGTGCTTCTTGCGTCAGCGGTGATATCCAGAAACTCCGGGAGATTCTTGGATCACAAAGTTTATCATCGGAAAACTTTGACATATGCGACTTCTATGCGATAATAATCGAAGCCATCAAAGGAGACAACGTACAATTCGTTAAAGACCTTCTTGATCGCGGCATGCCTATGGAGATCATGTCATAGCGCTAGTCCCCTATGCAACTCACGGGTTTCCGTCATCTGACTTACAGCGATAAAAACATGTCGCAGTCACATCCCCTCCGTCCCCCGAATATTCCTGAATCAGATTGCTTATCAGCATGATCTCCCCTCAAAGTCCCATCTTTAGGACTCCGTGAAACGCGCCATACCACAAACCCTTCAAAGCTGAGCATCGTAGGTCCACTTCTAAACTTTCAAGTGCGGGAAACCAATTGTCAATCAACGCCAGCCTGGCCCCAGCCTGATATGTAAGGTTGCGTCAACTAAAGCGGACAAAACGTCGTCCCTAGGGAGCAACGTGGAGACCTACCTAGTACTCATGATCTAAAATCATGTCATTACACATACCATCATGTGTATACGACCTGCAATGGAATGCTCGTCTGATAACGTGAGAACCAGTCTAGATGTGAGCTGGAACCTGAATATGAATTACGAGTAGACCTGGACATAAACCTGCGATTTACCCGTCGCAGGTGTACCCAAACCCCGTAACTGGACGGGCTCAGGTCGTCACTATCTGGTTTGAACCTGTTCACGTTGTACCTGTGGCCAGCGGAGGTATAAGATGTTAATTTTGGTTGGAAACGAGGCCGAAGACCTGCACCGCTAGTCAGAAGCAACGAACTCGATTTCTTTATCCGAAGTGTAGTTAAGATTCCGTCCTTACATCATAGACGCCAATCTTTCAATCATCCATGTAGATAAATCAAAACTCTTCTGTGTCTACCTAAAGCTGCCTGATTGCTATCATAACCTATCACGGGTAAAATAATGCCATGCGAAGCATGTTCCAACAACCCCGAGCCCTATCACGGCACCAACCTGGCCTGCAGGATGGAGTAGATTGAATGCAAGAGCCAGTCCTGTACCTGAGGGGACGATGGTAACCCCTCCCCCTGTGGCTGCCCCGAGAGCCGCACCTCCCCCCATTCCCACAATTGCAGTCACGACACCTGTACTCCCAGTCTGGATCGCATGGTCCCATTTGTCGCGGGCCTCCTTTGGCATAGGATCCTTTGGCGTCAGGTCGATAGCTGGAACATGCATGGGTATATGAAGCCTTGGCACGGGGCGCTCCTCACCCGTCACCTCTGTGGATGGCTCTGGGACGTCTTCGTCGCAGCCGCCGACCTTACAGCTGAAAGCACCGGAACTCTGGCAACTGAGCTTGGCCCTATCCGCATTGGAGTATACGGCGTTATCGATCATGGACGCTTGCCCGGGGAATAAAGCGCCGCTCAGGCAGACAATTTCCCTGGTGATCGCAGGGTCCTCATAGCGGTGCATATCCTTGAGACGAAACTTTTGCACCTCGTAAGCTGCTTTGTTTATCTTCATTTCTTGCCAATTTGGACAATGGGCGAGCTGTCTGAGAAAGAAACCAGCAGCCGTCGCAACATCCATGCGCTGCTCGACTGTGAGCAGTACTTTCCGGACGCTGGGAGAATTGAGTGGACTTCGTTGATGGAACGCCTCAATTTGCTGGAACATGCCGGTGGCCGAGCTTTTGGAATTTGTGGCCCTTGCATTGAAATCGGATTCGCGATGACCGGTCAGCAACATGACTTCATAGGCTTTGCGGGCGTGTTCAGGTTTGATGTAGCCCGACTTCACGGCTCGGACTACCTCAGTCGAGCATATCAGGACGTTTCTCTCTTTCTCCGTGGTGAGCTTCTGTCCTGGGGCTCTCCTCGCCCAGTCGGTCCAGGCCAAGTGGTGTGCGTCTTCATCCCGACGTGGAGGTACGGGGAGCACTGGATCGTCCACAGGGGTGCCAGAGGTCATATTTCTGGTAAATTTTGATATTATGCGGCCACAGAAATAATGTAAGAGTAAATATGCGTGTAGGCAACACACCGTGGAGAGAATATGGCGGAATATAAAGTCCCGCATTATTAGATAAGCGCTTTACAAAGTGAGCTGAAACGTCGGGCAGCAATGCATCGAGACTGACCTATAGACCCTGTGTCGATGATTGTGACTGAAGGAATCAAAAGAAAATCACCTTTTTCTACTTGGTCATTCGTATCGCGGGCTCTATGCGCCGTACATTGCTGCAGTCTGTCATTCATTCAAGATTATGGATCCCCTGTCATCCTAAGCGGCCATGGTGGGCCTTGCAGTGTCTGTCTTCAAATCAGATGGCTGTGTACATCATATCGATCAACATGCTGTTGGTGTTCGCTTTGTGCAATTCTCCAATCCGGCGATCTACCTCAACCCACTTGCTCAGAGCCCCCTCTCGAGCCGCATCCCATTGATCACCCGGGACGATTGAATCTCGAACTTGTGCTGCCTGCTTGAAAGACAATCTCGCAGTGCAAGGGTACCCTTGGGCCTCCTGTGCTAGGCCAAGAAGAAGAAAGGTGGTTGAAACGTCATGGTTCAGCTGTGGGTCTTGACTATAGTCAAATCTTCTCCCAAGCCGACGAACACGTTCGGATAAACGTTGACAAATGTAGCCCATTTCCACATACTCCCGCTCACTCCACAAGTACTCCATTGCAGTGTGCCACAGGGTCATAGTCTCGTGACTGTATTTCCCGAGCTCGATGTCTATTCGATCGAGCATGTTCTCGATTTCAAAAATAGACAATCCTTTGTACAGGCTGTAGAACTCACCCGCATCAGCTCTGGGAAACCTAGCCTGGTTATACGAGAAATATGCTTTGACATGGTCGGTTCCTGCCCTGTTCATCCACAAGAAACGGCAATAAGAATCAAACGCGATATATAGGGGACATAATTGCTCCCAATCTATCATTTCCAAGAATTCAAGCATGAGTCTGCGCGGATCATTCTGTGGCAAAACCTGTCGTGCCATGGAAACCAGATCGGTTGTAATGAAATGCTGCAGCTCCTCGTTGCCGGCTCTCTTTACCATGAGCAGTATTCCAAGGATATCAGGGAGCTGGCGATGGTGACGATATCCCACGACGGATCGGTGGAGAGCGAAGGCACTCCTTAGCAGTGCCTCAGCTCGCTGATTTCCACCCACCTTGAGTTGCTTCAATGCACGGAAGACCATATTGTGCAGCCTACTGAGGCCCGCTAGTTGTGCTTTCAGCTCCGTACTCCTAGCGTATAGTCCCTTGTGGTTTGGGGCCCATTCGCCAGTGTCAAAGCAGGACTCGAAATGAACCCGCGTAGTAAAAAGCAGGTATTGGAAGTTCTTGAAAGCGGTTGGGTCGCTTAACGTGGTAACCTCGAATGGTAAACGGATCCAGGTGAGCTTCCGAGGATCTGACTTTTCCTTCGGCGAGTCCTGTCTCCTATCACAGTGTCGGACAATCTCCTCGTTCTCTTGAAGCACACCATCTGCAAAAACCAGGCAGTGGTGGCCATCCAGTGTCTGATCAAGAATAGTTTTTGCACGAACAGCGTCTTGACCCCGTATATTCTTGAAGATACCGAGATCGCGTAGCAGTGTCTTCCATTGGTGGATCCTGCCAGAGTGTCAGTTGATCACGATGAACAAAAAGAAGTAATCGCTGACTCCTTACGTCAATCGCAGCTCCAATGCTTGTTCCTCGAACGCGAGCTTGGCTTGCTCTCGAGTCAGATCTTCGGTGACGAAGAGTCGGAACACAACACGGCGGTGCCCTTCATATGCCCTTGCACGTTCCATGTTAGAAACGACCAGACTTTCTGCTATGCGTTTCCGGTGAAGTGTCTGGGATGGTTGAGAGATGAAACAAGAATATGCCGATATAAAGGAAATAGCAACAGCCGGTGCATAATCCGGGCCTCCCGTAATCTGGCTAAGGGGCACGTCAATGGTCACATCACAACCCGAAGACGCCTGATGAACCGTATTTGAGTGAGTCGCGCAACTTTTGACCTAATGACAAGCCTTACAACTTCCCAACCATCCCAGGCTGACATCCAGTGAAGGGTCAGCCACTTGACGTGGCACTAATGCTGAAATTACCCCGCTCTTAGTCCATGGACTCCCAGATGAGGCTTCTTATCAAAAATGAGGTACGGCAGCCTTGTAACTCGATTGGTCGGCCTTTTAGGAGCCCGGCACTAATGTATAACCCTTTTGTTCGCTTGTCTCTCGCGCTAGCCATATTTAGAACTCCTTTTTTCATTGGCTTAGTACATGCAGTACGCTTTGGTTGTAGTAGGGAGATGGTGCTTGATCAGGCTTTGAACTACATCATTCTATGAAGCCCTACTTCGCAGAGGTAACGCGGTTTGCGACGGCGCAAATGGCATGGAATGCCTATAAAGAGGCGATGCTTTCCCTGGTCTTCCTTTCCTCAAGTCTTCTCCTTTCTGTCTTCAACAAAACCAAGCAAAGCGACATAACAGCCTACCTCAGCTTTGTTCTGAGCGTGCTGCCCCCGAATCTTTTTCTTACTTTCAAACTTCTTTTTCCTCTTCTTTTTCCTTTTCTTTTTCCTCTTCTTTTCCTCTTCTTTTTCGCATCGTGGTCCATTCTGCTCTGCTCCTTCACTCTGTATCTCTTTCCAGTCTCGCTTTTCAATCAGATAATTGCCAAATTCCCCGGGTCACAACCTATCACTACCCTCGCCCTCTAAAACGCCCCTCATCAACCGAACATCTGAGCACCAGAAACACTCCGACATTTCTTATTTCTTACTGGCGAATCAGGGCTTCTTCAATTCTCAATGGAGCAATCGATCCTGCGCATGGAGACAGAGCTCCAGATGCAGTATGGAAATGAAGACTGGAGCACGACTTTTCGCGCTGGACCGGACTCTATTGGAATTCTCGCCGAATGTATTTTGATTACCTCAAGACCAATGGTAATAGGTATTGAGCTGACGGGCCCTGGGCTTGAGTGTGTCTAGCATTATCCAATGGTAAATATGCTGTTCTGAGTGTAGTAAGCTGACTGTTATACAGGTATACAACACTCTCCGCGAATGTGAGCCACTGTGCAGCTGTTGGCGCAGATACATTTAGAACCACTGCAAGGAATATGAAAGTCTTGGCTCATTTAACAAATGAGCTCTCGCAACCGAATGGGACTGTACGCTGTCCTCTTCACTCTACTTGTTGCCAGCTTATTGACACACAGTGATCCGAGCAGATTGAGAAAATGTTGAAGTTCTGTGAGGCTGGTCAGTCTGAAGCAAGAGACAGGCTGCTGTCTAAGTATATTTCAAGAGGCGAGAAGATTGTTGCGAACTGTACAGACCTCATTGGAGAGGTCAGCGCCTTGTTTGATGCTTGGTGCAACATGACAGCGGCCCTTTATCTTGCTTTGCAAGACACACTAGGTATGTCTCTTTCATCAAGCGTCGACACCTATGATCACAACTTTACTAACACAGAAATTTGACCTTTATATAGGCCAAAAGCGGAAGCAGGAGCAGCATGTAATCAACGAGATTAATAAAAACGAAATTGACAAGGAATTGAAGGAAGGTCAGAGGGAAAAGGAAGAGGCAAGGACAAACGAGCGAGCGAAACACATGCAAGAGACTCGCGAAAAGAAGGCACTGTACGAAAAGTATGCCGGAATTGTAGGTAAGTTAAGTGGACAAATTCTCCAGAGTCGGCTTGAATTAACAGTAGTCGCAGCCAGCGGCAGCGTCTTGGCGGAAGGAGGCCTAACTGCTGTAGTTGCTTCTGCATCGGCAGTTACCACAGGAGTCGGACTTGTGGTTGCTGGTGCGGCTGCCTACATACACTACAGAACCCTTAGAGCAGACCTCATGAGTATGGAGGAAGCTCAAGAACGAAGGAACCAGGAGATCCGTGAGCTTGAAGCGTCAAAGGCAATCCTTGAGAAGACACTGGCACACCTAAGTGCAGAATCAAAATCAATCGTGGGTTTGTCTTGGTCTGATCACTTATTGGGGTGTTACTAACTATTCTGTCTTTTAGGACGAAGTTAAACAAATTGTGCAATTGTCTTTCAAGAAGGTGACTGAGCTACAACAACTAGTCAGGAAGTTCATGAAGTTCCTTCTCGATATCAATGCCATTATCAAATATACAGTGGAACACAGTACACTCGTGTATGATTTTGTCAAGGACAAAGAGGACTTAATCGATCCTGGTGTCAAGATGGTATTGCTCATTCATTTTCAGGGCCCTTATTATGGTTCAAACTGACATACCGTTAGGAGTTGCTAGAGAATGCATTTGATATGAAGACCAGATTCATATTTGCCTCAAAAGCGTCAAACGTTTACAACGCCGTCTCCAGCCAGTTCATCCTGCCAACGTTGGACAAGCTACCGGAATTGGGTCTCCTGAACGAGGCTACGGAACGCGAAGTCATGACAAAAATGGAAGAGCTGCATGATTTTAGGTGTAGAGTCTGCTCAGAAACCGTATCTCTAACTCAAAAGGTTAGTCTCTCATAGCTCTTTTTAAAAATGAACATCGAGCTCACAGCTCGATAGATGCACGCAGAACTGAAGGAGAGCCTGGCAGAGGTAACCAGGGCCTCTGCTAGAGTTTTCGAGGATATAGCATCCGGTGATCACGACAGTCCTGGAGAGGGATCTCAGTGACGCGTTCAAATTGCCGGATCGGGTTTTGATTTGCTTCACACCTGCCGTAGCCGGGGGAGATAGTGGGCCACAGATAGGTTGAGCCACGAACTTGGGCTCCCATTGTGGATATGCAGCGCAAGCACTCCTGAAATTTTTCTTTTCTTTCTTTTTTTTCCAAGTTTGTGCGATAAACCTTTGACAATCATATCACAACCCCTAGTCGGATATACTTGGCTGGTTTCAGGGTCTAAGGGCTAAGCAGCAGCTCCAGATTTGGGGATTTAGCTGGATGAGCTTTATGCTAAACTGGCGAGTAGCAATGGATGCAACGCGGGGTTGTTGCCCGGAACGGTATACTCCTGCCATTCTGCCCACCCACAACGCACAGGCCGTTGTGGTGGGCCACACCACCACGGGATATCTCACCACCACGGGATATTTCATCAATTTTGATCAATTCATCTCAAATATCTCTAACACAATGGCTGCGCATCAACATAGGCTAGGTGACTAATATCTGTGATCGCCTCCTGCACCTCCTCATCACGTTTTTTCTGCTTTTCTGTCCTTTCTGGTGGGGTAGGTGTTAGGACCGACGTACTAGCGGGTCCTGGTAGGAATGGAGAATTAGAGTGAAGGAACCCAAAGGGGTGTATTCATATCAGACTAATCGCTGGAGAGCCTAAGTCATACTACTATGTGTGTGTGGGAATGCCCTGGCAGGGTCCGGCGGCCTAGGCAGACCAGTTGCGCAGGTCACGTGGTGGCCTGGCAGGACCGGGCGGTCTGGGCCGACCCGTGTAGGGCTATCCACCAGGGACGGGCAGTTCCTGGTGAAGGCCGTAACAGATGGAGAAGAATGATCGTGTTCAAGTCTCGTCTGCTAACTAAGGGATACAATTGTTCTCGTTCAAATTTTGTTTCAAAACGCTAACGACCGATAGGTTTTTGCTTAATTAGGTGTAGATTAGGCGGTAATCGCTTAAGATAGCGATATATCTATATCTTTCTAAGGATAGGTGGATCGGTTATATTAGGCGCGTTACGCGTAAGGATACCTTACGCAGTAGCTTTAATCAACATTTTAGGCGTAGGGCGGCCTATTCGATCTCTCTGACGAATCTATAGCTCTAGTGCATACTCTTAGCTCTTATTCAGGGTCTTATTGACAGGTTTTTAGCCGTAAGAGGGGGGCGACCGTTAATGCGTGCATGAAGGCGTTTATAATCGGCTTAGGTGTTAAGGCCAAATTCTTTAGCCAGCGAGCGTATAGATGGGCGATCGCGATCAAAATAGGCCTTATAGGCCCTATCGAAGGCAGTTTCGGTGTTTTTAGACGATTTAGGCATACTAGGCGCGTGTGGTTCGAAGGAGAAGAAGGTGGTAGAGTGTAAAATCCCGTGGTGGTGTGGGTGGGCAGAAAGGCACGAGTAGTGGGAGAAAGCCCCCAGAAGAAACTATGAGCATCGATCTGCGTACTCTTTCCAGCCAAAAGCTAATTGTTTGGTATTGTTATGGGCCTAAGCATTGTCAAACTGCAGGATCATAGAAATGCCCGGCTAGGAGAGCTCTTCAATTGTGTTCATTTGCGTCGGGGCGAACCTTTTCATTTCTGCACCTCTCCTTTGAAATTAGAGAGGAGATAGCCAAGAACAGATAATTGTAGAAGCTACGGTAAATCTACCGTATTTTCCGAGATCACGTTCGATCAGGACCAGTTCAAGCCACCAAAAGCAAAGATTGGAGGGCTAGGGGACGAAGGTGGGACAGAGGGAAAGTTTAGCCGAGGGGCCACGTTCGCGCTTCAGGGGTCTTCAGGGCGATCGGGTGAAGAATAGAGGGGCTTCAGGGCGTTCAGGTGAAGGGGCCTGAAGGGGCTGAAGAGTAAAGCGGCAAGGGCAGATGCTTCAACGAATGGGAAAAAGAACACAACAATGTAAAAAACAAAAACATACAACAGCCAGGATTCGCATGTGGTCACCCACCATACTACTAACTGGCCGGCGTGTGGCTTAAGTACGGCTGAGCGGACGGGAAGCCCTGTTCTCCACACCCTATGGTCGTATGTACTTGGAAACCAACTCAAAACAAAATATATGATCGTCTGCTTCGGTACCATCGTATTTTCAGCCGCCTACCCCGTATGTCAAGTAGGATGTCCTGAGGTATTCATCGCGTGCTATTCGGCAGCAGGATATGTCTTGGGAGCAACTGCGGGTGCAATGGTACCAGCCACCAATATTGCTTGCAACGCGAGTTTTGGAAAGTCCCAGGGAGCTTGCGTGTTGGTGCTTCTATGACCAACACCATGACGTGAAATCTATCGAAGAATAATTTGAGAATAGGGTCCATAGGATAATGAGAACAAAAGACTGTGGTAGATCTTCCAATATGGGAGGTTTGCCAACTGAGCCTTGTATTCAAGATGCCCCTTTTGGGTACAAACATAAATAAGATTCAATAATCTCTTACTGCTCTAGTTTCCATAATCAAGTCGATCCCTTATCCAAGGTAGAAAGCGACTTAACTTTAGAAGCTCATCATGACGAAGTAAAGTATTCGAGAACGCATCGACCGCCTCGCCCCTTCAGCCCCTTCCACCCCCTCCGCATCTTCCGCATCCCCATTTCCACATCCACTCTCCTGTCAAAATGCGTCACTAGCTGATACAGGCACAGCCCCGCAAGGCGGATGTCCCTGAAATCAAGCCAGTCATACCCATGCAGGGTCCTCCATCACAGATATTGGCGCGAACGCCCATGCATCGTGAAATAAAACCTCTTCGAGTCTAATCTGTTCTCCCTCCCTTCCGCAGCAAGGCAATGAACGCCGGGCGGTGTTGCCCCGACGTCGAGTCCGGGCCTATGAGATGCATTTACCACGGTGCCGAAGGGACAAATGTAGGTCTGAATACGAGATTTGTCTTGGCGCCATGGCGTTTCTTTGTGATCGTTGCGCAACAACCGTACAGGTACTGGGTGTGGGTATAAATAAGTATTAGAGAGCTGCTGTCAAGGAATCAAAAGAAATTGAAGTTTTGGTTACATCCAGACAGAACTAACCACTGTCGATTCTTGATTTGATTTCACGTTTTGTGCCCGCGAAGTATACACGTTTCGGGAGTCAGCATGAGGAACTCAACGCCAAGACACACCCTTCTACGCATTACTGCACTATCTAGCATCTTTACCGGTGCCTTTAGCTATATCTACGATACTTCCTACGCAAATCGCCTCGATACAACCAAAACCAACGCCGGACCACTCACGACCGTCTTCACGCCGCCAGCATCATGTGCCACACCACACACAGAACTGCTATACGGACGACCAGATCTTATCCAGGGATGTGCGGGTCCCTACGGTGACGAGTGTTGTCCAGAAGGATGGCGGTACGATAGATACTTTAGTCCCGGACAGTGTCCAGTGGGATATAAAACGTGCACGCTGCCGACGACAACGCAACGCGATGAGACGACCGTTATATGCTGTCCGAGGTGAGTCAACGAATGCTTATTTTATAACTGTCCCTAAAGGCGCCCAATCTAATTGATACGATGCAGTGGGTTTGACTGCAATGGACAGGACTACTGCGGCAAGACATTCAACAGCGCACCCACAATTACATACTCAGACGCCACCCTCTCCGTCGTAACGACAGTAAGAGCCATCACAGCAACCGGGATCCAAGTCCGCTTTAAAGCTTCCGAATCAAGTATCGTCCCCATCGTGGCTGATTCTCTTAACCTGCCGCACGGTCCTTTACTGAGCAAGAGAGATAAGGCCGGAATTGGTATCGGAGTTGGGGCTGGCGTGATTATTTTGGGTTACTTTGTCTTAGCCTGGGTGAAACGTTACCGTCGATCGAAGGAGGCGAATGTGAATAGGACAGATCCGTTAGAGACTGCACCGTCTTTGGGGCAGGATGAGTCACCACCTGCTTATTCGAGGACGAAGGTGTAGATGAGTAAAGTTTTTCGAATGCTATTGGAGTGGACTAATTCTGGGGGTTGAACTGTTTGTCGTTAATATCTTTTGTTGGGATTGGTACAGTTAGGGCTTGCTTACTTGTTTTCTGAGGCAAGGATGTTGCTCTAGATAATAGACAGGGTCTAGGCCGTGCTTAGCAACCATTCCAAATGTACTTGGCATTTGAACTACACAGGTCAAAGAACAAATTTGAGGTGTAATACGGCCTTCCTAACAGATTAGGAAGGAAATATATCGTCTTAAACATTCAGCTTTCTGCTAGATTGATCTGTTCCAAACTTCTGATTCAACCGCATCGTAATTTGAGAATGTTCTCTCGCCCATTGCTCGAGCCTCCACTTGGCCCTTGAATGGCGTCATTCAAAATAAAGACATCGATTGTAGCTGGAAATTGTGGAATGCCCGGCTTAATTACAGGTACCAGGAACCAATGAGCCGCCACCGGAAAGTGATATTGTCTTCTCGTCTAGCCAGCTGTTGCAGAAGAGGATTTGTCGTAAGTCAGTGTGAAGCCAGCACTCTTGACGTTGGTAACCGACTCCTCGGTGTCTGTGAAATCATAGGCACAAGTATCGGCAGTCAGATTCCAGGTGGAAGTCGAATCAAGATCAACTCCAATGTAATATGTGCCATATCCAGAGTAAGCTGTGCCAGTCCAAGATGAAGAGTCGGTCAGGGACCACCTATTCGCCACAGAGTCTTCGACCGTGACATAGCCAGCTGGGCTGTCAGCGCCAGCTGTGATGATGATAACCGACGTGTCATTCGCAGTTGCACTCAAAGTCCCGTCGTCAACCGTAGTACTCTCGGAGCTACCAGAATACTCGACGGTAGCCTCCAGAGCTTGCTGGAGGGTGGAAACGACAGTAATGTCCCAATCCGCCAGAAGAGCGTTATCGGCCGCATCAGCTGTAAGATCCATAGTTAGGCTAGGATCGCCTGTCAAAACCAGGCCGTGGACAAAGGTCCTATAGAGGACGGTGCCTAAACCGAGGACTCTTTGAGAAATTATGATGGCTTGTTTGAAGGACTTTGTTGATGACTGGATTGAAATGGATGTAGCTAATGGATGGAAGAAATGGCCAGTATTTTAAGGAATTATATATACAATTCGTGAGAGCAAATCCCTAGACGTGGAGCCGGTAACAAAAAGTGGAGCTGGGCATTTGTCAGTGAATTGAGTGGAAGTAAGATCAACAGTTTAAATCTTACGCGTACTTTATATATTTGACTTCCTGCAGAGCAATTCCATCTGCAGGAACACACATCCATGACAATTTCGAGGGTTTCAGAAAATAAGCGATGAAGTTCACTCTATTGACGGGAGCTTTTTCAGACGTGCTTGAAGTATCTTTCCAGAATTAGCTGTATGTCACATCTCGAGTTTGTTGCCTCTACAAATCAGACTATGAGAAAATTTCAACTGCAACGACAGGGTGGGAACCCCAACCAGTAAGACAGTATCAAAGCATATTGATATTCAAATAAACCAAAAGAAGTGTCCATCCAGTCTATCTAATGCAAAAGCATCAAGTATCGGGTATTGTAGCATGATCAAATAAGAGAACAGACGCAATAGCGACAGCGACACACACAACAACCGCCACAGCAGCATCTCATTACCACCCAGCCCTTCATTCCATCACCCCCTAACCGAAAGAAAGAGGGAATCTCCATTAACCAGCCTACGCCCACTTCCCCAACAGCGCCATAATACCAGCCCCCAACAACAACGAAACAACCATAAAAGCCAACCTCTTATCATCCCTAGTCCGATGCGGATCAAACAAGAAATCCCTCGCCAGCAGCTCCACAAGCCCGGTATAAATCAAAATACCCGCCGAAATCGAATCCAACACTCCCGAAACCACATTCGCCGTAAACGAGCCCGGGTTATACGTCGTCCGCAGACCCAGCCCAATCGCAATGGAAATCGGGGTTGTCAGACCATACGCCGTGCACAGAGCCCAGGGTAACCAACTCCCCTTCCTGAAGGGGATGGAACTCATTCGCGCGCCGATACCGAGACCCTCGAAGGACTGGTGGAAGACGAGGACTGGGTAGAGCGTAGCGAATTCGTCGCCTGCCACGCCGAGATTGAGCCCAATGATGACGGAGTGAAAGATGACGCCGAATTCGAGGATGAGGAAGGCGGCGATTTGTTGGCGGAAGGAGCGTTCGAGTTGGCCTTCGTCCAGGGATTGGGCTTCGACTTCTTTGGCTTGTTTGTCCTTTGAGTCGAGCGCGGATGTAGAGTGGGAATGCGAGTTTGAGTTTGATCTGCGTAGACCCAGGTGGTTTACTTCCACGCCGGAAGCCATGATTGGCTCTGGGTCATCGCGGCAGAGACCGTATTTCTTCTCGACGTAGCGCTCGGCACCGAAGTCGAGCAGGAATACCATCATCAGGGACGTGAGGACGATGGCCGGGCACCAGGAGTAATCGGCCCAGTGGCCGGTCATGCCTACGCAGGAGGCTGGGCCAATTTCACCGTAGGCCGGGTCGAGGAGGTGGATGAAGGCTGTTGCGATGATGACGCCTGCACCGAAGTATTTGGCGAAGAGGTAGACGTATAATGGGATGCGGAGACGGGGGGCCCGTTTGGCGAGGACGGGGAAGAATGTCGTGGCAGAGGAGATGATTAGAATGACGAAGATGGCGGAGATGCGGGCGCCTAGGCGGCCGTCGTATTGGTTGCCTTCGCTATTGATGTAACAGATTATTTGAGTGGGGTCTACAGTGTCGAGGTCGACATTGTGAGGGTCAAAGTTGGACATGGTGGTGGTTGTGATGGTGGATAACCGTGACCTTGCCCAGAAATTGGTCAAGCCCTAATTTGATATCGAAGAGAGAGGCTGATAGTGACAGTTAGGGACACGCTCAGGCCAGGAAATGAGAAGTTATGGAAGAAATTGGACACGTCTGAGAAAAGTTACCTTTGGGAAAGGATTTTCCTGTCCATTTTATAACCCTGGTGTATTAGCGAGATGCGTTCGGGACTGCCGTCGCCCTGAGGACCTTGGGAGGTTCGCTTCTGGCCGAACCAGATTTGGCCCCCCATCGCATGGTCTAGTCTCATCAAACTTTGCAATCGTAGTCGTAATGGGTCAATGAGTAGTAATTGCACTCTGTCGAGTGATTCTCTCCTGTTGCTGTTAGTTTTCCCCTATAATCACTAATACCGGGGGGTACATCCTCCCATATACCAACCGCAGCAAGGCAAAACCACCACCGACAGGAACAACAGCAGCGCCTAGAAAAGCACGTCAACAAATATCTTGGAAAAAAGCTTGAGAGGCTTGGAAGTATCTCTTAGCTTACTCGGAGACTTTTACGGTGGACCTGATTCTCGACGAGATCATTGGATGTCGCCATCACGATGACTTGCCCCCAAGGTCCCCCAGCCAAGACCCCACGTGGAGAACGGCCTACCACGGCAAGTCTGACTGCAAAGCAAGTGATTAGCCAGAATGGGTAGGTGGTATAGAAATAAGAGAACCTTGTTAGCTTTGACAGAGTAGGGAATTTGCTCAGAGAAGGGGATATGGGATATGGTTGGTCGGGTTGGACCCTGGGTGGGAAATGGATATCGACTGAGTCGACCAGCGTCAGCATCAGACTAGGTCCACATGCAACGCACGACCCCTCGGAGACAGCCGATGTCAGGATTCAGATTATTTGTCGTAGTTTTCATTTGTTTATACCCACTTGCACCGGGTAAACCTAGTACCGTAACGGGGAAAACGCCGAGGTGGCGCGAACGGCGGTTACCGTTGATCCAGATCCAATGAAGTACTACCCAATAGAAAGGCCATCGAGATTATCAGGAAGAGGTGGTAAGTGACATTGTCTTCCTGTCATGACTCAACGTGAGTTCTATCCAGTGGTAGGTAAGGTATTACTAAAGAAATCATAGTCATAGCCATAGTCATTCACAGCCATCTCGCGTGTAATGAAAATTCACCTGTATAGTATCATAGTCACTGCATGGTCATATCATATCTTCATAACATTCGTTTCATCCCGGCGTCGCCGCCATTTCACATCAAAAGTGTAGTCAACAAAAAGGCTGAAAGAACAAAAAAAATGATTTCACAAGCCAGGGAAGAGGACCGTCGACCTTGGAGCCAAGCTCAAGCCACGTTCAAGGTCAAGTCTGTAGATGAGTCTGGACCTCTAGGAAGACACGATCAGAGTCCATGACATGGCAAGAAGATGAAAGAAGAGAATGTCAACGTCAAGTAAACAAACATCCATCCCGAGGAAAAAAGTCATCCACCCCAATCCCAATTGACCACCAAAAGCCCAACCGGAAAAGCAAATATAGAAGAGAAGAGAGAAATCAAAAAAAACACAACGTAATCGCATCAAAACAGCAGATCTTCATAATTTCGTAACACATGAACACATGTCCACATCACCAACCAGGGTAAGTCTGTCTGTATACACATCCCTTTTCAAATCCAACTCTCAACCATGTTCATCGCATTTCATTTCTCATATCCAATGCCGCCGCCCAACCAAATTTCCATAATATGGGCCCAATCCCAAAACAAGAACAAAACAAAAAGCACAAACCGCTCCCAACCACGCTAAAAGGCAACGCTGAAAAAAAAAAATAAAACAAGATAATGATAAAATAGGCATAATAGCATGAATCGAAAACGCAGGATGAAAAGGCAAATCGCTAGTCGCTAAACACACGGAAGGGTTGTGTTGAAAACAAATCATGAACGAGAAGAAGAGAATCAAACAAGGAAAAGGGGGAAGTAGGCATGATAGGCTCTTCAGGGCGCTGGTTCTACATTTGAGTTTTCCCAGCGCAACTGAGAACCATTGCTGGTTCCTGTCGTAGAAAAGTCAAGCAAGGCCAGACGAAGCGTCGAGCATCGAGCATCAAACATCGAGAGCGCGGAGTCAGAGCGGAGACGTCAACCAAAGACGAAAGACAAACATTGAACCCGAGAGTGTGGGCTGGACGAATAGCCAAATTGAAAATGCTCAAGCATTCACCAGGCTATGCCATACACCCCGAGACTCAAAAAGTCATCATCTCCTCCTTGACAGGACTGCCCCCATACTCCTGCACCATACGCCGGAAATCACGAATGACCTTCTCCGGCACCCGCTCCCACATCAGACTACGCGAGTACACGTCCTCGCCGGCATGTACCCGGTGCTGCGCGGCGTTACTCCGCATCGCCGCCAGCGCAGCCTGCAGATTCGATGGCTGCGCCTTGAACGGCGCGCCATCATCTTCAAAGGTTGTCAGGCTGTTATACTGATCCGCATTCAGCGCGAAGACCTGCGCACGCTCTTGGTCCTCGCTGGGCAGGACGAGCGTATCGTGTAACTGGTCCAGCGTCGAGGGACGCCCGTGCGAGGCGCCTATCTGGGTCATGTCCATGGTGATGGAGGGTTGCGGGGCGGATGCGGAGACTGCAATTGCAGAGGGGTGGGTGAGGTCTGGTGGGGAGGAGGCGAGGACTGCCTTTAGCACGTTGGCGGACTCGGCGCGGTACTCTTCCGAGAGCTGGGGGAGGGAGTGGCCGGCGAGGTTTGTGTTAGCTTTGGAGGCGATGAAGGCACCGAAGAGGAGGCACATGTAGAAGGCGTTCCAGCTGAAGGGGTATTCTGAGGCGGGCTTGTCGGCTGCGCGCTCGGTGACATGGAGAGGCTGGGGGTGAGGGTGTGTCTGGGACTGCGGCTGCGGCTGCGGTTGGACATGGTGCAGGCTGTGAGAAGCGGGGACTGTAGTATCTTGGATAGAAAGACCATTTGCCATGCCGAACTCATCCCAAGGCCCGGTATCCATGGACAAGTTCTCGAAGCCGGTAAAGTCGGCAGTCTGGACGTGAGCCTGAGCTTGATCGGCCATGGTGGTCTTGCCGCCGCGCTCGAGCTTTTCGACCGTCTCGAGCAAGATGTTGTTCTTCTTGCGCAATTCGGCCGTCTCCAGCGTATGTCTGCGGATCATCTCGTCCTTTTCCATGTGCATGCTCTCGAGGTAGGTGGTGATCTGCTGTTGCTGGGCGATCCACTCGCTCTTCTCGCGCATCAACTCGGCTTCCCGCTTCTGCAGGCTGGAGAGCATATCTTCCAGCTGACTGATAGTATGGGTATAATTTTTTTTCTCCTCTTCGAGTTTCTCCGTATGTAGCTTCTTGCGTTGGCGCGAGTCGAGGCTGTGATTCAAAGAGTCAGTAGGGCCGGACATCGTGACCGAGATCGCAGTGGTAAAAACGAAGTGGTAAAAACGCAACTCCGTTCTCACTTTAGCGGGTTCACTTACGCTGCTTGTCGGTTCCTCAACAGCCGCTTCTGCTGCTTCAACTCCTTCACCTCCTCTTCATTGGTCGACTGGCTAATCAAGTGGTCGATATTACTCAACGTGCGCTCCGCGGGAATCTCAAACCGAGCATTCTTCTTGCGGATCCCATCCCGGCGCAGCGTCAACGGCGACCCATTCCGATACGAACTGCTCTTCGCCGCAGCGGCCGCATCGGCCAGATCCATCGGCGCCGGCATCCAACCCTGACTCGACTGCGGGGACATGGCCACCCCTCCTGCGCCTGGCGGCGCGGCAAAATTCACCGCACCACGATACGACACCGCGCCCATCGGGATCGCACCCACCGGCCCGACCGCACCGCCCGAAAAGGGCCCCGAGGTGGCAGTTTGCTCTGCCTCGGAGGGGTACTGATCATACGCGGTGGGGGGTGCATGAGCCGGAGGCGGTGCGGGAGAGCGACCAGGACGGCTGGGGTGGGCCATAGGGCTGGGGACCGTCGACGGTCATGAACTGGGCACTTGTTGAGTCGAGGACGGACTGGGGGAGATGGGCGGGGCGGGAGTGCGACTGGTCAGAATTGGGATGGGAGTAGTTGGACCAGACGGAGTTGCGATATGAGAAGGCGGCTGCGTCTGCGTCGTAGGAGGGGCGGCGGGGGTCAGAGAGGCCTGGGGAGGTTGAGTCGAGGATCTTATCGTCCAGGACACTCATTTCATCTTCTTCGGATGGAGGCACATCTAGTGTTGAGGAGGATTGTTGGTAGTAGTCAAACTGGGCGTATCGTGCCATGGTGAAGAGGCGGTGTGTAGGAGAAAGAGTGGTCGTAGTGGGCAGGAATTATGAGAGGCGGGGGAGAAGATGATAAAATGGATGGAAAGGGGAAGGAAGAAAGGGTAAAGATCAAGATGAAAATGAAGATAATCGAGGAGGGAAAGAATCGAAGTAAAAGAGGATCGAAAGAAGATCACGGATCTGCCGACCGAGAAAAGAGAGCGCGAGCGAAGGCGGGGGATTTCCTGTACAGGCCGAATTGTACAGAGCTCGGAGGGTATGAGTATAGACCCTGGTCACTCGATGGGTTCGGGTTCGAGTTCGAGACCACGAAAAATGATACTGTCAAGTCACTTGGTTCACACACTCGAACAGGAAGGGGGAGACCCCGGCTAATTGTAGCAGGCGCATGCTCGTGCTGAATCTGGCAGCAGTGGGCTGCGATAGGTACCTGCTTCTGTCTACCTGGCGATGACTTCTTTGTTGCGGGTGAATCTGATTGAGGGTGCCGGTCTCTTCCAAGTCTCTGGGTACATCCAGCGGTCTGCGCGGGAGTGGGAGGGCCCGGGCAGACCAGCCGACGACGATTGGCTGCTTCGCCCCTCTTGGGCAGACGTGCATTGTGGTGATGGGCTATTCTTGTGGATTTGGGGGATTTGGGGTTTTCTTTTTTTCTTTTGACGAGTTTGTTTTTGGCAGGCTCGTGAACAGACCGTGCGATTTCCGATGAGAGCCCAACGTGATAGAGGATCTGATAGGAGAACGCTATAGATTGGAGAACCATGGACCCCCTCCATAATTTACGGTTATCCACTGCGCTGCAAGAATAGTGCTACACAATCCCTGCTTACCTAACCACAACCCCTCGGCTTATCGATAACCCTGAGCCTATCGATCGGTTTCCTGAGCGGCCCGCTGAGACCGGAGACGGGGGGGACCGTGCTTCCTGTCATTCTGCACTCTGCGCTGCATCTCTGACCCTTTCTTATTGTCGACAGAGTACAGTACACCTCTTGCTCAGTACTGGTCACTGCCATCCACTCACGGGCTGGTTCAGATGGAGCCAAACGGGTCCGGCCCGCCGCTGATCCACCCCCTCTCCCCCCATGGTTGATGGTTCCCAACTTTTCCCAAGTTCCGCCTTGCAGAACCCAAGCCAGAAAGCTGTCTTCCCGCAACCTGTGATGCACGGATGTTCTGCATTGATCACTCGTCCCCTCCAGATGACGCCTGGCGGACGGGACTGCTGCCACCGACAGGACTCCAAGGGCCAGCCCGGAGATACTTCCCAAGACCACCATTATGGCCCTAAGACTCAGCCAGACTCGCCTATTCCCCGACGGATGGCTCTGGTGACGAGCATCCCCTCGGTTTCACTCTCGTGCGCCTGCCTGGTCTCCTAAGGCCCGGAGACCACCCGCTAGAAAACTCCTAGGTCAAACGATGATGCCATCGTGATGAAACCTTAGTACTGACTACCCTCCAGCCAACTCCATCATTCTAGTGCTCGCCTATCGAGGAAACCACCCAGTGCTCATAGTAACTAACCCTCAACAAATCAACCTTCATCTTGAATCCATAATGATACAACCCAAATAACAAAAATAAAATACACCAAGGAAGAAAACAGCAGCCTACCACCCACGCATCCCCCTCAAAACCAAAAACCAAACCAAACCCACCGCCCCAAGCGCTCAATACTACCCGTTCCTATCCCTCTCACACCACCCAACACCCACGCTCAGACACACCCAGTATATAACACCAGTAATACATGAACAGTCCCTCCTCTATATCCCATCTCCCATCTAAACATAGTCATCCCGAGCCCCCACCCCACCAACAGGATCTCAGCATCCCATCTCCAGCCGCTGATAGGCCCGCCCCGCTGGGGACCCGGCGGTCCCGTGAGTGCGACTCGCGAATCGCGACTCGCCCAGCTCCCGTTTACCAGATGGCGGTGAAAGCGCCCAATCTATCCAATTGAGATCCAGACCGAGACTGGTGTTGGGGGGGCTGATCCTCACCTTGACCCTGACTTGATCCTGACGAGGACTGACTTGCTAGTAGCCAGTAGGCAGTTCAGGTTGAAGGTCTTGTGTGCCTTGTCTCGGCGCCTTGGGAGGGATGTCATGCGCGTGGTACCTTGTACCTACAGAGCTGTAGATATGATCAAAGGTTGTATGGAGAGAATGGCAATGTGCTTCTCGGTGAAGGGGACTTTGGCTCTTGGGCGTTAACCAGATGGGAGATTGGTTGGTTAGTTAGATTCGTCCCTCCGTCGTCCTGTCCTGGCATGAACGGGGCTGTCAGTGATGTCGGCTGATGGGATGGTGGCTTGATAGGTGACTGGCCAGTTCATGACGGGCCTGGATCGAATCTTGCAATCTAGGAAACAGTGTTTTTTTTCTTTCCCGTTTTGCGTTCTGGTTTAGGCTGCTGGACGTTGGGGTATCGGAATATCTAAGATGTCCATCTATCTATACAATCTATACCGTCTATAGCTACGAAATACACAGAGAATGATATAATCTACAATATTACACAAGTCACATCTTCCCACTGTATCAGAAGGACTCACCTCATCAATCCAAACCCGCCAAGAACTCCGAATAGTATGTCCAGTATGTACAAATCCAAATCTCCCCTCCCCACTCGGCCCTCTCTCCCTGGGCAGTTCCCACCACCCAGCCCACCAACACCCCCACCTCCAAACAAACCACTGGGTCCCGTCCCGGGTCTTACACCCCTAAGCACAAAATCCGACCTACCAGTAACAACGCCAGCTTACAAAATCTAATAGAAGGAACCCAAGGCCCGTCCCGGGACAAGAAACTGTGGAGGCCCAACGCTCTGAAACGTGCGTATCCCACAGCCTCACTTTAGTCCGTTGACTGGGGCGGTCCCTGCCTAATGACTAACGACTAACGTGATCTGATCTTCGCTTCTAGGCTGGAACTCCAGCTCGGGACCTCATGTCGGGCACATGAGCCCGGAAATGCTTAAGCTGCGTAGCTGAGTGAGTGGGAGTTAGGCTTGGGCTCAGAGGGTCCGTCTGGAGGAAGGATTGAGGTTGTGTTTGGTTGGATGGGGTTGGTATTTGAGATTGGAGTTTCCACTTTGGGGGGTGTGTTTGATGAGGATGGGCGGTATGGGGCCTATAGGGCGGTTTTTGGTGATGGGGTTCGTTTGTTGCTTGTAGACCGCTATTGTGTAGGAGGGTTTGTTGCTGACTGTTGTAGGTGCTTTGGAGTTGTGAGGGAGTGAGTCATTTTGAGGATCGTTTTCGGGGTCTTGGGCATATCCCCTAATGAGGACTGTCGTATGGGAGAGATTAAGAGATTGTCGAAGTCTTTCAAAATAAGTTCTCTTTCTCTAGTTACTTTGTCTTTGTCTTTATCCGCCTACAGCTTCCCTCAAAGTCCTGGTCAACGATGAAGAGTCATATCAAATGGCCAGAGAATGTTCACAACGAAGACTCAGAACGATACCGCATCTATTCTCACCTCGAAGGGTACGGCGTTTGCCTTAAAAAAAGGAAACATTAAACCGCAAAGTTTCTGAGGTATGGAAGACCATTCTTCTACGACATTGACGCGCACCACAGGAAATACATGTTGCACCACTCCAGAACTGTTAGGACTGGTTCCCCTAACGTTATGTGCGCTACCTAGTTATATCGGTCCCGTTTATGTCAGAACATACCGTTCTGATATATTTAGTCTTTTGGCTTATTCGATTATCGGGTCCGGGAGCACGTCGTTTACAAGAACACCTAAGAATCCAATATTGGACCTTCGAGCAATATCAAATACCAACAATCCATCGATCCATTCAAAGCCAAATCTTCCCATGTACCTCATAGCCCCCGAATTTCAAAAAGACTAACTGGAACCTCCTTGACGGATCTAGTATATCCAGTGTAGCCACCACAAAAGCAAAACAAGGCAAACGCAAAGGGCATCGAACTATCGCCATCACACAGCAAGCGCATCATCCTTCGACCCGACGATCTCCCGTACATTGTCCCGCATAAGAACACACGACATTACTTCAGTTCACATCAACAAATCAACAAATAGCGCGGGTGGCTCGGCCAGATGTCCTCACGACACACGCGATCAATTCATCCCGCTCATACACTACGAACCAAAACTCAAATCTACCCACCTTCCACCTAAAGCCTAGAACGGCTACACTTGGACCATAACATGGCACGGCACGTTTAGGTTAGCTTAGACAGAGCAAAACCGCCGCAAATAGCATAATCATAATCATACTCTTGATCATTACGACGATCATCTAAGACAAAACCCGCTGACCGGAACAAGCTGCGCGAGTACATGCGAACGGCAAGTCCGAGACGTCATCCGATCACAAGCACCACAGTCTTGCCGGAGGAACTACCGGAACTAGAACGGACTAGGCGAACTAGATAAAAAGTAAACTATTTTGGCCGTGAAACCCGGCACGGGCTTCATCGGTCAGCCGGACTCGAGTGCTGCAGTTTAATCACATCGTAAGTCATTAGGGTATGCGACTGAATTTTGGGGTTTATGATCAGGACTTAGCCGGAGAGTGAATCGTTGGACGAACTGTGTACTTATGCTAAGAAGTATTTTTGTGTTAATTATGAGTGATATCTGTCTGGCATTTCCTAGTTTGCACCTTGAAGTGCGTGACTTCCATATTGATAGGATGCCTACAACTTGTCATAGTGTAAAGGGCCAGGGCTGCTTGCGAGTTGCACTATCCGCCATTCCTATCTAAAACCTATATCCATATGTCTGTATTCCTCAAAGCTAGGTATGGCAATAGATCCGTCGTGGTAGCGGGTCGTAGCCCTGCTTACCGCGTTTGAAACCATAGAGCCACTCTGAAATCTGGTAATATGCACCGGCCTCTGTAACTCGTCCATGTTCTCGTCATTTGCCTCAAATATAAGATTTCCTTCGAAACGGGCCTAAGGTTGGCAAGGGATACCAAGTTCAAGAAAGTATCCCGAGCTTCAGGACTGCATGTGTTTTTACAACCCTGGAGGTCTCCCTGCGTCTAAGTGATGATGCTAACGCAGTCGGGGACAAGCAGCCTACCATGGACTACTATGGACGGATGAACACGATAATCTTATGTACTGCTAGTAATAATATTCCATTTCTCTCTACCTTCCCATTTCTTTCTCTCTGCTGCTCAATTTCTTGAGTTCTTCCGGGGTATCATAGGCTTTTGATAAAAACCATCCAAGGGGAGGGAATAATGAGAAAAAGGGACAAAACAACGCTGTCCAGGCAACTACAACTCGCCCGGAGACTAAGACCTTGTCCGTGGTCGTCGGAGTTGCATCTTAGAACTTGATAAAGTCATGCTGCTGTGCCATCTCGCCACTATCCACTCCTTCAAGGAGCTCTGCAGACACATCATCAAACTCGTCCGAATCAACATCATCCGAGTCGATCGCATCATAATCCTCGTCCTCGCTAGATTGGTCAGACTCATCCTCGTTATCAGCCTCAGCTTTCGCCGCGGCGGCAGCAGCCTTGCGGATCTGGCCAGCACGGTCGACATGGGGAAGTTGGCAACGTTTCTTATGACAGGCACCAGTGTTGGCGTAATCCGGGCACTCGTGCACATGGCGCTCTTCACAGGAAGCACCTTTCTCGCAATATCCGAGAGTCGCGAAGGCGCGGCAAACGGGGGCGCCGGGTGTCACCCGGACGTGCGAGTAGCGGCAATCAGGGTTGGAGCACCGGCCTCTAAGGAAATGCACACAGGAGGGAGAGCGATGGGGTGAGGGCTCATGGGAAAGGTCACAACTCATACCGGCACTGCATTGGCCTGTCTGAAGGAAATCCTTGCAGATGGCTACTTTGCTGGGGTCGTGGATAAATGGGCACGATGGCCCCTTGTAGCATGTACCTAGAAGGGTGAGTATAAGTTAGTATCCACGTGCAGTGGAGGGAAGGCGGAGCAAGGCGCGGTCCATTGGAAAATAAAATACCGGTCGTGGTGAATCTTTTGCAGAGTTCGTTGCGTTTCTTGACTGTGGTTGGATTTCTTCGGTGGCAGTTAGCATAGACTCGAGTGTTTACCGTCTCGACAACGCACATTTTCGAGGCCACAGCTCCAAGACGGTGGAGATTGCCATTTTTGCTCCGGACGAATGTCACACCAGCCACGTTAACTCGCTTGGGTGTGATGTTGGCTGTGTTTGGATCATCTAGAACAGGTAAGCCAGTTCCAGGGAAACACAGGTCATGCAAGGCTTTCATACTTGATACCCGAACCAACTTGCTGCCACCATGTGTAACCTTGAATGGGATGTCATTCACAAGAATCTGGTGAGCAGCCGCTGGTTGCGTGGTCGTCGACACTGTCGCACCGCCTCTGGCAGCCTGCGCGTATCGAAGAACCTTGGACTGTTCCCGCTCGGCGCGTCGTTGCTCCTTGAACTTGCGAGTTTCCTCCATCGCCTTGGCGCGAGCTTGCTTCTCTTTATCGTAGACGGCAGAGTTGATCAGCTGCATATGGCGATCGCGTTTTGCGACCCAGCCGTTGGAAGTTGTCGGTTGACGCGCCTCCCCATCGTTGTCACTGGATGGGCCTGGGGAAGAAGTGTTGCTGTGGACGGAAGCAGGCGTTCCATTGTTGAGAACTAGTGTGCGATTCCGATGAGGCGCTACATGGCGGCCTCTTCCTCTGCCTCGAGAGTAAGGTGCCCATCCTGGGTGAGAGGGGGCGTGACGAGACACGTATTGCGACTGGTGAGATGACGGTTGATAGGGTTGGGTGGTCTGAGTTTTGTGCCTGTTGATTTGACCTGCGACGGTGATGTCAGTGATATTGCCGAGACAAAACTGAGAGCTAAAGCACCTTACCTGCGAGCTGGCCAATCTTGGCCAAAAGATCATCATTCTCTGTCATGGTGAGCTGTTACAGTCAGGGGTAGGTGGTTAGTAGTGGTGTAGAAGAATGAAGGGAAGATGAAACCAGTCTACGAGCTGACTGAGGGTCTATGAGATAGAAGTAGGGGGAATCAAGTGAGCTGATGAGAAATTGGGAGCTGCGAATGACGCCTCGCACTCATAGCCGCCGGTGGCGTATTTGATCACGTGGGTGGATCCACAGTACCATATCGCATCACGTGATATTCTCAAGGTACAACAAGGTCACCGTGGGCGAGGTGGTCTACATTCGATGATATTCCTACGGGGCTTCTCAAAGTAGAACACGATGATTCGGTATATATATCTTCAAATAGACTTTGAATGGCTGAGCTAATTGTTCTTTAACCCACTTTTTCAAAATCTTGAATGCAAGGAGCTGCTCTCTCCTTGTCTGTTAATTGGCTCTATACCTCCAGGCCCAGTAGTCTGATTATGAAAATCCGGGGTAGTCACAAATGTGCATCCATTTCCACGTATTAATCTCGATATCTTTCTAATCTAATACACATTGTGAATAACTTCGCTGGATCTTTTTTGTTAGTCATGATCCGTCACCATGCCCGAGACGGTAGGATCCTCCTCCGAACCCTCATCATAGTCATCCATGTCTGGTGGTTTCTCATCCTTGACATTGTCATAGGACATGGAAGCGTAGTTAGCATGCTGAGCCTCAGGCTTAAGCTCCCATGTCATGGCAAAGTCACCCGCCTTGACCAGGTGGGCAACCATTTCCAGAGTCTCCTTGAGATAGGACTCAGGCTGTTTAAGCTTGGCCTTGAGAGTTTTGAAAGGCCAGTAGCGGAATTCTCTGAAGCACTCGAAAATACGATCCAACAACTCGTTTTGCGGGATACGGATAGACTTGTTCTCTTGGGCCTTGGCCTTGACCGATTTGAGTTGTTGCTGGGAAAGTTGTTAGCAATTGAAGATGCAACCAGCAGCCACGGGCGAAACATACCACAAAGTGACCCTTGTTCGTAGGCAGGAGAATAGCGGCATTGGTGATATCGGGGCTGATATCGTCGATGTATTGAACCTTTTCTTTCGGTTTCATGGCTTCGACGGCTGCTTTTTCGGAAATACGTCGCAATTCTTCATTCTCCACGGGTAAAAGGTTGAACTCCTCGCTCACTTGTCCGACCAGAGCCGTTTGTTCTAAGAATATGTCAACAAAGGCGTCACAATCACACATTCATGGGTATAACACACTTGGAACTGTCTTCCGCACGTAGGGCTCCCATTTTTTGCCTTGCTGCCTCCTCCGCGCGTCACGCTTCATAGCTTCGTACAAGGCTGAGCGCTTCTCTCCAAAGGACGCCAAGCGATTTTCAGCTCCGGGGATATCCTTTTCTGTGAAAACAAAGGTATTTTGGGTCATGTGGGCCGCATTTGTGGACATGGATTGTTTTTGCAGGGTGTAGTCCTTGGGAATGTCCTCATTACCCTCTCGTTTGTGGAGTCGCAAGCTGACCTGTGTATCAACAAGAAGTGTGAGAACTCATGAGCTGGAAAAAGCGATCGACATAAGACGTACCCGCTTGAGATCCCCTGGTTCACCTTCTATCCTTATTGTTCCAATCTCAATCTCCTCGTCATCGTCCGCATTCTCATCGATTGTCGCCCAATGGTCCCACAGCTGCTGTGGCAGTCGTGAGAGCCATACATTCTGTGCTGAGGCCGAGAAGTCTAGATCTCCCGCATCTTCGTAGATATCTTCATCTTCTAGGTCTGCAAGAATAGCCTCCTTGCTATCAGGATCGGGCTTGATGTACATAGCATCCGGGTCTGGCTTGACCTGGGCCATTATGGTGGTCGGTGGGAGCAAGCGCAGTCGTATTTGAGATGTAAAAAGAAAGGAATCGAGTTGGTGATCACACAGCGAACGAGTTGGGATATGCGACGAGAAGAGAGCGTGGATGAGAGGAGCAAGAGGGAGAAGGGCGAAGTTGGAGTTGCGCCACAAAGCGGGCAGAGAGCTACCAGATTGGAATCAACTGGCCAGCTGGACTGGGCAGGCGGTGAACAGAAGAGCCGCACTTTCACTTTGTTCTGAAACTTTGATGACTTCATCCGAGTTGTGTTTCTTTCATCCAGCAGGAAGAGTCCTTCATTGAGATAGTTAACAGGGCATACTGACAAAAGAGAAGCTCTCGAAGCTCATTATGTATTTACATTATTTGGCTTATGGGTTTGTTGTGTTTAACTTCGGTAATCATATCATGTATGTAATCAAGCACACTTGCATTCAGATGGTACAACAAAATCGAATCAGACACTAAGAAAAATACAAGCTCCTATAAGCTTGTTTTGATTCCGATCACAGGTAGGGTTCTGCTTCAAACTGAATGCTGCACCCTGCTATGGTCGCGCCGCAGTGTTAATGCTGAATGCCTTCTCCGCCTTTGCTTATCGATAAGCCGGTAATCCACTCTCCATCTACCTCCATCTCCAACCCACAACATTCTCCAACTGCCAGCTTCACTACCAGGTCTGAGTTCCGTCATACAGTGGCCACTTCTCTTCGTGGTCGAGATACACCATTCATTCACTGATCATGGCGTCTCAAAAATTTGCTGCTGCTCTAGCGTCCATCGAATCCATCACCCACCAGCCCACCAAGCTCGAACAATACAACAACCTCCTCAACGATATCGTCTCTCGCTCGTCCGGCGATGAGCTCGCCCAAGATATTGTCTACTACCTGGACTCCATCCTAAATGAAGATATAAGCATTGCATCAGCTCGTCCCCTGCTCGATTCCTTCATCGCCGCCCTGCAAAACTTCGATCCCGAAGTCAAGATTAAGACCGGACAACACGCTGTCACACTGCTTCAGTCGCGCGCTACATCAGTAGAGGAACAAGATTCACAGATTCGCGAGATACTTGCAGCAGCATATGAGTCACAAGAAGAATACAGCGCTGCGGCACGGGCGCTTTCGGGCATCAACATTGACAGTTCCCAGCGACTGGTCTCCGATGCGGCCAAGGCGCGACTGTGGATTCGCATCGTGCGATACTACCTGGAGGACGACGATACCACAAACGCAGAAGGGTTCTTGAACCGTATCAAGAACTTACCCAGCAAGCTGGAAGACCACGACTCAAAGTTGTATTTCCAGTTGTCGCAAGCCCGGATTCTCGATGCTCGCCGGCGATTCCTAGACGCCGCACAGGAATACTTTAATGTCAGCCTGGCCCCTGGCGTCGATGAAGGCGACCGACTCGCAGCGCTTTCTGCTGCCATTCGTTGCGCAGTTCTGGCACCAGCCGGCCCCCAGCGTTCACGCTCCCTCTCCCGTCTGTACAAAGATGACCGTGCCTCATCAGTGGATGAGTTCTCAATTTTGAAAAAGATGTTCCTGGACCGCCTTCTCAATGCTGACGAGGTCGCCGCGTTCTCTAAGAAGCTTGCCCCTCACCAACTTGCTGTGACCGCTGACGGCACGACCGTTCTCGACAAGGCGGTCATCGAACACAACCTCGTTGCTGCTAGCAAGCTCTACGAAAACATCAATGTCGACGCCCTTGGCGAGATTCTGGGACTCACGTCATCAGGTGATCTTTCCGCCGGAGAAAAGGCAGAGGCCTATGCCGCGCGAATGGTAGAACAGGGTCGTCTTCGTGGTCGAATCGACCAAATCGATGGGGTCATCTCCTTTGATTCGGACCTCGCGGCGGGATCTGGTGCAAATGGGTCGAGTCTGCGCCAATGGGATCAGGGAGTACAGGAGCTTGCTGAGGATGTTGAACGTGTTGCAACCAGCATTGCTGATCAGTTCCCTGTGAGTAACACCCAGGTATCTATGGACAATCATGTCCATGCTGACCTTCTACTCAGGAATTTGCTACTAGCCAGATGGTGCATTGATAGACCAGATAACTTTGACGAAATGCTACGAATTGATGCCAAATTACACCCCTATGAACATTCTGTAGTAGTCCACGGATTGATTGAGATATCTTATCTATTTGCTCCTGGCATTCAAGTGGCAGTCCGAGGCAGTCTGATTGGCCGCTGACAGTATCTCGATTGGACAGTTCCATACCATAATCTCGTTGTGTGTGCAGCTTTCCGAATTAAGGATATTCTACCAGATACCGCGCATATTTAGGGCGCCTCTCCTGGAACCCTCACATATCCGCCCAACCCAAAGAGTCCGACGGCACGACAATTGACGAGCTAAATAATGTTCGGCTTCCGAACGCGCTCCACGTAGTCCCGACTCGGCTTGGAATATAGACGCACACTCGGTGGTACGGCGACGGCGAATCCAAAAGAAAAAAAGAGACCTTGGAGCAGCTCCGCCAAAGAGTATATAACGTGACTGCCCACACCATGTGACACCTGTTGTATATTGCAATCACAGCCCGGATGTCCAGGGGACTTTCGTGTTTCGACACGCAAGAATCCGAGCCAGGTAACGAAGCGGCCTTCATCATAAGTTAGTACGCAGCCAACAGCTTCCATTGTGGATGCGTCAGAGTAGGTCCAGACACTATCTATATAGGCCTGTAGATAGGTTGACCGGAAAATATAGAGGCATTGAAATGAGAAAGTAGGAAGGATCTGGCAAGGTTGGAGCGGCCTATAGAGGTCAGAGGGACGGGAGAGGCAAACACAGGCATATGGCTGAGTACTACAAACAGTGAAAGTTTCCAGCCGGAAATGAGAAGCTACAGCAGGTACCAGTCACTTAGGTCTCTCATTTATGAATTTTTAACATCATAGTAAAAGTCACGTATAGGATTGCATGGTTTTCAACAGGCCATTGAGAAAAGTCATTCGACAACAGTATATTCTCCAGAGGCGTTTCCAGCGCTAAAAACAGACAGTGACCAAATACGTTCGGTAAAAATTAGGTTGTATATGATACATATATCCAAATCCTGCCCCGTCAATGGGGCCGCAGCATATCAACCAGCTAAGCCTCGATCTCATCCGCCCCTTTCGCGGCCACACCCATAGCCTCGGCATCAGTCTTGTAGGTCTTGAACTTTCTCGCCGGCACTTTCCTCATGAACATCTCATCAAGCTCGGCATACGTCCTGCCGGTAGTCTCAGGCTGGAAGAACCAGAGATAAACAAGGCAAATTACACAAAGTCCGCCAAAGATGAAGGAAACCTTGGCACCAAGGTTCGCCTCATCCGGGTTGAAAAGATAAGGCAGGACAAACGACCACATAGTGTACAAAGCATTTTGCAGCGCCAGACCGATGGCAATAGTCTTGATACGCAGTCTGGAGGTAGACACTTCAGCCAGGATAGTATACCCAGCTGCACCGATAGTCATGTTATACCACCAGCAGTAGATAAGAATCAAAGCGACGGTACCCTTGATAGCACCCGGGGCATTGGGGTTACCAGTTTGGGATCCGACAACGGCCAGACCACCCGTCAGCATCAGGATCGCAGTGAGGATAGCAAGACCGTAGAACATGAGGTTGCGACGGCCGACGCGGTCAATGACAAAGTATGACATGACGTTACCGACAAGCGAGGCAATCTGCTGCACAATCTGGAGCCGGAAACTCATCGCGGTACTATATCCAGCCAGCTGCATATAATATGTAGAGTAACCAGCCGCAAAGACGACGCCGGAGAAGGCCTGGATACTCAGCGGCAGGATGGAGATGATGGTACGACGGAGATTAGATCGGCGGAAACACTCCAGATAAGTGGCACCCTCTGTTTCGTGGCGGACTTCCTCGAGGGTGGTTTTAATCAGGGCAAATTTCTTGGTGGTCTCGCTTTCGCTGTAGCCCAGCTTGCGGAGGGAGGTGCGGGCCTTGTCTTCGTGTCCCTTGGAGATGAGCCACCAGGGGGACTCGGGCATGAACATGATGCCGGCGAGAGCGATAGCTGCGAAACCGTACTGGGCGCAGAAGACGGCGCGGTAGGCCCAGCGGTTGGAATAGGTTCCGGTCGAGTTGGTGATGAGGGCGACCACGAGAGGACCAATGACATAGGCGAGGGCCGTCAAGCAAGTCAGGGTACCGCGAAGAGCGAGGGGAGTGATCTATAACGACGAGTCAGTGATGAGAGACCGAAAATTGAGCAATGGATGCAGGGATACATACCTCGCCGACATAGGTAACAGGCACCGAAGCCAAAGCACCCACGGCAAAGCCATTGAGAAACTTGCCGCCAAAGAACATCTCATTAGTAGTCGCGACAAACTCCAGCGTGACAGCTGCAAAACTGATCAACAGCGCAATGAGAATAGTAAACTTGCGCCCAATGGCATCAGCAATCTGACCCGAGCAGAGAGCGCCAATGACAGCGGAAGCGACAGGAGCACCGCTGAAAGCAGACTGCCATTTCGCCTCAAGCACCCAGCTCCCGTCATAGTAATGGCCGAAGTCCTTGCGGAACTCCGGGATACCGGTGACATTGCCGGACGCCTGGTTCTCGAAACTGACGAGCAGAATACACCAGACGGCGTAGGCGCACCAGAAGAAGGTCCAGGGATACTTCTTCAGACTCTGCCATTTATTCAATTCATGGTCTTCCTGGTTGGCGATATGGCCGAGCTGCTGGTTCTCCGCGTCCTCAACGAAGTCGGCACTGGGCTTTTCCATTGTGCAGTCGACAGAGGGGATATAGATATATCAAAGATGTAATCAAAAGAAGTAGAAAGGGGAGTCAAGATGATCGAGTAACACACAACCAGTGGAGCAAGAGATCGTCGAAGCAGACAAGGGGAAGCTCTTTATGTATGCACCCACTCCCCAGTGTCCTGTCTCAAGATGGCATCTATTACCCCGGAGGTAGAAATGGGACCATCACCAGATTCGACCGTGCCACGCCAACCCATATGGCAGCAATTATTTTTTTCCCTCACTCTCCTCTGCCGGGAAAAAGACGGGGCAGTCTGATTGGAATGAGAGAAAGGAAAGAAAATGCGGAGGTGCCCAAAAAAAAAAAAGATCCCAGCGCCCCGGAAAAGCTAAAACTGCCAAACGCTAAACGTGCCGAGTTCGGGGGTGGAGGGTAAAAGAGACAGGGCCTAGAAAGGCGAGAGACCATGAGAAAGGCCAAAAAAAAAAAGAGAAACTTCAGCCATTAGCCAGTGGTGCCGCGTAAACCTTGGGATTGGTCGTGGCAGTCGCTTCCGTTTCTCCGTTTTCTCCGTCTTTTTTCGGTGGTCGTTCGCGGCCCGATCTTTGGCATTCTTTTCGGGATGAGTCAGTAACTCACCTCGGTGAGTCGTGTCGAGAATAATATGGCCTCTGAGATAGATGGACTGGCGAAGATTGACAGTGTGATCTATCTAGGTTCGGTATACCACTACTATGCATTCTGTCAAGTGCCGATCCTCCTCTCCGCAATGCATGCTGATGAAATCCGGGGTTAGCTCATCTGGGGGGTTGTCAACTTAGTCATTTGTGCGTCAGCCAGTTAACTACAATAGGTACGACCCTTGAACTAGGCAAGTCATACAGGTGATCACGACTACGGGGCCAGGGTGCGCCCGGGGGGCAATCAGCCGAAGTTCTGCCGTTAAAGAGGAAATGGGAACCCCTCCGTTGCCTCGACCTTTTTCCGGGATGTGGCTGAATGTGCGTATCGTATCTGGGAATCACGCGTTTAGAAGAGGAGCTTTGGAGGATTAGGCAACTTTAACCACTTTGGGGGCGCTTAACCCTCATCTTGGTTTCTGGACATGAAGAACAAAGAGCAAGATCATGCTGGGTCTATGTTGAGATTGATGAAGAGAAGAGCGTTCTGCTAAAAGACCGGATACCGTTTGCGGTTCTTGACGATCAGTCAGGCAGGTCAATTAGTGTCTGCAATACATTTTTGACTACCATACCCAACCAGGCGGCTACGACTTCTGGTTTAGTGTGAACCGACTCGTGTCCGGCATACCTACTCCAGCGGATCAAGTATAGACTGTACAGTAGTCCAAGCCGGCGGCTACCTATGCTCTTCTCTGCTAGCATTGTATCCACATCTCCACGTGCGGTGGAGATGGCCAGGTGGAGCGTCACGGCAAATCGGTCCGATCTCCGGCAAAATGTTGGTTTCTGTGTATTCCGATCATGATATTCATGCTATCTTCTGATTAACGGTAGCAGTGTCTCATGACTCGAGCTGGAGAAAACTCGGGGTCAAATGGGTGTGCGGGGCCAAGTGCTTCATCCATCGGCATCGATTGACCCGAACCCACGAGCATCCCCCAACGGGATCAAATCATCGAGGACAGTTCACAGCTTCACTAATCCTAATCCTTCAGTTTCGCTCAATTGAGAATTTAGCTATCCTAGTTATCTTCATACATTGTCATAAATCGCCATGTCTTCACAACCATCTGTCACATCTCTATCCTTTGAGCAGCATGCCTCTGGACTCGGCATTGGAGTCTCCAAACCCCGCATCTCCTGGAAATTTGCGGCAACCAACCACACAATCCCCAACTGGGAGCAGACAGCATACACCCTCGAAATTTCTCGCGAGTCCAAATCCCCAGAATCCTACCATGTCCAGTCCTCTGAATCTGTCCTCGTCCCCTGGCCAAGTCAGCCCCTCCAGTCTCGCGAAACCGCCCAAGTTCGCGTTCGCGCACACAGCGGCACAAATGCAGAGCCAACAGAATGGTCCGAATGGACGACTGTCGAGTGCGGCCTATTAAACAGAGAAGACTGGACTGCAAAGGCAATTACAAGGCCGGTCAAGCAAGCTGAGGGTCCGCTGCGGCCTCTCCGTTTCAGAAAGACATTCACCCTATCCGCGACAGCTGTGAATCATGCCCGCCTCTATATTACCAGCCTCGGTGTGTTCCAAGCCTACATCAACGGTGTTCCCGTGGGTAATCATTGCATGGCACCCGGTTGGACTAGCTACAAGCACCGATTGAACTATGAAATCTTCGACGTTTCATCCCTGCTCAATGCAAACGGCTCAAATGCCATCGCAGTGGAGGTTGCAGAGGGTTGGTATGCCACTAGACTCGGATTCCTCGGTGGTCGGAGGTTCCTCTACGGTGATGAGATGGCGTTACTTGCCCAGTTGGAGATTGGCTCAGGCGTGGAGAAGCAGACTATCGTGACGGATTCTTCTTGGAAGTGTCATGAGTCAGCCCTGATTACCAGTGAGATCTATGATGGCGAGGTATATGATGCCCGGGAAGAGCAAGAAGGCTGGACAAACGGCTCCTTCACTGCAGAGTCCTCCTGGAACGCAGTGCGCGAGACCGAATTCCCTCAAACAGAGCTCGTCTCGCCCAATGCGCCGCCCGTTCGAGTCACCGAGGCCGTCAAACCAGTCGAGATCATCAAGACACCGACTGGGAAGACGATTGTCGACTTTGGTCAAAACCTTGTGGGACGTATCCGCATCCCATCACTCGTCAAACCTGCCAACCACATCGTGAGTCTCATCCACGCCGAAGTTCTCGAAGACCAAGAACTGGGGACTCGCCCTCTCCGTATAGCCAAGTGCACCGACACAATCACCTCTGCCGGCAACGAAATCCGCAACTGGGCACCACGCTTTACATTCCATGGCTTCCGCTACGTCCAAATCAACGGATGGAGTCCCGAGGATACCGCGAACCCTCTCACCCTCGACAGTCTCACGGCCGAGGTCATGCACACGGATCTCAAACGCACCGGCTGGTTCAACTGCTCGCACCCAATGATTAACAAGCTCCACGAGAACGCAACTTGGAGCATGCGCGGTAACTTCCTCTCTCTCCCAACGGACTGTCCTCAGCGTGACGAGCGCCTCGGCTGGACAGGCGATATCCAAGTCTTCGCCCCATCAGCCAGCTTCCTCTACAACACAGCCGGCATGCTAGGTGACTGGCTCAAAGATCTTGCAGCCGAGCAGCTCGCCTCGCCAAATGCCATCCCGCCCTTCGTCATCCCAAACGTCATCTCCGAAAAGCTCTGGCCCGTCTTCCCCCAAGCTATCTGGGACGACGTCACCGTCTTGCTACCCTGGACTTTATACCAGAACTACGGAGACTCCGACATCCTTCGCCGTCAATACCCCAGCATGACAGCCTGGATCGACCGCGGCATCCAGCGCGGACCAGACCGACTCTGGGACGACACACTCTTCCAACTAGGCGACTGGCTCGATCCAACCGCACCACCAGATCAACCAGGCAACGCCCGCACAGACGGGACCCTTGTCGCAGACGCCTACCTCGTCCACGTCACACAAACACTCTCCAGCATCGCAACCATCCTAAACAAAACCGCCGACGCAACCCGCTACGAAGCAGACTACCTCTCCCTCAAAGCGCGCTTCCAAGCAAAATACATCTCCCCAGAAGGCTACCTGGTCGGCGACACCCAAACAGCCCTAAGTCTCGCCCTAGTCTTCGATCTCCTCGACACCCCATCACAAATCGCCAACGCCGGCGCCCGTCTAGCCCGGCTAGTCCGCCGCACCCAATTCCAAGTCTCAACCGGCTTTGCTGGAACGCCGATTATCACGCACGCCCTAACAAAAGCCGGCCACGTGCAACTCGCATACCGCATGGTGCAAGAGAAAACGTGTCCGTCGTGGATGTACCCGATCACCATGGGCGCAACAACGATCTGGGAACGATGGGATAGCATGCGTCCCGACGGGAGTGTGAATCCGGGCGAAATGACGAGCTTCAATCACTATGCGCTTGGCTCGATCATTAACTGGTTACATAAGAGCGTTGCGGGCGTGAGTCCGCTGGATCCCGGGTGGAGGCGGGTTTTGGTGAACCCCGTGCCTGGGGGCACGGTTAGTCGCGCGGAGGTTATTTATGAGACTGTTTATGGGAGGTTGGAGTGTCGGTGGAAGGTGGAGGGGGGCAGGTTTGAGATGGAGGTTGTTGTTCCGCCGAATTCGTGGGCGAGGGTTGTTGTGCCTGGTGATGGTTATGAAGAGGGACGGTGGGTGGGTTCTGGGAGGTATACGTTTGAGTCGAGGTTTGATAGTCAGGTTGGATGGCCGCCGAAGGCCTTGGGGCCGCCTATGTTTCAGTTGGAAGACACTTTTGTTTAGGGGCGCATAAATCTCCGTACCTATATCTTGATTCAGATAGATTACTTTTTAAAAGTGCGAATTTGAAGTGGGAGAGGGTGGTTGATGTTCAATAATTAATTGCTTTCCATTGTATGCTTGTGAGAGGTTTACTGGAATCATCATTGAGGAGCTAAGATGTCCAACCTCAATTGACGAGATATTAACGGAAGCTCATGGAAGAGGGACCTTCCGAAAGGTTGCCAGGGCATCTATTTGTTTCTTTACATGGGTCCACTGCTCACTCGAGGGTGCTGTATTAACTACATCCAATAAATCAAGTAGAATTAAAAGACGTGTGCCTTGGATCATGGTTCGCAGAGCGCCAACAAAAAACCAACATCCCGACCAGCACCAAGAGGTGAGGACGTCCTCACTAATAAATAAAATGAAATCATCACGTCGTATCAAATTCCACTACCAAGAGCCTTCACTGATGCGAAATACGTGCAGTCTCAGACGTAGCAGAGTCATTCTCCGGTGTAATCGCAATATCAGTCTGAACCTTGATATTCAACGGATGCAACTCATCACCCAAAAATCGACCCATTCCCGTCCGGTCAATCTGTGACCCATGTATCCCAGCTTCCATCTTGACATACTCCAGATCCGGCGAGCGCGGACTAGACTTGGACAAGAAATTCGAGTTACTGATATCAGAATTGATATAGTAAGGGCGATCGCTCCGATTAGACCGATTCTTCAACTTGAGCGCCGGGAACAGACCGCGGATTATCGGGAGACAGGAGCATATCAAGCCGACAGAGGGCTCAACGTGTGTCCAGAGGGTTGCCTGGTAGACCGTATAAGTGGCATCAGCGGGGCTAATCCAGAACAGCACGACGATGCGGTATATGCTAGCGAAGCACACGAAAAAGCCCAGTGCGAACACGCCGTTCAACGCGAGCTTATCTTGCCATGCACGATGGAGATTCCAGATCATAGGGACTGGCAGGATGAGGATGACAAAGTCCATGAAGACATTGAAGGCTTGGTTGACGATGAAGAAGAGGTTTGCGTCGAAGCAGTGGCCCTCGACGCTGTGGTCCCAGTATGCGCGTAGTGGGCGGCATTGGCCTGCACAAGCGAGGAAGATGCCTGTTCCCCATGCGCCGATGAGGCAGTTTAGGCCGAAGGTGAAGGTTTGGAAGTGGGGGGGTTGTGAAGACGCGGCGGTAGAAGCAGATGATGGAGATTTTGATGGCAGGGCAGAGGAGGAAGTAGGTGAATTGGTTTGCGAGAAAGATCTACACACGTTAGTGACCATTCTTCAAACAATTATAATAGTTGCTGAGCATACCTTCCAGTAGTTTATGAGAGTATCTGCATCGAGATCTTTGATGTGGGCCCCATTGCCTCCGATCGAACACCCTGTTGAATATCAGTCAGCGTGGATAAAAACCACACTCCGTTGAGCAACTCACATAACCCCAATTCAATGAGCATGGCAATCATCAACACCATTGACAAGACACTTAGATAGTCGTCGACGCCAAATCCAACCCTCCTTTGCAAACGAGCGACCACTCTGAGTACGACCGAGATAAAACACAGCGCCACCAAGACGGTGACGATCTCGATCATCTGCCAGCCTCGTGCACTCGGTGCCATAATTGTATGCACCAATGGCTCTGAAATAAGACAAGAAGAATGAGAGACAAGATGCAAAGCAAAGAGGAGGGTGCGAATCACACGAGAAAGAACGAAACTCCTGCGGAGGGAAATCTACCACAGGTGTCCTCTACCCTGGCTATGTACCAGCGCAGCCTACACGCATAACAGCCTGACACTCTTCGGTACCTTCCATTCCGGGCCAATATTAAACAGCGCACTCCTCCACCAACCGTCGATCATTAACAGCAAGTAGCCTTTCAACTGTAAACTCCGGGATGCGCGTCTCGCGTAGCGAGGGACCTACATAGCAGTGGAGGCCACTATCGTTCCCATTTTCTGGTCATCCGATGGAGCTAGGCGAATAACATGCTAGCACGGCGCTGGAACAGATGGGCCGGCACTCGGAGAGCAACGACATTGCTGGCTGGATGTGGAGTCCTCTGTCAGATGGGGCGATATGTTCTGGTTCAGTTGTACTAGTGCTGCACATCTTGACTGGGAAGGGAAGGCTGCCGCGGTGATTATTTATGACAAATTTCTTCTGTATTGGGGACTCGAGGGACCCTGAGGTGGAAAGTGGTGGGACGGTGTTTTCGTGGTTCCAGTGGTTATAGTGGGTGGGTTCTGCAGGCTGGATCGGGAAGGATGGGGCTGTGATCGCCGTCTGATAGGGAAGGTGCGGTAGATGGGCGACAGACAGTATGCTTTACTGAAAATTGAGACGAGTTATAAGGTTTATATGGAAGCTAATATTTCTGTATTTGAGGAGGCCTTGTCATCAGCAATGGCAGGTTGCACGAGAGGCTGCTATAGTTCGGGAGGTCTGCACGATTCATGCAACGATCCGCAGATCCAATTCAGACTCTTCTATATGGAGCACATCCACATGTTTGATGCGACTTATTCGTGGATGTAAACCACGTTCCATCATCTCCCAGATCAGAATCATCCACACTCGATCCGCAAAGTGACAGGTCAACCGTGCAGATCATGCGTCAATAGTTTCCTTTTCGGCCGTAGTACTGAGCCAGACTCTGGCTAAGCGCAAGGGATATAGTAATACCATCGAACTCTATAGCCAACTTATCACGTATATGATGCAAGGTAGACAATGATTGACAGGGGATTGACAGGGGATTCTGGATTTCGGCTGCACGGAAGCTTCTGCAGGGTCCAAAATAGAACCCTGGCTGGGGTCCGAGACCGTACCTAATTCGAACCTGAAGTATATCTTCAATACGTCAAGTTCGAAATATCTTCCATAAACCTAGCCGGGCAATTTGTGTCATTTTCAATCATCATCCATTGTGAAGAAAATCGATCACCTTCCGAGGCTCCCCCCCGAATTTCAGAACTGTGGAGCCCGACGCGTCAGGGGTTTTGCTCTGTATCTGCTGGGGTGAACTATTGGCAGTCTTTCCCAGAAAATCCTGTTGTCCCTTCATAGTCTGTACGTACTGTAACTCCAGCATTGATTTGTATAGTTATTCAACTGCAAGTCATTACTCACTTCATGATGATCATAGCCTGTGACCCTGCCCCCGACGCCATCCACTCTAGGTTAAATTCTGACGTCCCGCGTGGGCCGGCTGTCGCGCGGGCCTTTCAGCCACAGCGGGGGGTGACATTGAGGACAGCAGGCAGCATGAACTAGTACATAGGAGCATATTACACATGTAAGTGTGAATTGGATTGTTTCCATGGAATCATCGAGGACCTTGCGGTGGACGAGGAGCAAATAGTTTGTGGATTGTCGGAGTGCAAAGTGGGTATGAATTAAGTGCTGATTTCAACAGTTGGGAAGGGATCTTCGTACAATCCATTCACAGCGGATCTCCAGCGGAGCACCGAGTACAACTGTACGGAGACAGTAGTAGCCATTCCTATCGGAGGAAGGTAAATGGCGGGGCTAAACATCTCGACTCCGTCGCAGAGATACAGTACGGAAGTCCATACTCAATTCCCCTCAATAACCTTAACAATCCTCCTCCTACGCCTTCACCACTAACTACAACTCTCTGCTCTCCTACACAATCACCCAACTTCCAATTCCAACCTATCTCAACCCTCCAGTTCTCCTACCAACCACCAAAATGATCAACTCCCTCCTCACAGTCCCCCTCCTCATAAACGGCCAAGAAGAATACACCAACACCACCTTCCCCGTAACAAGCCCCTACACTAACACCCCCTGCTGGACCGCCTCATCCGCAACCCCCTCCGACGCCCTCCGCGCCGTCGCAGCCGCAGACGCCGCCTTCCCAGCCTGGTCGCAAACCAAACCTACCGCGCGACGCGACATCCTCCTCAAAGCCGCCGATCTGCTAGAAGAGCGGCTGGAGGAGAATGCGTTGTACATGCGCACGGAGATGGGCGCAGACAAGGGGGCGTCGGCGGGGTTTGTAGTGCCGTTGGCGATTCGCATGTTGAGGGATGTTGCGGGGCGGATTACTTCGATTTGTGGGAGTGTGCCGGTGTTGGAGGGGGAGGGGCAGAGTGCGATTGTGTTTAAGGAGGCGATGGGGGTTGTTTTGGGGATTGTGCCGTGGTATGTATAGGACTGACTACTGGGGTAGTAGTCTGTTTTTATGATAGCTACTATTTTATCTACCTCTGCGCACGCCGTGCATCACCATACTCTGTATACTGACCAGCAACCAGGAACGCGCCATATGTGTTCGGCATACGATCAGCTGCCTGTGCCCTGGCAGCGGGAAACACGACCATCCTCAAATCCTCCGAGCTTACCCCGCGTTGCTACTGGGCTATTGGCCGTGCCTTTGAAGACGCCGGGTTACCAGCGGGTTGTCTAAATGTCCTACACTGCCGACCAGAGGACGCGCCCGAGGTCGTCAACGCGATGATCGAGCACCCGGCTGTGCGCAAGATCAATTTCACCGGGAGCACAGCTGTGGGCCGGAAGATTGCGCGGGTCTGTGGGCAGAACTTGAAGCCCTGTCTGATGGAGCTGGGTGGAAAGAATAGCTCGATTGTATGCGCGGATGCGAATTTGGACGTCGCAGTGCAGGGAGTGTTGGCTGGTGCTTTCTTAAATGTGAGTTTACACACCCATGGGATCCTGATCGTCAGTGGTGTTGTCAAGACAAGATCTAATCTGTTGAATCGCATGTTATCATTATCAGTCCGGCCAAATCTGCATGGCAACAGACCGCATCCTGGTCCACTCGTCCATCGCAACCCAATTCATCACAGCACTCAAAACTGCCCTCGCTGCCGGCGCCTCAACATCGTCTCTCCCACCCACGCTCGTCAACACAGCCTCCAAAACCCGCGTGCAAGCGCTCATCTCCAACGCCCTCGATGCGGGTGCCCATTTCATCTCCGGCGCGGCAGATGTCCCGCTCTCCGCAGATGCGGGCGTGCGCATGGCCCCCGCCATCCTGGGCGGCGTCACCGAGGATATGGCCCTGTGGCAGGAAGAAGCGTTTGCCTCCGTGGCGGCGTTTATGGAATTCGAGAGTGAGGAGGAGGCGGTGCGGATGGCGAATAGTAGTGGGTATGGGTTGTCGGCGAGTGTGTTTACGGACGATTTGAGAAGGGGACTTGCGATGGCGAAGAAGATTCAGTCTGGGTGAGTGGGAGAAGCTTGGAGATGGAAATTCTGATATGATTGTGGACTGTGGTTGGCTTGTGTTTTGACTGTTGACGTGCTGACTTGTTCTTTTCTCTAGGGCTGTGCATATTAATAGCATGACGATTCATGATGAGCCAGTGCTGCCGCATGGTGGAGTGAAGAATAGTGGCTGGGGTCGGTTCAATGCGGATGAGGGATTGAATGAGTTCCTGGTGACGAAGAGTGTGACTTGGATGGATTAGTGTATTGTGGAAGGAGCGGTAGCGAGTTCATTTGCATATGTATAGCCTGTTGGTTGAGACTTTGGTTTGAACATATAATGCATATTCAGTCCATCTGAGCTTTGCTTTCCCTCGGAGCCTTGTTCAAATAGGGCTGTCCAACATCATCCGAGTCGCATGTCCAGACCCATCATGCCACTCACGCCGACGAAGCCGAAGGAAACCACAAAGGATCCCGATCCATCATCGAGTACTCCGTAACATCCCACGGTTCACCACCCTCGTACCTTATTTCCCCGATCCCCCTCCAATCCTCAACAATCCTCACCTTCGGCCCTCTTTCCGGCGAGACTCCAACCTCACTGCCCTCGGCCTGCATTACCCCGAGCCACGCTGCTCACCCAACCAACGCGCTCGCCGGGACACACGAACCCGAGTCACTCTTGCGCGTCCAGCAGATAAGCCAGACCTAGCAGCAGCCGGGTGAATGGTGGGGAATTGTGCTGAATTTGTATCTCGCACATTGATCTCCGACCGAGCGAGAGTGTGAATTCCGTCGGCAATTGACCCGAGCTGGATTCGGGCAGAGGCGGTGATGTCATTGGCACTGGGCTAGGCAATTCCGACCCCCGGATTATGTCAGCTTGCTTGGGATTGTTCCGCCAATCACAGACTGGAAATGAGTCAGCGGTCGGGGACTGGGTTTGCCTGTCTGGGAAGAAGATGGGGGTGTGGACGGAGGAAATATGGTCTTGTAGGTTCTATTTCTAGATTCTATTCGAGATTCTATCTTACCAAAAAAAATGGATTCAGATGATAGAGGAATTTTGTGATCTTCAGATGAGTCCCCCTATTTCCCTGCAGGGTTCCTTACTCCGGCTCCGGTTGCATTCTTCGGTCGCGGTCGCGGTCGCGGTCTCGGTCATTTCCTGCGAGTTTTTGGTACTTCCGAGGCTCACAGGACCGCCCGCCGACCGACACTCCCGCGGTTTGCGGAGAGACAGCACGGTCGGAATATTCCTGGAGAGATAGTTACCGAATGAGCTGGAACTGAGCTTTTATGCTCTGTATGCTTTGTGAATTAGCATTGACAATCAGTATTGTTTCTTGTATGGCCTGTTATTCTTACGACCCCTTGGTACTAGATACATTATACACTGCGAAATGTCGTGACGCATGTGCATGTGAAGATGAGCTTCTGATCAGAAGGTCTTACGATCCACGATCTTCCAAATGCATGTGATTGGAATCCATCCTATCGTCGTTCTCCCTCGAACATGAGCTGTCCCCGTCATCATATCCCTTCCCCTTCTTTTCCCCAGGTTTCATAGCGATAGTTGATCAGCTATTCCCACTTGCGCTCCGAACCAGCCGTCCTGTCTCCATTACCAACATTCTCCTCCTGCCCGGATCCACTTTCTCCACGCGTGCCTCGGCCGATAGCACCTCGTCGGCTTCTGAGCTGCTCCCCCGGATCCCCTCTTGCTACTCGACAGTACCCGTCCGAGTCGTATTTTCCATAAAATCACAAGCCCCCCTTCACCTTCTTCCGTTCTTTCTTCTCCTCCCATTCTTCTTTCTCTTCTCGCCCTTGATTTTCCCTCCCCCCCCCTCCCTCCCTTCCTCCCACATATACAGCCCTCACACATTATGGCCGCTCCTCAAGTCATTGTGGTCGGCGGTGGACGTAAGTCGCCTCCCCATTTCCCCCGCATTATTTTTCCCTTCAGAAACTGTGGAACTCCCGACTGACAGCCTTTCCTTAGTGTCCGGCCTGAGCGCCGCTCACACCGTCTACCTGAACGGCGGCAATGTCCTCGTTCTGGACAAGCAGGGTACGTTCAGCATTATCCATCGCAGACACCATACTCTCCACTCATGATGCTAACACTACTCCCATTTTTAAGCTTTCTTCGGTGGCAACTCAACCAAGGCCACCTCCGGCATCAACGGTGCCCTCACTCGCACCCAGGTCGACCTCGGCATTCCCGACAGCGTCAAGGCCTTCTACGAGGATACACTCAAGTCTGCTCGAGACAAGGCCCGCCCTGAACTCATCAAGGTCCTCACCTACAAGTCCGCCGCCGCTGTCGAGTGGCTGCAGGATGTCTTCAACCTCGACCTCACTCTGGTCTCCCGGCTGGGTGGCCACTCCCACCCCCGCACCCACCGTGGCCACGATGCCAAGTTCCCCGGTATGGCCATCACCTACGCTCTCATGCAGCGCCTCGAGGAGATCGCCGAGTCCGAGCCCACCCGTGTTCAGATCATCAAGAAGGCCCACGTTACCGCTGTCAACAAGTCCGGTAACGACGTGACCGGTGTTACCTACACTCTCAACGGTGAGACCAAGACGGCCGACGGTGTCGTCGTTCTGGCCACCGGTGGTTACGCCGCTGACTTCAGCGACACCTCCCTCCTCAAGAAGCACCGTCCCGATACCTACGGTCTGTCCTCCACCAACGGCACCCACGCCACCGGTGACGGTCAGAAGATGCTCATGGAGATTGGTGCCAACGGCATCGACATGGACAAGGTCCAGGTCCACCCCACTGGTCTGGTCGACCCCAAGGACCCCACTGCCAAGTTCAAGTTCCTCGCTGCCGAGGCCCTCCGTGGTGAGGGTGGTCTCCTGCTCAACTCGGACGGCCAGCGCTTCTCCGACGAGCTGGGCCACCGTGACTACGTGTCCGGCCAGATGTGGAAGGAGAAGGAGAAGGGCAAGTGGCCCATCCGCCTGGTGCTGAACAGCAAGGCCTCCAAGGTGCTGGACTTCCACACCCGCCACTACTCTGGCCGTGGTCTTATGAAGAAGATGACCGGCAAGGAGCTCGTTGCCGAGATTGGCTGCGGCGAGGCTGCCCTCAAGAAGACCTTTGATGAGTACAACCTCATTGCCGATGGCAAGAAGAAGGATCCCTGGAACAAGAAGTTCTTCCACAACCTGCCCTTCTCCCTTGACGATGAATTCCACGTCGCTGTCATGGAGCCCGTTCTCCACTTCACCATGGGTGGTATCGAGATCAACGAGCACTCCGAGGTCCTGAACGGCGAGAAGAAGCCCTTCAACGGTCTGTACGCTTGCGGTGAGCTGGCTGGTGGTGTCCACGGCGCCAACCGTCTCGGTGGTTCCTCCCTGCTGGGCTGTGTCGTCTACGGCCGTGTCGCCGGTGACTCTGCCTCGCAGCACCTCTTCAAGAAGCTCATCTCCAACGGCTCCTCGGGTGCCCAGCAGCGTCTCGGCCAAATCTCCCTGCACATTGACCCCTCTACCCCCGGCAAGATCTCTGTTGAGTGGAACGGTGCCGCTGCCGGTGGTAGCCTGCCCTCCGTCACTGCTGCCCCTGGCGCTGCCTCCGCTGCCGCTGCCACCCCCGCTGGCGAGGACACCTCTGCCAAGGCCGACCCCGTGGCCAGTTTCAAGATCCCCGAGAAGGAGTTCTCCATGGAGGAGATTGCCAAGCACAACAAGAAGGACGACCTGTGGATCGTCGTCAAGGGCATCGTCCTGGACGTGACCAACTGGTTGGACGAGCACCCCGGCGGTGCTAACGCTCTGTTCAACTTTATGGGCCGTGATGCTACCGAGGGTACGTTACTATCCCCTAGAACTAAACCCCCCATCCATTTACCCAATGCTAACCCTCCCTCTTTCCTACAGAATTCGCCATGCTCCACGACGACGAGGTCATCCCCAAATACGCCGCCCAAACCGTCATCGGCCGCGTCAAGGGCCAGACCCCCAGCCTGGAGCTGTAAGCGCCTGGCGATAACCCCGCCAGCGGGCATGATCGCGCATGCTCACTCCCCTGTAACGACCTCCTTCTAAATAACATACCCCCGTCCCCTGTCTCGTCCTGTCCTCATTTTATGCTGTCCTGTCCTGCCTTGTCTTGCCTCGTTGTTGCTTGAGTTTGGCTTGCGAGTTTGGTTTGTAAGCCGACTCGATGATGATATATGTGCCCACCCCCTCTTTTGCTGGGGTGTGTGGTTCGGTCTTGTAACATATCATACTACATTTTACCTTTTCTCGGAATACAATTTCTAGACTGGTGGTTCCGCGTTGTCCGTACTTTATTCCTTGTAGCTCAGCTTGTCTGGAGGTATCTCTCAGAGATAGATAAGTCTCACCCCTTCACCCTTGAGTTTTTTGTTGTTCGTATCTACCTTGCTTCTCTATGCACCATTATTCATCCTCCTGGTTTATGTCCACCTAAGAGAGTAGGGCCTTACCCTGTGCTTCTACGGTGATTCCAGTTTGGTCGTTGGCGGCGATTATAGTTACGAGACCTCGGATACCCTGAAACCAGGTGGAATCGGAATCAATAGGGAATATAAGGAAAGGTAAGTGAAGAAGCAGAGCAAGAATAATTAAGGCCTTTATCTATTATATTGCTCTATGCTCTAACGCCAAAAATAGTAGTAATAGACTACAGAGTACGGAGTAGTTGGAATGTGCTGAGCTAGACGCAGACCCACTTCTTCCCCACGGCTTTATTATTAGACTGTAAGTGCTGCTGGGCTATGAACAGCAAAGGCTGGTTATTGGTATTTAACTAAAAGAGGAAAGGTTCACTGCTAAGCAGAGACTCGAATGGTATATGTTGTGTCATTCATCTCATTTTCAATCATTGATAGTGGACATAGAGAGCTATGATATCTCGTAAGGATGAAATTGCTAGAAGGCCAAAGCTAGCGAGATCCTTGCTTGGAAATTGTATCCCTCCGGCCGATGATTATGTAGCCTAGTCACTTCTAGTTTTTTTTTCGGGCATTGTTGTTCTATTTCGCTATGAAGCGGGAGAGAGTGGTTCTCATAGTTTACGAAAGATTCAAGAGCCAGAGGTAGGGGTGCTGAACGGCACTATCGACATATAGATGACAGAGCAAGGAAGGGTTAGCAGAAGTTATTCACTACGGTACTTGATTCATTCAGTCTAGAACATTGTGGGTCTCCTTGAATCTTATCGTAAAGTGCAAGTCTCCTACTGTAGTTCAACAAATGCGCCACAGACGACCGTGGCTAAACGGTCATCATGAGGTTCAAAAAAGGGATCCGCCGTAGCACTGGTGATCGGAATTCAATCCAAGGGGGTAGGCTGATCGCCATTTAGCCACGGCGCCTTGCACGGGTACGTCACATGAAATTAGGAAGGATCAGCCTAAGAAGAAAAAGAAGAATGTAATTCAAGGGGTAAGGCGTACGCGGAGGACGTAGTGCAGCTACGTAGCTGTACGAGTACCCCGGGTTGGACCGTTGGTCCCTGCGGTTGATTCTGCAAGACATGCAGGGCTTGGAACTTGAGTAAAGTCTATCGTGTCGGGGGATTATCCGCGGAATGTTCAATGTTCCTCCTTACATTTCAATACTTCTTGCGAGCCTCAACAATTCTATCTCTAGCGTTTTCTGGAAATCGGGGTTTGTTCTCATTGTGATGCGCATGTGCTCACATGGTATAACGGTATCTTGTTATCATTATATAAAGCGCTGGTTCCAGCATTGTAAAGCTCTTAGGCACCACCAAGTCCTGTCTTCTGTTTCCACAGTCTAAGGTTCTTTACATGTTCCTCACATTCCTTATTTTCGTCGGATCCACTAAACTTCTTTTTACCTGCACTCCATCTCTCTCGATTATGGCGTCTCCGTGGACAGACTCTGATTTTGAGCTACAATCCCAGCCTGCGGACTAGATGGACAGTGGCTTGATGCATGAGCAAACTCTATCTCAGCACGGATCGCCGCCGGTCACAGCTGGGTACCAAGGCCAAGCTTCTTCGAACTCTTCGCATGGTTCTTTAATATCCGAGGCATCGGAATGGTCCAGCCACAATGCATTGAACATCCCGCATGGGCACATCGCTCCACTTCACACACACCAGGGCATAGATGGGGACCTATTCAAGCACCAGCACGTGGCAGCGCATGATGCCTTGCAGGCTACTCTCGGCTCTAGAACGAGTATGCACTCCTCTCGCGATAGCTTTGCCGGCCTACTACCAATCGATACACCTCACATCAATGTTGAAGCGGATCGGGAGGCACCAGTCTCTCATTCATGCCAAGGGGCAAAAGGCTCGTAAGCCACTGTACATTACAATCTTAATAATTTCCTGGCTAACATTCCTTCAAATTCCCAGAACGAACACACCCGGTCCCTTCCGATGCGATTGGAAAAACTGCACCTATAGTGGCAGTTTTTCCGTCCACTCGTCGCTTTGGCGACATATCAAATCTAAGCATCTCTCCCGCGATGCGCTCAAGTGTCCTTGGTGTGAAAAAAAGTATGGTTTTGGGCGCGATGATAAACTTCGGGCACATATGTTGACTGTTCACCATGGGCATGTACACGCAAGGTGATCGGCGTGGTGACGGCTAGGGCTGAGAGATATGATGATCGATTTGACGGATTGAGTTTGGTTCTTTTGAGTTCCCTTTTTGATCGTATAGAAAGGTTAGGTTGTCTATGGCGTTTTATTGGATACTGGTGTTGATATAGACTGGGACTGACTATACACCTGGTTTTGGTTTGATTATTTGCTATTTTGTTCTTGTTATTCACGACGGCGTTTCTTAGATTAGAAGCTGGTTAAATTAGATGGATTCAGTCAGAATACAGAGTTCTTTCCATGTTGTGAGACTAACTTGCTTTGCCCAAGTAGGACAACAAACTAATTAGTATAACCAAGCTAATGAGTAGTCTGGCTTGCTAGTAGATTGCTATCTTCCTGTTGAATCATTGTCATTTCAACGTGTTAAGCACATCATTGCTAACAATATCTTCTTAGTTGACTGATTTAATATTTTTAAATATAAATAGGCTGGCCATACTGAAGCCCCTTCCTTGCGGGGATGCATCGGAATGTGATCCAAGATGGTGGGAGTCCCACCGAGTCGACAGGTGTGGCATACAAGGCTGAATTGGTATCAGCTGTTCGCAGACGAGGCATCTTTACTTATCTCCATCCTCGATAATATGAGTAACCATATCCATATTGACCGATATCACGTATTTCCTAGACACATCCCAGCCCTGGAATGACGTAGCCGTTCCTGTCCACATCGGGCTTAGACTAAACAAACCCCGCTAACAATCTGGTCAGCATATTACCAAAAGAAGAGAATGGAGAGAAGGAAGTGAAATAACGACACAGAGCTCGGCCAGGATGACTATCTCGCAGGAGCTCGCCTCATGGTTCTCTCCATCATACATTGAACTAGCACCCGTTCCTCGAGTCGACGATATAGCCCCGTCAGACCCAAAGTTGGTATTCCCCACCAACAATGGAAAGCCAACTATCATAGCCTTTCTCCGACACTGCGGGTGTCCAGGTTCGTTACCATAGAAAAGTATTATTCAAGTATTCATAGTTGGGACTAATCATCACATTTTACTACCTGCAGTCGCAGAAGCAACCTTCCTTGCGATGCGTACTGCAGCTACTCACCACCCCGACATCAATTTCATCGCCGTATCTCATAGTGACCAGCCATCCACAGAGAAATGGCTGAATGCCCTTGGGGGCGCAGACTCTGTCACCGTAGTTGTCGATGCGGAGCGTCAGATCTACGCAAAATGGGGACTTGGAGTTGTTTCTTGGGGCCATGTTCTTAGTCCGGCAGGCATGGTAAATGTCTGGAAGCTAGGCAGAGAACAGGGCATTTGGAATAGGCCTACGGAGAGTGGAAGCAGATGGCAGTCTAGTGGGTATTGGGCTGTTGATCAGGGGGGCTTCGTGCGGTGGGGAGGTCCTGCATGTAGAGCTGATGATGTGATGAATGTTGCTGAAGCTGTGAAGGGTCTGGAGAAGCCCCGGGCGAGGCTCTAAAGACTGTGGTCGTTCATAAGAAGGGAGAGATTGATGCAGATGAATCAGTAGTTAATAACAGCACAAATATCGATTACTCAGGATCAAAGATGGCATGAAAATAATACTGGTTTTGTGGGGTGGTGATAACTAACAAAGCTGTAACCTTGATTTTCTTCCAGGACTATCCACTGATTTGTGTAGGTTCATTCAGACTGATGTCCAGCTTCATTTCTGTAGATCTCAAAGTCTGAGTATATGTAGGATACTCGAAGTTGACAAGAGAAGAGCAACCCTGGTGAACGCCGCCTCAGTGTCAGGGGATTCTTGAGGCACAAGGGGATCTAAGCGCCCAGAGTGCTAAATCGGTTTGGTCAATACATGATATTTGGAAATTCTAGACTGACAGGTACTCTGTCCACGCCAGTTCATCATATTGCGACAGATCGATATAATTTCTAGACAAACACCATATATCCATCATGCTTCAGCATAGTATATATCCCCTGTATATTGCCATTACTCCAAAAATGCAAATCAGTCCTCATGCCCGCATATGCTTCAAAATCATCTTCAACCGCCTGACAGCGGGTCCATCATTCTCATCTCCCTCCCGCGCCTCCGTTCCCCTCTCTTCAATTTCAGCCTTGGCCGCTTCCAGCGCAGGCCGTAGATAGCCCCAGACTTCGTCATGGTACCGCTCATGCACGGTAACCCAGTCCTGCGCACCCGGGAGGTATTCAATAACCGAGTCGCGAAGAGTCGTAGCAGACACAGAACTTGCATCAGCACTCTCAGAAAACCCAGACGGATCGTTCTGCTGAAGGAAAGTGTCTATATCCGGGACAAGACTAAAACTTGACAGTCCCGGCTGTTGATGTTGGGAACTTGGGTTTGTAGAATCGCCAATCTGCCGCCGAAACGAGTCGAGCATTTTGATCTCTTCGGCTGTCAGTGGCGCCGGTGTCGCAGCCGGATCGAGATCGAGATCAAGCCCTACATCCTCCGGGCCCCCAAAGTCCGCATCAAATGATGTATCAGCGAGCAAGGAGACCACTGCCGCGCCGTCGCTGGGTTGCGGCTCGTACGTATTCGTCTGTGACCCAGGATGATCTGCGCGCTCCCAGGCACTGGTATAGTCCAGTTGCATCGGGTCATGTGCGCGCTGTTTGCCCTTCCAATTCCCCGTTTCGCCTTGTAGATCTGCCAGACTGGTATCCCGGTGCGCATCCCCTCGTACGCTGTCGAGCGACACACCCGTCTCATCCGTGTACGCGCCCAATCGCTGAAACGCCTCCTCCGACAGCGCCGGGATCTCAAATCCCCCGCTCGTCGAGCTCGTCGTCTCGCTGCGAAACGACTCTGCCGTGCCAGGTCCGGTATACCCAGCTCCAGATCCAGCCCCAGCTCCCGACCCTCGCGCAGCAATATCCCGACTAACAAGGCCCTCCGAACCCGCCGATGCGAGTGTCGCTGACCCGCTAGCTTTCCCCTGCGTCGCGCCAGCCAACGTCCTCGCCGCATCTGAGGACGAGCTCGCGCCGTGCATCGCGCTGCGGGCTAAACCAGCCGCCGAACTCTGGATGCGACTCGCCAGTGACGGCGTGCCATTGTCACTCGTCGTGGAGGGGTGACTCGGCGCATTTGCGTCTGTCTTTGTGGTCGGGCGTTCGTCGTGGTTGGGATTGGGGCGGCGGGCAGAGTCGCGGGTACCCCGCATGTTCTCCGGGTCGTCGGGCATGGCTGGTGCTTTCTGGCGGTGTGGTAGGTGTGCCTGATGGTGAAGGATTGAGGGTGATGGGAATTTTCAGGCGGGTTTAGTACGGGTTGAGGGTTGCTTCGATGGGTGTATGTGGTTCATGGCTTGAGTTGGGAAGGGCTGGTGGTTGAGAGGAGAGGGTTCGGTTGGAAGGAACCCTGGGGCCGGACGAAGTAGGAAGGGGAGCATGTGAAGGGATCAGTGGAATGGGTAGGGCTGAGATTGGTATAGGAGAGATTTCGATGCGAGGAGACTTTGTTGTTGGTTAGTAGGTGGTTTGGAATTGCTGAAGACAAGGATCTTTGAATGGTTTATATGCTTCCTAAGATGGATTTCAAGATGTGTATAGCCATAGGTCCTAGAGCTCTCGTGTCGAGTATGAGGTGGGATATATCGACAGCACTGTATATCGCGGGAGACCCCATCGGAGGATTATCTCCTCTCTGGATAGATATTCACGACCTCGGCTAGGCATGCATTCATTCAGGAGTATGTTCAAGCTTCTGCAAGGGTCCTGATAGGCTCAATGCTTGATTTTCGTGGCTATTTTACTTGAACCCCGACAGGATGACGACAGAGGCTGAGATCCGATGGTATCAGCTGCAGCTGGCCAGGGCAGGGATGTTGCCGTCTACAGCGAAGATAGATATGATTATACGGCCTATAGATGTATTTGAATCAAATCAATTGATTCATTTCTTTAACTATAGTGCCCATTAGCTACCGGATTGGTGCTAACCGCCAGGAACCAAGGCGTCGGAGTGGTCTGTCTGCTTCGGGCCATGTTACAGTGATCCGCCAGTGTTGATGTCAGCATTTAACGGTCCGTTTGGAGGAGTAGGAATTTTCCTGGGCGAATGAGACTGTCGACCCTTGTCATCCTGCCCGAGATTTTCTGGAGGGGAGATTTTCACAAGTGAAATAGTCCAAACGAGGGAGAGTAGTGAGAAAGAGACAGAGAAAGAGAGAGACTTTTGTTTGCCAGTGGTCGAGGTCTGGTCAGTAGCCAACTGGTCGTCGTCCCCCACCAAATCACCAAATCACCAAATCACCGCCTCTCGCTCTCGTCACCTTTTCCTTTCCAAATCCACCACCATCGAAACCCAACCACCACCACCCACTACTTCACCCAATACCAATACCAACACTTCCTTCTTGTATGCCAAAAAAACTTTTCTTTTCTTTCTCTTATCTGCGTCCTCCTCCTTTCTTCTGTCTTTCTCCCAGGTCTCTTCCATCCTAACCTTGGCAATCTTCCTCGTCCAGGTCTTCCTATGATCCCCTCTCAAGCTCTTCGGTGGATCCACTCATAACAACCGGGTCGTTTGCTCCTCTTTTCACTCCTCCTCCACTCACTCTTTCCTCCCCCCCCCAACCCATCCTATCCTGGTCCATCTGCGTTGTCCACCCACGCCCCAGGACGGTCGTTCATCCTAGCTTCGAAAGTTCATCCGTGTGGGCTGTTTCTTGCCCTACCTTCTCTCTCTCTCTCTCTCCCCCCCCCCCGCTTCCTCTCCTCTCCCCCCCTCCCCCTCCCTCGCGACCTCTCGTCATCGGTCTCGAGCCCCTCGAGCCCCCATCGACCGATCAACTGTGACCGACTTTCGACTGTCACCTTGTCCCCGTTAATTTTCAGCTTCCTGTCGCGCAGTCGTCGTTTGTCCGACCGGTTCCGCGTTGTCGTCAATCTCCCGAATCGGCCTCCAGAATCTTTGCATCATCTCCGATAGAGCTCTGGGAGTCTGCAAAAAGTCATTCTCCCCCAACACCGATTTCTTTCTCGTCTCCCCGACCTGCATCCCTCTGCGACTCAGGGCGACCCTAGAACGAAAAGATGGTAGACAGAGATCCAGGCACACCCACCTGGAAGTTCACACAGTGAGTCGCCGCCGGAAATGGAGCTGCGATCCCCATGTCTTTGTGACCATTTTGCACCGGAGTTTATCCTGGAGCGAAAAACCTTGAGTGGACGAGGTTCTAACCGATATTGCTCTATCCAGATGCTTCGGCGATAAAGGTGATGTAGAGGATATCACAGAAGGTACAGGCCAAAAAGCTCCATCAACCCACCCGGCGGAACGGTTAGACTAACGCAAGCTTGTCGACAGCTGATATCATCTCAACCGTTGAATTCGATCACACCGGTAATTACTTGGCTACGGGAGACAAGGGCGGTCGTGTGGTTTTGTTTGAGCGGAACGAGACGGTAGGTTCCTGCTTTTTTTCCCTCTCCTCCTCGGCTCTGATACACCCTCGAGTCTTCCGGTGGCCAAAGCTCCCATGCTAAATGATTTGCATCACCACAGAAAAAAACCTGCGAGTATAAGTTCCATACCGAGTTCCAATCGCATGAGCCAGAATTCGACTACCTCAAATCGTTAGAGATCGAAGAGAAGATCAACAAGATAAAATGGTGTCGACGACAGAATGCTTCACACTTTCTCCTCTCCACAAACGACAAGACCATAAAGCTTTGGAAGGTATTCGACAAGTCTCTCAAAGTGGTGGCGGAGAACAACTTGTCGAATGAGATGACTCCGGCTGGTGCCGTCGGCGGTGGCATTCCACGGGCACCAAGAGGAACTTTCAAGGACGCCGCAGCTCTCAAGATGCCTCGCCTGACACATCATGACACCGTCGTTGCCGCTGTCCCCCGCAGAACGTACGCCAACGCCCACGCATATCATATCAACAGCATCTCCGTCAACAGTGATGGCGAGACCTTTATCAGCAGTGACGATCTCCGGGTCAACCTGTGGAACCTCAACATCCAAGACCAGAGCTTCAACATTGTGGATATCAAACCTGCCAACATGGAGGAACTCACCGAAGTCATTACAGCAGCCGAGTTTCACCCGGTCAGCTGTAACTGGTTCATGTACGCCAGCTCCAAGGGAACTATCAAGCTGGCTGATATGCGCCAGCGGGCTCTCTGCGATGAGCATGCTAAGTGTGAGTTGGAAACAACCTGCCAATCCCCATGCTTACCTTGATCCCCTCCCTCATCCAGTTGCCATTGTGTACTCATTCACTTTTTTTTTTTTGAATAGTGTTTGAACAAGAAGAGGATGCTTCTTCGCGGTCATTCTTTTCTGAGATTATTTCCTCCATCTCCGACGTTCGATTCTCACACGACGGCCGGTACATCGTGTCGAGGGACTACCTGACTGTGAAGATTTGGGATGTCAACATGGAACGCCAACCGGTGAAGACAATTCCCATCCACGAACATCTCCGGCCACGCCTCTGCGATACGTATGAGAATGACAGCATCTTTGACAAATTCGAGGTGGTCTTCTCTGGCGATGCCGAGAATGTGATGACTGGCAGCTATAACAACAACTTCATGATCTACCCGACAGAAGAGCAGAAGGAGACGGAGATTGTGTTGCAGGCAGACAAGTCAGCCTTCAAGGCCAAGAAGGTCGGCGTACCGACTCCGATGAGCAAGGGTGCTGGAAAGAAGGCCGGCTCCAGGTCCGGTAGCCCTGCTGGTCCTGGCAGCCGGATGAAGAAGGAGACCGATGCCGATCAGATCGACTTCAACAAGAAGATCTTGCACATGAGCTGGCATCCCTTCGAGGATAGCATTGCAATTGCGGCTACAAACAACGTAAGTGATCTCTGGACTGCGATTCCCTTCTCTTGCATGACCTTGATGCTGTTTACTGACTGCGATCCACCGGGTTATAGCTCTTTGTCTTTTCCGCTCTGTAGACGGCACAGAGCCGCTCATTACGCTAAGACTCCCATACATGTTCTTCACGGACAAGTGCATCTTGGCGATGGGATCGGGTGGCTGGTGGAAGGACTGATGGAACTGAGGGGGAAAGCAAAACGAAAGAAAAAAGACGCAAGCAACAAAAATGCAAGCAAAAATAATGGCCATAGCAGCACGCCCAGATTCCATAATCTCAGGACTTTCCGTTCACCCGCCTCCTCTTGTTTCTTTATCCAAAGAGGGCCCATCATTTCCCGAGTGTCCGCAGCAGGACCCCCTACCCTCCTACGCCCAGTTTTGTTCTCTTTTGACCGTCTCCTCCCCTCTTCCACCGCCATAATTTCCTCTCTTGGTTTGTATGCAATTTTTTATTAGGTATTCCACCGGCGTTGTACGGAGGCGCTTCATGATAGAGAATGTTAAGCCTGCTTGAGGCGTGTTTCATGATGGCTTTTCCTTGACTGCTGGGTGTGTTTGTGTGGGCAGAGGGCACGGATGGAGCGATTCATGTCTCTTCATGATACCTTTTTCTATGAATGAGCTCTTAATATGCTTCTCTTTGCAAGTATCCTTCTAAGTACTCTAGTCCATCCCAATCCCCAGACCTTCTTTCTATCCAGGGACTTGCGATCACCCACCAGCCCAAAGCACCACCAACATCGACGCGAATGCCCCCGTTTCTGCCGGGATTTTTCTGCCGGTCTTTGTGGGCGATGACGAAGGCGGACGGAATCATATATTCGCACAATACGAGCTGTTACCAGTTCCTTACCCTGTACCCGGTACCATTTCCCAGAATACTGTATCAAATTGTTCAATACAGCCGGACAAACAACGGCCCGAGACTGTAGACGCCTAACCGCAGTTGGCCTAGCGGGAGTCGGTCAGGAAAGCCTCCACTGGAGAAGCCCGCGATCGGTCGCGCGCACTCTCTTGTCCCTAGATCTTGTCGTCGTCATCGCAGTTATTCCCGGTTGTCTCTCTCAAGTATACCTCTCCTCTATTGTGCCAGAGCGGTGGGTCATGCTGTGACCCCAGCGCGTTCTGAGTGTTACCTCCCAAGCGAGCGAGAGGAGCGAAAGCCAGACCCCAGAGCAACAGCTGGAGCTCACACCTGCGCCAGACGTTTCTATTTCACCCCTCGACATACCCTCTTTTCGCCCGATATATACCCATATACTTCCTTGATCTTACCTGTGTGTGCAGATCAAAGTTCATGAGCCGATCATGAATTCTGGGAACGATTCCTGGCACTCCTCGGCCGGTGGGCCTCCGTCGCACCCTGGCATGGATCAGATGAATCAACAGCGGCCCATGGGGTCGTTTAGGTATGGGACGATATATTTCGGATTGATAGGTTCCAATGTCAGGTGCTAATATTAGATTCTTTGACTTTTAGTCAAAATCCCCCTCAGCAAGGCCCGGCGTCGCAACCCTCGGGGCCTGTTCTCCCTCCTCCATCCGGTTAGCAAATCCTCAACACAATCTTTTTTGAAAATCACTGCACTCGGCCTGAGTGTTGAATAGTTTGGCCTGGCAAGATGCAAATACTAACCTTGTTGCGCTCTCCACAGGGCCCTACCACCCCGGTGGTCAAGCCGGTCACTCTCTCCCCGGCCTAGCGGAATTGAACCAGAGCCACGGGGCTCCCCACCAACCTCCTGCGTACGGACAGCACCCGGCGGGTTCGACTCATGGCGCCGGCCACTCTCTTCCCGGCATTGGCCAAGCCATGTCGCATGCTTCACCACAGTCTCTGAACCGGGAGCGAGAGCGGGACTCCCGAGAGCGCGAGATTCTCGAGCGCCAGCGCCAGGAGGAGATGGCGCACCGCGAACGCGAACAGATGGAGCGCCAGCAAATGGAGCGCCAGCAAATGGAACGCCAGCAAATGGAACGCCAGCAAATGGAACGCCAGCAAATGGAACGCCAGCAAATGGAACGCCAACGCGAGCACCACCCGGTTCAGAGCCACACGGGCTCGATCCCCCTCCACCAGCCCGTCGCCTCCAAAGTTCCCAACTCTATTCACGGCCCGAACGGTCTTTTGTCGAATCTCGGCACGAACCCGCCCAATGGCCCGCAGGCTAACGTGCAAGCTTCCGGTGGACCGGGGGCTCTTTTCGGTGGACCTCAGATGCCGCACGGCGAGGGTACTCCGAGATCGTATATGCAACACCCGACAGGTCCTCCTATGATGGGATATAATGGACAGGGGCAGCAGATCCCCGGGAATGTTGCGGCCCTGGCTCAGGGCCAACAGCCGATTCTTAACGTAAGTGGCCCAATCGGGTTCTCACCGCACATGCCATGGGCTCACGTACCGTTGGTGGAACAGGATGCCCTCAGCTATTTGGATCAGGTGAAGGTGCGATTCGTAGACCAGCCCGATGTGTATAATCGGTTCTTGGATATAATGAAGGACTTCAAGAGTCAAGCGTGAGTTGCCTGATTTTTTTCCCTTTTTGGGTAGTCAATGCCGGGGTGGTTGCCTGAGAGAGAGACTAACAGTGAGGCAACAGCATCGATACCCCAGGTGTAATCCAGAGGGTTTCCACATTGTTCAATGGCCACCCTGCCCTTATCCAAGGCTTCAACACCTTCCTGCCTCCAGGCTACCGCATCGAATGCGGTACCGAAGACAATCCAGATGCGATCCGTGTGACCACCCCCTCCGGGACAAACACCCTGAGCATGCCCCGAGCGGGCCGCCCGCTTGATGCCGCTAATGAGCTTGGCCCTTCTGGAGGTTTGGGTCCTCATCCTCGCTCTGATTACTACGAACAGTCTCGCCCTGGTTGGCAGCAGACTCAGCAGCAACAGCAGCCAGGTCACCAGCAAGGCGCACCGGGTTCATATTCTCCCGGCTCGCGCTTGATAGGTCCTTCTGGCTTGTACCAACAGGAAGGGCAGGCCCCTCCACAAGATCATCACTTTGCGTATCAAAGCCAGGAAGCTCAGGGTGCTTCGGCGCTTTCTCATCCGCAGGATCACCGTGGTGTGGCCCAGCTGCAAGGTGCGGCATCGGCAGCATCTGGCTTGGGAAGACCGTCTATGCTCCCAGTTTCTGGAGCCGGCTCGAATCAGTCTATGAGCAGTTTGGCCGGTGTCGGTGGTATGCTCCAGGGTGGACACACGGATCTGAACAAACGAGGTCCTGTCGAATTCAACCACGCAATCAGCTACGTGAACAAGATTAAGGTTTGTCTACCTCACTTCTCCCAGTTCACCCAATCCACCCTTTTTACTGACAATCCCTGTTCCACAGAATCGTTTCTCGTCTGCACCTGAGATTTACAAGCAATTCCTTGAGATCCTGCAGACTTACCAGCGCGAGTCAAAGCCAATCCAAGACGTTTACGCTCAGGTCACTCAACTTTTCAACACTGCTCCGGACCTCTTGGAGGACTTTAAGCAATTCTTGCCTGAATCTGCAGCCCACGCCAAGCAACAGGCACAAGCACGCATGGCTGAAGAGGCAGTCCCTACGTCTAACCTCCGTGGGGAGCCCGTGGGCTTACCTTCTTCGACTCCGAACCGCGACGTGAAGATGCCACCTCTCGGGCAGTTCAACGTCAAGGACTCTGGGAAGGAAAACAAGAAGCGACGAGGTGGCCCTGGCGTTGGTCTCTCGTCTGTCTCTGGCCCCTCTGGCGTTGATGCGGCTCGCATGCCCGAGGCTCGAGGCGGTCCTCCTGCAGGCTCTTTCACCAACGGCAACAAGGTACGTTTACTTCTTTCTTTAGATGTTGGTGTAGACATGGCCGGCACGAGTGGTGCTTTTGCGAGTGTTCTCTCACCTGCATCTCTGTTTCCCACATCGTGATCTGATTACTGACGACTGGTTACAGCGGCCTAAGCACTACCATGGAAAGTCTTCTGGAGCTGACATTCCCAACGTCTCTCCAACTCTGATCCCTGCTCTTCCTGAACCGGTGCCGCCAAGTGTCATGACAACGCCTAGTCAGGAAGAGATTGCCTTTTTCGACCGTGTCAAGAAGTTCATTGCCAACAAGCAGATCTTCAGTGACTTCTTGAAGCTGTGCAATTTGTACACGAATGACCTGATCGATCGTTTCGTTCTGGTCAAGCGGGCGGAGGGATTCATCGGCTCCAACGCCGAGCTCATGAGCTGGTTCAAGCGGTTCATGAATGTGGAAGAGCCTGAGGACAAGACCATTGACCCGAAGCCTCAGACCGAGGCTGGCGTGGTCAATCTGGCACACTGCCGGTCCCTGGGACCCAGCTATCGTCTGCTGCCTAAGCGCGAGCGGCAGAAGCCGTGCAGTGGTCGTGATCAGCTCTGCCATGATGTCCTGAACGATGAGTGGGCCTCACATCCGACCTGGGCTTCAGAGGACTCTGGTTTCGTTGCCCACAGAAAGAACCAGTTTGAAGATGCTCTGCACCGCATTGAGGAGGATCGTCATGACTACGATCACCACATTGAGGCCTGCACACGCACTATCCAGCTCATTGAGCCGATCTGCCAGCAATTCTTGCACATGTCGGAAGCTGAGCGGGCGAACTTCAAGTTGCCTCCTGGTCTGGGTGGTCAGAGTGAGGCTATCTACCAGCGGGTAATCAAGAAGGTCTATGACCGCCAGCGTGGTGAGAAGATCATCCGCGACATGTTCGACCGTCCTTGTCAGGTTCTCCCTATCGTCCTCTACCGTCTCAAGCAAAAACTTGAAGAGTGGAAGGCGTGCCAGCGTGAATGGGACAAGGTCTGGCGCGAGCAGATGCAGCGTGCCTACTGGCGTAGTCTGGACCACCAGGCCATTGCCACCCGCTCGACTGATAAGAAGCTCTTCATCGCAAAGAACATTCAGTCAGATCTGCAGGCCAAGCTGGAGGAGACACAAAGTAGGCGCAAGAGCGGCCTGAAGCCACCCAAGTACCAGATGGAGATGAAGTTCAAGGATCTGGACGTCTTGCTGGATACCGCCCATCTGCTCTGCCTGTTCATTGATCGGAGTACCTCTGGCTTTGGTGCGGACCCGGCTCGTCTGATCAGCTTTGTCAAGGACTTTATTCCGATCTTCTTTGGACTAGACCGCGAGGCCTTCCACGAGTACATGGACGAGTTGATGCTCAGCGCGACTCCTGCTGAGGAGTTGGAAGATCACTTTGGTGCTGACGATACCTCGATGGCTAGCCGTAAGGCTCCCAACACGCAGAAGCTGGATCTCTTGCGTGAGACTCTTGAACAGAAGCTAGGGAAGAGCAATGGTCTAGTTCAGGAGGATGGCGTCGCTCCTAATGCTGCTGCTGTACCTGCACCCGCGCCTGTGACTACCCAGCTCGCTACTCCTGACGTGCGGGCTACTTCTACGGCCATCTCCGAGCCGGAGGACAACTTTGATGTTGCTGAGCTGAAGTGGATGGAGCACCCTGGCCAGGGCAACTTCAATCTCGAGCGCGAGTACACGCTGAACGAGAAGTACAAGAAGACCGAGCACCAGATGTACTGCAACTTGAATCTATTGTGCCTTCTCCGTACCTTTGAGATTATGTACTCTCGGCTGCTGCGCATCAAGGAGCAGGAAGAAGGGGCTCACGAGCAGGTCCGCCGTGGCCTTCTGCCAAAACCTGCTCATGAGTTGTGCTTGATTGACCGCTTCCCTGGTGACTTCTTCTACGATGTTGATCCCAAGGCCAACCTGTACAAGCAGATTGTGCGCATGTGCGAGGAAGTTATTCGCGGGGATATCGACACGGTCCACCTGGAAGAGACCCTGCGTCGCTTCTACATGCAGGGTGGATACCTGCTGTACAACTTGGAGCGCATCCTCTCGTCGATTAGCAAGTTTGTGGCGTCCATTTTCACTGGTGATGCGAAGGATCGCAGCTCAGATATCGCGAACTTGTTCTTCAAGGAGCGCGAGAAGAATGAGACTACTCATCACCAGGAGATGCAGTACCGCAAGCAGGTGGAGAGGATGATCAAGGAGGGCGATATGTATCGTGTTACCTACGTGAGTATCTATCTGTTTTGAGGGTGGGTGTTCCTGTGCTAATCGAGTCTTTACAGTTCCCATCCGACCGCCACGTCACCGTTCAGGTTATGACCACCGAAGACGCCACCCTGGACAGCGACGAACTCAGCTCCGAGGCCCGCTGGTCCTACTACGTGACAGCCTACTCCATGCGCGACCCCACCGAAGGCGTCCCCTACTCCGACATGCGCATGCCCTTCCTCAAGCGTAACCTTCCCAGCAAACTGGACGAGGACGAAGAGTACGACCGATTCTACCGTCGCCTGCAGCACTTCGATGGTCTGATCATTCGCATCTGCGCCAACAACTACACCATCCTCTACCAACCCCCCAGCCACGATTGGTTCTGGCGCTCGACCGCGCCCGTCCACGACAAGGACGCAGACGCCGAGGCCATCAAGGCCAAGGAAGAGGAGCAGAGCAAGGAGAAAGCTGCTTCGCGTGAAAAGCGCCATGATCGCTTCATCGAGAAGTTTGTTAATAACCCCAACTGGGCGCGCGGTCTGAGCAAGGATAAAGTCGATGAGTCGAATCAGCGGTTCCGCTCTTGGTTGAATGGGACTCTTGAAACAGAGGATTCTGCGCCTGCCGAGGCACCGGAGTCCGCTGCCACTGCTGCTCCCACTACCGATACCCATGAGGATGTCCAGCAGACCACCGAGCAGGCTGATACCGATATGGCGGACGCCGAGCCCGAGACCGCGGCTGCGGCTGTTGAGGCGTAAGGTGTATGTATGTATGTAACTTGAAGAGAATGGTGGGAGGTCTGATGAGGGTTTTGTGATTGTGTTGGTATGGGGGCACAGGATGAATATGCATTTTCTTTTGGATTTTTTGCCGGACTGCTTGATAACGCGAGAAGGGAATGGCGTCTTTTCTTTTGATTTTTGATTCACACGAGGAAATTGATGAGTTTACACGGATGTCTCTTCTCCTTTTCTTTTCCTTTTTTCTACTTCTACTTTCTTCTACTACTTTTTTATTGTGATTTGTGGTCTTTTTTCTTTCTTTCTCACTTAGCCGTGATGTATTCTATTGGGATTTGTTTATTATTCAGATGATTCTTTTTTTCTCTCCTAGTTGATTCGGATGGGATTGCCTAATTTGGTGTTCTTAGGGTAGCTCTGGTGTAGAGGTTTCTGTAGGCTTTGCCTCTGGCCCTGGCCTCCGACAGTCACCGATGAAGGCCGATGAATGTCCGTTGGACAAGTACTCTATTGTTCCCCGCCATCCATGCTTTTTCGGGTATTTTGTCTGGGGAAGAAGGTTGTTTCTTCGTGGCTAATGAGGGGTTCTTCATTTGTCAGGGGTTGGTTGGTTTTGGCCTGGAACTGGCTGGGCAGTGGATAGATTCATGACCTGTGCTTTTTTCTGGTAGTCATATACATACGAACCACGATGTCAACCTCTTTGTTGTAGTGTTGTTGTTTTCCTTGTATTCTATGTAATGTATGGCTAATGGGAATCTGCCTGGACTAGATGGAGTACAGAGTAGAATTGTTCCTCTGAGGCGCAACGAAGCGGGTTTAGTATACCCGGCCAGACCAGGTCTTTTTGCATAGGGACATTGGAAGACACTACTACATCCCATCTTTGTCGTTATGAGATAGAATTGAAAAGATAGTACATTTCTATTGAGATAAATGGAAAATGATTGGATAATCAGCCTCTAATAACAGTCGAGATCAACTTCCAAGGTTACGATGTGTATCTATCTCAACAGAATAGATACCCTCGGCATCTAGATAAAAAGGTAGAACTATAGACCAGACCATACAATAAATAGTACAGTAATACCTCCGTGCGGCCGAGCCCCAGTAACCGAAACAGTCCGAGACAGCAGCCAAATGGATCCAGTCAAGACTCAAAATGGAGCCTAACCCACGGGCCGAGTGGAGACCCAGCAAAGCGATCACCCTGCGATCTGGTCTGGGCATGGGCGAAACTCGGTGATTTGAAGATTCCCATATTACCGCGAGAGCGGCCCCAAACCCTGGCCTTTAGTTGTAGATCTTACTTGCTATAGCCTTATCTCGGATCTGGCGGTGATCTTGATCGGCTGGGGAGTCGCCGAGTGGCAATTCGCGGGGGATGATGGTCGGAGCATGTAGGCGTTTTGGGAGAGAGACCAGAGGTGGAAGTCCGGGGGATTTGCGAGAAAATACCGGGGTCGCCGAGGGAATGCCGACCTGACGTCAAGATGAAGTTGAAGTTGCACTAGACCGGATCCGGGGAGGGGGGTTCTTTTTGGGAAGATATTATTCTGATTGATAGTTAGGGGGTGGGAATGGAATCAATTGGGTATAGGAGAGGAGAATTGAGAAGAGATTGTATTTGTCAATCTATCTAGCAAGTGTATATATCCATTGTAAGTTATAGTGGTTGTATAGTACTAGATCGGTAGCTAAGACACAGGAACCCCGCGGAAGAAAGTGCATTCAGCGTGCCACTCGTGGACGTGCCAGGGCTTCCCTTCTTCCGGTATTATTCTTTTCCTCATCTTCTCTTGGCTTGGGCCTGGTGGATCATTTGTCATACCAATCCTCCTTTTCTTTTGGGTGCTGCCCGTGGGGTTGGTTCGACCTTATTTAACGTCTCGTCATCCTTCCCTCAGAGAGAGCTCTGGCCACATTTTTCTCTCTTCCGGACCTTTTCCCCTCCACAGCTGTTCTTGACTCTTCACTCTCTCTCCCCCAAGGTTCTTGTTTCTTTCTTGTTTTCTTTTTCGAATTGCATACCCTCACACATACAGCATGGCTGCCTCTGCCTTGCTTAAGAGCCGAGTTCGCCGGCCCTCGTACCTCAATAAGCTGGCCAAGGCTGAGGATCTCATTGATCTGTTCCCTCATGGCTCGTACATCGGCTGGTCCGGTTTCACGGGCGTGGGCTATCCCAAGTACGTGTTTTGTATTTGTGTTCTACATTCTTCGCGTTGAATTGTCTCAGTTTGTTATGACATGAAGCATCGACTGATCCGCCATGTCACCGTAGGATGGTTCCCACCGCGCTCGCAGACCATGTCGAGAAGAACAACCTGCAAGGCCAACTCAAATATACCCTCTTCGTGGGTGCCTCATCCGGCGCAGAGACGGAGAATCGCTGGGCTCGCTTGAACATGATTGAGCGCCGTAGCCCGCACCAGGTCGGAAAGGAAATCGCCAGGGGTATCAATAATGGCCAGATTAAGTTCTTCGATAAGCATCTGAGCATGTTTCCCTCGGATTTGGTCTATGTAAGTATGAGTGGATGGATATGTTTTCTTGCGGGCTCGGGGGTTCCCGCCACGGAGAGCGGAAAGTTGGGAATGATCGGCGCTAACCGTTTTCCCTTTTCGATCGGGATAGGGCTACTATACTCTGAATAAGCCCAACAACAAGATTGATGTGGCCGTTATCGAGGCTTCTGCCATTACAGAGAATGGTGGAATTATTCCCGGTGCTTCGGTCGGTGCCTCACCCGAGTTGGTCCAGATGGCCGACAAGGTCATCATCGAGGTGAACACGTCCAGTCCCTCGTTCGAGGGTCTGCACGATATTGTGGGCTCTGATCTCCCTCCCGGTCGCAAACCGTACCTGATCATGGCACCCGAAGACCGCATTGGAACTACCTACATCCCCGTCGACCCCGAGAAGGTTGTCGCCATCGTTGAATCCAACTACCCCGACCAGACCCAGCCCAACGCCCCCGAAGACGCCGGCTCCCAGGCCATCGCCTCTAACCTGATCGAATTCCTCAAGCACGAGGTCAAGCACGGTCGTCTGCCTAAGAACCTGCTCCCCATCCAGTCCGGTATTGGCAACATCGCCAACGCCGTTGTCGGCGGTCTCAGCAAGGGCGGCGCCGACTTCAGCAACCTGAAGGTCTGGACCGAGGTGCTGCAGGACTCCTTCCTGGACCTTTTCGACAGCGGCAACCTGGACTTTGCAACCGCCACCTCGATCCGCTTCTCGCCCGACGGTTTCAAGCGCTTCTACGACAACTGGGAGCGGTACGCAGGCAAACTCCTCCTCCGCTCGCAGCAGGTCTCCAACTCGCCCGAGATCATCCGCCGCCTGGGCGTCATCGGCATGAACACCCCTGTCGAAGTCGACATCTACGCCCACGCCAACAGCACCTGCGTCATGGGCTCGCGCATGCTGAACGGACTCGGCGGTTCGGCTGATTTCCTCCGCAACTCCAAGTATAGCATCATGCATACCCCGTCCACACGGCCCAGCAAGGTGGATCCCACCGGTGTCAGCTGCATCGTTCCCTTCGCCACGCACATTGACCAGACAGAGCACGATCTAGATGTGGTCGTTACTGAGCAGGGTCTGGCGGATGTGCGCGGCTTGTCGCCGCGGGAGCGTGCCCGCGTTATCATCAAGCAGTGCGCTCACCCTGATTACCAGCCCATTCTGACGGATTATCTGGATCGGGCGGAGTTTGAGTGCTTAAAGAAGGGTATGGGTCATGAGCCTCATCTGTTGTTCCAGGCGTTTAAGATGCACCAGAATTTGCAGGAGAAGGGTACTATGAAGATTACTTCGTGGGAGTAAAAGCTTGCAGCAGCTGGCTGAGGTGTGAGAATACCGGGCTTGGTTTGAGTGATTTTATTGCGAAATATGAGGATTGGGTTGGGTGTTTGGAGTTGTTGTACATATCATTAGCATTTTTATCTACGAAGAGATCAATTTATCTACAATATCCATATTATCTGCGATTACATGCTTATTTGAATCTCCATATTCCTATTATTAGATATAATTAGGGATCGCCAGTTATACTTGCTGCATTCTTATTACTATTTAACATGGCATGGCCTATTGGAACCTCAATAGAGCACTGATTAGACAGTGCGTATGTAATGATAGGGAATGCTACCGTCGGATTGGATAATTAAAAGAATATCATCCCTAAATTCACGTAGATCGATTCGTTAACGACTTCAATCGACCAAGTGCAACACAAATCTGAAAAAATACACCAAAACTCCCAAGCTATCATAACGAGCATACAAAAATGCCGTCCTTAAAAAGAAAAGCCAGCACAAAATCGTATGTAACATCAAATTCCTTCCTTTCTCTCTCCTCCAACACACATCAAGTCATCTCACGACGAGGGCGGGTTGTACGATCCACCAGTGAATCTGCCAAATGTCAGCAACAATCTTTACAAAGGACTCCGACGATCCCAAGAAAGAAATACGTACTTGTTCCACAGAGATCCAAATAATCCAGTCTGCGAGTCCCCAGACTGACGACGTGCCCAGCCGTGGTCCACGTTATAGGACTTTACATCCTGGAGTCCGGCGAAGAGACCTCTTCCAGCCGTGGCTTGCTATATGACATTATCAGTATGTCTTTGTCGGGAATAAATGCTTAAGAGGTCGATGGGAATACTTACGCGATGCGCCTCTTTATCGCGAACCCAGTAATCAGCCCCGAAATCATTCTGCAGGCGGGCGGTTTGGGAGGTCTTGGATGCGGAGCCCATGGTTTGAGGTGGAAGTTGTGCAAGATGGATGGATAGATAGAGAATGTGTGGTTTTTTGTAGTAAGTCTTGTTTGAATGGATAGTAAATGTTTTTGTTGATGAATGAAGAAGACATCAACCCGTCACCCAACTATCCTTATATACCACACACGCCTACGGCTCTGCGAAAATCTCACGGAATCTGACAACATACGAACCACGTACAAGGTCATGGCGCATGGTATGGCAAGATTTACTTTGAACATGGTACCACGCATCTCACCGGCCGAAGGGGCCAAAATCTGAGTCCCGAGTAATAGCCCTCGACTCACACGACCAAATAACCTATAGGTCGCAACCAGTAATAGCGCGTGTATTAGGCCGATTCACTCTGTTGGTGACATGATATCTCGCCCGAGCGATCGGGTCCAGGGACGGCGGTGTCATACACCTCAGGAAGTACTACGTGAGCTGCGCTGTGGTAGACTCGCGCACACTTGACAGGGTGTAGAAGTCATGACGTCGAGCGGGTGGTATAGTTGCGGCCGAACCGAACCGAACCACGCGGGAGTAGATATTCCGAGAATATATCGCTGGAGGGTGTAGGTTTGCTTCGGAAGTGGCCGAGAGGGAGGCGCAGGGGTAGAGATTGCTTTCCTTTTTAGCGAGTCGTTTTCGTGGTTTGTTTTTGGGGGTAGTGATTTGTTGGTTTTGGTTGGGATTTTTGTCGGGTGGCATGATCGGGATTCGGGCCGTGTTTGGTCAATCGGGAATAGTTTGTGGTGTGGTATGATGTCCGGTAGAGATTGGATTGTAGGGGGATTTAGGAGAAGTAGGATTGATCTTGTTAGTGTTAGATTGTGAGCGGTTTGGATTTGTGAGATTGGAGTCGTGAGTTTGGCTGTACGAGAATCTATTTGGAGAATCGGAATACCTTCAACGACTCTTTGCAGATGTTGTGCGACAACGTGACACGGTAGCTCTGGTCATTGTCTCACAGAGATGACTGTTATCTTCCCGGTAGTTCACGTCACCATAGATTCCAGTTGCTCTTGGAGTGCTAAATCACAACTGAGGGCACAAACAAAGAGATTCAAGGTCCTAAGAAAATTTACAAGAACATCTTTATGGCAGAATCATAATCACTTCTGGCTTTATTTAAGCAGCCTTGGTCTGCTCCCACTCTACAACAAAGGTCTGATATCTTACCGTTACAGTAGTTTTCGAAATCAGTTAACACGCCACACTCTTACGACTTCAGTCCCGGAAAATAAATCCAAAATACGCTAACCCATTTAGTTTACCGCTCTTTAGTTTCGGCAAAACCCTGAGTGTAACGGCCTTTCATCAAATGATGAGTCATCGTAATCATACCGTAATGTTTCACGGAACCACGTAGAACCTTCGTGGGATTGTGGCGATCTAGCATGATCGTCAAGCCTACGCCTTCACCCCACTTCCAACTTGGCCTCTCGCTCTTTCCGTATCCGACGTAGCCTTAAATGCAACAGCCGGTCAACATAAAGAAAGCTGCGCTTATGCTGTAGAGAGCTAACCCTAGTACGCAAAGACGCATATCTATTCCATGGCTTGTGTAGTGTACGAGTTTCATTTGCGACTAGCCCGCCGTTGGTACAGGACGTGGGTTCTCCAGATAAGCTCATGTGGGTCATCCGAGAATTGCGAATAACTGTATGTTACAGATGACACAAACCTCGCGTCATATCCTCTACCAATTCCAATTTACAGGATAGAGTTTGAATTTTGGGAACACGCCCCAACACCTGGCAGCCTTCACTCCGCGCGATCTACCCAACACCCTTTCCTGTCCAGCGTACTCGAAAGCGGAATCAAGCGAACAAATAAATCTAGCCCCCATTCTCTTAGATTCCTATCTGAATGGGCAAAGGATCTACCCTATAGAGTGGTGACTGGCAGTCAGTGATCGGCAGTCTTTCACAGAAAGACCTTTTTTAGCCCTAAGCGCCTTCTGGTACGTACTGTATCGCACCTTTATTCGTCAACCTAGGCGGCGGTAGTATATTTATTTCATGGACTAACATTTGAATAAGGACCCAGGCGTTAGGAATCTAGATCAGCCCATTCGAATTCACGCACCAACTCTACCAGTTAAGGCCTGGATGGATGATGTATAAACCTTCCATGCGAACTTTAAATTAGTGAGAGACTGCTTCAGCCTTATCAGCTGAGTTCAGGTGAACACACGTCATATATGATATCGCCCGATCTAGCCTGTAAGAAACAAGACATTATGATTTAATCCTAACTCAGCAATACTCTAGATTGGGACTTAAAAATATGCCCAATGTCAGAATATCCGCTTTCGTCATCGAGAGTCAGGTCGTTCTAGAACGCTCTGAAGTTAACCAATTCGCAATGAGGATTTATTGTTATGAAGCGCCCCTTGCTTTTCTTTTACACTTTACCTCCTCTTTGCGAATATGTCTAATGCTGGGAAGCCAAGGCTGCTACTCTTCATTCCCAAAAATATTACACTGCCATAGGCTAAGTCGACTACCATATAACCGTCAGCGGTAAAAAAAATGGACAGTCCTTTAATAGAAACATTCAGTCAACTGTCAAAACAACTCGGTCGCCTGTCAGAACAACTCGGTCAACTTTCGCAAGAATCGACTGAAGCTTCAGAGTCAAAAAATGAAGCGGAAAGAAGGGAGGAGGAGGTGAAAAAGAGAGACAAAGAAGTTTTTCTGGGTCTTGCAACTACACTTTCGGCCATTTCAACCTTCGCGGGCGCCTTTACTTTGAGCGCATATTTCAACATCAAATGCCCATTCAGCGTCACGGCTGTGTACTTACATTCTTCTTCTCTGCTTTTTCTCAGCGCTCCACTTGGTTTTTTAATGGTCCACCTATTACTCTCTGCCCTCCCAAAGGACGAAAGCGTTCCAGAAGACCTCCTTCATGCTGTCATGCTCCAGTTTCAGGTGGCTGGTCTCATGCTTGCCCTTGCAATTCTCTACATCTCCCTTGCCTTCTACTTTTACACTGACCCGTCTCACCCAAATTATCTCGGAATAGGAGGCATTATCATGGTGGCCTCAGTGATCAATGTTCCTTTGCTATATGGGCTCGTGGGCACCTGGAATTTCATATTACTTCCCTTTTTACCCAAAAAGGGCACCGAATGATGGTGAGACTCCAACATTTCGAGCGTGGATAGGAAAAGGGTTTAAAGAAATAAACCGCACAGAGATTCAGAATCGCTGGAGAGAATATAAGAACAGCTGTCGTGAGATTGTGGAAAGTTGCAAATCAGGTGAATTCACCAAGGCTATCGCAGCCTACTGGAACATGATAAGTACGTTGAGTCTATATCGGCCAGATTGGGGGATGCTTCGACGCTATATTTTTGCTTTTATTCTACTTGAATATGGCGCGTTTTTTGTCTTCTTTGCACTAGGTATTGTGGAAATGGTTCACGCTCCTACAAAATGCTTATAGCCCAGCAAAATGAACTTGAATAAAGTTTTGGAGGCATGCAGACTTACGGTGAAAGTCTGCTTAATTGGACAGCGATAGGATCCTGGCAAAATACAGCAGCGATCGTAATACGACAAACGCAGCAAAGGCAACATTGGACTTGAACAAGATTTACGGGTATTGACTGACAGTCTCAGGAGGAACGTCAGGGATAAAGTCGGCCGCGGTTCAAGGGTCATAAACTTCTATGCTCAGGCCGGCGTGTCGAAGGCACTCTCATCTTTTGCAGTACACCGACTACATTAATAAACCATTCAAGGAAGGCATCAAAACCTCTCTCAGGGTCTTTTTCGTAGTAATTGCAGTTACGGCGAATGAATCCCTTGAGTCCAGCAAAAAATTCTTCGATTGGGTTTAGGTCCGGCGAGTACGGTGGCAGATAGATTAGCTTCACTCCTGCGTCTTCACACACTTTTTTAGTCGCTCGGACTGGTGAAATGACGCGTTATGCATATCAAGGATAGATTTAGGTTCTGGCCATCATCAGTAATGGGGAAGTGGTTTGCCTATAAATCTTCAAATGCAGTGGTATTGTAGAACCGCGGAAGAGAAGAGAGGACAATTTCGTGCTGTGTATACGCAGGCAATATCTGGTTTCTCTGGTCACGATGGAATTACGTTACTCGTAAAGGGGTCTCAATTAAATGCCCAACCTATCTGTCTAAACCCAAAGCGTGTATCATATCCAGATTCATCAACATATACGAGGTGGTACGATTGAAAGTCCGATGGATTATACGAATATTAACCTCGTAGATTCGCATTCTGCTCTCTCGCACTTTACTGGGCAGTCTTTCCCCACCAACCCTTAGGCATAAGGGCTCTTCTAAGTGGAGGCTATAACCATAGTCCGAAACTCATCCCAAAGGAACACAACCATCCTATCGAGGTACTGGCCAGGTTTCTTACATAGATAATCACAGAGGGCTTCGATCATGAGGGGTGTCACGGTTCGTTCCTGGCCTACTCGGGTTTGAGGGGCATAAACGCTTCCAAATTGTCGTAAGTTTCTGCGGATATTGATGATGGTCAGCTTATTGCATTCAGCCTGTTCGGCCATCTCGGATGTCGTGAAAGACTGGCTCTCTATCATATCACATATGAAAACGAGTTCTGCAGGGGATAGCCTTGGAGCCATATCGCCGATGAGGAAAATCGGTGCTAAATGGGAAGACTTGTAATTGCGATGTCTCGAGGAGTTGGTGGGCGACGAGGGTAGGGAAGAGGGGCTGTAGAGGTAGCTTGTGTATGGCGGTTTCGTGTAAAATACATTCCTCGCAGTCTCACAACTGTATTATAAAATACAGCGATATCTATGGAAAGCGGTCTGAATTGGGGCCTGAAATAGCTTCTCCAATCAGAGTCCACATATAGCGGATTTAATTTCCGGGAATGAACTTGTAAGAGTATAGCGGTATAACTGATTTCGAAAACTACTGTACTTAACCTAAGGAACTTATAGTATCCCCCTGATTTCCTTCTTATTAACTTCTTTACTTTTTACTTTCAACATTTACTATCCCATCTTTAGGCTCACTGGCCTTCCCCTGCTGCACTACCTAGCCGCCCTCGAGACATCAATTGGCCCATGCCCCAATGTGAAACGCCTACTTCCTCCAGTACCGAGTGCGTCAATCTCTATTTCTCGTCCAGCATTGTTCATTTAGTTAAACCGGCCCAGGATAGCTTAATAATATGGCACCAGTTATTGTGATTAACCTTAGGACCTCCAACCAACAGTCCGTGGCGAGGTTCTCGGCACGACTGATGGTTGCAATCGCGGACATTGGTATCTCTGTGTCTGAATACTATCAGAAACCCAGATCGTCATATGTCTTTTCGTATAGTTGGAGAGAAAGCAATGATGGTGGTGGAGCTGATCTTGGTTTGCGCTTTGTCTCCGTGGTCGAACGGCAGGATCACCCGGGTCCTACGTGAAATATCTCACAACGGACTGATAACTTAATGCAGTTGAAGTCACCCATTTGAATCTGTCAAGTCAATCTGGCAAAGAGCAGCCTTTCGAATTTACCTATTCTGATTGATCAGTAAGTCCCGCCGAGTTGATTTCGGTACGTAAAGAATCGAACTGCCTTTCGCGGATATGTGACTAGTTCCAACTGGTCGCTAATTCAGTATCTACAAGATGGGAATATGACCATTACCCACAATCTAATAAGCCTGCAGAATCCACGACTAAGAGAGATCTGATTGACGAGTATCAGTATCAGTTTTGCCTGAAGATCTATTCCTGACCCACGCTAAACCAAATATGTCACCCTAAGCCGAATACAGTAGTATGTCTCATCTAACAAGTCGTGATTGGTACACGAGTCTGCGGCTAAACGAGGACCCTTTTTATTCTCCAAGCTCCCATAAGATATCAAAGCTGAGCCCCAATCCACTCTCACACCTCCACGTCCATGGAGTAACTAAATCTCGATGCGAACGAGGGGGACAAACACGAACAATCCGGAGATCAAACAAAATCTCCTCCCCCATGGAACGCACAAAATGGCTAGACGGCCTCCGTGGCATCGCAGCAGCCATTGTCGCCGCTGATCATTTCTTCATGAGCGACGTCTGGCACCCCTTCGTCTCCTACTGGACTGATCCGCCCGAGGGAAATCGTCACTTGGTGCAACTACCACCCATCCGAATTCTCTTCTCTGCTCATGGCATGGTAACGCTATTCATGGTCATCTCCGGCTACGCAATCTCCATCAGTCTCCTGAAAGCTCGAAACAGCCCCCAATTCTTGGCGCGGGTCTCGTCTGCCGTCGTGCGAAGGGTTTTCCGCATTTATTTGCCTGTTTTTGTCACGGCTAGTTTGGCACAGATCTTTTACTTTTTTGATCTGTATCATTGGCCGTTTGATGAGGGGTTTCTGGATACTCTGCCCAAGCCTTGGACGGCTCCGTGGAGCCATTTTACATGGGTGCTTAATTATATGGCTGATAGTATAAATATCATCGCCTTTGAGTATCGCGGTGCGTTGAATGGCCAGCTTTGGACTATGCCGGTTGAGTTCAGGGGGTCGAATGTTGTCTACCTTCTCATCGTTGGGCTGTCGGGGTGGCGTGCAAAGTCGAGATTCTATATTCTTCCTATTATTGCATCGTTCTTTCTCTGGTTCGGCAACTGGGATATTTTCGGCTTTATTTGGGGTCTCTGGCTGGCTGAGAGGGCCACCACGATTACGGCCCCTTTGCCCTCGGACGAGCCTCTTAATGCTGAATTCGAAATGGCAGAGTTCGAAGACGAGGATAGACCGAGCTCGTTCTTCACCGCGCCTCTTCGTCTAGGCTCGTGGCATAAAAAGCGCCGATGCAATAGCCTGAAATCAAGGAACTGCATCACCCTCTCCCGAGTCGGGATTGCCCTCGTCTTTGTTGCGGGATACTACCTCCTCTGCCTCGGTAACGACGGCCATCTCCCACCAGGATACCAATTCCTCTCCGTCCTCCAACCCGCCCGCTGGAAGGACAATTGGGATGTATACCACTTTTGTTGGAAAACCATCGGATCGGCCATGCTGGTATACGCTATCAGTGAACTACCCTGTCTGCAACGACCGCTTAACACACGTCCAGTGCAGTATCTGGGCAAGATCTCGTTCGCGCTGTACCTGCTTCATGAAACCATTTATGAATTGTGGAGGAATCCATTGCGGGATTTGATTTATTCGATGATGAGTGGGAAGGAGTATGGGAGTAGTGGTGTAGCGGTGGGAGCTGATCCTTTATCGTTTCATGTTGCTTGGTGGACAACTGGGGTTTTGCTGGGTGTGGTGGTTGTCGGTGTGTCGCATTTCTATACGATATATGTTGATGATTGGTGTGTGGCCTTTGCTAAAAAGGTAGATCGGTGGTTTGGTTCATAATATTATTCGATCTTACCAGTTCTATTCGTCTGTTCAAGTACAAGGCTATAAGACATCTTGTATGTATTAGGATGCACTACAGTGTGAGACCATCGTGCAGGGTAGTTCAGGAAGTCCAATAATACTGTCTACATTGGGATTTGGACTGTGTTTAGTAGGTACTACAATGCGGCCAATCGGTAGAGATCATCTAGGCCGACTCTCTATTGAATTCGTCCTTTCCTTGATTTTGATCAGGTACGCTCTTTTTGGGCCATCTAAAGGACCCTTGTCCATATGATTTGAGATAGAAAACAATGGAGAAGCTATAATTCGGCTAGAAATACATGTCCATGAGGTAGATGTTAGTATCGACACTGCATCGCTCATGAGCCTACTTATTAGTACAATATATATCCATACGATGCAGGGCACCCATTTCCACGACCACCGATGCGTGCAGCTCCTACAAATAGAATTCCTTATTGACAATAGAGCAAAATCAAGCAAAAGGCAAAGAAGAGAAACTTACAGCATTCGAAATCTGCCTATGGGTCATGTTGTTTTGTTTTTCCCGACATCCATAGTCTGTATAATTATCGCCGATGCCGAGGTCCCGCACTTGCAACCTCCCCGTAGGTACAGTACACATCATATCCGGATAGAGGAACGTCTACGTAAGGTTACAGCGAAGACGTGAGCAATGTTCTTGTCAACATGAGCTCACACAGCTCGACAAGAAATACCTTCAAGAATGAGAAGAGGACATAAGCTTGCGCGCATAACCAACCAACTCCCCCATTAGCATGCCCGATTACCAGGTTAGCGAGATTACCATTAAGCCTCTGACAACCTGTGAAATTGTAATAATAATGCCCAACGCCAAGGAGCCAGGAAATCAGAGCGTCCGGAGACTCCAGACATTCTGAACATGGCCCGTGTCTACGAAATACTCCACCCAGTACTTTTTACTCCGTACAGTTCATGCAAGCGCCAACCCCCTGACCCAGCCCCTGAATAACCTCAAAAACAGAGTCCCGCCAAGCCTTGTACTAAAAGACGAATATCTACCTGAACGAGGAGACGCGGCGCCGAGATCGACTATCCTCCCCCCTCCCCCACCTCACAGCCTCCTCTCTGGAGTCTGGATTGTTCAGTCGAGACCAATGATATTGTCGGATGCACTGGTGCCCAGGAACTCATTAACTCTAGACATATACCGAGCATTCTACAGAGTACATACATGCTGGTACATGCAGTGATTGTGAGCGAGTCTTGGTAGAGTCTCGAGAATGTACTCCGTAGAATGTACAGTAAAGCCGTTAAGCCCACCCCCCTACCCCTAACCCCTGTCCCGACTCCCGACTCCCCTTGAAGATGCATTGCCATCAACGGCGGCACTTATAAAACGGGGTCGAAGGTTTACCAGGCACCGCCATGGAATCCAATAATTACATAGTTTTTCTCTGTAGTATTTGATTTCCAATGGGGTGTGGAATTAGGGATTGGCGGTGATCGGGAGTAAGTCATCCGAGGCTAATGAAAGCACTAGCCAAAGGCCAGAGGCAAGTTCAGTTACAGTACGTACGCAGTACTGTACTTACTTTCAGGAGGCGAGGGAAATATTTATAGCAGGATGCATCCACTACCACAACCACAATACGAAGTACTGTACGGAGTACAGTGATAATAATAGCTTTGTAGAACTGTACGGAGTTATAATTCCCTGTATATCGGCTCTCCGCCACAGAGAATGTTTACCCCATAAACAAGCTGACAGACGCAATCCGGGGCAAGAAAGAAGCTCTTGAAATCTGGAGACAGAAGATATGGATTTCCATTTGATATATGGAAGTCTTCACCTGTACGGAGTACTCCGTACAGATTACAGAATAGAAATCAGGAAAGAAAGATCTAGAACATCTTTCGCATTGAGATCAGCGATGAATGAGCAGAGAGGGGCTGGTTCCGAATGTCCCACTCTTGCCGTGGGCGATCTTGGATGTGGAGGGTGCGGATGGATCGGGTTGAAGAAGAATCGAGAGTGTTTCCCTGGAGAATAAGAAGAGGAGAGGGGAGATGCTAAGTTAGTACTCCGTACAGTCACTGGCTCGACTGGGAGTAGAAGGTCTTCCGGACAGACACGTGGGGCATGTGTTTTCCTACTATTATTCCTACAGGGTATCTATCTCCTATGATGCTTGTCGTAGTCGCATCCTCGGATCCTGGCTAATCGGGACAGCACCGGCATTACTATTATTATTATTGCCCAGGCTGACGAGTCCAATAAATATCCGCCAGCAACCGAGAGTCTAATCTTACATGTACATGTGCCCGGGCTTTCCAATTGCATCTGCTCCGTTGGCAATGTGTTGTCACTGTTGTAACTTGTGTGCCTTTAGTTGTCACATTTCTAATTTGCAGTGTGCACCCATGGTTCAGAGTAATTGCAGTGGCCATATTCTGCATGTCCACTGTCCACACCGATGTCATGGTTGCCACTGAGATGGATCCTGGGGGAGTGCCTGTGTACTCCGTCCAGTTCTCCGTCCCTCATTTCTTGGGGGTGGGATTTGTTTGCATTTGCCTGGCCAACTCAGGAAATGAATAAAATACAGCCGAGCCTGAGCTTGGTGTCATGTACTGTAATATATTGGAATATTCAATGCAGGTGGTACCAATTTGGGGTTGCCACGAATGAGGATCGGCAGGGCGGAAATTAAACTCCGCAGAAGGCCAATCATAATACTCAGCCAGTCCCCACTGCAGCTGCCACTTGGCCCGATCAGGGTTAGAGATCTCTCCACATGGCGCATGGGAAATGACCGGGTTTTTTTTTTTGGGGGAGTGAGACACTTTTTCAGCTGGGAACTTGGGGGAGTGAACAAGAGGGGATGGACATTGAACGTTCTGGATCTTGAATAATAATACCATATGGACTCCATCCTTGGGATCTCTAGTTGATCTAACGGTCTCTGCAACATTATTGCAATCCCCTCTCTTCATGTCTTGTCTGGCTGCCGCACTACCAGCTGCAAGTTGGGCGCAGGGTCCTCCGTATAATGATGCTGTGCTGTTCATCGGTCAGGGGTAAGCCTCTCGATGTACAGAGCCGTGCTCGCGGTAAGGGGCGGTGTTACTTTCCGGCCCAGGCTTGGCCCCAGTGAGACAAGGGCTATTTTTGCGAAGAGGACTGGCACAGGCTGGGGCGTGGATTTGCCAACCTGAATATGGTCCGCTGGGATTCGGATAGTTCTTGAGAGTAATCATTAGGAGTTCTCTACTCCGTAGTTATGTGATCTAAGTATACAACGTATACCCTCTGGAGGAGACTCGAGGAGGAACCAACCTGGAGCTCAGGGTACCTGCAGAGGCGCCCAGCGGGCTGACTAGTCCCTGAGATGGTCTAGCCAGGTCCAGTCCTCTGGATGTACGTCCGGAGAGTATGATTGCGGATGACTACGCCGTCTTTCCATCTCTGTTTGGACTATCATTTCCACTCCCCTCCACTGCCCGAGCCGTGCGGGCCAATCCATTGCCAGGCCTCGACTGGGTCTGCAGTCGACTACCCAATCAGCGATACCGCGTGCCTGACCACCATCACATCCAGACTCGACTGTGCTCCCAGAAAATAGAAAAATTGAAGGAAAATTCACGATCGGTGGAGTGGTCAATTTGGGGGGCGCCTTTCTCGTCCACTCTCAGTCTCTCTCAGTCTCTCTCCCCTTTTCCCTTCTCCCCCCTAACTTGGTCCTTGTCCCATGGCCCTTTGCTCCAACAAAAGGCCTGACGTGCCCACTCCTCTCCTTTTTCCCACTTTTCAACCCACGTTCCCTTCCTTTCCTCCTCCCTCCCTCTCTCTCTCACACCACTCTTCTCTCTTTCACACACTCTTCTCCACTGACCACCGCTTCACTCGTTCAGCGGGCATTCCTTCTCTAACGTGAACATTTCGAACCTCCTCTCATCATGAAGGGTTCCATCTTCGCGGCTGCCGCCCTCGTGGGCTCGGCCATGGCTGATGCCCACCTCCACCGCCGCCATGAGGCCATGCACAAGCGTCACGATGCCTCGAGCTCCGTCGTCCCCTCGGTCACTCCCTCTTCTCTGGTCCCCGGCACTGAGGAGACCTGTGGCTGCACCACCAAGGTCATTACCTACTATGGCTCCCCGACTCTGGTGCCCATCGAGTCCACCACCACTCTGACCAGCACTATCCACTCGACCTCCACCAGCACTTCCACCATCACTGTCACTCCCTCTGTGGCTCCAGCTTCCACCTCCACCGTGGTCATCCTGCCAACCCCCGGTCTGACTAGCTTCTCTTCCACTGGTACCTACACCATCCCGGCTACCACTCTGACCGTCACCGACACCACCACCGTCTGCGGTGCTACCACCACCGAGGTCCCTAGCGGAACCCACACCATTGGCGGTGTCACCACCGTCGTCGAGACTGAGACCGTCATCACCTGCCCCTACGCCACTGTCAAGCCTACCGGCACTACCGTGACCAGCGTCATTGAGATGACCACCTACACTTGCCCCGCCGCTGGTACCTACACCATTGTCCCCGGTACCGTCACCACTGTGCCCACCAGCACCGTCCTGGTCTACCCTACTCCTCAGACCATCACCCCTGGCACCTACACTCAGACCGAGACCGTGGTGACTGTCACTCGCACTGACTACACCTATGTCTGCCCCTACGCCACCAGCGGTCTGGCCAGCACCACTGCTCCTGCTGTTTCCACCACTGCCGCCCCCGCTCCCGCGGTTTCTTCCACCAGCTCCGCTGCCCCAGCCGCTAGCTCCAGCTCTTCCCCCTCTGGTGGTGTCACTGGTGGCGGTCAGTACGGTATGACCTTCTCCCCCTACACCTCCAGCGGTAACTGCATGTCCCAATCCGAGGTTCTCTCCAACCTCCAGGTCATCAAGGACAAGGGCTTCAACCTGGTCCGTGTCTACTCCACTGACTGCAACGGTCTCGAGTACATCGGTTCCGCCTGCAAGCAGCTCGGCATGAATATCATCATGGGTGTCTACATTGACAGCACCGGTATCTCCGGCGCCCAGGAGCAGGTCCAGGCTATTTCCAAGTGGGCCCAGTGGGACATGGTCGATCTGATCGTCGTCGGTAACGAGGCTGTCTCCTCCGGCTACTGCTCCGCTTCCGACCTCGCCGGCTTCATCTCCTCTTGCAAGTCCACCTTCCAGGCCGCCGGCTACTCTGGCAAGGTCACCACCACCGAGCCCATCGACATCTGGCAGCAGTACGGTTCCTCCACCCTGTGCAGCCCCGTCGACATTGTCGGTGCCAACATCCACCCCTTCTTCAACTCCCAGGTCACCGCCGCTCAGGCCGGTGAGTTTGTTCTCTCCGAGTTCAAGCTCCTTGAGGGCATTTGCAACAAGGACGTTGTCAACCTGGAGACTGGTTGGCCCAACGCCGGTAACGCCAACGGTGCCGCCGTTCCCGGTGTTGCCGAGCAGGCGACTGCTATCAAGTCCATTGCCGCCGCTCTGGGCTCCAAGTCCATCTTCTTCTCCTACGCCAACGATGACTGGAAGGCCCCCGGTGCTTTCAATGTTGAGCAGCACTGGGGCTGTGCCTCCGTCTTCTAAGCGCGTCCTCGCGCACGCCACGTTGATGTGATGGGTTGACCCGCCGCAGCTGTCCCTTTTTGTTAAAATCTTTGTACAGGAGGAATTAAGGAGTTTATTTTATTTGTTTATTCCTGCTATTCTTCGTGAGAGTTACGGGGTTGGCTTTCATTGGTTAGTCTTGTTTCTCTCGTGGTGGCTGTTCGTGGAGTCTCGCCTCCCCACGGCTTCTCTTCTTTTATTGTTTTCTCCTGTCTATTATCTTGGACGTTTACGTGGTAGATATACCTTTTTATTTGATGTTGTCTACTGAGCCTGGTTGCATCCACCTGATCTCTTTGTTTTTCTCCACCTGCCTTGTCTGTATATCTCTATTGATGCATTTGATGAACGGTATCTGTTGTAATACTCTCGCGTAGGCAGTATCATACCCTTGACATAGTCTACTGACCTCTTAAACTTCGTACCCTTGGTACCTCTCATACCTACAACACCTATACCCAACTGGTCCTCACCAAGGCATACCTACCAAAGACACTCGCTATAACAAACAACCCATCTAACCCTCATCCACACCCTCACACTCCCACCAAAACCCCTCCAACCAAGGCCAAAACCCATCCACATCCTCCCAAAACGGCGCATGCCCAACCCCCTCCATCCGCACACACTCACCCCCCTCAACCTCCCCCACCGAATCCCATCCAAATACTCCAAATTCACAAACTCATCCTCCCCCCCATTAACAACAGAAATCAAAACCCCCGTCTCCCTCTCCACAACACCAACCTGATCAACACCCCTCCCGCCCAAAAACGCCGAGAACATGATCCGCCGCGCCCGCCCATCCGTCCGCAGCGCGGCGTCGACTTGCCACGCCTCAAACGGTGGGCCTGTTACTGCTATCGCGAAGGCGCGCGCTTCTTCCGCGCTGAGCTGGTCCTGGCTTGCTAGGTGTACCACGGTCGAGACGGAATTATTGGAGAAGGCGTGGGGGACTTGGATGGGGCCGAGACTTGGTGGTGTGCCGACTAGCATTATGCCTTTTATTTCTAGCCTTGAACTCAAACTCGAACTTGAACTTGAATTCGAATTTGAGGTTGAGGTTGAGGTTGAGGTTGACTTCCCATCCAGACCCGTCTTCGTATCGCCACGGGTCAAAGCCAGCATTTCTATCGCGATATGCCCTCCCAAACTCCACCCCAGAATAGACAGTCGTGTAATGCGTAGCTGCCGTAGAACATATAGCAAGCATTCGGCGTACCCGCGCATTGTGTATGTTTCTTCCGGGACCGCGGCGTTATCGGAGCATCCGTGGCCGGGGAGGTCGATTGCTAGGACGCGGTGGGTCTGTGTTTTTGTTTTGAGGAGCGGGGTGGTTGTGAGGAGGCGGTGCCATATTCGAGTGCAGGAGCTGTTGCCGTGGATGAGGAGGAGGGTTGGGAGGGTTGGGAGGTTAGAAGTGGGAGTGTGAGCGGGGGAGGGGTTTGAGTCGAGGATGTAGATTTGGCCGGATGGAGTGGGGAGAGTAGTATGATTTTATTGTTGGGATTGGTGGGAATGCGAGGGATGGGGTCATGGTGGATGGTGGAGGGTGGTCTTTTGTATAGAGGGATCAAGGGTGGGTTGTGTTGGCTTGTGTTTGTGGAGGGTGGGGAGTTGGTAGAGCGGAGAGGGTGTTATTGTGGATATTGGCTGGGTTGTTTGTGATGGCGTCATTGGTCTTTCTTCGTTTAGCCTTGTCATCGCTAGTTGAGCGTTTTGGACTGAGTAGTAGGTACTGTACTTTAGTACTGCCTTGTCTTTATCAGGTGGGGTCTTGCAGTGTTGCTTTATGTGGAATAGCCCCTCTATACTTCTATGGAATGTTGTTTAGACCACTTTGGGTAGGTACCTCGGCCCGGCCTTGCGAATTATACACCCGCATCATTACTTGTTTGAGTAAACGCTGTTGGTGTGACGACCGTGATGCATAGTGTCGCTTCTCTCTCTAGGTCATGCCATGTTCTCTTCGCGCTTGCTGTCGCCTCTAGTCAAGGGTTACGTTGGGTGCTACTGGCCACCTTCTGGTGAGAAGGTAGGATGAACCATTGGATACTGCTGGCGATATTAGAGTGCGTAGTAGATGCTTACTACTGTCTGAAGCCTGATGTACTCTATCAAAGCTAGCGGGCTTGGCAAAGCTTACGTATATCCAGGAATCTCTTCATGGGTATTATGCAGCCAATTAATGCCTCTGGAAATGTCTCTGATATCTACTCTTTGGTCCGAAAGATCTTGCCATTAAGACAAAGAATAAAACCGAGGAATTCTGATTATAACATAGTCAAGATTGACACCAGAAAGCAGCAGCAGAGTGAACACAATTTGCGGGATCCTCACTCGCCAAACCTCGCTAACTCGCTTTGCGGGGGTGGGCCTTTCCCATTTCAGCCATCCCCGCGATTATGCCAGCACTCAAAGTAGCAGTCATGCTAACCGGAAAAGCTCACCTGGGGCTCAAGGTTTTCTGGGGTAGCATCTGCTGACGAATACCCGGCCTAGCCCGTAGCTAGAATAGCAATGATCGACGGGAGAACATGATGATGCCGAAGATAGCTCCGGCGCTATCTAGGTTCTTCAAGAGATGTGCCCGAATCCTGGGCTTTCACAAGATTTGCCGAGTTCTCTAAAACGCTCTACACACCCAATTAGTCTAATGAAGAGGAAGGACTTTCGGGATAATAATTGGCTTGGAAACATGGGAGTCAACAATTTAGAACATCTTATCCTGACCCGATCGAGGCTTCACACAACTTCCGTTCCATAGGTCCACATCGGTCACGGTCTCGATATAGTTCTTTCTCCAGATTGAGATTCCCCAGATGGAGATTTCTACCCACCCGTGGCATATTAATCAAGGTAAATGTCGCTCGTGGTGTATATAAGGACCCTCAAAGGCATGCAAATGATGTTCACTATCAACCAAAATCCAAACGGCAATCTATCTAGCAAGACAGCAAATACCCAGGGAAAACAATCCATTCAAAATGAAGTGCCAACTTGTGATGTCCCTCGCAACTATCGCCTCGGCGGCATCGTTCGAGAAGAGAGCAACCTACAGCGGTGTCGCTACATTCAATAACTACGCCGCGCAGAGCAAGTACGTTTCGAAGCCAGAGACTCGAGATTGTTGTTATCCTAGAGACTAATATACTCCCAGCACTGTATGTGGTCCCAAGACCGGTGTCTCCGGCACTTACGGAGTTGCCATCGGTGACCTTTCCCCCAATATCTGGAGCGGTAACAAATGTAGCGGGTCAATCGATTATTCTAAATGGTAAACTGCCCTGTCCCTATCATCTCTGTGAATTGAAAGACGCTAATCCACATAACAGTAATGGTCAAAACCCCATCTCCGGATATACTGGTCCAGCATGCCCAACTACCACCTGTGGTGAGTGTTTCCAGGTCTGCAACGCTGGTGGATATGGAGGCGCCTCTGTTGGCGGGGTTGGTAATTGCATCACGGTGAATGTGATTGACGCGTGAGTTTCCCCTCCAATTTTTCGGAGATTTCCCTCGCTAACGAGTGATTTCAAAGCTGCCCTTCTGAGTCTGCATACAATTATTGCAAGACTGATGTTCCGGCCGATGAGAGATGTGGCAGTAGTTCCACGAACTCGGTGGATATCGATGTTGGCTCCTATTCTGCGTTGACAGGAAGTAGCTGGACGAGCAGCAGTCCCAATCTTTTGGTCAATATTAGCCCATCTAGCTGTTAAACTAGGAGATGGTTGCGCAGCTAACATTCAAGTCATGAGTTTGCTGAGTCGTCTTTGCCGTACGAGAAGATGATGACGCGGTCATGTGTTTACCGCCATTGACCAACTTGATATTTTCTATGCGTTCTCCTGTTCTCACCGTGTGATTGATCTAGCATGAAACAGATGCCGATTTCATATTATTGTGTCGCGCTGCTTTCTATTTCGCCTTTAGGTATATCTGTAACTTGATAATTGTGGAATTTGTATTTTAGGCACGGTTCACATTTAAGATAATCTGTTAACGAAAAAGATGTACGACTCCTGTAGTATAAAGGCTGTGTTGTGAAGTGTTGAGGATTCTCTCCATGTTGTTCGGAAACGTCCCTTCTCGGTTTCAGTTTCACAAAGTCAATCACCCTAGCTCGAAACTTTTATTCAAGCCACCCCCGTGTGGACGGCAAATCACTCGGGTTCCAAGGTAGTATCGTTCGCGCCAGAGCTGCGGGGCGTCTGGGGATTGTTTCAATAAGCGGAGACCGGCAAAAGAAGGGCATATTGGCCCCAACTTGCCTAACTAAATCAAGTAAAGTCATTTGCCACTTACACGCTCTGGGAGTTCACCTGCATATCCTTGCCTTGAATGAGAGGCCTCGACATACTTTTTGAGTTTCCGCTAATGACTTCTTCAGGGGTTTGATACAGTTTCTTGCGTAGCATGGCCTACTTTAGCACCCTACCGGAGTCTTCTCCGTGGCTGAAAAAGATGTATACTATGAGGACGCAACTAGATCAGCTTCCTTCTGGAATATAAATTGGACATCAAGATCCCTTCTAGATGCAAAGATTCAAGATCAACCCGACAAAGAAAGCATTCGCAAAACACACCAAAAAGAATCAATTCACTTCAAAATGAAATCAATCATCACCTTTTCAGCTGTCGTCTCTGTCGCAACAGCACAGGTTTCATCATTTTGCACGCAGTATGGTACCTACTCAAGCGGCGCATATTCAGTCAACAACAATTTGTGGGGTGAAAGCGCCGGCTCTGGATCCCAATGCACCAACGTAAACTCCATCTCAGGCTCAGGTGTCTCCTGGTCCACGACATGGACTTGGTCGGGAGGATCCAGCTCGGTGAAGAGCTACGCCAACTCTGACTTGGCATTCACCAAAAAGCTCGTCAGCCAGGTTGGCAGTATCCCTACCTCTGTGCAATGGAGCTACGACAACACAAATATCAACGCCGATGTCTCGTATGATCTGTTCACGGCCGCTGATATCAACCATGTCACTTACAGCGGAGATTATGAACTCATGATTTGGTATGATTCAGAGAAACGTGTTCCTATTTAAGAAGGTTTTTGAGGCTCATGGCACAATAGGCTGGCTCGTTATGGTAGCATCCAACCCATTGGCTCGCAAATCGCCACTGCTTCAGTCGACGGAAACACCTGGGAGCTGTGGTATGGATCAAATGGCTCACAGAAGACCTACAGCTTTGTTGCATCCTCGCCGATCACTTCGTTCTCCACGGACATTAAGCAGTTCTTCAACTATTTGACCCAGAACCAAGGCTTCCCTGCTAGCTCTCAATATTTGATTGGTATGTACTCCCTATTCTCAATCATCACTGGTGCTTTAAAGACTAATATCTGGAAATAGACTTGCAATTTGGCACTGAGCCCTTCACTGGTGGGCCTGCAACTCTGAGTGTTTCGAATTGGTCAGCGAACGTTCAGTAGAGTATGGTTAGAGCTGCTTTGTGGTCGCCAAATGATAAATGCGGCACGTAGTCTTGTTACTTATTCTCTGTACCAGAGCATCTATATGCTTCCAGATAGTGCAATAGACTATGTTCACTCTTGCCTCTTTTTCATCGCTAGCTTCCTTTTTAAATGGTACCTGTTTCGCGGCTCGAATAGCATAGGTCCTTAGCCTTGATAGTTCAGACCAATGCAAATCTGCCGCTTATCCAGATTTGGTTCCATTAGCTAAAACATTAATTAAACACAGTATACGACCGGGCTTCCGACTTTCCTAGTGGTATAAGTGGAATAACTTGATTCGGACTGGTGAAGACGTATCAGATACTCGTGGAAGTCATGATAAAAGTGAGAATAAGATGAAACGATAAGAGAATAAATGCCTCTGATATAACAAAACAATTTAATGTTGACAAATTCTGACACGCTTATATACTAGGAGTTTCTTCTGTCCCAATCATACTACGCTTTACTTGGTATACTGCGCCTTGAACTCATACCGCAAACATCCAGCATCCCTGTATCCCCCAACACCCCCATTATTGCAGTCTGTGAAATCTGTCCTCAACAGCTTCTGACAAGTAATTTGGTCGTTGCTATCCGGGAACGTCTGACCTCCTAGCGGAGCCCACGGGCTCTGCTTCGGCCCTCTGCACCCGTTAACCCAAGAGATAGAGTAATAGTACGGTGCATCGTTTGTCTTCGTCTGCCACACAATCGGGGAGCTCTTTTCATCCATGACATTGTCAGGAATAGCAGTGCCAGCACACGCCCATCCGGTATACGAATTTTGCCAGTCAGGGGAGATGTCCGCATGCTTGCCGAAGTCGTTGGCACCGTGACACTGGAGCGAGCCGAGCTTATCTCCTGGGGTCGTTGTCGGGGGTGGTTGATCAGGTTTCTCAATCTTGTAGCTGAAGCTGGTTCCGCAGGCAAATTTGGCACTTCCAGATGGTTGGATTGAATGGCTGTTGAGGCCCTCGCCTGTATTAATTTATTAGTGTCTGAGGACGGATCTGGTCAGGGTAGGTGTGGTACTTACACTTTGGAGCAATATTGTCAAATGTAGCCTTGCAGTCAGGCAGGCAATCTGTTCTCGAGTCGGTTTCAAAGTGGAACTTGTATCCCTTGTAAGCGCTGGACTTGATGTCGTCGCTGGTCAGATCCTTCTTAGGGTTTTTGGTGAGGTCCCCACCGCAGAAGTTCTCGGCCATGCGTTTGAAGAAAGAGACGTCGACATCAATGGCTTTGCTATAGTCCTGCATTGAAACCACACGTTAGTAGGTTTTAGTTCATCGTGAAGACGGGGTACATACTCCTCCATTGGCACAAGTGATGTCCGCTTGGTCTGGGTGGTCAGGGATGTTGATCTCGTAACTATACGTCGCGCCGCATGGAAGAGTCACGTTAGCTCCTCTCTGAACGCTATGGCTGTCCAGTCCTTCGCCTGTTGTTCCATGTCATTAGTACAGTGTCAACCTCTAGACTGAAGGATGACTCACAACCAGCCGTCATGGCCTTGATCGCCCCAGGGCAATCCGTATCACACTCTTCGTTCACGTCCTTAGGTGGGTTATAAGTCAGGTCAAAGGTGTATTTCTTATACGCATCGGAAGAGATGTCGTTGCCAGCAAGCGTCACATGGCGCTCCTTCTTCGAATCGCCCTTGCAGAACTTATCCGCCAGGCTGTTGACGAAAGAGACGTCGACCGCGACAGCCTTGCTGTACCCGGTGTCGGAGCAGGTGACTTTAGGCTTGTCGTCCATGTGTGCAAGAGCGTACTTGAGTGCGTCAGCCTGTGCGGTAAACCACCCCTGGTCGAAGGGGTAGAAGGTGGGCTTTATCTCGTCGAGGCATTTACAGTATTTGTATTTGCCCTATATAAGTCAAATCATTAGCATATACTACTAGCACTTTGAAGGAGCCCAAGATACGTACGTCTTGACAAACATGATCTTTCCCCTTGCAATCATTGCAAACAGGGGCATCCTTCCCCTTGGGTGCATCCGCCGGGCACTTCTTGGGCTCCTCAGGAGGAGACTCTGTAGTGGGTAGGTTATTCTTCGGCGGGTCTCTAATCCCGAACGCAAGAGGAAGATGGTCCTTCACGTAAACATGGAAAGCCATCCAGACCAGGCTGACGGCTCCCATTCCATTCGCAACCATCTGAGCTTGCTGTGCGGTGGCGGGTTGACCCAGGGCCTTGAGCACATCCTGGCTTAGGAATTGGATGTCCTTAACCGCATCATTCAAAGCTTTGATTAACTCTGAATTGTCAGCTTTGAAGTCCTCAAGGAACTTGATGATTCCACACGCTGCTTCTCGCTTCTTCGAGCATGCAGGCACCTTCTTCCCATCATGTCGCCCAGCTGGCTTTGGAGCTTGGGCGCCATGAGAATGTCCAGGTCGCCGTTAGGGCCGGTCATAATGGCTACCGGGGCGGTCACAGTGGCTGTTGTGGGCTTGTTGTCCTTGGTTGTGACTTGGACTTGGGTGATGTGCTCTGTGTCTTTTGCTTTCCACTGGATATTGTCAGTAAGGAAGACTGCAATTCAGTGCGATTGTATGCTTACGTTGCCCTTGTCATCGACATAGTCCGAGAAGAACTTGTTATATGGCCCTGTGGTCTCACTGGGGTCCATTAGAATAAATGACGTCTAGGGGGGGACTAAAGAGGAAAAGGGGACAAACACTGGAACCACGAGGACCGGATTGATTCCAATCTGCCCGGTGGTTGTAGGTATAATCGCAGCCACTTGACCAACGCCTCTCTCTTCGACACGGGTTGGGGGCTCAGTCTCCTGTGGCGGCACTTCGACCGGCCAGGCCATGGCCGCCGATATCAAAAAAGAAGTTACAATGAGAGACCTCATGGTGATCAGTATGAGTGGTCGTCGTCAGTAAGCTCTTTCGAGAGTGGAGGGCGAGATATACTTTATACCTCCGCTGCTCTTTGAACATTTCTTTTCTATCGGACTAAAACAGAGGGTCCAAAAACAGTTCCGAGTCTGAGTTCAGCGCAGTCCTGTTCATCATCTGGTTTGTTGACTTTGTTGCTGGTTGCCTGAGCGTCACCCGGGTTGATGCACCTAACCCAACATCGTATCTGCACAATTCGGCCCTTTGGCCCCATATCAAGGGTGTCAATGACATGTGGAATAGGATCGAATGGTCAGTGACAATGCATGACATGTAATGTACTGTGACAGTTCAAACATCTTGACGTACAGACCTGGAAAGAGGTCCAGCAAATTACGCTTTACCTTCCTCCCTTTCGAAAAATCTTTGTGAATGTCCTTCGAGACGTCTTTCCAGATGGCCCATGTGGTATCTGTCAATCTAATCCCGATACTGAGGTTAACGTGATAGTGTCAAGCTTTCGGGTTACAAATCCATAAAATTGCCCTGTATCAAAAATCCAACAGTGCTATCCTCAGACCCCACTTTATAGATCCGACCCCACCTCGCCACACTGTCATTATGCTTATTCCAAGCCACACGCTGCACGGTCCTCAGCCAGGGCGTCCAACACGCAGCCAATGTTAGTTCACGAAGTCTTAGTGTTGGATTGGGGGCTTCACCAGGCGGGGTTTTACCGTTGGGGGCTCTAGAATTGGGGCATTCAGGATTGCATCAGGAACTGGCAAGGCGTCCAGTCAAATCTCTTGGCTTTGTTGAACCATTCACCAAATGATTATTTCACTGGACCCTGCATACTCCATATCAGCACTTGATAATCCTCCGGGGAGGCTGACTGGTGGGCTGTAGGTAACTGAGCCCTTACTAGGGGCGAAACATTGCATGAAAAAGGGCCAACACGACAAATTTAGAAATGGATATTGATTCGGTCTACTGATACACTGCCCCTCACACACATACAATATCAAAGCGATGCAGTTCAGTCGCCCAAGTCGCAGTTCGGGTGTTCTGGGCTGTTCTCGGACCACCAGAGGCTGTTTCAGAATAATGAAGATATAAGATCATATCATTCGCACCGTGCGATGATAATTTAGTATCTGCCAGGCCCTTTTGCCAACTGGATTCCCCTTTGTTTTTCGCTACTTTCGTCCAATATTCGACGATGAGATTCCTGAAAGGCCTTTTTTGTGCATTTGGCCTAATTAGCCTGGCAAGTGCGAAGGGTCTGTCATGGAAGCTCGACCAGTCATGTCAAACAGACGGTAAGCCAGATATCCCCCGCCAATTAACCTTCAACTAACAATTTCTGCTCCCAGGCATTGGTGACATGGTCTCTAATGCCGTTGGCAGTGCCTTTTCGATGGCGAGCGATGAGTACGACGTACTCAACAAGCTCCTCACCAATCAAGATCTGGGCGCGAACCAGGAAAATATTCGCAATGTAGTGAAGTGGATGTTTATGAAAGATGGCGAAGAGCCGAATAACGCTCGACTGAATCTACTCAAAAGTATCTCCTCACCTATTCTTAGTCCACACTCTTGGAGCTTATTTGCTAATTATGACAGCGCGTCTGAGCATTCTCGTCAAGGCGAAGGATCGTAAGGATAATGAGGAACCGGACGGATCGACGGTAAGCCCTACAGCCCCGATGTTGCAGACCCATGTCAGTTGGAATTAGGATGCCAGTGACTGACACATGAGCAGATCGTGGTGTATTGTGGATTCGACCGCTTCAAACCAACGCTTGATGGTAGATGGTATGATGAGGGTAGGTAATCTTCCTTGAGCCAGATAACACCCGAGAAATCCCTTAACTGACTTTGATGCAGACCTCGATGAGGTTCTCGAGAAGGACCAGGCATTTGAGACATGCAAAGGCAATGAACCCACAGTGGCCTACACCTGGAATTCCCCCAACAAGGACAAGCCACCCCAAATTCAGATCTGCCCATGGTTCATCAACTGGATGAAATCGGTCGATACCCATAGTCTGAAGGATGCCCAGCCCAAAGCTCTGTTCTGGCGGGCAGTCAGCACGAGCCTGTCGAAGATGCATACGTTGCTGACGCCCATTGATGTGGACTCGTTGCTCGACAAAGTTATTCTGCACGAGCTGACCCATACACGCGTGGCAGGCGTGGCGGAGGATGTTGACGGACCGAGCTTTGCAACGGTTAGGTATGGGTGGAACAGATGTCGGAAGTTGGCGCAGGAGGGAAGTGATGACCCCGAACGGGAATCACAGGTCAATGCGGACTCGATTGCGCTTTGTGGGTCTGGTATGTTAGCCCTCTCTGTAGATCTTGTACAAGATGCTGACGCACCTATAGCCATTAGGTTTATTAAGGATGGCAGGGAGGTGAAAGAGAATGGCGACGTGGTGTAGAGGTGAGGGTTGGGCGAGGTCTAGCGAGAGAGCTACGAATATTTCTTTATTTTCATTTACTTTCGCATCTGTCACTGGGTATTTATATCTGTATGGAATCAAGTCACTCGGTAGACTTCTTTCACTTTGACTTTGTTACTAGAGGTTCATCTCTGTCTGAAGTCTAGATTAGCAAGAACCCACTCCAACCTATATTGTGCCGGGACTGACCACTTCCATGGAGGGAGGCCTCAGTACTGACAGGGTACTACGTAGATACTTCAGGTATTTTGTATTTTGGGTGCCTGAGTATTCATGGTGAGAATAGGAGAGGACAAAAATAGAAAATGCGCTGGTCGAGCTCAGTCCCCCCACAATTCTCCTCTATTGGCCCCCAACCAAGCAGATCGAATTTGTTTGTAGATCAATCCAGGGCGATGCCGAGACCGACTCCGCCTCACAGCCTGACACATGCAAGGTTGAGTTAGGTATTTCCCTTCTTCTGTCCTCTTCTCTCCTCTCCTCTCCTCACCAACGACTAAATTGATTCAACAACATCGCCATGAAGTGGTCATGGAGTCTTACCCCTCGCCGCAGAGAGGAAAAAAGCTTGCTGAGAGGCGCAGGCGCGTGAGCGACCGCCCAGAGGCTCTGCCAGTTATACGAGAACGGACCCTGACGCTGCCATTTCCGCCAAACAACACGGGCGTGCCACGAAACCGTCGTCATCAAAGAACCTGCGATCAGCAGCAATCTAAATTCTTTGCCAAACTCCCACAAGAGATCCGGTATCTGATTTATCGAGAGGTCCTGGCCCCTACAGATCATTCAGAACTCCATGTCGCCAGTGCGGACCAACGACTTCTGAGTCGGCGCTGCGTGAATGAGAACTTGGAGACCCCGGGGTTAAAGCACAGCTGTTGGGGCCGTTGTTACAAGCTAGACGGTACGACAGCGCGGAATCCTAGCCTGGGGAGATATGAGCCCGAGGATGATTCTCCTTACCCAGTTAGACTGGGGCTGTTGCGCTCATGCCGACAGGCGTACGTTATTGACATCTTCCACATCTAAGCAAGTGAAAGAGAACCGCTAAACAAAAACCAGATACTCGGAGTCAATTGACATCCTCTACTCCCAAAACATCATCAGCTTCCGCCAAACACGGACTATCGTGGATCTCCAACGTACTATTGTCCCCCAGCGCTTTCATAGCATTCGATCCATGCACCTATATTTCCTACTCCAACTGTACTGGTACGAGTCGCGCTTGCGCGAAGGCGACTCTAGATATCCTTTTGATATACCTTTTTTCTGGGAGTCTGCCTGGAAGACCATCGCCGAGATGAAGTCGTTGCAGAGCCTTCGGGTCGAGTTCACTGATGGGCGCGCTGGCGAAAACTACCCGGAACAAGATGCAGTTGTCCATCTTTTGAAGCCGATGGTGGCACTCAAATTCTCGAAGTATCTGGTCCAGTTCGATTGGCCAGTTCAGGTGGATGAACTTGTACGGTCGTTGGGGAATGATGTGTCTTTTGAAATCCAGATCAGAGAGAAACCCGCAGGGGGGATTATTATTGGTAAGGCCAGGCAAAGATTTGCCTCGCACAGGCTGAGAATACGACAGAACCGCTGAATTGGAGTGCGTTCGACGATAACATGCACATGGATTATGAACAGATGGACATGACGCCGGAATTGACCACTCTTGACACCATAAACTGCCTTGCACAAATTTAAAACCCTAGAAAATTGCCCAGTCAAAGCCAGTACCTGTTCCTTACATGATATACTTGAACCTTGGAAGACGTTGATATGATCGCGTATTTGGTCTGCAGCCTCATGGGGCCCAGAGATGCATAGTAGCTCGAGATGATCAACGATACATGTTATTGATATTGCAATCCTTACTCTATGTATGTTTAGAGCTTTAAATGGACATTTTGCAGTCAGCTTGTCACCCAAGCCAGATTAAACCCAAGTCATGATCTAATCACAGTCATGAGGTTTCATGTCTTGTGCCATGCCTATCTTCTGTTCAGCCACTATGAGAAGTCGTGCGATATTGTCTTGTCCTCGGAAACTCGCGATCTGCGCCGCTGTCCGAGTTTTGTTTCCAGACGTGGCAGCAACGTCAGCGCCAGCGTCCAGCAACATCCGAACAATCTCATAATGGCCCCCTTCCGTCGCCGCCGAAAGCGCTGTATACCCATTGTAGTACGACCCTTGAGCATCCACATCAGCTCCTGCGTCCAACAGTCTCCGGACAATAAGATAATGGCCACCAAGAGCTGCGCCTTGCAGGGCTGTCAATCCCTTATATCTGACAGCGGGGGCATTGACAGATGCTCTTTGCTCTAGCAGAATTTTAACTATATCGCCATGACCTGCTGAAGCAGCAGCTTGAAGGGCGGTGCGGCCGTTATTCTTAGCAGCTGGTGTATTGATTTCTGCGCCTCGCTCAAGCAACCATCGTAGGAGCTCGATATGACCCCCTCCGCAGCAGCTTGCAAGGCAGTTCGACCCATATACTGATGCGGAGGACGGTTGATATCTGCTCCCGCAGAGACCAGGCAGCGAACGATATCCATATGACCCGCACTTGCGGCTAGGACCACGGCTGTTTTGCCCCCGTTGTTTCCTCCAGGAGAATCGACGTCTGCCCCTGCCGCTAGCAGTGCCTCCACTACATCGAGGTTTCCACTAGAGGAGGCAGCTTGAAGAGCTGCCTTTCCATAATATCCTTTGGGGGGCTCATTAGGATCCACTGTGTCATGGGCTAGAAGACGCTGTACCTCACTCAGATCTCCTTTCGCAGCGGCGAGCTGAAGGGGAGACCACGTGTTCTCCTCGTCTGGTTCGTCGACTTGAGGTTGAGAATTCGCCGGGAGATAATCTTTGTGCATCTTCTGAGGATTCCTTCTGTAGTCGTTGCATGCTACTCGGTGGGCATTTCTTGTGACCGTAGAAAGTTGCTATCTGGTTGAAGCGGAAGAGGAACCTATCCTAGCCAGAAGCAAGCTAGTTAGAACTTACATGGATACCCCGCCCCAGGGGGCCAGAAATGATAGATGAGTAGAAGTGATGACGCTGTTTTATTCCCCCGCAGGAGAAATGATAGTAACTTTCCATGAACCTAATGTGCATGTGGAAAGCACATCGGTATTGGAGCAGCCCGCTGTAAATAGATTGTCTCCACCAAATTGTTTATTGCTATCAACAAACTGGTAACAGCCTTGAGCCGGTTGTGGGTGACTTTGAAATTGCAATGAAAACAAATACTGAATCTCATTCAGCATTTTATCATTTTATTAGTGCCGCTCGAAGCGATTTTCTAGCTAGGATGAAAAGCGCGACACCTCACAAGAATGGGACGAGAAGAATGACTAGATACCGATTCATCTGTTTCAATTTGGAAAACGGAGCTTACCAGTGTTTCTCATTATGTATGTACCACTAAACTCAAAGTAAATACAAATTGATCGTTCAGCACGGAACAGCCTTTTGCCTCCACAACATAGGGTAACCCGTTGACCTGAACTACCGACCGTGCGATAGAATAACAATATGTGCAAGCGCTCGGAAAAAGAGACCGAGAGCGCTGTGGTCCTTCGTCCGAACGACCATCGTCCGACTCAGTACCTAGTGCACGCAAATCTAGACAAAGCGAAGATAATGGGTTAGCGTATGGTCCAAAGATTTGCTAATATCTGGAATCCTACTTACCCCATTCTCACACGAGAGACCGATGCAGCAAGCGGCTGGATCTCCAAGTGACGCACTCGCTTCGCATGTGGAATTGCCCTAAAAAGCATTGGTTAGGTCATTAGTATGGCGGTTGCACACTTCTCATCGTGGTGATGGTTAGTTAAGCTTACCCCACGGCAAACTTCGAGGGCACGGGGCAAGGCGTATGCACCACTGGCAATTAAGCCTAGGACGAGGACGGAGAATCGCATTGCGATGAATGAATCGAAAATTCGGAATGAGTCGAAAGTTGAGGACGAAGTGTCTGCGAATAGAATCAAGCAAAAATTAGCAGTGAACAAGAGCACAAGAGTTGAGGGCAACCAAGGGATGCAGCGCGATCATCCAGCGGCGGGACGATGCTATCTTCCAGCAGAGTTGCGATCTTGAGAAGAAGACAATGAAACCATAAAACAATCCCGTGGGCGACATACCAGGCTAATATTCGAAGCGATGACAGATATTCCAGACCCGAATAATATTCGAAGAATGTCAGGTCACTGGGGTAGAACGTCTTATAGCATTCTTAGCGATTTGCCGCAGGAGCAGGCCGACCGCCACGCTTTTGTGGAGCAGGGGCCAATTATCCCATCCATGCAAGTGAAACATCGCCGCCAAGGAAAGATCTACAGGGGGAAGCTGGGGGCCGATCGACCCACGGTAATTGGGCAAGTCGGTGGGCTGGGTAACCAAAGGTCTCTGTGATGGGCAGTGGCAGGTCGGGCTGGGCTGAGTCTTTACCTGGCGACATTCCCGTCTAGTGCCATCTGACGGGCTCAATGGCTGCGCGGAGGCTATTGAGGTCTACCCCAAGCGAGATATATCATCTGGACCGACTTTGGTCGAGTTGCTCCTACCTCGTGCACGTCTGACAAGGTGGCTGGTGCGACCCGAGATCTTGATTCTGTGGCTGTTGTGACCAAAATAGTAAACGCGGCGAGTCTTGAAGAACTGCCATTCTAAGCGATGGGATCCATTAGCCGAGAGCTCCTCAAAAGCCGTCGATCATATGACCAACTTCGAGGCAATTCAAGTTTCCATCGGTTGGACAAGATCGAGGCAGCAGGATTCCCGATCGTGGTCCTTGACAGCGGGCACATACAGAGCGAAGGGCAGAAGGAGTGGTAAACCACGAGCCTTGCACAGTTCCAGCAGCAGAATCTCATGTAATTCTGCAAGGCGGATGTGATTTTCTTCGCAAGCTGGTGGGCTGGTGCATAAAAGCCAAGGATCTTGGCAGTGGATGTACAGCTTCGCTTGCCAAGTGCGGAAGGGATGCGCTGTGGAACAAAAGAAGGGGGACATGCAGAACTGGCAGTTGAAAGCCTGAATCCAGAGAACGGTAGATCATATATGCCTGGCATTCTATCTTCTGTTGGATCAGCTTCCACTGAGAGCGGTTCCTGTTCCGCAGCGTCAGGTCCTGGTGGATCTTCATCGACCCAAGCCTTATGGTCAAGCCATGAAGTATCGAGTGAGAGCACGTATGATACGAGAGACGGCTGTCGGCAAAGTGTCCGAGTCAGACTTTGAAGCTTCCCTGGGAATCAGCAACCAAAACAATAGGCGATCATGTCAGTAGAGTCAGCCCACCCGACTGTCCACTGGATTGCAATTGTCCAGGCGAGCTTCAAACTCACTGAAGGCATCACCCCTTACCAAGTGCTCAACCGGTCGATTGATATTGGGGATCCTAGGAATCAGCTTGATATCTGAGTACAGGACAGGAATGGCGATGCTTAGAAGCCGCTTGCTGGATGCTGCTAAGCTTGCCAATGCCCTGCTTTTTCCCTCGAGATACTTGATGATGAGGAGAACATTCTCCACCGGCAGGTGGTTGAGCGACATGTCGAGATGTAGGATGGTTTGTAGTAGCAGTTGAGGCAGGGTCGAAGGCGTATGAGATATTTGTGGAATCTGGAATCTTTTAAGAGATCGGGAGGATAGTAAACTGCAGGACTGTGTGACTACCAGCTACATGGCAAACGGGATGAAGTGGTGAGATTTTTGCCTGGCCCTCAGTGTTTTAGCCTAATGCTAGGATTTCTACGTTGGGGAGGGCCGCTCTTGCTGTGTGGTTGATTGTACTGTTGTTGTTGCTGTTGTTTCTACGCTTTTACAGCCGTGTCTGGGTTTCCCGATTGGGAAACCAACCCCACAATAGTCAGGATGCCGATATGAGTGGGTCGGCCTCTGGATTCGAAGTCTGGGCCAGGTATGGGGTTCTAAACAGATGACGAAATAAGGGGACGTCGAAAGTGACATTTGATAAGGAGGTAACGACATGTCCATAGGGCGTAGAATAAGCGCAAAGAGGCGCAAACCTTAATAGAGGTTTTCTATTCCGAGCCTCATGCTTGGCTTCGCTCAGGACAGCTGGTTGTTTGCAACGACGGAGATGACAGCTTAGACAGGGAGTTTCCCTCGGGAAAACACACGCAGCGCCAGAAAGAGTTGGAGGTCTATCACAACGCTGAAACTTGGAGAGAACAGTTTCACATAGCAAATCTCACACCAATCGGAATCTCGGGATCCTAAGCCTCTTTTTGTAGCCGCAACCCAAAAAGCATTCCGCGTTCGGCAGTCTCCGACTCCGTCGAGAACCGCAAAACGGGCGGGAAATTCCTAGACCCACCCAAGTTACCCGACAGATTTTTCTTGGCCTGGCTGGGGTAGCATCGAATTCTCACTTGGAAAGATTTTCTTCTCTCAATTACCTGTGTTATTGGTCAATGCTGATATAATTGTGTCAACCCTTTCACTGGAGTTGAAATCTCTTATCAATTTTGACATTGAAGCCAAGGCCGAGTCGCAACCCTATATAGCTTGCCCACCATGAGTGACGAAGAGTCATACGTTACCGACGGAAAGGAAGGGTTCGAGGAGCCCCTCAAGAAGAATGGCGAGAAGAAACCTCTGTCTGCGCAGGACCTGGAGCCCTTTGGTAATGAAGAGACGGCAGAGGTCAAGTATCGAACTATGAAGTGGTGGTAAGTGACTATTCCTCTTTGTGACCGACTTGAAATCTGGACATTCTCGAGGCTAATGGAAGATTAGGCACTGCGGCATGCGTGAGTATTCAACATGGGATCAGCCTTCCTTTTTTAATGGCAGTTGTGAATTCTAATCATTTGACAGTCATGATCGCGGAGAACGTCTCTGTTGGAATCCTGTCGCTCCCTTCTGCGGTCGCAACTCTGGGCATGGTACCGTATGTATTTGATCCTTGATCATTAACATGTCCTCGACTGACCACATCCATCAGTGCTGCAATCATGATCCTCTTCATCTCTGCTCTTTCCTGGTATACTGGGTATGCCATTGGTCAATTCAAGCTCCGTCACCCCCACATCCACAGCATGGGAGACGCTGGCGAGCTCCTGATGGGCCGTGTTGGTCGCGAGGTTCTTGGAATTGGCCAGCTTCTGCTGCTTATATTCCTCATGGCTAGCAATATCTTGACCTTCAACATCTTAATGAACGTACTGACCGATCACGGTACCTGCACCCTTGTCTTTGGCGTGGTCGGCCTTGTGATTTGTTTCCTTGGAGCTCTGCCTCGTACCATGGAAAAGGTGTACTGGATGTCTGTCATTTGTGAGTGTGCCCTGCAAGAGCTGACTAGAGGCTCCTGTTTTTTTCCGAAATCACTAAGATTTTAACCCAAATTCACAGCATTCTTGAGTGTCCTGGTTGCTACGATCATCACCATGATCACTGCCGGCGTGGAAGCTAAGGAACACGTCGTTAACGAGGTGACTACGGAGGTTTCTTTCCGTGATGGATTCCTCGCTGTCACCAACATCATCTTCGCCTACCGTACGTGCAAAAATCAAAAGCCACATGATGACAGGGCTTTCCGTGATATAGACGAGCTAGCTAACACTAATATTGCAGTTGCTCACGTTGCTTACTTTGGCTTCATGTCAGAGACGGAGGATCCTCGTACATTCAACAAGTCCCTCGCGATGCTTCAGATTATCGACACTGTCCTCTACCTTGTCAGCGCTCTTTTAATCTACCACTACATCGGACCCAATGTTCAGTCACCAGCTATCTCGTCTCTGAGCCCAGTCATGAGCAAGGTTGCTTGGGGTATTGCCATCCCTACCGTGAGTCTTTGCAAGCCGTGCTTCGTCCTTCTTTACGTTTCTTATCTGTGGGCCTTCTCTGACAATAACAGACTATTCTCTCCGGCGTCGTTCTTGGCCACGTTGCGTGCAAGTACATTTACGTGCGCATTTTCCGCGGTTCTGATAAGATGCACAACCGCAGTCTGCTCTCCATCGGATCTTGGGTTGCCATTTGCATCGGCGTCTGGATTATTTCTTGGGTCGTCGCTGAGTCGATTCCGGTTTTCAATGACCTACTGAGTCTTATTGTGAGTTTCATGAAATAAAATGTCTTTTTTGAAAAGATAGCTGATGCAGATTCAACCTACAGAGTGCTCTGTTTGGAAGTTGGTTCAGCTGTAAGTTTTTAATTAACTGGCATTTTCTTGAAATCTCACCCTGTCTAACATCCTTCTCAGTCGGCCTCCCTGCTGTGTTCTGGCTCCACATGAACAAGGGCCAATACTTCCGCAACTGGAAGAAGACGGTGTTGACGATTACGAATGTTCTGATTTTCCTTATTTCTTGCGTTATCGTAAGTTCAACCCGATTGCCTCCAGCTTCGAGTCCTATTTCTCAACAATCGGGCATGATTGTTTTTCCTGACCACGACTGACTTTCTATAGTGTGGATTGGGTCTCTACGTGTCCGGCGTTGCGATCCACGGCGATTCAGGCTCCAACAGCTGGTCCTGTGCTAACAGTGCCTGATTGTTTAAAAAGTCATTATATTTTCGAACAGTAGCGGATGATGTGATTCTTCGAGGTCTTACGAGAAGTCAGCGTATCTTTTGTATAGAATAGGTAAATAGAGTTAGATTGTGTTAATAACTTCACATCAATGATTCCTCAGATCTATTTCACGAAAGCTATCCTCGCGTCAAACTCTCATTTGGCAGAATATAGTTGAAACTGCCCAATATTCTGTACGCAGCCCTCCCGTTGCAGTATCTTTGTCGAACAGTCAAATTAAGCTAAAAAGACTTCATGCACGGGTCGCTAGAATGTAGGTCTACCTTGAACTCCTTTTTGACATCTTCCCTTCGATGTCCTACGAAATACGCCGCTACGCACTTTGAAACCACTTTTAGTAACGTCTCAAACAATCACAGATACCCTGCCGCGATATCCTGGAGGTTTTGTACATATTCTTGGATCCTCTCCGCTCTCACTTCTTGAACACTTCAACTGTACATGACTTGCCTGGACTCCTCCCACAATTCCTGGAATGAGGCATAACACCCAGCGACGAAGGGGAAGATCTGCAATACCGCAAGGGAATCAGTCCAAGTCTCCATTTTTAGTCGAGCTTGAACCGCGAGCACCTGCCCTCTAAACCATCCCCGGCGGGTACGGCCGGCTGCAGCAGCACCCCCAACAAATAACAACCAGAGCAAGAAGCGATCTGGATACCATCTGACGTCTATAGTCATATTTTCCTCATTCAGTGCATGCGACAGACAGTCCAATAAGTAGTCAAATACGGGGTTACTCAGCGGTAACTCTCTGAGGAAGAGGCAGAGAAAAATATTGCCCACGACCGAGTATGCTCTCACGGGCATACTGTCCGTGACTGTGTCGATAAATCCATCTGCCATCGTGCGGTGCATGCTTAGTCCCAGCGCATTGAGCCTTTGGAGCCATTCGGACTTGGGCATGACCTCGGAGTTTGGCGCCATCTCGAGTGATAGACATTTGAGTTCGTGGAATATTGTCATCAAGGTAGAATGTGCATCTTGAGGGATTTGACTCAATAGATCACCCATTGGAAGTTCGTAGATAACGCGGGGCGTCAGTGGGAAGTCATGGCCTGCGAATCGTGCTCTAAATGTAGGTTAGTTCTGTCAGCTGAAGGAGAAATAACCAAGGCTTCAGCTGTATGTTCATCCATGGGCTATTGCTTACAGGTTGATCAATCCAGTCCTAAAGATGTTCGTCCCTGGGTGTGACGCATCACCACGGCCTTCTGCTATTCTGTCGAAGGCCTCCAAATGTTTGCGCCCAACGCCAAAAAAGCCGGCACTGTTCTAGTCTTGTTAGCATAGACCACTAGAAAACAGGAATTCAGGACCCACAAACCTCTAGAATTGATAGACAGGCGATAGCAACCAGGGCATCGTCAGAGATGTTGGAAGGATCTCCGGCATCTTGCAAGGATTTGCTGATTACACGAATAGCTTGAATCTTGTGATGGTAATAGACAGTGATGAGATGCGGACTTGACCCGCTCAAAAGCATTCTGTTCACGGCCACTACACTCAGAACTGCATTCAAGACGGCGGGACCGGAGACCATGTATGGTATACAGCTGACTTTGACACTTTGACCACGCTGCCACGAAAAGTTGAGCATATAGGAGTACACATTTCCGACTATAATCATGTCAGAATAGAGTCTTTGGATGGGGGGAAGCTCAACAACGTACGATAATCGAAGAGGAGAGTTGATCCTTCGACACAATTTACGGGAAGGCCTGGAGTGAAAGAGTCAGTCACCCTTCATCGGCTGGGTCAAATTCGGGCAATGGAAGAGACGAGACCTTGTAAGGCAGATTGTATTTGAGAGGTCTGGTTAGTCGTCGTGAGGTCCGCGGTCGGTTTACCGCATATAGTGCACGCCGAAGAGGATTTCAGAGGGGAATTCCCATGTGGGTGAGCCCATCGAGAGCCCGATGATGACTCAGTGAGACGCCATGGTGCTTGCTGCTTTCGCCGAGAAGAGGCAACGTGCTCGAGTGCTTGGGTATCTCTGACGTGTTTCATGACATGAGAGCGGATCTTCGACCGCGTGGCCGTTTTATTCGAGCTCTCGGCGGATATAAACTCAAATTTGATCTTCTTATTTGCTTTGAAGACCAACCGCGTAGCCCCTGCAACCCATTCATTCTTATGGACCCGTGCGACTGGCGTGGAGAATTGATTCGGGGCACATACCTTCCGGGGATACCGTTTGCTTTTCTTGACATACGCAATGCATTGTTCGGACGAGTTCAGAACACTCATGTCCCGAGCAACGAAAGTAAGATGTCGGTCAGCAGGATTTTGAGACGATCAAAGCGGGGTTTGCTTTTCTTGCCACAGAAGCGTGCTTACGCTGCTTAGGCGTCCTTTCGCTGGTAGCTTGGGCGAATCGGAAGACGGACTCAACCGCACTGGATTGGTGTTCGCGATAACATAATCGTGACCCATCTGGGTTACTGGTACTCAAGAAGTGCCGAGACACACTAACTCAATTGCAACTTTGGTCTGACTGGATTCTGTTTAGTGTAATTCTAAGCAAATGTAATCTACAGACTCCATAATCTGAACTCGGCGGAGTGAACACCTCTGTGATGAGCCTATAGTGTTTTCGGTACATTTATTTTGAGCTCCAGAAATGATGACCTTTTTCATAGACAAATCCGCAAGAGCTCATCTTGGATACCCTGCAGCTTGTCCCGGGAAGACGGGTAAGCATCCATGCCTCGCTCTGATCCATCGACTAGGAAAACCCGGCTCATATATGCTACGAGCAGTGTATAGTAGCTTCTCTAACATCTGGCTTGACTGCATTCATTGACATTCAGGAAGGATCTATCAAACAAAGGTCACCGCATGCATAAGGCATGCACGGGGTTTTGACATTCTGCTTGGCCATGTGATGACGGTCTCTCACCGATGAAATCCGCTCTGGTGGAAGTCAGATTCCTTCAGTACGAATTGTCTTTGAATAGTTTGGTGTCACTATTTCTTACTCTCTGTTCAGTGCCTACCTTTTATGGTAAATTTCATATGCCGTTGTTTTCGCCGCCACGTAGGCATCAAACTCTTTCTGCACCGTATGCATCGGTACAACGTGATCTTTGGTCCCCGCTATCAACAGCAGTGGAGCGCGATCCGACTTATCGAAATCCGCATGCCCAGGACCCGATTTCTTTAACATGCCCGTTGCCCCTGCCACAATACATGCGCCACACTGGGAATCGCATACCAAAAATAGAGGACGTCACTTTGTTCTCTGAACAAATGGCCCCCAAAGCAGAAGTGGAACTGCTGCGCGGTTATTGCCACGGTGGAATGAATATTGAAAGGGTTCGAAAGAACCGGTCCAGTAGCTTTGAGGGTATTGATGGACAGATCGAAGATACCTGCTGGCTGCGCAGGGCTGATGCCAATTCCAGCGCACCCGTAGCCACGCGAGAGAAGAATTTGAGTAAAGAGACCACCGAAACTGTGCCCCATTATTATAGGCTGTGTACCCAGGGAGGAAATGATGGATGCATAAATGGTCTATGATAGTTTCGATCGTTTGATCCGCCATGGGTGGTTTGGAAACAGAAAATGTTTCGTTTGATAAACCAGCCTGTTGCTGATCTGCCATATTGTCTGGGTCAATAAGTTGAGGTAAAATTGAATGAAATGCTTTGGAGAGGAAATTCGGGTTGGAAAATGTGAATGATCAAGGAAGCTTGATGAATATTATCTAGGAAATAGGGTGGTATTTAAGGGCTATCCCCCATTCCCAATAACCAATGAACCTAGCAATTGAAATCAGACCCCAGGTCGAGTTTGTATGCAAAGGTTCTATACGTTACTGTTGTGGAAGTGAAAGTCCCTGCGCAGGAAGCTCCAAGGCCAAGAACGACGTCTACACTAGCGCCATCGAATATAGTAAACGGACTGCTTTGACCATCCTTTCCACATTCCTTCGTCTGCAATTCCCGAAATATGCATGCTGCGCGTTCTAGACAAGTGTTCTATGGTTCATTCTATCTGATCATTATTGCTAACGAGACGTGTTACAACACTAATAAACCGCTCCATTAATCTCTTACCATTTGTGACACGGAATTCAGTGCAAGGGCTTTAAACAAGGAATGAAACCCAGCGGACCGAAGCGCACAGTTCCAGAGATGCGCGAGGAATTTCTTGCCGAGACAAAGAATTGGGCATATCCTCCTTGGTACCAGCAGGACGTGTAGATCTTCGTAGTATCTCAATTAAGGCGCATATGACGGTTGTATCAAATCTAGATCCAGGACCCATGTACTCAGAAGCTTCCATCAGGCATTAAATCCGATAGACGGGAAGCGAGGCTGCGCCTATACTGCTATGGATCAATGCTTGGCCCCAAAATGGAAAACCGGGGTGTTATGCACTCAAAAAGCAGCTCGAGTACGCAAATCTAGCAGCTTCTCCACAGATCATATGTAGAGATGCCTTAATCCTAATTGATTACGACTTGCATCCCATGCTCGGGTGACATGACCAGATGCGTACTTTCATCCTTTGTATTTTTGCGAGAACGCCCGGGATGGCTCTTGTCGGTGAATGTGAAGGTTGTCTCGTGCGAGTCTTCATGCGTGCTACAAGAGACTGAAACGTCAGCACTAAATCTGCAAGGCGTGGTTATATAGTTAGTAGGTCTTAGAACTGTTTCATTGGCCACGAGAAGTGCCGTGCTTCTGATGGAAACTCGATGATGGGACGATTTCACTAAAAGTTTGGTTCTGACCGAGACCCCCCATTTCGGTCACTTAGCACCCCTCATTCCACGATATACAATTGGATATGAAGTCTATGGCGCTGGGCTGGCATGGTCTGGCCGTGTTCTTCGCCACAACCCGCAAACTCTAAAATCCCCAAACCGACGCAGAAGCGGCTCCAGAGGAGCTTATCAGTAGTTACCCATAAAGGCTCCAGGACACTAACCAAATCAGTCCAGTGGTCAGCCTCGATCAGGGCTAGTGTTGCTTACGTACATACGTACCCGCAGATTTGCCGATACCCCACGATGCATTAGTGCTGCGCTAACGACATGGACCACAGAGAAGCGAAAATTGATCCCATGACGAAACTTCGATACACGTGGATCAAAAGTGCGCTAGTGATCATGAGCCGCAGATCTGTGGCTAGACAGTGTAAATCCCTAGCCATTCTAATAGAAGTGCGTACTCCGGGAAACAGACCGATTCAAGACAGTAGTCGACCCTGGCCAGGATTAGTGTGATTTCCATAACGAACCCCTGAAAAAGACTATGTGGTCTAGATGTCTCGATGTCCATCTCCTACTCATTGACACGGAAGAGTGTGTTGTGGCTGTAAATGGCTCATCAAGTGGAAGCTTGTGCATCATTCTCTCGGATAGAGCTCGAATAGGTCACCTCATTATGACGACCGACTCTTTCTACCAATGAAGTGAGACGCTAGTTTCAAACTTTGATACCGTGCTTGCTGCTCTAGTAAAAAAAACTTTCAAGATTTATCTTAACCATTTAAACGACATCGGCTTATCCGTGAAGAGGCCCTTCACCTCAGTCATCTTGGATAAGTTATAAATAACGCCAGTTACAGATTTACCTCACAAATCAGTAGTTTCATTCAAGATTTTTTGCACCCTACTTTGCCTGCAATTATGGCTGAAACCTCAGTCGGTGTCTACCTCTTTTCTCGCCTTGGCGAGCTAGGCATCAAAAGCATCTCTGGTGTTCCTGGTGGTATGAGGTTCCCTTTATGTTTTTTTCTTAGACTCGACTAATCAATTTACTTTGATAGACTATGAGCTCGTTCTGCTTGATATGATTCCTGAGGCAGGATTGACTTGGCACGGCAATGCGAACGAATTGATTGCCGGATATGCCGTGAGATATACTCTCTTGGCGATGCCCTCGGGTTGCTAATTCAACTAGGCCGACGGATATGCCCGTGTCAGCGGAGTTGCTGCGTTTGTAACTACATATGGCCCTGGAGAACTCTCGGCTTATTGTGCAATGGCTGGCCAATACGCGGAATATGTAAGCATATATCACTTCCATTCTTATGCTAGGACAAAGGAAGCAGCCTATTGAGAATCGAGATAACAGGTCCCTGTGGTTCATGTTGTGGGCTATCCGTCCACCGTTGCCATGAATGGAAAGATGATTATGCATCACAGTCTTGGGGATGGTAACTTCGGGTACGTCAAATTCAACGTGACTCGATCTTGACAGCTGACTTACCCTCACAGAATGTACCAGAAGATGGTCGAACATATTTCGGTTGCATCAACCGTCCTCATGGACGCCAAATCAGCTGCTTCGGAGATTGATCGTGTTCTGAATGGTATGCCCTTTATTGAATGCTGGCAAAATTCCCAGGAAGATAATCTCTGACATTTTCCATTAGCTATGCTCTATCATTCGAGACCAGTGTAAGTAAGATACCACCAGGTGTCAGTCAAATTGCTGACATAACACAGATATATTGGCGTTCCCGTAGATATTGGGCCCCAAATGATATCTAGTGGGCCGCTGGAGTCATCTCTCCAAGTCATTCTCCCAAAGAATAACCCTGAGTTCGAAGTAAAGGCAGTGGTGGAAATCATCCGTCGTCTTCAATCTTCTAAGCAACCAGTCATACTCGTTGATGGGGGTATGTGCCTCGAAATATTTACCCGCAGAGATCTTACTTACACGGAGTAGGAGCTATCCGCCATGATCTAGTTGATGAATCCGAAGCGCTGATTGAACTTCTCAAAATACCATACTTCGCTACTGCCATGTCCAAGGGATTTACCGAGAGAATCGGAGGTAAGTATGGTGGTATCTATGGCGGCGGGGCATCCCCGAGGGCGTAAAACAAGGGGTTGAAGACAGCGACCTTGTCATAATAATCGGGCACTATCCGGTACGTTCATCTTGATTTCTGGCACGAAAGACTTGGACTAAAATTACCGTTTCAAGAGCGATTTCAACACGTAAGTGTTCTTAACATTAACTTCAAGGTTTACGGGATAATTGCTCAATGGCAAAATAGGGGCGAATTTACAACCAATCTTCAAGAAGACAAAGTCATTGACTTTCAGCGTCTGGCGCTCAGCATTGCCGGACACCAATATGATCTTGCAGCAAAACATGTCCGTATCCCCTCTCATTCCATCACACATGGTCCTAAATGGTATATAGCTCCTCCCTCGGCTGATCCACGAGCTTTCCAACCTTGGCTCGATTGTTGTCGAAAGAAGCGTCACTTGGGACCCATACCCTAACGATTCAACCCCCAAACCCGATAAATTGACGCAAGACTATCTCTGGGCGGTAAGTCCATCCTTTCTCGAGTTCCTGCTCTACAGACTCACTAGGTTTATGTAGCAACTCGGCAAATACTTCCAACCGGGTGACTTCGTTATTGCAGAAACAGGTACTTCCAGCTACGGCATCCCTGCGTCGAACTTGATGAATGTAAGCGACGTTCGTATGTTCAATCAGACCGTATTTGGCAGCATCGGCTATGCCACTGGTGCCGCATTGGGGGCATTTATCGCCGGAAAAGAAGACGGATCCATCAAACGCGGCATCCTGGTCACTGGGGAAGGATCACTTCAGTTGACTGTACAGACCTTCTCCGATCTGCTTCGTCATGGACTTAACACGACTGTGTATGGATCTTGCTCTCTATTTACTTCCATTAAAAGTATTTTGCTAATACAGATATGGTGAATCTCAGATTCCTTCTCAACAACGACGGCTACACAGTCGAGCGTTTGATCCACGGCATGGAGGCATCGTATAACCAGGTCCCGATGTGGAACTACAGCAAGATGTGTGAAACATTTGGTCCTTCATTCCCGGCAAGATATTACCGAGTCCAGACAGGCGATGAGCTGCTTGAGCTTCTTGCGGACGCGCAATTTGTAAAGGCCGATTGCACACAGGTAAGTCTCTCCGAATGCGAAATCAGGCACCGGTTCATCTGACAGCTTATTTCAATAGGTTGTTGAACTCATCCTCCACAAGCATGACGCTCCTATGTCTGTTAAGCTGGCGAGCAAGGCAGTGGAGGAATTCAATAAGAGCAAGAAGTAAAGGCTGTGGTTGACGGTCCTAGCCGCTTTTATACTTACCCATCATTACCAAGTGATCCAAGAGAATGTTCTGAGAAAGTCCAAAATGCCATATTTTCATTCTTTGTCCGCTGGGCTCTGGCTCGTTAAGTTCGTTATGAAACTCCGTAAGGTAGCCACGAGACTTTGGTTAGCTTTGGTTTAGATATTTATCATGAATCTTCTTTTGGATAACCACCTGGGCGGATATCAATAGAACAAGAGCTCCATAAGAGACCCATAGGCTCCTATATATAGCTCAGGCTCAGTCGAGTGAAAGTGGGAATTTGGTAACTTTAGCAAGGTCCTCGCCCCCATCCTTTCTCCATTCTCCAAACTTATCTGGATATCTACAAAATTGGGCATTAATCAATCACCATATAAGTGCATCTTTATGGTAGCTACGAGAGTCCATCGAATTGCGGAGAGAATAATTTACATTGCAATCAGTGGTGCGAGTACCAAGGTGTTTAAAAATCGAGTTAGCTAGCGACGCGACCAGTGAACCAAGTGAAGAGCAGAGGGGATCTCACCGTGTGAGGTATAACGGAACAACCAGTTTCGGGCAACATCATGTGCCAGGCCTCTTATGTGGTTTTTGTTTTGCTCCGTTAATTCCAGAGGTCTGGTAACGTCAATTTTCATTGGCATACTTTCAGGGATCAAAGGCTCGGCAAATTTCACCACCTCAATTGGCCTACTGTCTTGGGCAAATGCGCAGAGGATTGTCTCCAACAATGAAGTAGTGTCACGAAATTTGTCCTCCCAGCTGAGATGGACGATAACATAGTAGGAATGCATTTTGGCCGGTCTCCAGAGTTAGACAAAATAAGCCTAGGGTAGTTATCAATGAAGTCTCGAGGAAAGAGTAGGGGTCGAATTTGCTGTGACTTGGGGCGATGGAGATCCGTGAGTGTGCATAACGTCTACTGGGCTAGATGAGGCGGAGGGGTGGACGACTGATCCTGAGGTCGAGGGTAGGATAAAGTCTGAGGGGTTAAGGTTATATATAGGTGCTTGATCACTGCAGATAGGCATCATGAGTTGATCGGATTGAAGTCTCCAGATCCTTTGGCGACTTTGTTGTTTCGTTTCCAGTTAGTCAAAGCCCTTTATGTATCCCCACCTTTGTGCTGCACGTCGATATACTTAGATCGATAGAAGCTGGCATGACAAACACTTAGCCAAGGACCCGGTCAAAGAGCGTTGCGGAACACAAAGCCTTTGTGATTCGAATTTCATGGTGGTATACGCTCCAATTTTCTGACAAAGGATCGCAACTCGTCACCCTTAGTCAGAAGAGCATGTATCCGACGATTTAATCGAAAACGGCGATTGTCCGATAAACCACATTTGGAAATCATGGCGCGCGTGGAGCCTAGGGATATAGGGGGCCGATATCTCCATTCCAGATTATCGGCGGTAAATCGTGGATCAGTGATACCTGTAGGGGACTGCTAATGAGTTTTCTGGTAGGTCCTTTGATGTTGGCTTGCCTATCTCCTGTCAGAGGTTTTCCCTTTGCTCCCCCGATTGGGACCCGTCCATGAGTGTGGGCCGTGACTAACCATAACTAAGCCACGGGGGCGACTGTAACACCCGCCGGCTCTGGTCCACTTCATTCTCTTCCCTTTCTACCCCAGACTCCCTTCTGATGACACAACCCATTTTACACAATGGACGAACCTGTCGCAACTGTCATACCCGATACGGGAATGTCAGAATCCTTCAATACCGCTCCACCAATATTTGAAGAAGAGGCCTTTTTATCACCAGGAACGTTTTCCAGCGCAGACGAATATGCGGCCAACCCGCGATTTCTCGAATTACAAGAGGAGCTTCGCTGTGTGCTCTTCTCATCCGTTGCCAGCCTTGATCCTGGTGAATACACCTCGCCAGTCCCTTCAGAACAGCCAGACGGGCCCACCAAATCGCGACCAACACTAGATTTTACAAGAGTTTCTATTCCCAAAATCCGACTCATTTTCTACCTTAAAAATTGGATTACCGAATGTGCACCTTATCTCGACAAATTTGATGAGTCGCGCCATTTTGGTGTGCACATTCCGATCCTTGCGCAGCGTTCGCCCGCTTTGTTTTACGCCATTCTTGCATTCTCTGCTCGCCAGACTGAGCGGAAAGCCTGTCTTGACAAGGCCTACAATAGTCTGGAACTTTATCAAGAGTCAATCCGGTTGCTTGCACCTTTACTGCAAGCGAAAGACCCAAATGTCTTGGTGACAGTATGCATTCTGGCCGTGATGGAGCTGATGTCCGTTAGTCCACGCGACTGGAGGAGGCACGTCGAAGGCTGTGCCGCTCTTTTCGACTCCTTCAATGTGAATGGGTTGTCAGGTGGCCACCTATCTGCTACCTTCTGGACTTATGCGCGCATGGAACTGTGCGGTGCGATAATTTCAGGAGGCGCTGAGTCTACGGTGCTCCCCCTGGAAAAATGGGTTCCCGCTGTACCCGAGACCGCAAGTCCCAGGGAGAGAGAACTCATGATTCGAGACATGTTTTACCAAGACGGCTGCGCTTCCCCAGATATGCACGCAAACTGGGCAGTGTATCTCTGCGCCAAAACATGCGATCTATCCTGCCGTCAAACCAGACACGTGGAACTGGGCGAAATGGTCGAAGACACACGCCCTTTCGCGGAACAGTGGGCCTGCCTCTGGGAGGAGCTGCAATTCTGGCTTGAAAAACGACCCCCGGCCATGCTTCCTATTAAGACCACCGGTATCGGCGGCGGTCAAATATTTCCAGAAATCCTTTTCGCCCACTGGGCTGCTATCTCGGGAAATCAACTTTACCATGCTGCTTGCATCATGATGCTCGACATGAAACCCCCGGGGAAAATTCTGCCTCCAGCCAAGCCGCATTACTCATCTGTGTGGCACGCGCGCCGAGTTTGTGGGATTTCATTGACTAATCCTCACTCGGGAAACCTTATCAACGCTATTCAACCGTTATATATTGCGGGAAAACTTCTTAGTCACCACAGCGAGCACATTGAAGTAGCGAAACTGTTTAAGATTGTCGAAGAGACGACTGGCTGGGGCGCACTGTGGAGGTTGAAGGATCTTGAACGAGCTTGGGGGTATGAGCCGGGTGAAATACTGTCAGCGATTTGATATTTGGGGAACGAATCTTGGTGTTTACGACTCAAATGTAGTAAAATGGCTAATAACTGAACTTCGTGTGGATAGACTTTCGCTCGCAGCGGCTGTTTTGGATATGGTCTATAAGGACCCTACTTTGGCTTGGCTACACGAGACTGGCTCTTGAACATTCCTGTAATATACATATTATATTCCAATATTGTGATAGGATGCGATATTTACAGCCACTACGAATCTCCACCTTGGCGCTTTTAGCCACAAATATATGCAATCAGTAGTCTCCCGTGAATAACTTATGCGAGATCGGCGCAAGTCTTGGGATGCATCAGAGAGTGCTTGATTCTCTCAGTTAATCTCTCGGCATCAACTTCGAAGACATAGTTGACTTGACGAATGCCACCTGGAGCAAGAGCCTTCTGGTAAACGTGAATGTTACCGTAGTTCGGGCTGCCGTAGCTGGTGTCCACGTCGAGGTAAACTGTTGAAGCACGACTGTTAGGGCACTGTCACGAAGTGATCTCGGAGTGTCTCTTACCTGACGTCTGGTTAGTGGCAATCGTGGGATCAACCATCAGAGCCGCGGCCGTCTCATCCCAGAAGGGGAATGAGAGATCGTAGTATTTGGCAAAGAGCTGAGCGTAGGCATTATCGGCAGTCTTGACCTCGTCAACGAATTTCTGCGTAGGGAACACCTGGTTGGCGACATTTCCAGCGATAGTGATGTTGGGGAAATCCGCAGTCAGAGCGATCTTGGAAGCCTCGGGGTCGATCATGAGGTTGATCTGTAGTATCATAGGTTAGCATGCGCGTGACGCGGCCCCTCGGAGAAAATCTTACATCAGACTGATAATCAGCTAACATAATGCTACCAGTAGCCTGGAGCATATTCAAATCGAGATAGCCGCCCATAATGACAAGCTGCTTAGCAAGCGAGGCGAATTCGGGGTCCATGCGCACAGCCAATGCAACATTGGTCAGGGCACCAGCGGAATAGATAGAGACCTGGCCGGGATACTTGTGCACCATCTCAACCATGAAGTTTGCCGCAGAGGTCGAGTTGTTAGGCTTGCCCGTGGGGAATCCCTCCTTGAAGGCAGCCTTGACAATGCGGTTAGGGTCTCCTGAACTAGGATCGTTACCCGCGGCTTCGGCTGTCTGATTCTCGGGTGCAAATGCACCCTCCCACGGTAGTTTGCCGTGGATGGTCTCCCATGCTTGGAAACGTTCAGGAGTATTGATCAATGGCCAGGTAGCGCCAGGATAGACGGGGATGCAGCTCAGGTTGCCGGCCTCTAAGGTGGCAACGGCGTGCAATGCTACCTGTGGCTGCCAACTGTTGGCAGTGTCTGGGTGAATTGGTTAGTGTATTTCACTAGTGTCCATGGTGGCAAATGCTTACCCGAAGCCAAGGCCAGAACATCAATATCTCCATCGAGGGCGATCAGATAAGGCACGAATCCGGCCGTATACCAATCGTTGTCCATGATGGCATAGTGCTTTGCAATTGCTCCAGCAGCGAGCGAGAGCACCGATAAAGAAGTGTGCCAATGCATGATGACGACGTCGTGTTCTTTTTTGTTTTAAGGATGGAATATGGTCAACTTTCGAGTTAATCTGTAGCAGACAATCTCAAAAACCCTTCAACAGCACTCCTGATCAATTTCTTCCACCTCCGTTCTCTCACCGAAACCTTTATATCTGCCCTTAACCTGTTGCCTGTCCATCATCTCATCGGCCGCTGCCGATTCTCTCCATGAAAATGGATTCTATGACATCGAATATCCGCCCGATCGTTCTCCGCATACTCCACGAGCCTCCACGATCTCCCCGCATTGAACTTCCGAAAAAGAGCGCCGGTGCCTCTGGTTTCCCAAAGCAGACCATCAGACGACGACACATGCCCCATTCTGCTGGACCTAGTCTCACCCCTGGCAATTAGGCTGCTTGTCAAATCGCCGCCATTGGCTGGTTCCCACAAGACGCCGGCCAGGGTCCGTGGGGCTTCAGCCCACTCGCAGCCAAAGGCCGCCCGTTCGGTTAACCACACGCCCCACTTGGCCAGACTCCTTAGCTAACCCGCGCCCAAAGAAGGTATCATAGCCTCCGTTCCGGGTCTTTGGGGTTTAGTGTGACTGCTCCGCACTTTTTTTGCCTCCACGTTTCCGCGCTGTTTTCCGGGGCCACGCGATTTTTCTCGGGAGGCCGAGCCCGGGGTAGACTGTTTAAGTTTTCTTACAGGGCACATGGTGACCGAGCAAAAAAAAAAGCATATAACATGCATCCTTGCCCCGCCATGGTCTCGTCGATTGACTGAAGATCATCCTCGATAATTCAACCCCTTCTTCTGTGCGAAGAGAGCTCTCTCGTCTCTCTTGTCTCTGTGTCTCTGTGTTCAGAAGTTGCTGTTCTCGGGCCGAACTCTTGCTTGCACAATGGCCGACCGAACGTCAGTGGAGGTGGAGGAGTCTCCGCGTCTCCAAATCGCAAAGAAGTCCATGTGGCAATCGATCTTTGAGAACCCCAAGGTGCTTTTCATCGCATTCTTCGCCTCGTACGTTTATCTTACTATGCCGAAGATGTTCTTCGGAACCATGCCGCTGCGTACTGTTTCTCGGATGCTGACTTCCAATACAGTCTTGGCGGTTTTGAATATGGCTATCAACAGGGTGTCCTCGGACAAAGTCTTGTCATGACCCGCTTTACAGAGAACTTCCCGACCGTTGTAGCCTCGTCTACTGCGACCGGTTGGCTGACCTCAATTCTCCAAGTCGGAGGTATCATCGGTTCTCTTTCCGCCGGTGTTCTTGGCGAGATCATTTCCCGCAAGTACACCATGTTCATCGCCTGCTGCTGGGTGGTTCTGGGCTCGTATCTCTACATCGGTGCCACTGTGGGCAACCCTGCTTGCCTGTATGCTGGTCGATTCTTCACTGGTCTTGGTGTTGGCCTGTTCAGTGGTGTCGGCCCCCTTTACAACGCGGAACTTGCCGCTCCCGAGATGCGCGGTCTCTTAGTTTCTTTCTACCAGCTCGCGACTATTCTCGGTATCATGATTTCCTTCTGGGTTGGCTACGGCAGCAACTATATTGGTGGAACTGGTGAGGGCCAGTCTGATCTCGCCTGGCGTCTGCCCTCCATCATCCAGGGTATCCCAGCTGCTTGCCTGGCGTGCGGTATCTGGTTCATGCCATTCTCTCCCCGGTGGCTGGTCAAGCAGGGCCGTGATGAAGAGGCACAGACCACCCTTGCTTGGCTGCGTAAGCTTCCCCTGGAGCACGAGCTTGTCCAGGTCGAATACCTGGAGATCAAGGCCGAGGCCGTCTTTGAAGAGCGTGCTTTTGCCAAGGCTGCTCCTAAGCTGGCTGAGCGTGAGCGCCAGAGCGTATTCATGAACCAGATCGCTCAGTATGCCAACTGCGTTCGCTCTATGGATAACTTCAAGCGTGTCGCTACTGCTGGGTTGATCATGTTCTTCCAGCAGTGGAGTGGTATTGACGCGAGTAAGTCTTCCAAAACTGAATGGTTCTGTTGCAGTCGCTAACACTGATTTAGTCATCTACTATGCCTCAAACGTTTTCAAGTCGCTCGGTCTTACCGGCGGTACTATTGCTCTCCTGGCCACTGGTGTCACTGGTGTTGTCTTCCTCATCTCGACTATCCCTGCCATGGTAAGTTCGATGTTCTGTTAAAAGTCTTGCATTGATCAAATTGCTAAACGTCCCTTTTACAGTTGATCATCGACAAGGTTGGCCGCAAGCCTATGCTCATTGTTGGATCTATCGTCATGTTCTGCAGCATGGTTATTGTCGGAGTCATTGTGGCCAAGTTCCAGCATGACTGGCCCGGACACGTTGCCGCTGGTTGGACTGCCGTCGGTATGTATCCTCTCTGGATGGCCACTGGAATTTTTAGCTGACAATTTTCTCCAGCCCTCATCTGGCTGTACATCGCCGGTTTTGGCGCTACTTGGGGCCCTTGCTCGTGGACTCTCGTTTCCGAGATCTTCCCTCTCTCCATCCGTGCCAAGGGTGCCTCGATCGGCGCCTCCAGCAACTGGGTCAACAACTTTGCCATTGCTTTCTTCGTGCCTCCCATGCTTCAGGCCTGGCAGTGGGGCACTTATATCTTCTTTGCTGCTTTCCTTTTCGTCGGCATTATTTGGGTGTGGTTCTTCCTGCCTGAGACCAAGAATGCCTCCCTTGAGGAGATGGACCGAGTGTTCGGCAGCAAGAAGGGCCAGGAGGATGCTGAGCTCCTACGGGAGGCTCAGCGTGATGTTGGCTTGACTGCCTTTGTTGAGAGACTTGGCTCGGCCACTGGACGTGATATGGATAAGAAGGAGGGCTCGGACTATGTTGAGTCCGTCTAAAAAGAATGTCATACTTGATGTGGCACTCAAGAATAGTTAGCTTTGTGATGGATCCAGATGATAATTTAGGGATGTTCTAATGCAATAGTACGATGAATGGAAATGGCAGTTCATGTGAACCCCGATGTACAGTGGGGTTCCATAAGTTTAAACTCCCGACAATCATCTCATCAGTGATACTAGGAAAATAAGTGGACGGATATTTCACGAGCCATCTAGAAATGCATTTGGAGGGTCGTTTAGAAATATCTTTCCAAAGAAAGAACATTAAGACGCGTACAGCTGGACCTCTTTCTTGGTCTTTACATTTAGACTTTTGATCCATCGCGGTATTTCCCGATTAACTGGCAGGGATAGACATAAAAGACAGTTCCGTCATATCACCTTACTGTACCTACCGTTTGAAGAAATTATGCACGTGTAACAGGATCCACGCCTCACATATCAATTTCATCACATCAATCCCTCAAAGTTGCATCTCGCGCTCAGAATCAAGCATCGAGGGTCGATCGTGGCTTGCGCCTCGGGTGGCGTCCGTAGACCATCGAAAGATGACGATGCGGCAAAGAAAAAAAACCCAACCCGAAGCGGAGCCAACCGCATCGAATCGGCCTGCCCTTTTCGGCCCGCCCCACTTCCCCGACTCGCCTTGCACGTTTTGACGGCACCCTCCGCAGGAGTCTGAGCACCGTTCGGGGGGTATGGAGCCTCCAGATCGCCTGTTTTGCTTCTTTCACTTCCCCAGTCTGGGGTCATGCGTGCTATAGTCCAACAGAAATGCCTCGGAAACCCACACCTGCGGGCAAGCAGAGGGTGAGGACGGGCTGTCTGACCTGCCGCAAAAGACGACGAAAATGTGATGAACAGAAGCCACGATGTGCCAACTGCGAGGTCAAAGGATTAACTTGCAAGTATGGTGCTGATTTGGCATTCGTGCCGCCTCGGTCTAGTGAAGCTGGTGTTGGGACGAGACAGGTGTATGGCACCATTACAGTAAGTGCAGGGGACTCGCAATATGCCGAAGAATGAGCAATCCTACTAATTCGAGGATATAGTTCGTTGATGACTCTCCAGCTGCACGTGGAGCAGCGAAAGAGAAATCACAACAGTCTAGCGACGACGCGTCAGAGGTGCGAACCAGTAGTTACGCAAAATCAGAGATTTCAAATCCGGGCGATACCACTGTATATCACAATCCGCCGGAAACTCGCGCTACTTTGGACTTGAACGACATACTCACCTCAAGTATTCCGGTCGAACTGCATCAACGACCTTCGTCATTTCAGCATCCGTCGACCTCCCTCAATCGAACGAACAGATCATTCAACCAGGGGTTTAATCTTTCGCTCCTTGGTCAGATATCGCCTCGAACGACAACATTATCCAGCAGCAATCATGAAACAGACTTGCTACGACATTTCCGTTACCATATTGGCCCTTGGATCGATGTTGGAGACCCCGACTGCGCTCTAGGAATTCAGGTTCTTCTACTGTCTCGTACGAATAGGCCGCTGCAAGCAGCTATCCTAGCCTTGTCTGCGAGCCAAAGACCACTCATTGCCGTGCCTTCCCAGATTGAAGACCTCGATAGCAGCCTTCGCTTTCGAAAAGAAGCAGAGGACACTCTTGGTCTACAACCAGAATTGATTGGGCATGCTGGACGAGCGCTACTGCTCCTGCAAGATCTCCTACCGCTTGGGCTGCAGCATTGGAGGGATCTCCTCGTACCACAGATAGAGACCGTGGATGGCCTAGTGCACCCAGCCACATTGGGAGAGGAGCTAGGCGAAGGGGTTTTCTGGCTCCATTTCAGACTCGACCTCGCTGCATCGATCCTCGCAGCGAAACAACCCATCATTCCTTTCCGCTCGTACATCAACCGTGACGGCTCAACGAATCAAAATCCCCATCCTACCCTCCAGTCCCGATCTATCAACCAAGTATACAAACACGCTCTATCTCTTCTAGGTCACTGCCTGTCTCTCATATATGGAGGACCCGACGCATCTCTTCCCCAAGCTGCGACTCCCTCGGAATTCGCCGCGTTCCCTGCCTTGCAGCAGTCTCACTTTTTATCGCAGTGGACCTTTCTCTGGAGCGACTGTCAGAAATGGTACAATGAACGTCCTGTTGATGCACAGCAGATTGTTGACGTACGCGGTGGCGAAGCAGATCAAATTGATCCAAATCATGACTCGGCATTGCCTATTCTGATTTATACTACGCCAATGGCGCTGGTCGCCAACGCTGTATATCACATCACCTCGCTTCTGCTCTTGGGACATAAACCTCGACTGCTAAAATCCTTACCGGGACCACGATGCTTCACGTCACACATCTGGCACGCACAATCAATTGCCGGCATTGCAGCCAGTAACGAATCACCCGAGCAATGGGACCCTGTGCTCGTCGCGAGTCTCTTGCTAATTGCGCGGGATATGACCCACCAGTCACAGCAGACAGTATTGATGGGGATATTTCGCAAGATCACTGCTACCACTGGGATTAAGTTGGACCACGAGACAGAAGCGCTTCAAGCCGTGTGGAAGACTGCACGATTTGATGAGGATTCAGATGAGATGGATATGTAATGTCATTTCTATCATGTATACTCCAAGACGCCACGTCCCTTTATTTTGTATAATAAGTCTCTCAACGATATATCTTCCCATTGATTCTTTCACTCTAGGTCATACGCAAAAGGGATGCTTTGCATTGCCCCTCGTGCAACGACGCACCTCGCGGCCGCGGCATTGGCCTTCTTCACGGCACTCTCAATCTCGATGTCAAATGTTTCCAGGGGCTCACCCTTGGCAAGGAAACGTGCCAAGGCTGTTGAGAAGTATCCCACAAATGTGTCCCCAGCAGCAGTGGTATCAACCACCTTGGGAACTCGCACTCCTGGCACAGAACCACGACGACCGGTGCGAGTCGAGTAATAAACACCCTTCGCGCCCAAAGTAATCAAAACAATCTGCACATCAGCAGTGTCATGGAAGTGCGGTGCAAGCTCCTCAGGCTGCAAATCATCTAGCTCCGTCGGCTGAGTCGAGTCGGAGACAGGCAGACCAGCAATAGACCTCGACATCTGCACAGCCTCAGTCTCATTCATGATAAGCACAGAGGTATGCTTCAACGCAGCCAGCGAAATGCCCCCAGGATAGACAGGCGCTGGATTAAAGACAACATGCACCCGATCCTCAACCGAAACACCACCATTAAAATACTCCAACAATCCCAACGTAGTCTTCCGCGGAATCTCACCCTGCAAAACAACCACACCAGGTCTAACCTCCTGCTTCTTAACCACATCCACAATCGACACAACATCCCCCATCATACCCGCATGATTCGCCCCGGGCACGACAAGAATGCGATTCTCGCCACCGACAGCATCCTCAACGATAATCGTCGCCGAGCCCGTCTGCGCCTCAGTCGATTCTTCAATATCCGCCGTGCTGACGCCTGATTTTTCTAGTGCGGGCTTGAGGAGTGTTGAGTAGTAGACGTCGTTGTCGCCGACGGCACCGATCATGGTGACGGTTGCATCTTGGGTTTCATTGTTTGTGAAGGAGGCGCGGCCGCAGGCTGTGGCTTGGTTTCCGCCTTTGCCACCGGCTGTGACGGTGAGGGAGGTTGCTGTGAGGGTTTCGCCTGCTCCGGGGCAGCGGGGGGTAGATGTCACGAAGTCGATGTTTAGGGAGCCGATGACGCAGATGTGTGGTCGTGTGGGCTTGGAGGTCATGGGGTCTTTGATACCCATTTTGGCAGTTATATGGTGTTGCTAAATTGCGGGTGTTGTACGGAGGTGGGAAGGGAAGCAATATATCACGGTGATGAATGCTAAGAAACACGATTGTAGCGATGAGATGGGGAGAGTTGAACTATGTATAAGGCGATAGGCCCTGCAAGTCCACTATAAGTAGTATACCCCAATCTTCGTCTACAATTTTTTGTTATCGCAAAATAATCTGGAGATATTCACCGAGAAACAATGACAAAAGAGGCGTGCATAGGCTACGACGCAACAAAAGCGGTTAGTCTACCGGTTAATCACCAAATTAGGCTTAGCGCCTCGCCTCTCGGGTTCCCGATCGGGATGTCCTCGGCTTCAACTCCAACGGGTTGTGGGGTTGTAGCGCTTGTCTTCGGATATCAGAGGCATGTCACTCCGTACATGAGGTAAGTATAGTAGATATTTGTGTCATTGGAGAGTTGTCACGTGGCCCGAGGAATCTGGGGATTCTTGGAGAATCGCGCTAACCAGATAAGGACAGGAACTTGTCCAGATGCCAAGACTTTGTATACTGTTGACATGGCTTGGAAGAGGAGAGTTGACGCTGTTTACCTCGGTCTCCTGGATCACTGCTCACGGAATTCGTTATTGTCATTCACAGATTCCTAATAATGTGATGTTCCTGATCAAGAAGACTAGCAGGTCTTTGCTTGGCGGTGCATAGATGAACTCATAGTAAATTCCATCATGGTATATGCCCCATAGATTCATACAAAGCATTTTGAGCTAGAAGTCTCATTGTATACGATAATTCAATCAAATCTAATATTATGGGCTTTATTAACTTCAAGAGTGATGCCCACTCGATAATTGATAAAATGGTCAACTTGGAGGGCAAGAGCTTCATTAGAGAGGCATTTAACCTCAGATCAGTAAACAAGCCAATGTCCCTCCCATCAAGAAAATTCCTTTACTTAGAGGAAGGAAACTCCTTAAATTCCATGCGGCGTTACCAAAGACCGACTCTGTTTGTCTGCCGGTGGCCGCGGGGAAAGAGAGAGGTCAAGTGAGAGAAAGGCCAACCCTCCTCCACCATTCAACTTCAACTCTTCAACCTCCAACTCTCCCACCTCGCATCTCTCATCAACCCAACTCAATCTCATTATTCGAAAATCTACCCAAGTCTTCCTCCCATCCCAGCCTACACTTTGTCGAAATGACAGAGAGCAACGAGAACACAGCTTCTCGACCGTCTCCCCCCACCGGCAACGCCTCCCTTCCCAATCCTCTGAATCGTCGACTTCTGGTGGATGTCATATCACCCCTCCAAATCTGTCAGAAATAGCAAAGGCCCCGTCACCTCCATTAAACACGATCGACCCAGAGTCTGCGGCTCTGATTCGCCAACTTCTCCGGCAAGACGTCGATGAGATTTCGAATACGGGCAAAGGCAAGCAACCGAGTCGAGGACCCAGCGATACAGAGCTAGCACTTGAACACTTGAATAACCAGCTTCGAGAGCAAGAGCAGCTCCATCAGGACCTTGTCCTGGCGCGGAGCCTAGATAGGGCTGTGCAAGATGATGGAGCAGCCATCGCTCTATTTCAACAGGAAGAGGCTATGGCACGAGCAGATCGCCAGTTGGCGTGTCGCCTTGCCCGGATAGAGTGTGCACCAGAGCTGATGGAACAAGAACCCTTTGATGCGGAGACAATGTATCGCATGAACGCTGCAACTGCAGGTCCAAGTGGAAGTGTATCACGAGGCCACACCAATACGGGAGACGCCAGGCCATCAGAGCAAGCAAAACGCACAAGGACCTCACCGGACCCGGCGACTCCTGGCCCAGGTGATGCATGCCCTCAGAAGCGTTTGCGAGCCCAGGTGCCGGAGTCGTCAACTCTGGCTGAGCGATCACGACCGCCCGCCGCCCCTCGAATCGTGTGTGTTTCATGCAATGAGTCCTACGAGCCAAGGGATATTTTTCGAGCATTATGTACACATGATTATTGCACCGCATGCCTGGTCAAGCTGGTTGAGCACGCGCTTCTTGACGAGACTCGATTCCCCCCTCGCTGCTGTGGACGGACTCTTCCTCTATCCCTCATTCGTACTCATATCGGCCCTGAGCTGACACAGAGACATGAGGAAAAGACAATCGAGCAAGCTGATCTTTCCAAGACGTATTGCTCTAATAAGATCTGCTCTGCGTACATCCTCCCAGATCGAGTGTCAGGGTACATTGGGACATGCAGATCGTGCCAAGTTAAGACCTGCACGATTTGCAAGGAGGAAGCGCACGAGGGAGATTGCCAGCCAGCAGCAAACGAGCTTCTAGAACTTGCGGTAAAGCAAAAGTGGCAGAAATGTCCCTGTGGGCATGTTATTGAGCTCAACATCGGCTGTAATCATATCACGTACGTATAGCCCTATCCCCGGTCCACCTGCTGATTCCAGCCACACTAATACACGGTGGACATGCAGTTGCCGGTGCGGTCGTGAGTTCTGCTACGTTTGCGGGAAACAGTGGAAGACATGCGAGTGCGCGACCTGGGAGGAAAATCGCTTGCTCGAAGCACGGGCTCGACAGGCAGCCGCACCCCGGCGGAACGCCGTTGTCAACCAGCCAGCTGTTCAGCCAGCAGCGGCTGCTGCTCCTCAGCAACAGGTTGTCCAACCGGCAGTCGCACCAGCTCCTCAGGTGCAAGTTTGCAACCATCCCGGCCGATGGCCTCGTGTTGATGGAGAGCACGAGTGCCAACTCTGCGAAGACATCATGGAGGAATACATCCTCCAGTGCCCGGGTTGCGGATTGCAAGCATGTGTAAGATGCAGACAAGAACTTGATTGATTTCGTTGTTAGTTCTGTGATTCGACCGCGAGATGAAGAGCTGCTGTGAACTTGATCTGTAAGACAATGCTATTGTTAAGTGGGCGTGTTGAAAGTTTGAATTTACATGAGATAGGAAGCAAGAGAAAGGAATCGGAGTTGCATGGATTCGAGCATCTTATGCGAACGTGATGGGGTCGGAATTTCTTTTCTTATGAACAGACTAGCATGTCCTTACAGCCTTATGAATCAATCCGTTGGTGTCTTTGAACTTGGTAGATAAAGCTATTCGATAATAGATATCCTAAGAATATAACCCCCCCCCCCGGGAACTCCATCACAGTGCAAGGCCAGTCCAGTCACCCATTTTGCCCAACTCCTCAAAACGACAGCAAGAAAGCGAATCCATTCCCTCGCCACTCACCGCATGTGAACATAAAACAGATATCGCTGCCGAATCTGAGCAATATCGTAAACGATATACTCATTGTACTGCAAGTACACATTCGCATCCTGCCTCTGCACCGAACCCACCCCTACATCCGGAATCTTCACTCCCATCAGATTCTCATTCACGACACCTGCGTCCTTCCATCCACCAGGGATACTAGTACCCATTCCCAGCGTCGCAATCTTGCCCTCACTCTTCGCATGCTCGCCGGCAAGGTAATCACTACCTGCGAGCTCGAACATGGGTGAGCCCAGTTCAGCATCGCACAGCAGGAGGAGGCCCATGTTGGCGCTGTTGTAGGCGCAGCAGTAGTTGGCAGATTTGCTGGACGTATCGGCGAGGTAGACACCTTTGCCGAACATGTAACCGTTGACGGGGGCTTCGGGGGGTGCGATGCGGAGACCTTGGCTGAGGATGCCGCCGAAGTTGGTGCTGCGGGACCCGTGCCAGAGGAGGCGGCGGTCGCTGTCTTGGAGGTTGGCGAAGGGGGAGTTTGTGAAGCGGTCTGTTTCCCCCTTGCGTTCGATCCGGAAAATGTCGATTACCTCGTACTCTAGGTGGTGGGTTGCGCCGCGGGAGTTGTTCAGATAGTCGGACAGCTCGCTGAACTCGGTTGATTTGCGGTCCACTTGAAATAGTTAGTCTGTGGTCTTGTAGTATCAAGTGATGCTGTACTTACGGCGCGTCATCTCCTCCATATCCAGGCTCTGGAACTGGCGATCGAGCGGGTGGATCTCGTCTGCCTCCTTCGAGTCCTTCAGGATCTCATTGGCAACATCCATATCCGTCAATGCCTCCAGAAGCTCGACTTCCTTCCGAATCATAGCATCGGAAGCCAAGACCGGGGTCGGTTACGGCCGAAGACGTGTGGGATCAAGGTGAAGTACCGATTGCTCAAGTTCTCCTGAGCAGGTCCAAGGCTAGTAGCATACCGAGAACTAGCAAGAGCTGGGTCGACCAGCAACTCGGCCAACTCCTTCAGAACGGAGAAACCGGCCTTGAGTGTTCTCTCGCTGAGCTTTCCCAGTGGGAGCTTCTGGGCATCGTAAGACATAGATGCCAGAGCAGAGTTGATGTGCTGCTGGTTGAAGATGAACGCCATCAGATCCTGGATTGGCTTCTCCAATTTGCTCTCCGGGGGAGGTAGGTCATCGGTAGGCTCCTTCTTGACACTCATTTTCTCTTTCTCCTTTGCGGATTCTTCATCGTCCTCTTCGTAGTTGCGCTCGAGGAAGGTGTACTTGTTATTCTTGGGGGTGTCGAGGCGGTTGTTCCAGGCAAGGCCGCTCTTGTCCTTGAACTTCTTCTCAAAAAACTTCTGGGCGTCCGGCAGGGAACCATCGCCTAGGCATGCAGACTGGCCATGCTCACCGACACGTCCCCACCGGGTCCAAGTCACGAAGTTCTTGGTATCAGCGGTGGTGAGAATCTGAATGCGGTAGAATTTATTGTTGTTGGCAGTGGAGTTTGTCTGGTTCAGAGTGGCATCCCAAATCAAGCCCGATTTGGCAATGTACACCTGAGGATCTGCGCAGAAGGGTTAGCTGTCTTCCAATTGCGGCAAGAATATTGCGCAGCCACTCACTCTTAAAGTTGGGCTTCTCATAGATAAAGTCCTCATCCACGGGAACTTTCAAAGCCTTGGAGGTGGCTTTTTGAGAGTTCTTCTGCTTCTTGTTGGACTTGTCTGCGGATTCATCGTCGTCCTCTGCTTTGATGGCTCGCTTCTTGTCGGTCTTTGCCGCTCCTGCAGACTTGGCGCTCTTTGTGACAGCTTTCTGATCATCTCCGTTGGCATCTTGACTGGCAGCATCATCTGCCTTTTTATCGGCGGCCTTTGTAGCGGCTTTCCGAGTGGGACGCTTGCCATTCTGCTTGCTGTCATCATTTGCATCCTCACCATTGGCTCCATTAGCGGCACTGCCCGCATCTAGCAAATAGGGCTTTTCGGCTATCGGCTTGTTCTTGCTAACCGATTCTACCAGCCAGTCAATTGAGACAATTTGACATGTGGCAGACTTGACGGCTGCTTGGTCTGTAGTCATTTTGTCAACATCGAAATCCCGCGCTATGTGGAAGCAACATTCAAGTTATCAGGTCAATTCTCACATTTGGTGCCCTTTTTCTCAATATCCTTGGGCGTCGTGATAAGATGAGTGCAGTGATCCGTGACCGAGGAGCTAAACGTGGCGCCCTGTTGTTCCACGAGAGCCTTAATGTCGGCTGCAAGGAGAAACACGGGTCAGCCTCATCTCCACTTTCGCGTGGGGTCAGTGTTTTTCCCCGAGATCCGGGATCATCTCCTTAGTCCTTACCCTGCTTGTAACCGGCAAACGTGCCGCTGACGGCAATGACCAAATTTTTGAAAGACCGAGGAGCCATTGCGTTTGGTGTCAAGTCAACAAGCACGGGGGGTATGGGAAGTGAGTTGAGGAAAAGGGGAGACGGTCAGGGCCGAGGGAATACGAAGGTGTGCAGTAGCGTGGTCGAGGGGGAAACCAGAAACTCCAACGCTATGCACCGAGGACTCAACCGAGTCAATTGGAGGAAGGAAAAAGTACGATACACAAAATAAAAGAGAGAAGACGAGGCACTGGGCTGGGAGGGTTTTTAAAGCTCAAGTATGAGACATCAAGCACTGTTGACACCTGAGAGATCAGGCTCTCAGGGGGGGGCTGCTGCCTGGCCACTCGTCAGGCAACACCCGCCAAGTGGGGGCAAACCGGCCAATCAAAGTGAGATAGAGTAAATGTCGTAGTCGCGTGTTAGACGTTGCTCCTCCTTCTTACCTTGTTCGTCTCAGAGCAATCCAAGGACCTGGGGCTGGTAGTCTTGTCAAGATCCTCAAGTGCACTAGCGGACTGCGTAGCCACTATCGATCTAGGTGGCGAGCATTGTAATAAGGGGTGAGAAAGAGAGAGAGAGAGAGAGAGAGAGAGAGAGAGAGAGAGAGAAAGTGTGTGTGTGTGTGTGTGTGTGTGTGTGTGTGTGGCTGATTAAAACTTTCGAACACTCAGGTATATCGCACCTCGAGTAAATTTATAGAACGAAATGCGATGCGGGTAATGGGCGTTTCTCTTTCGGAAAACGGAGAATTTGAAGGAGGAGATAAAAATTGAAAATAATTATGAAAATACATCAATATATTGAGCAAAACAATGAAAATTTTCGGAATGGAAATATAGATATGTAAGATCTAGTGAACAGAAGATGAGAAGATCATAAACGATCTAAAGTGTGAAGAGAAAGACAGGAAGAAAGACAGAGCAAAGAAATGGAAGAGAGAATGCGAGAAATATAGAAGGTCAGGAGACAGTTCCCAGCCGATTGACACAAGTTACAGTGATCGAAATCCTTATTGCCCAATTGTAGCATCAATTTTCTCCAAGATCGCATCGCGGTATAGTTCCATTCCAGGACTTCGTGGATGGAAAGCCTTGATTTGCCGGGTAGCATACCAGTCCGAAACATCCTGCGCGTTGAAATCTCCATCTTTAATGCCCTGGGAGGCGTTTCCATATGACCATGCTATCGGTGAGTCCGGGTCTTGGGTGAGAGTGATAGAAGCAAGGCATAGCCATTTCTGCCATGGATCTGGATCCGAACCAAGCGCTGTTTTACAATTTGATGGGTCCGGCAGATTGATCCCATTTTGCTTGAGATAGGAAATATCACTCGCATCTGACGAAGTCACAGTATCGCCATCATAAGGGAGATCGGACCAGCCGCTCAAAAAGAAGTAAGTGTTCGGAGCGCTCGAGTCAGGCTCATGAATTCCTTGCTCACACCAGCGGTGCGAGTAGAATTTGCTTTGGACATCAACGTAGTACACTCTCGTGAAACCAGCTTCAGTATTGGCATCTTGAACGGCAGCCATGATTACATCGTTGAGCTGAGAGACCAGCAGATTGAGTTCTGCGCGAAGAGAGGTTGTAAGGTAGACAACGCGGTTCAACCACGTATCAGTTGGAGGCTTGTAGCCACTCCAGAAATAATGAAAGGTGCTTTGGTCACAACCCGTGGTGTCTTGGTTGAAGAACTCGGGATAACCAGTGATAAATAGAGAGAGATCAACTTGTTCGACCTTGTCCAGGATCTGCTTGTAGAGAGTTTTGAGCTTGTACCGTAGGCCGTTCTCTCCTTGGTCATTCATCAAAGCGCGTGCCTTGTCCTCGGCATCAACGCACCATTGGCGATAAGTTGATCCATAGTGCCAAGTAGCTGGGGTCACGATGCAATTCCAAACGATATCAGAAAAGCCAAGATCGTTTCCGCCCATAGTCAGAGTGGCCAGATTTGCAGAAGATTGACTACTCCATTCTTGAATTTGACGTCCCAAACCAGTTGTGGTGTCACCTGAGCAGACTTTCTTTTCGATGGAAACAGAACTATCTTGGAGTTGCTGATAAATCAGGTCACCGTAGTTGTACTGACCTACACGACACTCGTCTGTCGTTGTTGCCCCGGTGCCCATTCCTGCCACAAAGGAATCCCCAAATGAAACCACACCATAGATTTCGAATGCACTCCCGTGATCAGACATAAGGGGGTTATACTGTACACACCCCGAAATTGCTGCTGTCGACAGCTCAGAAACAGATTGAGCAGACACAGGGTTGGGCGGAACGAGTTGAACTTCAGTGCCAACATTTTCACTGAAGAAAATACCAGCTGCAACAACGGCCCAGGTATCCGCATTGGTCTTTGAAAAGTCCGCATTACAGACCCCATCCTTTGTAGGGTCGTTGGGATCTGCACAAAGGTTTCCCTTGAGACCAGCGTAAGGCTGGCACCCTCGGTTGAATGTACCCTCGGCAAGCAGTTTGCAACTCTCCCATCCGTATGCAAAATCTTTGGCCTGAGGCGAGTGAACTGGACTCTTCGCAAATTTGGAATGGGTCATTTCGTGAAGAAGGACAGCAGACCGCGTGTGATGTGCATCTATAATGCTTGCTGGGGGGGTTTGGAACTTATCGAACATGGCTGCTATTTTGCTATTTTGGAAGAATCCAGGGCAGATATTCATTGTTTTTCGGCCAGCATTCATGAACGCAATGTCGGGCGTTGAACCTGTACATGGTTTTGCAGTGAAGTTACAAGTGATCTGGAGACCAAACTGAGAGCCATCCAGCATCAAACCAACTTTATTGATAGGACAATAGCCGTAACCACAAGCGTAGGAGCACAGCCCGATGGAGTCGCCTTCACCTGTTCCAGCGATACATGCTGGTGACAGGAAATCAGAGACCGTGGGAATTGGCATAGCATGCTCGACAGTATCACATGTCTTGCTTGGACAATATCCGTAATTGCAAGCAAAGCTGCAGAGGCATTCGTAGTTAGCATCTCTGCCTTCCGCGGGATATCCAGTAATTCCTGTCGCGTTAGGCTTGGTGTGAGCCGAACCTATTTGCTCGCAGGTACAGGCGCCAACAGGACAGTAGCCGTAAGAGCAAGTGAAGTCACAGAGATCGTTAAAGTCATAAGCTCCTTTACCCTTGGTACACTGCTGACCCTCAAGATCAATGGTGGCACTGTGGGGAAGTGATCCTTCTAACATTTACTTACTGAGCCTACCTAATATTGATCCCCTCATGAAAGTGGCGGCGGACATTATCATATATTCACAGAGGCATATAAAACTCCACAATGAGAGACGAAGGATCTTGACGTGAATATACGCCTAGGTATAGGTTTATAGAAATAGTGTGAACTAACAGAGTCGCCGCGAACCAGTCATCACGTTCTCTAATGCATAGTCTTTATCCAGGATTCAAAGCTACGCTAGTGCTCAGATGAGGCTACAACTCAGTAGAGTTCCCGTTCATATCTAGCACTCAGTCAAGCCTCGAAATCAAAGAAGGTTCTACCAAGTTGAGAATTCTAGATCCGGAAACGGAGATCAGAGATCACTGACCTCATGAGATTCAAGTTATATGAGAGACAACGAAACGAAAAGAAACGAAAAGAACTCCAGCAGAAAAACGCCCCACGCATGGAACACAATGAATAAAGTAAAAAGGAAAAGACAAGGTCAAGAAACTCGAAACCATGTGCGTAACGAAAAAAGAAGATGAAAGTGAAAATGAAAATGAAAATAATGATAGAAGATGCGCATCAAATGTATCAAATGCAAAGACGTAAAGAGAGAAGAGCGCTATACACGAAAGCCTCAACCAAGACATCGCGAGGTCCAAAAAGGGAATGGAATCAAATAGACGAGATTTCTCAGGCATGCGATGATGCAGATTGAATTATAAATTACCCACAAGAATGACAACCAGATTTGAGGCGGGATTTGAATATCCAAAAGCCGATGCGAAACGGGCATATGGGGAGTAAGAAATGAAATGAATTGTGATGGGGAATCATGGCGTGTGGGATGAGACGGGTCAAGACCAGACAAGGCGATGTGAGATTTGCATGAGACGTGATGAAAATGCAGAAAGTAAATGAATTGCAGGCTCAGAAAATGACGAAACGCTTTTGTTTCGCTTTATCCGCTATTGAGTCAAGTTAGTTTCGAGGGTTGCTTGCTAGATTTGGTCAGGGCTTACCTTGACTATTTGCATCGCCCTTGCGGAACCTCCCTCCAGAGCGAGCGGCATGCGCTGGATTCGCCCCGTCGGCTGCGGCACGAATGGCTGCGATACGATGTTTGGCACGCTCGTCACCCTGGTCTGCGGCCTTGACGTACCAGACGTTCGCCTCGAGCGGGTCGCGACGGCAGCCAATGCCCATCTCAGTGAAGTAGCCAACAGCGTACTGTGCCTTGGCAAGGCCTATGATTCAAACATTAGAACAAAACACGGGGTGCAATTAACTGGGGAATGAAAGTGCACTCACCAAGAGCAGCAGCACGCGTAGCCCACTCGTACGCCTCATTCTCATCTTTCTCAAGCACAGGCTCCGCGCCCACGAGATACCACGCACACAGCGCCATCATGGAAAGTGGATGCTGTCCGCTCTGCGCAGCCGATGTGTAAAAGTGGATGCTGAGCGCGGGATCACGCGGGCAACTCAGTTTACCATGCTCGTACGCATCACCCAGACGGTACGCAGCCTCGACATGGCCCAATTCTGCAGATTTAGTGAACAACTGCGCGGCATAGGACTCGTCCATGAAAACATCGTCTCCATAGCCGGTCTCGTGCATGACACCTAGTTCGTATGGCGCGGAATTATACTGTGAGTCTGAGGATTCTGCTGCGCGCTTCATCCAAGTGATGCCGTCGCGGTAACGCTTGCCCAAACCCATATCACCAGCCAGACAAGCTTTGGCCATACGGAGCATGGCGCCCGGGTGATTCTTTGATGCGGCCTGTCGGTAGAACTGGACTGCACGACCTCCATCAACGCGGACGCCCCAGCCAAACTCGTAGCAGAGCGCCGTACGGTAGCACGCTTCGACGTGGCCGTGTTTGCTGGCTGCGAGGAAGGTGGGGAAGGCGCGTTCATAGTCTTCTTTGCCTTTATTGAATAGTCCCGAGGCGTACCCGTCCGCGAGATAGTACTGTGCAAACGGGTAGCTGCGGTCTGCGAGACGTTGGAGAATAGATTTCGACTCGCGCATGAGCCGTTGGCGGGTGATGGAGGTAGAGTCTTCGAGATCGACGGAGGGCATCTCACGCATGGAGTTGATCATGAACACGGCGAATTCGTATTGCACTGCGGGCTCGTCGGTTTTCTTGACATTTGCGAGGTACATCTCGAATGTTTGCTTGTGGCTCAGCAAGGAGGCATTGTTGCCGACGGCGGACCGGAGGAGCGCATTATCGAATTGCGGGGCTGTAGGGCCAGCTTGAGGGTATGATGTGTTTAGCAGATCCAAAACTGAGAGTGAGCGATTATCCGGAGATGCGGTAGAATTGCGTGATGATGATCGGCCCTGCATATACGGCGATGCAGAGAGATTGCGGCGGTGGTTCCCACGACCTACATCCGACGTCGAAGAGTAATTTGACAGGGGTCGTGAAACTCGAGATCGCCGCACAGCCAGATTACCCGTCGAACCAGAAGGTTTGTCCGCCAAGTTCATTCCCAACGTGGATTGCCGCACATTGGATGCACTCTGCTGCTGTTGCTGGTGATGATAGGTCAGCGGCTCGTAGCCATCTGAAGTCTGTGCCACACTTTCCAAGCTACCGCGCGAGGAACTATTATGGCTCAATCCCTCTTGCTCGCGCAAGGAACCGCTTTTCTTCGGATCCTGGTCATCTTCCTTCACTTGGTTTTCAACCACTGACCACGACCCGCTGCTGGCCGGGGTATGACCGTACGGATGCTGCGACGCATATTGCGGGGCTTGCATGGAGTCTCGCCTTGGTGGGAATGCCGGATTCCAAGGTTGTCGTGGCTGTGCATGGTCCTCGATAGACATGTTCATGAATTCGGGAATCTCCAGCTGTGGTGGTTCGGGCACATTGACAAAGTGCTCGATCTGGGCGGTGGATGCCGGGGGGATTTTAGCGCCATAGTCGATTCTGACCGGAGATCGCGGGGAATCTTGAATGACTGGCGTGGTCTCGGAGTCCGGGGTCACCACTGAGATGGGTTTACGCGCAAGTTGGCCGCCCTGGGAGCGCTGGGGAATTGTGCGTGGGGTTGCCTCGTGGGAGGGGGAGGGGAACGGAGGCGTTGATCGGAGGTATGCTGGCGGAGGGGATGGGAGGGGAGGGTGTTCGGCAGCCATGGAAGAGGCCATGTTGAGCCCGGGGATATGCTGCGATGCTGCGATGCTGCGAACGAGATGCGGAATTGCGAGCTATCCAGCGAGGGTGTCGAGCTCCGTGTGGGATATCTCCCAGCTTGTGACTAACGACGGCGAAAGGAGACGGGGCGATCCAAATTAAAACGAGTGAGGCGAGATGACGGGAGCACGGGGCAGATCGGCTAGGCAGATTGCGACATGAAAAGGCACCGAAGAGGACTAAAAGAGATGGAAGAAAGAGAAAATCCAAGTTGAGATCGATTCCAACCCGATCGCGGCGGTCTTCTCCTTTCTCCAAGTCTGGGGAAAAGAGAAACAGGGTTTCCAATGAAAGCTCGAATGGGTCGTGGAGCCTGGGATAGTCGAGGGTCGGGTAGCCCCAGTAGTCCCTGGTCGTTTATTCGTTCAGTGCCAGGTGGAGGTGAACCGGATAGCAGAGCTACTGTAGCAGCGCAAAGTTAGCAGGAAGAGGGGGAGATGCGGGTGAGGATTTCAGAGGAAACCGGATTTACCTGGCTCAGTTCCTGCATGGAAAAGAATACAACGAAGGTAAGGTTGCGGGACAAATTTTCATGAAGCGAGGGGAGGGGGTGTAGATGAGTGGACTAGTTAACTACCTCCCCGTGATCATCCAAGGGCAAGGCCACTACTCCCAAGACCAGTCGTGCACTAAGCTGAGTTGTCCAACTCCTGCCTAGGAATAATCTATTCCTCTGATTGAATAATAATTGAAGAGTTTAGTCAAGAACTGAAAAGGCCCGCCCATCCAGCCAACGGCGTTAAAGCACGCCCCCTCCAGGGTCGCCTCCACTCGCGGCCATCGCTACGGTTGACTACTCCCCCTCGATCGATAAAGCTTTACGAGGTTTGGGGTCAAGGTTTAACTTGGGCCGTCCTATGGAATGGCCCGTCGGAAAGGTCTGGGATTCTTGATTTCCTACTGGGATATCCGTGACTCTTGGAGGATATCTGTTGGCTATCGTTATCGACCGCCTGTAGAAGTAGATCTCGTTATCAGAATCAAAGATGATGAAATTCTACTAGAATTGGTAGGCTGCTAGACAGTAGCCGCGGTGGTCAAAAAAAAAAAAAGGAAAAGGAAAAAAAACCCGAACATCATGCGGCGCAGAAGTGGGGGCAACTATTATTATGTGAGCCACTGAATCAGGTCAATTCGATCCCCCATACTCGGTACTCCGTGCTGGGTCCCAAGTGAATGACTCTGACTAGTGGACGGAGGTACCCTGTACGGAGACAGGACTGCACTTGCTCTGCATTGGAGTCGACTACTGCAAGAAACTTGGCGGTTTCTATTCTTATGCCCACACCACGCCTCGTCCGGTCTTACTCTCCTCTTCCTCGTATAGCGCGGGCTGAAAAAAAAAGGCTGAATGGAGATCTCAACCCGTCTCCTCTTTGCAGCTCCTGGACCCAATTAAGCTGTTGAATATGGAGAACCTCATCGCACACCATTCTCCAATAAAAGGCCCCCTCGCCGACCCATCCGAGGACGCATCCAAGAGCTGCATAGCTCTGCTTTGTACAACCAGGCCAGGATCGGATCTGTGATCCACTGGCCCCACCAACAAACACGCGGGAGTGTGCACCTTGGTTCAGTTAGTCCTACAGTCTTGGAGCCAGGCAGAGCCCGATGCCGATGGGAAATCGCCAAACCCACATTCTGGGCACAGATGGAGGCTTTTCAAAGGCCTCGGGTACGACGAGATCTGGTTGGTTCTCGGTATCGACGTCTGAGCCCTTCCCGTGCGTTCTTTTTCTTTCTTTCCTATTCAGCCTCCGATTAGCGAGATGGAAAAAGGTTCAAAGTTCAGCTCCCGCGCCACTGCCAGAGACTCCGAGTGGGCAGAGCATGGCAAACGGGTCGCCAGTGAAGAAAACTCATCCGCTTTGGCGACTCTGGAATAAACACGAGGAAATAGATTGCATCCAGACAGACCTGCGTCGAGGCTGGCCTGTCCAGTGCGTGGCAGCAACTAGGTCATAGGTTCAGTAATCCACGATCGCATGAGCTGGACATGATCCCATTCCATCCGGAGGATAGAGTACAGCACATTCCGCACTCCGTCATGACCCGTATGGAAGGCAGCGTGGACTCTGGCGCCACGGTTCACACCGTAGCCGCTGTGATGAGACAATCTGACACTGGCGGTCAAGTCAGCACGAAGCCAACGAAAAGCGTCGAGATCCCCTTGGCGAAGCAACATTGCTTCTGCGTCTGCGCGTCGTCCGGATTTTCCAAGATCCAGGTGCCAGGTGCAGAAAGATCCAACAAGGGAAATAGGGAGGAATTGAGTTTTGTCGATGCCTCTCCTGCGAGGCTGGTCGTCGGGCGGTTTGGGTGGTGTGTACCTTGTTCGCTCGCACGGCCCGATCCACTGGCCCTCTTACCTCGTCTATACTATGTACATCACGTACTATATATAACATCGACCTCCTTGCTGCGTGTACGTACGCCGATGAGTGAATAGAGAGCAGAATTTTCTGGATTTGAACACGAATACATGATCTACTAGCCTCTATATGACGATGTTCTCGCCACCCCATCAGGGCTTCTTACTATCGTCAAGACAAGTGTGATACTCTACACCCATCACATCCTGTAGTCCAGTTGGTACTGTAGAACGGTGCAACATGCCTCCTTTGCCCCATCGTGCCGCATACCAACGCCACACCCCTCCCGATCACCAGTGTCAGATGCAAAGATCCACCGCATTCCAGTCCGAGCTGGAGAACGTGGTCACCATGCGCTGCACCGCGCTGCATAAAGGGATACCAGCACAGGATGCTCGCAGGCCGACCAGTCGATTCGGGTTCCAGGGCGTCCAAGGATACTGTATAGAGAGATCTTGCAGGGCAATGCCTACCAGAGGTCCAATGCAGTCTCTAGACTTGAAAAATAGCCAGTCTTGCGGTCGTTTAATGCAAACCGTTAAGACCCCGACCAAGTCCTACTGGTCGTACTTTGCATGTAAATCAAGCATCAAGTCTGTCAGCGCAGCTCCGCCCCAGCAGGGCGGACCAAGTGCCGCGATGATCGCCCGTCCATTATTTGTCGATCTCATCGTATGGTGCTCGAGCGCAGGGGCAGAAGCGGCGAATTGGCGAATTGGCCCCCTGTTTGCTGGAGAGTTACGTCGGAATTATTATCGAACACGAACATTACGAGCTTCGTTGTTTGTACGACGAGAGACACGAGAGCCTCAACGGTCTGGACGCCTCGATTATATTGTTAATGCTAGTTAGCCGAGTCGCAGCTGGAATAAGAATTATTGAGAAGTCACTATGACAATTTGTAGACAGGAGATACATACATGTAGACAGCTATATAAATTGACATCCTGCAAGGTATATCTCGCTAGCAGCAATTAATAGCGAGCTATCGTCTACTCAGTCCACCTTGAATTGAATGATTTTTTGTTGGCTTCTTTAACGCTCGCTGTGCTTCGCCCGTTTTGCTTCATGGATTGTTGCGGGGAAGCCGCTGAATGACATTTACGACAAGGCCTTAGCAGCATGGCTCGTATTTGCAGGGATGTACAGCTCACGGGGTTCGCTGGCGCTATTTATTTCCAATCTAGAGCGTATACGGGATTATAGCGAAGAATCTTCCAGGCAGGGAGGATAGATTGGAAGCGATAGATCAGATAGCGGAGGAGTTGTGCAACCAGTATGCATAATTATAATCAATCGTTATGCGGAGTACCTATGGCAAGAACTGGCTATCACAGTTGGAGCGCAAGGTATAGGTATAGCGGGCACGGGCCAGTACCAGAGCGCAAAGTCTTCAGGATTATCAGTATCGATTCGGGTCATTATCGACCGTTCTACGTCCTTTCCCCCAGTGAGATTCCCACCAAGTCTGGGTAATGATTTGGGTGGGGGATATGGGAAGTAGTAGTAAGACAACGTCGACGTTTCTGTCTCTGGTAAGCAGCCGAAAATAGCAACCCCGTGACCAGCAGACTTTATTGAGTCCCCGATCAAGTTAGTCCCCATCATCTAAACCAAAGACGCCCTCGGCTTGATCTTCCTCAGCACGACAGCAACCGAGCCGGGCCTAGCCTTGAGGGGAATAGCGCCGCCTGCTTGGCGCCGTGTGATTTGTTCCCACGGCGCACTTGGCGGAGCTCCACGGGTCGAGGCACCAATCACCCGGTGATTGGTGGGATGCGGAGGGTTTGTGTACCAGCCCATTGCCCCTAGCGACAACCAGGAGATTTGAGGGTTGCAGTTGTTCATTTAGGGGGTTTTGCTTTGGGTGATTGGGGTTTGATGTCCACAATTTAGTGGTCCGCAGGGTAAAAACAGTCAGATCTGGAGAATCGACCAGAATATAGTTAGTTGAAGCGACACTTATCAGTAATGTCAGCATAATAACTGCCAATCAAATACCTAGGCAACGTCGCGTTGAACATCGAATCATTGCTAAAGAGTCTTGCCCACGGAGCTAATAATACAATCCACTCGGCGAAGTAATAAAATACCTCCTGAGATAGTAATCCGTACTAGTTAACTTAAGGGCAGGTCCCTTCAGAGTTAGCTTGTTCACTAGAGTTCTGGGCCCGTGACTCGGGGACCCTGAGTCCTCCTCCTTGCCCCCCCACAGAATCACTCGGTCGACCTTGTCTCACTTCTGGTTTCTACTCTCCAGTCCTCGACTCGCCCTTCACAGGTACCCCCCCATTCTCAACCCGTCAAGAGGTACATCCTGCACTCGCTATCGGTGGCCTATCCTCTCGTTCAAAGTTCATCCTGACCTGCTGGTCCTCCCCGTCGCTCGCTCCTCGACCCATCGCGTGTGGACCGTATTTTGTTTATTCTCCACCCCCGGCCATCGTTGCACCGGCCGACCGCTGTCCAGCGCGGCTATCGGGGAACCTGCAGTGGTGCGCCAGTCGAGACTGAATTTGAGCCCGCAGTGTTCATTGATCGGCTCATCCTCGAACCGCACCCGAGATTGTGCCTGACGAGGAACCTGGGCTTCCCCTCTGGTGCGCGATCGGATACGAGTTTCTGCGCAAAATCGGGCAGCCCCGTTTTCTCCGTGAATCACATCAAGTCGATTATGTGCTAGTCGCAAGGCAAAGCAACCACCTCCTCAAAGAAAGAAACTTTGCAAAACACCACCCGCGGTGCATGATTGCGGCGATCTAAGAGTGAGTGTGATATCTTCTCCATCGCAGGCCAAACCTCGCCTGCTGTTTCGCAGCCCTCTGACCGAGACCCCGGAGTCAGAACCGCAATGTCTTTGCCGCAAAGGCCTGGTAAGGCCTCACCCCGGCGTGAGGAGCGCAGCGCTTTCCGCGAGCCCTCTCATCGTCGGCGGCACCGAGACATTGACTCTGGCACCTACAGCGACAACCCAACTTCGCCGTCTTCCCACCGACACCACCGCCGCCGATCGCATAGCCACCGGAGGGCCGCTGAAACGGATGAGGAACGCGTGGAACGCGGCGGCGACATGAAACGCAAGAAGAGCCTGATCAAGCCGGAGCGACGCCATATGGACCGCGATCACCCTAATTACCACTATCGACAGCGATCGCACCGCATGCCCGTCCACCCCTCCTCCACGGGCGATGACCCCCTGCTCGATCGAGACCCCGAGGCCGAGACTAACAGCTCCAAGAGTTTGGATTCAAAGTCGAAGGAACAGCTGTACGGCGCGCATGGAAACATGAATAAACCCATGGACCGCGCGCCCAGTCGGCATCGGTCGAAAAAGAAGAAGAGATCTTCTCACCGAACGTCGAAGAGCGGCACATCTGCCGAGGAGAAGAGGCGACAGAAAGCAATGGAACAAGCGCGGCCGCCGGATCTGTGGACGACGTATTGTGCCTTGGTCAGTTGCTTGGTGCCTGACTTTGTGCTCAAATGCTTTGGTATGCCGCAGAAGGAACAGCGGACGGCCTGGCGAGAGAAGATCGGCTTGATCAGTTTGATTCTCATGATCGCCGCCTTTGTGGGTTTCCTGACCTTCGGTTTCACGGCTGTTGTCTGCGGGTCGCCCCCTCTTCGCCTAAAGGTCAATGAGGTCGGCAATGGTTACATGATCTTCCATGGCACGGCTTACGACTTGACCAAATCGACACACCCCGCCGCCGAGGGCATTCCAGCAGGTACGAACGTCTTGTACGATCTCCCGCACAAGTACGGCGGTCAAGATGGCAGCTTCTTCTTCCAGCAAGTCAACGGTGCCTGCAAGGGACTTATCACGGCCAAAGACGGCGGCGGTGTCCCGACCAACTCCCAGGGAGACCTTGGTTGGTATTTCCCCTGCACTGCGTTCAATCAGGACGGCTCCTCCGAGCCCAACTTAACAACTTCTTTCTACGAGGGCTGGGCCTGTCATACTAGTGGCTCTGCGCGGGATGCCTTTTACAAGCTATCTGGATCCGGAGATGTGTATTACACTTGGGAGGACACGAAGAACAAGAGCCGAAACCTGGCTGTGTACTCTGGCAATGTCCTCGATCTGGATCTTCTGCGGTGGTTCAACACTGACCAGGTGGAATACCCGGCTGAATTCGATGAGCTGCGACAAAACTCCGCTGTTCGTGGCGTCGATCTCACCTACTATTTCCAAAGCGGAGACCAAAAGAAGATCGGCAAATGCCTGACCCAGATCATCAAGGTTGGCAGCATCGACACGGACACCGTCGGTTGTATTGCGTCCAAGGTCGTGCTCTACGTCTCTCTGATTTTCATTCTGTCCATTGTCGTCGTCAAGTTTGCCTTTGCTCTGCTCTTCCAGTGGTTCCTGGCGCCTAAATTCGCGGCGCAGAAAACTAGCATGGCTTCTGATGCCCGTACCCGCAACCAGCAGATTGAAGACTGGTCCAACGATATCTATCGTCCTGGCCCTCGTTTTGCCGATCCTCCCGTACCTGAGCGTGTCAGCAAGCGCGCCAGTTTCTTGCCCACCACTTCTCGCTTCTCCAGCCCGTATGTGGTTGGTAGTACTAGCGGCAGCAGCAAGCAAAATCGGCAATTTGTCACCATGGCCAGCCAGAACTCGACCTCTCGACTGATGCCCGGTTCTGCCAACAGCCACCCCATGTACAAACTCAGTCACAACAGCAGTGGCGGCACTCTCAGCGTCGATAACTCCCGTGTTAACCCTGGTGCCAGTCGCACGAGCCTCGTGGTCCCCGGACAACAAGAACCCGGGTTTTCGACAATCATCTCCGAGTCTGAAGGTCCCGGTCCTGCGGGCTTCATTCACGAGTCGGTCGTTCCTCAACCTCCACCTGATTGGCAACCCTTTGGCTTCCCCTTGGCTCACGCTCTTTGCATTGTCACTTGTTACTCGGAAGGCGAGGAAGGCATTCGGACAACGCTCGACTCAATTGCCATGACCGACTACCCGAACAGCCACAAGACGATTCTCGTTATTTGTGACGGTCTGATCAAGGGTAAAGGTGAAGAGTTCTCGACTCCGGAGATCGTGCTCGGCATGGTGAAGGACCACGTCATTCCTCCAGATGAAGTCCAGCCCTTCTCCTACGTTGCCGTTGCCACTGGATCCAAACGTCACAACATGGCCCAGGTTTACTCTGGTTTCTACGACTATGGCGAGACCTCTATGATTCCCCCCGAGAAGCAGCAGCGCGTGCCGATGATGGTTATCGTCAAGTGCGGTACCCCTGCCGAAGCAACTCAGTCCAAGCCCGGTAACCGTGGTAAGCGTGACAGTCAAATTATTCTGATGTCATTCTTGCAGAAGGTCATGTTCGACGAGCGTATGACAGAGCTCGAGTTTGAGATGTTCAATGGCATGTGGAATGTTACGGGCATTCCGCCAGATTTCTACGAGGTTGTTCTCATGGTCGACGCCGATACGAAGGTGTTCCCGGATAGTTTGACGCATATGATTTCGGCCATGGTCAAGGATCCCGAGGTTATGGGTCTTTGTGGAGAGACCAAGATTGCCAACAAGACTGATAGCTGGGTTACGATGATTCAAGTTTTCGAGTATGTTCTGTTCTGTCCATCGGTTGCGGCTTTGTTGATCGTGTCATATACTAACGATGATTTCCCCGCATAGATACTTCATTTCTCACCATCAGGCCAAGTCTTTCGAGTCCGTCTTCGGTGGTGTCACCTGTTTGCCCGGTTGTTTCTCGATGTACCGCATCAAAGCTCCCAAGGGTGGTCAGAACTACTGGGTGCCTATCCTGGCCAACCCGGACATTGTCGAGCACTACTCTGAAAACGTGGTTGACACCCTGCACAAGAAGAACTTGCTGCTCCTGGGTGAGGATCGATACCTGACGACACTGATGCTGAAGACCTTCCCCAAGCGCAAGCAGACCTTCGTCCCGCAGGCTGTCTGCAAGACTGTTGTCCCAGACAAGTTCATGGTCCTGCTGTCCCAGCGTCGTCGCTGGATTAACAGTACCGTGCACAACTTGCTTGAACTGGTGCTCGTGCGCGACCTCTGCGGCACATTCTGCTTTAGTATGCAGTTCGTCATCTTCATCGAGCTCATCGGTACTCTGGTTCTCCCCGCCGCCATCGCCTTCACCATTTACGTTATCATCTCCTCCATCGTGCGCAGGCCAGTGCAGATCATTCCCCTGGTGCTGCTCGCTCTGATCCTCGGTCTGCCGGGTGTTCTGATCGTGGTCACCGCCCACCGTCTCGTTTACGTCCTCTGGATGCTGATCTACCTGCTTTCCTTGCCAATTTGGAATTTCGTTCTGCCGACTTATGCATTCTGGAAGTTTGATGACTTCACCTGGGGCGATACTCGGAAGACAGCCGGCGAGAAGGACAAGGGCCACGATGACGCAGAGGGTGAATTCGACAGCACGCAGATCACCATGAAGCGCTGGCGCGACTTTGAGAAGGAGCGCCGTATGCGGAATAATGGCTGGACGCAGCCGCAGCCGCATGCTTCTGGTGGCGTGAACGGGTACCCGAATTACGAGGCGTATTCGGATTATTAGAGCGGGTCTATCAAAGCAGTCACGTCTCTCTTTGTCCAAAGGCCCAGTTATTTTTTCGTTTTCTTGTCGAATGCTTGGTTTTTGACTGTGATTTATTTTCTTTTGCCATTTACATACCATTTTCATACCATCGTACGTACCATATGAAGCACTTTTCACTCTCGGGCGGCGTTTGATGGTCCTTTTTGCATTAATTTGTACTTAATCTGCAGGCTATACTTGAGTATGGCGACGATGCTGGTTTCATTCCTTTTTATCTATATTGAGCTAATGTGCACTAGTCACGAGATTTTACATATATGTCTATCATTGCCCCTTCTTCCATACTTCTATTCCATTTTATTGTCTCTTGTTGTATAATTGTATAGCGAACGGGCTATTGACACTTGTGTTGATATGAAGATTGGGTGCATACCAGACATTTCTTTTTCCAGCCCCTTCGTGCCCAATTGAATCCATATTGCTTTTTCTTGGGATCTATCTGTTCTGCCGGGTTCAGCTGTGTTTCGACTTGTATGAAACCCGATAACCTGTCTTCTCCACATTTTGAGGTGATGCGTAGCTATTCGATCTTGCGTCCATCTCATCTTCATCTTTCCGAAGCCTAACAAGGGCACCTGCAGGCATCAGAACATAGTGGAGCTCCAAGGGCATCCATGATCTCCCATCAGACTTCCGAACGTCCGGAAATACTTTCCCTGATCAACCTGATTTGACAAACGCATTCCAGAATCATGATATACCTCGATAGCTTTTCACATACTGTATACTCGGTCCCCTTTGATCTCCACCATTCGCCACGTACAAAGACTGTGGCTCCTATAAGCTCTTTGGCCCTATATGACGCTGACCAGCTCTGAGGTCCGCTCCCAGCTGGCTTAGGGGGATTGGCTTGGATCACCCTCGCTCGGCCCAAAGCGTGCCCAATGGATCAAAGCGCAGGTCATCCGGGCATTGGCCAGGCCGGATCTGCAATGCGTCGCTCCCTGCATGATTATTTACATCGAGGTGCAGGGAGGTGCTAGGGATTGCGGTTTGAGGGATGGAAGGTAGAGGAGGTTGTCTACAGTACAACTCGTACGACTAGTTATATGAGATGGGACTATATACTCTGTACCTCGGTTCTGAAGTATATGATCAGGTCTCTTACCCTAGGAATCCCCGGCGGAGTCCCTTGGGACACTGTGGACTTGACTTTACCAAGTGGCAGCACCAGAACGTGGCGCTGCTGACTAAACAGCGATGCTCAGGTAAACTAACCAACCCTCAATTTTGAGGACTTCATGCAGTGAAGAGTTAGAAGGATCAGTTCGGCACTTCTCAGTCCAACTCATCGTGCTTCCAACAACCTCTGTCTTTTACTTTCTTATTCGTACATCATCTTTGATTCCTTCTTCAGCTGCCTGCACTGCCCCTCCATCGCCAACTGGTCGACCGCCCAGTGACCGCCCAGTACATTCTTCCCCACTCCGCCTCCACTCCACTTCTCGTTTCGTCATCTTACATTGCGCTTTATCAGCCTCGATTCCTTCCTATTCTGGGACTGCACCGCACCACCTCGGGATAGTTCGAGCTCCCACTTGACCAACAGTCCCACATCTCCGCGACTTTTACTTCCCTACCCCCTACCACCAACGTGCTCCACGTTCCCCCCTCGCACATCCCACTACTCCCACCTGTCATGTCCGACCAGCCCATCCGACAAAAGTACGCTCAGACTGTTGGTGCCTGCTGAACTGATCCAGCTTTCCTGGCTACGTGCCTTTCCCAATCGCATCGCGTGCATCCGCCGCCTTCCTGGACGCTAGCCCCAATAAACGGCCTGCGCTCAGTTCCCCAACTCTCCAACGCCAGACCTCCGCTTGGGAGGACTTAACGGCGTGAAAGCCACGTTGAAGTCTCTCGCCCTGGCGGTGACGACTACTCTGTCCTCCCTCGATACCTACGGTCGCCCTCCATTATTATCTTCCCCGGCGCTGTCTACTGCGCTGCCCGCAAACCCCGCTATCCCGGTTCATCCATCCCTGGTCGCCTGTGCAGCCCGTGCGATCTGACCATCTTCTACATACTGATCGCCGACTCCAACCGTCAAGCCTCGCTGGGCATTTTTCTTCCGCCCGCATTAACTACAGTTTCCATCGGCGCCTGAGACCCAGAAAGCCACGCGTTGTGCGGAAACTTCAGGGCGTATCAGTCAGCTGCCAGTCGATAAACGCTCGTAAAAGTCAAGAAGGATAGAGGGAAGGAGAGGATCAGGGAAAGAACCGCGCCCCCGAATCTAGGATCTTGCGCGCATAGAGACAGTGCGAGCCTCCGTTGGAACAGCCCTGTGTAACCCCCGCTGCCAATCAACCCCGGACTTATTCGCTTTACCGGGATTTGAGTATATTATCTACTGGTGTGTTCTGCATTGTGCCTGGCACAACGCTCTTCAGATCACCTCCTTTCGGCTGTTCCGAGGTGCGGGCTTTAACTTTCCAGGGTTCCAACTCTCCTGCTGGTCTCACCCCGCCATTTCGGTATCTTCCCCGGACCGGGAGACACCTGCGCCCTTTCCGACCCTCCATGACGGGCAATGCGTGGTGACAGCAACGCTGCAACTACGCTGCCGTCGTCAGACTTGCCTCGCCAGTCAGACTATCTCTCTCCACCGGCGTCTCGCAATGGGTCATGTGATACTGCTGGAGTGCCAGCCCGTCCACGTATGAATAGCGATCCGTCAGACGTTCCCAGCGGCAGGTCCTCTACCCTCGATGGTGATGATGCGTCAGCCCTGAGCATGGAAGCTCGTCGTGGCTCGCCTTCGTCTGCATTTGCGACTACCGCCGTCGATATGGCCGCGCAAGAGGATCAGCGGTTGCACAATGTGGGGGTTGCAGCTTTGGCAGCTGTCGCGCAATATCCCCGTGCTGTCAACGATGAGAGCGGTTCTTTCGTTGTCCATCAGGTCGTTAATGCTGTGACCGGAGGTACCTCGTCGTTCTATCGACCCGGTGCCGCGCTCATGGAAGTGGAAGGAAATGCCTCGGATCCTTCGGCCGACAGGATCTACTCGACGCAGTCTGGCGTGAACAGCTTCCTATATACATCGGAGGATCAGTCGCTGGATTCAGAGACAAGTGAGAGTGACATGGACATGGAAAGTATTGTGCAGGACTTGATTGAGCGCACTGCGACATGGCAAAACATCGCGACGATAGCGGGTCAGAACGACCACAAGGATATGGTTATGGACTATGACTCTGTTCTGGAGGAGGACAACCCCTCGCCATCGACCATTCCCGATGATGATCTAGATGATTTACTCCGATTTTATCCTGACGAAGAAGAATACTACCACCAACATATCGCCGGGCACTCACCGCACGAGACTGCGATGCACGATGTGAATCTGGATGAGTTTTACCAAACTATCAGTTACGAACCGACGAATCCCACACCACCGCAAGTTCCGGCGGTAGCGCCTGAATTCCCTCCGGCAGGTCCACTTCCCGTGGACAATATACCTGAAGAAGAGCCTGACTGGCATCCTGCCTCCATCATCCACACAACCAGTATGACTATCCCCAATCGTCATGTCCAATTATCTCACTGACGGTCGTAGCATATGAGCGAAATCTCACCATCGACGAGTTTATACAACGCTGGATGGTCCATTCCAACATGATCCCCAACAGCTTCCACTCGGAGAATCGAGTCCCTCCACAACTGCGTTCTCTATCCAAAATGATGGGCTGGAAACAACCTCTAGAGATTCGCCGCCCAAGCGGATTCAAAGGTCGATTCTATGATCTCCAGCAGATGCCTTGGGCAGAAACACTCAAGGTGAAACGCTCTGATGCTCGGGGGTTGCGTGATGTATGGTACACTTCCTACCATAACCTTGATTACTCCCACAATCTCCTTGCAGAAAGGCTCCCACAGGACGAGATCTTCTTCCAAGAAAAGTCCATGCATACAGAGCACAAGGCGACCGTGGAGCACTTTCAACTGCGCAACTTGATGTCGGTGCCTGGATATAACACCGTCCATTTTGCCAGTCGGTCCAAGGTCTACTCCTGGACGCCCGACTTCGACGATATCCGTTGTCTTATTGACCTCACCCGTCCCGCCCCGGAGTCCGGCTTCCTCGGCCCGGTCAAGATCTCCAGTATGAAATCAGCGTACGGTCTCACAATCGCAGGCGGGTTCTGCGGCGAGTATGCACTACGCGGGACCAGCGGCGAAGGCTCCGGCGCAAAAGGACTAGTCACTCCCGATTTCAACGATGGTATCACCAACCACGTCGACATCATCCGCAACCGATCCGGCAGCTCGCCCATCTGCGTTTTCGCCTCGAATGACCGACACCTCCGTGTCCTGGATTGCGAAACAAACATCTTCCTCTCCGACCAAGAACTCTCCCGCCCAATCAACTGCACCGCCACATCTCCGGACAGCCGTCTCCGCGTTGTCATCGGTGACTCCCCCGACGCGTGGGTCATCGAAGCTGACACCGGCCGCCCCGTACACCCGCTCCGCGGCCACCGCGACTTCGGCTTCGCCTGCGCCTGGTCCCCCGACATGCGACACATCGCAACAAGCAACCAAGACAAAACAGTCATCATCTGGGACGCACGCACCTGGCGCGCCCTCGAAACCATCGACTCCGACGTCGCGGGCTACCGCTCCCTCCGCTTCTCCCCCGTCGGCGGCGGCCCGCGCACCCTCCTCTGCGCCGAACCCGCCGACCGCATCTCCATCATCGACGCGCAGATGTACCAGTCGCGCCAGGTACACGATTTCTTCGGCGAAATTGGCGGTGCAGACTACGCGCCTGATGGCGGGGCGATTTGGGTCGCCAACACGGACCCACATTTTGGCGGATTCATGCAGTTTGAGCGCCGTAATTGGGGGCAGGCGTTTGGGTTGGCGGATTTGCCGAATGAGTGGGTTGGGGAGGGGGAGTTGGACGGGGATGAGAGGTGTGTTGCTGGGGCGAGGCAGAGAGAGTTGAGGTTTTTGAGGACGTTGGAGGATGAGGAGTATGAGATGTTCATGTTGTGATGGGTGGACTTGGACTTGTAGGGATGGTGGTTTATTTGCTTTTTTTTCTTCTGTTTTTGGTTTTTTGCTGATTTTGCGATTCGATGCATTCTGATACCCTGGGCTTTTTGTTTTCTTTTTTAATGCATTGTTTCCCTCGTTTACTTTTTTCTATTGTCTGTTCTGTCTTGGTGTTGTTGGCTGTCTGATGTATGACACGTATAGAAAGACGCGAGTCGACTGATGAACTTGAATTCTACTCCCCCTGGCTGCTCTAAAAGTAAACCTCTAATGGGCTAAAACTGTACTACTGTAATCATCTCCCGCACATTTGAAAACGTGCCATGTCTAGCTGCTGCGATCTCCACGTGTTTGAAGTTAATCGCCGAATGGAATGTCTAGCGCCGAGCACTATCACCCTCCTACTCGGGACTACCTACAGTAGTAGGGAAGTAGGCACTACCAAATCACTAACCCCTTCCAGGACGATGAACCTGATATCAAAAAGATCTAAAATACAGTCTCCATGCACTAAACCCGGCACATACGTGGCCAACCAATAATTCTCCAACCCGCAAAGCGACTATCGTCATTTCAGCTTCGATCTGTCTCCACCTATCACTAACACTAACACCCCCCACCCCGCCACCGGATCGATCCAGCTCAGGCTCAGGCTCAGGCTCAGATTCAGGCTACGTAAATACCCCTCATCTCTCTCACACGCAACAACTGTACCTCGTTCCTTCCAACCCCGTCTCTCCTCCATCCAATTCTTCCATTTCTACCTTCCACATCTCCATTATAACAATGGCCTCTCGTGATTACTACGATAACAACGACCGCGGAAACGGAAACTCGTATAACGAGGATTCCTACGGCCGCCGCGACGAAGGTCGGAACCAGGGCGGTTCCGGGGGCGACTCCTACGGCCGCGACGAGCGCCGCAACGACTCCTACGGCCGTGACGACCGGCGCCACGGCGACATGAACGACACCCGCTACGAAGGCTCGCAGCAATACTCCGGCGGCGACGACTTCAGCAGCGCGGCGAACCACGCGCAAGCACACCACGACAGCCCAGACAGCAGCTCGCTGTTCAACTCGGCGCTGTCGTTCCTGAACGAGCGCAAGGGCCAGTTCCAGGATCCGGCGCGGATCGAGGTCGACGAGCAGCATGCGGTGCAGGCGCATAATGCGATGTACAACTCGGGCGGTAGCGAGGCGGGGCGCAGCCATGATTCGTCGACTGTTGGTGCGGGGGCGGCGATGCAGGCGTTGAAGATGTTTACGTCTGGGGGTGCTTCGGATGGAGGTATGGATAAGAATAAGTTGATTGGGATGGCGATGGCGCAGGCGGGGAAGTTGTGGGATCAGAAGCAGGGGGCTGGGGCGAGTATGGTAAGTTCTATGAAGCGTGTTTGGGATGATGGGTGATTGATTGTTTCGTGTTGGAAGTGATGCTAACTTTTGGGGTTGTGGGTAGTCTGGTGATAAGCAGTCTGCTGTTAACAGTGCTGCGGAGATGGCTTTGAAGATGTACATGAAGGGCCAGGGTGGTGGTATTGGTGGCACTGGTGGTCCTGGTGGACTGATGAGCCTCGCCAGCAAGTTCCTGTAGTAGACATGGATGCTGTTGTCTGACAGGGTCTACTAGTCCCGGTGAAGCAAAGCTTGGATTTGGGGCTGCGATTTATTCTGAAGCATACGATGCGCATTTCATCATTATCAGGTGGTGTCTGTTCACAATTATGAATCAATTTGACCAATTGGATGGTTGTGTTTCTTCTGTAGACAGTATATATATTTCCACTCTTCGAATCTCTTATCTTCTACTCTTCAAACCACAAAATAATCTTGGACAAGGGGGTAAAGGGAGAAAAGGAGGCAAACGGTCAGAACCTGCCAGTCCATGACCGCAAACAAAACAGTAATGACCTGGAGCATATCCATCAAGAATGAATGCACAATGTCGAGGAATTCATATCAACGTTTTGCAGACACATATGAACAACGTCGTAGAAGGTAAGAAAGGGAAAGAAAAACTTGGTTGAATAGAAACAAAGGGGTGTAACAAGAAACAAAAGATTAAAAAAAAAGGTCCAACGCTAAGCGCAGAAACGAAGAGACGGATCCAGCACCTGCGACCGACCAGGTACATGAAGCGCAACAGAACGTAACACGAACAATCTTGCACATGCAAATCGGAATATCTACCACTCATCGTCATCATCATGCTTCCCCTGCATAGCACTCTGCCGAGCCCGCAGTGCCTCGGCCAGATTACCGGCCAGACTGGCATTCGAAGTGCTGTTGGGTGTGCCACGGCCGCTGGCACCGGAGGAGTCACCCGAGTTCATGCTCAGGGTGCTATCCCGGGGTGCAGGGGGAGGTGCGGGCTTGCGACCAGCCATGTTGGGCCGCTTGGCTGGTGGTGCTGGCGGAGCAGGCTTGGACTTGGCTGCGGCGACGGCACCAACGCCGTTGGGGACCGGGCTGGGCGTGGCGCGAGGTGCAGCGGGGGTGGGGGAGGTGCGGGTTTAGGTGTGGGCGCAACTTGCTCTTCGAGGTAGGCTTCGGGAGTCCAACCTTGAGTGGACGTTGTCATGTTCATGCAGAGCCACCATCCTGGAGAAAAGTCAGTACTAGATTCGTTATGACGACATCTATAATGGATAGTAACATACCGTTTCCTTCCTTGGAAACAATTTGCACAATCTCACCAGTGCGGATGGTCAATTCGTTGGCGCGATCACTGCTAAAGTCGTACAGGACCTTCGCGGTGGGCTTCGCAGGGGCGGCAGCAGCAGCAGGAGGTGCAGTGGGGGGTGGAGGTGGAGGAGCTCTCACAGAGCTAGTCGACTGATTGCGAGAGTGTGCGGCAGCGGCAGCTGTAACCGCCGCCACAGGCTGAGGAACGATTCGTGATTGCACGGCAGGCTGAGGAGTCGACTGGGGCAAAGGCTGGGCAACCGGTGCAGGCTTGCGCGCAGCAGCGGACAGCTTCGAGGGACCGCCGCCGGGACCGCCTGGTCGGAGTAGTTTACCCTTCGTTACGGGCCGAGCGGCGACCTGCTTAGCTCGGGGGGTAGGCTTGGAAACAGAGCTGGGAGGTTCACCGGCGCTGGTGTGAATGGTGCTGCTCTTGTAGCTGTCGATGGCACCAGCAGCTGGGTCCTTGACAGCCTTGACGTATGCCAGCTTCCCGGGCTTCTTGTTGTATTCGATGCTGCATAGTTATTAGGTTCCGTTGAAGTCATTCTCGAGGGGAAATCATCTTACCTTTCGCCGACCTTGAGGTTCAAAGATCCGCGAAGAGCATTGGAAAGGTGGGTAAAGAATTCAGTCTTGAACACGCAGTTAAGAAGGGGATCAGGCTCTTGAGCACCGATTACCAACGAGAACCAGTCATCCTTCAAGTTCGAAGTGCTGACGGTCTTGATGGCGCCAAGGGGAATGGTGCGTTCGGATGAAATGACCAGCTGGTTGTTGACGATACTCTGTGCCACAATGTACACATGCCGGTTGGTCTGGCCAGCTGTTAGTCCATATCTTACACCGACGCTGAAGAAAGAGACTCACCAAAACCAGGATCCGAGGGACAGGCTTGCTGGATCGACCAAACTTGGAGACGAGAAGCTCAGCACGGCAGGAGAAAAGCAGATCTTCAGAGCCTGTGACATAAGATTAGATAACGGACGTCTGGAGGCAGGCATTTTAACTTACTGCTGATGTTGGCACCACTACGAATCATCTCACCAGGGCCACCCTTGTTGCCCACGCCAAGATAATCACCCAAGAAGCGACGAGAGCCAAGCAAACTCATTCTCCGGCGCTCCTTGCGGCCCTGCAGAATCTGGTGTCCCTGATCACGCACCTTGATGATCTCAAGACCGCCAGTCATGCGTCGCCAGAACCGTTGAATACGGATAGCACACTCAATACGGTAGCGCAAGTAGTTGCGCCAGGCACGCTGGATTCGAATGGCCATGTTGTGCCAGTACCGGTCTCGCATAGCCTCAAGTGCGAAGAGGGTCTCGGGAGTCTTGACAAAGACCTTGGTGATACCCATCTGGTACTCCTCGGCAGGAATGCTGGTATCCCTCAGGATTTGCTTGGCACCGGACTCGGAATCACCAGTCCACGTGTAGTCACCGGCGTAGGAGGTCTTGGGTGAGAGCAGGTAGAATCGCTCGACGAACTTGTCAAAAGTCTGACGGTACGCAAAACCGGCACGACGGATGCGCACGTTCTCTTGCAAACCAAGATATTTGATCTGGTGAAGCACATTACCCTCGTTGTACTCCCGAGGAGCCTTGTTATCATTGGGCTTGATGGTACGAATATATGAGGGCTGGGCCTTCATCAGGGTGGCAACGAGGTCATTGGCAGATGCCTTAATCTTGTCACCAGCGGTAGGTGGACGGCGCTTATCATCCTGGTTGACCTGGTTGGGGAAGATAGTGTGGACAAATTGGTTGCTGCTGGAACCAGCCAAGTTGAGCAGATCCTTCAGAAGCTGATCCTTGTTCTTGTCAGTCATTCCCTCCACCGCATAGCTCACGTCACCGGCGTAGTGTTTGATGATGAACTGGCCTTGACGGCCTTCAAAGTTGGGGTTCTGGGCGAGGAAGTTCAGCCTGCCCACAAAAGTGTTGTCGGCAGCACCAGAATCGGCGTGCGCAGTAGCGCAAGCATCGTTCAACGCAGCAAACACACCAGGGGGTCTCTTGTCCTCAATCAAGGAGCAGACAACCTTGTTATCAAAGTACTTGATGGGAGTCCATTTGATCTGTTCGCGAGCATATTCGTCCTGCTCCGCCTTCAATGTCAACTGAATAAAGATTTGCTGCAGCTTCTCATTGACGTAGTTGATGCAAAGCTGCTCGAAAGAGTTTTTCTCAAAAATCTCGAAGCCGTAGATATCCAGAATACCAATCGAGTTAGCGATAGCCCCTCGAGCAGTCAGAGACTGGTTCACACGCTCCACAATCCAGTCGAAAAGATTGAAGTAAATGGCCTTGGCCAGAGCGTCCCGGACTGCGACAGCCTGGACCGTGTTCAATGGAACCTCATAGGTGGAGCCTCTTCGGCCTCCACGAGCGGTCTCCAGCAGACGAAGAGTCAAAGCCTTGTTGACCTGCGAAGAATCAACCTCCAGCAGGTAGGCCACAAAATCAACCACCGACTGATCTGTAATCGACGCATTGCTCGAATCGTCTTCCGTGAACTGAATGTTGCCGATCCACAGAATTGCCGCCAGCATACGGAAAACGTTATCTTGCTCCGCTTCACTCATGCCAATCATTCTCATCGCATCCACGGTATCCTTGAATTCCGCAACATCGTCGATTCCCGGCACATCGTAACACTTCGAACGGCTCGTGTAGAGGTAGGTCTGCGGTTGTTGCACACCGAAGCTGTCGCGGTACTTCTGCGGCGCACCCTTTGTGAATTGGTAGAAAATGTGGAAGTTTCGCTCGTTCGTAATCTGGCCGACAACTCGAGACTTCTCCAAGAGGTAGTTTGTAATGTTGGCACCCACGGGCTCTCCGTTGGCGTTGAACTCCAGCTCGAGATACTTGCCGAATCGCGAGGAGTTGTTATTGCGCAATGTCTTTGCATTACCGAATGACTCCAGCAGAGGATTCGTGGCCAGCACCATGTCCTTAGTCTGCTGAATGGACGAATCGCTACCCCCGGATACACTGGCAATGTACTGCATGATTCGTTTGGCGGCTTCCGTCTTTCCGGCACCTGACTCTCCGGAGATGATCACACACTGGTTGTCTTTGTAGGACTTCATGTTGTAGTATGCGGATTCGGCGACTCCGAATACGTGGGGGGAACTTCGAGTCGGTTCTTGCCGCGGTAGGAGTCAAGCACCTTATCAGTGTAGATACCCACTATAGGCGAAATCGTTCGTTAGCAGCCCAATAATACTGAAACAGCCCACATATTCACTTACAATCCCGGAACGGGTTGACAGAGACCAGCACGTGTCCGATATAGGTCTGTATGACGCCCGTTAGCCTTCGTACTCGTCCCGCACGGCGGCTGCCCCGCAGTGAACTGCGCCGGCGGCTCCCTTACATAGATCTCGTCATGCTCGAAACGGAGCTTCAAGTTATCATTGATGGCTTCGTTGGAGATCTTGCTCAGCAGCGTGAGGTCCGAGACACCAATCTCCTTCTTCTTTGAACTTTCAAAGGTGGCCTTCTTGACCTGCGACTTACTCGTCTGTCGGCCATCGCCCACATCGGCGACTGCTTTGTTGCGCCCAAAGCGGCTCTTCTTCTCGCCACCTACGGGGCGTCGTGACTGACCCTATAAATCATGAAACATCGCGGGGTCAGTTCAGATCGTTCCGGCGACTTGGTCTTGCGACACTGGGAGAGGGGATGAGCCACTAACCATGTTTGTGGCAAGCTCCCGTGATCTCGGGGTCGGATAACACTTGTAGGAAATCAATCAAAGGTGACCAGAGGATCTGAATCACTTTGAGAGAGGAATTGCAGCGAAGAGGGATGTTGAGGCAACCAAGGGCCAGAGTGGACGATTGAAGGGAAGCGGAATGGAGGCGCCGTGCGGGCGCGGACTTACGTACAACCAGAACAAACCAAAGCAAACAACCCGCCTGCGCCACACTGAGGGTCTCTGGTCGTCTGGTCGGGGCCTGGTGTTTCTGTGGTTCTTATCCGTTGCTGCCTCAGGGGCGACGAACTAAAGAGTTTTGTAGAGATGGGAAGACGGAAGTCTCGGCACGTATACAAAATATGGAATTACGGGACTGTAACTAGTGCCCCGATATTTGCCTCTCTCTTGTCTATCACGGAAAAAACTTTGACAAGAGAATTTGTTAGCCACGGGCGTCAGGGCCTGTGGCTCGTGCGGGTCAAGAATAGCAGCACCGACGTCATTGGGCATGGAGAAAGGGCCCAGCGGAAAACTGACGCCTGACATGTTCGGAAGCGCCTCAGGCAGTGGGATGTACATCATGTATTTTGTGTTTTATTAGGCGCCACTCTCATCATTTTGGGTACTTTCACACTCATGTACTTTGAGTAATTCTAGGCTGACACCGTGCTTAAATCGCTATAATCACTCGCAATAAGAGTCTGCGAGACTCTGTAAGCATTCTTCATAGAATGTATCCAGATGTCATCTTCATCTGCTTTGCGTGTTTGCGAGCAAGTGGAACATGACAGCATCAGAAGCCGATATATCATCTTCGTTGCGCACATGGAGAACCGCTAATTACAAGCAAAGCTATCTCGGTCCTTCATCATAAATTCATTCAAAATCTTCCCGTGGACATCGTGCTCACGGCTATCCTCGTGAATCCTGTAGCCCTCTTCCTCGGAGTGCAGTTATTCATCAAACATGCCTCGCCATTGTAGCCGTGCATCTGATGCACACAAATACGGGTAAATGATTCCTCCTTCGTCCTTCCAGGTGAAGTCCTCCTCCTTGTATGTTTGTTCACGGCAAGAATTTCATTACAAAGTTCGATTCAAGGTTGAGACGGGCGGACCTCGTCAATCCAAGGTGTCGCCAGATATTGCGGGAGAAACTCCCTGTATTTGAACGTCGAGTAGTTAGTACCGCTTCCATAGTGGTGCGGGAAGTCTTGACTCACCATTTTTGTCGAATTAGCTCTAAGAGTGGACAGGTTGATTTCGGATGAGCTGTTTCATCGGGCGGTAAAGGATTTCGTCCGACAACATGATGCTCTTCTCGTAAAATGAAACGAGTCTGTCAATCACATCGGGCTCGTGGTTAGCGTTCAAAGAGAACTTGGCAAGTTCGGCGGCCGTTGAACTGCGCGTATTTGTTCTCCAGAAGCACGGGAAGTGCGTTTGGCTTGCAAGGCATCGGCCGATGCTCGTGTCATCAAGCTCTGTGGGCAGTGGGAATGCCAAATTGGTTGCAATGTCGAAATTCTGTTCCCAAAGAGAGTGAGGGTGTGAGTAGATGAAGAGGTAGAAGTAACCAGACGTAAGAGCACTCTGAAGCACCTCTCTAAAGGCACGGAATGTGCGTTTGGCTTGCAAGGTCCTACGCCGGCCGACGCCTGTGTCATCAAGCTCTGTGGGCAGTGGGAATGCCAAATTGGTGGCGATATCGAATTCGTCTTCTACTTCCGTCGATAGACGGTACTCGGAAACCGCGGTGGTTTTCCGAGAGAGTAAGAGTGGAAAAGATCATGAACAGGATGGAACCGAATGTGAGAGCACTTCGAAGGGCCAACAGGATCCAATGAGTTCTGCTGGAAACCACTACATGGAGTTCCAGGGCGAAGGGATGAACGCAGTCCGTCTGATGGAAGCCAGTATGTGGCAGCGAACTGCTGCCGATAGAAAAGGGCTAACATGTCGGAGTTGACGGGTGCAGCGATAAGAGTGAACTGGGAAATCCGAGCAGTTGGAGTAGGAGTCATTTTCTGAAGCAGCACATGACATAAAGCTTCAAAATTATCAGGTGAATGAACCCAGTGAGAGAGTCAGGCCCATTTCGGTCGCATACTCAAAGGTGACTGGAAGTTTAGGGCTGTTGAGAAGCCGGAGGAGATAAATCAGCCCTGTCGATCAATGACACGTTAGATCTTTCCCAGCATGACTCAATTCGCGTGGTGACGTACATTTGCCGCATGTCACAACTTGGCTCGTCTGTTGTTGTTCCCTTGGTATCCAAATCTGATGAATTGCTGGAACCTAGGGTAAGGGAGTGGTTCGCTTCGTGTCTCCCTTGTTTGAGAGGAAGAAGTGTAAGAAGAATGAAGATCGTGAGATTCGGAGAAGACTAGGAATCTGATTTGTCAGGTCTCAAGGATGCAAATAGCCGGGCTCATGGGATGGCAAGCCCCCGCTTGATGATCCAGTCCGGACCAGATACAGAGGATCTCGGCATTATCATGTAGCATTAAGAAAGCATCTGAATGACCGTTCAGAATTTGAGTGGCAATGGTATGATGCCAGCTTTGATGATTTGGTCGGACTGGTGATGGTGATGGATATAGATAGGGTCCGTCCTATTGAGGATAAGACGGAGCTTTCCCCTGTTCCTTGGATTGACAGTAGCCATCAGAGAAATTGGAAGTGATGAAAAGGAAAGGCAACGTCAATATTGGCTTCGTGTGACGGTTGATAAGGCACTTGAAGTCAAAGTCTTTGAGTTATGAGTAATGTCTCTCAAGATCGAGGAGATTGGAAGATGAGCTGTTCCCCCTAAAATCTAGAGCTCTAAGATGTGGTCAAGGCGGTTGAGAGAAGGAAACCTGCATCTCGGGGTCGAGGACCTGAGAGATGAGACTTGGCTCTCGAGTCGGAGGGGTAGATAGATATCCCCCCCCCCCCCCCCCAACAAGAGAACCGGAGATCTCCTGCTGAGGTCAAGGAGATAGAAAGTCGTGTGTGAGGTAAACAAAGAATCAAGAGAGAATATTACTACACACTCTGAAGGGCGGCGGCGGGGCTGTCGGCGAGCTCCCCCAGTGAGGGCGCCAGCAAGAGATACCATGTGGTAGATGTTGGTCAGGCCAATCTACTGATGCATGAGAAGCCGGGTGGTCTGTTGGGGGAAGTAGAAAGAAGAAAGACAGAAGATCGAGAGATTGACCGATGTGTAGGAATCTAAGATCAATTGGGGTGGAGGTGGTTTAAATAGGCGTTCGTCAGGTGATCAGTCTGGCAAACACCCTCCAGCGTCCAGCTCTTTGCATTTGACATTCGTTTGTGATTGTCATTGGTTGGACGCGGGGTCAGTCAAACCATTGACCTTCTTAGTGGCACGGGGCTGGAGGAACGCTGCCCTGCCATTAACTCGGCTGCAGCGATCATTGTTATGCACCAGAGCGAGGGAACAAACAAGATAACACGAAATAACACCTCGATATACAGGTCTCGTAGAACACAATTGGTCCTGCTTCATTGCGCAGCCGATGAATCATGAATAGTTCCTCAAGGATGAATTAGATAGTGTATGTACCTGAATATGGACAGAGGTCTATAAGGCGCCAGAGTAAACTGAAGAGGGGAGGGTATCCAAGCTGAAGAGTTGAATCAAGATAAAGTGCCAAATAGCGATGCCAAAACGCTCGATGTCTATGAATAAATAGCCGTCATGAGCCATTAAGGTCGGCCTATGATTTCGGAGTAGCTGTTTGCATTGGCACGGGTGGTATGTCGGTTGCAGGTTTGGTTTCCTTAGGAGCTTGCGTTGACTCTGCTGCAGTAGGCGGACTAGAGGCCTGGGACCATGGGCCGAGAGGTATATAGGATGTGATGCGCGTCCACCATGTCTCTGTAACTTCGGGCTCCTCAATCTCAGGCATAACTTCCCACACTTCGCGGGGCAAGATTCGATGTGACGACTTCGGTGATTCTCCGTGCTTAGCTTTGAGAGACAGCAATTCCTTCTCCAGGGCAATCAAAGCTTCCCGGGCAGTCTTCTCGGATTGTTCAAGCTCGGCAAGTCGATCTTCAACACCCTCCCTGCGCGTACTCTCCTTGCGACGAGAGCGCCACGACTCAAAGACAATCAAACCCCCTGCGACGAGAAAGAGGAAGGATTCGCTAATAAAGTTCGCGCCGGACTCAATTGCTTTGGATTCGGACAGAGGTCGAATACGGTAATGTTGAGGCTTTGCCGCTTCTTCAGCTGCAGCTTTGGCTTTCAGAATAGCTTCCTCCTCCGCTTTTGTTGCGGCCGCCGTTTTGACCGTTGGTGATGTGGGGATGTGTTTCTTCGCTTCAGCTGCAGCCTCGGTCTGTTTGCGGATAGCGGCATCATTGCGGATGGAACCTAGTCGAAGACGCATATCGAACCGGTGGAGGGCTTGTGCCATCGAGACACAAATCTTGCGAAATCGTTCATGTTCGCGGGCCTGGGCCTTGATTTGGTTCTGCGGGAATGTCAATGTAGCCCCAGGGGGATGAAAGGTGGTGCATGTGTACTTACGGCAATGGGCTTGGAGAGAGTGCGAATTGCAAGGGAAGAGAGCTTGAGTGTTAACGACATTGTGGGTTGAGGAGGGCAAGTCAGAGCAACTCCCGCAGCCTTGAGCTTGAGTCACGGACGTAAATTGCCCGTGACGTTGATCAGCCACATCCATGTCCCGGGCACCCAGCTCACGCGTACCCAAAAAAAGTTCACACGGACCCAAAAAATTCTGACTAATTTTGGGTACCCATGAGGTACCCGACCTCGCACGTACCCAAACCTCTAGATTATATAATATTTTTTAATGCAGAAAATTTTTTAAACACCTTATTTTACCCCTTTTCAAGATTGTTACCAAGTATCGAATTCCACAAGATGTCGGCGTCTTTACTCTCGCCATCGCTATTCGAGGATTCCGATTCTGACATATTTATCTCTACGCAATCTACTACTAGTACTGCATTAGAGATTAATCAAATTCTTTATAATCTTCCATCTGTGAGTGATCGTTTTATAAATAAGAGCATACATAAATCTTATATTTTATATCAGCGACAACGATCGGCCTCTGAAACTTCAGTGTACCAAGATTGCACTAATACATATGAGTTATCTGATGTCGATTCTTGTGAGGATAATGAGGAAAATACTAGCTCTCTATGTTCTACACCTTTTACGGAACGAAACCAAACAGGTATAGAAACAGACGGGACCCAAGTAAGCATTAGCTCTAGAGATGCTGTGATCGCCTACGAAGTTCAGGAGCACCTTATCCTCCCAGAGTATCCTGATACAGACAAGAATGGTATTTTACATATCATTCATGCCTCCAAAAATCCACTTGAAAATGTGGAAGACACCGTTACTGCTGTCAACCAAGCTACTTCACAGCTTATGTCGTCGGTATGTTCGATATAATCCTAGCATATGTCTAGCATATGCTTAGCATATATGATAACTAATTATCCTAGGTTCAATTCTCGATTAAACAACTCAAATCGGCCAAGAAAATCTTCACGAAACTCCTCCAGAAAGACTCTAAAGACAAAGAATCAAGATCATGGCATCGATCCTTTCAATGTACAGGGATTCAACATTGCCACCAAGCTCATCCTGATCTTATTACCCCGTCTGAAAGCTATAACCGTGTTAAACCAACACTTTTCCGCGAACTTCAGGCTCTTGCTGCAAAGCCTGTGTATCACACTATTGCGCAGGAAATCCAGGAGCGAACTAGAGAGTAAGATATATCCCTCCCTAGCTTTAACCTCTATTAAGCTTACGCTTAAGATAGATTTTACTTCGGATTTCTCAAGACGTGGGATATAGAAGGGCCATGTATTTATGCACCTAGTGAGCGGACATGCAGAGGTCAAAAGCCAACAGTGTGGCTTCGAGATGGAGTAAGTGCATATTATTATCATGTACTAAATATTTGTTAACTATAAGTAGTTCACCTTTATTGGGTGTCCGAACGCGCAGGTCGGATCCCAGCGTTGGCACTACTGTCAGCACGTTCCACGAAGTGCTGCAAGGATAGACACCGCGTTTCTAAAGCTTCTTTGCGATAAGGATGGCTTACGAGATACTGGATATGGAACCAAGAACTGTTACTTCGTGGAGCATCGTTCAGCTAGACGTCGCCACTGTGGTATGTTTTACACTAGATATGCTCTGGATATGCTGAACATATGCTAACCCTGTCCTAGACTCAATTCATGCAGATGGTGTTGGTCAGCTGATATATAGTGTTTGCTCTGTGAAGATTGACCTTTATATCCCCTGCGTATGGGATCGTTTTCCTTTTTTCCTTCTCGTTTGTCGAGGATCTCATTCACATGCGCCGCCACCGCCTACAAAGCTACCACATGATATTGGTCAAGAAATCATTGACGCAATCAACACGCAGGATATCCTAGGATTAACTGCACGTAAATTGATGGTCTCACCTACTTTTGCGAAGATTATACGTCAACATGGTGATTCTGCGCTTCGATATATCCACAAGAGCTTACACATTGAGGATAGAGTAACTGCTTTGATTCATAAGCAGAGACTACTATATTATCCAGAAGGGACGAATCTTGCTGGGGTATGGCGTGAATACCAGTTTGATCTAACTAAACACGTGGATGATCAATGGATTCGTGAAGTCTATTTCTTTGACGAGAATCGGGAGCATTATCTGATCATATGCTGCACATACGAACAAGCTAAGCTTTTTCAGAGTGTACGACATCTGGAAATGGATCTTGCTTTCAAGATGGTTCAGGGAGCAACCAAGCTTTTCACAATTTCAGGGTGGAATGAACAGGTAAAGAGTAAGATTTTCTGGTGTTCTATATATGCTAAACATATGCTAACCATATGCTGACTCTCAGGGTTAAATACCTATGTCTATGCTTTCATGAATCTCGAAACTCGAGTAGCTTATCGGGTTCTTTTTGAGAAAATCTTCAAGATTCTTGGGGATGTTGGACGAAAACCAATTAGATGGGCGTATCAGCTTGGAAGGGATGATTCTTGTGAGGGAATTCGGACGGTTACTGTTGACATGTGTAAGAAGCAAGCACCTGGTACGCTTCCCATATGCTTAACATATGCCTGAATTATACTCACTTTCTATTTTCATTTAGGGCTTGGAGATTATCTTGCTGGCCTAGATCCTCGTTGGACATGGTCAGAACATCTGCAAAATATATTGATCCTATGCCAAACGCACGTTAAGCGAGCCTTTCGGAAAAGGTTTCCTGGTCACGAAGCTACTACGTCTATTGATATGATCTGGAATGCAAATTCAAAGGCAGAGGTTATTCGAATTATGGATGAAGTTGCAGAAAAGTGGCCAGAGACCGAAAAATGGTTTCAGAATAAGAAGGTTGATTGGATTCTTGCTGGAATAACCCCAGAGGCATCTAAGATTCCTATTGAATGGTGGACGAATGCATCACATCATACTGGAATTAGTGAAAGTAGTCACTTTCACGATAACGAGGCAGTAGGCCGAAAGCAAGCTTTGTTAACAGCAATTCTCCGGTATATTACCCGATTTATCATGTATAGAGCATATTACTAATCTCTTTATTACAGATGCAAAAAACATGTACAAGAGATGATCCAAAAGAATAAACTTGCAGAAGAGCTAGGTCTCTTCCCAACTTGGCGATCTCAAAACCCTGTGTATCGTATTGCCAAACAAGTTCGCAAGAAGGGTTTGTTCCATATGTTCAACATATGTTACACATATACTAACCTTATATCAGACAAGCGCTACAAAAAATCTGCCAACCGTCGTATCAATAAACCATACCAGCCCTGGAACGTGATCAATCCTTACGATGACCTTAACCCGACGATGCAACCACCTGGGCTTCCAGATATTTCGGACATAGTTTCGATATCTACTTCAGAGATAACTGACATAAGCTCAGTATATGGTCAATCTATATCTGCACCGCTATCTACCCCTCAGGGTAGTTCAGTTCTTGACGGATCGTCTAGAATAGCGCCGCATGATAGTATTTCTCAGCAGTTAGGCTATACTCAGGGATTCGATGATGAAGAGGCACGGCTACAGCAAGAAGTTGCGGAACTTGAGAGAAAGCAAAGGATCTTAGCCCTTCGAAGGAAGAAGGAGGAATTATTACGGAGTATAGAGTCAGGCGAATCTTTGGTATAAGTTAAGAATATCTTGAATTTACTTTGAGCATAAGTTTAACATATGTTCCGTATAGACAAATAACAGAAAATTCATACAAAGAGACCTACGCCTAACTAAAGGGACTCAAAAGCATCAGAGGATGAGTCCTCTACCTCTACCTCTACCTCTACCTCCTCCTCCTCCTCCTCCTCCTCCTCCTCCTCCTCCTCCTCCTCCTCCTCCTCCTCCTCCTCTACCTCCTCCTCCTCTACCTCCTCCTCCTCTACCTCCTCCTCCTCTACCTCCTCCTCCTCTACCTCCTCCTCCTCCTCCGAGTCTTGCATATGGGGAGCAGGTGGGCCACCTCCTCCATCACTATTGTCTCCATTACCGGCAGTGGGGCCAAAACCCGCGAAGGGAATAGGATTCCCAGGGACGCCAGGTCCACGCTACATACTATTAGCATATGCTTAACATATCATTTCTTAAAAAAAGGGGACTTACCCGGCGGCTGCGATGACCAGAACTCGGGGTTGCTGGGGCCTGCCAGCGGTGGAAACGAGTGCCGTATTGTGCGGCAAACTGTGCATCGGTAGCTCTATACGGATTGTTAGCATACGCTAAACATATGAGAGTCATATGTAACAAGTATATCAATCTTGTGCAAAACGTAGAGTACCCAGAGTACTTACGCAATTCGCTCCAGAGCGGAGGCCCAGTGTCCAATCCATCCATTGTCAGGGCCGCGTCCAGGCTCATGGAGGTAGCTAGCATCCCGCCAGCCACCCTGCAGGACCCAACGCTTGATGGCGTTTTGGCCCGCAATAATCTCCAGCTGGGTCTTTGCTCGCCGGCTGGGGTTGACGACTATATCGTAGTCATATTGTTAGCATATGTTCAACATATCCAACGAATAGACACTTGCCAGCTCCGGAATGTTCATTGCGGATGTGTCGACGCAGAGCAGGTCCCTCTGAGAAGACTAGACCGCACATTTGGGACGGAGGGTTGACGACAATATCACAGCTGTTCCTCTCAGTGTCAGCATACGATAACCATGCCCTCAGTATATTCAGACACCACGTACACTCCTATGTTCTCTTTGTTGAGAACCTCGGCCGGATTTGGAGGCGGGGTCGCCGCGATATCAGCTGCCTTGATGTCGTAGTGGCGTGCGCCTGCAGCTAGAGCTGCCGTATACGCAGCTGGCTTCCAGCCACGATTGTTGTCTGGAATGGGCCCTACATATGGTCAACATATCAACAGCATATGCATCTGGGAAACATACCATGTGCATATCCCAGGAGAGGGTCGGGGTTGGTCGCGTTTAAGACTGTGGTGTTGTCAAATTCAGCCCGGGTTGGACCCAGGCCAGGGAAGAGTCCAAGATTCGACATGTTGATGAGCTGGAAGTGTTCAGCATATGCAAAACATATGGAGAAACGCGTCAGGGAGTAGAGTAAACAGGTGTTCTGACCTTTGGTAAACAAAGTGGGTGGTGAGGGAAGAAGAAGAAGAAAATGGTGTTGTGTTTGTGTTGAAGATATATCTCTCATTTCTTTGTTGACACTTTTGATTCATGACCCCAAACAAACTATATTTTTCTTTCAACACGTGTAATTTACTAGAAGAAAGACTACCTCTTTTATATTATTATGAATAAAAAATAGATAGAGTCTTTAAGAGTATAGTATAATCTTCTATATAGAGTTGTAAAGAGATGTATAGAGTGATAGTATATTTTAGTGAGGTAGGGGTTCAACTAAAGTTGAACCCCTACATAATTATTAATCATATGCATAAAAGTAAGTATAAGAGCTCATCAGGACCCAAAATAGTTTGGGTACGTGTGAGGTCGGGTACCTCATGGGTACCCAAAATTAGTCAGAAATTTTTTGGGTCCGTGTGAACTTTTTTTGGGTACGTGTGAGCTGGAACCCGCCATGTCCCCACTGGGCAAAATCAGCATAGTCCGTGATGAGTCAGCGCCACAGTCCTCCGGCGGGACGCGGCGACCATGTTCATATGGTTGGTAGCTCTGTGGAACATAAAGTGCAAGGGAGATTGCGAGTCTGAAGGGTAAGGAAAGGAAAGACTCGGCAATAGAGACCAATTTTGCGTATTCAGGATGGCCCAGCTATTCCATTGAAACAAGGAGCCAGGCTGGTCAGATGCTGCACGATCACGACGATCACGACGAAGATAAGAGATAATGAGCCTGGGATCTATCTAACGTTCACCAATTCGATGGAAGCTATAGTAAACTAGTTAGCTATGTAGACATGTCGGTTACTTTACAAGCAGGCAGTCTTAACTTATCAATGTCAATCATGAAACATCTACAGGAATTACTCTGACATGAACACTGGGTCTTAACCTCGGAACATACTACAGTTTACCTATCCAATATTAGTAAAAGTAATGATTTGCTTGCATCTGTGGAGCCGTCCATCGGATGTTTGGGGATTGTATCTCTTCCAGGTTTGTATGGAGATCAGATGAGGTTCAGCCCAGAATGCACTCATGGAACTTCCAAGGCATGTATGGACCCGCAAAATGTAACCCCTCCATACAACTTCAGAGATTCCATACAACGTCAGAGATGATTCCATACAACGTCAGAGATTGAACAACCATCTACATGTGAATTCATGTGGGGGTGGCCTGCGGATGAGTGTTTAGGCCCCATTAAAACTACCTGATCCTGCAATGCCGAAACGCGTGGCTAAAGTTGTAAACACAGCAGTCTCGCATCACATACGGTTAATTCGACAGCGTGGATGCAGGTAGGCTGAATAGTCCAATTCGAAGAGCTGGGAATAATACCTAATTTCTCCTTCTCCGGGCACAGACACTGGACTAGTCTCTCATTGCTTGGGCTGAGTGCCCGATGGATCCCTTCCTGGAACCCCCTCAAATGGCAGGCAGATCAAGCGGGTGCTGCTAAGAAATATATTTCGGCGCAATTGATCTATGCAAATGACTACACAGCACAGCAGCCCACCAGGGCTGGTGAAAAAGGAGAATCCTGGAACATATTCAACTTAACTTGCACTTTGAGCTAATTCTCACTATTGTTGTTGAAGCGTAGAGGCCAGTCAGACGACTTGATACGCTGAAAATTCGAGGTTGCTATGGAGGCACGTGACAGTAACCACTGTTTATCGATTTCCGAATCGGGAAAATTATTATGGTCTGAGTTCTTCACTTTGGGTTTTGGCTTTTCTCCCCACTTCAACCCCCGGTCGACTTGAACCGCGTTACCTTTGGAAGCTTTGTATAGTTCTTGATTCTTTAGCGCTTTGCATTCCGGTAAGATGCTATTGTCTCTCTTTTCCGACCAGAATGTTTGGGTCGGTTTGCGGACTCGGTGGAGTTCTATTCAAGTCGAGTGCTGACGCTCCGGATGATTGCAGGGATACCAATTTGCAGTACTCTGATACCCAAAATTTGCACCAACGCTTAATTTTCTGTTCCAATTTATGATCACTACGTTTGAAATTGCTATCGGAGGTTTTGATCCTACCGGAAATAACCGTCGCGACTGCCCTGATCGCTTCGACGCAGCAACCCCACCGCCGCAACATCCAGAATGGAAGCCCTTTCACCTCGGACAACGAACCAGATGATAAAGCCCAAGGCGCCAATGGATCGGAAAGCGGGGGACAAGCCCACAGGCACCGCGGCGCCAAAGTCGTCATCAGCGTCTAGGAACCATGCAGATCCACCACCATCAATAGTCACGGAGCCCGAGGAGGATGCAGAACAATACTCCATTGGTGGATTCTTGGGGAAGGGAGGATTCGCAGTCTGTTACGAGGGCACATTGGCGCGCAATGGTCGCGTGTTTGCGATGAAAGTCGTCAAGTCACAAATGCCACAGAAAAAGATGGAAGAGAAGGTACAGCGACCGATGCAGAGTGACTTGGATGGTAGATGCTGACATTTCATAGTTCCGAACAGAGCTTCAAATCCATTCGAAAATGCGTCACCCCTTCATCGTCCAATTTTATCGCGCCTTTGCCTTTGAACAAAGCACATATGTCGTCCTCGAGTTATGCCCGAATGGCTCGGTGATGGATATGGTTCGAAAACGACGGTGTCTGAGTCTACCAGAAGTGAGGCGTTTTATGATTCAGCTGTGCGCAGGCGTAAAGTACCTACATAAGCGATTCGTTGCACACCGCGACTTGAAAATGGGAAACTTGTTCCTTGACCGTAACATGAACATCAAAATCGGAGACTTTGGCCTTGCTGCAATGATCTTATCTGACAAGGATGCGAAGCGGCGGAACACTTTGTGCGGGACACCAAATTACATTGCGCCCGAGGTTCTTGACAAGAGCAAGGGCGGCCATACCCAGAAGGTCGATATTTGGTCATTGGGTGTTATATGGTAAGTCGACCTGCGTCGCTATTCAATCAAATCGGCTAACACATTGTTGCAAGCTTTGCGATGCTCACCGGATACCCACCCTTCCAATCAAAAACGCAAGAAGAGATTTACAAAAAGGTCCGGAATTTGGCCTACGTATGGCCGAAAGAATCCGAACACTCAAATTTTATACCCGAGGAGGCGAAAGATCTAGTCAGTGCCTGCTTGAACCTGATAGATGAGGAACGACCGGACCCCGATGATATTGTCGAGCATCCTTTTTTCAACATGTATGACGGCTGCATTCCTCGCCAATTGGACCCAGCATGTCGATTCAACAAGCCGATCTGGCTTAAAGACCAGTCACCCCGAGGCGATTCCATGGTTAAGGGCTATGGGCTCGACTCGGATGAGAAGCTTCGTGCCTACGTCTATCAAGTAGATGATCCGAACCAACGCTATCACTCTTGCAAGGCCGCGTTCTATTCTCTATGCGGCGTCGGTAGAAAGCCCGATGGAACTGCTCGCAAGTCAGTCGGTCGCAATTGCTCAAAATCTGCATACTCAGAGTGCGAGACGGAGGATGCGAGAGGTCTTCGGCCTGTCGTGCCATTGCCTATGGACTTCGTGTATCGATGGCCTCATGAAATTGAGGGTGACTGGTGTCTTATGGAGAGCTCTCGCAAAACGATCCGTGCGGAAGATTCAGCGCTGGATAATAGCACTTTGTCTCGGCGGAGCGTGTCGGTTCGCACCAACGCAGTTGCAACTACCCGAACGAATGCCGCGCTTGCGGCTGCCCAGCAACGCAGGATGGAGGGACAGAACCACGCCGCGACGCTTCGTCAACAAGCTCGCCCTGGAATGGCTTCTGTGCGAAAGGCGCCCGCTCTACCTGACTTTGCAGAGCCAACGGTCAAATCTTACCGAGACACAAAGGAGCCCGAACCCACGTCTTTGCCAAGTTCGGGCGTGCCTCCTAGCGGGCTTGCTGAGCGGCCAATTCGCACGCGACGAATGGTGTCAGCTTCCAATGCCCCCACCCTGCGCGAGAATGTTGTTCCTCAACTGGCCAAATCAACCAGCATGCCTTCCGGCCTTACGATCGGTAAAACACGATCGCAATCCCGGAGGTTGGAAGCTGCCAACCAAGGGCCACAGCCTTCGATCCCTACCGGTGACGCCAAGTTGTCCGCAGTGGTGGAGGAGCGACGAACTATAAGCCGTCAGGCGTCTTTGCGATCCGTGTCGCGTTCTGATTTGAAAATCACTGCTGAGCGAGTCGAACGACCTAGGCCTAGCCCGACCGAGTCAACTTTCTCCTCTGCTCAGCACACCAAGTCTACATCTCAATCACAGGGACTTACTCGAACCGATAGCAAGTCCAACAAAGCTCGCTCTAGCCTGGGGCTGAGTCCCATCTTCCATCAAGATGACGTCTGCCAGGATCTGCCTGGTACTTCATTGTCTGACGTGAACACCAATCTGCGATTGATGTTGGCAAACTTGGTTACCCAGGGCCCCACCCGGCGCCGAGTCGGCTCCAGGAAGCAGCCTCACGCATATGTGATTAAATGGGTGGACTACACTAACCGATACGGTATCGGGTATGTGTTGGACGATGGCAGCGTGGGATGCGTCTTCAAGGGGGAGAATGGGCAGCCTGCCACGAGCGTTGTGGTTCGGGATGGGGAGAGACATATTCGGCGCAAGGCACGAAGTGTTGATACTCCCGAGGAAAAGGGCATCCCGTATTCCGAGGCAGATCAACTTGTTCCTCGCGCCGGGGTCCCGGTGGAGTTTTACGAGAATCGTGATGATAATCTGCTTGGTTGCCGTGGTATTCGACGAGCTTTGATTGATCCATCCCTTTTTGATGCTAAGAGCTCAAAGGTCATGAAGCTTCGTGTCAACTCTGGGTCTGAGACTGAAAGGTCAGATGTTGAGAAGATCAAGCGGGTCAAGCTGGTCGACCAGTTTGGCAAATACATGATCGGATCTCTCGGTCGCCATGGCGATGAGGGTATCACGGATGATACACCTGCCCAGAGTAGTGGCCAATTCGTCAAATTCTACCAGCGGCTTGGTAATGTCGGTATCTGGGGCTTTGGCGACGGCGCATTCCAATTCAACTTTCCCGATCACACCAAACTCGTTCTTGCGCCTGGTCGCACACGCAGCTCTTCCCCATGGATTGACTTCTATCACCTCTCCCCTTCTGCAGCTCGCTACTTCACCGCAAAGGGCAAGATGCATCCCTCGGGCTTTGATACTCGGGCCGTCGCTTCAGATGAAGCTGCTACATTCCTTAGTATCGCCAATGGGGAATCCATCAATTCCGTCGAGGACCGGATTCGTGATATCCTAGATGCGAACTCGTTCTTGCAAAAGATAAGCTTCATCAAGGATGTTCTCAAAGGCTGGATCAAGTATGGACGACTTGGTGGTCGTCCATCTCGCAGTCGATCAGCAGCTGGAGAGGAGTCAGTACCCCCTGAGATGTTCTGGCAAGGAACACAGGATCGGTCATCCGGTGGAAGCCATGGGACGAAGTTTGTTTGGGTTACAGTCGGTGCGCCTGATGGCGATGGCGCATATCGATCAATCATGCTGAAGGATAGCGACAGGGAGAAGCTTGAGAAGAAGACTGGGATGACTTATGACAAAGAGATGGACATGCTCAAGGAACGGCTGAGAGTCATGGGTCGCGAGTAATTTTCTGGCTCTAATTGTGCTATTTACAGTTCACCTCTACGAAGTTATGACCCTGTGTTTGTTGTGCGCGATTTGCGTCTCTGGATGTTTGGATTCACCCTGGCGTTTGTGAAATCTCGGTGTTTTGACCACTCGTTGGTTTTGTTTTCTTCGAGTACCTAGTTTGTGACGACGATGCCATGTTGCAGAACAATTGAATAATTGAGTGACTCGATTTATATGAACATGTTCCTACTCCCGGACAGGACAACTTGGTACCATGTCCACGTTTATTAACAGTGTCGCAGTGCATTTGTCACAGTACCCGCACTCGATTTATGCTCAGGCCGTCTGGCCAAACGATCGGCTTTCTGTCGCCCGATATCCACCGGTCCTCTGAATACAAGCTGATCACCCCGCACTTTTAATTCGTTCTAGAACTAACATTCGTCGTGTCAGATGACCGGCCTCTCGGCATTTTCCCTTCCGTCAGCGAAGTGACAACTGGGAACTATAAGAGCTTGATCCGTGACCCGAAGACTGACCATCGTCACCACACTCACAAACATCAACATGCAGAATCCATCTTGCTTGCTATATGGCCCAGGGGATGCTCGTTTCGAAGACCGGCCAATGCCACAGATCGAGGATCCTTACGATGTAATTATCCGCATCGCCTACGTGGGGGTCTGCGGAAGTGACGTGTGTAAACTCCTCTTTGACATCAGAAAAGACCCTTTGCTTTGGAAATTCATACTAAAAGATAGGACTAGGTTCACTTTTGGCTTCATGGCGGGATCAAGAATTTCGTCTCCCAAGAGAGACCCCTTGTCATGGGCCACGAGGCCTCGGGCATCGTCCACGCCGTGGGACCAGCCGTAAAGGGCCTACAACCAGGTGACTCCATCGCCATCGAGCCTGGCTCCGCCTGTCGTCTTTGCAGTCGCTGCAAAGCAGGACAATACAATTTATGTCCGGAGATGAAGTTCGCTGCAAATCCACCCTACACCCATGGAACTCTGTCAAAATACTACAAGATGCCTGCAGATTGTTGCTACAAGATCCCGATCAACCTGGAAAAGCCATTTGGTCTCGATGAAGCTGTGTTGATTGAGCCACTTGCTGTAGCGGTGCATTCGGTTAGACAGGTTGGAGTTCAGCCTGGCGATAAAGTCGTTATTTTCGGGGCTGGAACGATTGGATTGTTGTGCGCGGCTGTTGCGAGAGAGTACGGTGCAAGCTTGATTACTTCGGTGGATATCAGTCGCAAGAAGCTTGACTTTGCGCAGTCCTTTGTGTCTGATGGACGCGTGAAATTTACAACGGTCATTCCAGACAGTTCTCTTCCTGCGGAGGAGAATGCTAGAGCTCTGTATGCCACGCAGCTGGGCTCTGCCTCGGAAGCAGATGTACCTGGCTTCGATGTTGCAATCGAAGCCACCGGCGCGGAGCCATGTATCCAAATGGCAATTCATGCGCTGAGGGTAGGAGGTTCCTTTGTTCAAACTGGCCTCGGGAATCCAAATGTCAACTTTCCTATCACGGTGGTCTCCATGAACGAGATCACCGTCAAGGGGTGCTTCCGATACGGCCCAGGTGACTACAAGGTGGCGCTGGAACTGGCACTGATCGGGAAGATCGACTTGCGATCCCTCATTACCAAGGTGCTTCCTTTTGAGAAGGTGACTGGTGCATGGGAAACGACGAGGAGAGGCGAAGGTATCAAGACGCTGATTCGGGGAGTGGGGTTTTCAGAGGATGGGAAGCAGGAGAGTTGAAAATGCATGAATGGGGAATGTCATTATTAATGATGTTAACTAGATATCCAAATGTGCTATACAATCTATGGTGCATCATCAATCATCAAAAGGCGTAAGAAATTAGTAGGCCCAAGGTGTATTCTGTTGAACGGCTTTGTCGGCAGAGGCCTCAAGATCCTTCTCACTGGTCTCATTCTCATCTGGTCCACGGAGACCCTGGTTTGTGTCCAAGGTCTGGTCGAGGTCATAGGACTCGGTCAATAAACTGAATAGAAGTGCAACGCCCGAGATCGCACAGCAAACAGCCCACACAATTCGCAAACTGTCTGTGTATGCATCCTTAAGATCGGATTTGTTAACACCATCTGCCATCCCCTTGATGATCTGAACCAGGCCAGCTGCATCTTGACTGTAAGCATCGGCCATGGGCGCAAGAGCAGGATACCTCAACAGGTTATGGCGCATGCGATTTTGGAAGACAACACCACCAACCGCCACGCCGATTGCCTGACCCAGTGCGCGGAAGAAGCTAAACATCGCGACTGCAATCGCCAAGTTGTCTGAGGTTGCTGATGCCTGTACGGCATAGCCGAGCGAGGGGAAGAGGAGACCGAGTCCTATACCCGGAACAACATTGAGTAAAATCCAGCCTGCAATGCTTGTCGAAGATTTGATGATGCACATCAACCCCAAACCGATGGTAGAAACTACCCAGCCAAGCCAGATTGCCCAACGATAGTGGCCTGTAATGGTGATGAGAATACCTGCCGCCATGCCACTCGGAGCGACTGTGAAGGTTTCCGGGAAAAGTGCGACCCCAGAGATGATCGGGCTATACTCCTTCACAGCCTCATAATACAGCGGAAGATAGTACAAGGTGCACCACAGTATCAGACCTTGCAAGACACTTCCGATGAAGGACACTGTTGCGGTACGGTTGCGGAACACCTTTGGAGGGATAATTGGATCAGCGGCAAAACGGTATTCGTAGAAAGCGAAGACGAGTAATCCAGCAGCACCAATAATCAACGGTACGAGAGTATGCCACGAGTCCCAAGCATATGAGACTCCACCCCAGGTCAAGGGAATCAAGAATGATGACATGCTGCCAACGAACAGGAAGGTTCCGACGTAGTCAATGCGACGAAGCTTCTCGACCAGAGAGCTTGGAAGGATGCTGAGCTTCAAGAAGAGCACCACAAAGAGGGCACCAAATCCGATGAACGGGAAGTTGATGTAGAAGATCCACCGCTAAAGAGGATTAGCTTTGTACGTGGAAATTCCGGAGTCAACTTACCCAAGTCACATTTTCGGCGAAGCCTCCACCTAGAATAGGTCCTGTCACAGAGCCAAGACTCCACATAGCACTCAGAATACCAAAATATTGACCGCGATATCTCAATGGGATGAGGTCTGTGACAATAATCTCACTCAGGGCAATAATACCACCTCCCCCGACGCCCTGGATCGTTCGGCCCACCAACATGTACGTGAAGTTGTTGCCAACGGCAGCAATGATGGCACCAACACAGAAGAAGAGGATGGCAATAAGAACCATCGGGCGGCGACCGAATATGTTTGAGAGCGATGCGAAGCTAGGCTGAAAGACTACTGTGGTATCAGATATCTGCCTTGATCAGCTTGATAGAGGTTTACCAACCTGTCGAGGAAAGCAGGAATGACGTTCCACTCCAGAAAGCTTCAATAGCTGTGCCATTCAAGGCCTTGGCAATTGTCTTGACCTTCATTAGCTTCTATGCCCGACGAGAAGATCAATAATCGTGTAGATGTACCGGTAAAGCAACAGAAAGAGAGGTCCCATCCAGAGCAGCCATTAGAGTAAGAACGGCCAAGGTGAAGAACACTAATTGACCTCGTCGGCCAAGTGCAAACTTCTCATTCTTAATATCGGAGTCTTGATCTCTGGCAATAATTGAGCTGGGATTGCTCATTGTGCCCGTTGGATCTGGCTTCTCTGAGCCATTCACGAATGGATCCTCGGAAGCCATTGTTGCTCAACGACGAGGAGAGAGTAAGGAGGACGATGGGAGCTGTAAATCAAAGGGAGATGAAGCTGGCTACAGTCCCAGGAAAAAGAATTTGTATTTGAATTGCCTTGAAGGATGATCCCGGACAGCATGCATAAGGTCTATATAGAGGCAGTGATGCCCCTCCAAGGCTGGCACAAACAGCCTTGCGGGTCGAACACGACCCTCCATCGTTTGGAACAGGGTGAAGTATTTCCCCGTCGCGGATTCCACACAAGGCCTTTCCCGAAACGAGAAATCTCAGTATCTCGTTGTTGTGAAGCTCATCTCTGAGCGGCTGAAAATGCCAAGAATCGGGCGAACTCCACGCCGACGCCCTCCACCTCAACCGGCCGTCGGTGCAATCCAGCCTAATCCCGTGGAGAGCATGCGGCATCGGGGGCTTGCTGGTCGTATTGATGATTTTCTGGCCCGATTGCTGTTAGGCTTACCGGGGAATTCTCTGGTGAGCCAGAAGGATAATTATTCTCCCTTTTACCTCCGTTGGTTGGCCCGGCTTCCCGATGCTATTTTGTGATGATTATATTCTCCGACAGTGACTTAACTTAAAGAAGGAATTCCCCGAGAAGTGAAAGCCGAGAAATTATTGAAATGCCTCCAGAATACCCTTCTATAATAAAGTTGAAGCCGTACCAGATCTACGAAATTGAGACATGCTCCTAACAGTTGAACACACCTATTCGGCTCCGTTGACAACTCTACGCATCGGAACCATCCTGTTAGGATTTGCGACCCTAACGTTAGGTGTGCTACTTATAACGTAATTCCCGGCCGACCTGGCCACCCCAAAATACAAAATACCATACATCATAGAATATTTTATAACATGAAAATTCGCATTGTAGAATGGTGTTTTGGGGTGGCCAGGACGACCGGGAATTACGTTATCGGTCCCAGTCATGTCAGAACGTAGCGTTCGACATATTTAGTCTTTCGGCCTGTTCGGTTAGCGGGTCTGGGCGCGAGTCCCTGCTGTCTCCCTTCATATGTATGACCCTTGGTATTATTCCTAGTCCAACTTGAAACACTTCCAAGGGCCTGAATTATACATTAATGTTGGATTCAGATATCTATGATGGCCATGTTTATTCTACCAGATCTACTGTCTTGATGGCTAACCTCGCTGCACAAGTTCTTTGACAGAGTCCTCGTCACACATCAGCGCCCTCGATTCAGGTTGAGCGCTGTTTGTCGGAAATAGGCTCATGGCATGAATATGGCTCGATTGAAACGTTACAGGTGTCGTGTTAAAGGATATCCTGATCTGCAACCCACCACTCTGCCTGTAAACCAACACCGACTCGCTTTGGCGAGTCAAGGACATACACCACCCCTTTCCGCTCAAAACACAGCACTGTCTTCAAAGTCTTACTCCTGCAGTCGCTACCTCTCGCTCTGAACAATCTGTGGCAATTCGGCTAGCAGACTTGGTGATGATGGGTTCCATCCAAGAACCTTACGGGCTCGAAGTGCCCGCCCACGAGAATTCATTCCCCAGCTTAGCGACTCGAAGCCTGCATACTTCTTGGCACTTTCCAAGTCAATACGTTCAGCCTTTGCTTTTGGAATGAGACCTAGTGTTGCGGCAGCCTCTGCAGTGGATTTAGCAAGGTCTCCCCAGCGGTGCTCTCCATTCTCAGTGAGGTAGTAGGCTTTCGGACCCCAGAGCCCATCATCAGTTCGGCCTGCGAGTGCGGCATTTACGAGCAATGCATAGACGTCACTCAAATCGTGGATGTGGACGTTGTTCCAAATCGCCTCGCCCGCACCAATGATTGGACCCTTCTGCAGCAGCAGTGTCACCTTTGCGAGTTCGTAGACTTGACGACCGCGCTGAGAGCATGGGCCTCGTCCACGTCCTGGGAAATTAATGAGAAAAGTTTCCAAGTTGGTAGAGAGGGTTCTGAGGGCACACACCATAGATGGTCGGTGGACAGACCAAAGCAACCTTGAGCACATCTGCATGCTTCGCGGCTGCATCCAAGACGAGCTTGTCCACATTGCGATGGAAAGCATGATCAGGTAGATTCAGAAGCTCCTCCACTCCATCCCAGTCATCGTAAACCTTGTCGCTCTTGTTTCCATACGACCCCTTGTCACTATCTTCGTAGGTCAAAATTCCAGTTCCACCTGTGTGTAACCAGTACCCCGGCTTTTCCTTTGTATGCCCAGCAACCAAACCCGCAGCGATTGCCTTCGCAGCCCCCACATGGTCAGATGCATCTGCGGTGTCTAAAATGGATTGTCAGTCGTATTTGAAAGAAGCAGTTTTCAGGACACTGACGAAGGACGATGTCTGCTACTGCACTCTCCCGCTCTAGCAACGCTGAGTTGTCAAGGTCACCGATAACCACGCGGACATTGGGGAAGCGAGCTTTGACCTGCTCGGCCTTCGCGTTGCTGCGAACTAACGCGGCATAGGAAAATTCTGGGTGCGCGGCATATATAGTCGTGAGGGCGTCGCCACCAATGTAGCCAGTTGCTCCGGTACTGTGGACTGATTAGCAAAGGAGCTGACCAGCTCATGATCGGGTAGTAGTTACATGAAGATTTTAGTCATTGCTAGGGCGCGGCCAAAGTTGAGCGATGGAGGGCCTCTGACGTCAGAGCAAGGCAGTGGACAAAGGTGAGCGGTTGCGGAGGTAAGAGAGCGCTTGAAGCGTGATAGCTGCTTTAGAACAAGAAGCCTTTTTCGTGGAGGAAGTAAGGTTGGAGATGAATCAATTCTTATCGGGTAGATAGTTGCAAGTCCCTGAAGACCTGATTCCTGTTCATGCTTCTCTTGACCCCGCGAGTCAGACTGGGCAGACCACTGCGTCATATGTAAGCGGTTGGTGGGGACATCAGGTTGACTTCCATCACCATTAGTCTGCGATGAATCTCGTATGCATGAAATTCGATCCTTGGCAACTTCAATCTTTATTGGTTGAAAGGGAGACTATTTCTTTTTGTCAAAAATGACCTTTGCGAGGCTTATCATATCCTTATCTGGGGCTCCTTTCAAAGGAACCTGGCACAAGTAAGATCTCAGTGGAAATGGAAGCTTCCATGATTCAACGAAAGGAGACTTCCAAAGCCGTTATTCAAATGATCCCGAATCATGGTCGGAGCTCGATTCATAACCTCAAAGAGAAGCCGAAAGCTAGAAACTCGCATCTTTGATTCATTTCAGCAGTAGATGCAAGATTATCCGACAGCCGCAGCTACTAATCATTTCCTCATTGCTTGGAGGCACTACTCATCGAGGGCATCCAGACATATAAACTCAGTCTTAACATATTCGTACGACGAATTGTTGCCCAAGTTAGCGACGAAATTCCTCGCACCGTTCTGTGATGTTCGAGGCACGGACCTAAATAGGACGCTTGTTTTAAACAGGCAACAGACTTCGCTAGCACAGGCTCTATTTACGCGAATGTCTCCCAGTACGGAAAATTGAGACGGAAATTTGCGCAGAAGTTATCAAACAGATTTCTGCCGCCTCTTCCAGGAGACTGCTGCTGTGATGAGACCTGCTCGATTCTAAAGTACAATAGCTATCAACTTCATGCTGTCTCAAAGTCTACAGGCTAGTAATTCGATGGGATTCAGATCGAGAGATTTTGGCAGCAGCCACCAGAAGATCCTACGCAGAAATACCCTTTCTCCTATTTTCACTCGGTATCACCCTGGATCTCACTCTTGCTCTTAGGATATATTCGATGTAAGCCACGCTTGCTGAGCTGGAAGATTGCTGTTCTAAGAAGACAAGATTTGATTGTATTCACGGATTTAGCAAATAGAGCCACTGCACTAGATTGAGGAGATAGCGCGAATATGATTTTGACAATTGTGTAGGTTATCCTGATACCAGCCCGCGGGTTGAGAACTGGTGTGATGGGCGTTGTCTGGGTCTGGGTTTCACCGCCACAATCAGTAACACCAGTCTGCGATAAGAATAGGGCGAGGAAGAGAAGGATGGGTTCTGCTTATGTGGATTCATCCAAGTCAATTTTGGGTTTGCAGGTGCAAATCTCTTGCTGGCCAAGGTCCAAGCAATGACTGCTGCCTAGGTAAGTCGATGCGAGGACTGAACGTCTATTAAAGGAGAGATATTTAGTGCGCCCGAACGCCAAGCATCAGGATGGGTAAAATAAAAGCCAAACTGGCTTCCTTCAAAACATTATTCAATAAAAACCACTATTTCTATAACAACCTGCCTGATGGATCATTACATATATCTTCTTATCAATCTGCAATTTTTCGCTGGGGAAAATAGCCGTTCTATCATACAAAGGAGGATGTGACACCTCCTTCCACGATAGTCTTCAAAATTAAAAGAATTGCCTTCGATCTCGACCTGGATAAAATTACGTACGTAGCGTACCGCAGCCACTCGCCTTCCAGTGTGGGGGCAACAATTGGGTAACTAACTTTGAGTGGGCGACTAGCCGATATAGTACGTGGTTGAAGTGGTCTCAATCCACAATTACGGTATACGCTCGGTTCCCCTCGCGGTCAATGCCGATTGCCCTGATGTTGTATCTTGCCATCAACGATCATGATACGGAGTACAGAAAACCAATAAGGAGCCTGCAGCGTCATAGTGAACTCGAGTCTTTGAATGATATGATATGCCTAGGAAAGTCTGATGTAACCACGTGGAAAAGCTTTGTCCCCTGGAGTTGTCCAAGCGCATAGGCTACTGCCATAACCATCTGTCTCACATACGAATCCTTCGCCAACGTGGGCCTCAAAGGACGCTAATTATTTCTGCTAGTTGATTTTGAGACATCAACCTCGATGGTCTTAAAAAATCCTTTTTCCTGTTGCAAATATTCAGGGTGGGCGAGGGCTGCTACGAAAACCAGATAGTGGCGATACACGAATTTCTAGAACACCAATAATAGCCGTTGATAGGCGAACACTCCATGCGAATTTTCAGATACCCCTCAGGCACAAACTTTGGAACCTCCCGCATCTAAATAGTGGGACCAGCTAAACTATCGAGTAAACGAGTACGGGGAAGGGTTTAGCGATCTGGCCTTTTAATTTGCAACAGGGGTCAATCTGTGACAGGGGATGCCGTCAAAGTTTAAGCTTGTTTTGGCTCGGCGAGTCAATTTCGCTGTAGGGCTTTGGTTATGCATACGTTGCTCGATCCACGGACTCCACTAGGAACCCCATATTTATCCTCGCCCCTGGTCAGTCAGGGAGTCCACGCGGCTGGGTTGTGTCCACATTGCTTTTATCTGAGTCTTTGACCGCAGGCACAGCGTTCTCTACCTTTTCTGGCGTATTCGTATCTCCACAACCCTACGCATAATCAGTACCGTATCCACCTCAACTCCCTTTCCCATGACATTCGCCACGTATATAGATTTTTGGAGACGGCACTGCCCCTTTAGCCCCTTGGTCAAAGGGGAAGAGGATTTGCGCCACAGCGCTACCCAAGCTCATCACTTATGGTCTTCGTGGAGTCAAAAAAAAATACACCATGTAGCTTTATATCATTTTCCTTTTAAGCATTTATTATTTCTCCTCCTGTAGTCAACCCTTTGATGAAAGGGACTTTTCATTTTCTCAACTTCTAGGAAAATGTCAACATCAATCAAAGGCCGGGACAATGTCTTGTCAAGAGCCGAGATTGAAGGCATGATTGCTGAGAATAAGTTGATCATCATTGTCGATGGCAAAGTACTCAGACTGGATGCCTGGATCAAGTTTCACCCTGGTGGTGATATGGCTATTAAGCACATGGTCGGCAAAGATGCTACAGACGAGGTCAACGCGTATGTCTTCTCGTCCTGCATCGAATTCGCTCTTACTGACTGACGACCGAAAGACTACATTCACAGGAAGCGCGCCAACGCATGAGGAAATTCCAGATCGGCCGTATCGAAGGAAGATGGTCCAATTTCCTTCCACCCATCCAAGGCGGCACTTTCCGCCCATATTTTGAAGCCAAGGAAGGCATGGATGAAGATGACACTTTGATTTCCGAAGCCTCGAGTGAAGAGGTTTCAGCTCCGCCATCTCCAATCTTCGAACCAACAGAAGACACGTTTGGCTTGAGACGCAGGCTGTCCATTTCTACAATATCCTCCTCAATCAGCACCACCCCTCTATCAACAACTGAAACCAATCGTCAAACGTGTGTGATCGACGCCCGAACTCAGAAGGAAATTCAATTGGACGAATCCAAGTATCCCGCTCTTGACGCGGAACATCAAGAGTATATCACAACGAAATACCGTCAGCTCAACGAGCGGATTCGTGCAGCTGGCCTCTACAACTGCAACTATTCTGCCTACGCTGTTGAAATATGCCGATATTCCTTAATTTTCGGTCTTTTCATTTTCTTTTTGAAGAAGTCTTGGTTCTGTCTGTCTGGTTTCTTCCTCGGATGCTTTTGGCACCAGCTGGTCTTCTCTGCTCATGATGCTGGCCACATGGGTATTACGCATGATTTCCAGACGGACACTGTGATTGGTATGATCATTGCGGACTTTCTGGGTGGACTTAGTCTCGGCTGGTGGAAACGGAGCCATAATGTCCACCATATTATCACGAATGCCCCAGAGCATGATCCTGATATCGAGTTGATGCCGTTCTTTGCCGTGTCGCAGCGCTTCTTCAAGAGTTTGCGTAGTACATACTACGATCGGATCATGGAATTTGACGCAGTGGCCAAGATCACCGTTAAGTACCAGCACTACTTGTACTATCCGATTCTCCTCTTTGGTCGCTTCAACCTCTACTACCTGAGCTGGGAACATATCTACCTCGGTCTCGGCCCTAAACACGGTGCGGGCTGGTGGCACCGCTGGTTTGAGCTCGCAGGTCAAATCTTCTTTTGGACTTGGTTTGGCTATGGTGTCCTCTATCTCAATATTCCAGGTCTATGGAACAAGGTTGCCTTCGTCCTTATCTCGCACATGGTCACCGCTCCACTACACGTGCAGATCACACTCTCTCACTACGCGATGTCCACCGCTGATCTCGGTCCTCTTGAGTCATTCCCTCAACGGATGCTCCGAACGACCATGGATGTAGACTGCCCAGAATGGCTGGACTTCATTCACGGTGGACTCCAGTTCCAGGCGGTTCACCACTTGTATCCTCGCATTCCGCGTCACAACCTGCGGAAGACGCAGAAGTTTGTCAAGGAATTTTGTGAGGACGTCAAGATCCCATATGCTGTTTTTACTTTCATCGATGGAAACAAAGAAGTTATCGGTCGCCTTGCGGACGTTGCTAGACAGGCGAAGATTTTGGAGGAATGCCGCAAGGCATGCGCGGAGCAAGGCGTTTTTTCGGATCATCATCATTCACATTGAAGAGGCTTGTCCTCTTTGAGAACATTACATGAGATACCACTTAGAGATTATCTTTATAAATTGTACATATTTCCTATGAGCATCAAATTGACTTATACATAGTACCAAAAGCGAGTGTATACAAAAACTACTTAATCAAACATCACGGTAATTATCGGAACAAACTCAATATCCGCTCCTCTGATTTCCCATCTCATTCTGTGGGTATCCTCCCATGCCCTGGGCTTGCGGATCAACTTTGCCCATGCGATTGGGGTTTTGCATACCAGCTGTGTCTCTGACAGGTGGCTGGGTATAGCTACTGCCTCCAGCAGCACCGCCGCCAAATTCGGGTTGTGCCACGCCGCCTTGAAGACCCGGCTCAGCACGAGGATTCATTTCACAAGGTGTAGCGTGGGTAGTGGCTGTGTGGGATTTATGTTCCTGCGTAGAGCTGCTGGAGTTATCCTCGCTGGTGAACTGAACGCCAGACCCCGGGGCACCGGGCTCAGAGTGCCTATTGTGTTCTTGTGTAGCTTTGTTGTAGTTATCTTCATTAGCTGCGTGGTTATCCGTGCCGTACGTGCGAGGGTGTCCACTAGGGGCCATGTCACCTGTGTTCATGGCCTGACGGGCACCGACGGTGTTTTGGGCTCCCATGGTTCTGGGATTCTGGGCTCGGTGGTCTGTCATGGAGCTTATATCAGTACCTGAAACCATCACACTGATGCAAAGTATCGACTGACCAAGGTCACTATCTACACGAGGGTCCATCTTGTTGCCCAGCTTGGAGTTGTGAGGCCCAGCATTGGTCGTGCTAGTACCTGTTGTGGCCGAGCCTGTATCAGGAACCCTAGCTGCACCGGTGTTGCCAATGCCACGGCGAGCTTCCGGCCCAAATTCGTCATTCATCGATGGGTTGTTCTGGGTTGGTGCAGAATCCTTTGCATAAGGATTGGTGGGTTTGTAGGCACTTTGTGCTCCTGTGTAGAAAATCATTAGTACCACGGTACTTTGCTACATCAGTTGTAAGACAAGAGAAAAGAGAATCTCACCAGGGGCTTCGTTCGGGGGCACCGAGTCTTGATCGTGGCGATCAGTGACAGCGTCCTTGAACTTGTGCATAAAATTCGACATTTTAAAACCGCGTATCTTGAGACTCTAGAGATCAATCAAATGGGTTTGAAGTATCATAAACAAAAGATACTGACGGGAGCGAAGATCATGAATGCATTATATACCTCGCATGAATTCTTGTTGCCTTGAGGATCTCGAACTTCTGAAGACTCATTGACGCCATAGGTAACGAACATGTGTAATCATCAGCCACTAAAGTTGGCTGTAAACCTGACAGCAGTTCTATTTTGACTTTCAGTATGACACCTTTAACAGATCAAAGTAGGATATTACGCATATTATCCGAAGACAAATGATAATGATTGGCGCCCAACTTCAGCTCCAAAGGCGGATGATCATCTTGAATCAAGGCCATGAATAACCATTGCCAAGTGTGAAGTAAGCTGTGATGTATTAAACCTGACAGTGGCACAGTACGATCCATGGATGGGAGCCTCACCTGGCGCCTTCCCGTGGTTCAGCTTCCAACCATCTTCGATGGCCCAGTTTTGATTATCAGCAAGATCGGTTCCTTGCCACCTACCGAGTAATGTGGAATCTTTAGGCGACATCTTGAACCTGTGAATTGTCAAGCGACAGAGATACTCTCGATTTATTTCCTGAAGCGGTCGATTGCATGCAGTAACTGGTGTTCGTTCAACAGTTGATACTGCGGACGGAAGCATGGGCCTCCAGAAGCTTGATCGCTGCTTTTAGACATAACTTTGCGGCTACGACAACCTATGACGACGAAATTATACAGTGGGCTTCCATAAGTTTCAAAACCCCCGGAAAGTTCAAATCTCTCATCCGCCATATTTTGAAAGCCAAGTCAAGGAATAATGGCTGGGCTATCTAGAAAGCTGTTTCAAAAGACACACAGAACGATTTTTCAAAAATGTGCAGTTGAAGCGTTAAGACGGTCATTTTTCTTGGTCTCCAGTCTCAGACTTTTGAACTGCCACTGTAATACATTCCTTAGTGCACTTACCGCACTCGATGGAAACCGAATCCACCTTAAAGAAAAACCGCCCAAGATACACTTTCGCTCAATCACGTTTAACAGGCCGAATCATATTGACTTGCTCGTAGCCAGGGAAAGGCGAGAACCGCCCATCTAATAGTTGAAATCCATTTCTTTCGTAAAGCGGCCTGCCAGCCGGGGAGCTGGAGAGATAGGTTTCAACGCCTTCTTCATCCGCGCGTGCGAGACCCCATCGTAACAGCTTCGAGGCCAGACCGCGCCCTTGGTACGATGGATGAACACCCAGAATCTCGAGATCTGTTAAGCGTTAGTTATGCATGCTAGCCTTTGGTGTATCAGGCGAGGTGTCAGGAATCAACGCAAAGGCGTGGGGATTCAAGTGTGGATACGGACAAGCATCCGCCATCAAAGACCGGACGGACGCAGACGAACATAACAAAAAGACAAACATACAATAATGAGGTCTCTCCTTCATAATCTCCTTATGATGCCCACCCATCGTCCCAAAGAACCGATCACATAATTCCCCATTACTGCTCTCGGGCCACACGGCGGGACCCTCAGCCCGCCGATCGTGATCCGCATGCGACACAGACGAGGGGCGAACCCATTTCGCGAACGCCACTACCATATCAGGGTTCGAAGGATCCGTCACCTTAAGCATAACCTGGTCCTCTGGTATACCCTCGCCGCAGAGCAGGTTCTTCTCGATCCAGATGCGCACGTCCGGCTTATCCGGGAACATGGTTCTGTTGAAACGGTCAGAGAAGGCGGCGAAGAACACCTCCGCAAGTTTCGGCGCGTCGACGGGCTGGGCGAGTTGTACATCGGATGCCATGGCTGAGATACAGTATTAGGTTTGACTGTAGTTGGTGAGCCGTTTCTCCGTGCCTGCTACGTTATGGCTGGTGTAAAAATGTGTGTAACTTTGGGATTTGAACTGGTCGTGCTTTGTGTTGCGTGGCGGCTGCGGGAGGCCTCGGTCGCGGGTAGAGTTTTCGGATGCAACCAAGCTAGTCTGTCAGTTCGCGATCGATGCTCTGATAAGGAGAATGTGTTTATATGTGCTTTTCAAGCAAACACCCTGCATGGACCATTAGAGATTCAGTTCAATAGTCTCGGATGGCCATTGGATTGAAGAGAATGAATAAGCAAAGAAAAATGTGCTATATATTTGGAAACATTGACCATGACCCTAGGCATTAAATAACATTAACACAATACATAACCATACCAAGATGGCTAGATTGCTCTCAATGACCACTTCAGGTATGTATGTCCATCCCGAAGGTGGCGTGGTTTGATAGACATGAAAGAATCGAACACAGACCAACTCGTCCATGTCCAGAGCATTGCGAAAGCATAAACCATTTTGACCAGCCAACACAGGATGACCTCGCGCTTAAGCTGGTAGCGACAATGCGGTCAGTACGACAGACGCCGACAGGAAAATTGGTGAAAGGCAGCACCATAACCATATGGCCTATGCATCGAGTCAACCTCGTGTGAGCACTGCCGCATTCTGGATAATGAATCAGTGGTTTTCCACCACCGGCTCAGGAACCATGATAGGGCTGACATCTCCTTCTCGAGGCTGAGCGGCACCCATGGCCTGTGCCTCGGACCGTCGAACAGGCGTTGCAGTATTCCGGTGGCCACTGAGGTGATTGGAAGTCGGTAGAAGCGAGCGACGGATCCGAGGATCATCAGGTTGCTGTTGCCTGGCATCGCCACTGCTCTTGGTCGTTTCCATTTCCGACTTGACATTCTGGTACATGCTCTCCACGATAAAGACTTCCTCTTGAACGTCTAGATCACAGCCCACCAAACAAAACTCGCGCTCGCGTTGCTCAATATATTCGCGGATATTCTTCCACTTGTTCTGGTAGCTCTTCAGGCGGTCTGGGAGCCCCGAGCCGCGCAAGTAGGTCAAGATGCCGGCCATGATGGTGTTGATGGCGCCGAAGGCAGTGATGGCCGAGTGGGGACCACTGGCAGCACCGAGGGCTGTCAACGCCGCAGCGACAATGATTTGAATGCCCAAACAGGCGTTGATGAGGTAATTGAAAATGGTGTAGGCACGGCGAGCTTTGCCCTCGTTGGTCACAACACGTGTGTAGATGCCGACATTGGGAGCGGTTCGAAGAAGATGTCCGCCTTGTGTGAGAGCAGGAACGCTGTCGATACCGGTCAGGGCGCGAAAAATGAGAAGTTTGTCGTTTGGTGGGATGAGATGGTCGGGGTTGCTGGTCAAACTGCCAAACTGCTTCCCCTGTTCCAAATCTGGAGCACCATTTCCTGCAAACACATACGGCCCACTGTTGGTACGCTGAGCAGCGGCGGCAGCATGAGCAGCCATAGGTGGGGGTGTCCTGTCTTCACGAAACAAAGCGGCCTCGATGACTCGGCGTAACAGGCTTTGGCTTCTAGTTCCTTCGGACATAGTTGTGCTCCAGGAGGCAGAGCTAGGAACACCGAAAAGAAATCAGTCGACAACACCTTGACCCAAGCAAGGGGGTTGCTTGTCTATATTTGTAGCTGTGGGATCAACCGCCGGCTGCACGGTTCGGCTGTTTTTCTTTTCTTATTCCTTGGTACTTCTTCACGCCGACTGCCCAGTGGTCAGGGTGACAGGTGCAGCTGCCACCGAGCTTAGTGCAGATTTTAGACTGTCGCCGAGACCTGAACAAAGACTGAGCTAGCCCTTCAGCACAGCTCGACTGCCGATGTGCGTGATTTGCTACTTGAAACGGCAACCCTCGGTCCGTGAAACCTGCAGGGTCTGGTAGCCCAGCGGATACAGAGGACCCTGCCATTTCAATCACGACAGGCCAGCAGCCTGAGCTAGCGGGTGTTCAGTTGGTGACCCGCGCACGAGCGGGCTGAAGTTTGAATTGGTGGGCAAGCCTCCGTAGATAGCGATGACCCTGAATGGAGGTTGACACAGCTCTAGCCCGGCGCGGCGTGAAGTCCGGCGGGGATCTGCACGGCGGGCTCTCGCAAAGCAGTCAAGAACGGTGGGGTTGGCTTGAGAGGCTTGGGGGAATCATAGGCCTCGATCGCGATCTGGACACAGGGAAAGGTGTCGATCAATGGGTACGAGCTCTGCCGTCGACAGACTCGACGCCATCAGAAACTGGGAAATTCTCCGTGCTGGGACGCTCTAGCTGGGCAGTAGGGTGACAAATGGAGCCATTGGATGTGACTCAATTCTCGTACAGCCAGTCAGCCGCTGGGAGGTCTCACTAGGTAGTATATGACAGGCCAGAGACCATGGGTCCGACCGGATGATTGGGATTGGCGCTCTGCAGATGGTCCGAGATCAAGTGGATGAAGTTGTGAACATGTTTGAGTGGAGTTCCTTGCACGGGATGGTATCTCCACTCCCACACTTTAAGAGCCTTCCATGATTCGATTGATTCGATTCCCACCAGACCGTGCGAAGTGCCGATTTCACCCCACGGTCTGGTCGATGCGTCGTTTTAAGCCCTCCTTCGTTTGAAATCGTAATCAATGCATGCCGAAATTCTAAATACGCCATCAAAGGGAGACATGCTTTGTATCTTCGACTCTCCTTGGTCAGACAGGGCAATTAAAGCCGCTGCCTCGCAAACGTCCAACACCCTGCGATCTTTGCAAGGCAGGTTATTGACCCCCTTGAACAACCCTGTGGGTATAGTGGGTCTCACCTCGTGGGTCTTGCTCACTTCTCTTCTGAAGCCCGATGAGCGCAATGACAGTGGTTGATTTCGGGTCACGGCGGCGGGCCTTTCTTTGTGTTTGTTGACAATCGGACCACTCGCACTTCTTGATTGGGTGGCACAATCACGCTACGCTCACGAAATGGCGTTGTGGCGGGCTGACCGTGTGGACGGCAACGGGATCCTGAGCGCCTCTCGCTGCGATGATCAGAAGCCATGCAGACCGGCTGATCTGGATTGTTACGGTTCAGTTATGACCGTGTAGCCAACTAGCTGACCGTAGAGATTTAAGGATGATGATATCCCTGTTCCAAAGCGTGTCAGCAATCCTTGTTTAAGAATCTCACGACAACAGGCATTGCGACACCGATTCCCTCATGTTTGAGTAGGGATTCTTCAATTCGGTCGAGGTCAAGGCACCCGGGCCGTTCTTTAATCGGTTTGTACGTTTGGATTGGTCTTTGGATACGGCCACGCTGCGGGTAGATTCTACCCGAAAGTGAAAGTGCGATCGATCGCAGCAAGCAAAGATGGCCCTGGAATGCTCGGAGGGTGTTGATCACCTGATGTCCGAGGTATACACTCATGTTGGAACCAAGGGTCCTATAAAGCTTCATGTTTCTTGATTTTAAGCCAGGCAACAAGGAGGTCTATTTTTCTGTTCTAGAATGACAACTTTCTATCGCATGGTGAGACTACTCCGCACAATTTCTTCTGCAACAACCCCAATCAAACCGCATCCCACAACTGCCAAAGCCCAGGGGTTGGTCAGGTCTTTCAACGAAGGCCAGAAGCTGTTCTTTTCTCCCCGCCAGTTACACAGTTGCTCGTACTTGTGAGTATCCTGCTGTTGGTAGCGCTTCTCTTGGCTCTCCTCGGTTTTCTTGTCGCCACCCACCAAGCGAAGGAAAAGATAGTTGGCAAGTGGGCCAAGTAGAACAATTGGATTGAAAGAGTCGGTGATGTTCATGAGAAGGAATGATATATGGACCAGTGTGTCTCCCAAATAGCTAAAAGAATGATTAGTAGAGTCAAGGAAAAAGAAGTGCACATCCCAACGGAGACCTACTTAGGATGTCGGACAAGGCTCCAGACACCATATCGGCATAGATCTTCTCGCTCGTTGAGATGGAGCTCAAGCTGAGTATCAGCCATTATCTCGAGCGCGAATCCAGCGCTGAACAGTCCAACACCCAATGCGCGAACTGTGCTAAGCGTGTTGGTGCTGACCGAGAGCGTAGTATCACCCATGGAGTATGGCACCGTGATAGGCAAGGAGATGAAACTCAAAAATGCGGCTTCAGGGAGGAAGATCTTGAAGAGAGCAGTCTTCCAGAACCCTTTTTCTTTCTTCTGCGCCTCATATCGCGGATCATCCTTCCCACGAGCCAAAGACCGGCTCACTATGCGAGCGAACAGCCGAGTGCCCCAGACGGTCACGCCACTGATAAGCAGCTTTTCAGACCAGGTAAGACCCCTCCAAGCATCAGGGAATGTAATTCCGGTTTCGTACATCGGCCGACCTATGGCAGTCAACCATGCATTGAGGACTTGCGCGGATGGCCAGAGCCAGTCTTTGATTTCGAGACGGTCGGTCGATTGTGCGACAGCATATGCTGCAACTGATAAGCCAGAATAAAGGCTAAACGAAGGTAGAAGGGTGGACTTAAGAATTCCGACGTCTCCGGTTGTCATTTTGAAGCCGGGACTTGGGGGAGGCGGAGCCCGCGAATGCGGCTTGGGATCGATCATCATCGAGTAGGCTGGAGCCCCCGCCATATTGATGAGATTGGAGGGTTAGCTCTCGAGGTCGAAGGATAAATGCTGCCAGTACTCATATGAAATGGGTGCGCGAAATATCGAAATGGTTTATAAAGCTGCTGATTGCGTATCGTTGATGTCAGTCTTGTGTAACTGGACCGAGCTCGCGATATGTTAGTACAGTTGTCCTATGGGTCGGATTGAACGAATGGAAGTAAATGGACTATATGGGCACTAAAATTGCAAGAGGCTGAGTTTCATAGGACTCGTATAGGTCCGGCTTTTGGATAGAAGAAGAGGTAGTGCATTTGCCTATAAAAGCTGCCGTCCACTCGAGCTATCCCCACAGCTAGGTAAAGATAAAAATCTGCACTTAGAAGAAAATAACGTCGGAAAGCATGAAATCATTATTATCATCGGAATATAATCCGAACATAGAACATATCTTAACCATTAATCATTTAAAGGAGTGACGCGAGAATAGCCAAGAACAAGCCTAATAGACCTGTACGAGGAACATTCTTCGTTGATGGTGCCGCATTGAACGCGGGAGAAGAAGTAGATGCGCTCGCAGTGCTAGATTGGCTTCCAGGTCTACCAGATGAGCCAGCGACACCACGGGAGGACGTTGCAGTGGGATTCTTGCCAGGGGTGGTTCCACCGCTAGCCCCAACGCCGATAGCATCGACACCCGACGCACCGGAGCTTGTGCTCGATGAGCCAGAGGAGGAATCTGTGTTCGCTCCAGAGGTTCCACTGGGGCCGGCTGAGTTTGAGCCGGTGACAGTTGCCAGCGTACTTGCTCCAGTGATTGAGCTACCAACGCTAGATCCTGAAGTCGTCGAACTGTCAGTATCCGAAGAACCAGAAGTCGACCCAGCTGGGCTGGAACCACCACTAGTTGAGCCAGTAGAACCACCACTAGTTGAGCCACTAGAGCCACTAGTTTGGGTACTGGAAGCTGCAGTGGTCTGGGTACTTCCAGTAGTAGCCGTAGCCGTAGGCGTCGGAGAGGTCGCGGTCGAGTCACTAGGTGAAGCAGTTGATGTGCTTGTCGTAGTGCTCACGGCGGTAGTGCTGGTGGCTGTCGATTGTGCCGTACTGCTCGAAGCAGTCGTCGTCACATCAGCACAAAAGTTTAGCCACTGGGAGAAAGAGGGCAACAGCGTTTGTGAGTACACATCTGAAGGTGTCGACGCAAAACGACTGATGCATGACTCGCAATTCGCCAAGTCTGTGGAGAAAGCAGAGTCACTTTGGCACAGCGCGGGTACTTTGCCAATAGACTGAGGCTCGAGAGCAGCATCGTTACAGCTATTATAGCAGAGGGAAGGGATGCTGTCATCGTCTCTCTTGTTTTTCTGCCTGGCGACAAAGTCTCCGAGGGGCGAGAACAGGCTTCGCTTCTTGCTAGCAACGACGAACTCTTCTGTAAATTGGAAGATGCTGTAATTGAGACCAAACTCCTGTGGATCGAGGTTGTAATAGTCACTGCTGAAGTTGTATTGCTGGCCGCCCTCTGTGGAATGATTGAAGATCAAGGGAGGAGCAATTACACACTCCGAAGGTGCACAAACATAGCCAGTTGCCGGGAGACCAGCTTCCACGTTACAGCCAGCGCGGTCTCCAGTGTGTGGCGGTTGACACAGATACCCAGGAGGGCAGCCCCAGGTGTAGTCGTCAGGAAGAGCAGTTGTGGGCGTGTAGGTTGGATTGGCTACAAGCGTTGAACACACGGACACTGAAATGGTTCTGGTGACAGTTCTGCTAGAGGTCAGTGTCTCGGTTGTCCCTGGATCAGTAATCGTTTCGAAGATCGTCGTGGGGACTGTCTCGGTTGAACCTAGTTGGTTATGTTAGCCATATTCAAGATAGAAATATTCAATTCGAGAATGTACCTGGCGCAGTGACTGTATCAATTATCGTGGTTGAACCGATAATGGTGACTGTGCTCGCCGGGAAGGTGATCGTGGACGTAATCGTTGACCCTGGCAAAGTAGTGGTTCCGCCTGGCAGGGTGATGGTGCTCGCAGGCTGGGTAATTGTAGTCGTGATCGTCGAGGCCGGGATCGTGATGGTCGAGGCTGGAATGGTTGATCCAGGCTCTGTGATGGTTGATCCAGGCTCTGTGATAGTTGACCCTCCAACGGTGATCGTGATAGTCGATGCTGGCTCAGTAATTGTCGACCCAGGCAGAGTCGTCGTGACAGTCGATCCAGGTTCGGTAATCGTCGACCCTGGTTCTGTAATTGTTGAGCCTGGCTCAGTAATTGTTGATCCCGGTTCAGTAACTGTTGATCCAGGTTCGGTGACTGTGGATGCTGGCTCGGTGATAGTAGACCCAGGTTCGGTAATCGTAGACGCGGGTAAAGTTATCGTCGTTCCAGGCTCAGTAATCGTCGTTCCAGGCTCAGTAATCGTCGTTCCAGGCTCGGTGACTGTGGATGCTGGTTCGGTGATAGTCGATCCAGGTAGGGTTCTCGTGACGGTTGGACCTGGCTTGGTGGTCGTGACTGTGTAAGTCACAGTCGATCCTCGAGTCGTAATTGTCTTCGTTGAAGTCAAAATATCAGTGATGGTTTGAGTGACCGTGGTCGTCGGACCGGGCTTAGTTTTGGTGATCGTCTCTGTCTCGGTGCAAGTGATAGTCTCCCCAATGTCGATCGTGATTCCCACAGTAATTGTTACTGTGGCAGTGAATCCGTATCCGTCGGGGTTCACTTCGACTGCTCGAGGAGTCACTTCTGGCGCTTCCACATCGCTCGGAATGGTCGCAGCAACCGTCGGGGTCAATGTTGGAATTGAACCATCAACACTGTATGTTGATAGCGCAATAGCATTGGTCGCCCACAGCGACAGGCAAGCGAGCGAGAACCTCATCGTTGACCTATTTGGCAAGCAGTCCAGAACTGTCTTGAGACCGTCTGCGGCGTGGTGAGAAGCACTAAAGGAAAACAACAAGACGGGATGGCCGACGAGGAAGTAATGCTACCTCAGCAGCACGGTCCCGCTAGTTTCCTCTTTCTTCTCCAATGCTGCATCTTGCGAGGCTCGTAAACAATCAATGCGGCTGGCAGTGATTGCACCATCATCGTGCGGAGTCGGTCAGCCCAGCAGCCGAGCTTCCATATTACTACCTCTTAGGGATACGGGGGTGGGTCTACGGAGTACACCTAGCCACTAGGCGGAGGTACGTCCGTAAGTAGTCAATGAACGATGATGAAAGGAACGGCGTCAGCGAAATCAGCCGGACCCGAGAAATATGCGAGGTGTTCTTCCGTCCACCAGTGATCGACAGTCATGGCCCGGAGCTGGGCTGTTCATGGCATAGTTCAGGCCCTCCTGCAGCGAGGCTTTCGACACTCGTTGGTTGTGCTGTACCGCACGGGGACTCGATGTGGAGACGGATGCATCCTGGTCAACAAAGAGGAGCAAAAACCTCAAAGAAGACAGGAACAAAGCCGCAATTCGAGGCGCACCCTGATTGCCCCTCTTGGCTTTTCGTGTGTCTCGCTTCGACCCGCAGCTGACGAGCGGCTGACAAGGGGAAGCCTGTGGAGGTCAGGCTGGCGTCCACCTAGCCGCATAAAGTAGGATAATACGACCGCAATATGCAACATGAGTGTCTCTCGTTTTGTTGCCGTCCGCCGTGCTCCGTGGAGTATTTTGTCGTCCTGACACACTGGTAGATCAGAGTTGCTTAGGATGCGGCTGTGACTTCGGTCGCTTGAAGAATGAGGTTTCTGTTCTCGACGACGTTAACGCTGTTGGCGGGCGTGGTGGACAGCGCATCGGCCGCATGTTCAACATGGGAGAAGCAAATCAACATTTCTATGTGCACCTGGCAGAGCTTACGCGGTCAGTATCGTTGTCATTCTCGTGTTGAATGCGCATAGGAAGGCACACTGGTGAATATCGCGCCACGGAACTGACGGTCAGATAGCCAACGTCCTCCACGACACGATCTACCTTGACGGTGGATATCTTTGGTTGCAGCAGTAAGAATAGTCTCTTCCTTTTCTTTAATAATTTTTGTCGTAGACTGACAATTGCAGAGGATTTGAGGATGGCTGCGTCAATTATGCGAATGATGGTAGGGTCGAACCGAAGACAAAGACAACGCGACCGCGCAAGTTTGGCTGAGCTGACCCGTGAACAGGAAATTTTCAGGGCTACATCTATTCTCTCAACCTTTCAACGCCCTTCAACACCAGTTCCGACTTCCTGACTGTCCTCGACAATGCAACCATTGCTGGGGGTACTGCCAATAATCTGGCCCCCAATTACATAGACGGCGCCATGTTCTCAAATCAAAACGAATTCTATCTCTACGGGTATGTCGCAAATTTGAAACTCACGAAAGGAAATCTACTAATTGCGATAATTTATCACAGAGGCATGTCTCGTTTGACTAACAGCAGCGATCCACCCCCTGCTAATGAGGTCCTTGGGTATGAAGGCTACCAGTATGGCGCCTTCCGTAACAATTGGGGGCCTGGTTGGCACGAAGAAAATCTTCCAACCAATGTCACTCGGTATATCACTAATGGCGCAGGTGTCTCAGCGCCGAGTGAAAACTTGGGCTTCTACTTTAGTGGAATGCGGGCTGCAGACTGGGGCTCGTTCACATACGACCAGTTCAACGCTAATGTCACCGCCAATACGCTGATAACTGTGGATATGTCCACAATGGGTGATGCAAGTTGGACAAACAAAACTCTCCCCCCCTAAAATTCCCGGACGTGCAAATGCCGAACTGGTGTGGGTGCCTGTCTCGGATTCTGGCGTCCTGGTGGCTATAGGAGGAGTCATTAACCCGACTGAATTCTACCAGAACACGGGGCTGAACGCCTCGCAGACTGCGGAAAGCAAGAAGGTCAGCCCGACTTTCATGGAAACCGTCTCCGTCTACGATGTCAAAAGTCAGACGTGGTACTTACAAAACACGACTGGCGATACGCCACCTCAATTGACACAATTCTGCTCTGTGCTGGCCAGCGCATCAGATGGCTCTTCACATAACATCTACATCTATGGCGGGTACGATGGTATTGAGCTAGACAACGTTCCTTCAGACGATGTCTATATCTTGTCCCTCCCATCTTTCACATGGACCAAGGCCTATAATGGCACGAGCAAACACGGCCGAAGCGGACACCGCTGCATCAAGGTGTATCCAGACCAAATGCTGGCGCTTGGAGGCGTTCGTGTCGGTGCGATCGACTGTGTAGAGGGAGGCGTCATCGTCAACTTTAATTTAAACAGCCTGACCTTCGAGGATAGCTACGACCCGGCTAAGTGGAGCGAGTATAAAGTTCCTGATATTGTGACGGCGAAGATCGGTGGCAGGTGAGTATCCAGTTTACTAATTTTAGCTCCTCGTTGCTAAACCTTCTTTCAGCTCCACCGGAGGCGCAACAACTACCGCCCCCTCATCATGGACCAATTCCTCTCTATCGTCTATCTTTGACAAAAAGTACGCCAAGACTATCACAAACTACTGGCCCTACAACAGCGACAGCGCCAATACTACGAGCACCGATACATCGAGCCACAAGAGCAGCGGTCTCCCCAAGTGGGCCGGCGCAGTAATCGGCGTACTCGTCGGACTCCTCGTTATCGGCCTTCTCGTCTTCGGATGGTGGTTCTTGCGTCGCCGCCGTCGTCAGCGCCCTGAAAGCGTACCTCCTGCCTTTGCCAAGACTGCTGGCGCGCGAGAGGCTGATAGCACCGAAGTGCGTCAGTTAATGTATGGTGGCGGTCCAACCTCCCCAATTCCTGGGCCCCAGTCAACGTCGACAGGCATGGAGACGGCTGCCAATGAGTCCTCCGTGCAAGATTCCATGCTGTCGTCGGTGTCTCCTCGTACAGTGGAGTCAGGAGGCGGAACAGTCTACGAGATGCAAGGTATGCTAGCGTATCCCACAAGCAGAAACGCTGAATCAATGCTAACGTTGCCTAGACTCCTCACCTATCGAGCTAGCCACGCCGTACAACGTCGCCTCAGACACCCCTGCGACATCTCCACCCTCAACTCCAATGCGGTCTCCAGTTTCTCCTACAACCACTGAAGGAGAGACAGCACATGCCACTCGACCGGCACACTACAGGAGTCCGTCAACGGCATCCAGTGTGCCCTCCTTGTCCATTGACAACGTCATAACGGGCCGGCAGTCGTATTTCCAAGAGTCCTTTGATAACAAGACCATATCGCGAGCGCGTCATGGCTCTGAGATCTCGGAGGCCAGTATCAGTGAAGACGAGAGGACACAGCTCAGGGGAGAGACAATTCCCGAGGACGACTTGTATATTCGAAGTGGGGTGTAGGTGTATGAAATGGAGACCGATCTGATGAAAAGTAATGAAGAATGGAAGTGCGAGTTTTAGCATACTTTTTTTTCTCACGATACGAATGTTTAATGAATGTGAATTCTATACATACTGCGTTTGTGCTCCATTGTTGTAATCGCTGCATGAGTTCATCAAGGCCACTCGAAGAGCTATACTCAATAGAAATGCTCCTTTTCGCCCGATCGGAAACGCCAATGAGACTGGTAAATAGTATACAAGGTGTGTTATACATCAAATAAGCGCAACTCGCTGCTCATAAATATTCCCTTATGCGGATTGGCTCTCAGCTGATCGAAATTGTCTGCTGAGATCTGCAATGACCGTACTAATATCGATACATAAACCCGAGTTTTGAGAATGCTCGTTCGTCTTGTAGCTTTTGCTGATGATCATGCTGAGTCTCTCATTCCAGGATGGGATCAGTTCGGTCACATCGGACAGTAACAATGACTCGGACTCATCTCCACATTGAATATAGCTATCATGGTGAACCGTCATATTGAATAACTTGAGAATATCGGAGGAACTAGTCTTCACGGGTAGTTGAAGATTGTGAAGATCCAGGCCCTCCGGGATGCGTTCAAGGGGTAGCCTACTGGTTCGTGTCCGCCGAACCGTTCCCGAATCGTCAGATGATTTATTGGACCGCTGGTCGAGCTGAAGCGATATAAGATACGCTCGTGGATCGCCCTGGGACGGTGCATTGGCAGACGGCGACTCCATCTCAGTGCTGTCCGCTGTCCACGCTGCTTTGGCTGCAAGATGCCGGTTGTGGTGTGGAGATTTTGATGTGGGAGCTCTCGTCCCTGGATTTGACCGTCCCGACTGAGTGCGATGTCTTTGATTGGCCTCTCGCTTCCTTCGTTCGAAATCCAGCGCCTTCTCCAGCTCAGAAGAGCTTTCGGGTGTGAATCCTTCGTGAATACTGGCGGCCCAATTCTCGAGAACAGGGAACCCGCGACCGCTATCTATTTGTCTGGCGTGGTGATCTCTGTCTGGCGAGACAAGAACATTAATCTGCCGGGAGGGGAGTTCGGGCGTTTGCTCCCTTGGTGGAAGAGCCGAGAATGGCGTAATTGTTGGTGCATCTGGTACCGGATTGAACCGCTGTTCGGCTAGCTGGGAGAGGGTTGGAACGGCCTCCTCAGGCTCTATCGGAACTTCCATTGAGCTCTGACCAAGTGATGCCTGCGTAGTCCACTGGAACCAAGTATCGAGGGCACCATTGCCATAACGCTCCTTATCTCTTTCTCGGGCCGCCCTTCGGGAAGCACTGATTGATGGAGGGGGCTGGAGTGGGGATTCGTGAGAAGTCGGGGGGTGTTGACGACGATTCAGCGGAGACACAGGAGTCAGTCTAGACAGAACTGGACTAGGGATTTCGGAGATCTGAGGTGACGAGCTGAAGGTTGGTCTCTGTGGCGTGTGTCTTTGCATGGGTGCCTGTCGGGTGGTTGTTAAGCTGTTCTGTGGTCCACTGTCTGGGGCTGGAAACGAAGCGTTGATCCGTGATATCGACCATGGATTAATATGGCGAGAAGTTCTACCCTCGGAGACTGAGTTGGCTTCCAGCTCCTTCGTGCGACTTCCATTAATAGGCGTCTGCTCTGGGCATTCCACGGCAGGGGAATGCGAAGGCCTCTGGGATGCACAGCTAGTGATGAGCGGGACATCAGTGACGGGAAGTTCATCACTAGACATTATCTGAGAGGTTTTAGCAGGTCTCCGAGCCATAAGCAGGTCGAAACTCGCATTGCCCTCTGGGTGGTTGGAAGATGCTGTCTTTCTGGCTGAATTCTTGGTCGCCGCATCTGGCAGAGCGCCATAGTGGTCAGCAAAGACATTCTCGATGAGACCAAACACAAGCTCCCGGTCCTCAAATATCACATCGTCTTTTCCAGGTTCGATATTAACGTCGTAACTTCCCAAGGGACACTTCAGCTGGAGACAAAGAAATGGATCGCTGACTGATTTGGGTCCCTTGCTCTTCGAATTGGCAGCACGAACGTAAGATTTGAACAGCTTCACAATGTCATGGCCAATTCCCCTAGATGTGGAAACTGGCCTTCCGTCAATACTGGGAAATTGGCCCTTGTTGTTGGCTTTTGATAAATCTGCAATCATGAGCCCACGAACATCACCAATGAGGCCGAGGAAGCGCACCTGCGTCAGCTCTTGGCAGAAAGGCCGTAACTTGATACCTTGATGGGTCCAAGCTACCATCATCGGTCGAGTTGACTGTGGCCGTGGATTCTTTGGTGGTACAACAGGAAGCAACATCTCGCCCAACAACTTTCACAGCCGCATCTGCGAGGGCAGCATCGGATCCAGGAGCAAAAGACCAATTGTTGTTCTCATTTTTGGCCTTGAGCACTTTGAACGAAAATCTTTTGGAGGGCTGGGCCATGGCATAAGCTTGAACAAGACTCTTGATCCTCGAGAGACATTTCGCAGCTCCCTTCAGTGCGGTTTGCCTTCGCACAGGCATGTACTTGAGAAAGTTCCGAATGCGAACCGTAGTCCCGACTGGATGAGAAGACCTTTGAGACCTAACTCAATCGGTAAGAATGGCGCAAGTTCAACGAGTCGGGCATAGAGACATACCGGGAAAGCTCTCCATCTCGTCCATACTCAAGCGTTGACGCGACGATATCCGAGGCGACGCGAGTGGTGACGGTGACGCCGCCTGACATCTCCGCAACACTGGCGAGCGCTTCACCACGAAACCCCAGAGAAGTTCCACCGACATTCTTTAGATCATCGATACTTGAAATCTTGCTGGTAAACGCATGCTTGCAGACGAAAGGATGATCCTCGACGGAAATTCCATATCCATTGTCCTTGACCTGAATCACATCCACAGTATTCAGGGAGATCTCGACAGATACCGATGTGGCAGATGCATCTAGAGCATTGTCTAGAAGCTCCTTGACCACTGAGCAGGCATCTGAGATGACTGAGGTGGAGCCAATTGCTCGGATAGTGGCCTGAGGGAGAGCCTCGATCGGCATTCTGAGAAGGGGCGGCTATCCAGTCATTGCCCAATCCAGCAAGGGAATTCACTCAATCAGTATATACCCTCTACTCGGACTGAGTTCGTGATGCAATGAAGTTGTATCTCAGTCGTTGTCAACGGGCCAACCTCACTTGATGCCCAGGCCCGCGCGAGGATTAGTCATCCAGTCCGATCGCCGTGCCAAGAAACAACACGTCCACGCCAGTTGAAGCTCTTCGTCTCGCCTTTCCCACGACTGTGAGGTCGTGAACTTCGAAATGCTGAGGGATGAGTTCACAATATCTCAGCTGGCAATTCCTGCCGTCAGCTTCTTGATCAGCTTCCTTGCCTACACCTCCCAATATTTCTTTCTTCATTTCGAGTCGGCACCCCTCCTCAAAGATGAAGCGTGGAAGATCAACATATTTGCGTCATGCATTTGGATCTGCTACTTCCGTGCATGTTTTGTAAACCCTGGGCGTCTTCCTTCAGGTTCGAAATCGAGTGGCCTTGATCAAGCCGAAAAAGACTCTGCCACAGGTCGACACCGGTGGTGCCGTAGATGCGAAGCTTGCAAACCCCCTCGGGCTCATCATTGTAAGACATGCAAGAGGTTTGTTTGCGCTGCAACATGATATTTGAAAACTACGGCTAATGATACATAGATGCATCCCCAAGATGGATCACCATTGTCCTTGGACTTCCAACTGTGTATCGCATTTTACATTCCCCCACTTTATCCGCTTCCTGTTCTATGCGGTTGTTGGCATGGGCTACCTCGAGACCCTTCTTTGGGAACGTGGATCAATTGTTTGGAAAAGCAGGGATCTCCCCAGTGTAAGAGGCCCCATCAATAGTAGCTCGCTATTCAACTTCTGATTGTTTCCCAGTACCTCGGCCCATCGGTTGGACAGCTCATTCATCTTTTCCTCCTATTCGTCGTGAATAGCATGACAGTTTTTGCCCTGTTTATTCTCCTTGTGCGAAGCCTCTGGTCTCTTGTCTTCAACACCACCACCATCGAATCTTGGGAGATTGAGAGACATGAAACTCTTGTTCGTCGCGCGCGGGTCCTGGGCGGCTATCTTGAAGGCCCCGGCGGGAAGAAAATTCCAATAAGAAAACAAGAATTTCCCTATGACATTGGGATCTGGTCGAATATCAAGAATGGCATGGGTGGGAGTGCTAACGTAAGTTGCTCAAACTTTCAACCAGGGATTCGGAGCTAACATAGTTCCAGATTATTAGCTGGTTTTGGCCATTGGCAGCAACGCCTGATCGGATGACTGGGTGGGAATTTGAAATAAATGACTTTGAAGGTATGCATATATCCTGGGAATCAATCAATCATCAAATCCAGACTGACTCTATCATTCAGATCCGGGTGTATCATGGCCTCCGCCAGACCCCGATCGCATTCCACTACCAGCTGTTTCATTGGCAGCAGAAGATGGATCGGAATTGCTTAAGACCTACTCCTCTGCCCGAGAGGAGGTTGAGGCATTTCGTCGTCGCCAAGCGGAGGATCTTGCCCGCACACGACCCTTTTCTGAAATTCAGAGACGCAAGCGGTTCCACGAGCGGTACAAGCAGGAGGATCGCCGAGACAGCGATGATGAGCGCGGACCGAGACCTATATATGGCGATCAATCTGACGGCGGCGAGGAGTCTTGGCGAAATGCCGAGGGCGAACGCCTGCAAGATTTTGGTGTTGATGAGGAAGCTGAATTCTACGATGAGGATGATGTCCCTCTGGGAGTTCTCTTGAAGCAGCGCAATCAAGGCCAATGAATTTCAGTAAATTACAATGACTACAAAATGATACAAAATCAAAGAAGCTTCCGAATACCATGCTTTGCCTCTCTATCTCTCCGTGACTCTTAAATTCTGATTACAGGTGGCATGTGTAGATGTCATATTCTCCGACTCATAGAGCAGCGATCGCCGAACGAGGTCGCCCGATTTCATTTGAAGCTTGGTCCTCCTTGTCGACCAGTCAGGTCAAGAAAATCCTGGCAGTCTAAGGCAATCGGGGGAGAGAGAGAAGGGAAGCTCTTGCAGAGAAGACAAGCCCGCTTGTATAGCTTTCGCCGATTAAGGAAGGAAGACAAACAGGGCAACCGCAAACGTGGTGGTGGAGATTTCCGGTAGTGCCCACCATCTCACCAATAATAGAAGCTCACAGAATGCTGATCCTCCGAGTCAACGGAGGATGGGATTGAGTTGTGTTCTAATCGATGTTTTCACCGAAATATCCAAGATAGACTCAATTCATCCAATGCTACAGAGCTTATAAATCACATAAATAGACTCGCGTCAGACAAGATGACCTGGTCTTATACTGTGGTAATTCAAAAGTGCGAATCCACAGGCCGAAAAGGTCCAGCGCGATATAGTTCGGCTTCCGCGTGTAAGCCAAGTTTAATTTAGGTTGGTCCCCCACAGATAAGGTAGCATCTCTGCGCCGCTGCGGTCGTCTTTGAACGGATGATTACCAAGATCGTATTGCACTCCCACGGGTCGGATATACAGAAGACAACATCCCTCATGGTACTAGTTACTGCTTACATATGACGTCAGCGAACCGCTTGGCGTTGTAGAATTGTTCTGCGATTCCAATGGACTCCTTCTCCCGCTTTCATAATCATGGCGTACCAGCAACCTATATAAGAAGTTGCTCCGTGATACGTTCGTTTTTCTTCTTTTCTAGATCATCACTATTATTCTTTGATCATCACTCTAATTAGATCAAATTGTCTACAAACACCAAAGCAAAATGCCTTACGTGGGACACTGCAACTGCGATAGCATTCGCATCACGCTCGCTGAGCAACCCGCCAACTCGGTTGTTTGTCACTGGTTCGTACTAATATCTAGTTACAGCGAGGTTACCGTTTGACATCATGGTTGACTAACATGGTTTCCAAATAAAGCCTCAACTGCAGAAAGGCTGGTGGCGGTAAGTCTCAATCACGCACTCGAAAACTTCACGTTCGAGGTTCTTGAATTGATCTCCTTCAGTGTTCTCGGTGAACTACTTAACCTCCGAGGAGGAAACCACCGTTGAGGATCCAAAGAAGACGTTAACTGCCTATGATGACTCCAATACCGCCGAGGGACATACTATCCAGGTAGGTTCAAACCGCGGATTCAATTCGAGATTTAAGCAGTCCTGGTTGTTAATTTGACTACCCAACAGCGATACTTCTGCTCCACGTGTGGCAGGTAAGTTGATCATGCACCTTTAATACTGAGGAAGTTGAGACGGTCTAACATGTATTGCGCAGCCCCGTTCTCACCAAGTCGCCCAAGATTCCCGGCAAGATGTTCTTGAAGGCTACGTTGTTCGACACCATTGCGCCATGTGGCATGGAAGTCTTCGAAGCGACGCGGGTGCCTTTGTTCAAGTAGTCGCGCAAGTCCAAGAGTGATTAGTGTCTCGAACTAAAAGCTGATTCTACGAAGAATCCATGTGATTATGAAGTGTCTTAGTAGCGGAAAATTGAGCGAGCGTTGTCCTCCTGCGTACGCCCATCACCTAGTAAACTTTTATAGATCAAACTTGCATTTGAATATCATCGTTCGGTTTTTGATTGAAATGATTGTCAATTGCCTCTCTTGTTTCTAGCTTTAGATGGAAGATCGGATAAATCTATACTAGTCAGTACGTTGCCCATTTCGGTGGGGTTACTTTCTGAAAGTAGATTAGCCCGGTCAAGTGCAACCCACATCGAGAACATCTCCAGGGTCAACTTCCTAATTTGGAAGTTGGAGCATGCCAATGCAGGACACGGGGAGTCGTTTTCCGCCCCGTGACCTTGACCCTCCTCGGGGCCCACACCGCCTTTCAGTGAACCGAACTCTCGGATCCCAGCGCGTTCAATTACTCATCCGCTTATCAGCTCGAGACGGGAACGTGGGCTATAAAAGTGAATAACCCAATAGAGCCTTAGCGTATCTTGGCAGATGTAGCCAGGAGCAGATGACAGTAACCCCCCGAACCACTCCGGCGTTTCCTAGAGGTATCCACGTAAGACAAGCGTGAGGGGGGTTGACGAAAATCAAACTTCAATCCCTCGTCAACTCCCCACCCCCTGCTCATGCTGAGTGCGCCATGGGGATAGACAGCATGTCTGGCCCAGCTGTACTGGCTCTCTGTGGCCTTTTGGTCCTCTATGTCCTCAGGACGGTCAGCACGTATGCCAAATTGCGCCAGTTCCGCGGCCCCACGTGGACCGGTATCTCGAACTGGCCCCATAGCATAGCGATGCTCCGTGGTAGCTGCCACGAGTGGTACGCTGATGTGAACAAGAAACATGGTGCGGGTCGTCTGCAAGGCACTTCTGGTGCTTGGCATCTTATACCAGGATGTCATTTCCATAGATGCAGCTGACAGCCTCGATTCGAGCCAGGTCCGATCGCCCGTGTCGCGCCTCGGGTATTGATCACGTCTTCTCCAGAAGTCTGGATGCATGTAAACAACAAGCCTGGCTACAAGCGCTCGGACTGGTACTATCGAGCCGCACGGATTGAGTACCGAAGAGACAATGTCTTCAGCCAGACCGACAATGTCAAGCATGAGCAGCGCAGAAAGCAAATGGCGCCAGGGGTATTGTCACCTTTCCAAGCCCTTCACTCCTCCTTCCTGTTGGCCGAGACTGCTAACCTTCGTATGTTTCACAGTACTCGGGAAGGGAGAACCTACATCTTGAAGAGTCCGTAAATGAGCGACTGCAAGATTTCTTGCATCTTATTCGGACTAAGTATGTCTCATCCGACCGTGAAATTATACCCATGGACCTAGCAACAAAGGTCCAGTATTTCACGCTAGATGTTATCAGTAGCGTGGGCCTCGGTAAAGCGTTTGGTATGCTGCAAAGTGATCGCGACGTGGATAACTACCTCCAATCTAGCGAGGAGGGGCTGACTATAGGCCACAACGCTCTTGCTCTGGGCTTCAGCTGGCTAGCGCAAGCACCGTTCATCGGCAAGTTCATCGCACCTTCTCCCCAGGACAACAATGGTTTCGGCAAAATGATGGCTGCATGCTTCCGCCTCGTGGACGAGCGTGCTGCAAGCTCGACCGATAAACGATCTGATATGCTAGCCTCTTTCATGCGCCACGGTTTGGCCGGAGACGAGCTGCGCACGGAGGCACTGGAACAAATCATCGCTGGCTCCGACACCACCGCTGGCGCCATTCGCTGCATTTTGTTGCATACCATGACGAACCCTCGCGTCTACGTCAAACTGCAGCGCGAGGTCGACGACGCCATACGGGATGGCCGGGCACCTGGCCCAGGCGAAGGCTTGATCACGGCTGCTCAGGCCAAACAACTTCCGTATCTTCAGGCGGTAATTCGCGAGGCACTTCGAGTCTGGCCGCCCGTCGCGAACATTTTCTCTCGTGATGTTCCGCCGGGCGGTGACACCGTCATAGTCGACGGCGAGAGCGTGTTCCTACCGGGTGGTGTCTGCATCGGATATTCCGCATACGGCATGCACCACAGTGAGAAGATATATGGCAAGGACGCAAAGGCATTCCGGCCCGAGCGCTGGCTCGAATCCGATCCTGCAAAGTTGGTTGAAATGGTTCGAACGAACGACCTGACATTTGGTCACGGAAAGTTCCAGTGTTTGGGGAAGCCTGTGGCTCAACTCGAGATGGGAAAGACTATTTTCGAGGTAAGTGAAAACGCCCCAGTGCGCTTGCTAGATATATGGAATTTTGCCCCCGCCCCCACCCCCCACGTTTCTGGGTGGTCTGCTGACGGGGGGTGAATCTGACACAGCTCCTGCGCAACTTTGACCTGTCAATTATCAATCCGACACGTCCCTGGATGACGCGGAATGTTCTTGGTCTTTTCGCAATCTCTGACATGTGGGTGCAAGTAACGGAGCGAACTTCATAGTTTCTGTCAGCGCTTGTCATTTTTTCGGGCTCCCTTGAGTTAAGATTTTGAGAACAGCCAAGGTCTATAGCTAGATAGCATGGAGTAGTCGAGCCAGTCAGTATAGTAGGTTTTCGGGAAGAGATGAAGGCAAATCAACGCCGTGTATATTCTGATTGTTAATATGAGATAATGTGGGTTTAGGAAGAGATAATTTAACGAGTCTAAAGACCAGAAGGAATTTTTTAGTGTGAGTGACAGGGAACAGGGATAGACAGCGAGACAAAGAAACGACGGCGCTGATGAACAAACACTTTAGAGTCACGTGAACCTCCCCTGTCATCAACAACACTATTCAGCCCCGATGGAACACCATAGATCTTGATTACTTCCCACATTCAGCATCTCATAAGCGGAGTCGAGATAATACCAACTCACACTACAAGAGGTTTTCTTGAGGGGCCAACACATCCACCACTCAGCATCCTTCCAGAAAAAGTAAGCCCACCGCCAGTTATCACTTGGTTACTGTGAGCAATGGACACTCCGGAAATAGTTTGTGATCTATCGTCGCCCTTTGACCCCTCATATATAGCCACAAGGATGGAGAGACGTATACTTCGTGGGGTTCTAATAAAGTTCCGGAAAGTTACGGTCATAGTTCCACAATCCAGGATAAGCTTCGACTCCGCACAAGTTTTGCCAAAGTTTCCCTCAAATTATGGCAGCGATCCACGAGGCTGTCGGTTATGGTGCCGGTGCCATGAGTGATCAAAAGGCATCCATCTGACTTGTGTAGTGTCCCTGGTGAGACGTAAATTTTGGGTAAATAACTTGCTCGACCTTCGGCTAAATGTGGTATTCAATGCAGCAAATGCCCCTTGACGAGTCTTGGTACCTCCTAGATTCATTCCGTTAGACTGAGAGGAGTAGACAAAACGAGAAGATTATGTACATCAGGTAGGCGTAACTAATTGAGGTATATGCGGCGTGTTATGCCGAGGCCGCGAATGACAATGCCTGCTCGTTCTCTTGGCCTTCTTCAGCGACTCTTCAATCAAGACCCATTTCCTTACCACTTCCGCCCTCTCGTCAGCCGAAGATGCGCACATTTCTTCATGCCCTTGAGCGATCCGCGATAGAACGATTTGCCCTTCGCTGGATTTACCCAGAGAATCAAACAGCCTCCGCCGTAAACCGCTGAGGGGGTAGCCCGCTAATCCCCAGAGACCTGGTAAAAAATGGTCAGAATGCGAGCATATTTCAAATTAAGGGGCTTAAATTACCGGCAGGTGGTTTGAGGAAAACTCCACCGAGCCCTTTTCCAACTCCCTTGATCATTCCCTTTGTGCCTTTTTTCTCGTATCCGTATCGAGGCTGGGTCACCAGCCCCGTCACCCCATCGTAAAAGCCATCATAGAATTCCTGTCAAAGCATCTCAAAGTATCAGTACAAGGTCATTACCATACTATAGCAGCGAGAAAGAATATACCTTTCCAGCCGCCCTGAATCCGCTGCGAACATCATGGACCTTGGGTGTTGATTTCACCATCGGGTCATGATATAATTTGGGTGCATTGTGGAATCCCTTGGAAAGACTGAGTGTAATGTCCGTTGGCAACCAAATCAGAAGATTGACAAATTTCTTGGACATTTTGCTGCTCAGATTTGCGGCCTCGGAGAGGGCATTGTGAGACTTGGAGGTGGCAATCTCGGAGCCCATGCTTCGTGATTTCTCGAGTTGAAGATTTCGTCTCCTTTCCATACTTGAATCTGGAAGTAGGTCCGTTGAATTTGACTCGCTGGTGCTACTGAACCATTCTTCATCTTCGTCGCCTTCTTCATTCTCATCCGGCAGAGGTTCATCAGAGTCACTTTGGTCGATTGAGTCACTTCTGTTGATTGGTGGAGAACCTTGGTCCCTTTCAATCTGTTGAGAGCCCTCCCCGTTATCTGGAGACTTATTGCTTTGTAAATCTGGGCCTCCATCGCGACATTTTCGATTTCGCCATTTGGAATGTAGGTCGGGGCGTGGGCGTTCATGAGATTGACGCAAAGCACGACCCGAAGCAACGAGATCGTTGACCACATCAGTAGGGACGTCTGCAATGCCCGTCACAAAATTTGCAATGGCTCCAAAAAGAACCTGGGCGCTGGCGCTCAAAGGCCCTACTGGATCGCGATAGGTATCATATTCTTTTGGCCGATTTCTGTACACAAGTCAGTCGCTGCAATTCATCGTTTATAAGACAAAAGGGTGCTCACAAAATCAAATCTTCCGGTTTTAACTTCCCTGTTTCCACCAGTACCGCTGCTGCAAAGGCACTAAATCCAAGATTTGTTTGTCTCAGGTGCCACACTGCAGGACGAGTCGGGCATATTGCACATCGTAGTGTCCGAAGATCAAGCTGGCGATGAAAGCTGCGTACACCATCTCGCACTCCTGACTCATTTTCCATTTTCTTTGCAATTTCCTGTGCTCTCTCGAACGTTGTGTCTCTCAAAGCGAATTCAATTGCATTGCTTAGGCCTTCCACGGTCAACCGTTTATAAGGAATAGGTGATGGGCCTGCGCCGGCTCTTGCAACGATGTCTCCCCAGAATTGCTGATCGCCAAAGAATGGCACGATGATTGTAGGACGCCCAAGTGCTAATCCTGCGGCTGTTGTACCAGCTCCGCCATGGTGAATCACACATGATACTTGTCGGAATAACCAGTCATGGGGGCAGCTTCCAACGACAAGGATGTTCTCAGGGACATCTACCTCCTCAACGCCAAGGTTACCCCATCCCTTTGAAACAATCGCACGTTGGCCAGACTTCTGAATTGCCTCAAAGACAACCTTTGTCAACTTGATTTGATCGTCAACCACAATTGAGCCAAAACCAATATATATGGGCGTTGGACCAGCGTTTAAGAATCGCGTTATCTCGTCAGGTGGAGTATAGTCAGGTTTGGAGGGGAGAAAGCTGAAGCCACAGATGTCGATCTGGTCACCCCAGTCGTTTGGTTTGGGAAGAATAGCTGGAGACCTAGTCGATAATCAGTGAATGTTGGGGACTCAGGGTTGACTATAATAGACTTCAAAGGGCATACCAGAGATATGAGCAGGGTATTTGTAATCTGTGGATCAAACTTGGAGCGGTGATTGTGTCTACCGCATCCAGAGACAGGACGTTACGGCGAAACTTGTTCACAATGTCGCCAAGGCCTTCCCAGATCATCATATCCACAATCGCATAGGACACGAAGTTCGCGACCGTTGGCTTACAATCTTGTTGATGAATCACGGCAAGAGGATGCGGGAATGATTGCGTAGGTGACCATGGCATGCTGAATACTCATAATTAGCTTTGCGCAGATTCTTTGGCAGGGGTGACCATTTGACTAACGTGAAAATAATGTGAAGGGGTATGCCCAATCTTTGTGCGCAGTGAATATGGGCCATGCTAGGTGGATTCGCGATAATAACATCTGCTACGAATGGACGCCGGCGATAATCCACCGCATCACTCCAAGGGTCTTCCTTGATTTGGTGCAAATGTGTACCGTCGCCCATCTCGAAGCAGGATCTCCAACATCCATTGATGATCTCCTTCATCTCCCGGCGGCGCTTTAGAATTGCACCGCTCCGGATCGTGCTCATATTGGGAAGTAGCCCCGAATTCTTTACCATGAATGCCATTAACTCTGCTGGATCGCCACCGATATTGAAGAACTCCAAGTCGGCATCGAGGACAAAGTCTCGAAAGGCCAGATGAGTGGCAAGTCGGACTCGATGTCCATGCGCTTTTAGTTCCTTTCCCAGAGCGACAAATGGCTGAATGTCACCGCGAGATCCAATCACTTGGATGACGATGTTGAGGTTTAGCGGGAAGTATTTGCCATCCTCCTGAGATACCCCGGCGTCGACCGTTTCTCCGTTATGTTCGACCTCGGATGGTATAGGAGTACGTTGGAGGTTAAGTAGCCCTGCAATACTAGGCTTGTGCTCATTGATCCGAATATCCAAGCGTCCGTCGCCTATCCAAAGTAGACACAAAGTTAGTAGTGAACCTTGACTGCGATTTTTCTCAACTTTGCGCACCTAATACTCGAACGCCGGTATTCAGCCCGTCGCCGCTGAACTGCATACGATCGGCACTGTCATGGGTATAGGTATTGTTGACCTCCTTTGGCCAGTCCTCCGATCGGATTCCATCATCTTGGCCGGAGGCTGCCCGTCCAGTAGCAGGTGCTACTAGGGGCATATCTACCGGGAGATCGACACGGTGTAAATGGTTCGTTCAAGGAATAGACTCGGTCGGATACGTTAGATTGCAAAAAAGAGCATGGAGTTTATAACATTTTAGAGCCGAAATATATTCTCGTAGAAGGTCTCGTGCACCATGACAAAACTTCCTCGGCTTCTCCGCATCGAAAAATAATCACGCCGAGCTATTTAGTCAATGATGTCAGAAGGGTCCGGCTTCCCGAGCGTTCCATAGTTAGTGTAGGCCACGGCATCATCAGTCTTATCGAGTACGGTCACCGCTCTGGGCGCAAGAACAACGAGTCTAAGAACCTAATCGCGGTAGTAGGAGTGATCGAGAATTGTTCGATCTTAGCAAGGGCCTTCAAAATTCTGTGAAGTTCAATTTTTGGCGGCATCCCCGTCGGCTTTCCGTCGAAATCCCGTCATATTTCACAATCATGTAACTAAGCCTCGTGCGCGAGTCCTGAGTCAAACTACTCTGGTGGCGCAAACAAACTGTAATTTAGTCTTTTTGTGTTGTGTTTGAAGAACCAGAGCCAATACCTGCATTTGCTGAAGGTGCTTTAGGCTTTGCTTACTGATTTTCTGCCCTGTCGGGTTTTCCCAAGTCCGACCCTCCGACCTCCGCCCCAATGACGAGACAGATAGCTTTCTACCAATATCATTTGCCGCGGAAGTCCTATGAACTGGTAGCCAAGCGGCTCTTGTAGAATTGTAGAAGTTGGGCCGAGGTATGGTTTAACGCCACCAGGGTGCACTATGCCGATCACCCACGTAGATAGTGGCCGCCTTAGTCCTTAGGCATTCACTTTACGACACGGCCTTTTCGAATATGATTGATAAGTCTGGCGTTGGGCTCATCCCTTGGGTTGTCTCCAACAAAATCCAAAAGCACAAGAGTCGAGGGTTGATGTGTTCTTTCGCAATCGAGCATCTATAAAGATCAACACTTACACCGACAGCACAACTACTACCCACCTCGTAGCAGCCACGGCCTCGGATGATAAAGCGGAACGTTTACTAAATTCAAAATGGAAAATCAAATCCAACGAAAAGAAAACGGAAAAAATCAATAACTACCTAAGAATTTACCACTGCCCCTCCGACTGAGCCTCTCGTTGTATATTATTTACAGGCTCAGGAAGGTGTCGATCAGGTTGGACGGCTGATCAAAAAAGTCAAACATCACAATTCCAACACGCTTGCCCTTCTGCTTCTTCAGGAAAGGAACAAGAAGCTGATTGACGCCACCAGCAGGAGTCAAGGTACCATTTCCAAGAGCCATAATTTGGGGCCACTCGGGAGGCACATTGTCGGTGTTAGTGCTGGAGGCCCACGTCCAGAACAAGCTATCCGGGTACTCGGTAGTGGCCTTGATGATATTCTTTGTGGTAGCATTGTACTTCCACTGAATATTTTCCGTAGCATTCGAGCCCATCGGTGTAAGAGGCTCATAGTAGTCCTCGATATAAGCTGTCAAGTTCTCTTTTGTGTTGTACGTCAAAACAATGTCTGGACTGTTGTCCGTCCACAGGCTAGGCGAGAAGTGAAGACCCGGTAAGGAGTCTGTATAGGACGATGACAATTGGTCCAGGTCAAAACGACGCATTAGGGTAATCTTTCCTCGAGCTTGGCCCAAGGTTCCCAGCTGGTCCTTGGTCTGGACAAAGTATTGTCGGGCAACGGGAGAGGTCAAAGCGTTATAGAGCTTCAACTGAATTGCAGCATCGTTGGACGCATACTTGGCAGTTGAGCCTTCATATTGCATAGACAAGAAAAGAGTCTCCGAGGGATGATCATCAAGCCATCGATAGAAACCAAATAGCACATCATCCAAGGTCGCAGTCTCAGAAAGGAGTCCCTGAGAATGATAGAAGATGATTGTGCTGTTCGTTGGATCGAAAGCATAGCGGAGGTCAAATGCTCGAATACCCATGTTGAGCATATCGATCAGAGGGAGCTCTTGGCAGCGAAATGTTTCAGGTACTGGTGGCGTGACTTGATTGAGGTCGGTAATACCGCGCATCGCATCTTGTGTGGCTTGGGTGTAGTTCCACGTCGCACTGTCGTGGGTGCCAGGGATGTTCATATGGACCAGAAGGGTGTCGTCGGGGTAGCCTTTCATCCATTCTGTCTTGCTGTTGGTTTGCTTAGAATACTCTCCAAAGATAGGCGAGGCATCGTCGAGAACCTTTTGCAGAGCGTGATGAGCCAGAGAAGAGGACCAGGCTACAGAGGCCCATAAGGTGGCTAGGACAGCCACGGACAGTGTGATGCTGCGCATGTTCAAATTTGAAAAGTTTTTGAATCGTGGGAAATGGCGGTGGTCGGAGAGCGAGAGTAGTGATCCTTGGTGGAGCACTGGTTTGGTTATGCAGCCATCCTCTTTAAACGCCCCTTGGGCAACTACGGGCTGGCGTTTTGGGATATCTCCGAACGCGAACCAACTTGACTTTAACCACATTCGTCCACATTATTGCCGACGGCCAGATCGGGAACAGCAAACAAAATCTCTTCAACGTCTCGCGTAGGGTTCATTTCGCGTCGGATATTGCTCATCCCACGTGTGGTGAAGCTGATCGCGCGACTGGCCCCTGACAAGGTGGAGCCCCTTCGTAGTCGATCTCTAGTGCGACCGAGCTGCCGAGCTCTGATGTCAACGCGATTGATAAATTCAACCAGGCGCGCTTGAAGGAGATGGCCATCCAGCACAGGTTGAGTTGTACTTTCTTCCACTTGTAACACATCAACTCATCATGCGCAGCCTTACTGCCGGTCTCGTCCTTGGAGCTGCTGGCCCGGTCCTTGGCCTGTCGCCCCTGGATACCTTCTACCCGCCGACTCTCAATCAGACCTCATACATCTCCAATGCTTCCATCGGAACTTATGGCGGTATCTACAAGGCCCCAACTAATGGCCCGACCGGTGGCAATCCGTATGGCACCTATGACTACTGCTCGATGCCGCACCCGCGCACTCAGGAGTACAAGCTGCCAGGGCCCATCGCGAATGGCTCCGTGAAAGGCGAGCTTGTTTACCTCGAATACCTTCAGCGCCATCAACGTCGCTCTCCTTACAACATCCTGCCTGGTGGTGAAGTGAGTCTTCTGCGCATGAGTAACTTGGTCTGGACTAACATTCGGCCAGAACCAAGCTTATCAGTGCGACAATGTTCGGCCTTATCTCTATGCTGGCGCAGACAGCGAGAGTGGCATTCAGCCCATGCCCATGTACGCTCAGACGTACCAGGACTCTACTAACCCGTTCACCCCGGGTGTGAACGGCACCTGCCAGTATCCCCAGATCACCATCGGCGGTGTTCAGGATGGGTACCAGCACGGCAAGGACCTCTGGAACGTTTATGGCCAGAAGCTTGGTCTCATTCCCAAGAAGCCTAACGATCGTGTCTGGTTCCGCTCGAGTGAATCCGCCCTGACCCAGGGCTCTGCCGGTGCCGTTCTTCGCGGAGTCTGGCCCGACTACGAGGGCGCCTTGCCTCTGCACCAGATGGTCTCCTCGGTCGACACTGTCAACGAGGGTTACTCATGCAGCGCAATCGGTTCCACACTGAGTGCGTTGCAGTCCACCACTGAGTGGAATGATCACCTCTCTGTGACCAGCGAGCTACGTTCTCAACTTGGCTCGATGCTTGGCGCCACATCCAGCTCGTGGCAAAGCACCTTCGACCATTTCTCCGACAATTTCCAGGCTCGTCTGTGCAACGGCTACGAATTGCCATGCAGCGTGTCCAACTCCTCGGCCTGTGTGACTATGGAAATGGCAGAGGAGGTCTTCCGTGCTGGTGACTGGGAATGGAACTACTACTGGCGTACCAACCCCTATGTCACCAAGTACATCCAAGTGGTGGAGGGTCTTTTCATTGGCGAAATTGTCGCCCACCTGCAGGCTGTGCAGGATGGAAAGTCTACTCTCGACTACAGCCATGTTTTCGTCCACGATGGTGATATCGGTCCTATCCTTGGAGCTTTGGGTATCAACGCTCTCCGGTGGCCGGCCATGGCATCCAACATTGCCATCGAAGTTTGGTAAGTCTTTTTACACACAGACAGGCTGAGTAGGAATGTTCTAACACGCCGCAGGAAAACCCACGATAAGAGCAGTGTTGGTTACTATGCCCGCGTTCTTTACAGTGGCCAGCCAGTCCAGACTATCCACGGTACCCTTGATTGGATCGACCTTGCCGATTTGATCGCTATCCTAAGTGTTTATGTGCCCACGGATATCAAGTCGCTCTGCGGATAGGTCAAACTACTGGCCTAAGGAGAACGGAGGCTTAGAACACATGGAAAAGGCCCGGGCCTTCGGGACTTAGCTTAGATCCTTAATACCTTCCAATTCCAATCAAGATGTCAATGGGCCATTTCGGCAAAGTGGCCTTATCTCCGTCCTCGACACTCGTCGGCTATTCCTCGGAGAGATCCACAGCGTACTGTAGACCGAAGACAACTGTACCCCAGGCCATGTGGGGAATAATAAACGTTCAACTATATCTGTACGGAGTAAGCAGCGATGTTACTCTTACTCCACTTTGAGCTTACCTCTCGACCATTATTCTAATTAAGCGACAGTGGAAAGCTTGATGTCGGCAATCTCGTGGTCTGCGAGCTAAATTAGCCAGTCCAATAAAAATCCCATTCGCACGATCGTGTCTTCGATTCTACCCCACTCTGGCCATTCATCCCTGTAAGCCCCTGAGCCATAGGATGCGAACATTCCAAACACGTGTTGCATGCGTTTATTATCCGATGCGGAGTCGTCGGCTGCTACCGACTTTACAGCAGGTCGCGACTTCCGGTCAGTAAACACGGGATAAACTCGAGATAGGAAGCAGGATTCGGGGTAAACAATGATATTTAAGTAGATATCGCTCCTTCCCTTTCGAGAAACTGGCCACGGGTTTGGTCTCTTTTTGCATTCACCATGTGGAAATCGTTTGCTTTCGCCGCGCTGTTCGCTGCACCGTCTTTCCAGAGTGCGGTTACGAAACGGTTTGCACCTCTCAAGTTCTCCAAGCATGGGACTTTCCAGATCTCTATTCTGGAAGATCTTCACTTTGGAGAGAGTATGTCACATCCGTCACCTGATAAATTTCTCTGATACTCATTTTTGCAAATAGATGCATGGGATTCCTGGGGACCAGAGCAGGATGTCAACTCCGTCAAAGTGATCCACGAGGTACTCGACGCCGAGTCACCCGATCTCGTCGTCTTGAACGGCGATCTGATCACCGGCGAAAACGCCTTTTTGGAAAACAGCACTGTGTACGTTGACGAAATTGTCGGGCCCCTCGTTGAGCGTGGCTTGACCTGGGCATCTACCTACGGGAACCACGATAGTTCCTACAATCTTTCGCGCTCGGCTCTGCTAGCCCGCGAAAACCGTTGGCCGAATTCGCGCACTAAGCAGATGGTTTCTGGTCGTGATGCTGGTGTGACCAATTACTATTTGCCTGTGTACGGTTCAGGCGACAAGAATGATGACGGGGCACCTGCGATGCTAATGTGGTTCTTCGACAGCCGCGGGGGTGACTATTATCAAGAACTTGATTCTTCGGGTAATGTGATCCCGCAGCCGAATTGGGTCCATCAGAGTGTTGTGAACTGGTTTGAGACAACCAATGCGGACTTGGTCAAGAAGTACCGCAAGCACATCCCGTCTCTCGTTTTTGTTCACATTCCTACAAATGCATCCCAGGCCATCCAAACTGAGCTCGGGCTCAACTCCCACAAGGAACCTGGCATCAATGATGATTATGACCTTGCACAGCAGGGAGAGGGCTGGTGCGCGGACGGAAGCAATGATAGCTCCTGCAATTATGGTGGTCAGGATGTGGCATTCATGAAGGCGTTGGTGGATACACCTGGTGTGATTGGAGTTTTCTCCGGCCATGATCACGGAGATACCTGGTGCTACAAGTGGGATACTCTCATCCCCGGCATGTCCGTCAAGGGAAATGGTATCAATCTTTGTTTCGGACAACACACTGGATATGGTGGATATGGAAACTGGATTCGAGGATCCAGACAGGTCCTCGTGACGGAGTCCAAGCTCGAGGACATGGAGATTGATACTTGGATTCGACTAGAGTCTGGCGATGTCGTGGGATCTGTATCTCTCAACTCGACCTATGGGCAGGACCTCTATCCTAGTACCCCCGATACGCTTACTTAGTGCTCTACTGCCGATTACTCCTTTGTTAGCAAATAGAAAGACCCATTGTCCAATGTGATTTATTATGAACAATATGTATTCTATATTGTGATTTATTATGAACAATATGTATTCTATATTGTGATTGTCATAAAGTTAGACTTCTTCAGTTTGCCTCGTATTCACATTTCCTGACTGCAATGTCTCCTTTTCGTCCACCGTCAATTCGCTTTTGGCGTGTCGAATTCTCACAAATCCCAAAACAATCAGAAGCCCAAGAATACAGAGTCCCGTCTGGAACCAAAACACTGCCTTGTAGCTCTTTCGCGTACCAAGCTGCTTCAATTGAGTTTCAACGATGTCTGCAAACCCCAGCATGACGGCGATTCCCATATGCATGGTACAGTAAATCAAAGCACCAGCCAGGCCCTGCTTTGCCCTCGGCATGCTAGTCGTAATGAAAATGTTCGCCAAGTTGAAGCTGATATCGATCGCGATGGTGCCACAAATCATCGCCGGGAAAACATAAGCCCAGTAATTTCCTCCGGGTGGAATTACGGCAAATAAAAGCCCCGAGCCGACGTATCCGAGACAGGAGATAATCATCAGTACCGTTCCCGATACTTTATGAAGAATGAAGCCTCCCGTGACTGAGAGGATGAGACCTCCAACTGCCATCGGTACTGTCCACGCCACAATTTGAAGAGGAGTGGCACCCATGAACTCCGACATGCTGCAAAAAAATTAGTGGGCTAAATCTAAGCCATGGAAGAGTGTACTTACTATAGGACTCCGTAGAGGAGGAAGATACCGAGACTTCCGTAAAGACAAAGCAATGCAAGTACCAACGGCTTCATGAACTTGACCCGGAATATGTCACCAGGAAGCAAAGGATTTTCAATAACCCATCCTTCAAGGTAGGCCATGACACCAAGCAAAATGACGCCGATGGCAAAGAGTACCGGAATATACGGCGTTCTCCAGCCTTGGGGGGCATAAGAGCTATCCGCAATGGCGAAAACAGATAGCGTCGCCCCCGAGATAGACAAGCAGAACCCAATCCAATCCATTCGTATTCCCAGTTTGCGCTTCTCTGAGTAGTCACGGGGAACAGAGAAAATCGACGAAATAGCCATGATCGCTGACAAAATAGCACCGATGAAAAAGTACCATCTCCAGCTCAAATACTGGCCACAAATACCCGAGATGAAAAATCCAGCAAAGAAGCCCAAAGCTGCACAAGCCCCGTAAATGCTGAAGACTAAGTTCTTTCGTGGACCTGGTCGGTACGTACTTCCCAGAATCATCATTCCGGATGGAAGTAAAGCTCCGAGAGCTAAGCCTTGCAATGCTCGGCAGAAAATCAACATCAACCATGTCTGAGATACGCCGCAGAGGATTGACGAGACTGTCAGCCAGATAGCTCCGCCATTGTAGACGACATAGCCACCGTACATGTCAGTCAAGCGGCCGAAGATGAGGAGTGTTGAGGTGACGGCGAGGGAGAGAGCGGTGGTAGGCCATATTGTCGAGGCGGGGGGAATACCGACTTCTTTTATAAGAGTCGGAAGTAGAACGTTAGACCCTGTTATATAAAATTCCTATTCAAGACGTGGGTTAGATAGTTCGACCTTGCAAGTACTGATTCTCCACTCACTGCTAGTATTTGGGACATCACAATGGAGAAACAGAACGCTAGCTCAGGCCATCGCCCTGAAAAGGTCTGCGGGCGCTCTTTGCCCAATTTCTCGAGATCAGGCATGGTTGTGAGTGTGTTTGTTTGTTCTTCGGGTGTCGTCATGTTTGGGGAGCTAGGAGTTGCAGAGGCTCCATTAGGGATTGACTGCATTGTGGCGAATGTCAAGACATCAAGATAATATCCGCTTTATTCTTGAGTACGGGTTGTTTCTCTCTTTTATACAAATATGGCCTTGTGAACTTCGGCGATGGTTATTTCCAAACCACTACAACCCGTCTACGCTCAACTTCCCCATCAGGGGAATGAAAGTCGAAGATGCTTGTTAATACTCTAGGCTGGCGGGCTTCTATGTCCTCTACTACAGAATTTTACCTAATACTGGCTCAAAATTTAGCGTGGCTGCCGATTTAAAGTCGTGGCCAAGATTTTCGCCGCAGAACTTCCCGATATGGAAGCTGGCAGGAGTGGGGCTTGTGACGCTGTGGGGTCCCGCAACCGAAAGGTCTGGAGGTTTTTGATCGAGACAAAGACCCGGGGACGCACGTGGGAAATGTTAAATTGCTATCCCAGGTCTTGATCTTGACCCGAGGATATCTTAAGACTGAGCAAATCCATTGAAGGCAGCAACACAAAAGGCTTAGTTAGTGTGATAGCTCCTGGCGATCTTCCAATTCCGCCTCTCCGCAGCATGGTCGTACCTGTGCCTTTTCAACCAATCAAATTACAACCTTCTCGACTTTCTGAAAGTCTGATGGTCTCTCTTTCTATCACTAACCAGGGAGAACGCTGATAATATTACAGAAGATTTCTATATCATTATAATATACAGCAAGGCTCGTTATAAAAGCTACGACCATTTTTCTCAGTGCTTCTGCAAGAATCTCACCACCTCTGATGAAACAAATCACAAATCAGCCAAATTTCCGAGTTTTTCCAAGTTAGCAGGACGATCATTTTGAACATACCTTCTTTGAATTCTTGGGGTTTATCCTGCACAATCCAATGCCCGCAGTCCATGTCCACAATCTCCGATTGCGGGAAGAATTGTGAAATCAGTGAGAAAGAACTTTGGGGGATAAAATTGCTTTGAAGAGCTCGAAGGAAAAGGGTTGGTCCTGGGAATGCTGGAACGTTTCCAACGCTATATGGGAAATCACCCAGAGGCCCCATCGCCTTTTTCAAGGTACCCAAAGGAACGCGTAGTCTCAAGTAAGGCGAGCCGTTCTGTTTGACGAAATTACTCAATAGCCAGAGTCGGACTGGTGGATCCTGTATCCTGCTATCAGTCTTGGGAAGCTATGAACTCATTATCTGTGAAGAGCTTACCAGGTCAAATTGACGGAGAATCTCGTCAGCTTCTGCATGCATCCGAACTTTTTCTCGCTCAGCCTTTGCCATGCTCTCAAGGTACTTCAGGAAATCCGGCGCCACGGGCAAATTGATGGGGCAATTATCGACGGCCACCACATTAGATACTAATTTAGGTGAGTGAAGAGCAAGGGTCAATGCCGCTTTCGCACCCCTATGCGAGTTCGTTAGCATTTAAATGCAATATAGACCTCGGCGAGTGCAACATACATTGAGTGACCAATCAGCGTCGGTCGCTCGAGCCCATGTTGACCAATGAATGATTCAACATCCAATGCCATCTCCATGTAATCATGCTTCGGGTGATGACCTGAATCGCCATGATTCCGTAGATCCTATATTAGTGTTAGGTTGCCCCTAAGTAAGCCTCTCAAGCTCTCTCGGGTGGTTGCCGGTACCAAAGCATAAACATCGCGTGACAATTCTTTGGCAAGATTCCTGAGTCAAAGGTAATCAGCATTGCAACACGTAGTTAGGGGTTAGATATAACAGTGTTACCTGCTCATTTGCCGATTCTCTCGTTTTGAGCCAAGAAAACCGTGCAGAAAAAGGATGGGCGCATTTTTATTTAGACACGTTGCGGCGTCGTGTTTACTCGAGCGATGCAATTCGTAGGCTGATCGCACCCTAGCAGCCGGAAGTCCTCTCATGGCTCTTCTTTTTATCAGAATTCTCTGAGAAATTGATCGTTCACTGTGAATACCTAAAAGTTAAGTTGCCATCGGACTCGGGAATTTCGACTCATTTGACGTTCGGGGAAGGTCGGCGTATCGGCTAGATGCCGATCGGTGCTCAGATGCACACACCGATCAATGGACGCACCCTTGAAAGATCACTTTAGGACAGTTTTCGGTATGCATGCATGTCCAAAGTAGGGGCATTTCCCTCGGGTCTTATCAAATTGTCATTTTTCCTTACTTGCAATGATATGCAGATAAATTTCAGGATCCTCTGGGCGGCCAGCCCTTATAGACTCAACAGTGGGAAAAGAACGGTGATATATATAGCGACCGGGACTAGATAGTCTTCTGGGCCTACACAAGAAAATCGATGCCCAGGGCACGGGGAGGGGGTACCGCAGATGCTGGGTAGAACTTGGTACTTATTGGAGTCCAACATATAATTTACATGCTCTGCATTTCCGGAAATGCCAGCGAGCCTTAACTCGCTCATTGAAGGAACCCCGTCCGGCAGAGATCATGGCGTCGCATCCAAAGATAACAAGTTATCTCATAACAAGTTATCTCCGGGCAAAAGCCAAGCATATAAATAGCCGAATACAAGATTCAATCATGCAAGATATGAAAGTGGTCTGGTTGAAACGCGGGGTGGACAATGGCAAAGTAACCTCGTATGTTCATAGGGACCCCTCGCCCAGAATAGGCTTGGTGGACGCCGATCAATGTAACACACCCCCGGTTGATGTACCTGCATAAACCTCGGATAATGGGAAAGGCAACTGTAATCCGGCAGTTAACACGAGGTTTAAAAATGTAGATAAACTGCGAGTGTCGCCTTATAACTAGGTGATCTGCGCATACTCAGATTTCGGCGCTCATACATCGAAAGACTTCAGTATGCGGTGGATCACAGCCTCACAGCTCCTCACTCTCTGCCTGTCTCTTGCGCCCTCGGGTCGGGCTGCGAGATGCGATGACCTGTCTGTGCAGGTTGGACACCATGTCGTCTTCTCTTATCCAGGTCTCAACCCACCGACTCATCTGTTTGATTTGATCAAGCAAGGCAAAGTGGGTGGCATCATCCTCTTCGGAGAAAACGTCGCCGACAATCTCAGCACCGTTATCAGCAACTTCCAAGATACCTATAAACAGAGTGCCGCGTATGTGGGAAGCCCTCTATTGATTATGACCGACCAGGAAGGAGGAATTGTCCGACGACTACCCGGAGGACCAGTTCAGAGCGCCAAAGAAGTTGGCCAGTCGAGCAACCCGCGAAAAGCTGCAACCCAGTCCGGCAGGGACGCTGCTAGTGCCCTCCAGGAATACCAGGTGAATACCAATCTCGCGCCTGTCTTGGGGGTGTATCGCGAAGTAGGAGACTTCTTGGACAATTTCGGCCGCTCGTATGGGAACACATCTGCAATGGTGGCTACCTGCGGACCAGCCTTCATCACCTCTCAGCAAGAAACCGGGATCATCGCAACAGCAAAGCATTTCCCTGGTCTTGGAGCTGCCGGCAAAACCGAGAACACGGACGAGGAGCCAGTCACCATCAGCCTCACACTGGATGAGCTTCGTTCCGTCGACGAAATCCCGTATACTAAGGCTATTCCCGCCGGTGTCGACATGGTAATGAACTCATGGGCACTATATCCAGCATTGGACGCTAAATATCCATCCGGACTGAGTAAGGCCTGGATTCAGGATGAACTGCGTGGGCGACTTGGCTTCCGAGGAGTGACTATCACGGACGCGATCGAGGCCGGCGCTCTTCAAGCCTTTGGCGATGATGCGGCGCGGGGTGTCCTGGCCAGTCAGGCTGGTATGGATATTATTCTTGCGTCTGCTCGGAATGTCACGCAAGGAGAGGCCATCGTTGATGCGCTGGTGTCGGCTTTGCAGGGTGGATCATTATCGCAGGGTTCTTTCTCAGAGGCCACTGATCGCATTCTAGCTCTTCGAAAGAAGATTAGTGTGTGAGAACCTGACTGGCATAGAACGAGGCATATTCAGATCATATGCTCATAGCAATGCATTCATTCATTCGTTTGTTTGCTGACGGTTAAGCTATCCTCCGGAACGGCTCCTGGCATAAGTGAAATTGTAGCGGGTTTGCAATTGATACAGGGATAATAGAGGCACTCGGTTGCCCACTCCTCGGCAATTCCATTCGGTAGGAATCGTCTAGTAACAGAGCTGGTAGGCCTGGTAGGGCTGACCGTCGCTCCAATCACATGCCACACAGTTAACAAAAGCTCCACCCTAGCGATGCCACGAGTGAAGCTATCATGAACTCCCTCGTTGGTATAGTACCCCTAATGTTTTTATTATTGTCAGCAACACAAATCACTCCCAAAGCTAGTGCATTTTGCATGACAGCTACGAGAACTGCCTGGAAAGTCTTCCACGCGGTTCTTTTCTGCCTTTTGTATACTCGGCAATTGGCCACCCCCGAACGTGGGGCGCTGCAGAATGATCAAGGTGAAGACCAATCCAACTCCTTGTTCAAAGCGAACCACAGCCGGCGCGCTTTTTGGCGCGTTATTCCCTCGCCTGGCAAGTGTAGCGTGCAACGGCGCTTGAACAGTCCCTGGGCAATCTACCTTCGCAACCACTATCCAGGGCCCAAAAATCAGTTCGTAACTGATGTGGGTTCGTTAGTGGCCGCTAGCGGGCTTGGGAGGGGCCTTGTTTGGAGCCTAGACAAGTCTTGAAGAATAATCGATGCAAGAAGAAGAGGGGCGTTTCCAATTTGCCGATGGTGACAAACAATGTGCATTAAGATTGCCAACCTGTAGTATTGCCAAATCTCATTGAAGACAAGGGGCATTGTGAAACTGGCCTGGATGTAAATGTACAACATAGACTGGAAGAAGTATGTCCTGAGAAAGTTTAGGGCGGGTAAAGGGCGCCGAGTAGATACTGTCGCAGGCCAGGGCCGAAGAAAGTTGGAGCCTAAAGGGTAGCTATTGCGGAGTCCAAGGAATAGCAGAGTTTGCGCAGTAGTGGACAGTAGTGTTCAATATCCATCATTAGGAGCAGTTTTGAATGGGCTGGATTGTAGTCCAGTGGGGGCCAGAGCTACCAAGTACTAGGACTACGTATTAAGACAGCCAGTAACCTCGGAAGATCCGGAAAACCAGGATCTCTGCAGGTGATCAGTCCTTCGTGTTTGAACAGACCAAAAAGAATAATAAAGTGCATCGTCTAGATCGATGTATACATTCCTTCTGATATCTCCTATCAGTCTATCACAAACAACGTGACGATAACGCCACTTCGGACCCGATCGGACACTCCTCCCGGTCCGTTGTGGTGATGTGCTTGAGCTCCACCTCTCCACCTTGCGTCAGCGACAAAGCACCTCCTCCGCCCTCCGCCTTGTCGCTTCGCAAATTTTCCCCTCTTAACCACCTCTCTCCCCAGGTCGGACCCTCCTCCTTCATTTACACACCTTGTCCCTAGACTCGTAATCTAGTATACGAGCTTCTTTTTTTGACATCGGCCCTGGTCCATCCCTACCGCAGAGTCCAGCGCCACTGAGCGCATCCCGAGCGTACTGCCGCCATGGGACTCTCCAAGACCAACAGGATCGTCATCCTGTTGGTGATTGACTCTGCATTCTTCTTGCTAGAGCTGATTACAGGTGGGTATCTTTTCCTTGAAATTTGAATGATCCCTCTCCCACCGTTACATTGAGTCTGACAATTCTTGCTTCTCAGGCTATGCCGTCCACTCCCTTGCCCTGGTCGCCGATTCCTTTCACATGGTATGACCCGCGTCGGATCAGTACTTTCAGTCCTTCATCTGACCCATATCCTAGCTCAATGATGTTCTGTCGCTTTGCGTCGGTCTATGGGCCGTCAAGGTCGCCAATCGCGAAACAAATTCGAAGATGTACACATATGGCGTAAGTGGTCCACAAGGTACCTGGGTACCCCGTGCGCAACTGGTCTGACCTTGAATGCTTTGCAATATAGTGGCAACGGGCGGAAACTCTTGGTGCGCTCGTCAACGGCGTCTTCTTGGTCGCCTTGTGTCTCTCGATCTTCTTAGAAGCCATCCAGCGTCTGGTGGAGCCCCAAGAAGTCCAGAACCCCAAGTTGGTTTGCATCGTCGGCTGCTTTGGACTTCTATCCAATATCCTTGGCTTGGCGCTTTTCCACGATCACTCACACGGTGGACACGGTCATGATCACGGTGAAGGCGCCGAGCATGACGAGGAGGATGTGGAGCAAGGTCACGGCCATCGCCACGAGAGCCAAGGCACGCCCTTCCTTGGCTCGGATCATGGAGACGTGAACGCAACGTTGGCAAAGAGTAGTCATGGAGCTTCAGGACATGAGACTGGGCCAAACGGACTCTCCACTGAGCCCTCGTCCCCTCTTTCCCGCAAGCGCCGGGCGACCGACTCGCAGGGCCGCGGCTCTCGCCGTTATAGCACCTCTCTTGCGAATGTCGAGGACATATACGTGCACCCGGCTACCTTGCGACAGGATATTATTGCCGCCAGCCGTGGCGGTTTCGACACCGAGCAGTCTTCCGACACCGACAGCCGCGAGGATGAAGTACCAACCGAACGATCCGGTCTTTTGCGCAACCGTGACCGTGCTTCCAACTACACTGATGAGAATGGGGTTCCTTTCACGGTCCCGGATCACCCTACAGAGGAAGATGTTCACAAGAGCCATAACCATGCTCAAACACAGCCGAAGGGTCAGAAGGGTGGCCACGGCCACGGCCATGACCTGAATATGCGCGGTGTTTTCCTGCACGTCATGGGCGATGCGCTCGGCAACATCGGTGTCATTGCTTCCGCATTGATCATCTGGTTGACTGACTACAAGTGGCGTTTCTACGTCGATCCCGGCATCTCTTTGTTCATCACTGTCATCATCCTGGCCTCGGCCATCCCGCTTTGCAAGGCTGCGTCGCGCATTCTTCTTCAGGCCGCGCCCCAGGGCATGAGCGTCGATCACATCAAGGAGGATATTGAACGTCTGCCCGGCGTCATCGGAACCCACCACCTCCATGTCTGGCAACTGAATGACACCAAGCTCGTCGCCTCAATCCACATCCAGGTTGACACGGAAATCAAGGGCGAGGGCTCGGAGCGGTATATGCGCCTTGCGCGCCAGGTTCGCCGCTGCCTGCATGCCTACGGCATTCACTCCTCCACCATTCAGCCTGAGTTTACTCCCGATAGCGATACCGAGGAGAACCAGAACCAGGTCCAGGCATCCTCGTCTCGGGCCGGCACCGAGGACCACAACCACTCCAGCCGGGCGACCAGTGTCCGCGAGGGTGACTCCCACGCCTGCCTCCTCGAATGCGATGACAATTGCGCACGTGTTGGCCAATGCTGCCCCAAAAAGTCTACTTGATATTGATTCCCCGACACGTTCGTTTCCTTCAGACCTTACGTAATTGTTACAGTCACGCTCCTTCACTGCACTCTATCCTATCCCCCCTTCCCTAAAATTCTCATACGATATGACTATTTTTACACGCGTCACACTTTACTCTCTCTAATTCCTCGTCGTTATCCTCTGTTCACCTCAATATCGTTCTTTGGTCTGTTTGTTTTAGAAGTGGTCGGCCTCCCTGGTGGATTGGTCTCCTATGTATAATTTGCGGCGGGGCATTAGATTTGGGCCCCTCACCACCGGAATTGACATCGGTATTGATATCTCGTACCACCATCCGCATGTATTTCTACTTATCATTAATTAAAATGCTCGATCCGGTGGATTAGAATTCCAACTGGGTTCGTTCCACAATAGTCAACGGTCTCACGCAAACTGCATAGTCCTTTGGGACAATCTTTGCTTTCTGTGTAGCGAGGAAATTTACCCTGGTCAATCAATTTGTAAAACATAAGCCTTTACTTCAAATTAGTCTAGAAACGCCATCAACAGTTGATAAGCACTTGCACCCTTGGAAGAAAGCATATTTTGGGCCAAGCTAAGAATAACCTTAGCCCACGTGACCGGTGGACCCCGACGATCCCCAGACGAGTCCGGCCAGAACGACACCAACGCCCCTTGGTTCAACCTACAACACATCATGCAATAAGACAATAAAAAAGTCGCCGTTCTGGACACATCTACTTCCACCATCCATTCTTTTGCCCATTGTTTTTTTTTGCATTTCAGAGCATGCAGCGACAGTCCTTTCGTTAATTCTTATCCAACCCCGTCTCCACGGCGTAGCCAAGCTACACACCTCCATCGCAGGCACGTCTCGCGGTCGCCAGTATGAGCTACGCCTACCCACGCAGCGCCGGCGCTTCGTCTCTTCCTTCGTTTAATTCGGTTACCGGGAGAGCATCGGGTGTTGTCCGGCAGGCATTGGAGGGACTGCCTGCTACGGCAAAAGAATGGTTTGCGGAGGGAGCGGCGGGCTTTGGGAGGACGAGGGGCAGGAGTGATGCCCGTGGCATGGCGGCGATGGTTCTACGGCGCCTGTTTACAGTTGCCAATGCCGTTGTTGTTATGTGGTTGTTTACGTTGTGGTGGGGAGAGCGGACGGTCTTTCAAGGGGCTATTGACCGGTGTGTTTGGGAGAGCTGGGAGAAATGGGTATGTTATCTGCGACTGCATGAACCCAGACAATATGTGCAGTATTGGTATACCTGAGACTTACTGTTCATATTTAGCCCCAAGCTGCCACGCCGCATCATGTTGCTTTCGTTGCCGACCCCCAGCTCGTCGATCCCCACACTTACCCCGGGCGCCCGTGGCCTCTCTCAACCCTGACGGTCAAATATACCGACCAATATATGCGCCGGGCCTTTTCAAATATACAAGAAAATCTAGAGCCCGATTCAGTCCTGTTTCTTGGAGATCTGTTTGATGGGGGGCGAGAATGGGCTACCAGCACGACCGTTAGTCCCGAGGATCGATATAAGAAGATCAAGGATTCGTTCTGGAAGAAGGAATATGGCCGGTTCATGAAGATATTCATGGATCCATGGCTCAAGCAGTATTCGGATCCAGTCGATGGTCGCGGACGTCGGATTATTGCCAGTCTTCCTGGAAACCATGATCTGGGATTTGGCAATGGGATCCAAGAACCCGTGCGTCGGCGGTTCCAAAGCCACTTTGGTAATGGTAACCGGGTTGATGTTATTGGAAACCATACTTTTGTTTCTATTGACACAGTCTCGCTGAGTGCAATGGACCAACCTGATCCTGTGACGGGAAGCTCCCGTACGAGCGAGGGCGATGAAGACGCCTCTCCTCGGCCAATTTGGAAAGACGCCGATGAGTTTTTGGACCAAATGGCCACCCACAAAGCTACGGCAGAGACGGAGGAACTTCGGGTGCTACAAAACAAGACCGAAGACATGCTCTTCAAACATCGCATTGTGGAAGCTGGAGATGACTCCGTTGAACAGCTCCCGCAGCCCAAGTCGGCAGGGTTCCCTACCATCCTGCTCACGCACGTTCCGCTCTACCGCAAAGCAGCGACCCCCTGTGGTCCGCTGCGTGAGCGTCTTCCACCATCAGCGCCAGGCCTGGAAGAAGACGAGCCCAACTCGCTCCGGCTGGGTGGTGGTTATCAGTACCAGAACGTGCTGACCCAGACCATCTCCACGGAACTAGTGTCCAAGGCCGGCCCAAATGTCGTCCAGATTTACTCTGGCGATGACCATGACTACTGCGAGGTCATCCATCGCGAATTCAACGGCTCTCCCAACGAGATCACCGTGAAGAGCCTGTCCTGGGCAATGGGCGTCCGACACCCAGGCTTCCTACTCACCAGTCTCTGGAACCCAATTGACCCTATCACGGGCGAGTCCACCCAAAAAAGCCCCTTGCCCACCATCCAAAACCACCTCTGCCTCCTCCCCGACCAACTAGGGATCTTCATCCATTACCTTTGCATCCTGGGCTTAAGCATCACCATCCTCTTCGCTCAGGCCCTCTACACTACTATCCTTTCCCCCGACTCCCCCACCCCCGCCAACGGCTCTGTCCTCCCGCTCACCGAGAGACGCAACTACCACCCCAATCACCAGTACCAGACATCCGGTACGTCCAGCTCCACATTCCCATCCGGTGGCCTGATCGGGCGAGCCGGTATTTCACCCTCCCCCGCTACCCCGGCGGCAAGGCTTACGGTGATGCTTATCGGGGTCTAGATGGTGACGATGCTGTGAGCACGAAAGATAAGGGATTGTATCGGCCTGCGGTGGCTGCGAAGGGTCTTAGGGCGAAGACTGCGCTTGTATGGTGGAACTTCGTGCATTCCATCCGATCAGTTGCGCTGGTTGTGCTGGGAGTGTACTTTGTTTTGATCTGGCGCTGGTAGCCTGGTACTGTAGCGGGTTTGCTGTTCAGAGCGTATAGTGTATAGACAATTATAGACCATGTTCAGCCTCATGTTCCATTGTTGTCTCATCTTCCGGGGGTACTCGATGACGTCTTTTATAGTTCCGAGTTTAAACCATTCCTTGTACACAAGGATGTACGCAGTAACATCCCTCTCATAGCCAACGGCCACCAGTCTCATTCCGACCCCGACATAGCCCGTGTCCCTTAGTGTCTCTACAACGAGTCTCGTCACGGTCTACATAATCCTTCTCCGTATTGTACTTCCCAATCCCGAGCCCAGACACCAGACCCGCACCAGCCGAACAAACACGGGCATTTCTCGGAGTGCTGTCGGGTCGAGGGACCAATCCGCGGCCCGGGAAAAATGCCGCAGCAGGGGCTTTTAGGCTTTCAGCTGGGGGGTCCCTGAACACGGGCCGATCGTTTCGAGACGGGTTGTTAACTTGTCGGGGGTTTTTGGTTTCCGAGGGTGGAGGGGAGCATACAGGGAGCTTGTATACTGTACATATAGTTGATGTGTCAGAGGCCTTCAATAGAGAGAATGATGTCTACTGGAGTACAGTACATTACTCTGTAGACATACCTATTGCACTGTAGAATTGTAGGATCATTGTATGGATAAGATATTTACTTTACCCCGAGATCGCCCCGAGAATCTTGAACATCCTTGTCTCTGTCACATACATACAGCATGCCCGTTGTTCGAGGACAGACTTGGGACACACAGACCATCGACCCTCGCTAATCAAACCAAATTCCCGACGTGCAGGCAGCGAAGAACTTCCCTGCCTTACCATCCGATAGTTGAATTCTGTAATAACAAAGTTTCTGTGTTTCAGGGCCGATCGCCACATGTCTCCCATTTACCTCAATCTCCTGAATCGAGGCACCGGTGAGACTCGAGACTAGAAAAGGGCCAGGGCCCGCAATAATAATACATAATGTGCCTCCTTCGACTCCAGTCTTCCATGCGGGTCTCTCGAGTCTCGAGCAATAATTCTCGTGCCTTGAGCTACGGTCGGATGGGGCGTCAACCCGGACCAGACTTTCGGTTTTGGGGCGTACGATTGGCTTTCTGGTGATACTGTGGACTGGGACACTGACGACATTCGCGGTCGATCAAAACTATATTTTTTCTAGGGTGAGCCGATCGGGGACCGACCGGTTTGGAACTTTCGGAGACTACTGGGGGGCTGGAGAGAGTGTGCATGGCTTTTCTGGGGATGTGGAATCTGGAGAATCGGGGTTTTGAAGAGGAGCCAATGGATTTACATCAATGACATTTTGACTGTTGGTAGTTATTTGGTTACTAGGAGGAGTTTTCATTTTTGCTTATCTGCTTTGACGTATGTAAACTTAACTCGGGTACCTGACAGTCCTGACTGGCTAACTGGCATAACGTAAGTGATTTGCGCCTGGAACGACGCCACGATCCGCGTCGGTGGCTCTTCTTGTTTCTTGCTTAATTCCTCGGTATTTTCACACTGTGAGAACTAACTAGGGTCAATAATAACAGGCACCATGGTTGTGTATGTATCATGTCCCTTGACATTATCATCATAATTAAAAAAAGTATTGTTTATGTTCCAGAATCCAACAAGGGATGACGGTTTGGCTTTTCCCCCAAAGCGGCGATCAGCCTTGCATACTCGCGAAGTTTTGTATGCACAGGACTGCAGCAGCCCACCCGCACCCGGCGGACCCCGTTTTCAGTTGCCCCCGTGAGACAGGCCTATTAATATTCTTCTAGAATAGTATCCTCGATTATTTATTTACTATGGCCCTTATTTTTCATTCCACATACCTATCGAGTATCTTCAAGTCACCAGACACTAACAGCCACTTAGTCGTCCTGAACGCAGGTCCCCTTGGCTCGTCCCTGGTGGCGCCGACCCCAGCAGCGCCCTTCGAGAACCTTGTTCGGCCACGGTTAAGCCGCAGAGTCAAATCTCGCGAGACCAATCGTATCTCATCTTGGGCCACCCGCTTTCTCCTGGAAACCTCCCCACTCTCCAGCGTAGCCGCATTGGCTGGTCTTGTTGACTCCACTCCCAACCCTACCTAACCACCCCCGTGCAAGGGAATCTCGGAGGGCAGGCACTGGCTCACTGCTGTGGTTTCGGTTTGCTGGGGTAGGGACTATGGAGACGCTTCGAGTGTTTTTTTTCTGGTTTCTGGTTTCGGCCACTTTGGGGCCCCCCGGGGGCGTTGCTGATCGTGGCCGGTTTGGTTTGGTTTATTGTATTTTCTAGGTTGGGGCTGGCACTATTAAACCCTCGTGGTGTCCTGTCTAGCTGTCTTAGACTTTCTGGGATTCTTTTCTTGAGTGTTTCTCCATTGGAGATTTTTTATCTATTTTATTCTTGCTACTGTCTTCTACTTACCATTCGAGTGTGTCTGCAGCGCAGCACTCCCCAATACTATCATCTCCGTTTGCGTCGTTTGATATCTTACTCCTATTCCCTTCCTTGTCCCATCCAATCCTCTGCGCGATGGGCTTCGCATTGAAGAAGCCCGACGATGCTGTCGGCTCAGCAGCCCCGGCCATTATTATCGGTCTTTTTGTTGCCTTCGGCGGTGTTCTCTTCGGGTGAGTCTCGTTCTCTCTCATAGTCTCTTTCTGGACAGCAATTGACCATATCTTTCATAGATATGACACCGGTACCATCAGCGGTATCCTGGCCATGAAGAAATGGCGCGAGATGTTCTCAACTGGATATGTCAACCCTAAGGACGGCCTTCCCGATGTGACTTCGTCCCAGTCTTCCATGATCGTCTCCCTTCTCTCCGCCGGTACCTTCTTCGGTGCCCTCGGCGCTGCCCCTATTGCGGATTACTTCGGTCGTCGCATCGCCATGATCCTTGACACCTTTGTTTTCTGCTTCGGTGTTATTCTCCAGACGGCCTCGACTTCGATCCCTCTGTTTGTAGCTGGTCGTTTCTTCGCCGGTCTTGGTGTCGGTCTGCTCTCCGCCACTAGTAAGTCGAATTCCCCCCTCCCAAACCCTGGCAATAGAAAGGATTTCCTAACATTTCCTCTAGTTCCTCTGTACCAGTCTGAGACCGCTCCCAAGTGGATTCGTGGTACTATCGTCGGTGCTTATCAGCTAGCCATCACCATCGGTCTCCTGTTGGCAGCCATTGTCAACAACTCCACCAAGGAGCGCACGGATACCGGCTGTTATCGCATCCCCGTGGCAGTTCAATTTGCCTGGGCTATTATCCTGGTTGCTGGAATGATCATCCTGCCCGAGACTCCCCGGTTCCTGATTAAGAAGGACCGCTACGAGGATGCTACCAAGGCTCTTGCCCGTCTCCGCCGCGTCGACGTCAACCACCCCGCTATCATCGAGGAGCTGTCCGAGATCCAGGCCAACCACGAGTTTGAGCTCCGTCTCGGCAATGCTACCTACCTCGAGATCCTGCGCGGTTCCATTGGCAAGCGTCTCGCAACTGGCTGCGGAATCCAAGCTCTGCAGCAGCTGGCCGGTGTGAACTTCATCTGTACGTTACCACATCAACTCTACTACCTGTTGCATCCTACTAACAAATTCCTTCTCACAGTCTACTACGGCACCACCTTCTTCCAAAACTCCGGTATCCAAAACTCCTTCGTCATCACCCTAATCACCAACATCATCAACGTGGTCTCCACCTTCCCCGGCCTCTACATGGTCGAGAAATGGGGTCGCCGCCCCCTCCTTATGTTCGGTGCCGTCGGCATGTGCGTCTCCCAACTCATCGTCGCCATTGTCGGCACAGCCGCCTCCTCCACCGTCGCAAACAAAGTCCTCATCGCCTTCGTCTGCGTCTACATCTTCTTCTTCGCCTCCTCCTGGGGCCCCGTCGCCTGGGTCGTGACCGGTGAACTCTTCCCCCTAAAGGCCCGCGCAAAGTGTCTCTCCATCACCACCGCGACAAACTGGCTCCTCAACTGGGCTATCGCTTACGCCACCCCATACATGGTGAACAGTGGACCTGGCAATGCCAACCTCCAGTCCAAGGTGTTCTTCATCTGGGGCGGGTTCTGCTTCATCTGTGCGCTTTTCGTGTACACTTGCATCTATGAGACTAAGGGTCTTTCCCTGGAGCAGGTTGATGAGCTCTATTCCAAGGTGCCCCGGGCTTGGAAGTCTGTTGGCTGGAAGCCCTCCGTGCATTACACCGATGTGCGTGATGTGGCTGGTGATGTCAAGGGTGGAAATAACCTGGCTCAGCTTGAGACTGAGGCTAATGAGAAGCGGGATGGGGAGAATGCGACTCATTTGGAGAGCATTGCTGGTAAGATGGACGCTTAGATTTGATGGACTATGAATGATAGATGATGGATTGTCTTTGTTTTTTTATTATATTCGGAATCATCACATTGTGGACAGTCATTTGGTTTTCATGGTTCGGAGATTGCATAGTTCCCGGCTTGGTCTATATTGTTACAATACTCAAAACATAGAGAGATTTACATATGAGAATCCCTGCCTAGTATTATAACAGAATATCTCTACGCTTGAAGACTTGGAGACTAGCAAGATTTGAGCTGCCCGGTAGGCAGATACAATGTTCATTAGCAAGCGTTCAATACAAGGGCCCTCCATGGCAAGTTTATTAACAAGGCCCGATATCAAGGTATCATCGTCAATTTGCACCAATCTTGGCTTCCTCATCGGACACCTTTCACCATACAATCCTCGAACTCGTGACTGGGTGAAACAATACGTTCGACTCCTCCACTCCAGGGTACGTGGCCCACCACGAGTCATTCTCAATATCCCAAACCCCCGTCGGGGTCAAGGCATCCTCATCCTCATCCTCATCAACTGAATCCTCCACATCCTCCTCATCAGAGATAAGAGAGGCGCACTCCACAGTCAAAGCATCAAGAAAATTCGCCAAATCACGATCCCCTTGACCGCTCAACTCCCCCAAGAAGCGATAATTATGCTCCACAAAGGCAGGCATAACCACATTGCCGAACCAATCCGGATCATCCACAAGATCCTCCCAGTCCCAGTGACCAACAACTTCATCAGGGGTCACCTCCCACAAACAAAGATATTCACCCTAGTACTCCGTATAATCATTTTCATACGGATCTTCAACACCGTAATACCTCATTTCTGTCTCCATCTTGATCACGGGTAACCCTCTTGCGAGGCGAACATTCGGATTAACCACCGTGAGCGTCTTATCCATTGTTCTGTCCCAGCAGGACAGATTTCTTTGCAGACTTGACTTAGATGAAAAGAATGATATGAACGGTGTGTTTTCACAGATCCACCAGTCCGCATGGGTGGTTAGTGCTTTTACTCTGCCTTCTCGCGTGGACAGTGGCGATCGAGATGCGCGGGCTACCATTCTGTTTGACTCGTCCGGTTGGCTGGCCTTGGATTCGGTGCTGATCCGGAGGAGTGGGCCAGACCAGGCAGGTTGAGGAAATGAGGCCCACGATCTGCCGGAATTTTCCTCGAGATAGGGGTTAGGGTTGTTCACCTGCAACAGCTGGTGAACAAGAGTTTCGTTGAGAACGGGTGTCTCCATTTGTATTCGTAGTAGAGCTCCTGAGCTTTGGTTTGGTTTGAGGAGTATGAAAAGATAGGTTTGAAAGCGTGATTACTGGATCGGTTAGATGTATGTGAAGAGTGAAATGAGATAGAGAGAATTATCCTTGAGAAAACCCCCGCGTGGATATGGTCGGGTGTTGTTGGATAACATCAGGGCGTACACAATGGGCTTAGTTGGTTACAAAAACGGCAATACATAGATGGAGTGATAGAATCTCTAGCTCATGCCCCGTAAATAAATATTTGGGTTTCGGTGCCACTTGCGGCTAAGCCGCCGACTTTCTAGTAAAGACATCCTCCTACAAGAGTATGGTCCGCTGGTAGTGGTACTTCACTCCTACGTCGCCGACCACCACGTCTTCATTAAGGAAATGGATTTAAGGATACTCTACATAGTGAATGAAGGAAGCGAGTTTATCATATAATGCAAAAGGTGCATGCATTGGGGATAAGCTATGCAAAGTCTATATTACAGGGAAACAGCAGATCTATCTTTTTATACACACTTCATACGCCACCACGAGGATGAACTACGTGGACTTGCACGAGAACACGCCTCCAACAGTGCCGTTGTTGTACGAGTTGATCTGTAATGAACTGTTAGAATTTGTACGAACATAGATCAAGGTGTTCAGGGAACTCACAATATCGACAACGCTGGCGTAGGTTCCTGCAACCAGCACGATAAGACCAATGGCAAGGATGATCGCATTGATCACAGTCAGCGGAAGGTTCTTCTTGCTGAAGAAGCTACCCTTGCGAATAAACATGAACCACATGATAGCCGGGAAGTAGAAGGTGAAGCCGGACACGAAGAGCGAAGAGATGACGGACAGCAGATCATCGAAGAAGGGGATAACCTCGGCAACCACGAACTCGAGGATCGTCAGGACAACGATCAGCGCCAGCCAAGTAATCCATCCCATCTTGGTGTTAACAAAACGGATGTTGGAGCTCTTGAAGATACGACCGTGAATCAACCGACCCAGCACCACGGTGTTGATAGATCCACTGATGAAAATGACTGGCAAAGCGATACCGAAGGCCACTCTGCTGAGGAGATGGCCTGCAGACAAAAGGGCGGGGCTCTGGACATCCTGGCCAACAAAGGCGTACACGAGAGCACCGGTAATAGTATAGATGAAGATCTCGGCCAGACCAAGTGCCCAAACGGACTTGGGGAAGTCGGTAGGAGTGTGCATCTCATCCATGAAAGAGAACTGGCAGAGGGCGAAACTATAGGCGAAGACAATGTTGGAGAGCGCAATGAAGGCCTCCGAGAAAGTAAGACCCTCCTTGGGCCAGGCGGACCAGTTCACAGCGGCCAGTCCAGTCGAGTTACTAGCCTCGACACCGGTTCCGATGATAGTAATTCCAACAGCGACAATGATAGAAACAAAGTCAATATATCCGAGAATAGCCATCTCCGAGAAACTGGGGGGAATGGCGAAGAGCAGGAGGATGATAGCGGAGACGACGCCGAAAACCACAGAGCAGATGTTGCTCTCGGTGATGTTGACAAAAGCGATAGTTCCGGTGAGACAGTGCGAAGCAGCGGACAGAAGAAGCTCGAGGGCCAACATGATATACAGAATCTCGTATCCCCATCGGCCGAACATTTGTCGGCCCGCCTCAGGATAGTCCGAGATATGCGGGAACTTGACCTTGACCTGACCGATGATGTAGCTAGTGTACACCGCGATGAGACCAATGCCAACACAGCAGATCACACCCGCCACCATACCGAGCTTCGCGAAAGTCCCGGGGATCGAGAGGGTTCCAAGAGCAACAGCCTCGACGATCAGGACGATCGTCAGGCGCTTCCATCCGAGACGATTGAACTTCTGGATGCCACCCTCGTAAATCTGCTGCTCCCGCTCACTCATATCGGCCAATCCATCCTCCGATGGAATCACCTTGTCGGCATTGTTCTTACTCGGGGACATCGGAGCGGCGTGAGTGGGCTGGGGATGTCGAACGACCGAAGAGATGGAGAGGAAGTGTAGGAAGCGGTTTGGAGGACGGGGGGAGACAGAACGCGACAGTCACGGCAGAGCGAGAAGATAAGGAATAAAAACGGATTTTGGCGTGACACGAAGCCGAGAAATCTCGGATGCTGCAGGGTTTCCATAGACAAATAGATTGCTCGGCACCTTCCCGAAACAGTTCACCTCTTGCCCTGCGCCCCACCGTTGCAGCCGCGATTGCGAGGCTTATGCTCCACTGCAGTCGCCTCCATTGGGCCTGCGAGATCTCGTTAGTCATGATTCTCAGTCATTCTGATGAACTTGATGCCTTTTCATTGATTATCTACACTTGTTATCTGGACTATAGCAGCTGTCAAGAAGCTTGTACATAATACAACAGTCTAAGTGAAGCTAAACCGTGTTTTTTTTTGGCTAGTGCGGCTCTGAAGGTTCTTCAGGGGCAAGCCAATCGGCTTCAGCCCTGAACCACGCCACTCGAAGCTAAGATTTTTTTTCCTTCCCGGACTAAGGGACTAACGCCAGTCTAATTTTTACTTTGCCCCCCTTTCAAGCCGCGCATTTCCGTGGAAAACCACGGCAAACCGCAAGGCAATCTCAAGCGATCTACCGAGTTTAACCTACTTGTTGCAGCTAACCAGGGATTGACGCGGCACATCGTGTGCCTTTGACGCTGTGGCCTTGTAAGTGCCTGAGGCGTCGAGCCGATCATGTGATCAAGTACCAGTCCGTTTCCGTCAACTGGAACTGGCTGGAAGATCGATTTTTCACAGTCATGGGAATCTATCCTCGAGAGCCAATCTACTGGGTAAACAATATTTTTATTCTCCTGTGAAGGCTCGCTTGTCTTGTCGGAGCATATTAGAGCTTTCTGTTTGAGACTTTTGCATTTCATGGTGCCTCTAAATGCAAAAAAATAAACTCAACCTTCTGCCAATACTGTACGGAGTAACTATTGGGAATAGGGCACCTAAATTAACAACCGCCCAATCATTACAACATTCTCAAGTAACTATATCACTAAAAACCTACAACGGAGTATGGGACATCTATCGTACTGTACTGTAGTATGAGGGTTGGCACCATTAGCCGACGGAGTCTCCGCCCGTCCATTCGCTTGCTCCACAATCCGCTTCTGGACCTTCTAGCGGCCACAAAAACTGAGTTCTTGACCAGAATATCTTCTGTCCCAAGACAAAAACAAACGACGCCTGTCGGATTTGAACCGACGCCCGCGAACGGACGTGATTAGCTATTTATATCAGATGATATAAGGGTTCTAGTCACGCGCCTTAGACCACTCGGCCAAAGCGTCTTGTATTGTTGAAGTTTTGGGCAGACTTTGCGTACAAGAGGGAAGAATTGGGGTACCGTTTTAGGAGATCGACATTCAATCTATGCAAATAAGTGATCGAGTGTGTACACGGTGATGATGATGATGATGATGCCAGACGAGCTAATGTAGTTTCGAGCCCTGATACCATTTGACCATTTCTCCATCCTCCAACTATTCCATTGGTGAATTGGTCGGCTCAGGCTAGGACCTCTCCGTTTTAACGGTCCGTTGGCAGGTATATATATGTTGCCGGGTTTATTGGTCACACAGATGGACTGAGACTGACCGCCACTTAGGTGTATCCACGTAGGTAGAGTTGACGAGAACATCGGTAACAGAGATAGCGTTCTCGAGGAGATCAATCTTCTTGTGGCCCACGCTGGTACCATTGGAGATGAGAGTATAAGGCACATCGCCATGGGATGCTTGGGAACCCGCGATCTTGGCAAAGACTTGGTAGGACCGAATGACCTGGCCATTTGTCTGGTCCTCCATGAGCACGATACGATCAATTGATGTGGGCTTCTTGAAAGAAAATGAATAGACGCCCTTGTCATTCCGAGTCATCTCGTGGGCGAGAGGATTTCCGTAACAGGACTTGATAAAGTCTCCCAGCTCTTTATACCGAGCAACTTGGTTAGAGGGGATGAGGCCACTGCGGTCAGGTGCAAGATCCAATTCAAGGACACAGTTGTGACCGACGGTTTTGTGGTAGACGTCTTTCATTTCCTCGAGTGAGCGCAGAGTCTGGTTGACTCCATAAAACCAACGATCTCCAGTTTGTAGTGTTGTATCACATTCTGCTGGGCAGAAAAAGGGACTCTGGGGATCTCCCCCATCGTTGGTCACACCACTGGGATGGAACATTAGTAAGTTTCATCTGACAGGCATGAAATCGTGAGCATACCTTGACCAGGTTTCTTCGGGGGCCGCTCCGTCCTCTGTGCCAATCCAGCGTACTGGAATTGTCAGTACCTTTGCTGTTGGCTTCGAAGTAGAACAGCAAGGTTACTTACCAGGATTTGCAGAAATGCACGTTCCATTCGTCTGACATCCGTTGAAGACAACTGCCCCGGATTGATGAGTCTCTATGAGATTCTGAATGTTTGCCTGTTGCGACTCGGTGTATCCACCATCGAACCAGATCTATATGTTTCCATCAGCGTATGAAGAGCGACTGATTCAGTTCGTGGGGCATTCTGACCTCGGTTAAGTTCCCATGCTGCGTCCATAACTCCGTCAATTGATCCAGCACGACTTGATTGTAGGTTGAGTTGGTGATGTTAACTTGGCCAGGGGTCCAAGAGCTAGTGATCACATCGCCACTTTGCACGTTCAAGAAATTGTTCCACATTAGACTGTAGTAGAATCCATGACCAATATTGCCTTTGTCAGCCGACTCGACAAAGCTCTTCACAACATCCTTTCCATGGACCGGAGACTGAGCAATAGTATAGTTGTACGGGATTGTCTCGTTATCTCGCGTCTCGATGGTTACTTCACTCGGCCATGTTGTGAATCCACAATTGTGCTTTGCAACTAGAGTGGCATATTTTGCGCCCAGTGACTTGATTGTATCCACCCATTGGTCCGTGTTCAACAAGGTGGGATCAAACAAAGATTGATTCGGCAGAAGATTTGGGATGTTATTGCAGCCATCGACGCTGAGGTAGGTAGCGATTTCGAAATGGATAATCACGCCAATCTCGTTGTCCTGCCATGCGAGTTGTTCCTTTGTTGGCAGTGCGATTTTGGAGCCGTCGATGGGCGATATACGATATTTTGGAATGGAAAGTCCCGCATCATCGCGCTTGACAAGTTGCGAGCTCGTTGTCAAGCCATAAGCTCCGGTGCATGTTCCGAATAGCGCATAGAGAAGTAAATTCATGGTGGCCTCCAGTGAGAGCGTTGATGTCGTTGTGGTGGCTTGGTTTCAGGTATGGTTCTTCATAACATGGCGATTGACATGACGGAGAGAGTATTTATCTCAGAATTGCAGGCTTTCTGGCCTGTCTTTGTCACCCCGAGGTAGTATTTTGCGAGATTTGAGGGGTTAGATCCAATGAACCGCTTGACAAAAATATGTTCACTCCACCATTGCAACGCCGAACTCGCTCTTGCGGGGTTCTGCAGATCTCCGCATTCTATATCCTGCTCTCTGAAAATGTAACATAGCCTCCAGGATCACTAATCGTCTCTTTTGCTTCTTTTTTCAGATCGCGGTAATGGAGCTTAGCCTTGTGCCGATTTAGATTTTCCATATCTCGTACCTGCAACGGGCGTACTCTTATCTAGTTTCAATATAGCGAGACAATTACCCCGCCCATGAAGTTATCCACACACACACACTCGATCTGACTCAGGAATGCTTACCGGTCTGTCTGGACCTTGTCGTATGAATTGGAAGACCAATGTGGTATTTGCATTGCAGGATGACAGGTAGGAAACTGGATGATACCCTGTTCTTGAAAGTGGTTTGTGATTGTAACATGCTGCGAACCTAGTAATTACCCGTCGGCTAATTTTTGATAATTGGAGGGGTTGATCTTCAGATCTATACCACGCCTAACATAGTATTGTTTGTGTAATATTATGGCCAGTACTTCGGTCGCCAAAGCGCGGACCGGTTGCAACGAATGCCATGCGCTCTAGTCTAGTACTGGCCTGTCCTCGTTTAAGGATTTATACATTCCCATGCTTGATGCAAGCGGGGTTAAGCATTAATCGAGGCGTGCTCCGAAGCAATTAGATATTTTCTGCACATTGTTTACCTTGTCTCTATGAAAGTTGGTCAGGGTATGACATCACCGCCCCATCTCCCCAGAACCAGATCTGTCTCACTATTTGGGTATCTTCTGCCTGAGGCCACAACATACTTCTTCATCGTCACACACGTTGATTGGGTAGTGTCTAGCACGTGACTGTGCCTGAACCAAGCGGGAGCCTCGGCCACTTGCGTAGGTGCCGTCAGAGCTCGAAGGAGGAGCGCATGCAATTTCAGGATCCTACGCCTTCTCTAGTATTTCTTTTCAGGCTGCAGGATGTGTGCTCGTCTTTTGTTACCGTCTACCTGATCTCACGACCATGGGGGTCAATATTCCCAAGGGAACAACCACCACAGCTACGCCAGCGCGGACGGATACACCCGAATCCCATCTTGTCCTGTCAACAGTCCCCGAGGTTCCCTCCGGTCTACACTCACCATCCAATGGCCACATCACGGATACCAAACTAGGTACGACAGGCGACAATGAAGCAAAGGGTGGCCTGTACGCAACCGAGAAACATGGCAATGCATGCTCTCAGCAGCTCCCCGTCAATTCGCATGAACATCCTCTCTTCCCGCCGCTGCCCGCATACGGTCCTCCGAATGCCGCCTCCAGCATAAAGTACTACGCAATTCGAGCCATTTCCTTCGTGCTCTCGCTATGCTTTTTGACCGCGATATTTGCCGGCGCGTTGTCTGGTACCGTTAGCATAGGACTTGCCAATGTAATTGCAAGACTACAAGGTCGGAAGCCTGCATCTGGGAGAGTTTTCGAAGCCGAAGAAAGCAACCGCAGAATAGCACGAGCCGAGTCAGACCGGAAATGGCGTATTCGACAACAGAAGAAACACGTGGATGAGGAGCAAGGCCAGGATGAATGCCCACCGCTGGAAGGGGGCAAGGATCCGGTTGTCTGCGACGTTGCATACTATGCCCGACGGGTCGGATTGGATGTCGAGACATTCCGGGTCCAAACCGAGGATGGATTCATCATCACCCTTTGGCATGTCTACAATCCCCAGGAATATGCAGCACTCCCGGCCGACCAACGTCGTGAACGTGGGCCCACTGTCTTCACTGGCACGAAGAACTGGCCTTCCTCCAGTTCCAGTGCGAAGCGGCGATACCCTGTTCTGTTAATGCATGGATTGTTGCAAAGTGCAGGCGCCTACTGCACCAATGATGATGATAGTCTCGCATTCTTCCTTTGCAAGTCTGGATACGATGTTTGGCTAGGGAACAACCGATGTGGCATGACGCCCGAGCACACTACCCTGTCTCCGTCAGATCCACGCATGTGGTCCTGGGATATTCGACATCTCGGTACACTCGACTTGGCAGCACTTACATCTCGAGTGCTATATGAGACCGGCTTCGAGAAACTGGGTCTTGTATGCCACTCGCAAGGGACCACTGAAACACTCGTAGCCCTGGCGAAGGAACACCGACCCAAACTTGGAGAGCGCATCTCTGTATTCTGCGCCCTCGCGCCCGCTGCATACGCCGGCCCCCTCGTGAGCAGGCCCTATTTCCGCTTCATGAGTATGATGTCTCCGAAAATGTTTCGAGTGTTCTTTGGGATTCATGCCTTCATTCCCTTCATGATGACCGTCCACCGCACATTTCACCCAAAACTATACGGAACTCTTGCATACTGCGTGTTTTCGTTCCTCTTCGGCTGGTCTGATGCCCGCTGGGAGCGAGACTTGCGAGACCGCATGTTTCAATTCGCTCCTGTATACGTTAGCGCTGAAATTATGCGGTGGTGGCTAGGGAGCGACGGGTTCGCCAAGCACAAGTGTATTCTTGCTACAGAAGACCAGTCTGCGTCCGAGGCAAATGCAGCTCGTCATGTTCAAGGTGAAGTCGGTTTAGAGCATGGAGATGACCCAGGAGACCCTTGTCTGGCTGCCCCTGGCGACAAAGCATGGTTCGGTCCACAAGTACCTCCGTTCGCCATGTGGGTTGGCGGCTCTGACGCACTAGTGGATGGTCGTCGACTTCTCCAACGCTTCGAAGGTGGCTTCGAGCCTCATGTACGAGTCGTCCACTCGAAGATCATTGATGAGTATGAACACCTTGATGTCCTGTGGGCCATGGATGCCATTGAGCAAGTCGGAAAGGAAGTCCGTCAGGTCATCTGGAACACCATGCCTGACGATGCGCGAGACATATGTCGTGTCCCTCGAGGCGTGAACCAGAGCCTTTTCGAGACGGGAGAGACTAGGCACGCATAGTGGGCTGTAAATAGTTCATCAACATTGTTAATATCATTCACCAGTTTCTCGGTGTATAGAATAGAAATTGTTCAACTGTCATTACCCCGGCGAAGGTAAAGCTGTCTCATGACACATGACCTAGTCTCAGTAAGTGTTGAACGAGGCCCATCAGTGAGTACAAGACAGCTTTTATCTATGTCCAGACTATCCAGAAATGCAAGTTCAATACGGTGACCAGGCATCATCAGCACTGCAGGAATAGAATACAACATGGGTCGATAGATTTGCCCGTCTATGATGTGCAAATAACGAGAGATATGGCTCGGCTCATGCTTGAAGGATGCCTCAATTCATTAATCAATGCTTTTTTATCAGATGGAATACCAAATGTTCCGGAACCTGTCTTTCTTCCCGACCCACCTCTGGACCCACGCCTCGAGCGGGTCCACATAAGCTTATTTCAGCCGCGCTGCGATCCAATCTTCTATAGATATTACAGTGCTTTTGATTCTCCATGTTTAATCTCTTTACAAACCTTCAGATTCTTCATAATTGCTCTCTACACCATGGATTGACGAAAAACCACCGCACTCACCGCCTTGCAAAGAGAGAGATACGAGCTGCCCATCGTCAAGAATCCATGCACTGCGAGTATTGTTAGTACACTTTCTGGAGTCCCGAAGTTAGATCAGCACTGGTTTGTTAGTAGTAAATTGCAGCTTTCTGGGTCATTTGATATACTCTCACACAGTAGTTTCTCCTTCTGTGCGGCCCAGTAAGGATTACTCCATGACCGAGGAGCTGCTTCGGTGATTGAGCGGGCAGGATGAGTGCCAATATGGTGCAAATGCAGCCTTCAATCCTGCTGCCCCATGAAGAACTCCACGTGCACTATTATCGGTGATCATCGATAACAGCAGAAGGTAAGATTTGTGCGATCATAAGTTTGATAGTCCTCTGTCCCTTTGGCTCTCCGCCTATCGGACGCATTCTGCCAGCTTCCTTTCGCTGTGTCTTCGTGTTGAGGCTTTTCGCATTCGTTCAGTCGGTCAAGTCTTCCCCTTCCTGCATACTCTCTTCGTCTCGTTTTTCTTCCCAATCATCACTGGCTTCAAGTGCTGCACTCTGTTGACAGTCCTGAATCCGATCACCCTGCTTCACACTTCAAACCATCAACCCTTCTCCGTCCGTCCGTTGGATAGACTGAACTCGTCTGTCCGTCGAGCTGACGTTTCATCACTTCTAATCGCCATCTTCAACCGACGTCGTTCCTCTTCTCGTCGTTCCTCTTCGGGCAAGAAACATCTCCCCATCATCGAGTGCTGCTCGGCTCTCGTCGTCGTTCGTTCTCATCACTCTTCTTCACATACTCACATCCTCACTCTCAACCCACGTCCTACCTCTCGGCGTAGGTGGCATCCATCGTTCGTCTGCTGTTGCCCAGTTCTCATCGTCGTTTGATCCTCGCACTGTCTCATCGAGAGCTTCATCTGTGCTGTCGTCACAGTGCTGTCCGACTGAGATCCTTCGCTGTCGCTGACAGACTTGATTCCCGTCTTCTCTATCTCGTCCATCGTTCGCTGGTCTCAGACTGAACCCGTCTGTTTGTCGAACTAACAATTCGTCTTCACATCTTCATCCTCCGTCTTCGAGCAAACGCCATTCATCGTTCGTCAGGTGCGACTTGGCTCTCAACGTCTTCAAGTCTCATCATTCTCTCCTCGCCGGCATCATCTGTGCCCTCTCACAAGTTACTGCTCAGCCAGTGTCGTTCGTCGTCACTGCCAGTCCTGATTCCCATCTCTCTGTCCGACATTTCAACACATCAAGCGCTCTCGTCCGTCGTGCCTTGACTAGACTGAACCGGTCTGTTCACCCAACTGTCATTTCATCCTTCCACATCTTCATCCTCAAGTTTTGCTCTGCCCATCGCAATAATCACCATTCGCATGGTGTTGCTCGGCCGTCATCCTCTGTCGTTTTCGTAACACTCCCATAGCTGGCTTCTTTTGTGCCGCCATCACAGATTGCCATCCAGCTAGTGTCATTCGCTGTTGCTCTGATCACTAGCTTTTGTCGTCTCTAGCGGCTGCACTCAGCGGCTGTTCTCATTATCCGTCTCTCCTGATAGGGATTGGTGCCACCACAGGTGCTGCCGTCGAGAACTGCTGTCATCGTCCGCTGATAGCATTTCTGGTTTCCGTGATCATCGACTTTTGTCATTCACAGCAGCTATCATCAGCTATTGCTCCCGTTTGGGATTTTTTGCCAACAGCAGTAACTGTCATTGTCGGTTCCTTTCGAGCTATGCGCGTGAAAGCCATGGACGACTCTGAGTGCGAGTACGAGTCAGAGCCCGAGCCGGCCATGATCAGTTCGCGGACGATTGTGAAAGCGTCAGGGCCTGAGTTCCACTTGTTCAACCAACTGCCGACCGAATTGCGGCGCATGATCTGGAAGCTCTGCCTACCAAGCCGAGTTGTTGAACTCAACCACGCTCGGTGGGTGGCATTTGACACATTATGCGATGGTGAATGGACATCCATTCAGAACACTCTCCCGCCACCCATTTCACAAGTCAATAGGGAGGCTCGCGCAGTTGCCATGGAGGTTGCTGTCTTCAAGTGGACGATCGACTCGCGCCACAAGACCAGTAAATCATGGGGCCTCTGGTTTCAACGAAAGAAGGATACCATTGTGATGTACCGGAAGGATGTCGCCCCCTTCGGTTACTACTACCAGGACTACCCTTTCGACGAGGTAGTTCGGAAGTGGTTTGCGAAGAAGGCACTTGGGACGGCTGTATTCTCGGAGATGATCAATCCCTGGAATCGTTATTCCGGAACCCAGGGACTGGAAGCCGGGATGCAACATGCTCCCAAGACTGGGTGGAATGACCCGATGATCATCCTGGAGAGCATCCCTATCCATGCCCGGAGGGAGGAGGTGCTGGCGGCAGGAGTGTTCGGCAAGCTGGCCGACGAGCCCATCCAGCTGGTTGACCCCTTGGATGCGGAGCACATCAGGCAGTACTACCAGCTTTACCAGGACCTGCCCAAGACCCGCCCGCAGAGCCCCAGTGCCCAGAGGTTCTTCGAGGTCTATGCCAAACACCCTGGGCGAGTGGAGGTGTTCCAAGGCCTGGTGAGGGATTGGATTGAGCAAGGGAAGGCCCGAGAGTTCCAGCACCTCTGGGAAAAGTGGAAGGCCGCCAGGGACGACAATTTCTCTGGCATCGATCATCCAGAGATGATCTGGATAGGTCCGGCAGCCGCCAATATGCTGGACGAGCGAATCCTCATCCTCGGGAGTGTCGATGGTGGCATCAACCTGAAGTTGTTCCGCCCTAACGAGACACACTCGTGGGTGCAGGCGAACCTCGTGAAGTCCAGCTTCACGCCTCGAATCATGTTCCGGTGGTGTGCAGATAGTTGCTGGTCTGCCCCTGGACGTTAAGGGGGAGCAGGCCAATAACTTGGCGATAGACTGTGGGTGCTGTGAGTAGTTTGTGATGATCTGTGTGATTCTTGTGAGAGTGAGAGAGTGAAGTGCGGGGATGGAAAGGTGTAGGAGTTCAAGACAATGTTATGAGCAGCTTTTCCTAATAAGATACCGCTTTTCATACCGCCTTGCAATTGTCTAGAGTATACTGACCGCCTTCTACTTACAGATGTACAGGCCACGGTCGGCATCCAATTGGAGTACATCTTGTAGAGCATGCTCAAATTCGAAATTTCAACTGTAATTGAAGTGATATCTACTCAGCTTCCTTTTGGTTGACTGATCGTAACTGTCTTTATTCTGAGCTTCAAGTAAGGTCGTGAAGCAGTGGATACACTAACCCCACACACGATCGCATCCCCGGATTTCCACAGTGGGCCCTGAACGGCCGACTCCACTCTGTTGCCCAACGCGCCCACCTAAAGATCCTGTAAAGAAAGCAGGAGTAGCGATGGTCATATTGCCATGTACTAAATCCTTGCGCTATGGAAATAGTCCCGCTGGGGCTCAAAATATACGAGTTTAGAACCCCTGGCGAACCCAAAATTTATGCTTGATCATGCCAGTGGTATGGTATCAGGGGAACCCTCCTATAGCCATGGAGAGAATTTCCCTGTCGCTAGGCACCTGGTGCCTATAGTTGTGTCATCATAGACACTAGGGACGCTCTACTGGGCTGTGTTGCGTAGTCGAGACAATTGCTCGGTCCTGAGAACCAATCATTCCAGACAGAGTTGCACCAGGTATGCGGAGGAGGCCATCCTGGTCGCCCTCTTCATCCCTGATCGTCTCACGCCCGCCCATCAGCCCATACATGCTGCGATCATTCAATTCTTGCATTTCGAGCTTCTATATTACCATAGATGTGCAATAAGTTGTTCAAACTATTTCTATGGAGTCTATCATCACTTCCAGACAGTCGGGCGACCATTGTAGGCCACATTGCCAGTATTCTGGGTGAGCAAGCCACCATGATACCAGCTGAAACTCTACTGGCATCGCCACCGCGCAGGGATGCCCCGGATGTCTCAAATGTCACCCCCCGCTATTGGTGAACCCCGCATTCGGTCGTCATCTGATTTCTGCTTTATAAGGGCTGGGGGTTAGAAGGGACTCTCCTTTCTTCTTCCTCCTATCGACAACTCTCCCCTCTACATTTCTGTATTCATCAACCACTTCGTGAAATCGGGTATTTCCATCAAATTCATATCAATATCATCACCATGTCAGCACCAGTTGGTCCTATCCTCGCACAGCTCCAGCAGCTGCCTGCCCGTTCTCGTCAGGGCTTGAACAACCTTCGCCAGAGGCTCTTCCAGCAGGGTACGTTTTCATCAAATCCATCCCTTTCTTGCGTACCATCATCACATTCCATTAAAAGGATCATCTATCTAACATCTTACAGAGGGTAAGCCTAAGAAGGAGGGCCAGTTGCTTCGCACCTCGCTGAACGTCCACCGTCCTGTCTGGATCACCGCTGGCGGTGGTGTCTACACCAGCCTGGTTGCCGTCTACCTGACCATGAGATACTTGAAACATGTCAGGTAGATATCTTGACGAGATATCTTTTCCTTTGAGTCTCGATCATCGACACTGTTATCATTATCATCCATATTTGTGTTCACCACACATCATCCCCGTTTGACACTTGATTTTTCGACATGCAACCTTCATCTCGACCCCCGTACTGGCTATGGAATGACGCGGAGGAGGAATGCTTAGGCAGGGCCTCTCTTTTATCTATCAAGACGCTCGATCCTTTATGTTTATCGCCATAGATTGGCAAGACAGACCCGGAGTTTTGGGGCTACTTTTACCTCAAACATCAATATTACTATTATCAATTTAAGATGATCTGCCCCTTCGTAGAACAATATCGCAATGATGTAGAAATCTCGAGCAATGACAAGGAAGCCCCCTGGCTATCACGTATTTCTGCGGTCACCCCTCCGTAGATAACGCGTCTTGAGCAGTGAGGGAGTCATCATGACCAAATGAGGGTAAGAGGCCAGGCAGGCGATTAACAGGCTAGTGAAAGAGCGCCCCTGGGGGTCATGTCGAGCGACAATCTAGGCAAAGTCAACGCAAAGTCTACGCATAATAGGGCGCTCCATAATCATCAATGACCACCAGAAGGATGCAATAACAAAGCCTCGACGCAATAATATCCATCCTCAATATACAGCATGTAGGGAGGTACATTCCAAGAGCCCCTCAGTCAAGTATCCTCATTATGCGCCCGAACGCAACACTCCCAACGCTCGTCCCAGATGGCCTCCCATGTAGCCAACGCCACACTGCCAACTCGAGTCCAGTAACCCCCCTATTCCCCAAAGAATCCGGTGCAGAATCCGCCCCGCCCCATCATTCGCCGGACAGAGTAGCCCATCAGACGACCTATCACAAGGAAATCTTACTCAGAGCGTCGTCACTACAGTCACGAGATGATCTCATGATTCGGTGAGTTCCCCACTTGTAGAGTTACTCTCTGGCTCATCGACTGGGTCCAATAGCGCCCGGATGCGCTAGGCTGGGGCTTGGCAACCCCGCACTGGGCGATCGCGGTGGGCCGTCTTTGTGTCTGGTGGAAGGGATAGTATTATGAGAAGAGGAGGTGAGTAAGGACGTGGAATATGGGGTCGCTTGATTTGGAAAGTACTTGAATACTTTGACATTGATTATCCTGCTGGTGGAAGGCGCTTTAGAGATGGCTATCGCTGCTATCATGTCGCGTAAATGGAAGCATGATTTTGCAGTTACCGTTGTTAACTAATGGATTGCTGAATCATGTGGTATTGCGGGTTTTTCCTCCAATGAAACCATTTCTCTCAGACGAAATGATTACTCAGTAGATTACCTTATGGCCTCAGGCACCAAGGCGTACCTTTTGAGGATCGTGAGGCCAAGGCCAATCGAGGTACAGTCAATAATTAATGAAGGCCAGCCGATCAAATTACCTATACATGTGAGCTAGGATTCTGTCCAAATTATTTATTCATGGGGCTTAACGGCACAGACTTAAAACTTCTTATTACTGTTGAAAGTAACATTTCTGTCGATATTAGCTTGTGCACTCATCAGGTGCACTAGCATTTGAGAAACACCAAATTGAACTTGAATTGCTAACCTTGTGGCTCACCGGAAATAGATATGCAAACTCTAGAATTGTACTTCTTCAAGTGGGGTCCTTGAACACTGGTCGTTATTACAATTCCGGTGATTAGACTCGCTCTCGTATTCTTAGATCAAAGTCTAGATAAGATACGAAGTACATCTTTGCTACATCAACCCTGGAATATGTTGAAGCCACGGGTTCTATACAGAACTTCGTACCCTGTCAGAGATTTTCCCTCTCTAAATCTCATCTTCGTAGATTTTCCGTTGAAATTGTATTCAGTTACGGATGCGAAATAACTCTCCGCGCAGCTTGCCGAATCCATCACATCGCGTAATGCGCCCGTTTGCTGCCATGTACCAACATTCATTTATGCACTTCGGCTAGACGATGACCCGACTAGCGTTATACGTTTAAAACAGGCTTGAAGAGCCACGTTTATTACTCTAGTAATTGAAGTACCTTCTTGAGTTGCGCAGTCCGAGTGGGTTTGATCAACGCTAATCACTCCCAAGGTTCTCAATTTTGAGCCCAACGGTCTTAGAATAGAAAGCACCAGTCTTGTGTAGAATGGCTGTCACAATCCATGCGTGAAAGAGTACGGATTTTGAATTTACATCTTTAACCACAATTCTTTCAATCAGTCAATGGCCGCTTCCTGGGCTGTGATTGATCTGATGCTGCGCGGGGTCGCGGCATTTCCAGCTCGCCTTATTCTATATTTAACATGCAAAACTCGCTCTAGTCGTAGTCTTCCCCTCTCACCCTTACAGTTAGCTATATTGCAAATCCAAATATCCATGCTAGCTTCGTCCCTACAAGGCAGCGAGCTGCAGCGGGTTGACAATCAGTGGTGGAATCGTGTGTTTTTATCCACGAAACCTAATCCCCTCAACCTTTTTCTCCAACGGAGTTTCTCAATTCATCGTTTGGACGGGTAAAGTCTTTGATTTGGTTTAGTCTCGAGCGTTTGTGGTCTGAGGACTTTCTGCTATAAGGCGGACTGGCTTAAGTCCGAGTTCACCCCTCGCGCGGAGAAGGGGCATGAGGCGGATCGACAGGGTGGAGACCTGTCGATTCGTCAAGATAAAGTACCGTTGCTCAAGTTCCCACCCGTCACAACCGTGATACCCGGAGGTTGGCCTACGTACCGGATTTCCTATGCCACGTCTGAAGCTTTCCCCTTCCGGATTGGTGCTCAGCCCCTCGCCGCTTTTGCTCACTTAGTAGATCTGAGCACGCCCCTGAGCGCCTTGATCCGATCAGTGAGCATTATGTAAGCTCACTGATTCACTCACTGGGCACTTTGACTTGCTCACTGAGCACAACCTGAGCAAAAAGCACCTCAGTAAAACGCGATACGCTAGCCCCATCCATGTGGAACTCTCTTTCGTGTCGGGGCTCGAGCAATTATGTCGATTGGGTACCGTGTGGAAGTCGGGGCGGGGTCAATTGGAGAGACAAGGCCGTTCCTGAGATATACAGATGAATACTTGGCTTTGCTCTCTGCTCACTAGGTACTTGACTAAAGATCAAAACTGTTGATAGATTGAAATGTAATCCGGATTTGGGTATCTATTTGCTACTGATCGAAAAGGTCGAACGTCGGCTGTTAGTAATAGAACTAGTCCAATCCGATCTGGGGCCGCCGCAAAAAAGGGCAAGTTACTCAGCACAGAATCGGAACAGTAGGTATGAACTATAGCTAATTAAGATAAATGTTCCATGGATGAAGCCTACCAAGTTGTCTTAATTCATACTAGTTCAGAAGTCCCGTATAGTCAGCGTCCTATTCTCCTCCCTTCCTCCCCTCACTCCTTTGATTTCACGACCTACTGAACTATCACGATGAAACATTCAAGCACTCGTCTTAAACGCAACCTCAAGCGCCCGTGCAAGGCGAACAAGGAGATTAACCCCCCTTATTCTGAGGTCCTCCCTATGCATACGCTCGCTGGACTTCCCCCAGAGCTATTCTTGTTAATATCCGATTTTCTTTCGGTTGTTGACATTACTTGCTTATCCCTTTGCAATCGTCGATTTCGGGAGCTATCTTTGCGCCAGATAATCGGGCAGTCTCCTCTCACAAAACACGAGAAGCTCTCGGTCTTGAATAGATTGGAACGAGACTCTCCCGAATACTTCGCTTGCGATATATGCCACGTTCTCCATCGGTATGATGGATCTGAAAGTTTCGGACTAAGTGGATTGCACCAAGAAAGAACATGTCGACTACCGTGTGTGGGTGAGTGGTTTTCGTACTCATTCATCCTGGATAGTCGTTACAACTGGAATTATCGACTTTCTTTCCTTCAGCTTAAACTCGCCATGAGGCGGTTTTACTACGGCCCAAGGGCAGGGATTAGCACGGATTCACTGTCGTATACACATGTCAGGCAATTTCCCCCGGATATAATCTCGGTTTTCTCCCAGGAAGCGGAAATATATCCGAAGCTTCCTGGGCTTCATCTCAGGATTCAGGATATAGTACTGGTCAAAACGCGGGACACGTTAGTTCGTGTTCTACACAACATATCTAGGCCGAATCCTGTGCGTATCTGTATACACTATGGCCCCGAGACTGTCATCAGGTTTGTGAAGTCTTTATTGAGAAGACAAGTGGCCTCCTTGACCCACAATTGTGGGTTGTGCAACACAGATTCCGAGATCGAAATCGTTGGATTCGATTCGCTATAGCACTCATTGTGACCAGGTGGAGTAATCTAGGCCCTGGCCTTACTCAAGAGGACCCATTATGGAAGACTCATGCCTATTGGCCCTTTGGTCCCCGTGGACGACTCGATCATCCCCCACACCCAACTTCGTTTTGCAGTCCCCGTTTATGTTTTGAGAAGACGATATCTTGCTCATACGAAGAGTTACAATCCCGCAACCTTGGTTATCTGAAAGACCAGCAATATAAAAATGGCAAACCCTTCATCCAAAGAGGATCGAATCTTTGGTACATCTCATACAAAGAGCCTATGAAGGGAAGGGGAATCAACTTCATATGGTCGCATATCAAAGGCCGTTGGGCCATATATCGAAGGGAAAAGGCCGATGTAAAGAGAAAAGCACGAAAGTCGCCAGTTTACAAGTCACCTTAAACAGAAATTCGCGGGAGTGACTCTTCATTTGACTTTTCTACGAGCTTGCAACAGTTGTGGTTATTCATGTATCGATGTGACCTTTAGTTGCTGATACCTAAATTGAGTTGGCTTTTGAATAATCAATTCTCTCTATTTCTTATGAGTCCGTCAAGAGTGATATACTTCGTGCCTTCCGTCCTGGTTATAACTGACCGTGACTTTGGTCAAGTTAGGAAGGAGCGACCTACACAAAAGTGATGCACGAAATAAACAATATTGTGGGGCGTTATGCTTCGGAGTTAGACTGGGCGGCGGACTAGGTGCTCAATAGATGCCTTTGACGGGTCTCTGAGTAGTTAACTAATCAGTGAGCTGACTGATCAGACTCACTGAGTCCGAGTCCGGTCTGAGATTTACTCAGTGAGTCTGACTCTGAGCGCCCTCGTAAAAGCGGCGGCATCTCAGAAAGGAAAGTCCCACCTGGCAGAGGAAAAACACTCGGTAGAGTGACCTAAGTATTTCTTGAGTTGCTTGTTTCTTGACTAGCTGAGGGTGGGTCTCCTTGGCTTTGAGCTCGGCTCGGATCTTGTTATTCTGATTTTCGGGCGGTTTTCTATGACCCCCGACATCATCGCTTCGAGCAGGTAGCACTTCGGTGATGGGAAATATATCTGTCGATCGCGATGAAAAATGCTCTCGAAATCCCGTGCGACCACTTGAGCATTCTCATTCCTACTGTTACCTCGCTTGGAGCCGACGACCGGTCCAGCCAAAGGTGCATGGCAATATTTATGTCGAAACCTTTCCTTGGTCCCCAGTGGAGCATAGGTGATCTTGATATTGCGACACCCCTCACTTCCTTTCCTTCTTTCCACCCTATTGGTGAGAATAGAGATTAGCCCGAAATCCAGTCCGGTCTTGAATGAGATTATGCGGGCAGGCCCTGGTCTCGGCTTTGACAAACTGTACGCCGTTTCTAGAACCCAGATAGCCGATAGGGATTCCGATTCCTTGCTTCCAAGGGTGCAGCCGAGTTTTCATGGATTTCGTGTTGGGCCGAGATAGCTATCTAGGAAGTAGGGTTCCTGGATTGCCACCGGTGCCTGCATCTCATATACATTACTCCATAGGCTCGGTCGTTGCACAGCAGCCGGTGTGCTATTCTTCGATCGCAGATGTCCGTCAGTGGGGTAAAGATGCACCATGGAATCATTCTATACCTGATTTATCTAGTTCCCCGCAAGAATCAACTCATCCCCTCTCGCTCGGAGCATCCCTGTCATGTTGCTAGCGAGTAAGAACGACGGAAAGGAAATGACCTCCTACAGCCCTACATCATCACGGGCCAACGGTGAGGGGAAACCGACTCATCCCCACTGTAGCAGCATATGAGTCCCATGTCGAGTGAGGGGAAGTATCTTGTAATTATTTTGTACCAGTAGATGACAGACTCTTGTTGGCAAAGGTACACTGCAGAAACATGTATAAAAGGCCCACGGTTGCTCGATGACCGGGGATTCCGCGCAGCTCGTCGAAGTTTGGGACAATTCCAAGTCATCTCCTCTAATCTTCCAACCTTGGAGATAGAAAATCTGGTCAAAATGAAGCCTCAGATTCTCTCCAGAGCTGTGCAGTTGCTTCCTGCTATCCTATCTCTCGTGAATGCTGCCCCTGCCCGTAGGGATGGCACTAGTAACCCCGGCTTGAGAGGCTCGGAGGCACTTATTGGATACTCTGCTACTGAAAAAGTAGCAACTGGGCCCAAACCTGACATCAAGTACAATCTTCTTCCTGGGCAGAAAGAAGACCCGGATATTGGTTCATACCTGGACTTTGAGAACGTCGAGAACCCTCAGCCTATCCGAGGAAACACTGGTTCCGACGACCCTGGTCCCCGTAAGTTGGATAAAGAGTCACCATTCCAGAGAGGATGTCTGATCCCTGCCTCCTAGGGAATTATTACTACGATCGAATCAACAGTGATAAGCTAGCTCCGCCAGGTACTGATCACGGAGCGACGATTAACGCACAATGGCCCATGGGTAAGTTCATGGCGTTGAAAATGCGGGAAGCCTTTGCTAATGATAGACAGGACTAAGTCATAACAGGTATTCAAACAATATGGATAAAAGTTTCGACCTACTGACTGGTCATCTAGACTTGGAATTGATAATGCTGGCTGGGCTCGCCAAGAAAACACTGTTGTGATGCCTGATGCCACTGAAATGGCAGGTGTCGATATGCGACTCGAGCCTGCAGCATATCGTGAGCTACATTGGCATGTGGCTTCTGAGTGGTCTCTGATCCTCAACGGCTCTTGTCGAATTCAAGTAGGAAGCACTGCATATCAAGTCGGACAAGAAAAGTGCTGAACCGTGACCAGGCTATCAATGAAAATGGAGAGACGTTCATTGACGATCTACAAGCTGGTGATGTTTGGTTCTTCCCTCCGTAAGTCCCCAGGGCGATTGCTTTTCTTGTCCCTTTGATTTCTAACTATGGCTAGTGGTATCCCTCACTCTATTCAGGCACTAGACGATGGCGTCGAGTTTCTTCTTGTCTTTGATCAGGGTGACTTCAGCGAGGACAACACCTTCCTCGCTACAGAGGTCTTCCTTCACAGCCCGGTATGTTAACCTTCTAGTGGATTAATCATAAACTTTAGCTTATTGATTAAACAGAAAGAGGTTTTGGCAAAGAATCTCGGAGTTTCCACCTCAGCATTCGACGACATCCCTGATGACGAACTTTACATTTTCAAGGGAACTCCCGCACCGACAGACATCGAGGAACAGAACGTCACTACATCAGCTGGTCTCATCCCTCGCTCACAGAGCTACTCCTACCACTTCTCGGAACAACCTGCTCATGAAGTTGCTGGTGGATCTGTCAAGATTGTGGACCCGCTTACTTTCCCCATCGCTGGTAACATCTCTGCTGCTGTCGTCACTGTTAATCCAGGTGGTATGCGCGAGATCCACTGGCACCCAACAAGCGATGAGTGGACCTTCTTCATCAAGGGACAGGGCCGTGCAACATTATTCACTGCTCCCAACGCTGCGACGACCTTTGACTATCGTGCTGGCGATGTTGGGTATTTCCCAAAGTCGAACAGCCATTATATTGAGAATACCGGTGAGGAAGAGTTGATGTTCCTGGAAGTGCTACAGGCACCTCAATTCACGGGCAAGTTATTTCCAATCATAGCTTCTACTTTTCTGAGCCTTCACTAACCTAGCTTTTAGACATGGCCCTTGGTCAGTGGATTGCATCTACCCCGAAACAAATTATCAAGGATACCTTGCACCTCAGCGACAGTACTCTCAGTAAGCTGAAGACTGAGAAGCAGTACGTCGTTGCAGGTACCAATAGTGACTAGAAATAATGGAAGATAAGTTTAACGAGAGACGAGGGGTAGGGGGTGGGGGGGTTAAGCAAGGCTAATTTCGTAATCTCTCTTTCTGATACCAACTCTGCTTTGATATTAATTAAGAACGCTGCTCGGTTGTCATTTCCAGTGATGTAGGCAAAAATATCAAATAGGCATATATCAAATAAGCAGGAAATATCCATCGTATCATGACATTCTCGCAACTCATATAATGGGCGAAGGATCCACCCCCGACAGTTTGATTCATCCTTGAAACTCTTCGTCGCACACTATCTCAAACTTTGTATGGCGGAGGTAGGTCTTCAGAGTCATCAGATTCCTCACTCTCAAGAGTGACTCCGGAGTCCACTCGACGGAGAGTATTATCCATTGGAGGCATCTCGGACTTCGAGTCTACCTCAGGGGGAACCGGGACAGTAGAAGATGACGCGTCCGCATAATTCTAGAAATTATCAGCAACTACCTATGTCCTGTGAGCCACAATATGAAAAGTACATACCACAGGTCCAGAACCGTCTTTCTTCACAGCGATGGGCTCCTTCCTCCCTACCTTCTTGACGAGTTGGTTCTTTTTCCAGTAGCCATTCTTCAGTACCATGCCCTTGAACGTGCAGCGATCGAGATAGCACTCCTCAGTATTGCAATCGTTCAGCGTTGTCCTCGATGCCGACGTATAGGATAGGGTCGAGCCTATGATTGTGCTGCGCTTCACATAGCTCGCATCTCTCACAGTAGACATTTTTACATCACTTCGACCCACACTAGACCGGTCACGAATAACGCTATTAGAGAAGGTGCTGCGACTAGCATAGAATACATCGTGGAAATGCGTCTTGTTTGCAGTTGATCGCTTTGCCGAGCGCACATGTGAGAGAACACAGTCCGCAAAGTCGCTATGCTTTACTGAAGAGCTAGTGACGGCACAATTGCGCAGATTGCAGTAAGTGATAGTGTTACCATCAGCGACGGTAGTGGTTCCGCTCTCAGGTATATGTTGAAGCTCGACTTGCTCCATAGTTATGTCCTCTGAGCTCAAGATAGATGATGGTAAGTGATCTCCCGATCGGAAAGTTTAATTCCAGAGTCTATGCTCATCAACTGAAAGGCTTTGAGAGCAAGGCAACGGATTCAACTAATCTGACGTCGGAAATATTAGATAATCGACTCTCTGAGAAGAAATATGCGACAGCGCAACAAAGAACAATCATACCTCAAAAAGGATCGGGGTAACCGCCTAATATAAGCAAGACCCGAGCGCTCGGGTCGTCGAGTGGGGGCTGCAGCTGAGCTCTTGCTGGTATCGCCGAAAACTGCTGCCTAGGCTTTTCGCCAGTGAGATTGTGAGATTCACAACAGATAGATCAATATCTAGGGGCTCGTGATTGACAACCGCTGTTCCCTTCCATATCGGGGTGACTTCCTCCTTACTCAGATATATACCTAACGAGCCTCCTGGTTCAGGCGCAGGGTCGAGTAGATCTAAAAAGAAGCACATGACTTACCTTAGACTTACGATTCACTCACATAATTCTAGGCGACAAGCCTTTCCCTCCTCGCTGCTTCGTTTTTTTTCCAGCATGTAGCTCAAGGAGCGATCATGCCTTCGGAATCTGCTTGCTCTTTAGAGAATCTCTCTAACATGGATATCAAACGTGAGCTCAGTCGCTCAAAAGCTTCAACAATTTATGAAATCCGGCTATGTGGCAAGCCATGTGTCATGAAGCTGGTAAGTTCCTTTACTACGTCCGGGAATAACGCTGACCTGCTAGTTTCACGAGAACGGCGACCCTGGATACACAAAAAACGGCCGAGATCTCAATCGTTTTCGCTGCGAATTGAATGCCTATCACAATCTCTATTAATTCGGCGTGTGCGACAGAGGCTTTGTTCCCGCTTTTTACGGCCACATCGATCGAGTTGATCCGTCTGCTTTCTCCCCCCTGCTTAAGCAGTTCGCCGACGATAAATACTAATCTAGCGCGATCCTGCTTAGATATTTACCGTGTCCTGAAAGCCTGAACTGCGAAAATTATTCGGAAGATCTTTTTCGTTATGCTATTAGGGCTTAAAATAGATCTATAACGTCTTTGTCTATCACTATGATATTTAACCGAAGAATATGCTTGTAGTACCCGGTAGAAGGATTGTATGGGTTAATTTTGACGTTACGATAATATTCCGCGTTATAGGCCCTTACGAGAAGGTATATTACGATTATAAGACCGAACTAGTCGAAAGATTTGGAAAGCTTCTAGTTTATGTAGCTTCCTTTCCTTAAATATTATTATAATAACTAATAAATCTAACTATTAGAACGATAACAAGGAACAGGGTCTTCAACCTAATATAAAGTATTACTAATTAGAGAATTATAAACACGACCAAACTAGACTGGTATAATATTTAAACGCGAAAGGAAGTACTGCGTAGACGTGACACTCTTAGGTACGATAGCTAATTATATCCTCTCTATCGCTATACCGGAATATCGGAAATGACCTTTGGCCTGTTTTGCACTAACTTTATATACGCACCGCTAAGGGAAGGTATGAACCTCTTAGCTACCTAGGACATATAGGTTATCTTCGTATACTGACTTAGCTTTCTTGATGTACTTACACTATTAGCTCGGCGAAGAATTCCTTAATGGGGTTGAAATTCGGCGAATACGGCGGTAGGTACAGTAATTTATGTCCTACGTCAGCACATAAGGTCTTGATAAGGTCTGAATGATAGAAAGACGCGTTATCTATAAGAAGCACGGATTTTGGCTCCTGTCACATCCTACAGGCTACAGAAGCTGCTCGATAAACGATTCGAAGAACGTGGCATCCGTGAAAGCCTTAAACTACGGGAAAGAGTATTACCGGCTTGAGTATATACAGGCAATATCTAGAAGCATTAGCCCCGATGAAATTTCGTATCACACCGAGCAGTAACCAGGCAGTTCACCTATATCTAATCCTTTTATCATATCCTGATTCTTCGACAAAAACAAGACAATATAACCGAAACTCAGATAGCTTATGCTGGTAGACATCTCAAAGTCAAGGGTTCTGTTCTTTGGCTTTCTGTAACACCACCGTTTTTATTATCGCGGCTTGAGCCCGCTCACTTGGTCGGCAACTCGAGGAGATGTGGATAAGATATGTCTTTTGAAAAACGAGGGCATCCTTGTGAACATCAAACATCTGAAAACTCGAACATTTTTATCATTCGCTGCCGTGCAAGGGCACGCTGATATAGTTTGAGTACTATTGGAGGCTGGTGTGGACCCAAACACTCAAGACGACCTCAGGCGAACGCTCTTGCACTGGGATGGCTCGCCAGAGCCGAAGAACGAACCCCCGGGCATCTCCTGTGACAGCTTGACCATGGAATTGGTCCCGATGTCGCCCTTCTTCTGTCCGTCAAAGGCCTATTCTCAAAACATCGCGCGGACCTATAACCTGGGATGACGCGGAGAATTTCAATAGATACTGCACAAATTGTCCTGAGGCCAAGGACACACCGCAACTCCGTCCATCTCAATTTCATTGAGAAAGAATCAAGTGTTTCATGAAGTTTCAATTGTCGAGAAGAGTCTAACCGTTCCTTGATCTCTGGCTTAGCCTCAGTTGAATCTCATCAGCTTTGTTCTTCAAATTGTCCATTAGCCTCCCATTGGCTGAGTTTCGACTTGAATCAGGCCAACGACTCAGTGCGCTTTCCACGACCTTCCACGCATGGGCTACCGCTGCGCATGGTTCACGATATTGCAGTTCGTTGAGAAGAAACACCAACGGACGGAACTGCTGATAGCCTCTCAATAGCCAAGCCCACTGGCGGGAGAGATGTTCCGTTTCTAGACGACTGGTAGTATCGACAATATCGATCGCATTCAGGAACAGATGATCTTGGAAACCCTGTTCGTGCTGACTATTATCCTCTAAGCCATTGAAGGTGATGGCTATTGTGTCGGCACTATACAGCTCGAACCACATCTCCATGGTAAGAACGTGAGCGACGTGTCGAGTCAGCCACTGGATCGGGCTGTGCTCGTCTGTGCAAAATTGGAGATATCGATCATGCAGTCGCTTTTCACAGTCTCGTATAATCTCTTTCTTTTGTATCATTGAAATATCCTCGTTTAGCCTTTGTCTAGTTTGTGCGATTTGATAGCGGACAAGAGCAAAGGTTTGTTCGGACCATCCGATTCGTGAAGTGACAGGATGTCTTGAATTTGGGTCGAGATCCGAGTCATCCACATTCGAGGGAAGCTTAAAAGTAGAGGGACTATCCGACCCATCTCTTTGTCGAAAGTCTTTGGTAGCCCTATGATCAAGATACCAAAGTTGCCACCAAATTCTGTTGCGTATCTCAATTTGGAAAGGGGCCTGATCCGTTTGGCTGAACACGCTAGATCGCCGTGCTATACCAGTCAGCTTCCAAGCAGTATTGGCTTTTCCTGTCAGGTGGCTAACAGAGAGAAAAAGGACAAGAGCTTGTAATGCGAGCAGGTCTTCATCCATATTGAGCAAGACGGCCTTGGTAAGCGCTTCTTCAGTTGATAAGCGATAGATGTCCATAGCCGTCTCCTTTGTCATATCAAATAGCTCATTCACTTCTTTATCTGACATGCAAGCCATGCTAGAAAAGTAGATAGCGTGGACGAGAGCATACTCGCTTCCATTGAGAGAGCTCGGGCTTTTCGCCGACATGTGGAGGATCCTGGCTGTGCTAGGTCGGTGCAATATCTTCACAATAGGATCCACGCGTTCGAGGAAGTAGTCCCAGCATATCTGGACTTGATATTCCTGGATGGGACTCTGCTTCTGAGCGCCCGCAATTTCAGCATAGACCGAACCGCTCGCTAGATTGGCTGAACTCGGTGTATTCAGAGGATCATCGCCATTCTTGGCGTTGAATAGAACCTCGTATTCTTCTCTTTTCGGTTTCCTTGAACATTTTCTCACAGAAGGCGGGTAGTGACAAAGTATAGACCACCTTGTGCAGTTTGTACATGGTAATTCCCGGTCGCATTTGACTTTTCTTGTCCGACAGGCGAAGCAGGCTTTCATTTTGACTATTTGTGGAGCCATATTCGAGAAAGTTGAACCGTCGGAGCGAAGGACTAGTGGATTCTGTCCGTGAATGAAAATATAACCCTTAGAATTCTCGGGAATCTCGGTCATTTTATTTATTATCCAATGCTAACCATGTTCATGGATACGAGGTGTGGCTATGCTATGCCATGTCAGCGAAGTCCTCGTTTTCGCATTTCTCGGGGGTTTGAGCCACAGAGCGATCCTATTGGATGGAGAAGAGATCTATAAGATTGGTGACAATGAAGTCATCCTAGACTCCAGGAGTATTTATATCACTCCAGTCTCAACCTTCAACGGTCTTAATCCGAGTCAAAGTTGAATGCTTATTGAGTAGACGAGACGACGTTTTGACAATCATCATGGGAGCCTCATACACATTCCTTTCTGTCTACGTCATTCTAGGTATGCACTCTCAGCGAAACCTTTCCTCGCGGTAAAGTCATACTAACTTCATTAGGCGTTCTAGTCAAATTCTCGACGGCTCAAGTTATATATGAGGATCTAGATCTGGTCCCGCGATATCTGAAAGGACATGGGGTAGTAATGGGTCTGGTCTTCACTATCATGATGCCAATCGGTGTTTTCATAATTCGGCTTTGCAAGGGCAAATGCAGGATTTGGATTCACGCTGTGTGGCAGACTTTTAGTTGGGCTCTACTGATTTCTGGTCTCGCCTCTGGAATTCGAGTGGGGAAGATCCTGGACCGTGTATGTTCTCTTTCCTTTATGGCGAGGATGTCTAAGGCTGATAATGAGTCTAGCTTCACAACAACACTCACATAATTCTGGGGACAATCATTGTTGTGTTACTTCTTTTACAGCCATTTATTGGGCTACTTCATCACTTCCGAGCCTGCAAAACGCACAAACGGGGAGTTTGGACGCATCTACATGTTTGGTCTGGCCGATGTCTAATCCTATTGGGAATAATCAACGGAGGCCTCGGATTGAAGCTTGCGGCAAATACTACTCGAGGGGAAGCTGTATATGGAGCTGTTGGGGGGTTCTTCGGTGTGGCTGTTATAATTGTGATGATATTGTTTGAGACTAAAAGGCTCCCCCTTTGGACTCGGTCGAAGGCAGCACCCGAACTAGAAATGGAAAAGAGGGCATGTTAGGGAATAACGAGACTTGCTTATGATTTTATTGAAAACGGCTAATTGGAATTTCGGTTGACCTCAACTGCCTCGAAGTCTCACCAGTTGGGTTGATAGGTCTTCTTCGTGTCAAATTTTGAATCTTCTTTGTCAAGCACACTCTGTCACGACCAGCGTCGGCGCAAGCTCCCAAGTTAGAATGATGGCACACACAAAGTATCAATTATATCCTCATTGCACAAAATGGGGGGTAGCTAGAAATTCTAGTCCCCGTGAAATGAATGTACATTATCTGCAGAAAGATGACATCGCCTGCCACCACTATTTACCGTTCTGGAATCCCAAAGGTATCGAATTTACTCCAGCAACCGAGAGCAAGAGTACCACCCTAGGTAGAACCAAATGTTATTAATGGATCAAGGAGCGAGAATATCAATTCCATGCAATGAACTCACCAGTAGGTTGGCCTCAGTGCAGCACTGAGGAGCCGAATCGCAGATGGAAGCCTCATATGGGTCGCCTAAAGTGCAAAGATCAATAACTTCCCGAGTAAACCAAAATAAGCCAGAAATTTACTTACAAAGCAGGCCAATTGATCCGACAATGTTGGCGGCATTGATGCCAAGGTCCTCCAGGATAGGATCCACGATGTGATCCAGAGGAGTAGTAAGGGAACCACAGCAAAGCAGGGGTCCGACACACTCCGAGGTTTCGGATTCATCCTCGACCTTGTTACCAGCCAGAGCTGCGGCAGCCTCCTTGACCTTGGTCTCAGTGTCGCTGCGCTTGGCGAGCATAGCGCCCTCGGAGGGACGAGCGGACACCATGCCGGCACCGACGAGAGAGAGGAAGGAGATCAGGGAGAAACGCATGTTGGTAGAATAGGCAAACGTTTGAAAAAAAACGAGTAGATGAGTTTACGCTGAAGTAGTCAGAGAGGATGAGAGTGAATGAACTTGGGCTGGTGATTCTGCATTCACGAGATCCTCTTGCCTTCTTTATAATTTTCTGTAGCGGCAGCGTAGGCCATTATCAAGAGATAGTAACTGTCATGTAGCTACTGCACAAAAGGCCTTATCAGCTTTTCTTTGCAATTGAGACATTTGAGTATGAGCTGTAATGCCAGGAATGGAATGCCTATAGGAATCCGCTTTAGTACACCTTAAGGGATCTGCAAAGGAAACTCTAGATAACATCGATTTGCCCACTCGGAGGGATATCCTTTGAGAAGAGTGGACCATACAATGGCAGCCATCATGCAGGTACAGGAACCATCTGCTTGGTAAAATCCAGCTGAACCCATCAATTGGGACTGCTGAGATGATTGACCGAGGCTCCAGGGCTGCGGTTCGGCGAGCCTCTCAACCGAGCCCTAAGCGAGACTGTCTTGGCTGTCGATCATCACTGGTCCAAGCTCGATTTGTTGATCTTGTCGAATGCAGCCAGTAATTGCCATGATCTCACGATTTATATCGAGTCCCGTAGTCTGCGGGTCGATGGTCGAGGCTTCTCTGTTCCTGGTGGTCGGGAGGTAGGATTGTTCTTATCAGTGGAGCCCCATGCTGGGGTCGCATCGTCCAGTGAGATCAACTCGCAACTGCCAAGAAGCATGACCCACTGAGAAGATCGTCAATAACCCGGTTCGCCGACAGGTCTGTCGAATCGTGGAGATGTGAGAAGTTGATAATGTGAAAAAGCAAATCTGCATTGTCCTGGCTATGTTTATGCGTCTAATTTGTCACGAATGAGCGGATATTGCGGCACGTCTACCGGAACTCGGCCTTGCCCTTCATCTGAACAGTCGAGATAAGCATACAGTCGCTGATTGCCTATACTCGATCTGGACGATGGTGATTCCTCTGGAACCAAGAGTAATGGTTCATCTCGATCGTGGTACTAGTTGGAATCTCGGGTCCAATTCTGCAAGCGAGACGCTACCAAGGCTCTTGGTACCGCTATTGGTGATCCTAGTCGTCATGATCATCAATCTTGATAGAACTGAGGTTTCTTTACGTGAAGAGAACTGCAGATACTGCAACAAGAAGGCACCATATGGGGTTGAAATCAGTGGTAAACAAGACACAATCTGTGATGTATCAACTTCTTGTTTCTGTAATTATTTTCCAATCAGCCCTTCGGGACAATTTACATTATGCCAAACAATTGATTGGGCTTTTTGTGGGCGTTCTATCAAAGAGACTTCTTGTACTTGGCTGTCTTTCCCTCTTGTGCAATAAGACTCAAATTTGGGCTTTTTAGTCTAGGGCTTACTGATGACATCAATGACATGATAGCAAATATAGTAAGTAATTTAAACATAATGAAGCCTTTATTCACAGTTTTCTATATTTCTGACCTCTGAAAGGGTAAGAGAACACTCTGAAGGGACACTCCAGTAGAAAACTGTATACTTCAGTGCCTGTTCCACAGCACGTGATGTGGCGGTGCTCACCGCTCGGCGGGCGGCACCAGCCACATTCTCGCGACACAAAAACTTCCTGCCGATAATCATTCACCCCACGCTCATTATCCACAACCCACCGTTAGTCCTTCGTGTCGTCGGTGCATACATATTTTGACAATGGCTCCGATTTCCATCGCGGACCTCGTCGCCGCTCTGCCGGCTGAGGATGCCTGGGGTCCCGCCACCTCAGGCGACAACATGCTCGAGGGCGTTCCTTATGCTCCTTTCTCAAAGGGCGACAAGTTGGGCCGCATGGCCGACTGGACTGCTGAGTCCAAGGACCGTGCTGGTCAGGGTCGCCAGCAGTACAACCGCAACTTCAGAGGTAAGGGATGACTTTTTTGCGCCATAATTTTCTTTGTGTTGTTCTTTACCATCCCACCGGATGATCCACACTGCTGAGCAAGTATCTCTAACATTTTTTTTTTCTTCCCAAATGCAGATCAGCAGGTGTACGGCGCCGGTTCCAACAGTCTGTTCACTATTCAGACTGCCGAAGACGAGTCTTCCTTCTCCGTTGTCGACAACACTCGCACCTCCACTAAGCGTACCTTCGGCCGTGGAGGTGGCACCGTTTTCCGTGGCCGTGGTGGCCAGCGTGGTGGTCAGCTCCAGCGCGGTGGTGCTCGTGGTGGCTTCCAGCGTGCTGGTGCTGGTCGTGGCCAGGACCGCTTCTATGATCAGCGTGGTAACCGTGGTGGCCGCGGCGGCCGTCGCTTCGGCTGGAAGGACTATGACAAGCCTCAGCGCACTCGTGAGCCTTCGGTCAACATTCGCCCCGAGTGGCACATGATCGAGGAGGTTGACTTCAACCGCCTGTCCAAGCTGAACCTGGAGGCCCCCGAGGGTGAGGACCTCGAGTCTTACGGTTTCCTGCACTACTACGATCGCTCCTACGACAAGGTCCCCGTCAAGGGCGCCGAGCGCAAGCTCCAGAGCCTCGAGCGTGCTGCCTACAATGTCACCACCTCGCAGGATCCCGTTATCCACGAGCTCGCCGAGAAGAACGAGGCCACCGTCTTTGCTACCTCCGACATTCTCTCCATGCTCATGTGTGCCACTCGCAGTGTGTACTCTTGGGACATTATCATCGTCCACCAGGGTGGCAAGATCTACCTTGACAAGCGCGCCGGTGCCTCTATCGACCTGGTGACCGTGAACGAGAACGCCTACGATGCCCCTCTCGAGGTTTCCGAGGCCTCGGGCAAGCAGGAGCAGATCAACACTCCCAGCGCTCTGGCCATGGAGGCCACCTTCATCAACCACAACTTCGCTCTCCAGACCGTGACCGAGTCCGACCAGGCCAAGGTCACCTTCACCCACCCCAACCCCTTCTACAACGAGGCCGAGGAGACCGAGCCCCTCGCCTCCAAGGGCTACAAGTACCGCCGCTTCGACATTGGCCTCGAGCGCGACGAGGAGCCCCTCAAGCTGATCGTCCGTACCGAGGTCGACGCCATGATGAAGAACCCTACCGGCGGCGCCGACCAGCAGCTGGTCGTCAAGGCCCTGAACGAGTTCGACAGCAAGGCCCCCGGCTCCGGCAACGCTCTCGACTGGCGCAGCAAGCTCGCCTCCCAGCGTGGTGCGGTCCTGGCCACCGAGATGAAGAACAACTCCTCCAAGCTCGCCCGCTGGACCACCCAGGCTATCCTGGCCAAGGCCGATGGCATGAAGCTCGGCTTCGTGTCTCGGATCAGCCCCCGCTCTGCCGCTGGCCACGTCGTTCTGGGCGTTGCTGGCTACAAGCCTCGCGAGTTTGCCGCGCAGATGAACCTGAACCTCAGCAACGGTTGGGGTATCGTCCGCACCGTTGTCGACCGTATCCGCGGGCTGGATGCCGATGAGCCGGTTGATGCTGTTAAGAAGTACGTTCTGATCAAGGATCCCAACCGCAATGTCCTGCGTCTGTACAGCGTGCCTCCTTCCACCTTTGACGAGGATGAGGAGGCCGAGGCCGAGGAGAAGGAGGTGGAGGATGAGGAGAATGATGAGGAGTAGATATATGCTCCTAATTCGTTTGGATGATGTGCTTTTCCTATTGCTTGGACTAGAGATTCTTACCTTTTTCACCTATTTTTCTTGGATGTGCATACGTTGCAAAAGTTTGATAAGAAATGACATGAGCCTCGTTACGATCTATCACCGAGTTTCTATCCTTTTTATGGTATCAGCTCTAGACCTGAAACGTAAGTATATTCAAAGCTGCGCAGACTATAATACATGTGAAGATTGAAGATAAACCCATTCCTTCCAACGCCCATGACACTTTTATGTACACACTTTCTTCCATCTTGACCAACCCATTCAACTTCTCCCCCGGTAATTCTTCTCTTCTTCTTTCTCCTCTTGTTCTTTCTTCTTCTTCTTCTTCTTCTTCTTCTTCTTCTTCTTCTCCTTCTTCCTCCTCCTCCTCCTCCTCTTCATCTCCAGATCCATCCACCTCCCCAAACTGCCTACAAATCTCCTCCCGAATCACCCTCGTATCATCCATAAACTGCTCTATCTCCTCAAGCCCATCAAAAAACCTCCCACAATCAACCCCCATCTCCCAAAGCAAATCAATCATCTCCACACACTTCCGCTGCTTCTTCTTAACCTTCTCATCAAACTGCCCCCTCAATCCCTCAGTCTGCGCCGCCAAATACCGCGCAAAATCCGGCCGAGTCGCACCCAGCTCCTCGCATTTTTCCCATACCCCCCCTTCCAACCAATTCTGCTCCTTCGCCACAACACTCGCGTTATGCAGAAAGTTCTCACACGCCTGCAGTTGCGTCTCCTGATCCCAGGGTCGCGCAATAAAGCTCACTGGACGTAGATTATACGGTTCGAGCCGTTGTCGGTGCTCGTCCAGAATAGCTGCCAAGTCTGGGTGGAATTCCAGGTATCCTGATACCCAGTCTTCTGTCACGCGGAACCCGTGGGTACCCCCGCGCTTGTCGAGCAATGAATTGGCCATGTCTTTGATGGTAGACGGGGCCATGTCTTGTCCTCCCTCGTGGACTTGGATGATCCAGTTGTAGAGGGTGTTTTCTTCTGTTCGGGATAGGTGGAATTGCTTGCGGCGGCGGCGTGGAGATGGTTTCCTGGGTGCGCGTGGAAAGCTGGATTTGACGCGTGCGCGGAGAGTGGGCTCTGGGATGGCGTTTTGGAGGGCTGCTTCGTGGGTGGAGGTGTATTTTCCCGTTTTGAGGCCGGTTATGGCTAGGGCGAGTCTGTCTGCTGGTTTTATTCGGTGTTTGGGGGTGTTTTGGAGGCATGATTGAGGGTGCTGGGGGTGTGTGTTTAGTCTACCTCGTAGACGGGAGATTAATCTTAGATGGATGAAGGGGTTTCGCGTCTGGCGCTTATCAGACGCGACGAGCTGGTTTTGGATAGATCAGTCAAGTATACTTCAACAATGGATGGATTTATCTAGTGTACAGTAGAATATGAGGCTAGAACTTTTCCGTTTTCAAGTCTTATGCTTTATGGTCGGGATTGTCTGTCGGCCTGTAATCTACGAGGGTCGGGCTTAGTTCGCTCCATACTCTACGAACTTCGGGGGTAGTCTATATCCAGACTATACCATAATAGCTATCCTAAATCCATATAAGTCCGATAGGCTACTTTAATAACAAACTACGTTATCATTCAACTCATGCTACTGGATAATTCAAACCCACAAACACCCCGCCACCTACAACTCCTCCTCGCCCAGTGATTGGCCATATCGAAAGCATACAACAACGATAAATAGCCCAGCCCAAGACTCTCCCCGAATACCTTCACAAAACCAACCTCCATTCTACATCCATTCTTGCGCACTAATAAGCTATCGCAATGTAAGCAATCAACCTCATCCACTGCCACGTAAATCCAGTCCTAACATCCACCACCCTCTAGAACCTCACACATCCAAAATGCTCAAATTCACCGCACTCCCCACCCCCCTAACCCCCGACACCAGCCATCCAGCCCTCATCAAACCCGTCACCCAACCCTCCTCCTTCCCCTGCCGCCGCTGCCTCCAAGACGGCCGCCCAGGCGAAGAAATGCTGCTCCTCCCGTACAACCCCTTCACCCCCACCCCTAGCTCCACCAGCACATCGCCATCCCCATCACCCTACACAGGGCCAGGGCCGATCTACGTGCACCGCAGCGAGTGCGCACACTACCAGTGCGATGGGTCTGTCCCCGAGCAGCAGAGGAGACGGCTGGTCGCTGTTCGGGCGTATGATGTGGAGAATATGATGGTTGGGTTTGCGATTGTGAAGGGGGAGGAATTGGGGGTCAAGGCGGGGGAGTTGCTGGAGGATGAGGAGGTGAAGTTTTTGCATGTTTATTATGCGGGGCCAGGGTGTTTTGCTGTTCGGATTGATAGAGGTGGGGAGTAGTGAGTTGAGAACTCGAGATGGATGCTGGAGAACAGACTGTATTGGAAGAAGCTGAGTCGGCCTAGTTCGGATCAACCAAGCACAGAGACAAGCGATGAGACAGTAAGAAGTAGTCAATCCAAAAGTGAGAACAGTTAAAAACGAATGCTTGAACTCCCCGGGCCCACGCTCAGCCTGGGCCATTTTCAGTATATACATCTCCAGAACAATAGGAAAGTCCCTTCAAAAGTCAAACACAAAAGTGGAGATCAGAACCCGGCTAGATAGAAGTGGCGGAGGTGCTCTGAGTAGAAAGTAGGGAATAGGGAACACAAGAGATGGGGATAGGAAAGGGAATTGGGCAATTTCAAGCCATACAAACACCGAAACCAAGCGAATCGAATCGAGAGCAAATCTTCCAAACTGGCGCCCAATTTCCCTCTCCAGAGCGCGGAAAAACAGTTTTCAAACGTCAGAATCATAATCGTTTCCCTTCAAGATCGAAGAGGTTGTCCCCGCCCTCAAAAAGTCGCACACTTGAGTGCTCAACATTTCACCATATCAAGCATACATCGAGTCATCCCCGACCCGGGCCACGCTCAAATCCACGGTCGTGCCCAGCACGCTACTCAAACAGTCGATGAGCTCAAAGTCCTCAACAACGGCACCAAAACCATAGCAGCGGACTTTGGTGTTTAGCGTCTCGACGATAACCTTGATGTCGTCGCGGCTGAGCGAGTGATACAGCTCGTGGTTCTTCAAGCACTGCAGCGCCATGATTGGTGTAATCTGGCCGTCGGTGACGAGTTGGCGACTAAGATTGAGCAGAGTTCCAAGGTTAGCGAGAGGCAGGTCATAGGTCTTATGTGGGTATGCCTGTTCGGGGGTGGTGTTGGCGATGTAGCTGGGTGGTGGGCAGGTGGCCATCAAAGCATGACCGGAGAAGGGCATGTCCTCGTCGTCGGCCTCGGTGATGGAACGACGGCAGAGGTAGTCGGTGTGTTCCCGACAGGGGCCTTCGAGTCTGTAAATGGAGAGGATAAGGGTTAGAAGGGGTTGAGATAATAAGAAACTTGACTATTCGAGACATGACATACGTCAAGATAAAGTCTACCTGGAGCTGTGGGTCGCTCTCAAAAACACCGCGCATTGTTGGTATGGGGGTGTCGACAACCTGGCCCGCAGACCGGTCCAATCCCAGGTTTTCATTCGGACTCGCGTGATATACTTGCTGCTGAGGCACGAAGCCCATCGGGGGAGAAACATCCGCGTGTTCTACACCACCAGTCGCTTGTGGACTCAAGCCGGTGGAAATTGAAGTTGCTGGTGTGACATTCTGATTGCTGGTAGCGTTGGTGAAGGCGGCTGTATTTGATCCCGAGCTGCTAGCTGCGACGGGGCTCGACTGGAATCCAGCCAGCGAGCCACGCTCAGCCATCCGCTGCTCCAGTTCGGGGGCATAGTTGATACCGTGAGCGGCCAGAATTTCCTTCAGAATTTCATTCTCGGTTCGCGCCGTATGGAGCATTTCCTTGTGTTGTTGAACCGTGACGTTCGCATCGGAAATTTCAGTGGTGTAAGCCTCCCGCAATCGTGACACCTCGGTCTCCAGAGCTCGCATGTATTGTTCCTTTCGCTCGCGATGGGTCCTGCGACAGTCTGGTCAACCAAATTTGCCAATTATCAAACGCACGTCCTTTGATCCGTACCTCTGAGCTTGGCGATTCAGCTCCTGTCGTCGAGTAAGCGCGGGCTTGCTGTCGGGCTTGGGGCCGCGGCGTTTCGGCGCCGCACCCTCTACAGATCAAACACAAAGATTAGATCGGAATCGATTGTCGCAGAAGCTTCACCTACCTCGAGTCACCTTCTTGGGACCTGCAAAGATCTTGAAGAACTCAGTGCCAAAGGTACCTCTGGTTGGAGTTTCGGGTTGCGCTTCAGCTGGAATGGCAGGCACCGGGTATCCCGTCGAGGCGGGCATCCCCGGCGCGAAGTTAGCAGGCGAAGTCAAGGCCATGGTTGTGAGAGATGCAAATCGAGTTGGAATGTCTCTGATTCTAAGCCAGGGAGGAGTGCTCCATGGCTCGCATCGCGATGGGACAACCCGCCCCCAGATCGGACCCGATCTCATCGAAAGCACGGTCGGTCGCGATCGATCGGGAGAACGGGAGCTGGGAAAGCTTGGAAACTACTCACCAGGGAGCTGCTGCGTGTTCAAAGGGTACACCCCGCCCGACGCCATCGTGAAAAAAGGACAGTCAGTGATCGGGAAGTGTCAGAGACAAGAATGAGGAAGGGATTCAAGGTTTCAACGGTGGCCGAAAGGGAGTTTGGAAGGGAGGAAAGCCTGAGCGGGCGCCGTTTGGGGTTGGGTTTGGGGGGAAGAAGGCGGGCACAAAGTGGATGTGATGGATCGCAGCGTGATCAGAGTGGAGATCGAGTAGAGCATTGAAGAAGAAAAAGAGGGATGATTATTGACGAAAATGTATGGAGGGTGCTAAGTGGGTTACACTGCGAGAGATCTGAGATTCCTGAATTTTGTACTTTCCAAGTCATCGTGATCAGCCTGGATTCCTTCCGCTGCACCGTTCACACTGCCACACTACCTACGACTCAGCCCAGCAACAGAGGACAACCCAAGTCTTACGAGAGATTGCCGAGTTAGTTACTCTGTGTGAGCGCCAGTCTAGCCAAGATTGAGCACAAGGAGACTAATAGCCCTTCTGTTCGTCAAGCTGGGCTCCACAAACGGTGTGGCGGGGCTGGCCCTTTTGGCTTGGCCTTATGGGACCCTCAATGGCAGGCTATAGAGGATACACTAAAATAAAAGAATCCCAAGTGATTCAAATAGACAAGCGTATAAGTCACTCCGTCGTATGCTCATTGTCGACTGCTTACTCCTATAGTGCCCCATGACGATGAGATATCCAGAGTATAAACCACCACAGTCCAATCCTACCAACCACTAGAGAATAACTAATCTCCCATAACACCTCCAACTAGATAGCTAAAATCAATCTGCAAGTCTCCCAATAACCCAAAATCCATCCTCCAAGACGCCAATAGTCCCACAAACTGCTGCACTGGAAGGCGGCCCTTCTCGTCCATCGTGACAAATACTTGCCGCCAACGAGCCACCCACCTCCATCCTTCCTCAATGCCCCCCCACCTCCAATGACCAGAATGACCCAGTCCTGTATCCAGGTACACCTATGACCATCCAGAATTCCAGGAAATTACTCGCACACCATCCCAGGGTCTTTCCATCCAGGCATACTCTCCCACCAAATCGGGTGTCGCCCCATGGAGATCCTCGTCCATGTCGCCGCGCCCAGTTCCACCCGCGACGACACCCGATACCGCGCTCAAGTCGCTGCCATCCGCGCCTTTGAGCCGATCTCGCGTCAGTTGCTGAGCTCAGATAATGCCAAAGATGGAGCATCAGCAGGAGCAGGAGCAGCTCTACCCCCTCCACCTGCAGCTATCCCGGGGATGCAGAAAATGCAGAGCCCCCCACAGCAGAGTGCTCCTCTTTGCTGCTACGGGCGTCCGAGCTCATTTCCGCGCCATCCTCGGTCTCGTGCCCGTCTGCAGAAGATGCAAGAGCGGCAATAGCTGGCCAGGATAATGGGGCATGCCAGACTAGCAGCGATAGTCGCTGTGACCGGGGTTTGAAGGACCTACGGAAAAAGAAGCCGGCAGGCAATCCACCATCGCCTGGAAAGGCCGATTGTGCACAATCAGATCCCGCTGTGCATAGCACCGCGACTGCCACTGCTGTTACTCCAATCGCAAATTCAAATCCATGTCCATGTCTACGGCACGATCTTCAGCCGATCCTACCTAGTCCTGGTCCAGGGACAAATCAAATCAGGCCCAGTCCACTGGTCTCAGAGCCAGCGCCTGTGGGCGAGACCCGTGAACATGAGCCTCCAATCGCGGCGGACTCGCTCGAGAGCGTAATCAGCGTGATCCCAGACTCGCAGCCAGAACTGGCTGTATGCGCTGAACAACCGTCTCACCTAGCAACGAGGTGTCCAGCATTACTGCACGAGGAAGATCAACCGGGCCGCTCACCTAAACGGCGGCGGGTCGGACCCTTCCCTGTGGGCCAGACTATCAGTGAAGCTGCAGCAGTAGAAAGTACCATCACTTCATGCTCAGCACACCATGTCGAAAGGGCACTTTCAAGAGACGCAGACAAAAGTCCATCTGCTCTCCCGACGCAGGGTCCGCATTCCCACGCACTTGCCAATGCTTCTTCCTCAGTCCCTTCTCAGGTCTCCAATCCTGTTTCTGCGCATGCTAAGGTCCTCGAAACGGAGACTCGTCCTCAACAGCAGCAGCAACAACAACAACCACCTTCTTCTGATAAAGATGACCCTTCCCTTAACCATAATGATACACTCCTCTCCACTCTCCCCCTCACCCTCCGACCCCCTCCACCCCCAATCTCCACCTCCACCTTCACAACACACATCACTCCAACCCTATCCATGCTCACCGAGCGACTCAAACCCGCCCGCACATATAAGCCAATCCATGAAGCCCGGGAGCTAGACGCCCTCGAACGCGGATACTGGGCCATGCGTATCAACATCGCACGAACAGGGCCAGACCCAGCGCAAACCCAAGAACAATGTCAAAAAGAGACCAACACAAAAAACGGCCCTCCTTCTGTCCCTACCCCTGGCACTGGTCCTAGTTCTACCTCTACCTCTACAACCCCCCAACCCTGGACCGAAACCCAATTCACTCACTTCTGGACCTTCCTTGCCGGCTTCATCGCCAGAGATGCCCGCGCAGGATGGGGCGTCTGGTGTATCGCCGAACACATCGAAACTGAAACTGAAACCCAGACACCCATCCACACCAACACAAACACAACCAAAGATCAAGACAACTATCAAGATCCAAATACGGCTATACATACAGCCACACCTACAACAGACGACGCATTCATACCGATCCTACTTAAAATCTACGCGTGGGGCGAGGTCGCCATGCATATCTATCTGATGTTGTATCTTGCCAGTGAGCGGCGGGTTCGTGGGATGGGGTTGCGGTGGGTGGATTCGTGGGGGGAGGTCGTTATTCAGATGCCTTGATCTTTTTATGGGATTGATTGATTGTTTGTTTGTTGGTTGGTGTTTTTGGGGGGATATGTTGTATGAGTGAGACTGGCGTTTGATTGACTTGTGTTTTGTGGAGTTTGGAATAGATTATAGACATAGATATACCCTGATATGAGAATATGAGATTTGGTGTTGCTAGTTTTGTGAAATATCATGGCTAGCATATGACATGATCAGTCTACAAGTCTACCTAACTAACTAGTCTAAGATTATCTGACAACGACCATTCGTTCTACAGGGATGACCGCGATACCCCGAAGACTTTCTCAGTCCTATATACAGCCTACAAGTTCCCTACAAACCCTTCAAGAAACTTTCACTTCAATCTTCCATTTGTCTCTCAATTTACGACCGACTCGGATATTGTACATGCTGAACAAATAGGGTGCAAGATAAAACACAAAAGAGAATTGACCGAGGGGGGAAAACGGACGCAAAGACAATTGGACAAAGCTAAGAAAAATATTCCACAAGTAGATATCCTCAAAACAAGATATGACGTGACACCAAAACGGAAAACATTAGACGCACCCGGTGAATTCAACCCGGATCCACAGTTGAACGCCAACGCCGGCGAGATTTGTTGGTTGAGAAAAAAAAAAGGGAGGGGGGGGAAGGGAAGGTAGATTTCAGAAAAAGGAAAATTAGGTTAGAGAATGAAGTGTAACCGGGCGTTAATGGTTATGGAAGGTTGGAATAAGTGAGCAAAGCTAATAATTTAGCTCTCCGCTGCCAGATCCACCCACAGCGTCCAAGTCCTCATAGCTCTTCAGGCTACGGCCCTGCACTGCTTCACGCGGGGGAATGCCCTGTGGGCCTCCACCACCGCCCATGGAGTCGGGGAAGGGGTTGGGGGGAACCATGTTGGCGGCTGGGTGGCCAGGTGGAACGGAGAAATTGGCAGGAAGACGACCGCCAGGACCATACATGCCAGGCATACGAACAGGGCTGAGGCGTCCGCTGCCGTTAGGAGGGCGGCGACGGTCATAGGGACCAGCTCGGTGGCTATGTTGACGGTGTCCGCCACGCCGCATGACGCCCGGCTGGTGCAGGTTTGCACCATCCCCAGCAGCAATGCCATTGCCGCCCCAAGAGCCGCCTGCGCCCGCGAGGCCGGGCATGCCTCCGGGGGTAAATCCAGGAAGAGCCCCTGGGTTCCCGAGATAAGGCACATTCTGCAGGCTAAACCCACGGGGGGTGCCGCCCTGGCCATGGCCGGAAGCAAGAGGGAAGTGACCGTTGCTATTGGCATCGGAACGGGATGGAGCGATTCGTGAAGGATCCAAGACATAGGCATTCACGAGGGACAGCTGCGATTGGAGGTTAGTGTGACTGTGTCGTGTGCGAATTCGGATAAGCAAGGGGAAACACTTACATTACCCTGGATTTTCTCAAACCACTCGGCGTGACGCTTCTCAATGTGCTTGCGCCAGAAGTTCTCCGCCTTGAACAGCTTGGCGCACTCGGGCACCTTGCATCGGTACCGGTCGTCAGTCTCCTGCTTGACATACTTGGCGAGCTCCTCGTCGAGGGCTTCCTCCACAGGCTTGCCGCCAAGTTTGCGCAGGTCGGCCATTTCAGGTTCCAGGATTTGCAATAGCTTATCCTCAAAGGTCTTGACCCAGTTGAATGCGCGCTGTAGCTGTTGTTCCGACTTGGGAACGCGCTGAGGACGCCTCTCCTGCACGGGTGAAGCCCGTTCTTCTCCATCCTCACTCGGCTCCTTCTTCTTGACAGGGAAAGGTTGCCCCAGGGCACTGGCACGAGCGACCTCCTTGGCTTGATTAGAGAGACCGGTGCGAGGACGACGAAGGTGGCCACCTGGGCATTTGCGACCAAGCTCGTGAACGGAGTCACTTTCAAAAACGCAGAAGAAGCAGAAGTTGTGGACGCGGCGCAGATACTCGACCATCAAATCCAACTTCTTCTTCTTTGCCAAAACCTCTTCATCGTCAACATCATCGTCCTCGGAGATTTCTCTCTCCTCGCCCTCCTCCATCTCACCATCGTCAGCACCGTCTTCATCGAACCCGTTCTTATGCTTCTTGACACTGACGGGCCCAGTCACGGGAGGCTGAAGCCAGCCCTTGCCGCGAAGGTCCTCGACCCGTTCTTCGATCTTGCTGTAACCATCCACCTCTCCCATCTCGCCGTCCATCCGAGCGACCAGTCGTCGAGCCAGCTCAAGATCACGGTCGATGCGCTCAGGGGCAGAGAACAAGTCCCATAGTGCCTTCTTGCGGGGATGGGCTGGAGGAACGTGAACACCAACGTGACAAGTAAAATCGCCGTGGACCGGATCGTGAATCGTCTTGTCATTCACAGCCTCAAGCGCCTTCTGAGCTCCGCTGATAGTCACAGTCTCACTCATGCCATTATCATGATCCATCTCCTCCTCGCGACCATCTCCCCGGTCCACAATATTTGTTGTGTCGCCACCAGGGTGCAACATGATCCAGCCCATGCGGTGGAACTTCTTGGACGGGTTTGGATCGCTGAGGCTGAGCCACTTGAAGCCACCATCATTCTCTCCAAGGTGTTCCTTGCAAAACTCCTCAATCTTCTCACGACTCACATTTGGCGCAAGAGTCTTGATGAGCAAGGCAGGTTGAGACAGAGCCTCGTCGCGGAGTTCGCCTCCACGAACAGGGAGTAGATCCAGGACTCCCAATGTTTCCCCAACGGCGGTGGTCTCGCCTTCTTCCTTCTCAATGACACCACCAGCACCGTCGCTTTCGCTCTTGTAAATGCCCTCGAGCGTAAAATCGTCAAACAATCCGCCATTGAGATCCTGCTCCCACTGCTCGTATGCTCCCTTTCGGAAGTTTAGCAGACGACTGCGAATCGGGTCTCGTACTTCGGTATTGTACCGCTCTTTGAACCACTCTTCCTCGCGATGTTGTTGCACAAATGCTCTAGCCAACTTGATCTGAAGATCCACCTTGTATGTATCGTAGGCAGCTTGGATTTGCGCGCGTTCCTTATCCCGGTCCTCACGGGCTTCGCGCTCGCCCTTGAGACGACTCGAAGGGAGCCGACCGCCATGCCTAGCGCGTTCCTTTTCCTCGTCAATGGCTTGTTCGGCTCTCCACCATTCAGCAAACCAGGTGAACCCGACTTGGAAATCCAGACTGAGTGGGTCAGGAAGAGGATTCGTTGGGAGGGGCCGCTTGCCAGAGTCTTGGCCTGGGATGTAACGGTCGATATTCGTAACATTGGGGGAAGGAAGGCGTCGGCGATCTTCACGGTCACGAGCAGCTTGATCACGGGAGTTGTTGTAGAAATCATCTCGAGGGCGACGCTCGGTAGGCTCGTAGCGATCAATCATGGGAGAGCGGGAACGGCCACGACCACGGCCACGGCGATCTTGAGAAACTAAGAGAAGTTGGTCAGTAAACGGTCTTGCGCTTCTCCAACCGACTAGGGACCCAGAATATAGCAACATACCTGGCGACCGGCGGCGGTACTCTGCTGGTGCTCTACCGAAGGAGTCCGCATCGCGATTCCTTCCAGGAGACGCATCATAGCCTTCATATGAATCCATCTTGTCCCGTACCAGTGACTCTGAGGGAATTGTTGAGTCACGGCTTCAATCGCGAACCGTTGTCTGTAAGGGACTCCGACGCGGGGGCAACCGTCAAAGAAAGAAACCTCAGTAGTTTCAATCAAAGTTGTCGCAGAGGGCGCGGGAAGCTAAGATTCGGCATCGTCAATATAAGGCCAGGAAATTTGGAAGACAGAGCGGAAGAGCGGCACGTGGGCGATTGCCGGGGATGTGGGGGGAGGACAAGAAAATAGACAAGGTCATCAGGGATTGAGAATGAAATAGATGAAGGGGTTATCAAGCCAGCGGCTATCGAATTCGAAACCGCGCCATCACCACATGGTCACAGCGAAAGGGTAGAGTAAAGAGAGATAATGAGGGTCCGCTGGCGGAAGAGTCCCGCGAGCCTTGCGATAGCGCACGCAACACCATCAAAGTGTTCTTCGCCATGGAAGGCAATGAAGATGAATAAATTGGGAAAGAAGGTATGAGAAATGTTTAAGATGTAGGGGGAGGGCGTGGGTGGAGGGAGAACTGAGATAGCAGAAGAACGGAGAAACGGGGACGATCACAAGGCAACAAGAGCCGTTCCAACACGGCAGATGGTAGAGGCAGGAGAGGAAACGATAGAGAAAGGGAGGTAAGGCCACCTACAAGAGAAGCCCAGAATAAGATGGCGATTGGAATCGAAGCCAACGACAACAGCTCCAGTGCGAGGGTGGAGGAGAGTGGCAGTGAGATCAGTTGGAGAGTGACTGGAAGGTTGGAGACAGCTGGAGAGGCGCTAGGCTTGAAGAGGCTAGCGTGGTTCCTGGCTGAGCACCGGTCACCTGATGGCCAGCTGATGGCCGAGCTGGCTGGACCAGATCAGAATCCCGAGACCGAAACAGGCACACAAGCAGCAGGGGGGATTGAGAATAAAGAGAAGACTTGAGGATTGTGGTGAAGGGGGTAAGAAAGGAAGAGGAGGTTGGGAAAGTCAAAGGGGTTAGGGGTAGGTTGGAAGTTGAAGTGTCTCAGTCAAACAGACGCCCTGATTGCTCAGGCCCCAATCAGCAAGACCTCAGAGACACCACCAGCAAACAATGGAATTGGTTTGACCGGCAATATAGGCTCAGTGTTGCTGTGCCTGTATTTGTTCGGACCTGCCATGGTTATCTTGGTAGGTTGACTGCCGACATGATCTTGTCTATAGGCTGAAACGAACTGACCATTGGACAGAAAATCCCATATTACGACGAAAGAAAATATTCCAGATATTATTGTGCTGGCCATGGAAATTGAGCTTGATGCTTATTGATCATTACAATGGATCGAACACAGACCTCGTAGATCTCGTGGATAAATTCGAGATCCGAACTGGCCAATATACTACTTACTACCTGCTCCGTATCTGAGACTCCGCGGTCGATACGAATACAGCTATGATATAGCCATGAAACCATCATGCGCGTAAGAACTGGAATCAGCTACAACAATAAAGCACGCCATGTAATTTGCGAATCGTGTCCTGCCTATCGAGCACACTACCATCGTGAGTCCTTGTGCAGCTTTTGATTCTACTAAATTGTTCCCCGCAGAACAACGCATGCAAGGCTGGAGGGTCAACAAAGGGAATCTCCATAGCGGAAGTTGCCAGGCGGTGGACTCTCTCTATGGTATACTCGAAATCCAGGCTCTTCCTTCTTTGATTATACTGTCATCTCGGTTTTAAATTCTATATATGGCCGGTATACACTATGCCTATCTGGAGGGATCTCCAGATCTATCTGCACGCTTTCTATACCATCCAGAAACGTACCACGCACCAGGGCAGCCTGTGCATTCGACAATTACCTACCGATCAGCTCTATCTGCACATTCAATGTATATAAATCACCAATTGACAAAGAATACTCAATATTCAAACTGCAATCCTCCACCAAACAACCAACACCTCTTCCACAACTCGCCTTGGCGCGACACTCCAATAAGCAGTCACTACAAGAACTCATCAACCTCCTTCTAAATCAATCTCCAACCTTCCCAAGCCTCATTCCCAAAGCCACCTCATCACCCACAACAAATCCCACGCCCCAATCCCTCCATAAACCCACACACAACCCTCAAAACTGCCCAGAACATCAAACCATCTCCAAATCCCCAAGCGGCCCGTGCGCACCAATACAGTTCCAACCCCCCACAAACCAACCACATCAAAGCATACACCACCTCAAGCCCCATCCTCATCAACCGATGAGCTCCCTCCTCAACTCCCGCTGGGCCCCGGGCAACAGCGCCAGCACCAGCAACCCCTACGACCGATATGACACCAGCAACGGCACCAACCAGCCACGATGGCCCTCCAAACAACCACGCACCCACAGCACCCCCGCACGAAATACATCCTCAGCACAAGGGCCACGCCCATCATACTCGTACTCACAGCAACACTCACAAACCACCCTCCTCCCCCCAGCAGAAGAACTAGCCCGCTTCATGAAAATAGTCTCCCGATTACGCTGGAAACTCCCCTTCCTAGCCGAGGCCTACCGCCTGGCAACTACAACGCCAAACCCGGGCGCCGACATTGGCAATGGCACCGGCACCGGCAGCAGCGGTAATGGCAACCCAGAAGCAGAAATAATGTTCAAAATCGACTTCTTCGAATACTACGCCCTCCTCGAACGCGCAATCGTGCATCTCCTCGCCGTCTTCAACATAACAGTCTCCTCCTCTTCAGCACCCTCAACCCGCGGACGTCCCACCACCAACAGCGCATCCCTCCACAGATACCACGCCAACGTCCTAACCGCCCTAACAGAAGAAACCACGCCCCTCACCCCCGTCCTAGGCAGCGGCCACATCCACTCACAACTCCGCCAAGCCAAAGAACTCCGCAACAGGTGGAAAACGGCGGATATGACGCGGGACGAGGTGGCGCGGGACGTGGTGGGTGATCGGGACGTTGTGCGGCCGTTGGAGAGTTATGATTTGGAGGGGATTTTGGGGGCGATCTTTGTGGGGTTGGAGGAGGGGTTTGTGAGGGCGAGGGAGCATGTTGCGCTTTGTAGGAGGGATGGGGATGGTGAGGGAGGAGGGGGAGGGAGGGGGGGAGGAGGGGTGGGAGTTTATGGTTGATGCGATGGATTGGGAGGCTGTTTAGGAGGGAAGGGGTGGAGGAGGTGGGTTCTGGGTATATTGTGTGGGAGATGAGAAGGAGAAGGGGAGGGGATTGCATGGTTGGTGTTTGGTGTCTATTATATCTCTTTCTTTTGTACAGGCCAAAACCAGTATCTTAGTCTTGGCTGGTCCGAAGACGAATTGCTTAAACAGGACATAGAAAGCTATTTTGATTTACTGTGAAGAGTTAGCTAGCTAGCTATCTACTTAGCGAATACCCACTGTTTATTTCGTTGTTTCTCCAGAAGAACTCTAGTTTTATTCATCTTTATATATAGAATTCAAAAGACAATATCTTCATTCCGATCTGATGGTATACGCAAGACAAATTCAATCCAACAAATCCAATCCACTGAAACAGCACATATCATATCAAATCCAACATAAGACAACCATCGCATCCCAATCGATCCCATTGCATTGCATTGCATCACGGCAGTTCCAAAGGGAGAAAAAGAAAACAAAACAAAACCCCCGTCTTCCCAATCCCAACCCCAACCCCAACCCAACCCAGTCCAAGAAAAAATCTGACCTGTTTTTCCAGTGAAGGAGAACCCCTCTAATATGGGCCCAACAGAAGCTCAAAATACAAAGCACGCAACACAACGGACACCAAGCACAGAACAAGGAGGCATAGTGCAAGAGCATGGGCTAGTAGAAACATAAAACAAGGGACAGAAGACTGGCAAGATATTGCTATACTGTCGATCGATATACACAAGGCGATGCAAGTGTAGGCGTAGAAGGGGAGGGAGGTGTGGAAAAGTGGAAGAGGAGGGGGGAAGAAGAGAGAAGAAAAATCGTCACGGTTGACATTTCACTGGCCTGGGCCTAAGTAAATCGCATTTCCACAGTTGGCCCTCAAGGGCCTTGTAAATATTGACTTTCTTGTAAGTGGTTCGAGAGCCTCGTAGAACTTGGAACTTGACTTTCTTCGACATCCGTGTGTCAGATTTTGTTCTCCCGACGGGCATTGCAGAAATGCAGGAACCGGGCTCAGGCAGAGCTCATCTGCCAAAATCATTTGTGAGACACTCCAAGGTGACAAGCCCAAAACAGAAACATCCTCCCCGTGTAACAAGCTATAAACAGAGATCATTGGTCAAGTTAGTGGGCAGATGAGGGGAGGAAGACAGGGGAAGTGGCCATTGAAACAAGCATATCAAGGGTAGAAGAGAAGTGGCGTGATAAGAGGGTACAAAGGGGAGGGGCATCCATACACATCGCTCGCTGTAAGAAATAAAAAGGGTTTCCAAAAACGTCCATCCATAAGCCGTTAGTCTCGACGAAAGAAATTCCAACGATGACAAAGGAAAAGAGACAAAAAAATAAACATCGTCACCGGGATTCAGACCAAACATGCTTCAAACTCGAGGTCAAGCTTGATTACATAGCTCGGATCTAACCCGATGACACGGTCAACCGACCAGGACGAGGAGGCGGTTGCATTATTCAACCATCCTCATCCGATGGCTCAGCAGATTCTTGCTCACTGCCATCGGCACTGGTGCTCGTCTTGGTTTTCTTCGCACTACCACCGTCATCATTGCCCTCGCTTGATTTCCGCTTCTGGCCTACAGACCCGTTCTCCTTGCCGAGGTCAGCCGCAGCATCACCGTCACCCTCTGCCGCCTTCTTCTCCATCGCGGCAACCTCGTCAGCCGTCAGGAAACGGCCGCCGGGGCCACGGGGTCGGCGCATGGCGTGGTTGTGTCGCGACTCGTGCAGATACGGCTTACGTCCCTTAGACGTCAGTCGAAGCTGCTCCTCGAGCTTCTGACGGGCGACACGGCGCTTCAGGATACGGTGGAACTGCTTGGCGTTGACATAGAGCGGGGATTCTTCCTGGTTGCCACCGGGCACCATCTCAGGCGATGGCTGGTTCTGTTGGATGGCGGCCTGGGGCGCGCCAGGCATGGATTGCGCGACCGAGGGTCGGCCAATGTGACTCATCACGGGCTGAGCGGTGGGTACGTTGGGACTACCGATGTGGCTCATTCGGCGACCCGGGGGCATCTGCTGGTTCGGCATCTGAACCTGCGAGCCCATCGGGGGCATCTGGCCAGGCATTTGGGGAGAGCGAGGATTCCGATCCGGCTTCATGGGCACGCCAGCCATGCGCGGCGAGCCCCGTGTCCCGGGAGCCATCTGGCCAGCCATACCATCGTGTTGCTGAAGGGGGTAGAATTGTCCGGAAGCGGCAGCAGTGGCCATCGCGGCGGCCTGCGTGGGCGAGATACCGTATGGCTGGGGCATGGCAGCAGAGACACCGTAGCCTTGGGGGAAGTTCATCTGCTGGTGAACAGCGCCGGGCCCACCTTGCGCTTGCTGGTAGTGCTGTTGCGACGGAACGATCGGTGATGTCTGATGGGAAGGATGTTGTGATTGCATGGGTGGCGGGGCATTCGTGGGCGAGGTCATCGTTCCAACGGGCGCACCGGGTTGCCCTGGTCCAGATTGGTATGGACCAGGCATGTGTGAAGGGGCGTGGGGGTGTTGGCCATGAGGCTGTTGGTACTGCGGAGGGTACTCCATGTTTGACGGGGGGCTCTTGGGCAACTTCGGGGGAAGGTCCAGAGAAGGTTCCGTCACACAGGCGACGCGCGCGTGTGGTACCGGGGGTTGGGGGCTGGGGTGACAGGCACGAGAGATCGGCTCGAGTTGACGATCTATCAATCCAAACCACCTATCAAAGGGTCCGAAACAGAGAGCTAGGCGCCGCAGTGGGTTTTGGGGCACGATAGCAACTGAGAGGAGGTCGAGGTGACTCTACTCGATTGTGTTTGGCAGATGTGCCGGGTCGATATCACTCCACGCGCGTGCAGGCAGGGAGTTAGTCACCTCCAGAAGTTGACGTGGTCGCACGGTGATTCGACAAGCGGGAGTCGATAGTCTGCAGCCTCGGGCCATCACGTCAGCAAGAGCGCAGCACGATACGGTCACTGGATCGGCAGGGTGGGGGGAACATGGAACAGGCAGCATTGATAGGGCGAGTGACATGACATACCTTAAAAACTGAAAACCTGCAGGCACTGCAGAGAGGGGAAAGTCGACGATAGGCCAAACGTTTGGTCCAAAAGGCTCAAGGCTAGTTCTCAGAGCAGCAACGCGTCTTGAGCGGAGGGTTTGGCTCTTTTGAGCAAATCGGTCGATACCCACGGGTGTAACGTGGTTGGGCTGTGATGCAGTATGATGGGTGGGTTACCCCTCGACTAGAGTGCTTGATGCGTTGTCAGAACCAGTCGCCTTGATGATGCCACCCCGCTGAGGCTGCGCCGGGAAAACCGATTTCAGGCACCGAGGGGCTGGTTACCTCAAATCACGAGGGATTGAGGTCCTCTTTGGGAATTTTGAGGTGTTTTTTTTATTTCTTTCTTACCTCTTGGCTTAATCACGTTGAGCACAAAATCCGGGGGACGCGACACACAATGTGGGCCGGGCTAGCGGATCGTGAAAGAGTTGATGCGCCTCGGTCAGGGCGGCTGTCAACGAGCTCCACGAATCAGATCTGAGGAAACCATCAGTATGTCACATTCTGGATAAACACAAGACAGATGCGCTGGCTCTCGTCCCGAGCGGAGGGGGGGGGTAATGTAGGCAGGCGATGATGATCCCAGTGTATATTTACTAAGGAGGGGGGGGAGTTGGGATTGACCGGGTTAGGCCAGGGCGACCAGGGCAGGAAGAGAGAGACAGAAACAGAGGGAGGCAATGTATGCGTTGGCACGAGAATTCCAAAGGGCTGCAGGTCGCGCGAACATACCTGTGAAGCGATCGGCTTCTGCAGTGGCAGGACAGATAATGAGGCGAGGCTGATCGCGTCTAGCGAATCAGTGTCGCGCACCTAGAGCAGACATGAGTTAGATCGCGCACTCGAAAAGATGATGTCAACGATGCCGGGACCGACGCGTACAGCAAGCGACGAGTTCGGGTAGGGAACACAAGACTTGAGGAGCGCGCATAACAAAGAATGGACAGCCAATAACAAGCAGACTGGGACCGACCATAAAACACGCAGGCGCTTTGCATGCGACTGGGAGGATCGAGAGTGGATGGGACAGGGCAAGGTAGGCAATGAGAGACGGGCAATGGGCAGTTTGGGGTCAGTGGACGGCGCGTGTGTTTGTGTTTTTTGCCACGGGGGCCGAGCCAGTCGCAGCGAGCGCGCGCAACGTGGGAATTGGATGGAGGGGGGGGTGTTAAAGCTTGGGAGCATTTTACCTTAATTGGGGGGAGAGGGGGATAGGGAAAGCGAGCCACAGGGCCAGGACGTGGATATTCTCCGTTGGACTTCCAATCCCAAGTGATCAAGGGATCCCAGCCAGACGGTGATTTGACGGAGGCAGAAGATGATGGGGGAAAAGAGGGGGGGGAGATCGAAGGAAACGTGCCAACGAGAAGGCGGTGGTGGTTGGGTTTGGGGCGCGACTGGGGCCGCTGATGTCAACGCCCGGCCAGTTCCGCGAAACACCGTAACGGGAGGAAGAGAAAGACGGACAAATGAACGAGAAGAACGAGAATCAAAGGCAATGGAAAAAGGGAAAAGGGCATGTTTACACGGCAGAAATGAGGAATGCTGGTCCCCCCCTCTCTCTTCTTTCGGGTAAGGGTTAAGAGAGCCGCACGAGGGAGTCACGGGAACACGAGGGCCATGATATCAAGGCAGATATCTGGTGGAGAGGGTTGCATGGGCAAGAACGAGGTCTTCTTTGGCCTTGGAGAAGCTCGGACCCCAGTGCCATTCTTTGATGGCCTCGAGATCATGCAAGATAGAATCATGAATGATCGAAGGAAGAGAAAAAGGCAAGAAAGAAGACAAAGTAACAAGCTCAAATGGCCAAAACGTAAGGAAAAAAAAAAGCGATCATTGATAGAAAAACCTACCTATCGGAATAGAAGTATCAAGGACTCAATTGCTTAAAGTCCCCTTCAATCGTAGTAGCTAAGCTCCTACTACAGTACTGTTCCTCGATCCAGTCGTCGACGGTCGTCCTGTCGTACACTTCAATGCCGACCGTGGGGAAAAAACCAAAGGTCGAATGAGATCAAAGACGAGAAAACAACTGATTGGACTTGCGCAAGTTGTCCCAGTCCAGCGAACGCGAAATGGACGAATGGAACGGGGGGAAATCAGATTAAACCAACGGCGGAAGTAAGGGTGGCCAGCGCTGTGCGATGGTTGGAGGGCGAACTGACTGGAGAGGGCGGGCAACCAACGAGAAGAGGCAGAGGGAGAAAGGCGAGAAGGGGTGGGCGGGACGGGGCATTTTGTACTGGCTGGAGAGCCAATTTCTGGCTGGTCCGGCTCATCGGAGAACGACGTATCAGCGTGGGTAGCTTGGGGGAAGTGGAGAAAAGAATCCAGACGAGATTGTTATATATCATCCAGTGCGAGATTCATGAGATTACAGTCTAATTACCATGCGGTACCCAACCTGACACATATTTACACATATTTTCATGACTTCATCCGAAGTCAACACGGGACCCGTCGCTGCCCAACCTGCTGTCTGAGTGGCCGTGCGCAGCTGAATGTGGACCCAAGTGGGGGCCATTTCTGCCTCCCGCGGGTCCTGGCTGGCTGGGCCGAGGATGGGAGTCATCACGTTGATGGGTATTATTACAGTATTTTATTGTATTGCTCTTGTCTGTATTGTCATTAAATCACGGGAGGCAGGCAATCCGGCCATCCCGAAGAAGCTGGTCATGTGCAACCCACCCTCGACTCGGCGGTGAAGAACACGAACCCTGGACTGGGAAAGAGGGAAGACACTGTACTTTGGTGATAAGATATTATTATCTCACCGCCATCAGCATCCTCGACCTGAAAAACTATATCTTCAACTTGGGCAGTCCTGCCTTGCTCCCTCACTTTCATCGTCGGGTAGAAACCATGTAATCTATGTAATCTCCCTCGGATACTCCAAAGTGGTGATGTATTTCATTGTTCCCTCGTACGGATAACGTATTTTCCATGCGCAAATTATGTGCCTCGACCCTCGTCGCAACCATCATTTCAAAAGTATTTCGTACTTCTTTGTTTGCCTCCCATATTAGTCTATTTCCTTCATATATTATTTCCTACCCTACAGTAACTCCCTTTCTGATTATGAGAATCATCCCCAGCCCCCCTCCTTCGGCCATCTCTCCTATTCGGGAACCCTCCACCCCAGGTCTCATCTCCCGCCTACACTACCACCCTTGATCATATCACATACGAACATTACGCACACTGTAGTACTCCATACTGAGAACAGGTCAAGAAAATCATCCAACACTCCAAATACCCGCCACCGAGACTAATCCTGACCTCCCCCCTGATTGTGACTGTGACGGGCTGTGACGCCAACAAGTGAGGCGGCCGATCCACGCACCATTCGAATCTGGCCCGCGCGAGGAGACATCGCAGACATCGCACCAGTGACCACCACCCCCCGGGCGATAGCCCAAGACCTCACATCAATTGGGGATAGCTGCTGTGCTGGCAGTGATTGAAATGACGCAAGAGGGCGGTGCTGCGTATTGAGTGTACTGTAGACTATACAGTATAGTAGACTGTAAAGCAAGGCGTTACTGACCGAATGCGAACCGCCATTCGCGCCACTCGTAGGGCTGGTCTCTTGCAAAGTAAACAGCCAGGCGGCTCCGTTCGCATACCCAGTAAGAGGGCTTTCTATGCGCCTTGGCGGTGCTGGTGTTGACTAGGTTTAATTCTCCGAGGCGACTACTGTACTTGAATAGTCTTCTGTAGCGTGGAGCTTTGAGCGGTCCTGGCAACTGGCTGGCGATTCGAATAGGAGGAGAGCATCGTCGATGTTTGGATTTAGGGGTTGAGGGCTAGAGTGAGAGATGTTAGGTTGCACTTTGTATCGACAGCGAGTTCATTCGTTGTATTGGTAGATACTTCCTCTACTCAAGAATCTCGACGGGGTTTCTAAGGCAAACCGGGCACCTATCGCTGTTTACTGTTGTCTTGATTTTGCTTGTTGCTTACATTGGTCATCTTCAAGTGTGGAATGCTATGTATATTTAGGGTAAATCGCTTTAATTAGGGGTTACAAAGAAATTCTATCCATTCTATAGTTAGTAGATTTTTGTGACATATATATTTAGAGATTGAGTCCCGAAACGGAGTCGATATATATCTTGAATGAGTTGAGTCCACCTGAACGGTAAAATGTTATGCCTTCTCATAGCTTGGGTCTAACTGCGCTATAGGTGCCTAGTTACTATTCTTAAAGGAAGCTCACAACGCTCTATTCTCTGTTCTGACGCAAAAGATTGAATCTTATGCTCTCATCCATTCTTCATCACCCACAGGCAAGCATGCCCACAAGGGAGGACCGTCAATCCAGCCACTTCACAACAACCTCGGTCTTTCGACAGACCATCTAGAGCGACTTCGCGAGCAGACCTGCTGCTCCAAAACATGAAGCTTTGCACTGGTATATCGTTGTACGTACGTAAGCGATGCCGACTGGGATAATTTCATGACTCTCTTTAGACTGGGCGAAGTGCAGGCTTAGTTTCTGCGGTGGTCTTAATCCACCCCTTGGCAGTCTTTGAGGAATCGCTCGTCTGAGGACACAATGGTCGCTAATTTCCGTGACTATTTCAAGGGTTTGGCGGTTACTACTGTACACCAGGAACAGGGTGTCCAGCGCGGCGTGGGCTATCATCCTCGTTCGGGTTGGCATTGAGTCTTCGTGTGACATAACAAGCATTCAGATAAGGCATCATAGTCAAGGATATTGAGTTGGCGACTTTCCCTGTGGATATCTCTGAGGTAATGAAAGAGCTTGTTTAGATCTTAGGTTTAGCTGCCGGAGAATTTATATCGGGGTTTCTCCTCGGTATATACTCTATCGAGATCCATGGGTCAGAGGCGACTCGGCACCAATGAGATATCGGATGCTCCATCAAGTTTATAATTGCAGCTCTGAAGCTCTTAGCAAACTTAACACGTGTAGGCGCGTCTCATTGGGCATCAATACATTTACTTCATTTTCACTGGGATGAAGAAAGTCCCCAAAAGATCTTGTTCGACACAGGAGAGAATAAACACAGCTGATGGACACCACTCAGCAGGTGATTCATTGCATTAGCATACTTATTGAAGAAAACTTACTCAATGGCCGGAAATAAGGAGCTGCAGACATTGTTTCAAGGAAAAAACGACGACGATGTGTCCAACAGCCACTACACATTGTTACTTATATGCTGGGTTGCTTGTTTAATCACATGCATACTGCAATTCATGACATGGAACTGCATCAGTACATGTATGATGGCAATTCCGGCAGACCAACGCCCTCAAGGAACAAACAATCATGAGGATCCGCAGATGTCATTCAGGTGTTGCGCTCTGGGCCTGGAAACCTACTGTAGTACTGTCCAGTAGGTTCCCCCTCAAAAAGTTGACTGACTCAGCAAGGGGGTCCCGCGGCGTCGGGGGCAAGTGGCTTTTCCGCATGAAGATGTCGACAATCGCATTCTACTCTTTATGCTTCAAGTCCTCCCTTCGCCAGCGCTGCGGCCTTCGACTCGAGCCTCTTAGTCGACTCTGACCGCCATCTTCACGGGGTCCCCCTGACCCACCCCACAAACCACACACGCGCTGAATATTCGATACATGACGTCTTTGTTGACATCTACGGTTCCCGATACCCCCCAGACACCGCTCCAGACGAACCGTACGCAGACGAGGTTCAGCAATCCCATACCTCACACCCTTGCGACATCGTCCTCGAGTCGCGCTCCTCGCGGAGTCTGCGCACCGGCGTTGACCCGTCACCGCTTGTGCCACACCCGTCTACATTCCGATCCCACTTTCTAGCGAGCGGCCGACTTCGTGACGAACCTCCGGTGTATGGAGTAGGAGAACAAGATGGCTCCAGGCGGCGGAGGTAATATTAAAGTGGTGGTCCGAGTGCGACCCTTCAATAGCAGAGGTGAGTGGGAGGTTGCACGGAGAAAGTGAAGGAGACCATAATTCACTGCCCCTCACCTTTCCCCCTTGGGAGGACTCGTGGCTGACATGGTAACCCCTTCCTTGGTACCCTTTTCCAGAAATCGACCGAGGCGCAACATGTATCGTGCAGATGAAAGGCAACCAGACGGTGCTCACCGCACCGTCTGGCGCGGAGGAAAAGTCGCGAAAGGGCGCTGGCAAGGGCGGCGGCGACGGACCCAAGGTGTTCGCTTTCGATCGATCATACTGGTCATTCGACAAGAACGACCCGAATTATGCCGGCCAGGACAACCTCTTCGATGATCTGGGCACGCCACTCCTCGACAATGCCTTCGGCGGATATAACAATTGTATTTTCGCGTATGGTCAGACCGGTTCTGGAAAATCGTACTCGATGATGGGTTATGGCCAGGAGCATGGTGTTATCCCGCGTATTTGCCAGTCGATGTTCACCCGGATTAATGACATCCAACAAGACAAGAGCTTGAATGTCACGGTTGAGGTGTCATACCTGGAAATTTACAATGAACGCGTTCGCGACTTGCTCAACCCTTCGAATAAGGGTAATTTGAAAGTTCGTGAGCATCCGTCCACTGGTCCATATGTGGAGGATTTGGCGAAGCTAGTCGTGCGCTCGTTTGACGAAATCGATCATTTGATGGATGAGGGAAACAAGGCTCGAACGGTGGCGGCCACGAACATGAACGAAACCTCCAGTCGATCCCACGCTGTCTTTACTCTGACTCTCACGCAAAAACGTCACGACGCAGAGACTTCGATGGACACGGAGAAGGTGTCGAAGATCAGTTTGGTCGATTTGGCCGGTTCCGAGAGAGCAAACTCGACCGGAGCCACTGGTGCCCGTTTGAAGGAAGGTGCTGAGATCAACCGATCTCTATCTACTCTTGGTCGTGTCATTGCAGCATTGGCTGATGTCTCATCTGGCAAGCTCAAAAAGGCATCCATGGTACCCTATCGTGATTCAGTACTCACCTGGTTGCTGAAGGATTCCTTGGGAGGTAACTCAATGACTTCGATGATTGCAGCGATTTCGCCTGCAGATATCAATTTCGACGAGACACTGAGTACTCTGCGTTATGCCGACTCCGCCAAACGAATCAAGAACCATGCAGTCGTGAATGAGGATCCGAACGCTCGCATGATTCGCGAACTTAAAGAGGAGTTGGCACAGTTGCGGTCCAAACTTGGAGGTGGTGTCCCAGGAGGTGTTCCCGGGGCGCCTGGCACAATATCGCAAGAAGAATATTATCCTCCCGATACCCCATTGGAGAAGCAGATGGTCTCTATCCAGCAAGCGGATGGTACTGTCACCAAAGTCAGCAAAGCCGAGATTGTGGAACAGCTCAATCAGAGTGAGAAGCTGTACAAAGATCTCAATCAAACATGGGAGGAGAAACTGCAAAAGACCGAGGAGATCCACAAAGAGCGCGAGCAGGCTCTCGAGGAACTGGGTATCAACATCGAAAAGGGTTTCATTGGATTGAGCACTCCGAAGAAGATGCCCCATTTGGTCAACCTCAGCGATGACCCACTACTCGCCGAGTGTCTGGTCTACAATATCAAACCGGGTACTACGACCGTGGGTCATATGGACCAAGGAAACAACGTTGAGATTCGACTGAACGGCTCGAAAATTCTCACCAAACACTGTACCTTTGAAAATGTCGACAATGTCGTCACTATTGTTCCGACGGAAGGTGCTGCTGTGATGGTGAATGGTTTGCGCATCGATAAGCCCACACGCCTAAAGAGTGGATTCCGAATTATCCTTGGTGACTTTCATATTTTCCGTTTCAATCACCCGCAGGAAGCTCGTGCCGAACGAGTAGAGCAGAGCTTGTTGCGACATTCCGTGACGACGAGCCAACTCGGCTCACCAGCACCAAACAAGACCCATGACCGGTCGCCTAGCAAGGTCGGCTCAGAAGTGGATGGTGATTCCAGCAGGGCAGATTCCCCAATGCCCTCACAACGTGGGAGAGAATCAGATTGGTTCCTTGCTCGACGAGAAGCCGTCAGTGCCATGTTGGGCCCAGACCATATTTCTCACTTGCCCGACGATGAACTAGATGCCCTGTTCGAAGACGTGCAGAAAGCGCGAGCGGTGCGTCGCGGACTCCCGGAAAATGAAGAAGACTCAGACTCGTTGAGCTCTTTCCCAGTACGCGACAAGTACATGTCAAATGGGACTATCGACAATTTCTCTCTCGACACGGCTATCACCATGCCTGGTACACCACGGCAAACTGACGATGATGGGACAAACGGAGTTTCTCTCAAATTGGTTCAGAAAGACATGCAACGCCAGCTCGATCAGCAGCGGGAAGAGTTTCAAGATAAATTGAGGCTTGCAGAGACCTCCTCCAACCAAGACGTGGGTGAACTACAAACCGAAAAGCAACGCATGGAGGATGCCCTGAGGTCTGCCAAGGAGGAGTTTGAAGAGCAATTGAGAGTGCAAAAGGAAACCTTTGAAACGCAGATGCGTGATATGGGCAAGCCAATTCCGCAAATATACGAGAATGGCTTCGCCAAGTTGGATGAACGCGAACTTGAAATCGCACGAACTGTATTCAACCATTGGTCGCAGCGCAACTACGTTCGGATGGCAGAGAACATTCTGCAACATGCCTCTCTCTTAAAGGAAGCACAGGTCATGAGTCAGATCATGGACAAGAATGTGGTCTTCCAATTCACTGTTGTCGATCATGGCCATAGCATGGCTTCTTCGTACGATCTGGTGCTGAACGGGATTTCCGGTGACGAAGATATTGTGCTGGAAGAGACGAAAAAGCCCTGCGTCGGCGTTCGGGTGATTGACTACAAGCAGTGTGTGATTCATCTGTGGTCGATTGAGAAACTCCAGCGCCGCGTGCAATCCATGCGACAACTCCACCAGTATATCGACCGACCAGACTACATCCAGCACTTCAAACTTGACAATCCGTTCTCTGAGCCGTGCTCGCCGCAATATTCCCTCATCGGTGATGCTAACATCCCCCTGACTGCTGTCTTCGAGACGCGCGTGCAAGACTTTTCTATCGAGATCATTTCGCCTTATACTCAGAGCGTCATCGGCATCATTCGCCTGTCTCTTGAGCCATCCTCCGCACAAGCCCCTTCGTCAACTCTGAAATTCAACGTTGTCATGCGGGACATGGTTGGGTTTGCCGAGTGGGAAGGATCTGACGTCCACGCCCAGCTTTTCGTTCCTGGAATCTCAGAGGAAGGTGGTGCGACCACCACGCAGATGATTAGTGGGTTTGAAGAGAGCCCTGTCCGATTTGAAAGCGTGCACAGCATGAGCCTGCCATTGTCAAGTCCGCGATCCGCCGCACTCAAAGTCTGTGTCTACGCTCGTGTGACATCGGTTCACCTCGACAAGCTGCTTAGCTGGGATGATATGCGGGACTCAGCGGAGATCACGCCCAAAAAGCGCACTGCTCCTCGAATTGCAGAGTCGGAGTTTTACTCGGAGGAGAGACATGATGTCTTTGCCCGAGTTCAAATTCTTGAGATGGCGGAGTCTGGCGAGTACCTTCCCGTTGAGGTTGTTCAGAACAGCGCCCTTGACGCCGGCACGTATCAACTCCACCAGGGCCTGCAGCGTCGCATTTCGATCAACATGACTTACAGCTCTACTGAAAGCTTACCGTGGGATGATATCTGCAACGCCCGTGTTGGCTCCGTACGCCTTCTTGACCCATGGGGTAAAATCCCTGACCAGGATCTTCAAACACCGGATGTTCCTCTCAAGTTCCTGCAGGAACCGATGGTCAAGGACAATGCCGACGGCACGTCAAATGTCACGATTGTAGGCCAGTGGGACTCGAGCCTGCACGGCTCTCTGCTCCTTGACCGGGTTACCGCAGACAAGTATCGAGTTCAGGTTACTGTTCGCTGGGATCTCGTCTCTTCCCGGCTTCAGACCCCTGTTGTGTTCGAGGTCGACCAGACTCTGCAAATCTTGGGACGTACCTACGTTCGTCAGCAGTCAATGTTCAAGCAGCTCTGGAGCTCTACTCGAGTTGTGCACTCGACTACGCAAATGTACTCGTTGGTCATTCGTCCAATCTCTGCCAAACGCGCGGCCGATCTTTGGCGAATGAACACCCAAAACGACTATGTCAAGGGCGAGGAGTTATTGACGACATGGGCACCCCGCAAGGTCTCGCTGGTTCGGGATTATATTGCTGCTCGCAAACGCCGATACAGGCTAGCCGAGCTACATGCCGCCCGCGGGGCTCTTAGTGTTGGCAGCCTGACGGCTTCTCCTGCCCGCAGTGGACGATCGACCCCGATGCGCAACCAGGATCTCAACGAACGGAAATCTAAACTGCTCCGCAAGTACCTTGAGCTCTGGTCGACCAAGAAAGACCCGACCGATGCCATCCTCATTCGGAGCAACACCGAGCCCCCGCCGATGGCGCAGCCATTGCAGCACAACGCAAGTCGAATGGCACGGATGCCGCAGGCAAAGTGTCGCTCAAGCCACGCTTCGTAGCCACCATCCAAACCCTGCCGAAGAACCCTTCAGCCCTAAAGTCGGGCTATGTGCTCACTCCTGACGATACCAACAGCGTCTGGGTTCGACGGTTCGTGGAGCTTCGCCGGCCGTATCTTCACATCTACTCAGCCGACGGGGATGAAATCAACGCTATCAACCTACGCAACTCCCGTGTCGACCATGCGCCGGACTTCGCCCGACTTCTAGACGGGTCCGGCGCTGGTGCTGATCGCTCGCTCTCTGCCAAGGGCCGGCCCAATATTTTCGCCGTCTACGGGACCCAGAACACCTTCCTTTTCGCCACACGCACCGAGGCACAAAAGGTAGAATGGATCCTGAAGATCGACGAGAGCTACTTCAGCAGCAACGGCGGCAGTGCCGTAGCCAGCGGCGACGAGCGGTAACAACGCATATCCTTGCTCTTCTCGCCTTGCTATCTCCTTTCATGTCTTTGACGATATAACGGGTCCCTGAGTCTTTACCATTTTGTTTTCTTTTTTTCTTTTTCTCATTCATTCTCTCAAGACACCAAACCCTACTCCTATCCTACCCCCCATTTTCTTTTTTTCTTATTTATGACCTGTTGTTGAGATACCCCCTTGAATATATCAACTGGCTGTGGCGCTTCCCCCTCCCATGTACATAGTTCGATATCGTTGGGACCATAGATGCGACGGTGCTCATTGATCTGCTTATACACAGTGGCCATCTCGGTTTTCATTGACCATGATTTTCCTTTTCTCTGTTTCATGCTACCTTGTATAATACAAATATCTTTTTATCTAGTCTCCGGTAACCAGTGTCTGCGTAATCTTGTACCAAGGGCGAGGAGAGACCAACTCGCTGAACAAACTGAGATCGCAACTTTTCAAGCAGATGTATAGCAGGTGGCCTTCTGACACTTGAAGACCATTATTCCGAGGCGAGTAAGTCATACCCGCAGTTTCATATGATCATTCGTTACTGTGAGCATACTTCAGTCCTTCTCTTACTGGCCTTGATGGCTGTTCAAAGCGGGGCGCAGGTTCTCGAACTCGATTGTGTATAGATTGAAGGAGGTCATTCACCAGGTTGAGTCTATTAAGAAGCTGCTTTGTGATCGGTGGGTTCATGTTGATTGGCATGTTAGGTCGTTGGATATTAAGGAATCGGTATAGGGGAGATCCATGGGTCTCTGGGCGCTCAAATAGATGAATGAATGAATGGCTTGCAGGAGGTTTGCATACATTTTTCAATTTGATCAGGTCTCTTGTCATGCTATACTTGAAGATGGGTACCAAGAGTTATGGAAAGGTAGCAGGTAACACGTTCTGATGAGTAGATATTCCATGGTGTCTTTCTGGGTGTGGTGCGACCTGTGAGCAGTTTTCTGCTTGGTTGACTGCATTTCCCATACTTCTATTTTGCCTGGTTGAAAGATTGTCTCATTTTTAATCCATCAGATGCATCGAATCCGTGAAGACTTTATTCATCTCGTGGCGTGTAAAACTGTTTCAAATAATAGCAAAAGATGTAGGACATAGTAGATTTAAAGCAAGAGATTAGGCGTTGAGTTAAGCCTCGAGGACGCGTAAGCACTCGGAATTTTCTGCTAATCGGCGTCATATCTCTAAATTACCACCAGTTAGATTGATATGAACGAATATCAAGATCTACTGGCCCAGGAACATGTCAGGGGTAGATAGATCACACCATGGAAATATCTATGAAGCTCATGCTCCCTACTTCAAAACTATCTTGTAAACAGTGCCACAATAGGACTGTGTCACTCTAGGTTGACCTATGAGCTGGGTGGAGATGCTAGGAAAACTCCAGAAGGTCGTCAACACCAGCATTCCACTCCTAGCTTTGTCACTCCTTTCTCTATCTCCCGTCCCGCGTCAGGCGGAGTCTTTGAGTTCTGTTTTACTTCAGTTCCCACCCTTACCTGGACCCATAAATCCCCCAACTTGGTCAAATGACTGGTTTTTGCCATCTTCCACGCTTCACACTCCACGATATCGTCGGCAGTTAAGGGTCTTAGCATGTTGTCACTACCCACATTCCCAGTCATGCGAGCTGCCGATCCTCGACCAGTTAATAATCGACAGACTCACGGTGACATCATTGCATCATGGCTACTCAGCATATCCTCACCGACTGGTCGGTACTGGCCTCCATCAACCACTGGGCTGCAAAGTCACCATGCGGGGTAGACCTGCGTCGAGTATACTACTGTACAGTACTTGTTGTGGAAACGTGATGTGTTCCAATCGGCACCTACGGTACACGGTGGGATCATCCAAATGAGTATTGCCGGCGTTGATCTTCGCGATCACAACGCGCTTTCTTGGAGATCGCCCACTTGAGTCAGCCATCCCTGATTCACGGGCGTCTCTTCAAAGTCGAAAATCGCATGGCTCTTGCTTCGAAACACCAAATGACAAATAGAGGCTTTCACTCTGAATGCCTGACTACACTTGTCCCAAGAGTTAAATTATGGCCTTTCTTTTCAGTGGTACGACACGCGACTTTTTTTTGTTTTCTCTCGAGTGAGAATGTGTGGGGAAACAATATTGTTAACCATGGCCCAGTTCCGGGATAAATCCATGGCACAAGACTCGGCCTATGGAAGTATATCCAGCCATATTATTGAGATTTCGTTGGAACTCAAGAGGTACTGTCTATGGCGAGGTATACACAGGGAATCAAATAAAAAGCCTAGTAGTCGACTATTGGGACACTGTACAACCCTGTCCGCCAGCTGGCCATGTGTTTGGTCCATCGTGGAATCCAAAAATCTATGGTTCTTGCTGGCATTCGTGCCAGCACACTTCGGACAGTCGGAATAACCACGCGCCCTGTGCAACGGTGGCCGCGCCCTCGCGATAGCCATCGAAATAGTCTCTTCGGGTGGCTGGGGCTTACCTCTTCCAGGACGCCTGAAGCTAATAAGCCTCATGGTTATTATTATCGTCGCTTAGCGGCCAAATCGCCCCCAACACTCGGTCCTATGCCCACAAGGGTCATCAAACTGGACCCTTATCCTTAATTCTGCTCAGACCCTGTTTCACCCCGAGTAATATGCTGTGTTGGTTGCTCACGTACAACCTTGTTCAGTCCACACAGTCAGGGCCTAGGGGCGGTCTACTCCTCGCCCTTGCATGGCACCTTTGCCAGCTCGTTACTTCTTTCGTTGTTCCAGACACACTTTCCTCTTCCTCATCTCCAAGACAACTTCACCATCCTATAAGATTCAAGGGCTTTGACCGCCACGATCGGCGCCTTACAGCTCTCTCGAGTCATCCATTCCCATGTGTCTTACCGTGTTGGGCCGAGCCCTTGGCAAGGGGATCAATCAGCGCATCCATCGGTATATTCCACACTCCACACCAAGATTAACTTCGAGTCCTGCGGGGAGGATCAGCCTGCCTAAAATTTCTCTATCCTGCGATGCCAACACTACTAACATTTCCGGAATAGACTAGTCCCTGTATAACCTGTGCCGTTATACGGTCTAAGGTAGCAACGGCCTCGCGAAAGTCTATACTCCATAATTTTGACCCCAAGGGATTTCTTAGCCCTATAGATTTTCCTAAATTAGGTACTCGGCATAAAGCACCCCGCGAAGAAGAGAAGCAAAGGAGAAATTGTCTCCACCGACGTGATGCCGCATCCCCCTCACCCTACTGACCTAACATCTATCTCATGATGCTGCGCCTGTTTCGGAAGTAGACGGCGCTATATCTCGGGGTCTATTTGAATCTGACCCACCGATTGGGCTTTCCATCATGCACTCACATTGGTCTTGGCCTATGCCATGCGCCCTCGGAGCCAATCTTGCTTCTCCCTGCTGACGGAATAGTAGCCAACCCGACTATTGGGCTCCGGTCTGACCTCAGCCCCCAAGTAGCTTGAGAATTTGTACAAGCTCGAGCATGAGTGGATCGCAGAAAGTAGTCTATCCCGCATCCTGAAAGCACCTGATGGATCTTCTATGTCAGGCGTGCGGCTTGCTCGTGCCTTTTTTGTGCTGTGATAGGGTCCAGAGTCATACATCCACTCTCGGGCCAATCCTGCCAAGTTTGGGGGGCGATATTGGTCTTGGAAGGCGGATTGGTACCCACGATGTCTTCTTGGTAATAGCGGTGGGCGATAATTATAAGACTGGCCAACTGCCCCTGTAAGACAAGGCTTGAGTTTACAATCATAACGCCAGATCTGGTTCTCCATTACCCCGGTGATCCATCAATAAGTAATTATTGCGATGGTGTCTTCACTATTTTCTTTACCCGCCGCATGGGTGGTTCTCTTTCTAGCCTTGTTACAAGTAGTTCTCGGCTCTCCACTTCTACCAAAGCGAGCTAAGGGTCCTTGGATGGGCTTGCACACCGATTTCGCAGACCCAAGCTTCATGAAGGCTGCCGATGGAAAATGGTACGCCTTTGGGACAAATGGCAATGGCAAGCGTGTTCAAGTCGCGGTCTCAGATGACTTCAACAAGTGGACTCTTCTCGATATTGAAGCCCTGCCAACTCTGGCGGGCTGGGAGACAGACAAAGACCACTGGGCACCGGATGTAGTAATGCGGGTGAGTTGATATCTTTTCCCGAAGATGACAGATATCGGTCAGAACTAACCCAGCTCAGGAGGACGGCAAATACGTGATGTATTATTCTGGAGAGTCGAAGAGCGATGCTCCTCATCACTGTATCGGAACTGCCATTGCAGACAAGCCCACGGGACCATATGTTCCCAACGAGACCCCACTGTCATGCAGACTGAATCAAGGAGGCTCCATCGATTCGGCTGGGTTCTGGGATAAGGATGGCAGCAGATATGTTGTATTCAAGGTTGACGGCAATAGCGTTGGCCATGGGGGTGACTGCAATAACGGCGTTGCTCCTTTAGTCTCCACCCCCATCATGCTACAAAAGGTTAAAGCAGATGGTGTCACGCCCATCGGGGATGCGGTACAGATTCTCGACCGAAACACGAACGACGGCGATGGACCCCTCGTGGAAGCGCCCAGCTTAGTGCTGCATGATGGAGTTTACTTCTTGTTCTATTCGACCCATTGTTTTACGGACCCCAAGTATGATGTACGTTACGCTACTGCGACAAGCATTACGGGTCCTTACCACAAGTCGAATGTCGAGTTACTTAAGAGCGGCGACTATGGGGGTCTGATTTCTCCTGGTGGCGCGACAGTCTGTGGATGTGGAGATCGCATGCTGTTCCACGGCTGGTGTGATAGCTCGTTGAAGCAACGGTGCATGTATGTGGCAGATATTCATCTGAGCGGTACGACAGCTTCTATCGCTTAACTTTGAGGATGTGCCATCCTTGAAATGAGGTGCCGACTTGGCCGAGAGGTTCTGGATGTTGATTTTGCTTGATTTTCTTGATGTTATATACCCCCTAACGCTCGCTGAGAAATCTTGCTTTCGTCATATAGCTTTTCTACTATCTTCTACAAGTACTCGTCGAGGTAAATGTGAGTTTACCTAAAAACTTGCAAGGGAAGCTTTTACCAAACATACCTATCTAGAAGTAACTGAAGGTCAGACTACCAATTTGTCGACTCTTGCTAATGGCAGCTGATTTTGCACATCTAAGCAAGTAATAAGCCGCAAATATCCTATTCTGGTCTTACTCAAGTGCAAAAGGACCGGAGAAAAGGGCAATTACAATGTTAGGCTTTGATTCTCATTAAAGTGTGTCTATTTCATTATCGTCTTAGGACCCATTTTTCTCGGATTCCTTGGCCTTGGTCTCGGCTTCCTTCTTTGCACGTTTCTTCTCCTTCTCATCCTCGACCCATGCTGCGACTTCTCTGATCGCTCTCTCCGGGTGATCTTTGTGTTTGAGGAGATATCCCTGGATCTCAGCTGGAGAAAACTCTCCACTGGGGACAAGAGAAGCAAAATCCTTAGCAAGAGACGCAATACGAGACTGCAGTATTTGCCGGCGTCCTTGGACACCGTTTGGCTTATTTTCTTCGGCCTCTCCATTGTCAAGGTTTTCCGTTCCCTTTGACTCATCTCCATGGTCTGCGCTACCATTCTGCAACCGCAGTTTGCTTCCAGTCTCGCGGCGAGGTGATGGACGAGCGCGTTCCTCTCTCGAGACTGAGTAGATCGACTGGTAGAGCTTCTCAATGTCTTCAGAAATCGCGAGTCTGAACTCAATCTGCATATCAACACGGCCTGCGCGCAGAAGTGCATCGTCTAGTTTTTCGGGGTGGTTGGTTGTCATGACGAGGATACGGCCCTCACTGGCAGCCACGCCGTCAAGCACATTCAGTAAGCTGGAAAGCGTGATTCCAGTTTGTTCTGTCTTCTCCTTTGAAGTGTTCTTGCCGGTCTCATCCGGGGAGGATGTCTTCGGTGGCAAGTTACCGGCTTTGCTTGCAGCAGACTGAGGGAAAATGGACTTTCCTCGACTATGGGTGATCTCGGAGGTATCGACATCTTCAACGAGGAGTATGCATCGTCGTGGCAGCTCGGAGAACAGAGAGTATAGGTTGTCCTCATCCAGGGATCGAGAGCTCAAATTAAGAAGATAGATCTTCAGTCCAAGCTTGCCTGCCACGGCGAAGCAAAGACTGGACTTGCCAGTGCCCGGAGGCCCTGAAAGAAGATATCCACGACGGTACGGGATTCCATGCTCGGCATACCATTCGGCGGTACCTTTCTCGAGGTAGTCTTCGATATCCGCCAGGAATGTTTGTTTCTGGGCATCGTCCAGGATAACAGTGTCCAATGGTCTCGGTGGTCGAGACATGCACCGGCTCCAACTGAATGTAGCCCCAGAGGAGCATCTTTGTCCGCGGTAAATAATCGTTCGGCTGCCATCACGCTCGACAAATTTGTGCTGTGCATCGGAGAGCAGCTTATGAATGATGGAAGGGTCCCGGCCTAAACATGACAGGTACAGCTTCTCGTTGTTAAGCACCCAACGAGCTGTGGTTTGCTCATACCGTCGGTCCAGCATCAGCAATCGCCCCTGATACCAAAAATAGTGACGACCCTGCGCAGGTGTAAAGCGCAGTCTTTTATACTTGTCGCGGTTGATGACTTTAGTCCAATAGTCATCGAAAGACTCTGCACTCATAGAGCCGTTGCCACCCTCCCATTCGTCGTCTTCACCATCCGAATCCTCGTGGTCAGAGTCTTCACCATCACTCCAATAGCCATTTGTCCGGACACCGGCCAAGAATCGATTCGTGCGCTTCACATGGCGCTGTCGGGACCACCAATACATGAAGTAATTGAAGAGCTCATCGTCGAGGCGCATCTCAGCCGTGGAGACGAGGTATGTTTCAAAGAATTGCGTTAGATATTCGGAGAGATATCGCATGGAGACACCAAACAAGGCCAGTGCAATGAAATATTGTAGATAAGCGGCCAGGTCAATGTGAAGATAGGAAAGCAAGATGCGGGAGATAAACGTATACCCCGGAATCAAGACCTCTAGAATGGCTGTGTCGGACTGGGAGATAGAACCCCTCGTTGACGAGGGGTCCGACTGATTATACGCCATGGCGGCGGGATGTCAGAGTAGACTGAATGAAAGAAGACGGAAAGGCTATCTTCAGAGACATTTAAATAGTCTTGAGCATTTTCAGCCGCATCCTCATGATCCAAACTTGGACCCCACGTAACAACTGCCACATCGGGCGCCCGCAGCTGGCGCAGCTGGTTTGCTGCAGCCCATCCCAGTGCTGCCTAATTGCCTGACTCATGTACTGTATTGTGCCAGTCTTGTGGAGCTGGCCAGATAATAGATGCATAAGGTGAGGGGTAGTATGGCAAAATTTGAGGCGTTGCGGACTTTTCGGGGGTCGAGAGGGGAATGGACTAACTAATCATGTACGCCCTACGCTTATTATGCTGCTGGTCGAGGCTGTACGCTCATGACTGCGGAAAGATCCAATCATAACCTATCATGTCCAATGACTACATGGTGTAGTTCATTCAACATCTGTGTGCTGTCTTCCACATTATCACATTCCTGAAATACATCGCAAACGCTATACTGATCGAGGCATTTGACCACCAACTGACCTCGTTGTGGGTGGGCCGTCGTGGTTTGATAAACGGCACTACCGATAGTTTTCTATCGGTTGCTGTCAGGATCGATTAAGAAGCTATCAAGATGGATCACCAGTATTATCGAGCCTGTATCCTCCTTCGTTCGTAAAAAACATATAATCAAACGGATCTTCATGGCCAGGCCACAAACGCCTGGAAAAGAACCAAAAAAGAAACTCTCCCTCGGGGAATCGAACCCCGGTCTCCCGCGCTTATCGGTATTAATGACAAGCGGAAATCATGACCACTAGACCAAGGAAGAAGTGGATGGTCGAGTTACCGCTCGGCCACTTGGTACTGGTTGATGGCTAAAAAGGCAGATTTACGTGGTATGAGTCAGTCCAGGTTTACTCTGGCCCGTGATGCTGCATACTGGATCCGCAAGCAGCGACCTTTTGAATAATTTCCTATCCCAGTTTACGGTAGTAGTAAGTGAGACTACCTAAGAAAAGGTAACTACCAAATTCCCTACCCATGAATTTGAATTACTCTATTTATAACACTCGCAACTCTCCCGGTTTGGGTTGTGCAGGTAGATCTGGCCGAGTTCGGTAGAATCTAAATATTTGCGAGTTCCAGGTGGTGCAGCTACACTAGGGCCACTCCCTCATCATGCACCACCTTCCAACGCAAACGGAGTCAAGCCCACCTGAGGTTATATAGTTAAGCAACCTTGGAATGCACATAATGATATTACAGGTATATATTTGCTTGAACGTGGGTATCTATCAAAATGTCACCAACATCGGCGAAAATAGAAAAGTAAATGCATGGAAGATCCCGAAGTATCTCAGCAAAATCTCAGCAAAATCTCAGCAAAATCTCAGCAAAATCTCAGCAAAATCTCAGCAAAATCTCAGCAAAATCTCAGCCAAATCTCAGCCAGCCTCTATCGCTGTTGTGGGTGATTATCCTTTTCAGCAGAGAAGAGCTCCCCGGCCCACTGCTTGAAATCCTCAAGTTTACTCGCGATGGTTCCCCACCAGGTAGACTCCTTGCCATCTTTGCTGGCAGTCTCCGTCGCAGACGGAGCGTGTGTCGCAGCAGATGTTTGTTCCAAGGGCCCAGCGGTGACAGAGGCAGACAGCGGCTCTGGAGGATCGGGTGGTCGCACTTGTGGCGGTGCGTGCTCATCGGAATGAAGACCTATTGGATTCAGAGGGAGACGTAGCGTGCCGTTGTTTGGTAGGGGGTCAACACCCAGTGAGTCACAGATGATGTTGTACACTTCGATATTTTCTGAAAGAATGAGTCAGTCTGGTAACATGCAACGTCGAGACATTGCCACTTACGGAATGCGTCGAGGCGGCTATTGGGCTTGTGTGGGAAAGCAGGGCCTCGGGCGATGAAGATCGCTCGCATCAGTGGATGTTCATGGTCGTACCCATGGATACCCTTGGGGTGATAGACCTCTCCCGTCTCCAATGCTTTCTTGACGTCGAAATTAGGCCTCTCGACGATCGCCCAGCCCGCCCGAGGAATCACCCACAGAGGAGCGATGCGATCATTGTTTGAGAAGTGATAGCGTTCGGGCATGGTCTCTCGTGTATAGACTTCCACGGCATCTGCATACTTCTTTCCAAGCCGTTCCAACTGCTCCTGCAACACCTCGAAGTTCTCGGGCTGCTTCGGACGCAGACCACGAGATGGCCACCCTTCAATACGCTCAACGAGCTTGAGGTCTATCTCATCGTCCAATTGAACGAGGCGCTCAGCTGAAGTGGTAGCCATGCCGTGATCTGACACGACCACAATGTTAACGAGGTCCGTGAGATTGCGATTTTCGAGACCAGCCATGATCCCCGCGACCATGTCATCAGCTCGGGAGATGGTGGTTCGAATCTCGGTGCTATTTGGTCCGTAATTGTGCCCGTCTTTATCAACGTCTGGGACGTAAGCCGCGATGAACTGAGGACGCAGCGGCGCCAAATCAGACTCGTCCTCTGGACCCGGCAGATCAAGGAGCTCAAGGACCCGATTGACCTTACGCGGCAGCGCCTCTGAGCCATTATATTTATCCACATAGCTTGGTTCGACGGTGCCAATGTGAGCCTCGGACCCCGGCCACATATGGATGCCAGTTTTGATTCCCTGTTTCTCTGCCGTCTCCCACAGAGGTTCTGCGTTCCACCACTTGGGTTGCATGCTGACGGCAGGATGGGTATAATAGAATTCCTCATTGAGGTCGGGATCCCAGAAAGTGTTTCCAACCACTCCATGGCTCTCAGGGTATAAGCCAGTTATCAGCGTGAAATGATTCGGGAAGGTCACGCTAGGAAAGCTGGGCGTCATATACTGCGGGGAGACGCCGCTCGCAATTAGCGAATTGAGGCCCGGGGTCAGACGGCGGTCGAGGAAGTCGGCTCGGAATCCGTCGAGTGAGATCAAAATAGTGGTAGGCGCAAAAAGCGAGCTGCCGTTGGAACGTAGAGACTGGACATGTGGGTGTACGGCTCGGAAGGTATTGGACGCTTTGTATGCGCCTAGGAAGAGGATAAGGAATAAGACGGCGATGATGGCGGAAACGAAGACTATTTTGCGCCATGATGGCTTGGAGGGCTGAGGAAGCAAGGCGGGGGTCAGTAGACTTAGGATAAGAGGGCCAAGGGAGAGTGCCACGAATATGTACCGGCTCATAGAGATAGTCTTCTTTTCCGTCCAAGTCCATCGAAGAACCACTCATCAAGGATGAGGTCTCATCATCTCCAAGTCCTTCTTCCATTTCGTACATGAGCTCTCCTTCCTCGCTAACACGTTCCCGGCGCGATAACCGGGCTTCTCTTCGCGCTCGTCGCCGCTCCCTTTTTCCAATGCGCACGTTGTTCCCATTTGGGCTGAAGATCCTGCGCAACCCATGAGCAGGGCCGCTTCTTGTCAACAGCTTTTCCAACTCGTCTTCATCATCAAGGACACTTCGATCGTGCTGGGAAAGCTCTAGAGTGCTGCGGGGATAACGAAGGAATTCGTCGTCATCAGAGTCAGAGTCCTGCTCCGACGGCGATCGCAGGGAGGCTGCATCGTTGTCGTAGTTGGCCGGAGAGAGGAGGGAGGGACTGCGCGGGTGTGGCATGGCTGGCGAGCGCGTCAGCCGCGGCGTGAAGACATTGAAGCTTGAGGCTTGAAGGCGTTGTGAGTTGACTCCCAAAGCAAAGGGGACATCGGCGGCGGGTCAACCCCCGATCCGCCAAGACTCTCTTCCTTTTGGTCTTCTTCCAAGGCTGACTGGCCATCACCGACTGCTGATGTACGCTCATTTCATTATTTGTGACTGCCAGACGCAATGAAATGACAAAGATACTGACATTAAAATCTACCGCAGCCCGACTGATAGGGCAATTATCCAAGGATCCAGCATCTTGCCTGGACAGTGCATTTCACGGGCTATGACTTGAGACAGAAAGAAACTAAACAAAACATGACCTTGGCTTCTGTTCTGGAACACAGCAGACTTTCCTCAGCATGATTGATGGATACTTACTGTTTATGCATTAGCTATCAACTGCGACCTTCCTTGGCATTCTCGCTTGATGTGGAAAGGTGATGACTTCTAGCACAGATCCCTGGTCTTGAGCTAGAAACAAAGCACGTTGCACACCTCCGAGGTCTGATTCTAATTCCTGGCAGATTCAATGGAATGTGGCTTAATCTTCTTCACCGACAAGATTGGACGGAAATGTCAAGTTCATCGAAGATCTTCAATCTGGGGTCGATACCTCTTGCATTCCTAGCGGATGGACGGTCAAGGTCGTAACTGTCAGACCCCATTGCCACTTTACGCAGAATTAAGTCTATCTATGCAAGCTTTATCTCCCCGGATGCAGTGGGAGATGGTGATTGACAATGGTCTGAAGTATCTCAATGATTGAGAGTGGTCAAGTAACCGTGTGGCGCTGAGAGCACCTATGGGCGATCGGCTAATCATTATGCTCAACGACAGAGTTTGCTCCATACTGCCCAGCTGTCTTTGAATTGCCGTCAATCGAATGCTTTGGATACCGCCAGTTTCCTCCGGCGAATCGGCGATACTTGTACAATCACGCCTTCGTGATGCTGATGTTCCTGTCCTGCCTTCAGAAACTGATAGCACACACTAGCCAACGCCACTGGTCAGCTCACTCTGGATTCTACAGGCATTTTTCTCGATCGTATGTCTGTGTCTCTATCTGATGACCTCTCCCAGATGACCTCTCTCACGCGTCATCTTAGTGACACAATCTACATTCCTCCTGACGAGCGTGGCTTCCCAAAAGTCTCAAAGGATGGTCGTACCTGAAAACAGATAATTATTGCAGCTGCACCCCAGACAATGCAATTATTATCCACGTTTTCCTGTTAATCTCTGAGGAATTTCCCATTGGCGCTGTTACGCCAATCGAGATCCGTCCGCTTTCAACGCCGTCGATTTCCTATTTGGGAGCACAAATCACGTGACAACCACTTACCCTCTGCGGCGATGATGGAACTGCACCTTTGCTTGCAATTCAGCTGATTAAGTCATATTCTCAGCCCCGAGGAGCCTCCTATCAGAGCTGTACGGTGGGGCTGGCTCGGCCGGAGACCCAGAGTGACATCGAGGCGCCCACCCCCGGATGCGGAAGGCTGAGATGTGCTAATCTCGTCTCACAGCTGTGGTACCGGGGCTCTGACGAGGGGAGAGAGAGGCACAGGAGATTTTAGAGAGGAACGTGCGAGAAAAATTTTCCGTCTCTTGTTGCATGTCATCATCACTTACCACGCTGACCTGACAGGCCGGATTTGGACACTTTCTGATCTATAAGAATGGCATCCTCGTCGCTCGGGGCTTTATTCCGAATTTCTTCCTTCAACCATTCCATCGCATTAGTACCCTCCTCTCCAGGTAGGTTATCTCCATGAGATATATTTTTTTAACGAGGGACATACCATACTGATACCCTATCCCAGCTTCGTCATTCGTTAGACAAGAAGCCCTTCTTCCTTTTTGAGCCAATCGCTTCAGCTCCTTCCACTCTAAAAGCTACAATGCACTTTTCCACTCCAGTTCTCACCCTCCTCGCCATTGCTGCCGGCGTCCAGGCTGGCGGCAAGCAGCACGAGCCCCCAATTCACAAGAGGAGTGTCTCCGCTCAGGCCACTCCTGTTAGCACTGGCGCCCACCCCATCGTGACTGGCACCCCTGGTGGCGGCGGCAACGCCACCACAGGTGGTGGCGCCAGCTCTAGTGGCGCCGCCTCTACTGGCGCCGCCTCTAGTGGCGCCGCATCGGGTTCGGCTGCCAGCAACACCCCTGCCCTCCCCAGCTCTACCGGCTTCGTCCCCTCCAGCCCTGGTATCAAGGTCTCCGTTCCTCAGCTCGGTATGATTGGCGCTGGTATCGGCAGCGTCGCCTACGGTGCCCTGATCTTCCTTGCCTAGGCGGATTGTTATCAATTAATATGTTTCCTTTCTGTGTCGGGTTTTCGGTCCCTTCATCCTCGGCCCTCTGTGTTTTCCTTTCGACACCTACACTTTGAGACCGTTGATTTAATATAAATGGCTGCTGTCCATCTATCTTGCTGAAATGGTAATTTTGTGAACGATGGTGGATATCGAGAAGCAGTGGACTATCGGGGTGAAGAGGAAGGCGTTCCACGGTGATTTTAGATTGCGCTCTTTGTCCTGTTATTGCTGTTTGGGTAAATATACCGAGATCCTATAATTCTAATTCACAAAATCTATAGTGGACGGGGCTTCGTCTTCTCCCAGCTGCGTTGTCTTGATCTGTAGAATAGATCAAGTAAATTTGCCCTGATCATTGGGGTCTGGCCGCATTGAACTGCCAAGCCGACTGTAAGTCATGATATCTAGATTCAAACCTTATCTCAGTGGCGAATGCAACCCTGGGACCTGTAATGAACGCATATCCATCTATTAATAGCCCGTGGCGTGACGAGATACCGTTTAGCAGGTCCTGAAGGTCGGAAGGTCGCTTTTATCTCTCGAGTCCTCGCAGGAACGCGTCATAGGAACAAGCTTAGAGTTTGAAGTTAGAATTCTGCGTGCAATGGATGCAACATCGTAGTTGAGGCGAGGTTATCGCAGCAGGCAACCGTTCAAAATTTGCACAAATTTGGCGCATTTTGCACATGCAAAATTTGCTACAGAGCGGACATCACTGTGCGGTTTCAAGTGACTTTGAGTTTCTTCAGAAATCACTTGATTGCAGTATCCCCATTAGGTGGGGTATGTTAGTCGATAAGTATGGGTTAGTTGTTGAGTACCGAAGGAAAATTGCTAGAACAAGCAGCGCAAACTGTCGATAAAACCCTTTAGCCCTTGTAATCCTGCATCGTTTAACCACATTAGTTCGCACATGGAGTCATCTAAGGGTTTCTGCTGGTATACTCGAATCACCGCATCCCCATTACTTAAATCTTACAAGGATCAGATTCGCGTTTTCAGAGAAGGCTCAATTCATTAGTATCCGCAAAACCTCCTCATGTTAAATTTGTGAGCAACGCAGTGTCCTTTGCGCTCCCAGGAAGAAGCAGATACTCGATGAGACTTGAAAATTGCTTAAAATCCAAACAAGATTATCTATATAAAATAACTCAAAGCAACATGCAAGATTTCTCGTCAAGGCTACATCCACTCCTTCACCCACTTACGAACCCACTGCTCCTTGATCCCCCCAATCAACCCCAACTTCCCACTGACACTAGCCGTGCTCTGCGTGTCCAAGATACTTGCTGATTGCACAGACAGCAACCCTTCGAAGAATTCGAGTAACTTTGCTGCAGGGTTTTTCTCCAAAAGTTCCTGCAGGTCCGACTCGCCTCCCACTTTCCGACTTCCACCCGCGGCCTCGATATCGTGTCGCACCCGCTGCACGCACTCCGAGATACTGATGGACTTGATAGGCTTACCACCAGAAAGCTGGGAAAGCTCATTCGCGACAACGGCGATGATCTCGCTCCATGTCGTTGGGTGAAGATTCAATGGGTGGTAGACGTTTATGCGGCCTGGTTGAGACTCACGCAAGGCCAGATCAATCAAAACCTCAGCAAGTAGATCGATAGGTACCCAGTCAATTCTACCAATAGTTGGACCAACACTATTTGGGACCGCGCCAATCTGTAGCGAGCTTCTCACCAGACTGGGGAAATACTCTGCTTTGTTCCAGAGGCCAGGTGTGTGAACTGCTCCAGCTACTTGGCCAACTCGGGCGAAAGATGTGCGGATTCCGCGATTTTGAGCTGCATGATCCAGAAGTCTCTCTGCGACGTATTTGCTGTTGGCATATCCGTTCGGAGCGGGGGCATTGGTGGAAATAATAGTTTCTGGCGTCCGACAAGAGTCTGTTTGATGGCCCATGACGGAGCTGATGGAGGAAAGGTAGAATAAGGTGGGTATCTTGGGAGCCGTCGCAGTAAAATTGATCAGGTTGACCACGCTCAATAGATCGGGCTTGAATGACGGAAGTGAGAGATTGAAGTTCACATTCCAAGCATTGTGAATGATGGCGGTAGTTGACTCATGAAGGAGCTTGAATGACTCTGCATCCAATCCAAGATCTTTTCGAGATAGATCTACATGCCAGAAGGTGACCCGAGAAGAGTCGAAGGTGGAGTTCAAATGATAGAACTCGCTTTTCTTTTGCTGGAAGTTCTGGCTATCTTCCCTGCGATTGAGGCAGTGAATGTGCGCAACTGATGTATCCTCGAGAAGCGCATCAAGAATGTATGTACCCAGGGTCCCGGTTGAGCCAGTCAGCAAGACAGTATGTGATGATGGAAGATCTTCGCTTGATGCATTGATGCGAGGGCCATCAATCTTGGCGATGAAATCTGTCAAGATCTCCTCTCTTTCCTGCAATTGTGCCTCCTTGATAACCTTTTCTAAAACCTGATCTTCTTGCATCAGTTTTATCGTGGCCTGCGCCAAACTCGAGAGAGATGGGTGAAGATAAATATGGTTAGGAGTGAAAGAGGGCAATTCAAAGCCACGCTTGAAGTATCGCGTGGCTGTGATTGTCTGCAGGGAGTCCAATCCTAAATGGAAGAAATTCTCCGAGGTCCTGATTTGATCAGGAGTCCAGCCAGTGATTGATGACAGAGTCTGGAGAATGAATTCGGAGTTGCGCTCAATGTCACTAACCCGCCCAGGTCCCGCGAGCTCGCCCTTAGTATGTGATCCGAGGCGATCTGCATTTGCATACAGCGTTTCAAGCTCCGAAGAATATAGAGCCAAGGCAGCAGCTCGCTGAATGGTTCCTTTGCCAGCACGAGGAAATGGTTTTTCAGGACTGGTGAAGATAACGTGGCTCCGAGCAACTCTGGCATGAGCTGGGCATACCTTATTTGCTTCTTCAATACTGGGCCAGATTGTCTCAATGGTAGCGGCCCATTCAGTCGGGCTTAGCTTCTTACCGCCGTACTCAATGACCAATGAGGCCTGGAATCGCTGTGCACCAGCTACCAGAACTCCAGTCACACCAGCGTTGGATGCCAGGATATTTTGTTCCATAGAAACAGGGTTTGTCTTTTCGCCATTGAGAAAGACTATCAGATCGTCTGAGCGAGAGCCCCAGCGCCACAAGTCAGGCTTATTGGGATCTGGATGGCGGACAAACAGATCATGTGTGTGATATTCTTTCAGCTCTGGAAAGATCCTAAATGTCATAGGATATTTCTCGCTTTCTGGCGACCGGACCAGAACAAGTTCGTACTCGGTATCCGTAACCTGACGAAACTCGGACCCCAAAGCCGGATGGAATTGGATATACCTCCAACCCTTGTATGGATCTCGATTGGTCAGCGAATAAATCGGAGTGAGCAGTCCTGTTTCAGAAGCTCCGTAGGCATTGTAGAGTTTCATCTTGGCCGCAACCTTGTCACCAACTGCCTGAGGTGGATCCCCTCCCATATAAATGCAGTACTCCAGAGTTTTGGCGCAATAATCCAAAAGTCCCGGGTCTTGCGCTAGTTCCTGTACAATTGACGGCACAAGAGCGGCGATGTCCATGGGTGTCTGTTTCAGAGCATCGACCAGGGCAGCAGCCGTGGGAAGTCCCGCGGCAGTAGGAAGGATACTTGTAATATCTGCCGGGATGTTGATGAACATCAGGCATGCTAGACCCCCGGCATGGAAAGGTGGAAAAGGCAAGAATTGTCTCTTTCCAACCAACAACTTATGTTGGTTTGCGAACCCGTCTGGTGCATTTAATCGGAACATGCGCACGTGGTTACATGACGCGGACAGCCTCCAGATAATTGGTTTAGGGATGCCGGTAGAACCAGAGGTATGAATGATGGCCATAATGTCGTCCGCGTCGGCAGGGTAGGATTTGGTGTACTCAAAATGTGGGTACTCCTTAGCCAGTAAGTCGTCAACAGTCGGGACTTCATACGCTGACAACGATAGTGCATCGAGCATCGCGGTGGCAGCTGCTGGCCGTGGAGTGGGAGTGAGAATTTTCGTGCAGCCGATAGTTTTGAGTAGACTTTCCTGGGCGGCAATGCTGTTGCGAGGGGAGGTAAGAAACATGCAGTACCCTGCTTTCACCGCACCCAGGACTAAAGCCGGATATCGTAGGTCATTGGGACCAATGTAGGCCAGACTCTCGCCATTGCCTTGACCGAGCGTTTCAGTCAGCCACCAGGCGATTCCGTTGATGGCATTCGCAAATGCTTTGTGATCTGCTGGAAACCCTGGTCATAACTCGTAGGGGTCACTCGGCTTTCTCCTTCTAAAGAAGGCGAGATCGAGCAGCCTAGTACTCTTCGGGGCTAGTAATGTTTTTCTAAGAGTGGTAAGCGAGGCTCACTTAATAGTTAGGAGGGTAGTATACCTGACTATCTATTGTTATAAGTTGTAGCACGGAGAAAGAGTAATATATACATTACGCGGGTAGTAGGTCTATATCAACACGACTACCTAATGAACGGCCTAAATTAGGATCTGTTGGAATTGTTATAGAGGAATAACAATATACGATTATTAAGGATCGTCATCAATTAACTATTGTATAGGTATACGTAGTCGATTGTATAGAAGATAGTTGCCTTAGGAAGCAAACATAATCATAGAAGGATAGGCCGGGGTCACTCTCATATACGCTGATAAAAATCGTATTTAGTAACCTACGCCTATAATGGGACGGTGAACTATTACGGGAATGAAATATTCTATCAAAGATAAGCGTCGATTAGTAGAGAAGAGACTACGAAAAACTGTCAAATTTACAGTGTCCAGCAATTAGTCTCTTGATTTAACTTTCAAGTTAGAATGCCAAAATCCCATACTTCCCTCCACTTAAGTAGTATTGATATTGTCCAACTGCTGTGGGGCTGGCCTCAACACAAAAATATCACTCCCGGGAGGGGGGCTGTAGCTTCTTCACCGCCCCCTCTGCCGTGAGATCGCCCTCCTGCGCTGCTGCGTGGATATTATCTGTTGCAGCATACTGAGTAAACTGCAGTTCGGGATACGCCCAATCACTCGCACCGCCGGTTGCCGCCGGCACCAAGAAGTTCACCGCCTTGAAGAGTGTCTGACCCTGTGGACCTTCGTACTTGAACAAGTCGACGCCTAGTTTTCGTGCGATTAATGCCCAGCGTAGATGTGCGGTGAGATCGAAGTTGGAGTAGTGGAAGCTCCGCGTCCGAGCAAGTTCTTGAGGTTGGGAGCCGTTGGACGTAATTTGGTTATCGATAAAGTCCTTTGCTAAATTTGCCTTGCTGAGTGCAAGGGAATGGTTTCCAGTGAAGAGGGCAAGGGCGGTGATTTGCATATTTGCAAAAGTGCCGTGATTGTTCGTTGCGCTAGATTCTTCAACACCGAACGGCGAATAGGCAAGCCATATAAGGAATCGTTTGTTCCATTCGTGGAATGCTGCTGCGTCCGTTTTACTCCATCCAGGGGCACCAGTGTTGAGGATAGCAACTGCGTCGATAACTTCAGTATAGTCCTGGGAAAAGTCGATGATACCAATCGATCGGCCAGTGTTGGCGCAGGGAATTATCTGCGCATGGTCGAGGTTAGGGTTCATGGCCGTCTCTGGGTTGAGGAACCAAGTTCGAATGATGTCTGCCGCATGATAGGAATATTTTGGGTTGCCGGTATAGTACCACGCCAGCGAGAGGACGTATGTTGAGTTGAACAGTTTAATCGAGTCGATCTTGTCCGGGTAGTTGTCAACTTCTGGGTTGCGTACACCGTCCTTATTAATGTAAGGGCAACCGTCCGCAGAGTTGGGATTAGGCCACCAGTATGGTGCTTGGGAGGCATAGTCATGGATCGTGCCATTGGGAGGCGCATTGGCCTTTGAAGTAACGGTCCAGGGGCCCTGACTAAGCCAACTATCCGCTTGGCCGACGAGATGATCCAGGGAAGCTTTGAGAGAGTCATTGCCTCTATTAAGCTGCGCCTTTGCATCCACTAAGCGATGGCCATCAATGACAACAGTGTCAGGAGCTTTCGCGGAGTGGGAGTCTCCATGATTGGGCAAAGCGGCTACACTCTTAGCCGCCAAGAGTAGTAAATGTGTATATAGCACATGCATAGCGAGAATCATAGGAAATGTCGGAAAAGTTAGTTGAGATAGTATCAACCGTGTTTAATTTCTAGTTAGAATGACCATCACTAGTACGCCGTGCCCACTTTATAGATCGAGCTCAAGCCATGTCTTTGGAGTGTAACCAATTCCAGAAAAGTTGTTCCGTTATCAAGTAAATTTCCCACCAACCAAGTGCCACATGAAGAAGCGGGGGTTCATAGTCTTAAGACAGGTTCCTTCGCTCTACTACGACAGTTACTTGGGAAGCAACTGACTAGACGCGAATCAATTAGAGACTGCATGAATCCTCATCGTGCGCAGGCGGTAACCCTCTAAACACGTTTTGAATAATTTACCTTTCCACATCCGATTAGAGAGAACTTACCCGGATACCATCTGCTCGATATTTTACTGATGAAAGGATAAACAGTAGGACAATCAGCATGATTGATGTCCACCATGAATAGCAGACTAGTGTTAGTTAGGTAGCTATGGCATCCTAGGCAAAGGACGCCACAGTCCCAGGGCCGGCTGTGATCCCTGAAGCTAAGTCGCGCTATTTTAAAAGATGGGTGAGGTTTTGGGAAGAATTGCCATTAAAAGTGAGTGAAAGTTATGATCAGGAGTACGAATGAAGGCGGCAGGTAATTATTTCCGAGGGCAGACGGTAAAGAGATGTCGAGACATGGAGCGGTAACTTACCCCATGGACAAGGGTTATGCTGAGTGACCTACTTTCGTTAGTCTTATAATAATAATAATAATTTCGTATCCTTGGCATTATGGTTGTCGTCACACCGTGTATCTGGGGTATTTAGACCTGCCCTATAACATTCATTCTTTCTTCAATCAGTCAACCTGGCCATCAGAAGATTAGTTCCTTGATCTCACCATCTTGCCTATTCATCCGATTGGATTTCTAGCCTATACTCTCTCAGCTTGCTCCAATAAGATATAAATCCCGGGGGTGGTGTAATGGAACGCGACGTACAATCCGTTGCTAAATTTTGTGTTAGGTGAACCCCGGGCCTACCGCAGGCTTTCTATTTCTCTCGTCCTTATTTCAAATTTTAACAGAAATCCCTACATCCCCGATAATAATCCTCGACTTGTCCTCGCGTGCTGATTCGATCCGCTATCCAAGGGCTTACTGGAAGATGGAATCGTCCTTGCTTTTAACAATGTAGCGGAAACAAACATTCCTGCAGGAAAAAACTGCGGTGGATGGTACTCGACAAGCTAGTTACGCCGCGAATCACACAACGGTGAAGATCGTCTAGCCGGAGTAGTTGTGTTGCTGATTGGGACAGAAGTGACAGACGTAGCCTGGGAATTGATGCACTATGCCGTGTAGCATGGCCCAATTCTTACGCTTGAACTGTTAGCTTTCTACAGGATAGAAAAGGGCCGATCTTATTTTGCAAATTCACATAGGAAGTTATTTCCCTTGTGTGAGAAAACAGATTCCTAGGGAGGACGCTGCCCCCTTGAGCGAATACTTAAACCACTCGGGATTCATGCTTTTGTACAGAGGATGGATGGATAGACGTCTTCATTTACCCTGACTCGTCGAAGTTGATCATAAGCCCGACCTGTTAGGCTGAGTACGGTACTGCATCGTATTTTGGTCTAAATAAGACATCCATCCATCCGCTATAGTACTGGGGTGGCTTGTTGAACCCCCCCCCCCTCCCCCCCCCGGCCCCCACCCCCGCCCCCAATCTGCAAACAGGTTGGAGCTAAAGAAGGTCCGTTCGCCCCAGGAATGGGGCTGCCTGTTGTAGGTCTCTCAAAGTTGTTGGGAGGAGTCGCTCTATGCTGGTTGGTTCTGGATCCCCTGTTTCCCCGGATTCTTCTCCGGATTTCTCCCCGCCAAAAAAGGGTCGGTCATGTACGTAACTTGGAATAATCCACCAATTACGCAGATTTGAGGAACACAAACAATTTGGAGACATCAATCCTAACACAACCTCTTTTCCCTCTATTATTTACGTCAATATTTTCGTGAATCTCCATGCCTCTAATTCTCATTGAAAATAGCTCCAGTAGGGCCACAGTTAATGAAATATGGGAGACAAGTAGAGGATCAGGATTCAAGGGAAAATTGCGCTTGAAACTACGTGTTACATCGGCCAAAATGGTTTTTTATCCTACGAATCTCACTCACTTCTCTGCTTATAGTTGTGACATTATTCTACAGTAACAGCCCAAGCGTCTAGAACCTTTTGCCATCTACCAATGATAATAATACCGTCCACTAGTCGCAGCATTCGATTGGTGTATTTACTAATTGCCGCCGGTAGTAATAGCGTGGTACTTGAAAAAGATTTGCAACACCACTGGAACGTCTCTAGAACGGAGCAGGAGATATCAAGTAGCATCAACATCATCGTCGCTGCTATGCATCTTTCCAATTCAGTTCGCTGCCTCTTCAAGGCATCCACAAAAAAATTACAGTACAATGGCTCTTATACTTTTTGTTCTTATAATTTCACTGGCTTCTGCTATTCCAGGATACACAAGAAGTCTGGAGGCTCGGGCTCTTTCTTAACCCTCAATGCGCTCCTGGTGGAAATTTCGACTTGTACGCCTGGGAACTCTATTTGCCTGTTGGGTCGGCGGGTAGCCCAACAACTATTTTCACATCAGCCCTTGAAATTTGCTCTGGATACAGTAATCCTGGTTGCTTCTTCACGGAGGCCGGAGATGGTGCTATGGTCATGAAGGTCCCTGGGTCACCTTCTTCCTCTGGATGCGTGACAACCCCAAACACCAAATACTGTAGGACAGAGCTTCGAGAGGAGAATCCGTCTAGCAGGGATCCAAAAGCCGCAACAAACCGACTGAGCGCTACGGTCTCTGTGCCTAAGCCTGATAATAGCAACCATGGCACAGTCATTGGCCAGATCCACATGGCTTCGAGTGTATCAAGCTATCCGGTGGTAAAGCTGTACTACAACTTGAACGGCGACCTCACAATGGGAGTGCACAAATCCGGATTAGGCGGCACTGAAGATTACACATCACTTGGAACTATTTCGGTGGGCCAGAAGTTCAGCTACGAAATTCAATATGGAAAAGTTAGCCTATCCGTCAGCATCAACGGTCGCGCTACGGAAGATGTTAGTTTGGGGAATTTGGACTCTCCCTGGAGTTATTTCAAGACCGAAAACCACAACCAAGGAGATTCTCCTTCAGAAGTCCATTTCTTCGAAGTTGCTGTGCAGCATTGAGTGATCTCCTGGAGGGCAGTTCGATCTGTTCTTTTTGATCTTTGCGTCCGATGTGCTGAACTATCTTTCTGTTAAAAAATATTCTAGGATAGTCACATGTAATCTTAACCTAGTACTGTACACAGTTTCTTCGCCAGTGCCCCACCACGATTGACCTAAGCTTTTTTTTTTGGCTAGAGAAAGTCCCGTACAAGGGGTGTTCAGCGGTATGATTGGCTGTAGGCGACTCTGAAAACTCGACGAACTGGAGTTGGCTCTCTAATGGGTCTCTGGAAAGTAAGCGTGCATGCCTCCTGAAGGAGTAATCTGTTTTCAGGATCCTCAGTAAGCCATGGCAAGCCTCAGCGAGGCTCTAAGTTCGTTTTCAAGAAGGAATACCGTAGTACGCAGTTACAGTAGATTTCGAAATCAGATTATTCCCGAGAAACACGAGCTTCTTTCCCAGCTCCCCATGCCGACTGCGCTTAGCGGCTTTAAGCTAAAGAAAACCCCCTATGGGGGCGTGGGTAGGGTACTCAGAATTCAGCGATTTGGAGTTGGCCTCGAGTGGGGCACTGGAAAGAAAGCGTGTGTGTCTGGGGTTAAACCGTTTTCGAAATCTACTATAGGTTTCGCCGGTAGCGGTAGTGTAGTTTTGTGAGCACTCCGAGACAACCTGCAGGGTGACGAACCGGTCATTTTTCACCTGCAGGGATTGGCTTCGAGCCCCAGCGCGGAGACATCAATCACCATCATTGCGTGTCTGTGGAGAGACACAATAACGCGGGGAAATTGAGTACCCTAAACCTTTCCACAGGTCAAAGTGGAAACAAACAAAGGCCTCGGTGAGGCTCCAAGTTCTTCTAGGTAATACGTGGGAAATTCTCATGTAATTCAACATGTTTTTATATCATCGTGGTAGGCTGTATATCGCTTAGCGAGTTGAGACCCTGGATTGAGGTAAAGTGTGATGATGATCATTCTAAGTATACTAGAATACGCAGCTATTTCTAGTTACAGTAGCTGCGTTCTGCCTAGAGTTGGGGGTGGCAGCCTAGTAGGCTGCCACTCCAATATCATAATATCTGTGCACCACGTGACCTGACCGGAGATCCAACGTATCGAGTTGGTTTACCGAACTGGTGACGCATGCTTCGCCCGCTGCGGCCCTGAAATGATGAAAATCAAGAACAGGGACGAGAAAGTCAGGAAAAGGGACGTCGTTTTGCTTCGCTGACACTTCATAATGCAAATTAACGTTGACCAACGAGAGGGCATATCATATGACTAAGAGCTGAAACACCTTAGAAAACAGAAAAACCAGGAGTTACAGGAGGTGTATGTGTGAAATAATTTACCCTGACCTCTCGCGAGTTGGATAATTAACCACAACTCACTAGGCTGGGTACGGATTCGTATTTTGATCTAGCAGATGATACTCGCCGTCTAAGCCATATCTAGCTATTTTGAGCATGAAAGTTAACCCTGATTATTTCACGGAGATATCCCTCTTCTTTCTTATCTTGTCTGTATTGTGTTGGCTATCTACTGCCAACTTGAGGACGGTTCACTTCATCTTATTAGGGAATCAGGTGCTTTTGCGCTATGGGAAGTTCATACATCGAGTCCAACGATTCTGATACATTTCTGGAAGTAGAATCATCCAACCTGTTTGGGCAGGCTGAATAAGTCATGGTTTTAACTGCAGGCTGCAACGATAATCCAGGAAAGAAAATTGTTAAAACTTCTTAACCTTGCACATTTTACCAACCCGTTCGTTTAAGTTCGGACCGGAATCCTCACCTCAGTCCTAGTCGCAACATCGACCTCCAAATCGACCCTCTAAATTCACTATGATGGGCACAAGGAATGATGTTTTTCTGGTGAGTTTCCTGATTCGTATATACGTATATTGGTTCATTGAAATAAGCGTCACAGTTTAAATTGCTGTTGAGAGGTGACTCTAGCGTCGGCAAGTCGTGCTGTCTGTTGCGCTTTATTGAAGATTCCTTCACTCCATGCTTCATCACTACCATTGGAATCGACTTCAAGGTGCGCAATATTGAACTAGACGGGAAAATTGAGGGGTTACAGATCTGGGATACGGCATACTATCGTGGCGCTATGGGAATCCTGCTAGTTAAATAGTTAGTTAGTCTACGATATGACTAATGAGCACTCATTCCAGAGTAAATAAGACTGCCTTCCATTTTGCCTGTGCGAACCTCCACACGATATAACTAATATTTCCTGCCAGATATTCGACCTTGGTTTTCCAAGGTCGAACAGCATACAAACAAGGATGTACACAAAATCCTGATCGGAAACAAGTGTGATTGGGAAGAGAAGCGGGCTGTCTCGTCTGACCAGGGTCAGAAGCTTGCAGATGAGCTTAGTATACCTTTCTTGGAAGTTTCCGCGAAGAGAATGCTGTTAAAGCATGAACTGTATATATATCACTATTTGCCGCCCTTGATACTTTCCTAGACAGGGTATTTCCTTTTCGCCCGCGATTTTATCTGCTAAGATTTTAATTTTCCAATTTCTATAGAGGCCTAGTATTCGTTTCCTCCGTTGTCATACATATTTGCCTATAATTCCACAACGCGGGGGACATAAAATGTTGCTGTTGTAATAACTCGTACATATGCTATTGAAATCTTTTTTTCAAACCAAACAATGGAAATTCATTACCCACGAGCCCCAACTACAGCCTTCTATGCAAAAAACACAAATAACACCTAGAGATGAGAAGGAAAAGGAGAAAAGCAAAAGCACAGAATCCAGTAGCCCATGACCATCCCAATGATAGTCTAAGGTCTGATCAGTCAACCACCAACCACCCACCACCCACCACCCACCCTCAAGACCTCGTAATCCAATTCGCCCACCGACAAGAACACCCCCCAGTCCCACCATCAACACCCCCATACACGGCACTCGAATTTGAACTCGAATCCCCACCCAAATCATCAAAAATCCCCGACGCAGGATTCACCAAAGAACCCCCAAATCCCCTATCCTCAAGCTGCAACTTCCGATCCGTAATATTATAATGCTGATCACTCTCCACGCCATAGCAGTACAGCAGCTTTTTCTTCTCCGCACCGCCATGGCGGTCAACCGTGATGGAAATCGGGTACGGGAATGAGCCCGGACGAGTGAAATCCGTCGCGGAGGAAGATGATGTTGGCTCGGACGTTGAAGTAGGCGTTGCCGCGGACGTAGACGTAGTGCTGGTTGAGTTATTTGAGCCCGATTTGAGGAGCGTGTAGCCTAGTTTCGACGGCTGTGTCCAGATTTGTACCAGGAACCGGGTTTGAGACCAGGTGCAGCGGACGACGGCGTCGGATTCGGTGGAGCCCCCGTTTGTGTCTAGGGGGGAATAATCGGTTGCGCTGCCGTTGAGAGGGGCGCGGGACGCGAGGAAGATTGATTTGTCGAAGTATGTGTAGAAACCGTAGTGCTCGTTGTCCTTGCCGCGGTTATACAGGCGGATAGGCTGGGATTTGGGGAGGGGGTAGAGCGTTGCGGCTGCGGCGGTGCCGTCTGAGTTTTCGGATGGAGCTGGGATGACGGCTGTTAGATTGGGGAAGGTTGTTGTGTCGTTGGTTGAGGAGCGGCGGTATAGTGAGCTGGATGTGATTTGTACAGGGGAGAGGATGGTTATGTAGAACGGTGTTTCTTCGCCGGCATAAGGTAGGGAGTTTCCGTCTGTCGTGTTGCCTATGAATGTTTGGTCTGCCGTGCTCGGCGGAGATGGTGATGGATCCCAGGAATTGGCATCTGCGCGACGGGTCTTGCTCGTTGTGCTCGCAACCGTGCTGTTATCGTATGTCCCGTTGCGGAAGCGAATTTCCAGTCTGAAGTTGGGCTCATCCGCGGCGTAGGGCTTGTTATCAGATTGTTGGCCATTGGGCAGAGCACAGCTCCATAACGAGGACGGTTTGATACAGCCTGACTGCTCCACTTGCGGCTCTGCACCAGCGACGGTGGAGATACCCGTAGGCATGGGTGGGTACCCTGTTAGATTGAGCCACTGCGACTGGACCGGGGTTGTATCGCCTTTTCTGGTCAATGTGATTGCTAGTACAATGGCCAAAATCACTATGACCAGGAAGAACAGGCAGATGCAAAAGTACCACCGGCGTTTCGTTCGGCCTTCACGCCCTGGACGTCCAAAGCATCCTTTCTTGCTGAAACAGCCTCTTCCGCGCCAGAATCCGCCAACCTTTCTGCCAATAGCATCTTCCCGTTCAAGTCTCTGCCGCCGGGCTTCTGCTGGTCCTCTTTCACGGGTGGGATTCATTATTGCTGCTCCGGGGGCTGGATGCAGTGCATATCGCGGGGGCAGAGGCGCTTCGTCTCGGGGGTATTGAGTGTATGCTGGAGCCGGAGCATGTACCTCATTCATCGAGTTCATCTGGATTGCACCCGGTCCTCCTGCTGCGCGCTGGAATGCAGGTGATATCGGCTCATTCTGGGCTGGGTTTGGCGGTAGTACATGATTATCCTGCTGTAGCTCAGGGTTTGATTGTCCTCTCATAGGTAGAGGGATCGGAGCAGCTCTGGTTGACCCCTCATGCGTTGGATTCTGCGCTGCGGGCGGAGGTACTATGGGCCATTCACTCATTCCTCGAGGTTGCTCTTGAGGCATTGGCGCTGCGGGTGTGGGCTCATTCACAGATGGGACAACAGGGCCGTACGAAGGAGCAACCCTATCCACCGGAGCAGGTTCCGGAGGCATCGCGACAGGTTGCTGCATATAATGGATATTGTTCGTCGGCGGTGAAATAGTATTGATAAACTGAGGAGGCGGCGCTTGTACCGGTGGTGGTGGCTCGGGCATGACCGCAGGGGCTATTGGAATCGGACCTGGTGGTGGTGGTTCAGGCATGAAAGCCGTTGGAGCTGGAGCAGGCTCATGAAACGGCGCTGCAGCAGGGGGAGGGTGAATGGGTTGCTCAGATGGAGCATCAGGAACGAGTCCTCTTGTCGCGGCCTGTGGAGGCCCAGTCAAGCCTTTCTCATGTTCAAATTCATTCTCGTCGGTGATACTAGAAGACCACGAATCCGAGGAAGTAGCTGATGCGGGCGAACCGATCTCCTTTGAATGCTCAATCTCCTTCATCCCCTGCGTCGGCGAGTCAACATCAATAAGAAGACCCCTATTCCCACCCGTTTGAGGCAAACTGCGATTCTTCTCTTGCGCCTGAGCCTCCGCAAAGATCAACCCCCGATCCCTAGTTTCCCCTTTATCAGACTCGAACTGTGCAGCATAGATAGCCGCCACGACAGCCGCCGGCGTAATAGAGCAGATATGATTGTGGCATTCGAAATATGATGTTTGGCTGAACATTTCATGCGCACAGGCTTGATAGTACTCCGCGGCTTCGCCTTGTATAGACCGTCCACCGAATATCATCGATGCAGCTGTCTGCCTCTTGGCTGAAGAGTCCGGCTCTTCGCTAACTCCCAAAGAACGAGACTGCTCTAGACCTTTCTTGCTTTCTTGCCATTGGCTCGGCACCGCGGACTCTGGCGTCTCGGGAGAAAAGCAGGAGACTTCTTTCTCCCACCATTCCTTGTTGGTGTCTTTCGTACTTGGCGCGCTGGCGGCGGCACTCCGAGGGAACGATGGACTAAGAGGGGACTTCTTCCCGAGGAGAGGCGAAAGCAAATATGTCCACCAACCCTGGGATTCGGGTCTCATCGCCTGAGTGTTAACACTGAGTCTTGTCAACGGAGCTCGGTCATTATCATCCTGAGTCTCCTGCACGAGTCCGCGGTCCGCAACGTCGTCCTCGATAATAGTCTCCACAGACATGGACCTGTGTTTCCGAGTCATAGCTGCGAAATGGGCACTCAGGAAATCTGAATCGGCGGCCGCCTTTTTGGTCGAGTGTTCGGCCGGTATAGCCGGTACCGGCGGGATATCCGGATCACTTTGCCAAAGGCGAGGCGTGGGTTGGGAGTAGATACTAGATGTTGCGCGGGGGCGGAGACCTTCCGGACTTGACGTCGACCAGGGAGCATCTTCGCGAGCCGGGGTGACTATGATAGAGGGTGTCAGAGGTGTGCCTGCACTATCGATTTCCCTCGTATGATACGAGGATTCGTTTCGAGGCACGGAAAGACCAATCATAACATGGCGATCAGAAGGAGAGAGGCCATGATCGAATCTATCGTTGAAGGGATTCTCGAGTTTCGGATCTAGGAAGGGGTTTCCCGTCTCGCTTTGTATTTGTATGCGGCTAGTTTCCTCGGGGAGCTGGTGAAATGATGCTCTTTTTCTGGAGGAATTCGAGGTATTCGATGGGTTCGTGATCTCCGAGAGGTCGCCATTGATACTAGTGGAGTCCTTCTTCTGCCCAGACCGTTCTTTCGCCCGGTCCTCAGAAAGCAGCTTGAGATCATTCAAGTCCACGAACGGTGCAGACCCATTATCGGGTTGTTTCTTGGGCGGTGCCGCGAGCGAAAAGTCCGTGACCAAATTCAGTCCTACGGGCTTTGCGACATTCTTCTTTTTCTTCGTGATACCCCGGATACTGTGTCGTTTGTGATGATCGTGTCGGTCTCGTTGGGACAATTTAGGCGAGCGATTTCCATCTTTCCCCGATTTCGTCTCGATCTTGTGCTTAGTCGCCTTGACCAGGAAGTCAAATGGCCGGGTACGCTCCAAATCTCTATCCTCTGCAGACGAACACGATGGACTCGAGATCTCCTCGCTGATGGGTGACGAGAGGGGGAAGGTTGGTTGAACTGGGACCTGCAGCTGGGGTTGAAGCTGTTGATGCCGCCAGGAGGGCATCTTGACGATGATGATGCTATGTCAGATCGAAGAACTGTATGCAGCGCAGAAAGACAATATGTCAGTCAGATCATGCACAGGTAGATGTCAGTTCAGACCTCGTCCACTATCTCGCACATACCATGTATCGGCGAAGCGATGCAATGCAGAACAAGAACCGAGAAGAAGAAAGACGTTTGCAAATGCACGATACCAACTCCTGCAGAAAAGCGCGCCCAGGGAAGAGTCAGAGGCAAACAAAGACCCAAGAACCAGCACCTTCTATTAATACCAAGGCAATACCCGAAACAATGCAATCATGAAACGACAAGACGACAAGTTCACACAAAGACCATACTCATCCAGTCTCAACAAAGGACCACACGCAAGGAAAAATCCGCAACAAGTCGTACGCGTACTCGAGCGATAGCAAGAAAGACAACCAGGAGAAAGAAAAACGAGTCAAAGTCAAGCTTCAAAAGTTGCCAACCAGACACATCAAAAGAGGAACCCAGAAACCCGCCAAAACAACAATAAAAATAAAACACTCAATCAGACCAACTCCCCAAGATCTAGCCCCCTCGTCAACAAAGACCTTGGAACAATCCCCTAGTCCTCCTCTTACTGTACTCAGTCGATCAAAGCCGTCAAACCTGCGCATCATCCCGTCAACTCAACCACACCATCCAAGCCCCCACCAATCATACCCCGGCAACGCTCCGTTTCTGCACAAATCCCAGACACCCTCCTGCAGTAGTCTGTCATGATTAGCGCCCATAATTGGCTCCGACTGAAGATCCGAGTGCGGCCAGTCTGGAACTGGGACTGGCGCCTGGCGGTACGCGCCGGGGGGACGTGGAGGGCGGGCGCTTAGAGGGGCCAATCACCCGCGCGCGCTGAAAATAGAATATCTCCGGGAGGTCTGGGCGCTTTTTTTTTTTAGGTTGAAGAGTCTGAAGAGGTTTTTACTGGTGGATTGTGCCTGATCTACAAGGAAATCGGAGATTAAAAGTGTTGTTGAACGTGGTTTAGGGGAAGGAATTGAGCAAAGGCGGATTATTCATTGCACGGGCATACGAGGATGAGAAAACAAACGGATCTGGATATAGGGATATAAGGATATCAATTGGCGTGCCGGGCACGGTTTTGGATATTTGGTACACACTCGCAATCGAGCTGGACAGTGACAAGAGGGAGAGAGAGAACAACAAGAAAGGAAAAAAAAAAAAAACTAACACAAAACACACGTCGATCCCAAATGCCTATAACCCGATTCCAAATTGACCCAACCACTCCTCCCTTCCCTGATCATTGTCCAACACATGCAGTATAACGATGATGCTAGAGCGATACGTCAGACTACCCAACAGAGCAGGACAGTCGAAAATAAAACGACAACAAGAAGAAAAAAAAGAAAACATCCAAGAAAAGAAAATGGGTTCGAGTGTGGAGATAGGAAAAGCAATGGAGCGATTGCGGGTATGATCGATGGCACACAAGGAAAACCAAAAGCAGAGCGCAAGTCGAAGTGCAAAGCCCGAGTTAAAAACTCGGATGGGAAAGGAAACAGCCACACCTAGAGAAACAAGGTATAACAGATGAGAAAAAAGGAGAAGAGACAGAAAGGGAGAAAGGGAAACCTGGTACCCTCGAGTCCCCCGAATCCAACACTCGAGGTGACCCTGCCCAGGTTCCATGTCTAAAAACGAGGATATCTTGAATGGTAATATGATAAAACGGAGTCGTGGTTGAGGCGCATCTCGCAGCATGACTAGTCATTTCTCATCCATGGAGTCCCATGGCAATCGGTAGGTTCAGAAGGAGGGGGTAACGCGAAATCCGCAGGCTGCTAAGTCCCTCCCACTCTACCGCCGCTCATCAGTATACTGAATGCCCTGCATTGCAGCCGACGAGCCATTCATGAGCGGCGGTAGTGTCCGCGGTTGCTCCTGAGCCATAACAGACCCATTCCCGAATCCTCCAAAGGCCGGACCCGGCGGCTGTCCGTTCGTCGGGGTCGTCGCCATCGCGTGATGTTCGAATATAGAGCCCGGTCGCGATGGGCCGTGACCCTGTTGTTGAGAGAACTGAGCTCGCATTTCCTCCATCTCGGTGCGCATCACGGAGTTCTCGCGGCGCGCCGTGGCAAGGTTCTTCTCGAGCGAGTTGATATACTCGATGGCCCGGCTAAGCGTTTCCCACTTGCTGGACTTGTTGTTCTGGGTTTGCGGGAGGCGCATGCGGAGAGCCTCGAAGCAGTCTTTCATTTCACTGCGGCGCTTGCGCTCTGCGAGTTTGTGCGTGACGCGCAGTTCGGGCGTTCGACTGTATGGTGTGTTGCCCGCACCCGATTCAGATTCTCCGATTAGATCGCGGACCTGTTTATGTTGCAGGGAGTGGTGATGTACATTGGGTGGTAGTTCTGGATATGGTCAGAATATGTGCTTTGCTGGATTAAAAGGATTTTTTTTCGTCGCGCAGACTTACCATGCTGTCCTCGTGGCATGCGCTCGGAGTACATGCTGCTGAGAGACTCTGCCGTGCTGCCTTTCCGAGAGAAAGGCGGATTGGACTTCTCCGTCGACGAGATCGAGCTCGATCGAGCCACGTCAGGATCTGGGAAAGCGTACGCCATACCCGCCGTGGGTGCCTCGGCGTTGTAAATCTCCGAGCGAGGGTTGGACGAAATCGCAGGTGCCGTACGCCCAGCGGCGAACGATCGGTGCTCGCCTGGTCGGGGCCCCAAGGGAGACAAAGGCTGGCTACCACCCGAGTACCGCGGCCCCCGGTATGAGTTCATATCGGTTGAGATCCCTCTTTCCCGCTGTAGACTTGAGACGATCGAGGACTGCGACGCATTTGTGCTGTGGTAGGGTGAGGCAGGGTTGATTGCCAACGAGCTGATGCCTTGGTTCACACGGCTATCCACACTACTCCGCCGCGATTCCGGCACCTCGGCGACACTGCCCCGTTGCGATGCGGCATCATAGTTCTGGTTGATTGATGGGAGCGCCGAGTTCGGCTGGGAGGTGTTGAAGCTGGGCGAGGGTTGTTGCGTGCCAGCTGAGGAAGGGGTCGTGGACTGATCGTGCGGGTACGGCGACCGGTCTGGCGCGATGTGGCCGCGATTCGGCGAGGGTTGGGAGGTCGAGGTCAGGAAGGTGAGGGAGGGATAGTTGTTGCCGGTCCCATTGGTCGCGGTCGAGTAGGTTGAGGATCCTGAAGGGTCAGCATGCCGCGCCCAATCTGCCCCGGGGGAGTCCTACTTGTGCTTTGCGGCATTGACCAATTCCCCGAGTCCCGTTCAATGGTGTTCAAGGAGGAGTTGCCGGGGGATTTCTCGGATGGGTTGACGCCGGCAGGGCCCATGTTCGCGGTTAATGTTGAGATCGAGGGTAACGTCTGGTTTAAGGCGGCAGGTGTTTGAGGGCCCGAGGAGACAGGCTCCCATGGACGATGGGCGACGGGGTCCATGGCGGCGAGGATAGGAGCTCCGACGGGTTTCAACGGAGTCGGGATGGTAACGAAGGTATATCGAGGACCAGATGCGTCGGGGGGAGAGTTTGGTGTCCAAAATTGTTGAATCGATGAGCATAGGTCCACGCTATCGCATCTTCTCCAATCGACGTGCGAGCGGGTCCAATTGGGTACGCGATGGAGGGCGTAGTCAATGCGAGTTGGTAACGACCGTGCAGAGAGTAGTAATGAGGATTGCTCAACCGCTGCCAGAGACCCAGTAGAGCGGGTGCCAATTCCTTCTGCAGTCTGCAGAGTCCGAGGAAGCGCAGCAGGGTCGTAGGGAATGGGGGCGAAAGCAAAGTGGAGAGGAGGAGGGGGGGGGGTTGGAGGGATGTAAGAAAGGGATTCTGCAAGACGAGGTTTGGAGGGGCCGGAAGCTCAAGAAGGGCCGATCGAAAGGTGGAGAGGAAGTTTTGGAGTGGATGGCGGTGGTAGTGGTAGTTAGTCGTAGTAATGGTCGTTGTGGTCGTCGGGGGCCGGAGATCGGGGGGTAGGACAAGAACAGACTTCTTTTTTTCTTTTGGGTCTTTGGGTCTGTCTCGAGAGGGGGAAATGGGACAGGCCGAGAAACAGAGGAAGAAGACGATCTCACGCTAAAATGTATTGCACCGATCAGAGTCCGAGATTTTGGCAGGGTCGAGTCCCAGCTTCTTTTTCCCTTTTTTCTACTATTTTCTTTTTCTTTTTTGTTGGTGAATTTTTTTTATTTTATATTTTTTTTTCCTACGTACTTTTCGAATTATTGCCTTTTGAGCCCGGGGGAAGAAGAAAGTCAAGTATCAAATTTGGGGGCAGGATGATACGGTAATGGTAATACCTGCCCAAGATACAGTACAAACTGAAACGAGTCTAAGCCCGCAAGGGAGCGTCAAGCTGACCCAGTGGGTGGTGCGTGAGGAACGTGGCACAAGGATGGTTTGGTCAAACACTCTTTAGGGCAACACGTCCCGGGGAGAATGACCAGGTGGAGACTGTAACGGTTGGAGAAGGATGGACGAGGGGGTCTCGTAGATGTATGTACAAGTGAGCAATAGACAGAGCAGAAGCTGGGACTGTGAGAATGGATCTGGGGAATGGTTGTGAACTGGCTGGTTGATGTGTATGATGATAGTTCTAAGGATCTAATATCCAAAGCTTCAATCAAGCGTCTTTTGGTCGTCATTATCAGAATACGGTACAAGTGGATTAACCAAGAATTAGTAGCTACCCAAATATAATTGATGTACCAAGATAGCCAGCTAAGCTCTAGCTGCCTAGCTACTTGAAATATGTGACGATTACTACTCTAGCTTGATGGTCACCTCGTTCTTGTCATGGCCATGCTCCCCTCGTCCAATTTTCTTTTGTTATTTGCTTCTTCGTCCGCTGCCTACTGGACAGATCCCATCCTAGCCTCGCTGCCGAGTCTGCGGATCGGATGGATCACCCGTCGCAACCTCACTCAGTCCCGCGTCCGCGTCAGCCGAAATTAGTCCGACAAACAATCGACTTCCCGTGGCCGGTATATGATAGAATCTATCTGGGAAGAGCCTGATCATGCTGTGAATGATCCTTCTGGTAAATCTCACTCCCGACCCTCTCGTGTATTCACAGAATAAAGCTCAGGTAATGTACGATACCTGATCGTTCCCTGACCATACCAAACCCCACGATACGCCCGTGCAGATGCCAAGCCCTTGGATGTGCGCTACTGCGCGCAACGCCCTCTCTCCACTGGAGTGCCACGAGGCTGACCCTTTCTGGGGGACGCAAGGGAGATGAATTCCCTCAGAGTTACATCTCTTAAAATCTTAAAAAATGCAATTTCTCTTCATATTGAAAGCTTATTATTATTTTATTCGATTTTATCTTATTTTCCTACTGTCCTCACTATACATCCAGAGTACACGGCCTTACTCCTCGTCAACTTATGATTCCAATAATTATGCTAATATTTTATCCAGATTGGAATTAATTATGGATCGTGATCGTGATGGGACATGGATGATCGCCCCGATCATCCCAAATCGCCAGATTTTGCCCGATATTTCTACCATTGCATTCTAACGTATAATAATCAGCGTTGAAACCACCACTCCCTAGTCTATCCTCTATCCAACTACCTATCCCTTCCTTCTTTCTTTCTACACCTCCAAATTCACAAACAAACCACGATTCCCGCACGCGTCGAGCGTGGTCACCCGAAGAACGGGTGCCCGGTGGAGATCAAACTATAATTACAACACCCTCGCCATCCTGTCCTCCGTACTGTCCGATCCCGCAGGTCTGCAGAAGCCAGAAACAAATGCCAAACATTTCGATCCTCAATCCCATTCTCTCAATTCTGACCGTTTGTAGTAACTCCGGCTAAGCGTATCCTGAAGTACAGGAATAATAAGTACTATTGGAAACCCCCCCCCCCCCCCCCCCCCCGAAGGCCAACTTTCGCATTGCTACCAGACGACGGGAACAGGATGGATCAGAACTTTCGGCGGGAAGTGGATCCGCGGTCTTCAATCCTCGCATGGCAGCGAAACTGTAAAACCATAAAAATCCACAGAGCGGAAAAAGCCAAAAAGAAAAATACGGTTTCAAGGGGTTTGTGAACCGTGCTGAGTGGTTCCAAAAGAAGCCCATTTCAGTTGGATAATCATCATACTGTATCATAGTGTATACTGCCACTACTGTACAGACTGCCAAAACTACAGTAACTACAGTATATATTCTACATGAATCATTCCTCTTCCCCACCGCGAGTCCTGGTACGGCTGCATTCTCCGATCCCCGTGGCGCCCGAACCACCTCACGAATGCCGGCATTTTGGGGGGTCCTTCCGGATCCCTGGGCGATGTAAGGAGGGAGGCGCACGTTGTTTTCTAGCAGCCACTACCATACAAACTGTCTCGCCCTCTCCCTCGCACTACCACTACTATGTACTACTATGATCCGCGAATTAATATTATTTTGCATATTTGCATTATGATATCTAAAACAATAGTGCGGGCTCGTCTCCTTATTACATCATGACCAAAAGTCTTCACGTCATGTTACTACGACGTGGGTGACCTTGGTGCAACCCGCGAGCCATGGTCTGCCCTCTATCACAAATAGACGCACTATAACACTCGATAGGTATACTATTGATGGTGGAGAGGACAGTCCGACTGCCCAGTTATACTTCTGGCTGCCTAAGTTTGAGTCGTAATTAAGCTTAGGGTCGGGTAGACGTTCCGGTATACGGAATACATACAGTAGTTTGTCCCTCCTATCGCCTCAAAAACGAGGGCGTGTGTGTGGCTCCTTCTTCCTGTTCCCTCGCCCCCTTCACGTGGCGAAATGATCGACCTCAGGGGGAGGTGGGCTCCTTGCAGCCTTTCCTTCAAGCACACCTGTCCTGCGAATGATGGGTTGTAATGTTGTGTATGACCAAAACGAGGTGGGGGGGGGGGGGGAACCAACCCATTTCCTACAAAATACAGTATTCAAGAAAGGCTCTTCTGCTCCACTTGACCCATCACGGGCGTGGGTTACCCAGAGTCCCAGACTCCAGTCGAGGGAGATGGGGGGCGCTGTCAAACTCCATTTTGCATTTGCGACCGGGGAGGAGAAAGGAAGAATGAAAGAAGGATAGCGCCTGCAGGCAACACGCTAATCCCCATCGACGTTGGACACATGGCAGGCCGAGCGGTCGACCGGGATTGGTGCATGACTGGCTGCATTAGTGATTTACGAAGGAGGAGAGGAGAGAAGGCAGCAGTAGTACTGTAGTCAGACTGCTCTACTCTGTATAGAGTACAAAACAGATACTCCATCACATATTCCTGTATTCACGAGTAGGAACCCTTTCCTGTGTGTACGTCGGCAGGGATGGTTCCTAGTACCTCGAATGCACGGCTGCATGTCTGGCCAGGTCGAGTATCGAGTACATGCATCTACATCCAAGCCCTGGCTGGACAAGGTCAACCACCTCTAGGAGTTGCGGAGGACTGTGCACTCCTCTCTCCACCTTCTCTTCTACCCCCTGTACGACCTGTCCAACCCATCCAATCCACAGCCACGCTTCTTCACAGCAGATGCACTCTCCGTCCCACACATGGCAAATGATCGCCTTCCCACTAAAAACAAGCTGCAATGGTGGTGCCTAGTTTGACCCGCTAGCTCTCCTCTTTATTTTGGACCATTCGCTAACTATACAAAGCATAACAGTTAACTTATGAGCGCCAGTCTATAGGTTTGTAGTGAATTTCCATCTTCATAAAAGTACCTAGCCAGTACCCAAAACAACCAGTTTCAAATAGCCTCCCTGCAGGTTTCTGACATGTATACTCAACCCCTTCATCTACAGTACCATCTTCCTCCCCGATCAAGCCCGTCCAAACAACGATTCTCCCACGATTGACCTCCTAGCCGTCAGTCATAAACCCAGTAACGCCCCCCTCTTTTACCCGGACTGCCACTCATTTAGCCCACTCCTACCCTCCGTCTTCCAATCCGTTTGTGCAACCCGGAACAAGGACACTCGCAGCGACACCCCTTCGCAACTAAATCGCCGGTCGCCAAGGGTGACACCACCGCCGGCCCGCGTGGAGGGTAGAGATGAGAGTACAGAAAGTACTGTACTGTATTGTGAAACTTATACTCTGTAGATAGTCAGCTACAATAGTTAGTTTGTCAAATGTCCTACAGCCAACTATTCTAGAGCCAATCAAGCTCTAGTGCTCGAGCTTCTTTTGCCCCCAACCCAATCGAGCTTGAAGCTTGAACTGTCTTCGATCACGACTCGGACTGGGCCGGAAGATTCCCCCACCCGCGCTGCCGCCCGATTATCACTGGCCCGTTCCTCGATTCCATGCGTTTGCCAATCGTCCAAGGCTACGCGCAATATGGCGGTTTCTGTGCGCTTGGTCCGCGCGCGGCTATCATGTTACTGGCTCGATGTAGTTTAGGGAATTGATACTGTTCTTGGAGGGCACTCTGTACGGACTTAGGAGGAGAGGTAGAGGTAGTAGTTATCATTTGTATCGATAACTGATACACAAATTGCAAAGCAAGAAGTCTAGTCATGATTTGATTATATTTCGGCGGAGGTACAGTGGTGTTCCATAAGTTTACGACACCCGAAAAAGTTGAAACCATTTCATCAGCTATACTTTAAAAGGCAAGTTGAACAAAAACGCCAGGAATATCTAGAAAGAGGGTTCAAAAGACATTCAGAAAGATCTGTTAAAAACATAAAATGGAGGCATATTTAGATGGCCCTTTTTCTTGGTTTCTGGTTTCAGACTTTTGAACTACCACTGTATATTATTAGAGTATTTTCATTCCCTCCGCAGTCTACGCATTAGCTTCTCGTCCGCGCTCGTGCCTAATCTCGGAGTCTTTCCAGTCGTTTGTACAACTCGACAGTCTCTTGGCGGGGCGGTAAAAGTTTATTCTCGTAGTTTTCTAAAGCCCCGAAGTTGACCTCCCTGGTCATCCCTCGGGGGGTCTGACTGTAGGCGTTTGCTGCCCGAGCGACCGAAGCGCCTCAGCGCCTGAACTCGGAAAGAAAAAGCGATAGCCCTAGTTAGAGTCGTAGACCTGTCAAAAGCTAGCTGCATAGTATCGCTGCAATGGCTGGCTCAACTAGCCCAAATATGTACAAGAATACGATAATACAGTACATACTTCCGTACTGCAGGCCGCATCGCATTAACTGACTTGGTTCGGCGGGGCCCCGGGCGGCAGCCACCCACGCCCAAGCCAAGGGTCAACGAACTCCTCTGAGCCAGAGCGCTCGATGCTCGCTAGACTCGACCTGATTTCGTCCAACGGAAAGTTTGCTCCATGCCCTAACCAGAGTAACACCCAGTGATATTCAAGTTGGATGGTGGTGGCTGGCTGCTAAAGTGGATGTATCAATTTTGATCTCGGCTCTTGTCACCTCGTTGCCCAGGGTCTGGTCTGGTTTGCCCCTAAGAAGTCGATCCATCCCCGTCAAAAACACACTCCACTGGTAACAAGGGGGAGCCGATAGACCCTAAAAACAGTCCAGCTAGGAACAGCCCTGCCGTTAGATAGTTGCGTTGCGCTGTAAGTTGGTAGGCAGCAAGAATACGGATGTACAGTACGAGATCTCCTACAGTACTACTATCATACAGATCAAATTACGAAAGTATATAGTCGACGTGGTCGCGGGGCACCGCCACATCGCGTTTCAGCTTCGGCTGAGCTTCCAACGACAGCACCAACTCCCTCCTTCTCCGCTCCACCACTATACCGATCGCTCCTACTAGCGTCCACAAGCCGCTATCGCAACGCCTATCATATCCCAGCTCGGCATTGCCACATGGCGCTGTAGCCTTGCAGAATGTCTCTGGCTTGATAGTCGTCACTCAACCCACACGCGTACATACTTGGCTGTTCTCGCACAGAGACGGTAGCAGTCTTCCATTCCTGGGGACGCAGAGAGGATCCACCGCGTTGCCACCTGGCGGATCACAACAGTGTGGTTTTTTTGAGCTTAATGCTGGCCATGGTGGTCGGTGATTCGACAGGAATTCCCGTTGCGACTCTGTGTCGCTTATGGTGCGCTACGAAGGTACCATGTTTCCTGGAAGGGATGGCTGGTATCTCACGATCCACTTTTTTAGTTGCTGTCCATGCTCGCGGTCCACATGTTCAATTCCTTGATAACTTGTTTGATTCACAGCAATTTATGTCTATTTTTCCTGTGTCTGTAAATGGTATCGAGATAGAGTTAGCTATGCAAATAGCGCTAAAGATCCACAGGACCATAGTCACTCCTGTCTCACTCCCATGGCCATCCCCATGAACATGACGTACAGAAGTACTTTATTTCATAGCGCACCACGCTTGTATCATGGCTCATCCCATCAACATGCTCCTTGCTGGCCCACTCAATAGTCTCAACACGCGAGCTAGCCACGACCCAATCTTCAGCACTAATACCGCCCCAACACCCTGGATACGCCCCCGTTCCCGCGTGAAGCACACCATGACTGCCGACAGTAAAAACAAAGGAAAAAAAATTCATAAATTAAAGCACAATGACAAAAACAAATACAGATACACTATGACCACAGTACATACATACAGTAGTTACTTACACTTTCATTCTCCCCACACCCAGAACCCCCTTTCAGGCTTCCACGCCATACCAAAGCCATGATTTGGCCATGAGGGCTCCCGGAAAAAGCAACCCCCATTCCTTCCGTGGCCTCCACCCAACCCGTCGATCACCCGGGCTCCCCTCCCCAAAAGCTGGGGCCTTTGCATCGCGCTCGTGGATAGGATTGGCTGATCATTCCATGCGGTATCGCCCTTCCTTCGATTCCTTTCTTTTGCTTTTCTTTCTTCATCACTGGGGGTGCTATGGTTGCATCGGCGTATGCCGCTGAGCTCCACCCGATCTGCCTCGCTGGGTGAGAAGCGTGACGCGTGCAGTTGATCACTGGCCCCCTTCGCCCCCCTGGCTTCTTCGCGTGCAAAGGTCCCTGCAGGGGCGGTGGATGGAGTAAGTAGTACCAAGTACAGTACATACGGAGTGAGCGATGCGGACTCAGCCGGTGGAGTCCAGAGACATTGTTTGGGTGGGGAAGGATTGTCTGAGTGAGAGCCCGGTCTTGGTTGCTCGTGGACTTCGTCTTGATTTGGTCTTGGCTGTCTCCATTTTAGTCTGATGTTCGAGGCGAGAATATGTCCTAGGTAGAGGCTATGTTTATGCGCAGGTATGAAGGTATGTAGTGCACATCATACGGTGCGAATTACGTACTAGACCCAAGGCTACTATGTACTCATAAGACAAACCATCGTCAGTACTTCAGCCTATTGTCTGATAGGCCTGATTACATTCGTCTTACACCTGGGGCCATGTGGAGCAGGTTAGTGCGTCTGGCTATCGCCCACGCCGTAACCCTAGTTTCACTGGTTTCAATTGCCGCCCGTGGCCCTTGTATATAAGTGCTGACTGCAGTAAATGACGTAGAGTGCCGAGGCGAAGGGATCACGGCCGTCAGTTAAGCGCTGTAGTGGAGCGGGGCGAATTGGGGGTGGTTTCATGTCAGGGGGCTGCGACATTGGGCGATAGATTGTTTGGATAATTAGACGATGACGATGTCAATTATTTAGGTGCAGTAGTTAATTGTGCATAATTATTAGTGCTAATTTGGGTAGTTTGGACTAGAATTGAGTCTTGACCCAAGTTATCATTTTTGTTAAGGTTGATTGAGTGTTTAGGCACTTTTTGCACAGGCTATATCGTGAGAATTGTTGTCGAAGCCAGCGCATTAAGATTGCCACTTTGGGAGAACTGCCACGGCTGTTGCTTGTGGCCTCAGAGACTACATCCCTCATGAGATATAAGTAGGAAAGATAATGAACACGGAGTCGGGTAAGACATAGACCGTTTTAAGTGTACGGTATAGGCTCTAGATTGACAACACCTCTTCTAATGGAAAGGATGGAAATTCAACCTTCGGGCCTTCAGCACGATTGAGCCTATACAAATAGCTCCATGGCACGACTCATTCTCATTGCTGATTGTACATTTCGAAAGATCGATATATGTGGTTCGTAATCAACTATATCTTTGCTTTCTCAAACTCTCCCAACACCGCAACTTTTCCGGGTAATTTCACCAGCGTCTTATTTGCTGCTTCACTCAAACCAATAATATACCTGCGAGACCCGTTAGTGATGATAGATTGTTGAGACACCAAGTTCAAAGCAACAACTCACCGGCTCTCAAACATCACTCCCAAGTTTCCCGGAGGAATCTTCTGCGGCTGCAGGACCTTCTCAGTCGCTTGTTTCCAGCTCTCCGGGTCTGCTCCATGGGCAACCATCGTGTTATTCAACGAGAACAACCCAGCCAACTGCGGAGGTAACGGGGTAACATCAAACCCGCCTTGAATGAGAAATGCAAACTCAGACATGGTGTTTCGATGGAAGTATGGTGGACGATAGCTTTTCTCCATGACGAGCCAGCGAGGACCGAAGACTGCAACGTCAACGACGGCTTCGCCTGGGACGGATGATGCGCATGTGAGAACTGTAAAGATTGATGGGTCCTATTAGAGTTAGCATGATTAATCGAATTGCTGGCTCAGGGGAACTCACTGGGTGATCGTATGAGACTGAGCCGATAGTGTTGAATTTGCCTAGTTTCTCATATTTAGCACCTACAATATAACGTCAAGAGTATATCAACATACCCAGATCATACTTAAAGGGGTAATATGTGCCCTGCCATCCGGCAACATTGAAAATACTTCCCCGATGGATAGTTCGGTGCAATTGTCCGGCAAATTTAGCAATTATCTCTGTATCAAGGTCCGAGTTGTCGTAACTAGCAGTGGGAATTTCGAAATCACGAATATTAGCCAGTCCAGTAGAACCGATCGATCCAAGCTCGGGTAACTCGAAATGGCCCTCAAACAGTTCGAGTGCAAAACCTCGAACTGGTCCTGTTGGAAGTGAAACGTGGAAACGAATGCCTCTCGGAATGACACAGATCTCATTTGTCCGAACTCGTAGATAGCCCATTTCCGTGCGTACGTCTAGAGAGCCCTTTTGAGGAGCTATGAGGCTTGTGAGAGGCGGTTACGGATGAGAGGGACGGGGGCATACCAAGAAGAAAGTCCCCATCTGCGCTGTAGAATGCCTGGTTGGGTGGCATTGACTTCCCAGCAGTGAAAAAATAGTATGTCAGTCCTTCTTTGAGGGTTGGATTACCAGCGCCTCCTATCATTTGAAGACCAGTGAGGAAGTCTGCCTCTTTGGCGATTCGAACAGGGGCCCAAGTAGATGGACTCGGTGAGTACTGAAATTTGGAGTCATGGGCATGGTTGAGATTGAACGGATGACTCTCTATGAGGCTGAATTCTTCGTGATTTGTTGACGGAAGAAGCCTGTACAGCCATGTTTGTTTTGAGTCCTTCCTCGGCACAGTGAAAGAGCTCCCTGATATACGTTCAGTGTAGAGTCCGTATTTGGATTTTTGAGGAATATTGATAACCGATGGGATGGCGCCTTCGGCAGCTTCGGACCTGTTGCTGATTAGTAGCCTTATTGTGGGTTTGTCATATGATAAGCATACTGATGAAAGCCGTTGAAGCCATGGAAGTATTTGAACTTGTCCTCGATCTCGAATGTAGAAGCCGTCATGACTGTTTGATGGGTTAGAAATTGTTGTCTACTTCTAGCACCGAAAGCTTAGGCTTTTCAAGCTTTATTCTGAAGTTGGAACTTCTGAATAAATAGCCTACAGCTCTATTCTTATCGTGGGAAGCACATTATTTCTTCTTCCCGCGATCCGAGGTTAGATCCTCTAGATTGCCACATCAGCCGCATCACTCCACATTCAGTCTTCACCCCGCTTTTCTAAGCGACGATGATGTAGTTTCTGAAGCACAAGGCACTTTCAAAGCACAATGACCACATTGGCTCAAAGACTTAGCGCCTCGTTAACAAATTTGCCCTTCGGCTAAGAAGCTCACACCTCTGATATCCATGTGGGCATATGGAGCCGAACCTATTATCACAACATGAGTCCGAGATGGTCTGTGACGTAGTACGAATAAGTCTAGGTAATTCTGGATATGCTTAAAGCGCTTGAGTCGTCTTCATTCTTAGAGCTTCATTCTTGTATTACCCTCACTATTTCAGAAATAGCGGAAGTAGAGCGTGCTCTAAGACAGATGAGCCTGGCATAGCGTCAGCACGAGACAATAAGCAGATGTACATCCAGCTCTATTTCGTATACACAGCGGAGAAGAAAAATAAGCATACGCAATCTGCAGAGAAGTAAACTTATCTAATATCTGTGAGAGGTCCGCTAAGTCCGCCTTAATACCGACCAGATGCACCATCTGATAAGCAAGGCAAGATCGTGAGGCCGTAAAGTCCGAAAGACTGGCCTCGCCCCGAAAAGTTCCACTATCTTTCAATTCCACACGTCATTCCGTTATTCGCATATTTAAAGGCGCGCTTGCGCATTCAAATACAGTGCCACATCTTCAGGTTTTACCCAAATTTCAATACATCCTGACTTTAGTCCTTGTCGTTGGACTCTGATCTTCTCCAACTACCCCTCACCGTACTTATTCAGCTCCCAAAATCGACTTCGCTCCACTCTTGATACTCACCGATATGGCCCCTAAAACATGGCTCGTCACAGGTGCCTCGTCAGGCTTGGGCACCGCTATCGCCGAGGTTGCCCTCCGCGCAGGAAATAAAGTCATTGCAACAGCACGCAATCCTACAAAAGCAGCCAAGGAGAACCCACAGATCGAAGAATTAGGAGGTACATGGCTCGAGCTTGATGTGACGAACAAAGGAACACCAAAGAAAGTGGAAGATGGAATCAGACAATCCGGTGGCGCAATTGATGTGGTCGTTAATAATGCGGGGTACTCATTACTCGGCGGCATTGAAGACATGAGCGAGGAAGAGATCGAGAACCAGTTCAGCACAAATGTTTATGGCCCCGTTAGAGTATTGAAGGGTGTTTTGCCTTTCATGCGGGCGCAGCGATCGGGGACGATTGTCAATGTGAGCAGCATCGCTGGTATGGACGGACTACCATCTGGTGCAATGTATGCGGGGTCTAAGTTTGCCCTCGAAGGTGAGTAGACAGAAACATGGGACCTTAATTGGGACGAATGCTCATCTTAACGAACACATAGGTATGTCTGAGAGTCTCTCGCGAGAACTAGCACCGTTTGGCATCCGAGTCATCATCGTTGAGCCCGGTCAATTCCGAACCAAATTCCTGTCAGCCTTCGTCGAGCCGGCCGCTGGATTAAACAAGGATTATGTTGGAACTCCCCTCGATACGACACTCAATGTGTTTAGAACACGAGACGGAAAACAGGCCGGCGACCCTGTCAAAGCTGCCCAGCGGATTTTGGAAGTCATTACGGGCACGGGAATTGGCACAGGCAAGGAGAATTTACTGCGACTTCCTCTTGGCCCTGATTGCTACCAACGCTTCCAGACGAAAATTGACTCTCTACAAGAGAATCTGACGCAGGCAAAGGATATTGCGCATTCCACTAATATTTGAAAGAAGAATTGTTATGGTAGACGCTGGGTGGCTGAGTGGATGCTAAAAGATAGAAATACTACGAGAAGGCTACCAAAAGAACAACAAGGCGTCAAATCTAGAGCACATTTATTCAATAGAGTGGTTCATTAGATACAGCCCTTCTCTATGGACTGAAACTGCTCTGATGGAAGATTTAAAGAGATTGTTTGAATGCAGAACAAAGCAAAAGGTTGTATGATAGCATAAAGGGGGGTTCTTAAGAGTAGTAAAGAGAATTTTGCAAGGCCTTCTGAAAGGGTGAGAGTTGGAGGTGGTAAAGTAGCGGAATTTACCTACAGTAGTCATATATTCCCTTCATATGACAAACTACATATCCAGGTCTCCCTTCTCTCTCTCTCTCCCTCCCCTCCCTCCCTCTCTTACACATTACTCTCGTATGCACATTTTCTTCTGTTCCCCCTCCCATGCCCTGACTGCTGTCCACGTTCGATTATTCCTATATCAATATCCCCGAGCAATAATCGCATGGAGCCTGAAGTGCAAGTATCATATATATGAGTGGTAGAGTGGGGACAAGAGTGTCAAGACCCAAGAGAGATGTGGCTGACGGAGGCTCTACGGGGTTTATCTTGCTTGACGAGCAGTCGATGCTCGGACTGCGTACGTTGCTTTGCTTTGACGTTCGATGTCAACATCCTGTTTCATGTTGGCGCGGCAAGAATACCAGGGGAGTCAACAAGGTTCTGGTGGGCGAATCAGTTCATGTTAAAGCTAAGAGTGAGAAATATCTACTGGAGCTGAAGGGCTATCACTCTCCGACTGCGAGTGTGAACGGTATCAAAAGCTGGCCAAGGTAATTTCTGAATCGACTTTCTCGTTTGACGCAATTTCTCTAGATAGATGCCTTCAATTGTTCCTTTCCGTGATGGATGCATGGAACTAATCTTTTCAAACAATGAGAATGCTAACCCTTACTGTTCGAATAGTTCCCAGTTCGAATTTGCAAAGACTAATCCACACCACAACTCTCCAGCTGCCTGAGTGGAAATTCAACGGCAGTTGATTATCAAGGGTTTCATGAAGCTTTGAGAGGTCTACGGCATAGAGGTCGATTTATTGACGCCCTTTAAGCCTCCGGGGAAGGAAAGCATATGGTCCCCACTTCAACATCACCCACAGATACATCGTTGATATGAAGACATAGTGTCAGCCACGGTCCGCCAGCTAGTCAAAAAATATTGGGCGAGCCAGTGCCCACAGCTGCATCATCGAGGCTGCTCTAAGTTGTGATAGCTATAGTTGGCCTCAATTAGGCAAGGAGATGCAGTATGATCCTCCTTCCACGTCCCTCGAAGAGTCGTTTCATTTACAATTTGCAAATATCTCTCTCGAGGATGAGATCCCATCTTTGTGGCCAGAGAAAGAGCGACTTGGCCAATTAACGAGTTTGCATCCATGGTAGCCATCCGCAAAACCCTGGTTGTCGCAACAACTGGAAAGTCCTCTACGTAGGGAAGCCTCTCCGATGCATGTGACCTTAGGAAGACACGGACGTCTTGATGCCTGGTTCACTTGGGGTCCGGGAAAATTGCGCAGAGACTTGCAGCTTCCGCCTCTGCACAGCATGTGAGCTTCTCGCTATGTGGACCTCTGGACCTCTTCCCACAACCAATTCCCAATGGATCTTACCAAGAGCGATCAGTGACGTCTGACGCCTCTGCAAATTGCGACCATCATGCAAATTACATCGTCGTTGCTGCCAGGGTGATTCTCCAATGGGCACTTATATGGATCATTATTTCGACACCCAGTTCGAAGAGGTCATCTTTCGGGGTGACCCAAGTCACGCTGCGCGGAAGGAGCTCGGGATTCCTATGCTAGGGAGCCCACCAGGCAATCTCCACCAATTCCAACCATCCGTCGGCTCTGGAGAGACCTCCGATGAGAGCCGCGAGGTAAGTTAGGCTCTCAATTTTGTCATGGTGATGCAGCAAAGTATAACGCTACGATATACAGGGCAGGTATTATAAGGAAGCAAGGAAAAGTACGAATTTCACGAATCTTTGAGAGCGAGGGCTGTGTAGTATGCGACGGGCTGTTGTGGTGGCGTTCTATAAACGGAAATGCATGGAATAAGATTCGCATGACATAGCGAAAAATACTTCAATAGAATGAATTACGATGGAATCCAAGTCAAAGTGATTTAGCTGTACTTATGCTCCGATCTGGTTCCAACTTCGAATTTGGAAATGTCACAATCCTGGAATATCAAGATTGCGGAGAGAGGTTTCTTTGACCAGTCATATATGGCATCACATAGGTATATCTACAGCATTTGTACTGTCCATGCTCAAGGAACAATCCCTCAAAATAAGATCTACTCCTCCTCCTCATCATCACCCATATCATCGTCCTCATCGTCCTCATCGTCTTCATCATCTTCATCATCTTCATCGTCAAACTCCACACCAATGTCACCGGTAATATCCCACCGATCACCCTTAGCATTGGCACTGACATACTTGACAAACTTCAGCGTGCCACTATCACGTAGCACAATGCTGAGACGATTCCAGCCAGCCTGGGTGCTGAACAGGATGCCGTCATCTTCGTCTGCGCCGGCAGAGCGGTAGATGGCAGGATCCGCTTTGGCCTTCTTGGGTCGGAGGACTTGGTCTGCGTTTTCCTCATCCTCCTCCTCATCCTCGTCGTCGTCGCCTGCCATGTAGATCTCATAGCCACCTACTGAAGGGTGCTCAGCAGCTTCGGCGGTGGTCTTCTTCGTGGGCTTCGAGGCCTTCGCAGAAGCTCCATTCTCGCCATCTTCCTCGTCCTCGTCCTCGTCCTCCTCTGCTTCCTTCTCCCATCCCGTTGTGGGAGTGAGGCAAAGGGTGAACTCCAGTCGTGGCTCCTCGCCATCATAGCCACTCGCCAGAGTATAATCAGCACCACGGCGGAAGCGACGGGCCAGGAAGTTGTGGCTCTTGAGGTGGTCTACACCGGTGATCAATGCAAGCCATTTGCGGAAAGCCTGAGAGGGGAAAAGGACGTTCAGAATCTCCTTGATTGGGTTGCTGATGTCATTCTCCACAGGCTCCTGGTATAGATAACGGTGCTTGTGGGGAGGCCGAGCCACAGTCCATTCGGTCTGAGCCTGGATTTCCTCAGATGAGGCGGGCAAGGTCTGCCGCTCCTGGTCCTCGATGTATGCGCTCACACGAGAAGCGAACTTCTCGTTCAGGAAGCGCTCCAGACTGAGCGAGGACTCGTTCTCAAAGGCTTCGGACATCTCCTCAGCAATGTCGGGAGTCAGATATGAGGGTGCCAGATACTGGACCAAGAACTCGAGATCATTCTCGGTGAACTCGTTGCCCTCAGACTGCACCTCCATCTTGCCCTTGCCTTTGCCCGAGACCTCGGGCACTTCCCAGGACACTGGGTTCGGCTGTGGCAGGTCGTAGATATCCCCGCGGCCCTGGAGCTGGGCAAGACTGCTGCGCTCGGCCAGCTTCTCTTCGAGACCTTCCTCATACCCATCCTCCCCTTCTTGAGGAATGTGGAACCATCCGCTGATGGCCATGCGCACGCGCTTCTTCGACTTGTCGTCGCCTTCGCGATGATGGTAGACCTCCTCGACATCGTGGAAGCTCTCACCGGGCTGAACGGTGAAGAAACTCAGCTGGTTGAAGGCGGGAGGAATAGAAAGGGTGAAATCCGGGTTGGGAATCTTGACATCCTCGCCCTCGGCATCCTTCTTCGGCGTTGTTGGGTACAAGCGCAGAGCGCCACCCCACTCCTCCTGCCACGGGGTATCGGGGTCGGTCAAGTAGAGAATATAGCTCACACGGCGGCTACCAATGACATCGTCGTGGCACAAGAGATGGCAGCCCTCGGTGTAAATGTTAATGGCCATGTCGGTCTTCTTGCCGCTCAGCTTTCCAGAGCCAGTGATGGAGGAGAGGTACTCGCGGAAGCGCGCTGAGTACATCGCATCACGAAGCTTCAGCAAAGAGGGTAGTCTAGACAGGGAGGAGTCATCCAGACCATCCAAGTTCGCCAGGTCACCAGATTGGAAGATCTTGTAGATATCGGTCTCCTTCTCGGTGAAAGATAGATGCTCTTGAACCTCGTCGCGGACGGATCGAAGTAGGGAAGGTTCGATCAAAGGGCAGATAACACCGTGCAAGTACCTTAAAGTTAAAATATGTTAGCCCGAAGTCATCAATAGACTATTGGGTGTAGCATGGATCGTACGGAGAGGACTTTGCGTATGCGTCTGTGTATTTCTTCTGCTTCGCGGGATCAAATAGGCCGTCGCTGAAGCGCGCACCGGCCTCCTCGCTGGAGAGGGCGCGCTTCTTAGACTCTGGCAGGCCATTGCCGTCAATTGAGGGCCTCTCGTCTGTTGTGCGCTTCATTTTAAAGGTTGTATGGGAAGAAAGAAGTATGTTTGGTGGTGGTCTGATCTTAAAATTTTCGGAGGCGGTGCAGAAAAGATAGCGGCCACTAGGACAACGTGTTGCATGATGTACATAATCCCGTTGCTTGTTAAGGGATAAAATGTACTTTCATTACATTTCCCGCATGGCTGCTAGTACTTGCCGTAAGGGCGGTGAGCAGCCAACTGGGCGGTCAGTCACTTGGCTTCGTCTCTGATCAACCAAAACAACTGGAACTTGGAAGTCACAATTGACCCTGTCTTGCTCGGACAAAGACTCGTTACTCTTCCAGGTCAAGTTTGCAGTCACCTCAAGTTGGTTTGTTGTGCATCTAATGTCCCATTCACGGCCGAGATCCAGTACCTGACCCGGGCATAGGGCTCGCGGAGCCTCAAGAGTGTCAGGCCCCAAGCTCAGGGTTCCTCTCGCCACTGCTGAAGGTCGCGGCCTTATTCAAATGTTTGCCTGGATAGAATTCATCTCTTGATCAACCGATCGACTTTCTTGACTTTCAGTTATCCCCCATTGCTAGCTGTTCTCTACAGTTCTGTACTTCACTCAGCCTCGCTCCCGGTGTCGTCACTTCCCGCAGACCCAGTCTGGATCGCTGGAACGCCTCCAGCCTTCGATTCGGTTCCTGCATTCCGCACCTCGCCTTGAACAGCGCACTGGACCATCTTTACTCGGCTTTGTTCGTGCCAAGTGCACCTATCCTCTCATTCCCATACTATCATGCAGTCTGCGCCAGATGCGACTGAAGCCTCGATCCAAAATGATCGGCCAGGCACCCCACCCCGCCCACCTTATTCCCCGGTGACCCCAGTGTTCGCACACCTTGACCTGGTCGCCTCTGCCAACGCCACGATAGTACCGCCCCCTCTGTCGCCCTCACCTACATCGCATGCTCTCCCAGACCCTCTCTTGAGTTACCGACCGCCCGCGCCTCCCGCAGCGCCGCCCGTCTTCAAACCGGAACCACCGCCAGTGCCGATCTCCGAGAGCGAGAATCCAGATGCCATCGCCCTGCGGTCTGCGATCTCTATCCTACAAATGCAGAAGCAGCAAACGCTGCGCGATATTCGCAGTTTAGATCGTTTGAAAGAGGCTGCAGCAGCAGACCCAGAGGGCTTTGCGCACGATTTGGCGACAGGACGTTTGCGCACCGAGGATCGCGGGGCGGTGATTCAGTTCTCGGACGACGATGTCATGGACACGGAAGAAGACCAAACAGAGGGCGATAAGAAGTCAAAACCAGACGGCACATCCACATCAAAGTTTGGCCGCTTACCACCGCCACAGAACGTGGTGCGAACGCCGCCGATTAACTGGGCCAAGTACCAAGTCTTAGGCGACTCACTGGATCGCATGCATGAAGAGCAGTTACGACGGCCTACTCCCGGTGAACCCAGGCGAGAACCTGCTCCGGAGTACATGTTTGCCTCACCTTATCGTCCACTTGTTGATCAGTTGGACACACCCGCACGGCTGGCCCGGCCAAGCAAGACCAAAAAGCCATGATACTGATGGGACGGGCTTTTGATTATGACCTTATACCTTACGACGTGATGTACTTTAAATACGAAATACGAAATGCACCTACTAGAGGGAGCCCTCCCTGGACAACAAGAATCAATGTCATGTTATGGCATGCTTTTACAGCACACTCTTGATAGATCTATAGATCTATCTACTTGCGCCAACCGCCATCACCACCACCTTCTCCCCCTCCTGCTCCAAAACCTCCCCCCTCACCACCACCATCTCCTCCATTTCCCCCTCCACCTCCACCTCCAAGGCCTCCTCCCTCACCACCACCATCTCCTCCATTTCCCCCTCCACCTCCACCTCCAAGGCCTCCTCCCTCACCACCTCCTTCTCCTGCTCCCCCTCCTGCCCCAAAACCTCCTCCGGCCCCGGCTCCGAATCCTCCTCCAATTCCACCACCACCGCCGCCCCCTCCACCACCACCGCCGCCACCGCCGCCACCGAGGCCAATTCCTCCATCAGCACCTATTGTGTAGTGATAGTTAGGGACAGATGGGTATGCTGGAAATATAAGGGCTCACGAACCTGCTTGCCCAGCTACTGGAGCCGCAATAGCAGCACTTCCCAAGCTAAGTAGGGCGAAGAGGAAGTGCAACCGCATTTTGTGTTGGAGAAATTCAAAGCTGTCGAAATCGTGAGCTGAGTTGAAATGAATAGAAAAAAAAAATCTATGCCTTTACCAAGTGTGATATTCAAGCTTGATTTCTTTATCAAGATGGATGTTGCTGAGCATAAGACCAAATATCGCGGAGACAACACCGTTCTTATACTGCACCGACGGAACTAGAACTTCTTTGAAAGGCAGGTATTCCCTGTTTTCAATTTGGAAATTCGGCGAAGACTTTCGTTGTCATTCGAGCTGGTCCACAAACTCACCAGTCACGCCGTCTCCTTATGAACCGATAATCTGACACCGAGCATGAATCTCGTCTGGATCCTGATATTGAGACTGGTTGCTTACATGGCTCGGTTGAATGAGCTGCGTATGCAGACTACGAAGCGCCTTTCCCCCTCTGTGAGAGGTTACACGGCCGCGTGGTGAATGGCGTGGAGTGACAGATATGCATGGCTAAGACTTTCAGCTCTTGCCAGTTGTAGCCCGGGATTTTGTCAATCATTTGATACATTGCGAGGGATTATTCGCATACCTATCTTTCAAGCTAGTTCAAGTGGATCTCTCGCGATAGCAGGGATGAGTAGGTATTAGCAAAGCAGCCAGTATTGCGCCTCAGGAATGAACTTCCGTCTTCTCATCAAGAGGCTTTGTTCCGATTGCCAAATTGACCATTTTGCAGTGCTAATGACAATATATTAGTAAAGACCACATAACAGCCAGATAATGAGTGGGGCTTACATCGAAGCTTCCCCAAGGCCCAGCTATCCCTTGGTCTGAGACAAGCCTTGTCTGCTTTGCATATTCTGCCCTCGGTGAGCCCAGCCAGTGTGACACTCGTGCATGACAAATTCGCATAGCATGGATTCCTTTCCTGCTCATTGCAAACTCGAATCCTCGAACATCCTTCCAAGACTCGAAATCAGCATAGATTTTCTTTCCTGGTATGCGATAACCAATTATCTTGTTTGATTGCTCCGGCTTTCTAGATATGAATTCGAGTCCGGCGATATAGGTTCTATTGTCTTTCGAGGACTTCCCGAATTCCAGGAACACGGAGACTCCGATTCGAAATATCGGTTCATCCATGAGGACAGTTTGCACGAAGCGCATTTTCTCTGGTAATTTCGAGAGTTTGCGGCATTTTTATCCTCTGTGGTGGTGGCCCAAGACAATTCTTTTGTAAAGAGCCTCTCTGTAGTGAGATACGCCCTGAGTTATCTGCCTTGGTTGCCATATATTTGTCCTTGAGCCATTCGCACTGACGCCACAGCGTCCTCCTGCGTCGATGTACTGGGTTCTTCCCGAGGAACCTCATTTTAGTCCTGTAATACGCTTGCCGCCAATCCTTACGTAAATGCGCATCAGTACTGGCTGAACCTGATAGAAGGTAACTGAGGAAGCCACGCTCTGCACTATTGTATAATCTGGTTTTCTAGAACTGTTGGCCGTGGAACACCGCTGATATAGCCCTTGAAGCCTGATGTAGACACATGAAATCTGCCGTTGATAGATAGCCCGATATTAGTTCGAGAAGTTCGGGGGGAAGATGCTTGAAACTATCGCTTGTGTTGCTCCAAGGAAAGATCCTGTTTTCCGGGCTGCGTAGGGTCATGCTTGAGCTTATCTGTAAACTTATGATTCTCCGTTCCTTAGATGGGTCCGGGATCCCTGATTGCAAAATTCGTCAGCACCAAAGTTTCTTGAAGATGTTGGGATGACGATACAATAGTCATAATTGGAAATATGTGTACTAATGTGCACATTAGGAACATTAGAAAGTGCATGAAGGTGGCGCTTTAGGTCAAGCTGCTCGACATCTATGTACTGCAGAAGGATCACCTATCACTTTTTGTGAAAGGTATAAAGTCCTCCCGCGCAATGAGGGAGTGGCTCGAGTCGGAAGGAAGCCAAGTCTACTGTGCCGCCGGAAAGGGCGAAGAGGCTGTTGTATAACCTCATATAACCTACTCACTCCCGATAGATGAGCTTTTTGTTTGGACTCAAATGAATAGACTGTATATAGTTTGATACAGAATTCTTGTTGAAGCAGATGCACTTACTTGGTCGCCACTCGGCCTGCCACAATGCCTTGTAGTAGCTCTCTCCACACATATGACAGGTCTTGAGAGACATCGCGCATCCAAAAGCCTTATGCAAGCTGATAGCACATTTGAATATGTTATAGTAGAAGTTATTTGTGGAGTAGATTGCGGTTATTGACTTGGGTAGTTAAAGTATGCTTATCATGATTACATCAGGAGGTTCCACGTCTGAAGATAAACCTTTCATGTATGTTGATAGTAGCAATAAATTTCAAGTACTTGATTGAACAATATTCACGGTCAATGAATTGGTCATATCATAGATAGACTTTAGGGAGTAGAATAGTTCAGTTTGTTATTAGACACAACAAACGCCAGACCTCAGAAATGCAGAATGTATACTTCGAGAACACCAGCCCCAGGTAGCTCTGCGCTATCTGAAGCTTCAGAATACTAGAGAAAGCAAAACCCAAAATACTTTTATTCTAGTAGATTCGCTCCGAATGTCCAAACTGGCTTTCACAAGGTATCGAGTGCATTACCGTCCAAGCAAAGTGAATTTTCCTTCCAACGTATTTCCAGCTACACAACTATCATCACAATGACAAAGAGAAAATCTTCGATTCACAGTTTAATTTCAATATCCTCATTGCCAGATGCAAAAGAAATCTCTTTATTAGAAGACTGGGTTGCGCTTGAGTCTAAGCTCATCACAGGCTTTAGAGTGTATATCACGTGACCAGATTATTTACGTCGGCTTGACACGGACATCTTCTAAGTAGCTTTCGAATGAGTCTTTAGTACACCTGGTGATAATCTCTAGGGTTACAACAAGGAAGCGCCTCTCCAGCACTACTACGCATGGAACATGGAAGTCGCTGTGGTCTATTGTATCAACTTGGCCCAAAGTTGGTCCGAGCGTCGGAATCCGGGAAGCATGCAGTATGTCGTCTCACGTTTTCTATTTCATCATTGCATGGTATTTATTGTAGAATGAGTCAAATTAATACATAGATTATCTAGTAATAATTTTCTGGGTATCTTTTGCTGCTACACAAGGAAATGACGTATGTTTTGACAGCGAATGTCCGAACCGAGTACTCGTTACCAACTTGCCGTTTGCGGGATCTTATGCAATCGGAAGCGAGCAACAACTGATCAGTGCCCTAAATCAGTCACCTGGATGGTTCGTACATGGAGCAAGATCGACATTCTCGCTTATGCATGCATACATGAAATGAAATTGCAACATCATGAAGTTCTTGAGCGGGGTATAAAATGAGTTATCGATCTGGGCAATAAATTGTAAAATGGGTAGCTGGGAAAGAAACATCAGCTTTTTATCGTCCAATTTGTGTTTTCTGTTTTGACGAGGGTGCAAGTCAAGCGACAAAATGGCGGCAGCTATATTGACAGTCATCTCTTTCTTCATTCTACTTTGCGCTGCTTTCGCACCTTCCATCACACCGCCATCTCAGGATCCGTGGTATGATCAGCCCAGCAATATCAGTGACTATGCTGCTGGGGAGCTGATCCGCTCTCGCTCAGTTCCTCCACAGCTGGTATCACTTTCATCACTGCAGGTTAATGTCTCTGTAAAGGCTGTTTATCAGTATCTTTTCCGGACTACTGATGGCCTCGGCGATGCAGTTGCTTCGGCAGTGACCTTGATCGAGCCGTGCAACTCGGATCCATCCAAGCTTGTCGGATATCAGGCATTCTACGATAGCGCCAATGTTGATTGCAGTCCATCGTATACGCTGCGGGCGGATAATAAGAACCTGGGATTTTTTTCGTCCGGGCAGAACGTTTCAGAAGACATACCTTTCGTAAGTCTATCCTTAGGCTCTCACTTTGTCTAGAGACTGACCAGGTATAGATCGCAGCAGCGCTTAACCTGGGTTGGTGGGTTTTCAGCACCGACTATGAAGGCCTGAAAGCCGAGTTCACAGCTGGTCTTCAGTCTGGTCATGCTGTGTTAGATTCAACTAGAGTCGTTCTTGACGAAGGGCCCTCGGTTGGATTATCAGGCAATCCCCAGTATGTGCTTTGGGGATACTCTGGGGGTGCACTCGCATCTACATGGGCCGCTGAGCTTCAGCCGTCCTATGCACCAGAACTAAAATATGCTGGGGTCGCGGTTGGAGGGACAACACCTAACATCAGTGCGGTGCTGCAAACTATCAATAATGGATCACACGCAGGCCTTGCTTTCTCGGGGATATATGGACAATCGAAAGCATTCCCAAATCTTACCGAGTGGTTGGATGCAAACTTGATCTCTTCAAAGTCGGCGCAATTCTATTCCATTGCTAGCGGCTGTCTTTCACAGGCCGCCTCTGAAGGAAACGGGCAAGATTTTTACACATACTTCAAGGATGGGGAGGCATCTTTATATGAAGCAGCGCCTCGGTCAATCTTCCAGTGGTCAGGCCAGATGGGGATTCACGGCACACCAACCGCGCCGCTATTTGTTTATAAGGCAACCGGCGACGAGATCAGTGCTGTGGCAGATACGGACGCTCTTGTTGAGAAGTATTGTGCCGCGGGTGCTCGTATCGAATATCACCGAGACCTGGTGGGGAATCATGAGACCGAGGCGATTTCGGGTTCGGCAAGTGCCTTGGAGTGGATATCGGATCGTTTGAATGGGAAAGCAGTGAGTAGCGGCTGCAGCACAAAGAACGTGTCGCTTTCTTCGCTCAGTAATGAGACTGCGGCGCTGCTAGGAGAAGAGATGTTTACCATCCTCGAAACGGACTTGGGCGGTATGCTATGAGAGGCCAAGTTAACAAATACATGGATTGTCTTTAAATGAATCTGAGTTGGCAGATAAGATCTTGGCTTTGGACATCTATTATCGTATTGGTATAAATATGTACACGACTGGTAGTACACAGGATTTCGTCGCTAAGCCCTGAAAATATGCACGTTTTCCAGCGACCAGATTCATTCCCTAACTCGGGAGACCAGTTGGCTGTTCAAGGAAGCACCAAAAGGTTCCAATCACTTCTATCGGGAGCGGGGGAATTTCAAGAGACGGGAATGGCAGCAACTCGGTGGGTAATCTCACAGCTTTGACTTGCACGATTTCTCCCACTTTTCAACTTCCTTCAGACCCTCACCTCGCAACTGTTCATTCCTGTCTTCCACCTTCTCCCGCCATGCCAGATTTCCGTCATGATCGTCAAGCCCATTAAGAACACGCGCGTACATCTCCTCCTTCATAGTGCCATAGATCCCGGTTGCCGCCTTGTTGAGCAGTTTGCGTTCGCGAATCAATCCAATAACCTCATCTAAACCACCCACTGCATCGACAATTCCCGCCTTCAAGGAGTCGTGCCCGCCGAACCGGCGTGCCTCGAGGACGACGCTCCGGAACGTGGTCGGGGCCAGCTTCTCCCGGAAAATTGACATCATTGGCGTTTGCAAAGGGACTCCGAATTCCAGCTCATTGACACACAAGAAGCCCTTATCGGGGTTCTGAATACGATAGTCGTGATACATGGCGAACATGAAGCCCGCGGCAAAGGCGTGTCCATTCAGGAGGCACACCGTGGGCATGGGGTATCTGGAACACGAGGTTAGCGCATATTCTCGCTCGTATTCGGCGATGAACTATGGAGTCCCGGATAACATACGTCAGGAATCGTCGGAACAAACGCCACAGCCATTTGTCCAAGAATCCTTCTGTGCTGGTTGCGAGGTCCAAGTCGAGACCATTGCTATAGAACTTTGGGATACCGCTGGTCGTCACCACGACACCTTTAGGGTAGCGGTGCTCAATAATGTCCAGTGCCAGGATAAAGGCATCGATAAAGGTTGGTGTCAATCTGTTATCCTTGGGAGACGTGAAAGTCAGGACGTAGATATTTTCCTGCTCCTTGCCCTGTTTGGCAGTTGGATTGGTGCACACGATGGTGCCTCCAGTCGAGGTGATCGGGACAGAGAAGAGAGTGGCCATGGTGTTATCAGATAGTAGACTGTCTAGTTCTATCTCTTGCTGAATGCTGCTTTATAGACTCTGACAGTTTCATCACGCCTCGTGTGAAATTGAATTGTAATCAGACCTCGGCAAACATCACATGCCATTCGGTCCGGGACCAGCCACCGACAATGATGACATAATCTAACATCTCGCATAAGAAGGAATTGAAGCTGTTGAACATATATTGTTCACCAATATTCGGTAATAGACAGAAATTATGGATGGGAACTACATATTTATGCAACTGTTTGTATACTTGCATTAACATCCGAGATCTCCGACTGCGGCTGAGAATGGTAAGTAGCTTCCGGGACCAGCCAGAATTGGTTCCCGTAACACAGTAGCAGCAAGCTTACCGCTATACCCACATTTGGGGCCTGTGAAGTTTGACAAAGGAGTGTCTTGGATGCCTGAAGGGACGTCAATTGATATTTGTGTTTTGAGAACACGATATTTGGTAAGTGGTATGGGCTCTGAAATATTGGGAAGTACACCGGGTGGCGGTGTATATATATTCGGCGACTGGATCACCGTCTGATAATGGTGGTAATTCTTCATCACGAATTCTTAGTTTCACGCGAATAATCGAAGAATCCTAGATAGATATTTTCTTCCGGTGGTACGTTTAAGTGTGACTTTTCTACTCACTACTCCAGAACACGAAAAATATACATAATCCCGGTAACATTGTCATAGATAATCTGCGAAAGGGTCGACATACGTGGTAGGTAACCATACTTTTTCAGCTTTCTGATTTTCATGTCAATTCAGAGCACGCCAGGCAGATATGTCTACAGGCTCACGCAAAGGCTTCACGGAAATTATCGCAGATCGCATGGCGAGACTCAAGATCTAGCCCCTCAGAATGCTTCTACGCTTACGTGCCCACCGGAGACTTTAACCCGATATCTGAGTGATGTAACCCTCTATAACAATGGTATCTTCAGCTTGATTTCTCTCTCCGTAAGGAAGCAGGTCGGAGACAACATCATAACATAATATCTTGAGATTTTTTAGGGTTGTCAGCTCAACATGCGGCTATGCCATAGCAACCCTGCTTTCCATCTACCCAAAGGGCTCTGATATTGAGTGCCACTAACAGGAATTTGGAGATAAATCCGCATAAAGGCCTCCTTGTCAGGGGGTTTCATGCTATAGCAGAGAAATGTAGCAGCTGCGAACAGAACTCCAAGGCCCAAAAATTCCACCCATAAACCAGGGAAAGATGCAACTTCAAAGACACATAACCTTCTAAGGGGATCATATTCCATCAACCAACAACAGGCGTACCCGATGATTCCTTAAGCGCTTCCTCAACTTCCTCATTCCTCTTCATCTTTCCTTCCCTCACAGCCTCCCTCTCCGCAACATCATAATCCGGACCCGCAGGACTACGTCCAATTTTATCACCCAGAATCCGATCATGATCAGTCCTCTTCTGATCCATATTCGCCGCGAAATCTGTCTCATCGCCAAACCCCGGATGTCCAGGCCCGGCAGCACTGCCAACAGGCCCGGCGTGAGCACCAGCTTGTGCCCGTTGCATCCCCATGCCCTTGCGCACGACTGAGTCGGCTATATATCCCTCAGCAGGTTGCTGCTCTACTCCGTATTCTAGGTCGACGTCGGAGGATCTTTGCATTTGCTTGCGTTCTTGTTGGTGTTGGGCGTCTAGGTGGGCACGGGCTTCGTCGTTGGATGGCTGGGAGCTGGGGCCGCGGGTGATTGATGCAGTTGGGTCGCCGTATTGACGTGAAGGGACTGGTGCTCGCTGCTCGGATGGTGTTTGTGATACTGGATTGGAAGCTTGTGCGTAGGTAGCTTCCTTGGGTGGTTGGGCTGGCTGCGCGGCTTGACTGCGAGTCTGGGGCATCTTGATGTCGATGGTTTGATGACAGGGGGAGTGATCAAAGATATATGTACCAGTAATGATGAATTGGACAATAGTTTGGAATTCTGAAGAATTGAAGAACTGAAAGATTTCAAAGTAGTTATTGAAGGAGGAAGTTTTGATATGCTTTGCCTGATGGCCAGATGACGTCAGGGTCTCTAACCGGCTTTCTTCAGCGAACATCATAAGGGTTGAAGAACAATCAAATAAACTATTTCCTGCGAAGTCTCGATAAAGGTGTATCATTGGACCAAAAAATTCAAAAGAAAATCTGCGCCAGCGCCAAGTTTGATGCTTCCCGTAAATGCAAATTAACTCCAAACCTATCGCACCCCAGCCATTATACATCGTTCTCGCCAGGCATCCCAACAGACACCTTCTTGAGTTCCAGATCTTTCTTGAGCTCCTGAATACGGCGACCCATCTTGTTGCGTAGAATTTGGTTTTGTACCTTCTGCCACTGTGCGGTTTCCGTTTGAATGAGGGCTTCAAGCTCAGCAATCTCCTCCCGATGCTGCTGGAGTTGGCGCTGCTGTTCCAGTTGTTCTTCGTCAAGATCATCTTCTGGGATGTCGTCGTCCTCGTCCGATACTTCATTCTCATCGCCCGAAGAATCACCGCCACCTTCAGTCGGCGCAGCTGGCGTAGACGCAGCAGCTGCCTGCACTGCTTCTGTGACGGCCGCCGCTGCATCATCGTCTCCAGCAGCCAGTGCGGCTTCCATCTCGGCGGCCAGGTCATCCTCAAAGTCATCCATCATCTCATCAATCTCGCCTTCAGCATCTTGCTCTTCGTCGTAGTCTTCCTCGTAATCGTCCTGCACGAATCCTTCGGCACGGTTCAGAGATGTGTTATCCACGAGGTCAAACCGTGGAGGGAAGAGAGATTGTTCGTCCTGTGCAATCAAATCCTCCACAGCCGTTTCAACCTGTTCGATAGTACGCGAGCTGACACGATCCCGGAAACGTCGCTTGCGGACCCATCGTAAAGGTGGTGCTAGACCATGGGGGTATTGTAGCGTCTTGGTGTCGGCAACTTCGAGCTCAGAAGGGACAGGGTATTCAAGAGCTTCTTGATCGCTCGAGACAGGCCCCAGCACCAAGAGCATTTGACAAATGTCTGCTGATTTGTACCAACCCCGACGGTCCCAACTCTTCATGCCCTCGATGATACAGGGCAGATCGACTAAACATGCCGCATACTGCTTATTTCGGACCTTGAAAATGGCACGTCTTCCCTCGCGATTAAGCGGTTTGAACGAGAACTCTGACTTGTCGAATTTTCTCTCTTCAATAGCTTGCCGCAGATAGTCGCAGTCTTCACCTGGTAGCATTCGCAGTATGAACTGTTCCTCGATCGACGGGTCAATCTCCGTATCCGATGCCTCTGAGTCGTATCCGACACCGACTGGCCGGTTGGGGACATGGCCCTTGTTCTTGAGGCGAATCGACTTGAGCTTGGATGCGTTCAGTTTGAGCCGCTTGGGACCAGGCTGGGCAACTGCCGGCTCAGGTGGCGGCGGTGCATTCTCGGCAGGGCGTTTTTTCGACGAAGCCTTCTTTTTCTTGGGCTTCTCGTCGGACGGCTCAGGCGGGGGCTGTGGTTTGCGACCGATCTTCAGGGTGAGCTTCGGCGGCGCAGCGGGTTCAGCTGGCGCAGGCTGCGCTGGCGGCGGAGCGGCCTTCTTGCCGAACTTGAGCTTGAGGGTCGGACCCTTGGGCTCAGACATGATGCAACCAGATCGAGTAGTGGTGTGCGATCACAAGTGTTAGAGGGCTCGGCGTGAAAGCAAGGCGGAAAGTGAGGTGTCAGTCAGGCTGTGATGGGAAGGAGGGTAGCTACGACCGTCAGGACGCGCTGGGCTCGACCACTTTCTGGCGGCCAGTGAGGGCCACTCCGTTGGTGTACTGAAATTTGGTATATGACTGGCAGAATAATACACAATATCCAGCAAGAGCTTGGCAAGAAGATCAGATTTCATATGGCAGTTGTTGGAGCGGTAAGTAAAAGAGGCGGACTAAAAGGCGGTAAGTCTGACATCCGTATTTGGGTTACACAGGTCATGAACTGCCGCGAAGGCTTCCACCATTGATCCTGTCAACAGCCAAAAGACACAGCCAAATCGCCCAATTACTGTGGTCCATTGCCCCGAACGCTACTCTTTTCTCTCACTTTGCCCTTGGATGCTCACTTCAACAACCCGACTAGCTTGAAAGTCACTTCGTTTACCTTCAGTCTTCGCTACTTCAATCTTCTCACATTACACGGCTGGCTACCTTGGCCGCAATGTCGGGCCACAATCTTCACAATGCGCTCCTACGACCTCCGATCATTCAAATTCTCCGAGCTCAAGGATTTCACTCGACACGTCCATCAGTCCTAGAGTCACTCTCTGACTTGACCGGGCAGTATCTCATGATCCTGGCCTCCGCAACAGCTGCCCACGCCGCCAACGCTCACCCCGAAGATCCATCCCCAGTCCTCGAAGACGTCTACCAAGCTCTCCAAGATGCAGGCGCACTACGACCACAACTAAAAGAATGGGAGGAAGACTGGGCCGGCGAGGAAGACTTGCGCGGGCTCGAGTCACTGCTTGGATGGATAACGGGACCTGCGCATCGTGAGATTCGGCGTATTGCAGGTTTCGTCCCGAGTGAGGGCGACATGGTTGACCCGGGCGCGATGGAGAAAGAAGACTACTTGACGGCGCTGAAGAAGAAGCACAGCAAGACTGGCGAAGAATCTCGATACGCGGGAACAGTCTTGGGTAAGAGCGGAGAAGAGCACCCGGTTATTCTCGAGGGCGGCGCGCCGAGTATCCGGGAATGGGGGGCACAAGTACGATCTCGGGCTCCTGTGAGTCCTGGTGCTAGCGATACTTCGGGTGTTAGTAGCGCCCCGAGTCATCTGTCGGAGGAGGATCGAATGGAAGTGTGAAAGACGAATGCGTGAACCCACCCACCCGAACAAAACCACCGCCCCTCGACCCAAGTCAACGCCGCAGCATTGCATATCTCAGACGGATGATCTCTACTGGAAGGAGCTTCTTTGTACAGGATGTCGTGAGCAAAATCCTGCGAGAGTGTCCAGACATTCTGTGTCTGAATATCTCCGAGGTCGTACACCTCGATGAATCATCCTTCGCCTCTCCAGTATCCAAAACATCAGCAGATCAAGGATGACCAACGCATGTGGCCTCACACCCCTCAGACGCTAGTCAATCACGTACCACCTCAACTCCATGATCCACCGGGACTACGCAATTAGGGCACCATCACACTTCCCATGCGATCAACGATTGCCCGACTCCTGGGCAGTTCACATTTGTTCAGTCAGCAGAACTACCTTACGGCACCTGAGTTTGGATCTTGAGAGTCGAGCATCATGGTGCTAGCTTCGTTTCTAAGGTACTTAGGGCGTCTTATCTCAATTAAGACATATTCATGATGTGTTTATGAATGTTAGCAAGTAGATCGAACTCGAGTTTCATCCAATTCGGAATCTGCCTCATAGTGTTGGCTTAAACAAAGACTAGAGAACGAACCGTTTCCCTTCCAATTCATTGATCAGAAGATGCATTCATGCAATGAAATCACATGACAATCGCACAATACTGGTAGATAAGATCTTGATTACTCCAGGAGTATGCAAGTTGCTAGAACGACGCCTTAACACTGTTAAACTACACCCCGGCTACCAAATTTAGTCCGCGTAGTTGATCACTTTACAATCTTTGAAGGCCTTGAGGATCACAAGATTCTCCAACCATAAGAAGTCTTCCATCACGCCGCTTATTTGGCAAATAAGAATATTTACACATATTCAATTCAGCCCTCTCTTTATGAAATCTAGTGAGTATAGCACGAGTATCTTACTACTATCCCCACGTAAGATAACTAGCCATTTCCCATGGAATTCGGCACAACATCACCACATGCCCACATTCTAAGCAACAAGATGTTGCTCGGTTAGCTCCCTTTATCTTTTCACCTTTCTTTTGTTTCGTATCAACTAGCGTCTTACACACCAGCTGCCTACCTAGTTGAATTCGCTGGTAGTTTGAATGGCGGATTGGTTATGGGGTTACGCATGGAGAAAAGCACGCCTTGGTGACTGAGCATATAGTGGAGCCCCTATATATAATAGCACATCGAGTATTTAGGTCTGCTATGTATTGGTTGATGTCTTACATTCATGACACCAATTGAATCCACGGAAAACTTGATAAAAAGACGGACGTGGTAATAGTAGTAGTATGCGGGTGCGTGGACATAATAGTAGTGGGTGCGTCGTTTTAAGATTTCTGGAAGGCGGTGGGGCTATAGTTCCATCGGAGAAATAATCTTCCGTACCGGGTCAGTGGCCTAGTTTGTGGTCACTGTCCCCGGGTCTGTAAGAGTTTTGCAAAGAGAGTGAGATGAGACCAATCTTTGGAACCCCCCCGTTCGCTTCAAAGCCGAAGTGCCTTGTTTTTTCCCTTTTTCAAATGACTTGGAACACCCCTCATACTTTTTATCGCAACCGCACTCAGGAATTGATATCACGTGACTCGGATTCTACTGTATTGCACCTTCTGCCGACTCACTCTAGACGTGTGCCGAGTGATTTGAGCCGTCGCAATAATAATATGACGCTGGAAAGAAGCGCTCAGCCAGTTAATCTCCGATTTACATACATGTCCTAATTGCTGCCATTGCCGCCATTGAGGCCATTGCTGCCATATACTGCCACCGTTAGGGCATGCATTTTCCAACCAGGGCAGATAGGCTCGATCTACCCCAGACTCAGGCAAATGACCTGGAGAAATGACGAGCATCCCTGCACATCACAAGACCTGGACGCAAATATTTAGTGCTATACTCTTAGTCTGATTCAAATTACAACATATCCGTGCCTTACTGCCCACCCAAAGCGCTTCCCGGATATGGATTATTAATAACTATTGAGACCCGTTCTGGGTTCGGCCAACCCCCAATGCGTGGCTAAGGTGGTTCCCAGTGGAGTCAACCCCAGAGTCCCCCACCCCCAAAGTGGGCATTTTGGGGGTTTTCCCAGGTGAAGAAGACGATAAATTCTCTAAATACTTCAAATTTCACCGCAAAAAACTCATTCCAAAGACAACCTTCACCACAAGTATGATCAACACTGTTGTATATCAAGCCCGAACGAAACTCTTAAGCCTTTCCGCGCCACCCGACTTGGCCGGCAACTCGGCTGTGTCACAGCGCAAGCCCAAGCCGACTCCTCCAGTCAGAAGCTCGGAACTTTGCATCGGCAGTTGGCCAGACCAAGCGAGGCTCTCGGTGGAACCTTGGTGGATCGGGATATATTCGGCCTCTTGTCAACATGGCAAATTTTACCTGGACTCGGCTTGTCTACCTATCAAACGGCTTCCGAGTCCCCAACGACCTCCTTGCCCCGGCAAAACCCCCGTACTATAACTACCGGGGAGACCGCCACCCCCCATCGCGGTGCAAGAAGTTGCTCTAGCATCGCCTTCATGGACCTATCGTAGCTATAGCAGATATAGCCCAACTCCACTGCGCACCCTGGTTGTGGCCGAAAAGACCGATGGAAGCCTCTTGCGCCGTAACACCTCCACGTGCATCCCCAGCATGTTCCACCGGTTGAGTCGAACTCGGCCCCATACCCCGGAGACCACCGGTCCCCGGGCATGACACACGCGGGGTTTGGGGAAGGACCCCTGGACATTTTATCTTGGACTCTTCTCTCTCTCCTCGTAGAATCCATTTCCACACTCGACAATTGATCTTGGTTGATAGTATCTGTCAAAATGTCGTCGAGCGAGCACGATATTCCCGGCGGAACGCCCGCAAAGTCTTCCTCCGACTATGCCGAGGAAAAAGATATCGCTATTAATGCCGATCCGACCAGGTTTCTCTCCGAGTCGCACAAGTCGTACCTGATCGAACGACATGGCACACTGGATCTCGACCCTATTCCTAGCATGGACCCGGCGGATCCATATAACTGGGCGTTGTGGAAGGTGAGAAATATAACCTCATCAATCTCTACAAGTATCTGAGAAGACATACTGACTTGATTCTATTATTTCTAGAAAACCACTAATCTAGCCCTGGTTGCTTTCCACGCTTGCATGGGCACATTCACTGCAGCAGCTATCATCTGCGCTTATGAGGACATCTCCCTCGATCTGGGCGTTTCCATCCAGCGCGTTAGCTATCTGACCTCGTTGCAAATCGCCATCCTCGGAGGTGCCCCATTGCTGTGGAAGCCACTCTCGCACAGATTTGGTCGACGCCCCATTTTCCTACTGTCTTTGATCTTGAGCTGCGTTTGCAACATTGGTTGTGCAAAGAGTACCAATTATGCCTCCATGGCGGCTTGTCGGGCATTGGTGGCTTTCTTCATTTCGCCGGCTATGGCTATTGGAAGTGGTGTGGTTACGGAGACTTTTTTCCGTCATGAGCGTGCCCGGTATATGGGTATTTGGACTATCATGGTTACCCTGGGTGTGCCAATTGGTCCCTTTATCTTTGGATTCGTGGCTCAGCGGGTTGATTATCGCTGGATCTACTGGGTTCTGGCAATTGTGAGTTGAGCCTCTATTTTCAAATTCCTGGACTTCAGTCTTTCGGGAATAGCACTAACTCTCTTTACAGACCAACGGCATGCAGGCTATTCTTTACCTCTTCTTCGGTCCCGAAACTCGCTATATTGGCGCCGACATTCAGTCCGAATCCTCCGCTTTCAAGCGCGAGTACATGTCCCTGCGTCGCATCGACCCAACCCCGATCAAGGCGTCCGAGTTCTACCACCCTTTGACCTTGTTCACAAACATCCCCGTCCTCCTCGCCACGATCGCGTACTCGATGGTCTTCCTCTTCTGCTCCGTCCTGAATTCCGTCGAGGTACCCCAGCTTCTACAAAGCAAGTTCGAGTTGAATGCCCAACAGCTTGGTCTCCAGTTCCTTGGTCTCATTATTGGCTCTCTGCTTGGTGAGCAATTAGGCGGCTTCATGTCTGATATGTGGATGAATGCTCGCGCCAGGAAAATCGGTCACAAGCCTGCGCCCGAGTACCGGCTGTGGCTTAGCTATATTGGCTTCCTCCTGAGCATTGCGGGCATGGTTGTGTTCCTGGTGTGTACGGAGCAAGCTACCGAGGGCAAGTGGAATGTGAAGCCTGTGGTTGGAACTGGCATTGCCGCGTTTGGCAACCAGGTCGTCACTACTGTTATGACGACTTATGCTGTTGATACCTATCCCCAGGACGCGGGTAGTGTTGGTGTCTTTATCAACTTTGTGCGATCGACCTGGGGATTCATTGGACCTTTCTGGTACGTTGTTTTCCAGTCTTATATATCCTGAATGTTGGCTAATTTTCGATTCAGGTTCACCTCGATGTTCGATAGCGTCGGCATCGCCAAGAGCTCTGGTATTGTTACTGCGCTGATCATGGGCTGCAGCTTCTTCCCTACTGTGTATTTGCAGTGGCAGGGAAAGCGGCTTTATCGCCGCGATTCAGAGATGCTGTGATATCTTCATCATCGTGGAGAGTAATATATACATTAAGAATGAAGCGTACATTATGTGTGAACATACTTTAACCAGCAGATAGTACATGGAGACACTTTAGATTGAATAGATAGGAACATTGAAATCAACATTATAAACAATTTGGATAACATAACTACAGGATATAATAAATTACCATAAATATTTCGGATTTCTATAAAACTGGCAAACACTGGAATTGAACAAAACACGTCCATACCATTGCCAAGTCCACCACGTCTTGGCCATCGGTGACATCAGAACCCGCCTCGCATCCCCGACTTTCTCCAACTCCCCGCGCGCTCACCCATCCACCATGGTCTACGCATTCACCCTTCCAACGACCTCTCCCCTCTCATTCCAAACATTCATATCCTCGTCCACACACCCCTCACTCCCACAATCTGCATCCACAGCCCGCCATGCCCTCCGCCTCGCCCTCAAAGCCCACAAACGTCTACCCCGCGGCCCGCGACAAGACGCCCATCTCCCAACCGTTCTCTCCGCTCTAAACGAATACATACCATATCTATTCGCCATCTCCCACGGCCTCTCCGGCCAATCTACCCAGAATGACCCCTCAATCTCTAGCACGGGCATAAGCGCCAGAGAAAAGATCGAGGTAACGCTCCGCGCCGAGATCGAGTCCGCATGGAAACCAACTCTCTCCGCCAGCAGCGGCCTCAATCTACACGCACCCACCACCACACCAGGCGCGAAATCTATCCGGCCACGAGGCGGTCGTATCTCAGGCCAGGGACTTGATTTTGAAATCGCATTCACGCTAACAACGCTGGGCTATGTGCTAAGTCGACTCGCGCGCGCTGGAGTCCTGGAATCACTCTATGCCCCAACAACCCAATCGCACGAGCAGCGCACAGCCGCGGTCCAAAACGCGACGCGGAATCTACTCCAAGCAAGCTCGGTACATGCTCTACTTGCCTCGTCGCCTGCCTTTTCTGCCGCAACGACGGCCACGGTGCCTGATATTGATGCGAGTACGCAATCGGCCTTGTCGGCACTGGCTCTGTCTGAAGCGACGTTACTGGCTGTTTTGAAGGATGATGCGTATGTTACTGCGTGTATTCAGTCGCGCAATCCGAATGACCGGGAGTGGATGGTGCGGGCGCCTGAGATTCCCAAGGTTCGCGCGCTGCTGTTTGCGAGACTGTGTGTTCGCGCGGCGGAGTATGCAGAGCAGGCTGCTGCAGGGTTGAGTGCGGCTGGATCTGGGGCTGGGAGGATGGGTAGGGTTGATGAGGAGGTTACTCGGTATGCGGGTATTTTGGGACGTGTTGCTCGAGCCCGGGCGTGTCGATTTTTCGGTATTGATGCTGAGTTGGCTGGGAAGGTTGGGGAGGGCATTGCGTGGTTGCGGGCTGCGAGGACGCCTTTGGGTTTGCGGGGTGGTGCGGGATCATCCTCGTCGGGTCAGGATGATGGTAGTGGAACGGGCAAGGGTGGTTTCTCAAGATTGAAACGCGAATGGGCGGAGCGGAGAGAGGAGAAGAAACTTGGTAAAGATGCTGGTGGAGGACGTGGTGATAAAGGTGTTTTGGACCCGGGTGACGATGCAGGCCGTGACGAGGAGGGTCGAGTGATTGCAATGTTGGAGACGAAGTGGATGAAGATGAATGACACCGTGAGTTTTGACTTCTTCGGTTGAAAGGAAATGCCTTGATACTAATATGCAGCAGATCAATACGCAAGCGATCCCTCCGTCTGCTCCATTGCTGGCGAATCTCCCGTCAGGTCGAGATATTCACACGCCCCCTGCACCGTATAAGGCGGCCTCTTTGGACGAGGATCAGCTGGTTCGAATGCGGGCTCTGCCGGATGAAAGCGTGAATATGCGCTTTGGAAGTGATCCAGATGACAGCGAAGAGGAAGCTGTGACGGCTGGCGGCCCGACGGCACCTGGTGCATTCCCTGATCGTAGTCAGACTGCTTCGAATGTGTACTACTGATGTGATACCCGAAAGGAAGGCCAGAAGAACATGATGCCACCAGTATACTTTAGCCAGCAACATATAGTCATATGACAATGGAGTTAATGGCAGAGCTACTTCAGATATAAATTCCTTCTCCAACATCTCTATTCGTGGGTTAGCCGTTGCCCATGATCCCGATTAGAAGAACGAGTATCCTTAACGAAAAATGAAATTGACCAGACAATGATATCTTATATGTACAATACAACAGAGAGAAGTCCACTCTCTCCCACACTTTCTCTTTTCCCGGGTAGAAAGCCAAACAACAGTCAGAGCCCTCGAAATCCCCGCAATGCCCTGACCAAGCTCCCTTGCAGCGTCAGTAGATAGCAGTGTCGACCATGGAGGGTTCAACACCGCAATATCCAATAGCATCCACCATCATGTATCACAGCTTCGACACCGCTGGCAGACACGCTGCAACGATGTCGGCTCTGCAAGAGGCATGCATCCACCCAACCCATAACAACCCAACTCGTCGTCCACAAACAGACGTATCCGTTTAAGAAGACTTGCTAGCCTCACCACCAAAGTAGTTCTTCTCCTGGAAGAGATAACCCTTAACCTTGCGCTCCTTGAGCAACTCAAAGTATTTCTCTGCAGGCATAATCAGCACACGAACAAATCTCGACATCATCCCTCCAACACCGCATCCCCCGACCCAATCGCCTCGCATTCCCTTAATCCCCCTCACAAGACAGCCTCCAATCCATCCATCACGCAATTCAAAGCAATTCCCAAGGGGTGTTGCTTGGGGTTGGGGTTGGGAATAGGAACATCCTTACCGCGCAGCACACCACACTTTTCCATATGATTAATACCCTCACGAGCATAGCACTTGCCCAATTCCTCACCAACAAGACGAGCCATCATACTGCGCACCCATTGCTCACGGATAATCGCGTCACGGGCATTGTGCAGGGCGACGTTGTCTTCGAAGTCGACGCCTTCGTAGGTCGGAGCCACGGTGGGCTTTTTGGCGAGGAATGCGGCGGACTCCGGGGTTGGCATTGTGGGCGGATTGACGGGGAAGAGCACACGATGTGAGGAGAGGAGAGGTGGTAGGGGTGTTTTCGCGGCCGGGCAGGGAGTGAGTGCGGGATTGAGTCGAGGCCAGTGAGGGTTCCGATTTGAGGGTATGAGCGGTTGGATGTTGGAGTGAAGTGGTTTGGTGGTTGTGATTGCGAGGATGGTGATTGGTTGGAAGTGGTGGGCGGTGAGATCGAGGTTCGGGGAGGGAGAGGGACCAAGTGTGCAGGTATTTGGAGGTATCACGTGATCTGTATCTATAGATTGGATGCTTTCGGAGTGAAAGAGAGACTTGATTAAGGACTTGAATCAGTAAATCGATATTCCCGGAGCAAAAAGTAATATAGACATCAGTAAAATATTCAAACTCCAATCTCCAACGCTGGCAATCCCCCAACAAATGCAAATCCCAAATTCCCAATGTACAAACAACCTAACAGGACGCCTTGCCAGTTCCGAGTCCGTATCATACATGGCACGTCCATCTAAGAACGCGTCGGGTCCGTAGAAACATGAAGCCATCATGAGACAAAACAGAAAGTCAACCATCGAGAGGTAAAATGCAGCAGCCAGCTGGATAACCGACACCAGACGGACTACTACTAGTCCTAGTCTTTCTTCCCGAAATCTACTCACGAGCAGAGCGGAGTCTGTCTAACAGCGACTGCCACCAAGAGCGATTATGCTCATTGCTGATGGCGCGGTAATTGTAAATCTCACCCCAGCAGTCCCGACCGAACGAGCACCCTGCCATATTGACCAAAAAGTCGTGTTCTTCTTCTTGATAATGCACGCCGGGGTCATTCCCGTCACCGCAAGCACCTGGTGGGAACGCATTAATCTTGCGCTGGGGTAAAAAGCCCACACCGCTGCGGACCCAGGCTTGACTTTGATAGATGTATTCCAGAGCATCTTGCTCCTTGTGTTCCCACTGCATGTGCATCTGTTCGTACATGACGGGATCCCACCATGCATCGATCAGGCGTTCCGTCCAAACAGACCGACGCAGGAAGAATGAGCCCAGATTGAATCCGGAGCAATCTTGGCTCAGGAGTAAATGAAGAGAGTCGGGATTGCCATCGCCTTCGAGGGCACGGCCGAGGTCATCGAGGAAGAACTCCGGGAGAGGGTGTGTAATGTTGAGCGGGTTGTACTCGTTGATATCGCGGTAGACATGCGATCCGAGATCATTGAAGATATGGCTCTGTAAGGAGGTGCGGTACTCCATAATCCAGGTATTCAGATCTAACCACCAGAACCATTCCGCCTTGGGATACTTGCGCATAGCCTCTCGGATTACGTCGCCTTTCTCCCAGCTCTCGCGCCATTCGTGAGAATACCGTTTCTTGGCTAGCATGTTGGCGATCTCGAGTTGATAACCCCAGCGCTGCGCATATTGCTGCTTATTCCAGATACTATTGCGCTCGATGGCCCATTCGCGCGCACCTTTCCATTCCATCACGCCGCCTTCGACGTTTGAGCCCAGTATAATCACGAACTTGGGACCTCCACCCAGTGGTGATCGTCGATATAACTGAACAAGTGCTGCAGAGCGTATCCAGTCAGCTATCGCTATCCAGCTTTCACCCAACACCAGCGATTGACTTCACAAATGGACTGCACCACTTACTCGACCACAAAAAAAGGTATCCAATCCACAACAAGAACAAACCAAAGACCACCCTCGTCCTCCCCCGTCTGAACATCAATCTCAACCTCCCCAAAGGCCCCCATCCACCTGCACCACCAGTATGCGAATGGCCCCGCCCATAAACAACCTTATCAACATATCCATGCCTAGACGCATGACTCCGAAAGCTCGGCAACCGCGTCGAGATCTTGTGCTTCTGCCGCGAGAAGAAGCCGCTATTCCGCGTCGAGAAGGAGGGATACTTGCGCACCTCGTCGCTTTTGGCCTTGGCCGCGGCCCAGGAGATACCGTTCGGGGCCAGCGTTGCGGGCGAATAGCCGCGCGGAGTCGAGGCGCCGCTGCCGGGGGTTAACCCCGGGCTGGACCACCCTCCGCCCGGGTGGGGAGAGGGTGATCGCGACAGGGACATGGGTTGTGATCGGCGGGCAGGAGGTGCGGTTTAAGCGCTAAGTTGGCGAGCGTAGTTGCAGAGCGTTGGAGGTTGGAGTATCCTAGTGGAGAGGATGTGCGAGAGAGAAGGTGTTTGGTGAAGAGAGCACCCGTGGCGAGTGTGTAAGCTCTCAACCACCGACACGGGAAGGGAAGGGGTTTAAGTCGGTCAAGCGAAATGAAATGAAGCCCGCGCAGACCCGCGACGGATTAAGATGAAAGTGAATTAAATGAGAGTAAAAGTCTTTTGATTAGATCCATTCAAGGGCCAGTCTGATCGAACACAGACCCACGAAGGGGGTTATCCTGTCGCAGATGAAGTCTTGGTAAGATTATTGCGGTGATGCCGCATGCGTACGAGCTTTGGGCGAGTGGCGTATCACCGGAACGCCTCGCGGAATCAGGCACAGGAGAATACATATTGAGTATTTTTACCGCATAGATAGGAAGAGATGTAATAATTACGAATTTATTGTGGATTCGTTGATACTCTACTTGTTGGGCAATTGACTCTCGACTATACCCACAGCTCATTAAAGTACCTCCTCGGGAGATCGACTCGCCGCGTCATATCGAAAGCACCGCTGTTTACACTCCACCGTCCATCTACGGTACCGCATGCGGACAAAGCCCATTATACACTCCACCACATGGCCAAGTCAACGGCCTGTGCTACCTCAGACTCACACCCAATGATGCAATATGAAATTTATGATGCAATTCTTGCTTGTCAATCTATTTCCAGAGCGGAGAGACCAGGCAAAGAACGCCAAATCAGAAGCAGAAGCAGATGCAAATATGCAGGCGACCCACCCCTAACTACCGATTTCATTTCCCATCCAGATCCAGAACGTCTACTAACTATCTTCTCACTCGGCTTCCTTCATGCGGTTCGGTCGGACAGACAAGCGATTGGAGCCGTCCGGCTTGCCCACGAGTGCTTGCCGCACGACGAACCCGGTCTCATGTGCGGGCCGGGGCTGCGCGCTCTCGCCGTGATAGAACTCACATCGCAGTTCCAAGAACTCCCCATTATCCTTATGCTTGTAGATGGTGATGATATCTCCCGTGTAGAGCTTGCCGAACTGTAGACCTTCCGGACCCCCCTTGCGCAGTTCCGTGCCGTTGACCCAGATGCATTTGCGTGTTTTGGTGGAGAGAACGGCCATCACGCCAGGAACTTGCGTCCAATCTTGGCCTTCGGCAATTTGACGTTCCAGTCCGGGTGCCCAGAAGGTAATTTCGAGTGCGTAGGCGGGAATGCGCACGTCCATGTTATCCGGATGGCGGATGGTTGCGTCGGGACCACGACCCCAGGAGGTCATTCTGTTTTCGAGGCGGAGATTTAGATCAAACATTGATCCAGGGAGACTTCGGAGTCTTCCAAGAAGCTTAGGGGGCTTGGTGAACTCGGCCACAGGCATGGTAGTTGGGATACCGGGGGCATCGGGTTGTTCATGCACGATAGGATCCGACGGCTCCTCCTCCTCGGCCGTGCGCAGTTGCTCCAAAATGGCCTGGCCGGTTTGCGCATCCAACGTAGTCGCAAAGTCGACATCGTAGTCCTCCCCTGCAGACAGGTCCGGAGGATGGGTAGATTGGGGGCGACTGGCAGGCGCACTGCTATCGGAGCGCTCGCTAGCAGTTTCTGGCAATTCCAGGTCGATACGGCGTGACAGCTTGGGCGCCTTGGGTGTCGTATCGTTGGCACTGGATGTAAGAGGAAGCACCTCACGCGGGGTGCTCCCTGCTTTTATGAACTCCGTGTGTACCGTGGGTTGTCCAGGGCTGGTCTGCCGCGTCGAGATTTGGTTAACCAGGCCGGTCTGTGCAGGGAAGAGAGGGAGCGAGGAGTTCATATTCAGCCGTCTAACGAGATTCTCTGCGCCCATCAGGCTGGGTGCCGTGCCGCCGAATGGGTGTTCCGGGAGAGATATGATCGAATAGACACTGCGTTCGTCGCTGACCGACTCACCAGAAGAAGCAAAGCCCTCGGCATCATAGTCACCGTCATCCCAGGACCCTGTGTGGCCAAGGGCATGGGAGCTGCGCAGAGCTGAAGACGTGACTTCACCAAAGAGCCGCCTTGCGTGGGTCTCGGCAACCATTTGGCCATCCTGGAAACTCTCGATTTTGGGCAACGATGGATACCGAATGTCCGTCGGGATGTATTCGATGCGTGGTTTTTTGGCGAGAGCTTCGTTGCTGCTGGACTCCTCTCCGCCAGCCGCATATGTGTACGCACTTTCCTCATGGATAGACAGCTGGGACGCGTCAAGCTCCTCTTCGGCCTCTCCTATAACCGAAAGAGTGTCGCGTGCGTCTTCCAAGATGTCGTCGTCTTCGTATTCATCCACATCCTGGACCTCAGCAATCCACGGATGCTGGAAGCATTGCTTTTCCGTGGGCCGAGAGAAGGGATCCCGGTTAAGGAGTTGAGAGACAAAGTGAATGCCCGACTCTGATACGCCCTCACGTCGCAAGATATCGAAATCAGCTTCTGACTCCATGATGCTACGCAGCATGGCGACACCGCGGTCTTCTGCGCGCCCCGAGTATGGAGGGACTCCGCATAGAATATGGTACAGGACAGCACCCAGTGACCACATGTCGACGGACTGGCTGTATGGAGACGTCTTTGGAGGGCTAGCAATTCGTTAGCGAGCGCGCTAGTGACAATACAAGAAAAATACTTACGGGTCCCCAACGCGACGTCTCTTCCTGACCTCACCTCGCCGGTATGTTTCATAGTCGGGGTACACTTCTGGCGCGCAGTACAGCAGTGTACCGCAGAATGTCTTTAGAAATGTCTCCTCCTGGGTGACCTTTGATAGTCCAAAGTCCGACAGTTTGATGCGCAGCGGGTCCAAGGAGGCAATCAAGATGTTGTCCGGTTTGACATCGCGATGAGTGATTCGTCTTTTGTGGAGATGGTGGAGCGCCCGTAAGAGCTGGCGAGCGATTGTCCGCACCATATCCTCTGCGATTTTGCCGTGGCTTGACAAATATGTCGACAGCTCGCCCCCGGGGACGTACTCCATGATAATGTAGATCCATCGATCATGTTCATGGTGGTCGATATATTGAACGATATTGGGCTATATTATATGGTTGTCAGTAACAAGACAGAGATCCTCAAGTGAGACACAACTCACATGTTTCAAATCACGCATAATCTTCATCTCATTATCGACCTTTTGATCCAGGATACCATTCTTCATGAAGCGCCGCTTGTCCAGCTCCTTCGCCGCATAGATTGCACCATGTTGCTTAGTAGCAAGCTTGTAGACAGTGGCGAAGGCGCCTTTCCCGATCTGCCCGGTCACGTTATACATCGAACCGCCCGTCCAATGCATACCGTATGTGTTTGCGACCGACCATGATAGCATAGGTGGAGTGGGGCCATTCCGATTCTTAAGCTGCATGTCCCCTGCCACCTGTTGGACACGCTCGAAGTAACGAAGTACATTCTGAGTGTATTGAACGGCAAAACCTTCACGAGACGGAATCCGCACCACAAATCGCACCTCATCGGATCCTTGGTTCCCAGTCACCACCTGGATGACGGAGCCGTTGGTGAGCATCCGACTGTTCTCCTTTTGATTCTTCCTGAGGCGGCAGTTGTCTACTATCGTCCCGTTGGTAGATGTGTCTTGCAGCATGATGATGCCGTCGCCAGTGAGGTAGATCCGAAAGTGAGTGTTAGACACCCGTTTCGCTTCATCGTCAACGGCCAGAAGGATATCGCAGCGAGCGCGATTGCGACCAAAGCAAAAGCCCACGCCAAGATCGCATACCTGAGATGACAGTCTCAAGGCAACATCGAGGGCAGCAGTCTCGGACGTTTCGAAGTCCAAGATATCTTGTTGGAGAATGTGTTGACTGCCTAGACTCGCCGTGGCAGCTACCGCATCATGCGCTGCATGAGAGTTTGGATGCAGGATACAGATGATGTCGGCCAGATCCTGCTCGTGAAGGCCAGAGTTGTTCAGACCCATACGGCGAGGGTCTGCGCATGGTTGAGTAGATTCCTGGGTGGCTTCCATGGTGGAGTATGAATAAGATGCAGATGCGGTGCGCTAAGAAGTGGGAAAATCAAGCAAGAGGAAAAGACTACTGATGACCGACGTGGTGTGGGGTATATGAGCTGATTGAAAACGGAACTTTGCATAAGAAGGGCATGAATACACAGATTGCAGGCCTAGCGAGGGGCCAGTAAGTAAAAATGAAATGCCGTGACGTCCGCGGGGACCAGGGTATATATACCTTTTGGGCGGATGCAAATAGGACAAAAGGCTAGTCACCAGGGCGATCACCCGGGTTGAACTGCCACGACAAAAGGAAAATTCAGATATTTGGAGAACAGAGACACTGGGCAGCACAGGGTATGATATCTGCCAGGTCTTGAATACAATGAGAAGAGGAGTTTCGAGTAGGCGGGTGAAATCACAGTAGTTTTGGAATGGGGTATGGTCCTCGGACAGTCGGGGTGCCGTGTAAGCTCCCCCACGTCGCACCCGTTGACACCCTGGGGTTGACAGGGTGCAGATGTCAGAACTTTGTGGTATGATGCAAATTGGGTTTTCTCGAGAGGGCTTGGGTGGAGGTAAAGGGGGCTGGAGGAGGGCTCGAGGGAGGTACAGGTAGGCGCCTATGCAGGGCAACAGGCCACCGCGCTGATGAATCGGAATCTATGCTTTGGTTTGGACCATTGATGACGGTTGTCTCAGGGATTCTCGTAGTCTAAGGTAGTCTGAGGTGATGCAAAGGGGTATCTCTGTGGATGAGCGAGACCTGAGGTCAGCGCAGTGTCCTGGTACAAGCTGACCCAGGTCGTTTGTTTTGGTCTCGCCTCGACAGGGCCTGACTCACACAGATTGACAAGCACCCTCTTTGTCCATCCACAAGCTCGGTAAATTGTTGAGATTGTCACTGTGGATAGACTGAAAGGGGTGGAAGCCAGGACAGAGACTGACAGGCCGTCGTCCGAGAAACGAAGAAAGAAAGATGAGGATCGAGCCGCACGATCTCTCCGCCTCAGGCAGCTAGGTGGTGGTCCCTGGAGCTGACTCAGCCAGCCTTGGAGAACATGATTGGCGGGTCGCAGTTTAAGCTGTCCGAGTCTCACCAAACCGTGGATTCGATCGGAAATCTTATTTGTGGCACACTGGACACTTCGTATATTTGATACGAACTATGCTCTAACTATGTATGTATCTACAGCAGCTGTCTATATATACCACTTTAGTGCTTGCTGCTTCCATAGGCCTTTCTCGTGTCCTCGCTACGCTGGTAGTCGCCCTTCAGAGCAATGTCGAATACTTGACTCAGCCGTGCAATTGCATCGTCCGAGACCTCTGTTGATAGGTCAGAAAATGGGTTGAGTTATCGCTGCACGAGGGACAGTTGCAATCATAGTCACTTACGGTAATGAATGACCACCCGATTCCCAAGCAATTGTAATCCTTGTTCCTGGCCAATGGCTGTGAGATCATTTGGTCCCACCCCGGACGCCTCCAAATCCAGCCAGACCATGTTGGTGTGCACGGGAAACTGCAGCTTGCCTCCGCGACCGGTCCAAAGCTCCGCAACCTGCTTAGCCTTTGCATGCGTTGCAGGAAGCTTGCCGGTCTTGCCGTGGTCATCTGTCCCGAACGTTTCATCGAGGGCGATCCGGGCAGCAGCTGCAAAGACTCCCGTCTGGCGAGCGCCACCACCGATAGACTTGCGGAACCAGCGGGCTTTCTTAATGAAGGCTTGGGAGCCAACAATGATGCTGCCAATCGGGGCTCCCAGCCCCTTGGAGAAGCACAGGCTCACACTGTCAAACAGGCTGGCGTACTCGACAAGACTACCAGCCCCAGAGACAACTGCCTCCCACAACCGAGCGCCATCCAGATGAACCTTGATATCATTGGCATGTGCCCATTCCACGATACGCCGCGCCTCATCGAGGGGCATGATCAAGCCGTTGAGGGTGTTTTCCAAGCTGATCAACTTGGTCGGGCAGTGGTGGATATCATCGTCTAGCACGGCATGCTTCTGAATATCCTCAAGGGTCAAGTGAATGCCGTTCTGCGGAATAATGGCCTGTACGGTCGCACCGGTCCAAGCACTGACACCCCCTGCCTCATAGCAGATGATGTGAGATCGGTGGTCGCACAGCACAGCGTAGGGGGGCTGAACTAGGTGGGAACGAATTGAAACCTGGTTTCCCATGGTTCCTGACAGGACTAATAGCGCATCCTCATGCTTGGTCCTTTCGGCTACGTATCTCTGTAGGGCATTGGTTGTCGGGTCCTCGTTGAAGACATCGTCGAGAAGGGTGGTCTGGCAGATTGCGTTAAGCATCGCTGGGGTTGGCTTCGTCATGGTGTCACCTAGAATAGAATTTTTCAGTATGGCGCATTGCTTAACATTGGGGAGAAAGCCATACTGCGAAGGTCAAATTCAGCAGCCCCAGCTCCGTGCCAGCTGCTTTGGCCGTTGACAGCCTGGGAATTCGCCGGTGTCTCCATCGTCATGTGTCTCTGGGAGAATTTTCGCACAGTAAATGTCGACCTGGGAGTTATATGAAATCTTGAAGCCCTAAATGGCCGACAGAAGGCTGGCAGTGACCGAGTCATGGAGCTTTATCGGCAGCAACTCCGAGGGGTCACTTAGCGCAAGGAGTGCGGGGAATATATACATCACGTGACCAAGTTTCAGGTTATACACACGCCGTGACACATTGCCAGCATCTGAAGGCTACAATCAGAAAATAGTTACGGCAAGGGTGGCACACCCAACTACATGTAATTCAGGCTTCCTGTGCAACCCCATCTGCCTAATCCTTCCTAACTTCCGGCCAGCTGCCATGAGGTCACTGCGCAGATGCACACCTTATCGATAACTCAATTAGGAATAGCGTGACCAGGGGCCTGGACCGCTGACTCAGCCTTTCACGACCGGATTGATCCATGCGCTGAGAATCCATACATTCCTCTCGACATCAGCACTCTCCCCTGACAAGTCGCATCGCGAAGATGGATTTGGGTGACCTGACGCGGCCGGCAATTCTTTGCCAGTGCCTGCGGTGCTCCAGCTCGCTGGCCGTGCTGGAGAACGAATGGGGCAAACTATCTAACGTCTATGCCGTTACGACGGCGTGGTTGAGTGTCAATCTGCAACGTATCTCGATCGCCTCGGAGCAGAAGCACATTCCGCAGACATCTGAAATGAGTCTTCTCCGTGGTCGCATTGCTCAGGATGTATCCTGCAAATTGTGTCAACAGAAATTGGCGGTCCTCTGTGGACTAGACAATGGGTATGTGTCGTGAATGTTTTCTTTTCTTTGCGACTGTTACTTACTGTGTTCACCAGCCCCAACATTCTCTGGAAGATGTCAAAAGTGTCATTCAGAGACATCGTGACGATGCGAACCGCCGACCCCCTATTCAAAGATGGAGCCCTCGATAAATTGCTCCCCCCTCCCGAACCCCCTCGACGCTCCGCTCAAGATAATGCCTTGGTACCGGCGAGCGCACAAGATCCATACTCGTTAGAGCCATCGGTGCACCAGCAAATGCAACATCAGGGCCGGAGTATTGATCAAATCTCTAACTCGGTCAACCACCTACAGGATACTATGGCTGATCTGAAACTTTCATTCACATCGCTTCGCATCGAATTGAACGGGCCAAGTCGGAGTATCAGCGACCATGGAGCGATGGGTGGACCTGGGTTTGACATGATTGCGACAGTTCTAAAGGAGCTGAAGTCCAAATCAGATGAGATTGAAAAGCTGAAGCTGGAAATCGAGGCATTGAAGCTGAAGAACCGTTTCATGGAGGAGCGCAAACCCAGCAGCCCCGAGTATTCATCCCAGATGGATATGAATGGTAGGCTGGCTGATGTACAAAGTCCCGGTCTTCTCCAGGCTGGGAGAAAGCGGACATGGCCCGACGCATTTCCGTCAACTGGTCCAGCACCTGCGATCGCGGATTCCTTTGATGAGGAAGATATGGTTGATGACCTCTCGCTCGATAATTTGACAACATTCAATGTCCGTGTGCCACCTAAACAACCGCCACGCCAATTACCGTCCAGCCTGGCTCAGCTTCGCATAGAGGCTAGCCAGAATGACATCACCCCAACCAGCACACCACCAGGAGGCAAGCCCGAACAAAACATGTCTAAGCGCCCGCGGCTTATGCAACAAACCAAAGATTCTGCATTGAATGCCGGAAAATCCCGCGGACGGCCGCGGAAGTCAAACGGCACCCACCCACCGGAAGAAGATATAGCAGCCTCGACCTCGCAGAACCCCTCGACCCAAGTGCCATTAGCGCCTTCAAGTCCAGACCCACAGGCTACTAAGCGTCGTCGTCTCCGCCGGAGCACACGGTCTCAGTCATTCGGGCCGACTTCCATGCGGTTACAGGTTGAACCAGGGGATTCAAACACATCAGCGCAAGAACCACCATCAACAAACGGCGCAGACGCCAATGGCAATGATGATACTCATCAGAATGGCGAGCCATCATCCGGTCCTACCAAAGGCTCCAGTAAGGATGGGACGAAGACCTCTGAGGAGGCACGGCTTACGGAGGAGGAAAGACGCAAGGCCAAGATCGCGGCGCGGGACGCCCTGACTCGGAGGGCTATGGAACAAGAAGAACAGATGGAAACGGATGGATCTCGTTGAAGTGAGATAGTGGGATAGGCGGATGTACAATACATTTCATTTGAAAGTGGTCGCTGTGCTCGTGTTGGGCTGACCTCTTCTGTGCATAAATCCCCTGGTGGGCGGCGCGTATCCATAGAATTGTCAATACAACCAAGTCTACTCGATGGATGACTGGAACGGGGATGCCATTTTCAAGTAACGACCGTCTCCGACTCTTTGAGAATCGTAAGCACACTAACAATTACCTTGTCTTTACATGGGATGCACGATCAGATTTCACACCTCACAGCCAGTAACTCTTTTAGCACGTGGCAAATGATTTGGAAGGAAACGTCAACAATTTATTTTTACAGAGCTTTTACCAAAACCGGAAGATCTATAGACAGTAAATATGCGGCGAAATACCCCATTCCCGAAATCTACATATATGAGGGCTGCCTTCGGAGGTCGAGAGCAGCTTAAATCCTTAATGGCACACTTTTAATCCGACCGGAATCGCTTGGAAGACCTCGCAGCAATACCAAGACCTCCCAAAAGCGCAGAGACTCCAGTGAAGACAATCAGAGGTCCAAAACCAGAACCATATGCCTTGGCCGCAGCACCTTTCCAAGCAGACCGCTTGAGCAGAGCTTCACTCAGCGGACCACTGACAATATTACCAATACCTCGACCGGTAGACAAGAAACCAAAGACAATGCTGGAATCAGTATATGTGCTTTTCTTCTTGACTTCATTGACAATGGCGGGCCAGGTGGACGTGAAAGATCCGGCAAATAGACCGTAAAAGATGCAGAAGATATACAAGGGCGCTAGGGTATCAGCAAAGCCCCAGATCAAGAAAACGGCGAGGGTACTGCCGACCGTCGAACCGAGAATGCAGGTAGTAGCGTGATAACGGTCGACCATTGAGCCCATGATGACGCATCCGAACACAGAGGCGAGGTTAAAGAGCATTACTGTCAGCGAGGACTCGATGTTGCTGGCGCCCAGACTACGGGCGTAAGAAGGCAGGTAAATGGTTGGGAGGAAATAGCCCATCGCCTCCAGGATGTTGCCAGTTTCGTAGATAAGGAACGTAGAGTCCCAGAGGAACTTGAAATCGAAAGGTCGGGTTCGTGAATTCCGTGAAATAGGGAGACGAGGGCGAAGGAAGTACAGCAGTGGGCTGCCCAGGAGGATCAACACAACCGACCAGGCACGTAGTGTTGTTTGTGGTCCGAACGAATTGAGCATCCACTGAAGGACAATGGGGAGAATGACGCCAGAAAGTCCAGTACCAGCCTAGCAACGGTTAGAGAGTTATATATGACAACATGTCGACTCGGGAAATAATAACTCACCCACATGATGCCGAAAGCGAGGCCCTTTCTCTGGACGAACCAATCATCCATGAACACAATCGTGGGAGCATACGCCAGACTAGCTCCAATGCCATAAGCGACACCCTGCGAGATGATCAAGTGAGTGGTGCTGGTCGCAAAGGAGCTCAGTGAAAGCGCCAGGCACATAATCACAAAACCGATTGGCGCGGCCCATAGCTTGAGACGAGGAATGGCTTGCAGTAGAACGAAAGCCACTGGAAGTAGCATATACGAGATACCCTGTAATAGTTTAGTATCAGCCTGCCAATAGAACGCAAAAGTAGAAAACGGACCATCGCGCACGTTCCAACCACAGCAGTATCACCAGAACTCTTAAACGGCTCATGAGTACTGTAATAATCCTGGAAAATACCAAACGAGAAAGTGAAACCTAAATATCCAAAGTTAAACATTTGATACAAACAAAATTGAAGGATAGTTTTTAACATACCCCAAATCAAAGCCTCGATAATAAAACAGGCCGCCAAGAACAGCCACGCTCTTCTACCGCGATCCACCGGCGGCAAATTCATTTCGTGGTGGTCAGCCACGCTGTCTCGAGAAGAGACTTCAAAGGTCTCCATTGTCGTGGAACTACCAGAAGGAGCGCCACTCATGATAGGCAGGCTTCAGGGTTAGACAGGGTGTGTATGAAGGGTAAGAATTGGTTTGAATTTTGTGTGCAGAGTCTTTAAAATGCGCCCTGCACTGTGTACGCCCTGTCCTTGACATTCGTGTGGGGGCCAGTGTCTCCGGATGGGGGATGGCGTTATACTCCGATTGGCAGTGGACCTGCCCCACAGTATAGGGAGTGTTCAAGAGTATTACGCCAGAATTAGAAGAATTGCTGTAGAATATAGGGAGGATGGTGTCTTCTCATGCAATAGTAATCATACAGCGTGGAAGTTCACGAAAAGGAAGCATTGGTACCTAGCATAATGTGAAATGTACCTAGGACGGCGGACGGCTGTGGAGGGAGTCATCGCACAGCGTCTCTTCCTACCATTGCGACCCAGTTCACCAGGTATTATATCCAATAAGGCAACACCTAGTATAAGTTTTCTGCTCAAATTAGGAGTGTCGTAGCAATATTTGTCCATTCATATCCAATTTTCTCCTTACCACTTCCGCTCTCTATTCTCGTCTGCACAACTAGTACTGTACCAAGCGATATCGATTCCCAGACAATTATTCCCTGAATAGCATATATGTGACTAAATATGGGGTCTTTTATAACATTACCTTGTTGTGAGTAACCTCATTGGGACTGGGCTGTCGAACTTCGCAACAGGAGGTATTCCCATATTGCAGGCGAAAGACGAGGATGTATTTTGGTATAGTCTCCGCCGCGATGTCCTCGCCCGAAGGGGCGTGGAGCCCCTTGAAAACTCCCTTTTTTTAGAGTAATCAGATCAAACTAAATGCGCCAGAACCTATTCTCTTTTTCATATCAATCACCGAAAATCAAAAGCCGCTTATAAATGTTGGCAGCAATTCACCTAAGCCACAATTCTGGATCGGCTTTTGTTGTTCGCACTTTTGAGGCTCCGAACCCGAGCACGGGATGTTCCAATCACGGCGTTCGGTCTCCATACTTCCGTCTATTGAAGCTTCACATAATTTCAAGATGATATAATCATGGAAAGGCGCGCGCTAGAAGAATTTGCAGATCCCGCAAAAGCAAAAGATGCCGATTAGCCGCGAAGAATAGTCTATCTCATCTCCAAGCGTCCAAAATCCAAATGGTGGGATTTGCCCAAATCCCGTTCCAGACTTGCCCAAAGCGGACAAGCCCACGCCGCTGACTTAAACATTTACCTCAACTAGAGATCTGACACTCGTCATAATTGATCTACACTTTATCCAGACACCGCTCCGGGCACCCATGTCCTACTGTTGAAAAGGTGACTCCTTCACCGGGATTTACCTGTCACGATTCACTGTGTGGCGATAGGTGGACATTGCAGACCCTCACGCCGGTCAAGCGTGGCTTGCTTACTGTCTGTTGCGTAATGGGCGCTCACCAGGATTGGCTCTAATTTGCTTCAACACATCCTCTTTCGGCTTGGGCATGCTTAAGTAAAGGAACATTTTTTTGACTCACGCTTTAGTCATTGGCACTGGCTAACTATATATTCTGCGCCTGTCCAGCACTCGACATTAGCAACACCATCGACCCACAACAGCCATGGGCTTCTATGCGAAGGCAAGGCTGCCTCGCCCAAGCATCCATGACCCCTCGGTCAGGCCACGCCGACTGGCTGTGTTGAAGGCGGCAACTATCAACTTGCTTGTGCTTCAATTCCTCTTCCTAGGGCTATTCTGCTACATCTTTGGATCCTTGTTCCAACAAAACACACACATTCACAATATCAATATCCTTTTCGTCGACTACGACGGCGGTTCCATAGGAGCAGCAGTCGGCGATGCCTACCAAGAGCTAAAGGGGCCGAGTTTTCCAACCCTGGACGAGCGCCCGCCCCTGGCCTACCCTGAACCCAACTCCATTGCTTCCGCGGTATGCAACATTAAATTCTGGGGCGCTTTGTATATCACCGCCAACTCATCGAATGACCTCACTGCAGCTCTCGGGGGTGGATCCGCTGCCTCATCATACAATGCGAGCGATGTTCTCACTATAGTCTGGAACGAAGCACGCTACCCGGCAACTGCCGACGCTGTCGTCTACGACACGTTGGCCACTCTCTCAGAAGCTGCGCGAGTTGCTTACATGAGAACCAACGCAAAGCAAGCTATCCAATCAGTGAACAGCACAGACGAAGCAGCTCTCGCTATCTACTCCACGCCGTGGACACTGACCTCCGTGAATCTTCAACCAACCTCCCAAGGATCACGCCTCATCTACAACACACTCGTCATCATCCTAATCCTGATCCAGGAATTCTTCTACCTGGGTTACGTCAATGGTCTTTATCTCCAATTCAACCTCTACGCCTCCGTGACCCCCCATAGAATCGCCATTGTGCGACAAATCATCTCCGGCGTGTACACATTCGTCGGGTCCTTGTGCACCTCAGGCGCAATATGGGCCTTCCGAAGTGGCTGGAACGTCAATGGAGGGCAGTTCATGCTCACATGGATGGTATTATGGCTGTTTGCGCATCTGAATTTCCTCGTTCTCGACGTGTTTACTATCTGGTCGCCCCCGCCTTTCGTGCCGATGGCATTGATTTCGTGGATCGTGTTGAATGTCACGTCCATTCTTCTCCCATTCGAACTGTCACCGGGATTTTACAAATGGGGCTATGCTTTGCCCGCGCACAGCGTCTTCAATGTGCTGATCGATATCTGGTCCGGTGGGTGTAATCCACAGCTTTTCTATGGACTGCCCGTTCTATTTGTGTATGAGATATGTGGTCTTGCTCTTAGCACGCTTGGCGTCTATAGACGCTGTCATTACGCCATGATCAAATTGGAAAAGGACGCGAATGATGTGCAGGGACGAATTACGGCGTCGATTGCGGAACAGGAAGAACAAGAATTGTCGAGGCAGGAGACGGCTCAGGAATACCCCGAAAGCAGAGTCAGTGAAGGTGAACCTGAAGAGGGGGCTAGGGAGAGACGTGGAACTGTGACTACGATACCAGATCAAGGTGAGGTTATGGAAATCATTCGACGAGAGATGTCACGGCCGAGGGTGGAGACTGCTACTAGTCGGACGAATAATGGGCCCTGCTTTGATCTACCGTTCAGCGAGTAGTCAGGCAGATGTGAGAATGTCTGGTCTCACTTCTATTACCAGAGACTTGAGACGCGTTTTGATTTCATGATAAAATATGTATTTCGTGTAATTGTGCTGTGATATCCATAGTGGCGTCCACGCGTCAAGAATCTATTTAACACACATGAAGCCACATCCTTCGCGTGCCCGCTCACAAGCCCGCTTCAACGCCTGCTCTTCAGTATCCGTCCACTTTACACTCAACTCATTCCACGACTTGCGCGCGTTGAACTCTTGACGGTACTGGCGATGCATATTTTGCAGCCGGCTGACCTCACGTGGGTCGCCGGTGCCAGAGTACACGACGAAGAGCGTGCAGGGTGGCAGAGACTCGTAGATACGGGAGATATCTGTGACAGTGCGGGTGACTGTCTCAGCGAGACTCTTGGTGTCCGCCGGAGCGGTGGGACCGGTGGTCGGAGTCGTTTCTTCGGGAGGAGGGATGAGTGTCGTGGATTCGTTGGCGTTGTTGGCGTCCGGCATACGCGTGCACCAGCCCCGAGTCATTTCAAGGTTACGAAGGCGTGCCCAGGTGAAATCAACACCGCCGCCTGGAATGGTTGTGTTGGACTCATCGCCCTTGACGGCGGAGGCAATCCCCTTGACCACGTCGTCGTCATCGAGGCATCCAATCGAAACGGCTGCCTGTGAGCCGAATCCACGCTCTGGGTTTCCCCAGTCCACGACAGCGCCCGTCCGTCCCTCACCAGGAGTGGTGGGCTTTCCGTTCTTGGTGGACCGGGCTAGGCGACGAAAGATACTTTCGTTCGAGGCTTCACTTGTGCCCCAAAGCTCGCCTTTTTCACACTTCAGTTTGACAAGCTCAAGCACGGCCCGTGCATCTTCGACAGAATCATGGCCAGTCGTTCCCTTCTGAATCTCCTTGTTCAAGTATTTCTGAGTGAGCCACTTGAGACTGCACTTCAATGGCGGGCCACGCGGGTGGGGGTAGATGTGAGCAGTGTCGACGATGAATGGATGTGTGATTTTCAGTGCTGTCAGATCGGAGTTGAGGGAGTGTCCCACGAGGATAGTGCGAGGGGTCAAAATAGTCAAGAGCCGTTTCTGAATGTCGGCCAGTGTAGTCGTAACTGGATCAAGCATCTCCTTCGTGATGCCAGAGTAGCGAGTGAGGTAGTCAATGATCGGGTTGGTAGGTCTGACCAGCTCGTCGAGGACTACCTCGCCATCCCATCCAACCATACTGATGCGAGTGAGTTCGGAATGACCACCTTCGGTCAAACACATCTCACAGTCGAGGGACAGAACTTTCCGGCCCGCAGTCATGCTGCCTTGCTCGACCTCGGCGTCAGGTACCTCCCCCGACTCGAGGGTGGAAACATCTGTATCAACCCAGCCGTTTTCCGTAGATTGCTCTGCCCGATGACGGATTTCCAGTTGAGAGGCTTTGTCTTCGTCTGAGGTGAAAAATGCCGGATGAAGAGTGTACTCGTTCTCACGCAGGTCCTCTGCCGTGCTCAGGAAGGTCGTAATCGGTGTCCGCTTTGGCACGAAGGCCTTATCGACTTTGGCGGGCCGCGCGCCCTTTCCGTTGCCGCCGCTCTCCTTCGACTTCGGTAGTGATGATAATAGAATGGCCTGAAGAGGTGAATGCACCTTATTGTACTTGGGATCACCGGGGGCTTTGACAGGCCAGATGTGAGGGAACATGTTGGCCAAGGGACGCAGGGGCTCAGGCAAGGTCTCTGGATCAAGAACTCGTGGATTAAACTGGCCTGAGCGATCCTTGAGAGGGAGGCCTTGCTTCCATCGCTCAAAGTCGGCATTCTTTCTGTCGTCCGCCGTCTCTTCTGTCACTTCGGGCTGAATGGCAGTGTCCTTCTCCTTGTCCTCTTGCTGTGAATCCAATGGCAGTGTGCCGTCAAACATGCCAATCTCTAGCCCAGGGACCATCAGGACAACCACCTTCCGCATATGTCCAGAGTGCTTGATCGAAATCCATTGCGGTGCGACCCCGTCTGCAAAGCAATAGAGTAGCAAGCCTTGTAAGTCGGCAATTCTGATCGAGGACTGCAGGGTTCCCTCCACATAAGTCAGGTCCGGGTATTTGGTCTTTTCTCCGTCCACGCGTTTCCTCTTGGTACTCGGCTTCTGTCCATCCTTGGTGCTTTGAGAGGTGTTGGTGGCTGTCTCATCGGACTTGGGAGTCAAGGGACGATTCAAGCGAGAAAGGGTCTCTGCAACACCGAAACCAGTTCCATTAGTATCAGCGACCGGGTCAGAATCCTCATCCTCACGCTTTCGCTTGTTGTGGCGCGCCATTTCTTTCTGCTGTTTTCTTGAGACTTCACGTCGCAAAGCAGTAGAGAAATCGTGTCGTCAATCACGTGTTGATAAGAAGCGATTGCCAAAGCGGAGAGACACCATTTGCTGGGGGAACAGAGAACGGAGGCATGCAGACCGCCTTTGGGACCGCCTACATCTGTGTCTTACAATAAGCGGCAGTACTGTAATTTACGCTATCGCCGTAAATTGTGTAAAATTACACGTAACTGCCCAACGATCTGATAACGGACGATCGCCGGAAAATTCGCCCTCGTCACGCCATCGATCTTCAACTCTCTTCTATACACTTGCATCCCAGCACAGCCTCCAATTATCCACGGCGGCAAGCAAAGTTTATTATATCCAGGCTCTATCTGCCACAACATAGTCGCCAGGTCCTACCCACGGTCTGCCTTTCTCTCCTTACATCCACCCTCTCCTCCGACTTCGGGAAACCACTCCATCAACCAACCCCCCGCAACATCATGTCCGCCCTCATTGAAGTCGCCTCGGAGGCCGACTTCACCTCGCACCTGGCCTCGCTGTCGCCGTCTGCACTACTAATCCTCTACTTCCACACGCCATGGGCCGCACCATGTACGCAGATGCGCGCCGTCCTCGAGGCCATCGCCGGCCAATACCCCGCCGCCTCCCCGCCCGTTATCTCGTTTGTCGGCATCAACGCAGAGGAGTTGCCCGATATCTCGGAGGAGCTGGACGTCACAGCGGTGCCATTCGTCGTGCTGATGCGCGGTGGTCAGAGGCTCGAGGATATTAGCGGAAGCGATGCTGTCAAGGTCCGCACCGCTATTGAGCGTCACGCGGGTGGCGCGGCGCCCGCGGACGGCGCAAAGACCAGCATTCCTGCTGCCCTCACTGCTACACCCCGGGAGAATGGGCCTGATGTTGCGACACAGCCTCCTGCTGCTGCGACTAATGCACCTGAACCCGCAGCCAATGCCATTGATGTCTCGTCTACTCCCGCCCTGACTCCCGAGCAGACCAAAGAGGCTCTGTGGGCCCGCCTGGATCAACTTGTTAAGGCCGCCTCTGTGATGCTGTTTATGAAGGGTACACCCAGTTCGCCGCAGTGTGGCTTCAGTCGGCAGCTTGTCGGAATTTTGCGTGAGCGAAGCGTTAAGTACGGCTTCTTCAACATTTTGGCCGATGAGGATGTCCGACAGGGTCTGAAGGAGTATGCCGACTGGCCCACTTTCCCGCAGTTGTGGGTGAGCGGCGAGTTGGTTGGTGGACTGGATATTGTACGTTTCTTCCTTCTTACCTCTGGGTGGTTTCAATTGATAGACAATCGGGTTGCTAATTGCTCACTTCAGGTCCGCGACGAGATCGAGAACGACCCAAGCTTCCTGGACCAGTTCTCCGTCAACAAGCAGTCTTAGGTGGTCGGTCCCAGCATGATACCCCCCTACCTACCGGGGGCCGAATATTCAAAATGAACAATACTATGATACGCGTATCCGCTTGATATCAGAAAAGCCTTGCAATTTCAAGGATATGTATTTCACTACTTTAAATTTATACATTTGAGATCTTGAAACCGTATGCATATTGTCTCATGCAGCTCGCGTCGTAAATGTTCCCCCAGCCACATCCTGATAATGCACAGTGGCTGTCACTAGGTACAGCAGGTATCGCAGACCGCGAAATCACAGGTCAATCGCAACGCTATCTTCGCTCAAAAATGCCAATTTGCGCAAATAAACTCAACATCATACCAGTCACTCGCTGAGCAGATACTGCACCCTTGTACTACAAGGTGGGGTTCCCCAGCTCAGAGACCTTGCTCTGTTCAATGGGTTCAGGCTCCCTCTCTTGGCCCTCTAACGCCTTACCAACTTCCCCAAGAGGCCCAGCCTCCCGAACAAACTTCTGTCCTTCTCGTAAGCGAACCTCTGCAAGAGCCAGCTGTGCCTCGTATGCCGAAGTCTCGGCAATCTCTCGACGGACTCCCTCAAGACCCACGAAAGGATCAGCAGCCTTCCACGTAATAGCCTCATTCTCTCGGCATACAGCGTAGCGAGACAACAGTGCATCCTCGTCCACATACGCACCGGCCAGCCACCGCGAACCAGAGCTGGTGTTGAACTTGTTACGGGCGTGAACGATGCGACGGTTGTTGAAGATCACGCACTCTCCCGGATTCAATTTCAATTGGAAAACTGAATGCTGGGCCTCCATGATCTTGATGAAGTGGGTCAACGCCCGCTTGAGATCAACGTAGCCGACAGTACCAGAGCCAGCTTTGCCTTCATATTCAGGCAGGGCAGACTGGAAGGGTGGCGAGTAGTTGACGTAACGAAGCTCATTTGTTTTGGGATCGAGCTGGAAGACGGGCCTGGTGTTGTGGTACTTGTGCTCGTCATGAGCGTACTCGTAGCCCAGATGGCGACGAGAGAGTGCCTTGTACTCGGTGGGTAATTCGCTCTTCATGATGTTGGCAGCACGGAATGTATCGGCGAACAAGGACTCGCCTCCATCGCAGGAATTCTCCAAGCAGTGGAGTAGCTGGTAACCCGGAGGTTCATTCATGTACATGAGGTCCATGTGAAAACCAAGGAACTGGTTTGTGTATGCAACGTTCTTGGCCTGTGGTACGGTCTTCACATCCCAGGTCTCCCCGTAGAAGGTATTGCGTAGAGGACCCATCCGAGTCGCGATCTTCGCGACCATTTCGCGTGAATCGGGAATATCCTTGACAAAGATCAGGCCGAGACGAGACAGGTTGCGCATAGCTGCCGCGAACTTGGCATCGTCCTTCATGTAATCCTCATATGATACCCAATGTTGTAATCGACTCATCAGATTACTTGTCCACCGAAGAGGCTTCATATTTGGGGAGGTTTGTTCGTGAGGGTCCAGAATGGGGTTCTTGAGGTATTTAATATTCCAACGAGATGTATGGTCCTTTCCGTAGCCGGCAATATCATTGGCCCATGTCACCTCTAAGTGTGTTCCATCCCACCGCACGAGTCGAGGATAGACACCCTTTGGAATATCACTCGTACGGAAAGACCGTTGCTTCGAGTGCGGATCCACACACTTGGGACACTTGCACAGGTCGCGCAGGTAGTAAAAGGGCAGTATAGTTCGACCTTGATCCGCAACCCACAAGACCAACTTATCCGGGTGAAGGTAAGCCTCCGCAGGCTTCATGATCTCCATCCGGATGAGTGCTTCTGGCTGCCCGTTTGAGGCAGCGCGTCTGACTCGACTGACCGTGACCGGCTTGCCATCGCGCTCAACCAAGCGGCCAGTTTTGATCGCATCGAGAAGAACTGCATTGTTTGTTAGACGGGCCATCGCATCCTGCTCGGATTGGCTCCGTCGGACCGAAGTAACAAAACTGCGCCGTGCAGGGCCGGCGAGGCCCCGCGAGATTCGTCGCGCCGCAGCGAGGGAGGCAGGACGCATTGAACAGGTTGTGGGAAAGCAATTGGGACAAATGAGTGTATCAACGAAGAAGAAACGAAGGGCAAGAGAGGAGGGGACGCGAGCAACATGTGATGTCCCTGGACCCCGGACTGCGCTAGTAACAACTGCTCCCCATTTCGGGCTATTGTAACCGCGGTGACTGCCCGTTACCCGCCCGTACGGAACTGTAAGGGTTTGGATGCCGAGGTACGGTCACCTGACTACTCCGTACTTCCAATAACAAACGAACTAACGCAGGTTGTGCCTGGTAGATGACGTAAAGTGCTGCCCTGTTGCCTCACATATCTGGCGTCAAGGCAGAACAATCCGGACTTACGTAAATCACCGCGGATACCCCCATTCCTGTCGCCCCCGGCTAAATTTATAACAAAGAATAAAATAACAAACTGGTAATCGAGGACCCATCATGGAATTCAGTTCCTAACAAGCCCCCGTTCACACAGTCATGTCAACTGGGGGTCATCATCTCAAAGATGAAGGGACCAAGCGACAGGTGGTACTTGCTGGCGGAGCCGCAGGGCTGATCTCGCGCTTTTGCATTGCGCCGCTCGATGTCGTCAAGATCCGCCTGCAGCTGCAGATTCACTCCCTGTCGGACCCGGTCTCACATCGGACGGTGGTCGGTCCCGTATACAAGGGAACGCTGTCAACAATGCGGGACATTGCGATGCAAGAGGGGATTACGGTGCGTTTTGTGTTTTCTGATCGCGATGTCGAGTCCTCTACTGGACCCAGCGATCACAATTGCGGAGGCGGGACCAGCTAACGATTTCTGGGGAACAGGGTCTATGGAAAGGCAACATACCCGCCGAGATGATGTACGTGTGCTACGGAGCCCTCCAATTCACCGCATACCGAGCGACAACCCAAGCGCTGGAACAATTGGGTCCGTACCGACTTCCGCAATCCGCCGAATCTTTCGTATCAGGTGCCTTAGCCGGCGGAATCGCAACGGCGACGACATACCCGCTCGATCTACTCCGCACACGCTTTGCCGCACAGGGAACGGAACGCATTTATCGATCTCTGGGATCGTCGGTGCTAGAGATCGCACGGCAAGAGGGTGCCGCCGGGTTCTTCCGGGGATCCTCAGCGGCCGTCGTGCAAATTGTACCATATATGGGATTGTTTTTCACAGCATACGAGGGCTTCCGACCAACAATGGCCAAGTGGGATTCTTTACCGTTTGGGACTGGCGATGCCGCGGCCGGTGTTTTGGCTAGCGTCATTGCGAAGACCGGCGTGTTTCCCTTGGACTTGGTACGGAAGCGTTTGCAGGTGCAAGGCCCAACACGGACTCGATATGTGCATCGCAACATACCTGAATACACTGGAGTCATACAGTCCATCAATCTGATATTGCGCACGCAGGGCGTGCGCGGGTTGTACCGCGGGTTGACTGTCAGCTTGCTCAAGGCGGCGCCGGCCAGTGCCGTGACCATGTGGACCTACGAGCGGGTTTTGAAATTGCTTCAGGAGACACAGCTGGCGGCACTGGATTAAGAAATTGCTTGTTTGCTTATTGCATCTGAAGGTTGCACATGGGGATCATAAATTAGCATGCGACGGCGTTCATGGGAGGTTCTTATGGAGTTCCATTGCTAGATAGATAGTCAATTGTATTATGGATCATATTGACCAAAGTCCTGACTGTAGGCTGTTCTGCTTGCTCCCGCTGTTTTGATCTAGGCTATTAGCTGTATCTTTCTTATGCTCCTCATGATGGAGAATTCAGCAGGAACTCGGATGAGCTGTCGTTTCATTCCAAATGCCAATGTCTATAAGGAAACGAGGCATCCATGGATGTGTATCTAAGGTTCAAGAGTAGTGACATGCAGAATCATATTCCGCTTCCTGCCAATACAAGCTTTTGTTAGGTTTGGGACTTATCACGTTCCTCATAGATATTAACCCCCTCGGAACGCCGGATTCGGTGAGCTTCATATACGACAAGCACCCTTGAACCACAGTCAGAAGACGAATAGAAAAGGGACCAATCCTTGACGAGTTCTAAAGGACAATTACTCACCAGTTGCTGTAAATCAAGCATGGACACGTTCCAGGGTTGTGAACAACTTCAGTCTTATTTCTAGCTAACGGGAGGATTATATACATCCCCATTTGGAGCCAAATCTCGGACCCAAACATGATTCCGACGACTGGAGGACATAACAATTTACCGATTGAAATGTTCGTTCAGGACTAATGTTTTAGCTTGCATTTTTAGATTTCGAAGTAGGAGAATGAGACCTGAATCGAGTTTGATCACGTCAGAAATAGTTCAACGTGTCGTGATTACTGTTTCTGAAATCCAATCCCCACTCTTATTAAGAGCGGAAGGCCAGGCGGTAGAACGGGACGTGGTTGAAGGATCTATGGATACGACACTAAACTTAGTGGCGTCCCCCAGCCTCGTACCCCTTTTCTCTTCTCAATTTAACCAAAAGGCAAAGTTTCAGTAGCAAAGGCCCTGTGCTGTGCTTTTATTCATCGCATCGATCATGGCTCCAAATGCCCAGGTTACTCTGATTCCTTGGGACCCGGCGTCCGTGACTCATCGACAGTGGCTCATCAGGCAGCGGGATGAGTGCGGCTGGGATCAGGACAAAGTTGAGACCACGTGGAAAGAGTACCAGACAAAAGGATATAAGTGCATCTATTGGATTGTAAGTGGTTCCTATTAAATAGTCAAGCATTACAAAAATTCACCCGTCTATACATATACCGTGGTGGTTCTCATGTTTTTCTCAAAAGGTCCTATCTCCAGATGATCTGGAAGGGGGAAAAGATGTCAACAATACACTAAAGGTAGAATTCTCGTGTTTGCCCGGAATTCCCATCCGCATAATAACAATGGACTATAGACGAATGAACCGCTCCGGGATACCGCTCAATCTATTAATGGGGTGTCTCGTGTAGCCACCCAAAAAGAATTCGTTCCTATCGGGCACATCTCTTTGGATGCGCGAAATATAGGAGTAGAAAAAGTGGGAATCGCTAGCTCGGCGCCTGGCTTATTCTGGGTTAAAACGTTCTTCGTGTCCGGAGCCTTTCAGAGCAAAGGTATCGGACGGGCAGCAATGGACGAGGTAGAGTTGATGGCCACCAGAGAGCCACTACTCGCGACAACTTTGATGCTCGATGTTATTCTGGGAGAAGACCAGATGAGGAAGGAATTCGCTCTGGCAACTTTTGGAAGCATTCCGAAGGTAATCAACCAAGCGCAGCTATCGTGATCTTGCTATCTGACTCATGAATAAATAGTTCACTACGGAGGAGTGGTACCTCCGCAGAGGATACAAGCCTGTGAAGGCAGTGCAGAACTATTATGATGCGGTGGATCGGAACGGAAAACAATGGGATATGAAGACGATCTTTATGAAGAAGAAGATTGGGTGAAAAGCGCGGACGACGATGTGACGACTAGACACGTCACAGGGAGGACGAGGCTTTTGTATTTGGTGTAAAATTTCAACATTAGAAGTCAGTACCCATATTAAGCGTTTACGGCATTATTTACGATGTCTATTCTGCAATTTGAAAAATTCAAACCAATCGGTTATTAAATATCTCAACAAGGGTGAAGTCAAAATCAGAGCCAGACTTATACACAATACATGAACGAGTCGTTTTCAGATGACTAAAAAGCAAGAACAAACAGCGCTGATTAACACAAAATCCAGAAAAAAAAAACAATTTACTTCTTGCCTCCCAAGCCCAAGGCATCAGTCAAGCTGCCCAGACCCAGACCGTCGATCAACTTGTCGAGTCCAAGACCACCAAGGATGCCATTCAAGAGACCACCCAGGCCAAGACCGTCGAGCAGACGGCCAACCAAGGTGAGCACACCGTTCAGCAAGAGACCAACAGCAGCGATGATCTGGAACAGTGGCTCGGAGAGCAGAGCCCACAAAGGGTTCAGCTTCTTCTTGGCATGAGGCATGTCGGCAATGCGCTTCTTGCCGTTGTCTATGGTCTTCACCACGGTCTCGGTCAGCTCCTTGATCATATCAGCCAGCTGGTATTCTTCGGGTGTCGCATCGCGTGTCGAGGCGCGAGCCTTGGCGGTAGCAGCGATACGACCATCAGGATCGAGAGCACGGATGGAGCCATTGCACTCCTGCAGGAGGCGGCCGCCCTCTTCGATCAGAGGCTTGACGTCCTTGACCAGCTTCTCTTCATCAAGCTCGTCCTTGGGAGTGCGGTCTGCTTGCTCGAGGCGCTGTACAAGGCATAGTTAGTCATCCGAATGTTCTTATACGCGTTTTGGGTCTGAACTTACGTCGGTGATTTGCTTGCAAACGGGCTTGACCTGGTCAAGAGTCTGGCGCAGGATGTGACACATTTTCTCGGCCAGTTGGCGATCCTGCTCGGCCTTGGCCTGAGCCTCCTGCTCTTCGGCAGTAGGACCTTCGTCGGAGATGTTCTCCAGGAGAGTACATTCGCCAAGCTTATTGCCGTCGTTGTCGACAACAAAACCGTTGTCGTCAATTGTCTTGCCGACCAGAGTAGCCAGGTTACCGGAGGTCAGCTTGCCAATCAGGTTGCCATCGGCATCATGCACTTCACCCTCCTTGTTGACCTTGCGGCCTGACATAGGGTTGACGTCGCGTTTCTTTTCCTCGGGCTCCCAGCGCTCGGCCTTGCCAATGGTGTTACCGTTCTTGTCGACAACATCACCATCCTCATCGACCTTGCGGCCAAGAAGACGCTTGGCATCGCCCTCGATCAGACGGCCGATGATTTGGTCACCGGAGATAACGACACCATCCTTACCAACTTCGGCATTATCCCAGCCGTAGAATGGGCCTTCCGCCTTGTCTTGCTCAGCTCCAGGGATGAGCTCGGCACGACCGATGACCTTGCCGTCGTCGCCCCAGATCTGGCCCTTACCATCAACCTTGCGGCCAGCCATGCGCTTGTCACCCTCGACAACGCGACCGACAACAGCGCCGGTGGCTGGGTCAACAACCTTACCACTCTTGTTAACCACCTTGCCCTCGAGGGAGAGAGATCGGCCTCCTCGGGAGCTTCCTCCTCTGGGGGCTCGTAGGGCTCAGCACGGCCCTTGACGTTGCCGTACTTGTCGGTAATCTCGCCATCCTCGTCGACACAGTGGCCGCGGAGCTTCTTGGCATCGCCTTCAATCAATTTACCCACGATGGTACCGTCCTCATCTTCAACAAAGCCATCCTTGGTGACGACCAGGCTCTCCATGCCTGCGAAGGGTCCTTCAGGGTTGTTCTCAAGCTCGTCTTCGGGGATAAGCTCGACACGACCGACCACCTTCTTGCCGTCATAGATCTCGCCATCCTCGATCTTCTTGCCAGCAATCTGCTTGGGGTTACCCTCAACGACGCGGGCAATGGGGAAGCCTTCGTCGCCGATCACGTATCCGGCCTTGTTGCAGTGCATGCCGTTCAACACAGAGACATCGGGAGCAGCTTCCTCTTCAGGCTCGGGTTCATCGTAGCGCTCAGCGCGACCAATGACACTGCCATGACGATCAAGGATCTCGCCGTCCTCATCGACACCACGACCAGACAGCTTCTTGGCGTCACCTTCAACAAGCTTACCAACACGGTTTTGGTTCTCATCCACGATCCAGCCATCCTGACCGACGACGAGACCCTCATAACCGGCGAAGGGTCCCTCCTCATCCTTGTCTTCTTCGACGGGGAGGGCCTTGACCTTGCCAATGACGTTGCCACGATTATCCCAGAATTGACCCTTGTCATCAAGGGTTGCCTTGAGTCGGGAAATCTTCTTGGGATCGCCTTCGATGAGCTCGCCAATGGGTTTGTCAGTGGTCTGATCGATAATATAGCCGCGCTTGTTGCATGTGAGACCTTCAAGGGTGTCGAGGTCGGGGATGCGGACGCCCTCTTCGACATCTTCAGCGGCACCTTGCGCCTCATCAGCGACATCCTCGGCAGTTTCTTTAGGCTCATCAAGGGCCCCTTCGGCAGTATCCTTGGCCTCATCGACATCGGGTACCGCGTCGCCAGCCTCGTCGACGGCATCTTCAGCCTGATCGGCGGTATCATCAACGGCTTCCTTAGCCTGATCGGTAGGAAGGCCGTCCTCGGCATCTTCAAAGTCCTCCTCAGCTTCCCCCTTGGCACCATTCACCTGCTCAGTGACATTACCGGCAGCTTCCTGGATGTTCTTCTCCTGCTCTTCGACAGGGAGCAGCTCGACGCGACCAATCGCATCGCCCTCATCATCAACAACTTCGCCATCGTCATTCAGAGTATATCCAATGAGGTCTTCAGGATCGCCCTCAACGATCTTTCCGACCACCTGATCAGCAGAGTTCTTGATTACGCCGCCATCAGACACAGGAAGACCCTCGAGTTGGGCAAGGTCGGTGACAACGTTCTTCGCTTCGTCAAGCTTGGACTCGGCATCGTTGGGGATGTCCTTTGCCTGATCTGCAACATCGTGGAGGATGTCCACACGGCCGATCATATCACCATCCTCGTCAAGGATCTCGCCATCATCACCGATGGTCTGACCAACCAGATCCTCGGGGTCTCCCTCAATGACCTTGCCCAGAGGGTTACCGTCTTGTCCCAGAACCTGACCGCCATCGGCAATAGAAAGACCCTTCAGAGCAGACAGATCGAGCGGAACGTTATTGGTAATAGTCTCTCCACCTTTTGAGCCGGTATCCTTCGCCTTTCCAGCAGCACCTTTGGCCTTCTTGGTCATACCACCCAGAGGAGTGGCAGACCCCGAAGCCTGCGAGACTGCATCACCGGGTGGAGAAATAGGGCGGCGTTGTTCGGAAGAAAGGCTCTTCTTCTGGGACTTGGGGGAGGGGGTCTCGGGAACTGAAATGTCGTCATCATCTTGGATGGGCTCGGGGGCCTTCGGAGTGAGCTTCGTGGCGGGAGTCTTCTTGCTGGACTTTGTTGGGGTTTCTGAGACGCTGGGCTTGGAGGCGGCGCTGGAGCCAGAGCCTTTGCGCAGCTTGGCGGGGGAGCCGGTCTTCGATCCCACCTTGGGTGGTGCTTTTCCAACGGCGGACATTCTGTTTGATCGATTGGAAAAAGAGTCGTTGAAGCTTCAGAGCAGAGTTGCTATACTGGGCATCATGGTCAGCAATAGTCACAACTTCAATGAAGTATGCAAGTACTCACAATACAATCAAGTCGTGAAACGGATTCAAAGAAAAATAAACGCTCGTGTCTTGATACAGTAACGTCGTAGAGCTTCGTGAAGTGTTTCAGCAATAGATAGGATTGGATATAATACAGAGCAAGAGCCGAGAGATAGGTAAGGTTTGAGGCTAATGCAAAATAATGGATAATATTATAGAAGGAAAGAGGAATTTCGAAGGTATCTCGAGAAGAGGCTTGTCTTATAATACTCTGTTCAAGAATTCTGATATCATCGAGCTTCTACAAACCACGCAATCTAGCTAGACGCCCTCGCATCAGGTACCACCATCTGCTAGCCTACTACGTCATGGGCCGGCCATTGATATCATTGCTGGTATCTAGCCCTCCTCCAATTCCTGTTAGCCAAGGCGTCGAACCGAACAAGAGGCCTCTGAAGAGTGCACGGTACAGGGAGCAGTAGTACTATCGACCAGAGAAGCGGGGAGGCAGAGAGCCACAGGGCGGCCGGTAGTATCATCGCTGGCATCATCATAGTGGGGCTGACAGCGGAGCTTGTTCAATGGAATGGCACCGATCCCTCTAGTCTGACAAGGACGTACCACAAATATGAGCTTTTATTTCGGGATTGTGGCTGAATCGGGGGTATGGCAGGATTGGTGGATGTGGAGCACAACGTGGTGGGATGGACAACGTGGTGGGATGGACAACGTGGTGGGATGGAGTATATCATGACGCGAAATGGGACCAAGTGTAACGTTTCTTTTTCTGGGGCATTAAACAATGAAGTTCTAGAGATGTTGATGGTTGTTCACATCAGGCGATGAAGATGATGTTCATCTTTTTGAATATCATCCTGCTAATGCTGGGCTGAAGAATACATGCACGTGTACTTGACAATGCCTTGCTGCATCAGAAAGTGACAGGCGGAGAATTCGTCATAATTATGGTTGACTGGTTGTTGGCACATTGCGAGCCATGGAAGTATGCAAGTCCCGCCATTTGGATAAAGCAACCACGAACGAATCAGAATGCTATATGGATAGATGAGCAGGAGGGCCTTTGCTCCATTATACCCGCCTTGATTTGCCTCCCATCCAGTGAGTGTTTCACGCTGTCACCCCCTGTCACTGTTCCTGTCTTGTGGTTCATGACCATGATCATGCCTGGTTCACTTTCAAGCCTCGACGTCGACTGTGCAGCTTGGAATTAGCCAGTATCACGCAAGAATTGAGATTGACCGATCATCATTACATCAAATAATTAATTCTTTTGGAGACGGTGGAGACGGCGGCTGTTGGACTGTGCAACTATACACTGCCGCTTGACTGCCCTACAGCAGGTAATATCACTTTGTTTGCTCAAAGACTTCTTCTAGACACGCCTGGATTGTGGGATCAAGAACAGCACCATTGTCTTTCCACGGTACTCCAATTTCGCTACCCTGATTTAGTACTGACAATGTCCGTAAACAAGTTATACAAGCGAATACCACCCTTGATATATCATTTTCTTGCTAGCTGGCCAAAACATGTTAGTCAAAACCGCATGAACCAGGATACCCCCCTGTCGGCAGCGATACGAGTGGTCGAGCACCCCCAAGTCACCGGAGTCTGGGCGGGATGAGATCATGATCGATCGGGACGATTCATCATTTTTAATCTATTTAAAGTGGGGCCGTCAGCCACACACTTCATGGCAGGCGACAGCTGATATCATTGAGGCAAATTCAAGGCAGCGAAGGTGTGTTTGGTGTTTCAGCTTCCAAAGATTATTGCTATGCTTGCTACCCTGCGATCTACCATCTTATAAAAACTTCTGAAGAGGGTGAAAGGTTGTTTGTTATCTTATGCTCGGTATCACCTTGAATGACGTCCGATCCGCGACCAGTCCCACGCCGCGTGGACTGACCCGCTGGAAAATCCCCGACAGCCGCCAAATCAGAGTTCAGCACTAAGGATAACGGCGCGCAAATCAAGTTTTCTTGGGCCGTGCGTGAAGCACTTTGGGGTCCTCCTTGATTTAGAAACTGGGGCAATTTCTTCGTGTTGCATACATAGAGAAGTCTGGAAATCCTTCTTTTCTTGTCCTAACACAGTAAATTCAAGACTGGTCATTCTATCAACGCCCATTTCGAGGTATATCGAATATCACGTGTCTGCGATACACATTCATTCGCCAAGTCTCAATCAAGGCCTACCTATTTCTAAAAATCTAGTCTAGTTGAAGTCTCACGGCATGATCTATAGGTTAGCAATTCTGATTGATTGGAGTATGAGACTGGAATGCTGAGACATATTGATGCGTTGGGATATCCTGACATTGTTATGTTCTGTGCTGACAATTTCCTGATGCAGCAGATCATCCTCTTAAGATGCTCACTCTCAACTACTATTCTATCTTATAATATTTCGCCTGAACTACACCAACCATCCCTACAAAGTTGACCATGGTTTACCAAGTACGTTATCCACAGACATTACCATACATCTCCTAGTGAATTTTACGCCCTGGGAATTTGTCGGCATCGTCCATGTCTGACTGAGTCACCTAAGAACATCAAGTACAACATGGGGAATCCTTGCACGATAAAGAAAAAGTCGGAAAAACGACAACACAAGTAATCAACGGCCTTCGGCAAGGCAAACGTCATACAGCCGCCCCTTGAATGCTGCAAGTTTGCAAATGGGATTGCGCAAAGCTTTATCAGCGTTGGGATCATCTCCCGCTATTATCACAGCCGCGTTTATTCATTCCCCGTCGCTATTATCATCCTGAGCGTCGCAAGCTAGGCTGGAATCCAAGGCCGTGGTTTGGTGGATCCCGCTTCGAATGCACGATCTGTATCGCCTCTGATCCGATGATGCGTTTATTAATAAGGCGGCGAATATACTCCATCGTCCACTCCTGATCCCGCTTGTTGGTTGTCTACACCTCACATCTCAAATTAGCATATCATCCCTTCCAAATAAGCAAGCACTTACATCGTTAACCGGTGCTAAGAAATTCTCACTAATCCCAGGGGTCGGAATTTGAGAAGCCACAACTTCAATATCACCCCTTGGATTAGCATCTGCCTTCTTCACGCCCGAATAATCATCGACAATATATGTAGAATCAATCTCTCCGATCGGAATTATCTCATAGTTTTCGACAGAGTCGTTGGAAGGTGAATAATTTCGTTTGAATTCCAGCATATAGCCAGCCATCGGTGCTCCCACGACCTCGATTAAGGTTCCTTGCTCTGAGGCCCCTTCGGCAGGAACAAAGATCGCAAAATGCGCCCGTTGAGCTTCGGCATTGCGGGATGCGATGAGATGTACGGTTCGGAGTGTCATAGATGATAGATTTCAGATGTTGTAGAAGGAGAAATCTTTCCAGGTTCAGGTGCGATCTTGAATTCATGCAACTGACGTAATAGGAACAGGGCGGAGGCTCTCCACTGCGGGGTACTTCAAGATTGCCAGCTTTTGATTACACGGGAGAAGTATACATAGCATAGCTTCTAGGGACCAAATCGACAACTTGTTCTCCTATATCCCTAAACATCACCTGCGTCGTTAGTCATGAAACAGGATACACCATCCATGATGAATGAAGGGTTCCCAGTCATACTCTCTCGGGATAGCCAACAGCCATGTTTGGACGGAAACTTAATATCCGCATGTAGAGTGGAGTGTTAGCGATGGGCAGTGATTGTCACACAAAGGAGTACATTGTAACAGTGTACCCCTGATATGCCTTTTTGACTGTAGAAATCACGATTAGTCCCTACCATGGAGAGGGATCGGTTGCTATTCTGCAAAGAATGTACTTGCAACAGCATAGGAGATTTGACGAGCGTCTTGCCGAATGGCCTAAATTATAATAAACACCGATTTGTCAGGATAGAGCATTGAATAGTTATATAGCACTGTCAACCTAGCAAATATTCGTCGGTGCAGGAGGGAAAGAATCGGTCGTGGCCGGCCATCTGCTATCTCGTCCCGATCCGAAAGTCGCCTCGAGAATATTTAAACAAGCACTGATTCGTGGTGCCATAACTGTTTATTAAGCTGGGATGGGTTCGATACTCCTGCATAGTTTCCCACTAGCTAGAAAAGAGCCCCTCATCTAATCGTACTCTAACTAGTTCAGACTTTAACCCCGCTCCCCACCGAGAGATAAGCCTCGCAATACAACCTAGGGAGAGGAGCTATCCATGTGAGTTCCCTCATTCTCCAATCCTTCCTCACCCAACTCACCAAGTCAGTGACTGGAGTAGTATAGCTCGGAGTTCCTGATGGCTGACGCAGGAACATATCTCCTCTGGATAGCTGGTGAAGAGAAGGCCGGGGGAGCCGATCTGTACGTGTCCTAGGTGCAACCGTTATCGTTCCAAAGCCTAAGAATGAACAGGATTCCCATCGAAGACCCAGCAACAGGCGAAATTTTCGCCCGGTAAGTGCACATTGCCCAAATCCGACACTTTCAATCTAACTTCGAAAAGTTGCCATGCTGCGTCCGAAGAAGACGTCGAGTCCACGGTCGCTGCGGCCCACGCTGCATTCAAATCCGGCATCTGGTCGCGAGCAAGCCGTCACCAGCGCGCCGATGTTCTCGAAAACTGCGCATCCCTCCTGTCAAATGCCCTCCCGGAACTGATTACCCTGGAATCAAAGCAGACGGGACGAGTGATCAAGGAAATGCAGGCCCAGGTCCCTTCTCTTGTGAAATGGTTTAAATACTACGCCTCCTTGCTCCGAGTTGAAGAGCGATCGGTTCTTCCCACTACTGGGAAATTGCACAATTTCATTGACAGGGTACCACTGGGAGTAGTAGTGCAAATCACTCCTTTTAACCACCCGCTTCTCATTGCGGTGAAGAAAGTGGCTCCTGCACTTGCAGCAGGGAATAGTGTCATTCTAAAGCCCAGCGAGCTGACACCTTTGACATCTCTGGTGCTGGGGAAGATTCTTTCTCAGGCTGGCGTTCCAGCTGGTGTGTTTAGTGTCTTATCAGGATACGGCGGGACGACGGGGAAAGCCCTTGTTTCTCACCCTTTAGTAAGAAAGGTAGACGTGACTGGAGGGACGTTAGCAGGGAGAGCGATCGGGTCAATCGTCGGCGGCAACCTGGCCAAGTACACTGCTGAGCTTGGAGGTAAAGCGCCCTTGGTCGTGTTTGATGATGCGGATATTGACGTTGCTGTGAATGGAATTGCGTTTGGAAGCTTCATTGCGAGCGGACAGACGTGCATTGCCAGCACGAGAATCATTGTGGACACGAAGATCAAGGATGATTTTCTGCTGAAGTTGTTGATGAAGGTGAGAGGGATTACGAAAAGGATTGGGAGCCCTCAATATCCAGATTCAATTATGGGCCCTCTTATATCTGGGAAGCAGCTTCGGAATGTTGAGCGACTTGTGGATGGGTCTATAAATGACGGCAAGGCTGTACTTCTCAATGGGGCCAAACGAATGATGGGAACGAGTCCTCTTGATGGGTCAGATCTTTCAAAGGGTTACTTTTATGAGCCTACAATTCTAGTGTCTCCCAAAGGCGACGAAAGCATCACCGAATCATCAATCTGGCGAGAAGAGGCATTCGGACCAGTGATCGTCGTTGTTGGTTTCGACACCGAGGAAAAGGCTGTGACCTTGGCGAACGACACCGAGTTCGGACTGGGAGCTAGTATCTGGACGAAGGATTTGTCAAGGGCGTTCAGAGTGTCTGAGCAGATCGAGGCTGGAATCGTGTGGGTCAACACTCACCATCGGAACGACCCAAGCAGTCCATGGGGAGGTGCCAAAGCTGCGAGTGGTGTTGGAAGTGAGAATGGAATTGACGCTTATCATGCGTATACAACAACAAAAAGCACCATTATCAACTTCGCCGCGCCTGAGGAATCGCTTGCTACGGATGACTGGTTTGGAGATGAACGCAAAGATGTTAGATACGGCTGAAGTGGAGAAGCCACTCTTTCAAAAACATGAAACTGGTATTATTTTCTTTCCAGTATAGGACTGCCCCGTGAGGTCGATTAAAATGTAAATCTAGAACAGAGTACCATCACCTTCTATCAGTATAGGACTAGACTTAGTCTCAGGGCGAAACTTTGCTGCCAACTCCCGACCCGCTTTCCAAGACCCGGCCTCCAGCATTTGCGGCATACTCAACTTAACGCCCTGGCTAGCGAAGTGGGCGCCGATGAGCTCATGAAGCTTATCAAGAAGAGCCACAGTCATTGCGCGCCACTCGACAATAACATCACTGGTAGCCTCGTAGCTAGGAAGGTCCTTTTGCGATGACGCCAATCCGATCTTCAATGCTTCTTCCTTGAGATTGAGGACACCTAGGTCCACAAATAAGCCTCCGTTGCGATACTCCGGAAGACCGGTCCCCTTTTCTAGGTTCTTCCACTGCATGTCGAGTACGCGCATGAAGGGTACTGTGAGTGAATAGGCGAGCCATTGCGTCAACTTGTGGAAAGGTGCGATGTGTAGTGTGCGATTCAAATTTCCGGTTTCTTTTCCTGGGTTGAGTTTTGAGAGGATCTCGAGAGGCCAGGCATCGCCAATGGGGATGTCTGCAATCCTCGTGCGGTTTCTAGGCCAAGCTGGGAGGAGCGTTTCTTGCAAGATGGCCCATAGTGTATTGAAATCTAGTTCCTTGGATGGGCCTGCCTGCTGAACCAAGTAGTCTATAGTGGACGTGTCAATAAGGTGTCTGATCAAGATGATGTATGTACGTACCGACGAGATATCCTGGCCGACCAGTTTCTCCGAAGAATTGAGGAAGGGACAGAAGGGAAGAGCCCACGCTCTTTAATAAGCTAACACGAGAGGCAGCTCCGACAAGTGGATTCTTCCCCGTGATTTGGAAATGCTTCTCGAAGGAAGTAACATCGAGAGCCATCAAACCGCGCCCTGTCGGTGTCAATATGAGTAAGCCCCTAAAATAGATCCAGACTAGTTCAGAGACTGACCATCGACCAATTCAGCATCACTTCCATTGTTGCTCGAGAAAACTCCGCTCTTAAACATGTACAGTGATGCAACTGCAATACCTTCGCTTCTGCCATACGCCTGATCAGTGCCAGGCTCAGCGAACTTCCAGATATCACCGGCTCCAGCGTCAAGCAAAACGGCGACAAAGAAAAGATCAATCAGTCGACGCGTGGTCTCGAGTCTATTCAGTCCCCTGAGCTTCCATTGTCTGATCAAGGCGTCGACCCGAGCAACGCCGCCAACATCAAAGTGTTGCCATCTTCCGTGCGGGGGAATCTGGTCGTATCGATCTGGGCCGAAGTCTCGCTATACTAGCTTAGTATGTGGCTGGTTGATTGTAGGCGACTCAGTTTTATGAACTTACTGAAATAACTCCAGCAACAAATTTCGCTACTGCAGGCATCTTAGAAGAATCGTAATCAAAGTGGGAGAGCTCATTTCTCTCGGCCGCCCCAAGGACCAAGTGCGCTCTCTCACGCACCGCCTCAAGGCCCTTCAGATACTCAATGTCGGCCATTGCGATCGGAGCTTGCAAAATGATTCTCCTCTTGCGTCTGAATAGCAAGGTAATGTGTGGTTTCGATGTGACTTGTGACTCGAGCCAGAAGCCTTTTATCTTCGAGGTTGTACAAAGTTTACCCCTCTCCATGCACACCCCGCACCAGATTGTCGCTTATCAGGTTATCATGTGCCTCTGGTACGTCAAACCTTTCTACCTAACTGAACCAGAATTACTCTTAGCCTATCTTTCATCTCCATCGGAGGTCATTTTGTGTCCGTCCACATCAATCTGTCAATCATGGGTCTGCTGTGGTGTCCCGGCTCATTTCACAGCTGATCTACTAGTCCCCGCCACCTTTGGCCCCCAGACCAGTGATTGCAGAGTCATCAGTAGGCGACATTTGTACCTTTGGCTCGCCTCTTTTGTACCCCTGGTCCCCTCGATCTGACTTTCAAATTACCTGAGAATTTTCTTAACTTCCAACACGCCGTATGATTAAGGCACTAATCCGCTATCTATTCTATACAGTTTAATATCTAGGGCCAGCTCAATCCCAGAACCGGCATACACTAACGATATCAGGTAAAATGGCCTACGTGCCTGCTAGAAGCCTCAGCTACGTCAATATTCTATTCTACCAGATGTAAAATTTTAAATAGAACAAGAAACCTATTCACAAGATCCGCATCAACCCCATGCCCCTAGGAACACTGCCTTCCTTCGATCGACGTCCTACGAGCTTGAACCAGTTTCTAATTAGCTCTATTCGATGGATCAGAAAGCTATGTTGATTAATGATATTGTCCATTGGAGTTACATTAGCTATAGACATAGAACGTTTGGCATTTTCTTACCTTCTATTCCGTAGTGTGACGACCGAAAGATACGCCGAGGCGCTGTCCACCCATGTGCACTCATTATTTTCAACTATTCCTCTATAGTTGCCGCCTTTCTCTTCATGCATTCGTCGGTTGAATCGTCTTTTCAACTCCTTTCTTTTTTTCCCAGTCGGTCTAGTATACTTGTGTTGCTCCTGGTATATACCTCGCGATCTTGTCACTTTAATTACGGGTAATTTCCTGCACAACAACTCTCTGGAGTTCCATTTCCGGTGCTCCTGGCGGAAATTGTCAGTAACCCATTTACAGCCCTTTCCGCTCTCGTGAGATGGGCATGCGGGAAACCTTGGTAATCCGAAGTCTGGATATTGCGATATGAAATATAGCATTTTGTATGGTGTTTCGGGGTGGCCAGGGTAGCCGGGTGGCCAGGGTAGCTGGGAATTACGTTAATGCTTGGCGTGGTGCCTAGGAGTTTTTGTTAGTTGGCTTTGGACTTCTTTTGATTCCCTTGGAACTCCAGCCTGAATACAGCTATGAGTGTGGAGACTTTTAAGGATAACCAGGCAGTACACCTGGAGGTTTCCCCAAAGGTCACCCTTCAAGCTGCACGCTTTGAAGGACTGACTGTGGAGGACGAAAAAGTCCTTGAGAAGAAACGTAAGTGTTTGTTTAGGTCCTGGCCCTACTGGCATGTGTACGCAGGTCATCATGGATTTTGTTAACAAGTTTCCTTCCTAGTGGTTCGCAAGATCTATCTGCACCTCGTCTCCTCACACTGTCTCCTTTTCATCTTCAACATCCTCGATCGCTCCAACATCGCCAATGCGCGGCTTGGAGGTATGCAGAGCGATCTAGGTCTCAGCGACACCCAATACCAGACTGCTGTAGCTATCATGGTGAGCGAAGCCCAGCTGGCTGGCAATCCTCCGTGCTAACTTCCATAGTTTATGGGCTACCTATTGGGCCAAGTACCAAGCAACATTATCCTCACGCGCGTGAAACCATCCTGCTACGTCCCAGTTGCCATCTTCATCTGGGGCAGTATTTCCATGTGTGCCGCTGCTACCCATAACTTTGCTGGTATCATGGTTGTGCGAGTGCTGCTGGGCTTTGCAGAGTCGCCTTTCTTTGCTGGAGCGCTGTAAGGTCAATTCTTTCTGTCCTTGTCCCGGGTGTTATGATCTCGAAATTAACACTGGATAAAGTCTGCTGATTGGTTCCTGGTATAAACCCCAGGAGATCGCACCGCGAGTGGCAGTAATGTACTGCGGTAATACAATCGCCAATGGCTTTGGCGGCATGCTGGCAGCTGGGATTCTGAGTGGTCTCGATGGAGTCAGTGGTCTGGCCGGATGGAGGTATATTGCATGGTCATTAGTCTGAGGCTTGGTGCCTTATGGGCATTGACTAACCATAATCCTCTTTACAGATGGCTACTTATCATTGAGGGAGCAGGCACTATCGTCGCTGGTTTTCTGGCGGTCAGGCTCCTGCCCGATTTCCCGGGATCTGGAAAGCACGAGTGGCTCTCCGATCAAGAACAGCGATTTGCACAGTGGCGTCTGGCGCAGGGAGTCAACTCAGAGATCGACGAGGACGGCTCCATCAAGGAAGGCCTAATCGACGCCTTTACGGACCCCAAGACGTGGGTTCTGGTCAGTATTCAGATCTGCCAGCTCACATCGCAAACATGGACGTATTTCTTCCCTGTGAGTTCTAATCCCTTCTGTTCACGCATTTCCTGTCGAAACGGATTCTTTGCAAGGAAATAAAGTTGATATATTTCCATCGATTGCTACAGTCAATTGTCAAAACCCTCGGGTTCAACAACATCGTAACGCTCCTCATCACGGCCCCAGTCTACGTCTTCGGCTTCATCACTTCCCTCGGCAACTCCTTTATCGCCACATACACGAACAAGCGCGCCATTCTCATCGTCTGGCCTTTGATGGTAAATATCGTCGGTAACGTCATGGTTATTTGCACGCACAGCACGGCGCCCCGCTACGTGGGCATGTTCCTCATGTGTGCTGGCTCGTACTCTGCCTTCAACGTGGTCCAGGCGTGGATTGCGAGCACTGTGCCGCGCACTCGCACCAAGCGCGCCGTCGTCTACGCCTTGGTCAACCTGTTCGGCAATTCGTCCAATATCTACGGCTCGTACTTCTTTCCCAGCTCGGATGCGCCGCAGTACCGCATGGGTGGGATCATTCTTTCTTCGTTTGCCGCGGGCGGTATTGTGCTGGCTGTTTCTTTGGGTTTCTGGCTGCGCCATTTAAATATCCAGGTTGCTCGGGAGGAAGAGCGGGATGGACAACCTCGTTATAAGTATCTCTGGTAGATGCAATGGCTAACAGAATAAGTCTGTTCGAATATATGTGGAATTTTATGGTTTATGGACAAACCTACATGGAAACTATAGCTATATGGTGGAAGAGAAATGTGACATAGTGTTGACATTGAGGCAGTTGGACGAAATCTCAACGGCTGGGTCTATGGTACATTGGTATCATTCGTGTTTCATTTCACATTTAGAGGTCGTAGAAAATTGCCTACGTGGGATATACGCAACGAAAGGTATTCTCATGTGTTTCGTGAATTTAGCAGTGCTATAAAGACCACAATCAGCAGAGTATTCCGATAAAAGAAAATAGTATTGTAGAACCACGAGATACGTACACGTTGGTAGGCGATCGAGTTGCGGCCAGAAATCAAGACAAAGCTCATCGGTGAGACCATTGGAGCTGAGCAAGCCTCCTATTCCAGGATCAGACAGCCCGGAGCCATGGATAGATGAATTGATTGGTTCCATTATGGAGGTCCAAAGTCCGGTCCAGTCAACAGAGTGTTGCTCATGGGGAATGCCTTCTGCGCGAACAATTTCCACCGGCAAAATGGCCACGGCTTCCTCATTCGAATCGGCTTGGGATTGAGTCGCATCATCGGGATGTGTCTCATTCTCTTCTCCATTCGCCTCCAGCCTCAGAGCCTTTAAGACGACCGTGTACCTCCATGCAAGGGCGTTCATTTCGGTGGCCTGGCCAAGATGGTATTGCGTCTCTTCTGCCAGATGATAAAGCATCGTGCGGTCGATGGGTGGTGATTTCGGGTCCCCATCGCATGCGAAGAGCCATTCGTACGGAATCCGACCCTTTTTCGAGTGTATTAAATAGATGTAGACAATAGATAGGGCGTTGAAAGCAATGTACTGGGTGAACCAGAAGGCCGGGAACAGGAGATGATACTTGACGAGATCCAGAACCAGCTCAAGTGTATCGCGAGCCGTGTGGATGCAAGTTTGGAGAAACTCCCTCAAGAGTTGGTCGGTGTCATGGTGCTGTGAGTAGTCTCGAAGAAGAAGCGGCCGCGTAACAAACATAATAGCATGTAGTCGAGCTAGGCGGATGACAGTCAGCTGTCTTCGAAATACCGAAATCAGGCTGCTCGGACAAACCCAATCTCCCAAGAGAGGTGGTAAGTTGGATTGCCATTCGGTAATCTGCTTCATTAATATTGCGATAGTCTTGACTTCTTGTTCTTTATCGAGAGTCTTGATCGAGTACAAGTCCCTAGAGGCTCGTGCTAGAATTCGAGAAATCTTCGCGTGGCAAACGGATGCATCCATCAAACAATTTCTCTGGAGAGCAGGGCGTTGTCTAGGCTTATTGTCAAGGACTTCGTCATTGATCAAAGCTGGATACTCTTGATCGATATCCTCCTCTCGAAGTAATCGCGGCCGACCAAGTATAAGGCTGAGGTACTCATCAAGAGTAAAGGAGCACCACAGTACACGCTTCGAACACTCTGAAGCGACTACACTCGATGCAATCGACGCGAATGCTCGTGGACGTGTCTGCTTTCGATGAAGGCCTAGTGACATCACAAGTTGTACCGTTGTGCCAAAGTTATACCAGGCTTGGTTCACACGAGAGGTGCTCAGAAGATACAGTACTGTTAGGAATCGGGCCTGCGCAGACTCCAGAGACGGTGCACCTGTTTCCTGGGCAAGGGTCTGTTCAGCCATTTGATAATAAGTTTCGCTTTCCTGCCAATTTGACCAGTTTTGGGTGTTTTGTGCGGGCGATCCCTGACTGAGAGTAGAGAATAAGGAACTTGTGGCACATAGTAGTAATAAAATTGCCTTGGCAGCAGATGAGACCGTTGAGCCTGCACTTTGGACATCCAACGGCTCATTGGATCCAAAAAGGCGTTCCGCCCAAGTTTCGACAGTTCCTTGGTGTAAGACTCTGTAGGTAGGTGATGCGAATTCAAAATATCGCCGTATCAAGTAATCGGCTGTTGATCGGTCAGGCCAGTGCATTTGAGAGACTAGGGTTCTCGGGGCACGCCGATCGCCATGCGAAAAAATCGAAGCGGACACATCCTCTGCTGGCGATGTTAAGGGAGGTGGAGCCCCATGCAAATTTCTGACAGCTCTGTCCAAGAACGAATGGGCAGATGCCGGCCCTCTGTATTGGCCGCCAATTTCGGTTGAATTACCATCTTCCGGGGTGGATCTGTCGCAGCGAGGCTTGACGGCGTGGTGATAGATCGGCGTCCTGGAGGTAGCATGCCTGGAGGTGTAGCCATGGCCCCGGCTTCTCTCTCGATAGGTGCCTTGTCCGCTCCATTTCCGCCTCTAGTTTCCACCGGGCGCGACGAGGGTTGCGGGAAAGCAGCAGACCCCCGGTTATAGGGGACATCGTACGTGCATGATAGCCCCGACCGTATACAGGACTGACATGGGATATCTCCAGTGCATGCCTTCTTGCGTGCCTTGCAGGCGTCGCAAGCTCGTGTCACTTTTCGCCTGATCCGCGCCGCGCGGGACGGCGCCCTGAGACGCTGCTGTGGCCCCGCCGGGTGGGATGTAACTGCCATCTTTGCTCCGTATATCTCAGATTGGCGATTACTCTCGTCGAGAATAGCCGCTCTTTGTTCTAGCTAGTGCTTGATTTACAAGCCTCGAGCATGTAAACTGGCTGGCTGGCAGAAGGAGGAAGTGTGGGGTTGAGGCAAAATCCGCCGCTGGTTCCTGCATTTCCGACGCGGAGAGGGTGGAACAACACCAGTTGGGATGGAATCCGGGGTCTCCACGTCGCTTCAAGTCGTAGACTTGAGGCGATGTCGCTGCAACACGCTTGTAAAAACATTTGTGACCGTCCACTGTCAGCAGCCTTGACGGCTGTCTTCTGTTGCTTCGGGTATGATTTTATCCATAAACGCAATGCAAATGCCCGTGCGGGTGGATATATCTCGCGATCATCACGCATAGGAGTCTACGTGGTAACTCCTACTTTACATAGGGGGACCACTAGACTTGTCCATTCATGAGTTTCCTGCCCAGAGCGTCACCCCATAGATACAGTGGCAGTTCAAAATTCCGAAACCAGAGACCAAGAGAAAAGACCATCTAAATATGCTTCGAGTTTACGTTTTTAACAGATTTTTCTGAATGTCTTTTGAACCCTCTTTCTAGATATGCCGGGCAGTTTTATTCAACTTGCCTTTTAAAGTATAGCTGATGAGAGGGGTTTGAACTTTCCCGGGTGTTGCAAACTTATGGAACGCCACTGTACACACTTTTCGTCAGCAATACCGGAGGTGCTAGCAAACTTGACGGACAACTGTCCGATTTTCCGCTATCCGAGCCCAGTCAATGCTGGAAAAGCGCACTATTTCCCCGAACCCCTCATTCGCGGTTCGTGCAGGCTACGAGGATTTTTATCCCAGATTCTGTCCCGGGGTAGAGACAATCTATATATGTTGATCCACAGTTAGCATCCTGTGCCATCTCTCAGGAGAGCTAACTATCCCAGGGATCCCAGATATGTCGAAACCAATTAGTGATCATCTGGAATCCTCGGAATCCCTGGAATACGGGGGTCCAACAGATCAGAATCAGGGACCAGAATACACCAAATCCGATGCCTCGAACTATGTGATTGACTCGAAACTGGAGAATCGAGTTATTCGAAAGATAGACTTTATGATCATCCCGTTCATTTGCATCACGTACTTGGTCACTTATATTGACAAAGCCATGCTTGGTTATGCGGCCGTCTTTGGCTTGAAGGAATCTTTGCATTTGACAGGAACGGAGTACAGTTGGCTGGGTAAGTGATTACTGTGAGTATGAGAGACAACCGGTTGACTTGACGATGTTAAATAGGAAGCATGTTTTATTTTGGCTACCTTGCTGTACGTCTGTTTCCTACATTCCACCGACGAAAAGCTCTCCAATTAACAGAACTATCTTAGTTTGAGTATCCTACTACATTTGCCATGCAAAAGCTACCCATATCAAAATGGCTGTCGGTGAATCTTTTTCTTTGGGGTGCAATCACTATGGCCTTAGCTGCCTGCGGGGGTTTCAAGTCATTCCTCGCACTGCGCTTTTTGATCGGTGCACTGGAATCGTGTTCAACGCCTGCCTACCTCTTGATCACCGCAACCTGGTATACTGTTGAAGAGCAGCCAATTCGAATTGGCTGGTGGTCAACCTTCCTTGGCGTTGCAAATTCATTCGGTGGCCTGTTGGCTTTTGCCGTGGGTCATATCAAAGGGTCCTTGGAATCATGGCAATACCAATTCATATTCATCGGAGCCATAACGTGCGCTTGGGCTATTTTCATGGCGTTCACTCTGGCCGAGCGTCCCTCAACAGCGTAAGTATTCCATATTGAGCGGCGAGTCGATGATCTAGGGCCCTAACTGACCGCACAAGACCATGGCTTAAGGAAGACGAGAAGCAAGTTGCCATTAGACGCCTGGGACCAAGACACCACGGTTCAAATTTCAACGAGATAAAGAAGTACCAGATTCTGGAAGCGGTCTTTGACCCCAAGACTTGGCTTTTCTTCCTTTGTGGTGTGGCAACCCAGGTGGTCAACGGTGCCGCCAGTAACTTCGGCAGCCTGATTATCCAAGGATTTGGCTATTCCAATCTAGTTACGACTCTGTTCCAGATACCATATGGAATGATTATTCTGGTATCCAATGTTTCTGCGATGTATTTGCAGCGGTGGTTACCAGGCCAGAAGCGATGCCTTGTCGCCGTGCTGTATGTGTGTCCGGCTCTAGCCGGCGTTGTTGGGATCCACACAATTTCCCGCGATCACAAAGTCGCACTTTTAGTGTGTTACTGGGTATGAACTCTTTGATGTTTTGATTCTTAAATCATTTAGCCTGACATTTTTCTCAACACTAGTTGACGAGTACCTATACCGCCTCTTTCGCCATGATCATGTCTCTCATTACAGCCAATACTGGTGGCTCCACGAAACGGTCTGTCGTCAACGGCATGTTCTTTATCTCATATTGCGTGGGTAACATAATTGGACCTTTCTCGTTCAAGAGCAACGAGGCCCCGAAATATACGTCTGGAATCGTGGCGATGTTGGTGGCATACTGTGCTGAGATCTTCTTGCTCCTGGCATTTGCGACCTATGCAGCCATGCAGAACAAGATCAAAGACAAGATTCTTAGGGAAGCGGGACTGAGCTTGGAGAATCAAATTCATCAATCCCTGGAAGAGACACCAGTGGATCAAACTGATATGGAAGATATATACTTCCGTTACACATACTAGTCCAGGTTGTGAATATTGTACAGGTGAAGATATTTCAACAGGAAGAGGGCGTGTGCTTACTTGAATCGACTGCCTGCGTTAGTGTCAATTGAAGGAACCAGGGAAAAGCAAAGACAGAAAGGTCGCTACCGAGTCAATCGTCCTGTATTATGTTGTTTAACTCTACGAACTATTGGGTAACTTGGCGGTATCGCGTGGAGGTCCACTCGTCCACCAAATGAGTGAGGAAACCATTTAAGACTCGGTTTACATTGTAATTTTTGTCGTTCAAATGAATATTTGCTCTTACCTCCAAAGTTTCCCTGAGCGCGTAGGAAAATCTCCTATATCTCACATACGTACTCCCCAGGACACTAGAATGCTCGACCCCTTTTGTACACTATTGCGTTTTATTCATCTGTACACAAAAGAACTACAGAATTGCCACCCCGTTAGGTGGGCTGGCCACTCCTCCTGGTACCTAGAAGAATCGTCAACTTGGAACATAGGACTTGATATTGATCGTAGTATCATACTTACCCTGAGTGGCACACTGCTGAAAAAGAATGACCACCGTCCTTGTCGTCGACACTCTTCACTGAGCCTCTCAAGGTCAAAGAGTTCACCAATTGGCATTCCCCAGCCTGCCAGCAGCCATTCGTGAAGCAAGAACTGAGTATTCTGACATGGCCAAGCCTCCATGCTGGGCATGTCGCCGGCAACCGCTGCAAAGCCCGTTTCCCACAACCAACGCAGGGTTTGCTCTGACGACTCAATTCCGACGGCTGGGGGAGATGTGATATCTGCAAGAGCCTTGGCTTGTGCCTCTGATAGCTGAGAATAGGCACGTACCCAGCCAGATCGGATGAACAGGATATCGCCTTGCTTGAGCTCTGTGCCCTGGCTGGCTGCAATCTCCTGCAAAGTCTTTGCTGAAATGGCATGCGTTGAGAACGGGTCAAACTGGAGATTTTCTGCTTCTGCCCATGCTGCATAGTCGAGGAGGACTCCTCGTCCCACGACCCCACCATTCTCCACCCACGCTGTGGGCAATGGTGCATTAGCCGGTTGAGCTCATTCATCCCAGGAAGGTCTGTGTGGTTTTTGACTTACAGTGTATTCCGTTGACCTCCGTGGTTAACAGATTATCTAGGGTCTGGCCGTTGAAGTATTTCCTGCTATCCTGGTAGGCATAGTGTCTGAAGCCATCCCACTGGGAGCTACTCTGAGTGTTAAAATGCAACGTGTCATCGTTGACTTCTCTGGGTGCTTTGTTCTTGATCGTGTGCTCAAATGGTGCTCGTCCGAAGCAGGGCCTTGACATGAAATTGAGGGGCAAATCAGTGGGGATACGGATGCCCGTCTTGATTTCTTGTGACGCAGCAATCACAATCTCCGGCGTGAGTCGATTCAGCATGCCACACTGGTCATTGTCTCCGAATAACCCCCAAGCATTACCTGGAGGGCCATCCTTCCACAACGGAAGACCATCGAACGATGGGACTGGAGTCATTGTAATGGTGTGGGGAAATTGGGCGTTTGCGCGATCGCACTTGAGGAAAACGGTGGTCGACAAGACACTCAAGTATAAGAAGGCTAGGACTCAGGAGGTCAGCCCTTGGTGGAAACTAGCTGTTTTGAGATTACCAGAGTGGAAAATATCACCAGCTCACTATTTAAAGGTCCTTAAAATGGAATCGATTCGAAGGAGAGCGCCGCGATAACATTCGGGCTTGGAGAAGGGCAGAGAATGATGCCGATTTCCGTGTCTGTTTCCGCTCCGCATCCTTTTCCGATAGACTGCTATGGAGACGTGGGGGCTGAGAAAGCTATCACAGCTATTATTGCAAGCCTGGTCCTCCATTTACGATTCAAAATTGAAAGTCGTGCTCCTTTATATGCTGTCACTCTCCCTAATCCCATCACTTCACACTGCATTCATTCATCATGGCCATTGAAACGCATTTCACCCTCAACACAGGCGCAAAGATTCCCGCCGTGGGCTTCGGTACTTGGCAGGCCAAGCCTCTGGAGGTCGAGAATGCTGTTGAAGTCGCCCTTAAGGAGGGTTACCGTCACATAGACTGCGCTGCCATTTACCGCAATGAAACCGAGGTTGGCGCCGGTATCAAGAAGTCGGGTGTGCCACGCGACGAGATCTTCATTACCGGCAAACTGTGGAACACCAAGCATGCTCCCGATGATGTTCTGCCGGCTCTGAACAAGACTCTGGCTGATCTCGGGACCGATTATCTTGATCTGTACCTGATGCATTGGCCCGTGTAAGTTTTGTCCTCTAACGCCTACACTTCGCAATATCATTAGAACACCATGGCTAACAACATACCCGGACAGTGCGTTCAAGGGCGGCGACAAGTGGTTCCCTCTCAATGAAGATGGTGTTTTCGAGCTGGTTGATAATGACTACATTGCCACTTACAAAGAGATGGAAAAGCTGTTGGTGACTGGGAAGGTTAGGGCCATCGGTGTGTCGAACTTCAACATCCGCCGCCTGGAGGAGCTCCTGGGACAGGTCTCGGTCGTGCCCGCTGCCAACCAGATCGAAGCCCACCCATACCTGCAGCAGCCAGAGCTACTCAAGTTCTGTCAGAGCAAAGGGATCGTCATCGAGGCCTACTCTCCCCTGGGCAACAATCAGACCGGTGAGCCCCGCACTGTAGACGACCCGGTCGTGGCCCAGGTCGCACAACAGGTAGGCATGGACCCTGGCCCTCTTTTGGCCAGCTGGGGTGTGCAGCGCGGCACTGTCGTTCTATCCAAGAGCGTCACCCCTTCTCGCATTGCAGCCAATCTCCAGGTCAAATCTCTGCCTGATGATGCATACGCCAAGCTGACTGGTTTGGAGCGCCACAAGCGCTTCAACTTCCCGGCCAACTGGGGCTCTGATATCTTTGAGGAGGTTGGCGAAGAGGCTGTGCGGAAGGCAGCCGTGGCAGCTGGCCATGCCAACAAGATCAAGTTCACTGTTTAAGGGATGTTTGACAAATTCTTTTCCATACTCCTGTATAGAAAGCCCAAAGCTTCAAAGAAGTATAGAAAGTCATGATTATCGTTTCAAGGAACTGTTATTTGGCCCAAAATGTCTTCTACTAGAGCATGTGAGCCTTTTAAGACGTTTTCATGTAGCTTTTTCATTGTGGGGGATACAATCTCCTTTGTCAAGGAGCAGGTAAGTCCTTAGTTCGTGCATCCTTAAGTACCTGTCTCTTTGTTGATGATGATGTCTCCAGTAATCCCCCGCCGCACATATTTCAGGAGTGATGGAATTATATTCTCACTCAGAACGCCTGTTACCTATATATGGGCTATGTAGAGTTCCGTCAAGTATTTGATTCTCGTAATATCTATATAGGGACCACAGCTTCCACATACTGCGTTGATCATGAAGTCTTTTGCAGATATGATTATTTTGGGATGTTAGAATCTCAACTTCCTACAGATCTGGCGCCGACCCCTAATTCCGGAAGGTAGATTCCTAGTGTCCTTTTCAGGCGGATGACATGGCGGAAAAGCACGCCTATTATGCATTTCCGCTCAACTCGAGAGTCCGCCAAATGTACATCGCCCCAAGCGGATATTCACATTCCGCCGATCACGTGTAGCGGAAAAGCCTCGTACATTTGGCGGAAAACATGTGACTAGTTCCCTCGATTCCGTATAGCGGAAAACGCCTTGCAACCCCTCAACTATCTCCTCCCCGAGTCGGAGATTGGACGGAGCCAGCAAGACATGATATCAAGTCCCGGACATACAACATGCCGACCGATGGAGCATGCGGAAATGACAGCTGCTTCGGTGCGAAGATTCGCTTGGTTGACCTCAAAAGGCACACATTCTCCGAACCTGCAGTGTTGCTCACTGTGTAAACCAGTGTGCCATTTCACTCCAAAATGGCAGCACCAGCTCTCTCAATACCAGCTGTGGCTGTGTCCTCATTGCCAGCTATCTCCCCGTCCGCCACGACTTCTGTGTCGATGACTGCGACCCCAAAACAGGAGATTTATACTATCAACGACCTTCTGCGAGTAAGAGCCTCAGGAGAGACTGCGCACAATCCTATTGTGGCCTATCCATCTTCGGGCACCAATTATGTATACTATACACCTTATCAGGTATGGTTCTTTTCTCAAATCGTGCATGCATGTCATGGGCACTAATCAACCCCCAAGCTGGATGTGCTTGTTGAAGCAGCCGCAGTACAATACTCCAAGGCCATTCCCCAGAGACTCGCATCAGTTGATCCCGTGCAAGTTGTCGGGCTGCTGGGTGTATCTGATTTTGAATACCTGATCACTCTATTGGCCGTATCCCGTTTGGGACACACCGTCCTGCTGCTGTCGACTCGCATCGCTGAAGATGCCTATGTCAGTCTCTTGGATGCGACCAAGGCCTCATTTCTCATTACCCACCCCAGCTTCCAAACGATGGGAGAGAAAGTTACCAAACGAACGGGTGCTATCCAACTCCCCGTCATAGCGCCGGCGTATGCAGCCTCACCCGAGGCTACATCTGCCCATCTCCCTGTCGCGCACTTGCACGGCCCCACTGAGAACAAGCACATCACCTGGGTCATTCACTCCAGCGGTTCGACCGGCCACCCAAAGCCCATCTACCAGACCCATTCCGGTGCCCTGAAAAACTATGCCAACAACTTCGGGCTCCGGGGTTTCATTACTCTTCCCCTCTTCCACGCTCATGGCATCAGCTGCCTGTTCCGCGCCCTTCACTCCCAGAAGCTCATTTACATGTATAATGCCAGCTTGCCGCTGACGGCCCCCTGCCTGCTGAGTACTCTGAACGATCACGAGGAAATTGAGGTCCTGTACGCTGTCCCGTATGCCCTGAAACTACTCTCAGAATCCGATGAGGGTTTAAAGCGAATGGCCCGTCTCGAGCTGGTCATGTTCGGTGGATCGTCTTGCCCCAAGCCAATTGGGGATACTCTCGTGCAGAACGGCGTCCGTCTGGTATCCCACTATGGAACCACGGAGACCGGCCAGCTCATGACCTCGTTTCGTGACCGCTCGGATCTGGATTGGGACTACGTTCGTCCTGGCCCTTCCTTGCTGCCCTATCTCCGTTGGGAGGATCAGCTAGATATGCCTGGCATTTACGAGCTCTGTGTCCTGGAGGGCTGGCCTTCCAAGGTTGCGAGCAACCGCCCTGACAATTCGTATGCTACCAAGGACCTGTTCGAAAAACACCCGACTACTCCCAACGCTTGGCGCTACTATGCGCGTCTGGACGACACCCTGGTCCTGGAAAACGGAGAGAAGGCCAACCCGCTGGTGATTGAGGGTGTTGCACGTAACAACCCCAATGTCGGCGAAGCCGTCGCCTTCGGAAGCACCAAACCGCGTCTGGGTCTGTTTGTCATTCCTTCCGATAAGTGCCTTTTTAAAACCGATGAGGAGCTGGTAGACAATTTGTTCCGGGATATCGAGGCCTGCAATGCCGAGCTGCCGGCTTATGCGTACATCTCGCGGGATATGATCCACGTTCTTCCAAAGGACACCGTCTACCGTAGGACGGACAAGGGAACTGTCATTCGTTCTGCATTCTACAAAGACTTTGCTGAGAAGATTAACGCGATCTACGACGCTCCAGATAAACAAGGTGATCAGATACTCGAGGGCCTTGATCTGATTCAGTTCCTTCGCGAGTCCCTCCTTGAAATCGCCTCAGCGGTGGAACCTTCCTCGCTGAGCGAGATCACAGATGTCTTCAGCCTGGGTATCGACAGTCTGCAGTCTATCCGTCTGCGCAGTGCGATCACTCGTACCTTAAACCTCGGAGGCCAGAAGCTGTCACAGAACTTCGTCTTCGAGAACCCGTCCCTCCAGGCAATGGCAGACCAGATTACTGCTCTACGTTCTGGTGAAGGTTTGAAGGAGCAGGCCCCTGTTGAAGAAAGGATGCAAGCCTTGATTGATAAGTACAGTACCGATTTCAAGACACACCTCCCCGTTGATCGTGCAGATGATGGTGACTATGTTGTGTTGACTGGAGCGACTGGCTCCCTCGGTGCTCATATTGTTTCTCAGCTGGTTCAGTTGGACCGCGTGAAGAAGGTCTACTGTTTGGTGCGAGCCAAGTCCTCGCCTGCCGCCTATCGACGCGTGGCCGAAAGCTTGCGCGCTCGTGCGGTCTCCTTTACTATATCCCCGGCTGCAGGGCGCAAGATCGTCGCTTTACCTTGCAACCTGTCTAAGTCCGCCGATCTGGGCCTCGGCGACGGTGTCTACGCGAATGTCAGAAGGTCAGTCACTGCGGTGATACACTGTGCTTGGTCGGTCAATTTCAACTGGGCCTTAGAGAGCTTTGAGGAGAGCTGTATTGCTGCCACACGCAACTTGCTGGATCTATGCTTGAGCGCCGAGAGACCACGCCCTGCTTCGTTCTCCTTCTGCTCGTCGGTCAGCACAGTCGCCCGCACTCCTGGAAACTGGGTTCCAGAGGCCCTTCCCGCATCTCTGTCGTATGCCCAGGGGATGGGATATGCCCAGTCCAAGCTGGTGACTGAGAACATTGTCAACCGAGCTGTCCATGCGACCGGCATGACAGCTCGGGTCTTACGAGCCGGCCAGATCGTTGGGGACACCGTCCACGGGATCTGGAACGCTAACGAGGCCATCCCAATGATGTTCCAGACAGCAAAGACCATTCAGGCCCTGCCTCAGCTTGACGACGTCCTCAGCTGGACCCCCGTTGATGTGATGGCGAATAGCATCATTGACCTCAGCCTGGCGCCTAATGCCGCAGAGGTGATGAACGTCACCAATCCGACCCTGAATCACTGGACACAAGACCTACTCCCGCAACTGAAAGACGCTGGCTTGAACTTTGAACAGCTTTCCAAGGAAGCCTGGCTGCAACGCCTTAGGGACTCCAACCCGGACCCCGAGGTCAATCCACCGATCAAGTTGCTTGAATTCTTCGGCTCCAAATACGACAATAATGACCCGACCCGCACACTCCTCTACGACACGAGGAAGGCACAGGCTTCGTCGCCCGCTCTCGCCCGCGCCCAGGGTCTCAACATCCACATTGTCTCCCGTTTTGTCAATTACTTCACAACTCAGTGCTGGGGACAGTCTGTCGCTCCAATCGTTCCTCGCAACGTCTTATTCCTGATCGGCCCCAGCGGCTGCGGCAAGAGCACGGCAGCACAGGCCCTGAAGCAGCATCTGGACATACCCGTGATCGAAGGCGACTATCTGCACTCTCCAGTCGCGCGACAGAAAATGGCCAACAACCTGCCCTTGCAGGACTCTGACCGGTGGGATTGGCTGTCGCATATCCGGGGCGCTGTGATGGGCCGCCTGCTCGAACCGGAGACCCCCGCGATCGTGGTGACTTGTTCTGCTCTGCGCACCGTTTACCGCGATGAGCTGCGCTGCTTGTCGAATCTATTTGATTTCCCGGTCATTGTGACGTTCTTGCTTTTGTCGCTGCAGGATCGCGAGCAATTGAAGGGCCGTATGGTGGCGCGGGAGAATCACTACATGAAGTCAGCGATGGTCGACTCACAGCTTGATCTGCTGGAGGATCCTGCTGATGAGCCGGATGTGCTCGTGCTGGACGCAAGTCGGAGGAGAGAAGAGGTGCTTGATGATGTTGTGCAGACGGTGGAAGGCATCTTACGGACGGGGTGAGATAGTAGTCTTGTTACGGATTTATGAAAGTGGATTAGGAAGAAATTATATATTTGTCAACTAAAATCTATTCTCTCGCTCTCTCTCTCACTCACACACACACACACACACACACACTTACATGATAATCACACCTAAAAGTCGTCTACGAGAAATGAACGACGAGAGAAGATTAGGGGTTAGAAAGATAGCTGAAACATAACTAACTAGGACTGGAAAGATGAGTCAGAAGATAAGTAAGAACCTTGGAAGGTGAGTGAGAAGATGAGTAAGAAGTGGATGAGTGAGAGTATAGCCACCAGCAAGAGAGGGCTGGGGGTGAGATTCGCCGAGTGTTACGGTCATTGCAAGTCAGCCTGAATAGCAGCAGCCGTGGCCTAATTAGATTGCATATAAGCAAGCAAAGCACGGTCTCACTCAGGACGGTCAATAGACCGGTCGAATAGATGAGCAATAAAGGGTTTCTGGTCGGTGGCCGTAATTGGCCGCCATACCGTGCCACGGTTCCAATAATCTCAACCGACTGGCAACTTCGAAGCCCAATCCAGGTTTGATTCATCAGCCTGGCGGTACATGTCAGCGATCAGTAGTCTGATGTTTCGATCGCCCGCCTTTTCGCGTACATCAGTCAACATTCCGCCATTTTTGACCTTTGTTGTACTTCCACGTTGATTAATTTCTGATGAGATTCAAGAAATTATATGCACAATGTTAAGTCCTAATTGATTGGAGTTCAATTTGGATTGCACGCGACCTTATAGCCCGTTGTAACTCACCAGAAAACAATCAACCTTTCTTTCTGAATTACATCACCTTGTAGCTACAAAGGATATCAGATCGCCTTGATGCGGCCAGATGTGGTTAGTCGAATCAAGGAGTCTTGGCGGAATCTCGGAGATAAGACTGTAAACAGCAACGATTGACCTGGTGGAATGAGTCTGACAAAGATCTTGACCCAAGAACGATGACACAAAACTGTTGGATTTCGCCCCGTACACGGCAAATTCATTCCTCATCACGATGCGCGTTTTCCCGAGTCTCCTTGTCTGCCTCTTGGGGGTCTTTGCAAATACCCCTTTAGCCTCAGCAGCATGCACGACGCGCCCGTACTCTGCATGGATGGCAGACAGTGTCATTGAGCGCGGCCAGGCTATTGTCCCTCCCGGCACTGAGGCGTCCTCGTCCATTTACCTTCAAATCGGATTCTTTCAGACAGCCATCCTACGGCTGTCAGAATACTACCGCACTCCGGAGTCTGTATGCTCTCCAAGCGACTGGCAGGAGTATCTGAGAGCCAGCACGGACAGTGTGGTACCATTTCTCCTGAATGCTACACAGGACACCCAAATTCCATTGGATAGGTTTTCGACTGGAAAGGGTTTGCTACATCAGTCAGCCACCATCTCTTATTCGTTGCCGTTTCTTTAATATCGTTGCTAAAGTAAAATTTAGATACGAGGAATTCCACAACACCACATTGAAGGTAACTCTAGATACGTTACGAGAATCCATCAATCTTCAACCCCAAAATGTTTTTGGTGGGTACTGGTACTTTGTCTACCCGCAATGGAGCTACCTGGATGGAATGTACTCTGTCGTACCGTTTCTGTCCTACTACACCACCGCTCTAGCTGCTGAAAATAGCTCGGCCGTCGCCAACGACATCATAAAGCAGCTAGACCTCCTTTGGACTCATTGCCGGCAGAACAGCACCGGACTCCTCGTGCACGGGTACGACGCCTCTAAAATGGCCGTCTGGGCGAACCCCGTAACTGGGGGCAGTCCTTACGTTTGGAGTCGGTCGTTGGGCTGGTACTTGATGGCTCTCCTGGATACCTTAGAGCTAGAAACTCCAAATTTCCCGTTGAAGCTGCAAACCTATCTTCAGCAGCGGTTGGTCCAGCTGAGCGATGCTGTTATCCAAGCGGCGGATGCTAAGACCGGGTGCTGGTGGCAGGTCATGACCCTGCCTGGCCGCCCAGGAAATTATATTGAATCAAGTGGGTCGGCCATGTTTACCTATGCTCTGTACAAGGCCGCAAGGCTTGGATATCTCCCGAGCCGATTAGCTGCAGAGTCCATCGATACAGCGAGTAAGTGCTACAGGCATATCGTGGATACGTTTGTTGTGCAGAACAGCAATGGGACCTTGGACTACAACGGAACGGTGGCGGTCTGTAGCTTGAATTCGACGGCTTCGTATGAGGTGAGTCTTCCTGGTATTCCATCCCGCGTTACTCTGGCTGATTGCAATGGTAGTACTACACTTCGCAGCCCTTGCTGTACAACAGCGTTCATGGCACTGCGTCATTTATTCTCGCGAGTCTGGAGCACGAAATGGTAAGCCAGAGTCGTTCCTAGACGTCCATGGATCAGATAGGCTATGAAAGGAATTTTGGATCAATTCTATGTGGATATATCTATGATTGTATATTGCTGCCTTCTACTTGAATAATTTCCCGTTTGAAAGGCTCACTTAAGTATAGTCCAGCTATTAGGATTTGCGACCCTAACGTTATGTGCGCTACCTATATCGGTCCCGGTCATGTCAGAACATAGCGTTCTGACATCTTTGGTCTTTTGGCCTGTTCGGTTAGCGGGTCCGGGCGCGAGTCGGGGCGCGAGTCGCAACACAAGCATCTAATCGAAGGACCTGCTTCCCGACTTATGCCAAAAAGACGACTATAGCTGGCGGGTGGGTAGATCTTTAGGCAACTATCAATGCTGAGCGAGTAATTCGTGATCACTTAGGGAGTATACTGAGATAGAGAGCTAAAATAAACTAGATAAACTGTGTTCACTGCTCCCGAAATGGACGACTAAGATTGTGCTGAAAAAGTCGCGCTGGGAGTAGTCTTTTCCGGCGCCTAATTTGCAATTTCCTTAGTGTTTGTTTTGTGGTGTGGAAACAACTTTCAGCACTCAAGAACAAAAATACAAACCAGATGGATCATACTCATTCTATATCAACCAGTTCAATCGCTCCGCTTGTTGAGGGTAGTTATGTGGAGGAAATCAGCCTGGACTATCTGAATAGGAAGCCTTAGGTGGACAAGACGCTCGTCACTGCAGTTTCACCTCGTTCAGTGTTAGCAGGCCTGAGATGGATCAGGCATATAGATAGAGAGCTAATTTATCTTTTGAACAATTGAAATAAGTGACATGGTCCACGGCAACATATAAATAAGTCATAGTTTACCGCAACTTTCTTTCCTGATTTGGATTTTTTCCTATCATTCCTCCAAAGACTGCCTTTCTCATCCTCTCGCCTCGACCATTTCTCTCTCCGCTTGGAAATCTGCATACCGAGGTGCAATCTGCTCACAGATCCTCCACACCCGGTGCCTATTGGCCAAACTGAGGAATGGACTCCTTCCATTACCCTGGCTTCCAATGTAGATGTCATTGAATATTTTCCGCCAATTTAGATTCCGAGATGTTTGTTCCGCCTCCTGGTAAGGAAAATCCCAAAGCCACGGCATGTCACGCTTGAGTTTTTCCTTCCAAAAGCTGCCGGGTAAGCGAAGTCTGGTTATAGCGACACTGGCATGTCTGAGATTGCGTATTGATTGCACTGGAAGATGGATGAGGATCATCATTAGGAGCTCAGGCGGAAGTTTGCTGAAAGGATCTGTTTCAAGCGTAGCCTTTATGTAGCATACTTTGCAATCGTTGTCTTCCTCTGGTACCTGTTCAATTTCGGGCAGATTCTGATAGTAGTTGAGTAGTTCTGGCGATGTAAAGAATGGATCGTACGCAAACGATTTGGTACTAATTGTTGGATACCAGAATTGCCCTTGTTGTTTTGTGATCCTTCCATACTTGATCTTTCCACGGTAAACTTTGGACGCTTCGTCGTGAAAGCTTCGCAATGCTCTGAAAAGCACTCCAAGATAGCTACTTGGCGTAGTACCCACTGAGTAATCCAAGAATTTTGCTAAGAGTTCGCTACAAGAATGGTGAAGTGGCATCGAGAATAAAGTAGTCCCCTTATACCTAGAGTATCGTAATTAGAATCTTTGCCGTTCAGACTGATTGAGAATATACGCACGGAGTAAAAATCTCAAAACTATCCGGCTCTGGATTGTCAAATTTGTCATGCGGAAGATGTCCCGTTGCATAGAACTTCCCATCGTAGCCACGCATAACAATCGATGAGAGGTTCACTCTGTGGGGAGTTAGCTAATACACTTTTCATCAATCATACACGCTTTTGTGCATCATCAGACCTTCTAAAACCCATGCTAAAATAACTGCTTCGATAGAGAATGCGGACGACCATCAGCCATTTCATTTCCTCTGTCGTGGGTGGCCCACTCTCATCTTGGCCATCCGTTGCACTAAAAAGCGGCGGGGAAAGAGCAGCCCCGCACGCTGCGCAATAAATATCATTCAGGGACATGGCCAGGGCGGTTAGAACCTTCACGGGATGGTGTAGCTTCAAATCTAGCCTGTAGATGCTGACAAGTTGAGATGGACGGAGATGAAACAAGTCATGCGGCTCTTGTGGTGATAATTCCCCTCATCAGGCAGGTATCGACACCTGAATCTCAAGGCAGAAGCTATTTTGGCTCGACATGCTTTTTCATGGTAGGACGCAACTTTGTCCTACTCATTGCATGACATTTTGATATTCCCAGTCGCTGAAAGCACTCGGACAGAATAGATCAACTGAACCATGATATCCATACACCTCATCGATTGGCACAGGACAAAAGTGTTGAGCCTTGCAGGGGACGAGAGTCGATATAAATACCCAAAGACCGCTCCCATTAGATGCGAACGGCGTCATGCTCTTCGAAAATGATTATTACAGGATGATATTCAAAACCACCATGAATTTTGTTTCAAAAAATAATGCAACTCTAATCTAATTATATTAGAAAATTTTCGGCTGACCCTCACGCTTCGTCATCCCGGTTATCTTCTGCATGCCTCAACGGCGCACCACTAAACAATCCTACTGGTATAGCCGTGCAGCCACAGACCAGGCCGATAACAAGCGTCATAGTATTCCAGCCAGCCCAGACACGAGTCCCACCCGCCAGAATAGGCCCCAAAAGCTGGCCTCCTGCAAACGCCATGTTGAACAAAGCATAAGCTTGAGCAACGGGGGTCTTGTCACCAAACGCACCAGGGAAATCAGCTTCGTAGTCATCGACTACTTGTGAAACCTCTGTCATGGCGATAATCTCCACAAAGACAATCGATACCCCCTGGGCAAGCAAGAGAATGATAAGAAGAGTAATATCGGCGGCTGTGTTATTTTTCACAAAGCGCATTGAGATCCAGGAGATTGCGGCTATTGTGAAGGCGAATAGTCCTGGGATGCGAGCGCCGCTGCGGCCAATTAATTTCCCAACATACACTCCGGCGAAGCTTGGGATCGCTGTGATCGTGAAGATTAATCCTGCGCCGCTGGATGACCATTTGAATGTGTCCATCACGAATAACGGTAGTGTCTATAATCGATAGATCTCATATGTTAGCATTCACATTGACTGAAAAATAAAATCTTCGTTGAAGGCAACGTACAGTTTCTAAGGCGGAAAATATAACCGCCATAACAACCGTTGCAATCAATGCAAGGGGTAGACGCGGGGTCCGAAGAAGATCAAAGATCGTTGCCCGTTTTTCATATACCAGGCGAGGATGGTCGAAGCAAGGATTGGACGCTCTGATAAGAAGAAGCCCTTGCTCGCTGGCTGTATCTTCACCAGATGAGAAATATCCCGAGTACTCATCCTCCTGCCGCACAAACGTGCCGTACATATGCCTTTGATACCCTTCGATGGTCGCGTCCAGTCCTGCCTTGTCGGGTTGGATAGCCCCTGGTGCAATATGTCAGAAACCAAACCAGAACAGATAATGACTGCTTGCAAATCCCTTACCTGATTCCTCAATCATAGCGAACCGCAATACCACATCCACCATAATCAATCCCGCAGGAATAGCAAATGTCCCATAGTACCCCAACTTCTCATACATCACGCCCCCGATCGTCGGTCCCAAAAGCGCGCCCCATGTCAATGCAATCGACGTGTGGCCCATAGCCTCTGCAACACGATCCGGTGGCACATTATCAGCGATAATAGCAAGACCTACCACCCACACAGCGGCACCAGAGAAGCCCTGTAGCCCTCTCGCGATGATGAGGACTGGTAAAGACCGAGCGACGACGAAAAGGCCCGTTGAAGCACCCAATGCAATCAAGCCAACAATGAAGGGAAGTTTTCGTAGTCGACAGTGGTCGGCGAAATAGCCGAACAGTGCTGTAATGGGCGTCAGCTTGTTACACAACAGGATCTGGTTGCAGGAAACCCACGCGATCCCACGAGAAGGGTGGCACCATAGACAGCCAGCAATATTGAGACCCAGGATTGAGCTGTTAATTTATTAGTAGTTGATCTAGACATGTACCAAATGTGTCCAAGTACCTTCTTCCTCACGAGCGCCAGCACGTTTGACCAATGCAATTGGGACAATAGGCACGATCTATGAAGGCAGTTAACTCATGGGGATTCGCTTCACTGGGGTTCTTCCATCACCATACCATGCCATAGATAAAAACATCCTATCAAAAAAAGTAAGCGACCGTAAAACCCCCCTCAATTCTATACTTACAGTGAAAATAGCAATCGACACCACAATAACAATAAACCCCTCTGAGGAGCGAAAATTGTAAAGCCACGGTACATGCTTCACAGCCTCCATCTTTGCCAACGAGAGCTGAAAATGAAATGAAAAGCCCCGACGGGAGTCGGAGCTGGAAAATAAAAGCAGCAGAAGCAGAGGGAGAAAGATGGATTGGCGGGGCATACAGACGGGAGAGTAGTTGCATGAACTGATGATCACCAAGATCAGCCAGCCAGTCCGCCCCTCGGAGGCGTCGCATATGGCAGCCTGATCAGGTAAAGGGCGGGGTCTACTTTGGGAGATGCATGCAGTTATGCAACTGGCGGTGGCTTGGACGCGGGTGATCTTCTAATGGTCCTAATTAGTACTGTCAAACCAAGGATCGGATTATGCTTACAGTAGTTTTCGAAATCAGTAGTTTGACCTTACTCTTGGCAAAAATAAAATCTGAATTTGTCAATTCTGACTGAATAATGTCTCATGCACCAGAGTCTATCTTTCTATAATATTCAATTTATTTTACAAGATACCCCTTTGGGACCAGGAAAGATGTATTTTTACATGAAATTCCCATGCACAAGCTAACTCGGTGCCATTCTCTCTCTTCCTTCGTGTCAATCAGAAACCTCATACATGGAAGCTTCCAGCTTACCTATTATCAGTCCAGGCGACATAACCTCACTTCAAAGCTTGTTCTCATCCGTAATATCATAGAGCACGTATCCTTCACCACATCTGAAATGCAGAACGGGCTGAATACAGCAAGCAGGCCATCACTAATATCTGTAACAACTTGCGATAAATTAGAAGTATTTACGCACCCCAAACCCGAGTAGACCGGAAACGAACTAACGCTCCTGGCTATTGGAACCTTCTCTGATCACCTATCTCCGAACCCGAGCCTCTACTGGAGATAGTTATAGTATGTATGATATAGTACACTTTCAGTTTAATATCAAGTTTGTGCATAACTTGTAATAATACTATAATATACTAAATATTACATAGTATTGTATCTCAGGTCGAGTGCTGCATGCCTAACTAGCTCCTCATGTGATCTGGAACAGGAGTCGTAATGCCCATACAGTAGTGTAGCCAGGTTACCCCGCATCGAGTCACCATCGCTGAAACTCTCCTCCCTGCTAGAGAATCTAAGCTTCTCGTCATCTCCTTAGAATACTAGTTCGATCTTTAAAGCAGAACATGAAAATGCATATCCCTATGGAGATCTATGACCGAGTAAAAAAGCTTTTGCTTCAGGTACCTCGGGATCAGCGCTAATTTTGCTCCATAGATCGTAGATCATCTCTGGCGTGACGTTGGCGATTTTCTTTATTTAGAGGATATTACTTGATAGATAGTGGGGATATCCGCAGATTCTTGATGGATCTGCGTTATGTCAACAAATCATTCTCCCGCAGCGCTTCATCCCGGTTGTTCCAACATATCGATGCATGATGCAGGCCCCCCGGAATAATTCCATCTCTTGAAAGACTATGAAGCTATCAAACCGCCCATACTCTGTGCATGTCCGTCAGATTGATTTTGGATTCAGATATACCAGTGCTTATTCTCTCGCCGATGCTGTGAACGCCTTATACATCGAGGATCTATTCGGATGCCTGTTCTCCTGTTTGATCAGATTTCCTCACCTCGCCGCAATTGAGTTTCACGAACCGCCCTCTAGTCTTTCACAGGACCAAAGGAGAAGCTATGTCGAAGTGATTATCTCGACGTTACGCTACGTTCCACTTTCAAATCTGAGAGAATTGGAGGTGAACTCGGACGTTTCTTCCCCAACCAGACTAGTTCTGTGCGGATACCTATCGAGGATGTTGCACGGCCTCTTCGGCACCTCGGAGTATGTGTTCTAGAATACACAAGTGAGCAGGACTAAAGATATCATATGGAGCCTGTTTTACCAGAGTACGCTAGTCTCCCTAACAACACTTACGCCTCCCGGTTGTTTAGAATAATTGAAATTGCGCCAAATTTGCGATCTCTTGCACTACACAGCCTGGACATTCTGGATATCGACTTCCTGTCCTTTCCCTTTTCTTTCTGTCTAGGAGATCTCTTTCTCGGGGGAGTCTCCGTGTCCATTCAGAACCTCCTTTCTCTCATTAACCAATATTCCGAGAGAATGAGTTGTGTCAATTTCTCGCGTGTCGAAATAAATTCCGGGATATGGCGTCGGGTGTTACTACGAATGTGCCAGTTGCTATGTCTTCTGGATGTCAACATCGATTATAGCGGGTACTCGTTGACTGGAAGTAGCTCTGATCTGGCTCTTAGGCTACTTCCGCCACCAGATGCCTCTCAACATCGAGAGTGAGGGTTTCTTCGACGTGTATGCCCTAGGAAATTTACAAAGACAAGTCAATTCGAACAGGATCGGGTTTGGACTGCGGCCATTTCCAGAAACCGATTATCGACATCTCAAGCGCGAGTCTTTGGAGTCCGTGTTGGATGAGCTCAATGTCTAATTCTACGCAACCGGATGATTAGTTTTCGGTCATTTATACGTGGTCAGTATTTCAAATCGTGGTGTACCGGAATATGTGTTATTGACGCCATTTCATTGAGCAGGGAGTATTTTGGAAGTAGTCATATGCCAAGAAAGCCCGTGCTTGCGGTCCCAAGATCTTTACTGTAATTCTAAGCTACCAGTGGAGGTGGAGGGATCCAAGATCTACCTGCAAGGAGAAGTGGCCCACTATCATGAACGGAAGATAAGTTTTGTGGAAACAGCTGCTCATGATTTCAAGATATAATCATTAATGACTATTTGAGTGCGTTTCTCCTAAATATGCAATACCAGTAGATGTCAATATATACACTGAAAGAAGAAGAAAAAAGAGCCGAAGATGTGCCGTGCGCCATGCTGGTCAAACTTCCCGAAAGACTTCCGAGAATTAATAATCATACAAAGAAATGGTATAAATGTGGAAGGGAATGAAAAATGCTGCCGAATGGCGTAGTTGCGAGTAGAGTCTGCTTCGCTGAGACATCCCGCTCAACCCTCCTTGTGCGTGCTGGGCCACGACTGATGAGGCTTCTTCGGAATCCGCGGGTTATACTCATACCGGTTCCAATTATCAGTAACCCACCACTGCGCAGCCCGCGCAGCATGATGCACCCACTTCGCGGCCTTTTCACCATGTTCTTCTTCAACAGCCTTCTGGAAAGACTTGAAGTCAAATGCCTTGATGGCTTTTTCTTCTTGCGGGTCCCGACTGAGGTCTGTGAAGCGGAATTCCACCTCTGGAACCAGAGGGACAATAAGCCGGTAGGGAGCATCTGCGGAGCGCATGGCGACCATTGAGCCGCCGGTGTTCATGACGGTGAATTGGTAGTAAGGCGTTTTGTCATTGTGGGTGATGATTGGGCGGAGGATAGATTGGCCTTCGTACATAGGGAGGAGATCGCTGATAGCGCGGGTGCTGTATTTGTCGAGGGAGCCGGAGCTTTTGAGGAGGTCGAGGATTGTGGGGAGGATTTGCACAGACGAGACGGAGGCGTTGAGTTGGATGGTTGGAAGACGTGGGTTGGCCTGTGGATATACGTATTAGTGTCCGTATACTCATCGTAAGGTGAGCGAACTTACAAAGATCAGAGGGACGTGGAAGTTGGTCTCCAGAGGATTATCGTAAGGAGTGACATTGCCATCTTCAGGAAGTGACAGACCGCTAATCAAGGGTTAGTATGATTTTGCCTCGTTGTTGATCGGGTAAAACTTACTGGTCGCCAGTCATCACAATGAGAGTCTCATTCGCCACGCCAGTCTCCTCCAGAATATCCAAAAATTCCTCATACCAGCGGTCATTCACCCCAACGGTATTAAGATAGCGATTCAGGCCGTCATTCTTGCCACCAAAGGCATTAGACTGAGATCCGATAAGCTCATCGTACGTTCCATTCGGTGTGTCCCAGGGGTGATGCGTGATGCCAGTAAGATGCGTCAAGAACAGACGCTCATGATCACGCTCAGCCTTCTCAATAGCCTCTCTGAAGTAGACAGCGAGTGAAGAGTCAGGGTATCCCCAGAAGTTGAACTTTTCCGCGGTCCACGAAGTGTCGTTAGCGCGCTCCTCGTCAATAGACTCCACAGTCACGGTGTTTTCGGGCCTGAAGCCCATGGCGGGAGTAAGGCGGTCCTGATGGTCGTAGGTATCGGTGATCGACTGCATAAATGCAGGACGCCAGGGCCAGTCGGCAAAGTCATCGCTCTTGCTGTTATTTGTAGTCGCGCTTAACATGTCGAGAATATGAGGCATGCACGGTTGGTAGATGTGGTGCTCGTACTCATGGTTGAAATCAACGACTAGTGGCTCAACACCACAGGTGGTTGCCTCGATGCTCTTCAAGGTAAACGTTCCGCCGGTGTAAGAATTGTGCAGATTGATACCTCCGTAGGGCTTAATCGTCTCATTTCGGTCGAATCCGGAATGCGATCCAGTGATGCGTTCGGCAGTGCGGGTCAGATTGACAAGACGACCCAGTACGTCCTTAGGGACCTTCTTATCCTTATAAGACTTCTGGATTCGATCCCACAAGTAGGTATTATTTCGGAGAGGGAAGACGTCATAGCGAGTACTCTCCATCTTGAAGAGGAAGATGTGCTTGATCTTGACATCGCCACTATCGAGCGCAGTCTTGATAGGCGTCAAAATATCCAGGCCGAGGTTAGAGATGTGCAGAGGGTCTTCGGTCGAGTTATAGTGTGAGTACCGAGATCGATCCTCCCAGTCGCGGAAACCAGGGAACTTGCCCTTGGGAAACCAGTCGAACTCCGGGACTGCAGTCAGAGCAGTCGTCTTACCATCCAAGGTGCGATCCTTGAACATATGAGCGAGCTTGTTTTCAGAATCGACGCCCGCGAATGGGGCGATAATGACCGTCTGGGAAAGGAACCAGTAGGACGAATTTGAAGGGCGGAGCAAGCGGACGAAGAAAATGTACGCAGTAGGGAAAACTACCAATGCGCGCTTCAACCAGAGTTTCCAGGCAATATCGCGCTTCCAATCAACGCTCTTTGCCCAATGGAGATTCCAGCGCCTGTTCTCAATGACTTGCGGTGGGTGATCGAGCAATGGCGCACCGCTAGGCGTACCTTTGTCTTCCTCCTCGTCGTAGTCGCTCAATGGCACTGGCTCGTAAATCTTCATTCTCTCCATAACCTCCCGACCCTTGCCCCATCGACTAATAATCTTGTTCATTCCGGCTGTCGCATACGGTCCAATGGGCTTGAAAATAGCCTTGATCATTGAGCCCCAGATTGAGATCATCGATTCCATGCCGTTGTAGATCCAAGGTGTTGTCAAGCCAGCCGCAACGATATATAGAACCTCGACAATAACCAGGCCAGTCAATCCAGTGAGCAGGGTATTGATCGAAGCCGGGTCGCGGTTGAAGCCGCCTGCTTGTCGCCAGTGAATTTCAGCGCCGGTGGTGAAGTAGAACGAAGTATTCGCGGCGGCCATAGTGGAAAGGATCAATCTAGAGAGAATAGCTGTGAGCGTAGTCTCGGTAATGCTATCTTTAGTACGCATTGACTTACGTCCCCAGTATAATCGCCGTGGAAGCCGCATAGCGCAGCCATCTCCATTGGAAGTTGCTAGTGAGCGCAAAAACTATCAAAAGGAAAATCGCGTCTTGAACAAAGAATGTAGGACCCCATAGGAACAACTTCCTCGTCTTGACGGAGTCGATATGGGCGTAGATATGGAGGACTTTGGCGCAAAATGTCGAGACAGTCAACAAGCTAAACCAAAACTTCTTTGAAGATTCCCAAGTAAAAGCAGCCGAGCAGGCACGCGCTGGTAGCGCACAGCAAAAGAAGTTGAAATAGGTCATCGATCGACCTCCAGAACCCCCTAGCATCACGGTAAAATCGCCATCCGCGGCCCACGGCGAATTGGGTTGACGCAACATGTTGGCGAGGATGTGTGATCAGGCCGACATGGAGTATGCAATATAAATGGTCCTGTGAATGTGTACGTAGGTGTATATGCTATACAGCTTCGACAGCCAAACGAGCGAAAATCATCCAAAAAGAAATCAAAAACAAGGAGAACAGAAACGAAAATCTCCCTCGGAGAGTCCGGCACGAGCGAGCGGCCTAGCTAATAATAAATAGAAATAGAATACGGGGAAAAGAAAAGGCGCGAAACGAGTGTGGCTCGCCTCCATCCCAAAAAGCCTCTCGAAGAGTCCAAGGGCCGCGCCAATTTGCTACACTTGGCCAAGTGGGCGTGGAAATGTTGCTTAGTGGAGCTACAAGCCCCAGTCCAGGGTTTCATCCAGCGTATCCTAGCCCATAAAAAAGAGTTCAGGGTCATGCGGTCTTTTGCCCAAACGAGGCTGTGGGGTGCTGGGGGCACACGCGAAGGGACCTGACCAGAAAAGCAGAAAAGCCTCGTTCTTCTTACCTAACCTCGTTTGTCACGGGCTATTGGAGCATGTCATTGGTTGTAACGGGTGTCCCTGACGAGCTTATTGGTTGGTGCGGAATAGGCAACTCTTCGTGTGAGACCTTTCGGATCCTGTCACTGGCCCGAAGACTCCGTGCGAGGGTCCTGGTTTTCCCCACAGCAAGTCTCACCTATTTTTTCCTGCACTCCTTCAACGTGGCGATGAGTGGTGGAAGGTTGGAACGGTTGGACGGTGGATTGCCCGACGGTTAGACCGTCCATTCCCCCGATTTTAGAGGTCTAAACCTGCGTCATGTTGGCAGGTTCCCTCGCCATCAGGATACATCATGATGCAGGGTCCAAGAAAGGGTCCAATATTTGACGTGAGTTTATTTGCCTCGGATTTGACTGCGTGCTCACCACTGTCGTGTGTGACTGCATAGCCTAGGTCTTGTATGGGAGCCTATATAAGACTCAAAGGCCTCTAGCCGATTGGCCTCCATTAAGCCCCTCCTAACCCGGTCGGAGATCTGTCCTTCCGCCAATTTTCAACTGACGGACTGAATCGTGGCCTCTCAGGACTAGAACGATGGGTTAGTGGGTTTGAGAGGGTGGATAATTTTTCCTTAGTCGCTGTGCCCTATTTGATAGCTCACAGTTGTGCTCAAAGATGATGGACAAGAATACGGCAGCCCCAATTGGACACACGATCAGCTACTGAAAAAGGGGGAGAAGCTGCGGCTCAAAAGGGAATTTACATCGCTGACTCAGTCGGGCTGGATTTTTTTAGTATCCGTGGGGGCGGAAATATACGGTACGGCCGACTTAATTGATCGTTGGCCCTCCGTCTAATCCCCGCCACGAGGGACTGAAATACCCTAGTCAAATAGCTAGTTAGCGCTACTACTCACTCCGTGACTCCATAGTCTTTCTAATCGGAAGGCGTACTCCGTCTCTTCCGGTCCCCGAAGGAAAGTTTGTTTTCGCTCGATGCATTAAAGACGCCCACAGCTTGGCATTCGGGGGCAAAGCTTGTCCAAGCTGGCAAGTGTATGATAAAAAGGATTAATTTCTTACTCAGATCCCTAATCTGTGCCGCAACGGCGATAATAACAGAATTCTTAGCTCGCAAGGCTTAACCGCCATGCGGCAGAAACTCCAAACAGAACCCCTGTGATTAAGTGGAGGGAGAAGTGTGGGATGTATCTTGGCAGGCTGTCCTGCTAAGACACCTTTTATGCACGACTTTGCTGGAGGAAAAGTTAAATCCTGTACTAGTGAGATCGAGAATAATACTACATTTCTACATGCTGTAGTTGCAGTATGCATGGCGATGTAACTGAACCCCAAGAACTCCTCATCATTTTCTTTCTCCTTTATTAGGATCCTCTCTCTTACATGATATCCAGTTTTCTATCCCCCTGTTTCTGGGATTAGCTAGCGATCCGGCCGTACCCTTTAAGCTAAGCAATCCTGTCGATCAAGTGGGCTTCCAGAATCCACTTAGAAGCTGCGCTGTGAAACAGTAAGACTTGAGTCTTTCCTGGTCTCTAAGTGGCCCCAATCTATTTCTACAATGCATTACAGCACGACACGTAGTTGGTGTTCAAACGGCGTGGCCTACAGTACTCTCCGTTCTTGTACTACCCTGTCGCCATTGATCGTACAAGATATAACAATCGTAATTAATCAGAGAATTAGACCCCAACAGGGCTATGCCTGCAGGTCGTGGTGATCTCTCCAACGACAAGCCGGCAAACCTTTGCCTCAATTGGTGGAGAACTCGTTCCCACGGGCTGCCTTACAGTACGGCCGTGTCCCGATGACGGGCATTGTTAATTTTTACTACATGCGATCCTCTCATTACCGTGTAGAATGACCAAATTCGGCCTCGTCGCACATATTGTAGATATAGTAAGCTCCAGCTTTTACAATGCAGTATACTTCCGGGCCCTGAATTCCGGGTCAATCACGCGATGCTTCTCATGATGTCCGGTAATATCCTTCTAGCTTTCGCTTTGACCCCTTTGCCTTGACTTTTCCCCCGCGGCTGGAGAGCGGGATGTCCCGCCGGTCGTCTTCCGAAAGGAGTCTTTGTTTCCTCTTTCTTCCCCGCAATTTCAACTCGCAGGCAGCTTCTTCCTATTTGAAGTCTGGTGCACCAAGAGTGATGTCCTGCGAAAAGAATTGGCTTGACCGACATAAAAAGGCGACAAGGAATTTCTCGGTCGTGGCTAATGTATGACGAAGAGGAGTTCCGGAAAGTGATTACCTAGTATTCCCCCCGATGTATCCTCCAAGCGGCTGTGCAACCCAGTGTAAAACCAAGCCCATCCGCCCAGGTGTACATGTGCGAAATTTTCTACAAGTAGTTCGACCGTTTGGGGTCGAGTCATTCTTGTCGTATCTGCATGATTACAACTACTTGACTCGAGCAATCCTGGCGGCGGCTTATGATCTCGCCATGCATGTAGGTTCCCATTATTTTTTTCCGCCCCAGCTTGTCATCTAGACTTGACTACATCTGAGATGCAATCTATTACGACCAATCAGATACAGTCTAAGCTGAACGGGTCATTTCATGGGGATGCTAAGCGAAGTTCCTGTCGTAGAAATACTCCGTGATATTGTCCAATCGCTATTCGAGATGGTTGAATAGGTGCGCAGTAACACTGGATGTGGGAGGCCACTCAATTGATACTGGATAATGAGACCTTGTCACACTTGATCTGGATAGTCATCAGATTAATATTGCACGGTATTTGTTTCGGCTGTCAGAAATGGTCATAGCAAACAGCAGGGCGGAAACCCCCCATTTTTCCATGAGGACTCCAGACCTGCTGAGCAAGTCGATTCGACGAGGTGCTAATTATATATCTCAAAGACCAAAGGCACTTCATAGCCTCAGTCATTACTTATCCCTTCGGCGCCAGTCATTGGATTGAAATGCCCGGCTTGATCTGGCCATATAATCGGAATAAGAGATCTGGTCCTCATTTTCATCGGGGCGGTTATTTCTCAAGCCCAGGCGTGCGTCTTTCAAAGTCTTCGGCATTTCCCTTGCTGGCCTGACCTTCAGCCGACTTCCTAGGTAAATAGTGCCATTGAGTGCTTTGGTTGCTGCGTCCATGTCCGCCTTATTTTCAAAGTCAACGAAGCAGTAGTGATGGTTACCCGGGAATGATCTGGTGTACTCGTCTGGCGTGATGCGTTTCCCGATCGCAGTTCTGGTATAAAGTCCTGAGTGAGTCGGTGTCCTGCAAATATGGAAGGGATATGAGAAAGGTTCGCGCACGGGTTGAAAGCACCAAGAAGGTCAGCGATTTCACTGTTGTGCTCCGCTTGATTGATCATCTTCGGCAGCCCACCGACAAAGAGTCTTCGCCCTTTGTTATTATTATCTGCCATATCATCGAAATGATTCAGTGCCCCGATAGGACCCTGTTCGATACCTTGACCGGTGGGTCGACTACTGCTGCTGTCGGCGTTACGGGACTGCGAGTTCCAGTCACCCCATCGCTTGAAGGCGTACTCGTCCTCGCGGTTAAAGCGACGACTGAACTTTTTCTTGGGCTCGCATGGTCCAACCTTGACATATCGACCGTCGATTTGTGCATTCAACGAGGATAGCGCACGGTCGGCGGTCGCCTTGTCGGGGAAGTCGACGAAACAGTAGCCTGGGTTTCGCGCGCTCACTGGATCAACCGAGATGTGGATACTTTCTGTCTTGTCGAAGCTATTCGCCGCAAGAAGGTTCTCGATGTCGTAGGGAGTAGCCCTGTAAGGTAGATTGCCTGTGCGATATTAGAGTTAGATGGTGACCTGCCGAGAGAAAGCAGAGCAATCGGCAGGTCGTCATACCGAGGTAGATCCGTCTGCCTTCGTTCAAGGCATCGGGCTGGTCCTGAGGCGTTTGTGCCATGGCGACTCCGCTCGGCCTATAACGGCCTTGTACTGCGATGCAGGTGCTCTCGCGAGATGCGATAGAGCGCTTCAGACCGCTCTGATCGCAAAAGTTGATTGAATCGAAGGTCGAACTGAGGTAGATGGTAAGTCAAGCCACGTGATCTCAGCTGTTTGCCTGTTCTGGGTGGTGATGACGTCATCGGGGTGTGGAGGAAGGCGTGGAATATTCAGAAAACACTGATGAGTTCCGGAATCGGGATCCAAAAGCTACTCCTCATGATGGAAGCGATCTTTCCCACGTTGCTCAGAACAGCGAAAGTATTCATCATTCCGCTGTCGCTGTCTGATCAAGGATTCAAGTACATACTTGCAGACAAATTATGGCGCCTACGCTATCAATTTGATCGCCACCACAAAACCCTTACTGTCGATGGCTAGGAATCTTAATGAGGGGTATAACACGCTCAAAAAATAAATAGGTAAGCTATCTATGATTATGGATGAGGTGTGGGAAGAACGGGATAAACAAGATATGTGTCATGGTAGAACCCACTCCCAAATGGTGGGGTTCTTGACAGGGACTGTAGAAGTATTGCGGACATTGCCAACGTGCCGCATGTAGGATTTGCTCAAAGAGGTACCATAGACTCAGGAACAGAATATTGAAGCCAAACGGTGTCGATCCTAGTTCTAATGTCAGCTTCAAGTCATACCAGCGAGATCAATCTGCTTCCGTTCGGGCCCTTACCAATGTCCTCTTTTAAATCCAACCTTCTTCAACCGACCACGCTCTTCAAGCCCTCGTTTTAAATACCATGTCCTCAAAGCTTCACCTTGTTCCTTGCCCTCGGGATCAACAGCCATAACAGCAATCACGTTCCTAACCCGAGACGCACCCGTAGACTCATTCGCATGTCCGGATTCGGTTGACTCGCTGCTGTCATCCATTCCATCACACTTATGCCAGACCTGACCAGTCTCTACACGCCCGAGCAAATGCGCAAGGAGAACAGATCCTATCCCCAACGACTGGTGCTCCGGATGGAGGAATAGAGTAAGCTCAACCGTGGGAGCATATGACTTCTGTAGGCGAAAGGGAGAAAATGACCCATATCCAAGGACAAGAGAATTTCCGTCCTCTGCTTTTTGTACTTCGTCCACTGCGACGAGGTATGGGAGGCCTCGGGATGTGAGATCGTTCAGTTTGGCAGTGTATGACTCAAAGGGTGGTGGGGTTTGCACGAATGTGAGCGAAGTATTGAGGATGTAATGTCTGTTGATGGCCTGGATCTGGGGTAGATCTTCTGGCCTTGCGGCACGGTAAGAGACCATGTTTATATTCTGAGTTTCTTTGAGTTTGGAGCGCCTGGTTTGAATGGACGAGCCAGGGTGTTGAGAACCGTTGTGAGGTGAGGGGGGAACTAAGACCGCGCTTAGCACACCTTAGCTCCCGTGAACCGGCCAATCGTAGATTGAAGACTTCGTGATCCCCGAAGAGGCTAAAGATAACACACTTGGATAGTGTGAGTCGTAGGTTATGCTATATATTCTGCTAAGATGGCTTGCGCAAAGTCTGATGGTGAGTGGAGCCAGATTCAGGGACACAAACTCAAAAGTGGAACCTGAGCCGCTAGATATAGTGTGTGCGTTATGTGCCTTACCCAGGGGCAATATTCTAAGCATTTCGATTATTGAGGACCAGAGAATGATACAGCAATGTGTTTAAATAGCCAACAAAATTACACTTGAAAGACTAGGGATAAGATACAGGTCATATACATGCAAGCATAGACAAATTGAGACCTTATTGAGGCACCAAGTACCTTGACATAATTCCAGCATGACCATCACCTAACTAGCTATCTGGGTGGAACTACCTGTGATTTATTGAATGTCTGGAAACAGATGATTGACTCAATGATATCCACAGGCCTCCTTCTGGCTACTGCTGCCGGCATCCCCCCAAGGGTCCCTCCAGAGCGCGCTCAACCTGTCGAAGTCCTGCTACCACCTGTTGATTGATGACTGCTTCTGCGTCAATACTATCAGCAAGCCGTTGGATAGCTGCACCTTGTCTCTCGATTTGCTCTTCAAGTTTTTCAACAACGGTATTTTGAACATCAAGGCGCTCAAATATCCCTTGTAAGTCAATCTGCGAGCTATTTGAAGATTCCGTTCCAGCTCCACTCCAGCGCAAGTCAAAGGTTGCAGGGGGAGGAGCGTTATTCTTCGAGTCGACAAGCTCACGCCACTTCGGAACGAGGCGATTCCTAGCTGACTCGGACATGACAGAGCTGCCATTCTTCTTTTGTCGCAGGGCAATCCAGATGTATGCATCACGCAGCTGATTCTTGTGTGGTCCAGCGAGGTGGAAGACCGATTTGCTCTCTTGGATGGCTGACCAGTCATTATGCTCAGCCATCCTGCCCACTTCTTCGATAGTATCTTCCGTAGGCCATATATCGGGTCCTCTCAACGAAGGCCGAGGGACTCCACGCTCGTTGATGACTCCGGCGATGGGAATACCATTCACCAAATACTCACGGGGAATTCCTGCAGAGAGCCATACCCCAGACCGGATTTTGGGGCCTCGCTTACTGCTGGGGATCATGAGAATGGGTGACTGCTGGCTGACTGTTCTTCCAGTATTGGCTGTGCAGTCAAGGGTAGGCGAGCCTCGGCCCATCGGACTTCCTAAGGGGGGTTGGCTAGAGGCCGCGTCGGACTCTTCATGGATGGGAAGAGAATCATCACTATCCATGATGTCAATGAACTCGATGGATTCAGTCATTGTCTTGAAGAAATGCGAATGAAGTCAAGATACACATATAGATGCTCTTTGAAGGTGGTGCGCTGGATAGCCTACAGCGGACGATAGTGGACTCTATCGGGTAGAGTGAGTGCATAAGTTCCGACGTTCATCTGGTGAAAGGGAAATAACTTTATCTTTTGGGCAATCACGACGAATGGCAAAGCTGTTCAGTTGGACGGTTTGTTGTTTTTGACGCGCCTAGCCGGAACCTGCATTACTCCCTCATCGTCTGTTTTCTCTCAGCTCCACTGATTTCCCTCCCTCTTCTTCTCACCATCACTGTCATCCAGAATTACTCCACACTCGCGGGTCTGCCTATCACTATTATTCGCTATGAAGATAGAAGTCCCATATTCTTCACCGAGCGACGGCTCGCCCACCAGTTCAGAGACCAGTCCGAAGACAAGCCTCAAAACGACCCCGAATGCGAGCGCAACGAATAGCCCGCAGACTACTCCAAAGAGCAGCCCGGATTTGAGTTCCTGCCCAAGCCCTTCCTCACCACCACCATGTCCTCCCAGCACAGCCTCTCCGACTACAAGCCCATCAAAGGGCCACAAAAACCTTCAACCCACCGTGGAAGACCCCGCAGACTCTGACCCTGATACCGAGCCTGGTATGATCCCATTCGAAGTCCAGTTCGCACACTGCATGAGCCTTGGCTATCCAGACCAGCAATATTACTCCACTCGCTACCCCATCCGCCTTCCCTCTGGATACTGGTTAGCAAATGACATCTCCCTCGACCAAGTCGTAGGCAACATCCCCATCGTTGGCTATGTGAATGAAAACGATCAGCCAATGCCCTCTCTCGATGGTCCAGATATCCACTTGACCCTGGCGACCATTGACGCCATCACCCGCATCGGAGAAGAGAACGACTGGAACGCAATGTTGGATCTGGGACAGGTATTCTACCTTCACGGTCCACGAAAAGGTCAACTCAACGATGCATACGCCTGGATTGCTCTCCGAGGAAACGACGGAGATAAATTCATCATGTCTCGACATGCTCGCAACCGTCTTGTACCCAACTGGAAGGCACTGATCAAGGACTGGGAAGACTTCGACGAAAGCATTACCGATCCATGCCATGAACTTCGGAAGATGGCTATGATAAGCAGTTCCCAGGCGATCCATTTTGTTCAATTTCTGTGTGCTCGGAAGGGAATAGATTTGATCGATGTGAATCTGCAGGATTTCCTGACTGGCAAACTCAAAGCTAGCCATCCTGCTGCCAAACTTATCGCAGCCTGCCAGAGAATATTGGTTACCGCGAAATCGTTTGAGGATGCTACTGAGAAGATGCAGGCGCTCGTGGACAAGATCAACATTTGATACCAGGGTACAATCCTCTTCCCTGTCTCGGGAATGAAAACTATGGCGGCGCTGCGGATCGATATGAGCGATCGGGAAGGGGGTTCTTGCTTTCTTTCGAAGTCGGGGTTTCTGATGATCGCATTCAAGGTCTATGGTCAGCTTCGTGGATGTCTAGATATTCTCTGGCTGGATCTGTTTCAGACCGACGTCGACAATCTGCGCGAGGACCATCACTGTATGTGTAAATAACACAATGTCACCGAGTTTGGAAACACTACCAGTAGCACTTTCGTAGTCAAGATACTCGTACATGTGTCACATTGCAATCCACTGTTGAGACCCTCATTCAATTAACATCCAGGGCTATTTCCTTACAACTCGCAACGAGCCCAGAAATAGATTATGCTGACCAAAGATAGACTTACTGCAAGCTATGCTGGTAAATTAAGTAGTGAATACTTCACGAGGCTAGGTCAATTATAGCCTGGTTTCTCCAGACTATAGATCTCATTCGCCTGGGCACCATGCACAGCCATTTTTTGCCGAACCCACCCAACACACCCTTCCCACAGTTGATCCTTGCACGCTAGCGAGTCAAGGATCTCAGAAACCAAAGCCTTCCCCGCATTTTGAGCCCACCAGCACTTTCCATCAAGCTTGGAAAGAAGAACACCCCAATACGCGAGTATCAGAAGCGGGAAAGGGGACTTCCTCCGGATGCCGTGTACAAAACCGTTATCCACCGCACCCAGCCATGCAAGCACCGGAGCAGGATCCTCGGAACGTGAAAACTTCATGAAACAGTGTCTGAGATGATCAATAACATCTCTATTTATACCATGTTGAATCTCATCTCTATCTGGCCTTGTCTGCTCATTCAGGAAAGACAGTCGATTCAACGCCGACAACGTATCCTCATCGAGTTCAGCAGAGGTATCTTTCCAAAAGTCGCCCTTGGAAAACAACTCCAGTCGGATCCACGACTTCCCAATCTTCAAGATCTTCTTGACACCCTGCAACAGCTCAAACGCCGTCACCATATTCTCCGTCATCCTGCTCTCATTCCCATGCACAGCAGTAAACTGCGCCAACGAAAGATTAATCGCCGTAGTAACAACCGACTCCGCAAAGACCGCATCGCAATTCTCCGGCGTCAAATTGTCAATAGCAACGCGGAACGGCTCAAGACTCCTACTATGATACTCAAGCCCCGTATCGACGTAAACAGGCGCCTGCGGCGCTTCCAGCGTCGTAGCAAGATGCAACGAAGCCAGTGACAAAATGCCATGCATCAAATACCGATGTTTCAACGCGAGACGAGGCACAAGTTTCTGCCACGTCACTTTCTCCGATTCGCTAACACAAAGACTCAGATAGGTCTCCGTCGCAAACTGATGCATTAATTCCAGCTCGTCCACGGCCGGCGCTGTCAGCGGAGACCACGGAGGGACATTGCCATTTTGTTTAACTAGCGGGCCTGGACTGATAGGACTTGCTCGATGAGTGTTGAGTAGGTATGCTGGTAGAATTCGGGAATATGTGCAGCCATCTAGCTGTCGCGTAATACAATTTGTGCATGGGGGTCCTTGCTCGTCGCATTTGACGCGTCGGCGTCGACAGTGGTCACATCCATACCGGGATTTGGTGTGTGGTTTCCGGGGCATCACGCAACTCGGAGATTATGCGTTGAATTGGGCCATTGAGTGGTTTTCATGTTCGAGGAAGAAAGGTTTCTGGGAGTAGACTCCTGTCTCGCTGAATCGCCGAGTCGTTCCTGGCCAAGCGTTGTTCCCCGCACGATTGGGATCATTCGCCCACGGGCAGTCCCTTGATTCGCTTACGTCATAGGTCTGGGGCCTGGCACTTTATCTTCATGATTCATACTTCAAACTGAGATTGACCCTAATATACTGGGAAGCATTGTGTGCTATGTCATAAGAACGGCCCTTACAAATGTCTCCTGAGAAACGTGATAGTAAAATTGGAGATCACGATTAATTTTGACCATATTTGTACATGATTTCATATATTTCCATCAAATAACAAGCGTCCGCGACTTATACGCCAGGCCAAGAAACATGTATAAAACGAAGGTTGACTAGGTAGCATCCTTCAGGGAGCATGGCAATACGCATAACGATATCGAGCTCTCGAATTCTTCTGTGGGGCATAGTGAACCATTTCCACAGAGAGAAATTCAGTGCTCTGTTTTTTCCTTCGGCCAACCATGTTAAAGAGACCACACAACGAATGACGATGGAAGCCATCGACTGGATTGATGACGAGGCTCGCATTACCCGTCAGTCAGCAAAGTATAGTCTGCAATATCTGATTGAGAGCCTTCATCAATGATGAGGTAGTTGACTGCCATAGGGTTTCAGTTTCCCGAAGCGTCTTTCGCGGAGTATTATAATAGTAGAAGATCTCTCCAGGTACCACCATTTCGCAGTATATGACAACCTCCATCTCACAGTCAAGGAAATTAGAAGCTACCAGTACACATTAGCGCCCAGGTTACTCTCGAATAGCTCAAACACGTTTACTTCGTCGATACCCTGCTGGCACCGAGCGTAGTAGAACGTGAGATTGTTATCCAAGAGCTCCCTTAGCAACACCACCCGCCCAACTGTGTACTGCTGCTGGATCACCCATGCTATCTCGCGCCGACAAGCAACCAAAGTAAAACACTGTATATTGCGATCCAAACAGCACCGACAACAACGAGTCCCATCACCCCTATTGTACGAGCAGGCCCAGCAGTTATGTCGGTTCTGGGGGTCCGCAGGCTGTAAGAATCCCTGGAGTCACTGTGTGCGGGTGCAGCAGGCAATCAATTATTAGAGCCATAAGTACACGCGTCTCGCTCGAATCTCGTGCATTTGAAGTGGTCAATGATGAACCCAGTAATAATTACGCTGGTGACATATGAATGAAGCGGAAGCGACACCATCTTGTTTCTGAGTTCTTGTGCGTAAAGCAGAATGAGCACTCGCAGTGCTGGCCATATGTCTTTGTTGTACTGTGGTGGAGATGCTGTGAGGGTGATCCATCATGATGTCGAGAATGTGCGATTGGAACTCTAGATTGCCACAATTTTGGTCGAAATCCCCGTAAGCCTTCATTGGATTTCCGTCGACGGGAACAGTGCCGTTCACCCTGTCCATTGGCTTCCACTGGGTAAGGTCTTCAGGCCATGGATCAAGCCGGTCCAACAGGGCGCCTTCTACTGGGACAGGTTAGGCCACAGCCTCGATCATATTGAAGCGAACCAGGTCTAGTGGTACAAGATCCTGTATACACACCGCTGCCTGATTTTCATCGAGTCTCATCCTCAAGTCACGGATGAACTCAATTCGTCGGCATTGTCGAGATACTCGCTTTGACATTGGTATGAGAGGCCAAGCGTGGTGAATGAAGTTCGTGCCTGGCAGGGTTATTACCGGGATGCACATGTATCCATTTGCTCGGAGAGATCACCCGAGAGCCTGCATATTTACCAAAGTCCTCCAGCATTGCGCATGAGTGTGTTGTTCGAGAGGTCCGGGGATCTGCAACACTCAGAGAACCAAGTTTTATAGCGCGCTTGGAGTTCACTGGTGTTAACCTGCTCCCAATCCTGTTGTAACATGACACGGGAGCCAAGGCCTGGGAAGAGTCCATTGTGAAGGTAGACAGTTGTTCCGTGTTCAGTCGGGTGCATCCTTGTCGGCTGCTGGCTTCTAATCATAGGCTGAACGCGAAACTGGGAGTACGGAGAGGGATCTAATTTCAATATCCCGATAGATTGTCTCGAGCATCTCTCAGGATAGGAAAGGCTTTATTAATTCCACATAGACGGCGATAAGATGTGGATGTAAAGAGAAGAAATGACGGCGTAGTAAAAGGGAGGTGTTGCACCAATTTCGAAGGTAAATCCGGGAACTTCCGTCTTTGGAACTCAGAACCACGGCTTTTTCGCACACCTTGTCCAATTCTTATGACTCTTCCTTCTTCGATAGGCCCCCACTATTGGCCAGGTAAATGGGTTTTCATTGTAGGTGGATTACCGATCCAGAACCGGCAATCATGGACCTGCATTGTCATCATGCCATGAGAAATCAGGTCCACAAGGCAGTGAAGGATTCTCAAGTTTCGTGGGTATCTTCGTGTTAATTAGCTATGTGAAAAAGAGCGGTCATGGGGTGTTGGGCTTTCGAGTGGTGAAGAGGATATTTTTGTAACGACTTACTGTTAGTTTGCCCAGCTCCAACCGGTAACTGGAAGGTGCTGTAGCCCATGGATTGTTCTTTTTTCTTTTGATAGAGGACCATACGCAGAGAGATCCGTGGTTTTTGGGTCATCCCGCTCATCGGTTGCTCTTCTAGTAAGGCTCCTTCAATATATGGACTAGCTCGTCACTAGCATGACCTAGTGATATCCTGACGTGGCGTCATGAACACCTCGGGAAGGGCCAAGGTATATAGAAACGAAGTGTATCGCGTTGTCTGAGGGGAAGGAAGAGGGAAAATTTGGAAGGGGGAGAGAGAAGAAGAAGAAGTGAGGAGGATAAACAAGTCGCTGTGCTGGATGTGTCACTCTGCCGGAACTTGCCTCGCTGGAATTCCCGCTTTTATGCAACTGCAGAGCGTACTATGAGGAATGACAATGAGAACAATATTTGATACAGTAACTGCCTGCCATTCATCAAAACGGGTCCAGAGAATATAGAGATCAGTAGGAGGACTGTGTCGATCAACTAGATACAAGTTCTTTTTCTTCCAGCGATTCTATCAGAGGCTACGTTAAAACCCGAAGGACTGCTCAGACAAGCTTGACTGCGATGACGCTGGATTTTGCTCAAGCCTGGCTGATACAGGCCAGAGGTACTGTAATGAGCTGAGTTGCACTATAGTTGGAGACCTCCACATTCGTGTTGATTCGATCAACACTGGACTTGATTTACCACGGCCAGCTTCGAGCGGGTGCAGCTATTGAACTTACCCGCTAGGGAAGGTCTTCAGCGGTGTTGAAGGGGCGTAGACTGATATGGTATACGCGGCTAAGATTCTGGCTTTGAAGAGGTCTCCGGTCTACTACAGTAGTGATTTCGATATGATTGTAGTGGATTCGAGTCCAGTCGGCTAAAAGAGTAATCTCCGGTGGAAGTAGTGGAATGACCACGGTATATTTTACCGGGGTACTCCGATCTTCAGGTATACCCAAAGAATGTACAGAGTACGTTTAAACACCATGCACCATGAGAATTAAATGTATGCAATTAAACTTCAACTCTGAAACAATCTAGTCCGGGGTGATATGTAGTCTTCTCTTCCGTATAATAACCCTATGCACGGAGTATTTACCCTGAATGCTCCTCACTGCCTTCACAAACGGGAAATTATTCTTAGTTCCACCAAGCATCTGGGTCCAAGTGGAGCTGGTTCCTGGAATTCAGCCACATTCGCCAACGATCGGCGGGTGGCGTTCCGCCAAGTTTCCTTGCCGTGTGTCTGTTCGGACCCCGGTCGGTTACTGGGGATCGGCAGGGCACGGTTTGGACTCTCCTGAATCCTGAGGGTGCATAGGGGACCATAGGCTAGGAGCGCGAGGGAAAGAGGGGCATTCGCCCGCTTTGCCTCGAAGACCGAGAATGTAGTATCTCTATAGTAGTGTAGTAGTGTGTAGGAGTGCCGTAGGTGGGTAATGGTGACATTCGTACGGAGTGCAGATCCCAGTTTTAAGGCGGGATTCTTTGAGTCAAGAAGAAATCAAACCCAGTATTCATTCGTCGTATTTCGATGCATTCCCGCTGCCTTCCGGTCTATAATACAGGTGCCTATTGTTTCGATTTCTACTGTCATAGAAGATTTTGACTGAAAACCGTCGGATCTGAGGGGAACAGGGTGGGCCGGCAGTCGATGCCGATCGCAATTAATTTCACAGAAATGAACTTGATCGATGGAGACGAACAGAGCGTGGAAGGGCCCTGCGCACGAACCTTATGGTGCTTGTACGCTGAGCTCAAAATGTTCCTAAGCAGGTGGGCGACTAGATTAAACCAGGAAAATAGAGCTATAAATGATGAAGGGATCTAGAAAGTCTAGTACGGACCATGGAGCACTGTTGAATGAGTTGTACGTGACAAGCAAATCCAAGAAATTGATTTACGAGCTCATAGTTGTTGCCAGGAACCAAGAGACGACGAGACTTTTTTCTACGGGTGGGTCGAGCCCGTCAACCCTGCAGGTAGGTACAGCCCAGAGACTCCATTCCGATGAGAAATACTCCATCAATCACGGAGACCATGGAGCCTCGTGGAGACGAATTCTGTCATTGCCCAGAGATAACTGGTCCTTGCTCATCCTTGTTGATCCTAGCTTGTCTTTTCCTATTTCATGCCTACCGGGGGATTTCTTATCCTCCGTGCATCCTACACAGGTTTCGATGCCCTAGAATAATAGATATGAATTCCAATAGTGATAGATTCTGAGTGGATAGTCCATATATTGTACCATATTTATTATCATCAAGAGGAATATTGCTCAAGACAGACAGAGACACTGAGAATGATAATGCCAACGTGCTCAATCCGGCCTTCGGCGGTGTTCAGTCCTCTTAATACCACGTTCAAACCTACCAGATCCCTCCATCCATGGCCAACCAAGTGGAGACAGTTCAAGTCTAATCTTAGTCTGCTTGTGAACCCCCGGGGGCGCCGTGTTCCTTTTAGAAGGCTGTTCGCCCACTGCGCACTCCTGCGAGTAGGAGTCTTCACCTACCCGTTGCTGCCTCGTCCTTCGTTTCTGGCCTACCGGCCCTGTTGCTATATCGAATTGCCTGCAATTCTTACCATTCCTTTCAATATCAGATATTCCCATTTCTGATCACTCACTCTTTTCAAACTTCACCTAGACGGGAATCACCCTCATTCAATTCTTGATCTATCCACATCACCAACACTTTCATTTCTACCACTTTACCAGCCATCTCAAAATGAAATTCACCACCTCCATCACCCTGGCCTCCATCCTGGCCGCTGTGCAGGTCAGCAGTGCCGTGCCCCATGTGCCTCGTCACTCGTCTTCCTCTACGCCATCTGTGCCCTGCAGCACTGGCGTGCCCAGCTCGTCGGTTCCTGCTATTTCGTCCCACTCGATCCCAGTTCCTTCTAAGACGCCCTCGAGCTCTATCAAGGTGTCCAGCTCTATCCCTTACTCGAGCGTTTCCGTGTCGATTCCTACTATCACCAGGACTATTCCGGCGAGCAGCTCCTCGAACCCGAGTTCTAGTCCCGTTGCTAGCTCGTCGAAGCCCTCTAGCTCGATGAAGGCTCCCAGCTCCACTAAGGCTCCCAGTTCAACCAAGGTGCCCTCGTCAGTCACCAGCGCTCCGAAGATGACCACCTCGACTGTCTACACCACCTCCGAGGTAACCATCACCCAGTGCGCCACCACCGTTACGAACTGCCCAGCTGAATCGACCACCGTGGTGACTTCCATCATCCCCGTAACAACCACCATCTGCCCAGTCACCGAGACTGAGTCCGATACTAGCAAGACCACGCCCCCCGCGCAGGGCAGCACCGTCACCGAGGAAATCTACACGACCACGACCATCTGCCCCGTCACTGCTACTATGACCTCGGGCTCTAGTGTCATCACCTCGACCTACAGCACCGTCTCCACCATGACCGTGACTCCCACCCGCTCCCCCAGCTCCAGCTCCGTGGTTATCACCCTGACCCCGGCCGAGTCAGCTACGACCGTCACCACCTTCGAGAGTACCACTATCTGCCCCATCACCGCGACTATGACTTCGGGATCTAGTACTTACACCTCGACCTACCACACCGTCTCGACCATGACCGTGACCAGCCCCGTCGTGTCGTCGTCCGTTGCTACTAGTTCCGCCACCAGTGTGATTGTGCCTAGTGGCTCTTACTCTGCTCCTCCCAGCAGCACCCCCGTCGTTAGCGTTGCTGCTTCGTCGACGATGAAGAGCAGTGCGCTTCCTACTTCGGTTCCCACCTCTCCTAGCGCTTCCTCGCCCAGCCAGACCCCCTCTTACAACGCTGCTGTCTCGGTTAGCGTGTCCTCCGGTCTCTGGATGGCGGTTGCCGCGGTGCTGTCCCTGGTTGTCCTGTGAGGTGGAAGATCAAAAATCATCCTGGTCTGATACAATCAGAATATGTGATTGGGGTTGGTTCCATTTCACGAAATTATCTTCTTGTCTGAGATACCCCGGTACCCTCGTTTTTATCTTTGCTAATGCTGGGATAAAAGGCTGCGCTGGAGATCTATCTCATTTTAGTAATTCTTGACTTCTATTGCCTGATGAATGCGGTTGATTTTTCCGCTGATTTTGATTTGTATTCGTTTTGATTCTTTGCATTGAATATATTCTGTTTTTTGAATTCCTTGAATATCCCGTAAAATGCCCAACTCTTTTCTAAGAACAGGGTGATTTCGTAGGCAATCAAAACGGCCACGAAAACAAAATAATACTTCCACCCAATGGAGTCGAGGGCGATGGGATTGACGAATGTGTTGAACATATTTCCAAACGCCACAGAAACCCAAGCGATGCTGAGGCCACGGGGGCGTAGTCGGAACGGCCATACCTCGCAAGGACAGGCTGTCAGGAGTGGTGTCCTTTATTTGAGGTGTTAGTGAAAATATTGCGGCACGTGTGCGTGCCGTGTACGACCCGCGCTTCTGTTGCGGCGGTTCCAGCGCTCGCTTCCCTGCAGGTCTGATCACCATCTCGCCCAGTTTGACCTTACGTTTGATGCCAACAGATGTTCTTCTATTTTATTTGTCCTCTTGTAAATTCCCACGTTCAGTGGGTCTGATGCACTTAATGAAGACCACCATATTTTGTTATTAGCCCAGTTTAGGTGAAGGCCCAGAGAAGTCCTCGACAAGATGTATAAATACTCGGACTCCCTAGATGCGGCTTATCAAGGACAATAAATTGCAATTTTTTTGGTTTGGTTCGTTCCTTCCTAACAACACTGGAGCGACTCTCATTGCTTCAATCTCGGACAATTCTCTCTCAAGATGGGCTTCTCGGATGTTGACAAGCTTGCGATCAACACGATCCGCACCCTCGCTGTCGATGCCACCTTCAAGGCGAACTCGGGCCACCCTGGATCCCCAATGGGAATGGCCCCTGCTGCTCATGAGCTCTTCAACAAGTTCATGACCTTCAATCCCGATAACCCGAAGTGGGCCAACCGGGACCGTTTTGTCCTCTCGTGCGTGAAACATCCCCGGAATGAACGCTGGCATTCATGCTAACTTCCGCCCAGAAATGGTCATGGATGCATGCTTCAACATGCACTTCTCCATCTTTGCGGATACGATCTCAGCATGGACGATATCAAGAACTTCCGAGTAAGAGATGCTTAAGCCCCTCAAACAAATAACTGCTAAGACGTACGCAAGTAACTGCATAGTAAGACGCCTGGACATCCGGAGTCCTTTGAGACACCTGGAGTCGAAGTTACAACAGGTCCTTTGGGCCAAGGCTTTGCAAATGCGGTTGGTTTGGCCATTGCACAAGCACACATTGCGGGGGTGTTCAACAAACCTGGGCATAATTTGATCAGCAACCGGGCGTTTTGTTTCTTTGGTGACGGATGCGCCATGGAGGGAATTGCCAGTGAAGCGGCCTCCCTTGCCGGACATTTGTGGTCCCGCAAGAAGTGTACGATCTGTACAGCGAGTGTGCAAAGAACGGCAAAGCCAAAGAGAACGACTGGAATAACCAACTTGCGAGATATGCGGAAGAGTACCCGGCAGAGTACGCCGAGTTCGTTCGTCGCACTGAAGGTAAACTACCGGACGATCTGGAAGCTACTCTCCCTGAATACTGTGCTTCTGATGCCGCTGTTGCTTCCCGAAAACTCTCTGAAACGGTTTTGGAGAAGATTAACAGCATTATCCCGGAGCTGTTATCTGGCTCTGCGGACCTGACCGGTTCAAACAACACTCGCTGGAAAGGAGCCATCGACTTCCAGCCTCCCGAATACGGAATTGGAGAATGGGATGGTCGCTATATCCGTTATGGTGGTCGAGAACACGCAATGGCTTCGATCATGAATGGCCTTGCGGCATATGGCCTGATTGTTCCCCTAAGTGGTGGCTTCTTGAACTTTGTCTCATACAATGCACCCTCTATTCGTCTCGCAGCATTGAGCAAGCTGCGCGTGATTCATATCGCTACACACGATTCGATTGCCCTAGGCCAAGATGGACCTACCCACCAACCGATTGAAGTTCTCAGCCATTTCCGTGCACGTCCGAATTGCATGGTGTGGCGACCTGCAGATGGCAACGAGACAAGTGCTGCGTATCTCGCTGCATTGCTCACTAAAGAAACACCCAGCATTCTTCGCTCACTCGCCAGAATTTGCCCCACCTCAAGAACTCCTCTGTCCAAAAGGCTTTAATGGGTGGCTGTGGCTATATGGTGTTAGACTCAGCCAATGCTGCCGTGACTCTGGTTTCCACAGGCTCTGAGGTTAGCGTTTGCCTCCAAGCTGCTGCGATCCTAGAGAAGCAAGATATTTCCGCTCGAGTCGTGTCTATCCCTTGCTTTGAGGTATTTGATCAACAAGAGGAATCCTATCGCCTGCAAGTGCTTCCTGATGACATCCCCATCTTGTCGGCGGAAGCTGCGTCTACATTGGGCTGGGAGCGCTACTCTCATCAGCAGTTTGGCATCAACCGTTTCGGAGCCTCTGCACCCCCTGACGAGCTCTTCAAGATGTTCAATTTGACGCCCGAGGGAGTTGCGAAGCGCGCAGCACTAACGGTATCTTTCTATGCCGGAACATTGTCTGTCGGCAAGCAGACGGTTTTGTCCCCGATTCGACGGGCATTTGCACAGATTTTGTAATTTTGAATCAACCGCAAAAAGGTTATCGAAATTTAATACGTAAATAGAGAATAGATAAATAGTCGCGCTCTCTTATCAATTTGATTTGTCTTCAGATACCAAATTCAAAGTCCTTCTGCAGGATCATTACATCATCAGTAATATAGAGTTTTCAGAAGCAACTCCATGATAATATCATTGGTGTTGACGGAATCTTCTTAGTTTGTTCGTTTTCTTGTGTTATGCCGAAGGTTTATGCAGACCTCAGACCTCGATATTGCACAAGACTAGATAGTCCCAGTGGTCAAATGGCTTGGCACAATCTAGACGAACATCGGTACCTCCCTCCGCCGCCCAGCCAAGTCTAAGGTAAGCGGCAGCGACACACGGCCCGATAAATTTGCCCCCACGCGGACTCGTGTAAGCGGGCGGGGCGGGCGGCCCGTGCTTGAATTGGCACATGCGGGGTGATGCTGGCCCCAGTTTGGTTGTTCTATTCGCGCAGTCATAACTACGTGCGGTACTCTGTGATACCTTTAAATATGGCTCATGCTTATGCCTACGGGCTGTAGAAAGCGTTTGAATCTCCATCTCTAAGATTACCACGGCAATAAAGACCAAAATGAGCGGCAGAAGTGACTGCAACGTCCACGCCTTGGAGTTTCGCGAGGCCAAGCCCTCCCAAGGCGATGCCTCACGGCCAATTGCAGATTTGTTTCGCTTGGATAACCGATCGATCATAAGTAACCATTCCCCCTGTCCTCGGTCGCGTAAAATCGTGGTACTAACGCGGAACTCAAGTCACTGGTGCAAATGGCTTTTTGGGAACTACACTCGCAATCGCAATCTTCGAGAGCGGCGCCGATGTCGTTTGCCTGGATCTGCCAGCGTCTCCTAACGCTTCGAACTGGGGTAAGTATTTAACGCCACCAATCTCCTAGCCTGATTTACTGCACCTGGCTTCCCTTCTAATATCTCGGGTATGGACAGGCGAAGTTGAAGCAGCTGCGAAGAAATACGAGCTCCAGCTCTCATACTACTCCCTCGACATTACCGATGAGAACGCCGTGCAAGACATCTTCGCAGAATTTATGCCAACTTTACGCTACCCTCTCAAGGGCCTAGTCTCCTGTGCTGGTCTGTCGCGAAACGGACCCTCCACCGAGTTCCCCGCCTCTTCTTTCCGCCGCGTCATGGATATCAACGTTACCGGCACATTCCTCATCGCACAAGCGGTTGCCAGAGAGTTGGTCAAGTCCAACACCACTGGAAGCATGGTGCTAGTCGCCAGCATGAGTGGATATGTCTCCAATAAGGGCGTCGACACCGCCGGATACAATGCCTCCAAGGCTGCTGTTCACCAGCTTACTCGCTCATTGGCTGCCGAATGGGGCTCGCGTGTCGGAATGCCACTTATTCGAGTCAACTCTTTGTCTCCTGGCTACATCCGCACTGCGGCAACGGCCGAGGCACTTCAGAAGCCTGGCATGGAGTCTCAGTGGACTGGTGATAATATGCTGTTCCGCCTTAGTACGGTGGACGAATTCCGTGCCCCGGTCTTGTACATGCTTGGAGATGGCAGTAGCTTCATGACCGGTACAGATCTACGTGTTGATGGCGGCCATTGTTCCTGGTAGAGCTTTTGTGAATAGTCCCGAAATAAGATCATCGAGAGTTATTCCTTCAATAAACATGTTATCAACAAAGAATCTACTTTTATTCATCGCCGTACTTGAGCTATGCGCATGATTCTTGACACGACTATCTATGATCGTGCACGAGAAGCATTAGTAAACGAAATTTGAGGGCAATCTTTCACTCACACAGTCACACCATTTGTAGGGGATTAGTAAAAGTCTTAATCTAGCAATGTAGAACAGGGTCAACAAAACCAAGCCGAGCAACCAGGAACATGTCCTAATCATTGAATTACTTATGAGATGGTGCAGACGCATCTAATTACTCACATTGAACGCTGGTAAACTCTGCCTCCTGGTCGGCCCGATAATACTTCCCAGTTTAGCTCGTTCCTCGCTCGTACATCCTCGAAATGACCTCAAGAGCGCGCGAACACGCGGCCTTCTTATGTCCTATGCCGCCACTAAACCGCGCATTTCTAACACGGTCAGAGTGAGGTGCGAACAGCAACGCAAGGAAGTACAGCAGCTAAATTGTCAGTCATTTGGAGAATATAGACACAGTTTGCTCGGAATGGTTTGTTCAATATTGTGGGTGACAAGCAAGTATGGATGAAACCTTTTTCTGTTTTAGAAATTGACCGGGGTAAATAAACAAATGCTCGATCTACCTTTCTATGGTTGCCTCTAGTGAAATAACAATAATATCATTACTGAGTTTGTGTTTTCAATTCACGGCGCGCGGGAATCTATTTCGGAATCTACTTCTTGCGTAGTAAAAACTTCGAATTCATCGCGAACACAGCTTCAATTGGATAGACACATGACAAGACACACACCAATACAAACACCATGAGCTTCTCTCTCTGCTTGGGCTCAATAATCTCGCCATGGTGACAAGAAGAGGTTGTTGTTTCCCATGGTCATCCTTTCCGTAGCCATGAAGTGATTCATGTGACTCGAATAGACCTCACGATTTGGTGACCTCGTGGTGCTCAGCCTGCGCTTTGTCGTCACTGTTCACTTCAGCTTCAATGTTAAAGATATCGACCTCGGTGTCTTTGAACTTCAGTGCAGAGACCTTGTTCTCGAACAAGATGTCCAGCTCTGCATTTGTCCTGTTCTTTGTCTCGGACAATCGGAAGAATGTCCAGATGAAACAGAAGGCAGCAAGTCCCGCATAGAAAAACCCTGCTTTGGCCTTCCAGTTCCACGCGGTCGGGTTCAACATGTATGGAATGGTGATATTCATGATGATGTTGATCACGTTATACAGATTTCGGCCCAAGACAACGGTTCGGGTGCGTAGGCGACTAGCGGGGATCTCGGGAACAAGTGCATAGCATACGGGACCGACTTTCATGCCGTAAACGAAGGTATAGACAACCATCATTGCGGCCACGGCCCACGACGCTCCAGAGTTTCCCTGCCGTGACAACCCCAAGAAGCCGGTAATGAGGAGAATGATGAATTGAAATCCCAATCCTGAAAGGTATAGAGTTCTACGGCCGAAACGACTCATCAGACCCCACGAAAGCATAGTGCCAACAGCACCCAGGGCATACTGTTCCATAGCGATGTCGAAAGATTGATTCTCGTTGAGTCCGGCTTGCTGGAAAAAGCATGTAGAGTATCCCATAAATCCTGACCAGGACAGATTTTGAATGGCCCAGACAACACAAGTGATCTCTGTCCGGCGAAGATCAACCCCGTTGAAACAATCCCAATATGAGCACCAACATCAGAACTCATCTCATTCATATGAGTGCAATGCATCATATCCACTGTATCATTGATGTTGAAGTCAGGGTCGGCATTGGCTGAAGTAAGTTTTCGAAGCGCCTTCTTGGCATCCTCCAGTCTATTCTTGCGCACCAACCACCACAGCGATTCAGGAGCCAACAGGATACCAATCGCAAGTGGTACAGGTCAGATCCATTGGATTGCAAACGGCACTCGATAGGTCCAGTCTGTGTTCCCGTTCTGCAGAAAGGCGCGGAGAATTCCTTGACCCAACAAGGTTCCTATCACCCAGCAGAGGTCGACGTACGTGGTCAAGTAGGGTCGGAGCGCGACTGGGCACACTTCAGACGCGTAGACGAAGGTCAAAGTTTGGAAAATTCCCCATGGCACGCCACAGAGGATTTCTCCAATTTGTAGAACAATGACGCTTGGCGCAAAACAGAGAATGAAAATGAAACCGGTGAGGAAAAACAGGCCGCCGAGAAGTGTCCGTCGTTACCCAAATTTCTCAGCCAGAATTCCATTGAGAAATAATCCCAGAATCTCACCAACAGATGCACCGTTGGTTAGGCCAGCCTGCCATGCAGCAGAGAGTTGATAGGATCCGTCTGGCTGCTTTTGGCCGTATCGCTTTGCAAAGGCGAGAAGGCAAAAAGGCAAAAAGCCCTTGCAGAAGGTTGACATCGTAGCTATACGATGGAGTCCTGTAAGAGATATTACAAAGTCTTTTCTTTATATTCTTCTCTTAACTGGTCAACGTATATAGCCTATTTCTAACAACGATAATAAGAGGTGCCCGGCTCTACTGCACGCGACCATTCGCGGGGTACGTGTGACTCACTCTATACATAAGATGAAATTCCCTCAACAAGATAGGATAAAACAAATCACGGCAAATGATTGTTTTAGTAGTCAGTTCTAAACCACTCATCTCTTTTCACAATCCATAAAAGGTCATTTCCAAACTGATCAACCGCTTCTTCCGCGGTCGCCTCCGGCTGCAGCCCAAACTTCTCCATCAACCCCTTCATCGGCAAATTCCCCAAGTGACTCCCAACGCGAATTTCCACCAGACCCAACTCGCGTAGTCCATAATCAAAAACAACCCGCAAAGCTTCATACGCATATCCCTTACCCCTTCCAAAAGGTTGAAGCATCACCCCCGCTGCACCGGCCCTTTCCGCATGACAAGTAGCAGTAGCACCATCGCTGTTGACGGGGCCAATCCAACCAAGCCCGGCGATACCCAGCACCTGCCCGTTATGTTGGACTAGGAAGTTCACATGAGTCAGCGGCTCATTGACGATCGTCCACCGCTGAGCAATTGATTCCAGTTCTTCGGGAGTGGCATCTGAGACGGACTTGTCGAACTCGGAATTAGCTTTGTTCTGGAGGACTTCAACTATGGCGGCAACGTCGAGGGTGGTGGGAATGCGAAGCGTCAACTCGGGGATTGATTTGGACTGGAGTTGGAAGTGCGGGTTCCCAAGTTTTCCGTTAACTTGGTAGAGTGTTGAAGGGTGCGCCATCTTTGGTTTATTTTTTTTTTTTTTTTTGGACAGAGACCGAGGGAGTTTGTGACCTGCACAATATGCGGGGAAATTAGAGATCTTAAAGGAGAAAGAAATGCGGAGTATAACTTGTTTTATGGGTGCCTTTGCTCGGTTCGACTGGACACCTTGTCACTAACCTGATCTAGTAATTTTCTGCCTTACACCCCCATCACAAACTAATGCCTTATCAATTGGTAATAATACCGAGTGGTGATCAATGATGATGATACGCGCAAGCGGCGGCATGCCGTTGGAAGTTACGAGTGAAAAGGCGGCTGTTTATGGCGTCAGGAGCTGTCATGGTCGGTGTCGATTTCACAGGTCCTTATAGCTAGTTGTGACTTGTACAAACACTTCTTCTATAACTACTAGTATGCGGGGTAAGTTATTCTTTGTAATGCTTATTCATCGGTTTTTTCAATCGGTCTTCCAACAGGTATCTCCAGACGACTTTCAATAGGTCTTTCTACAACTCGTTCTAAATGGGTTTATTTGACAGCCTGAATTAGAAACTCGTTGAGAGACTCCACCTATAACCGTATAGACTGAAAATGTCGATCATGAAGCATTTTTTGGCCTAGCGGTTATCTTGAATCGTCATCAACTTCTACTCCGTCGCATGATTATATCGTAACTAGTCTCTTCTGATACTCGATCTATCCAGGTCTACTTTGACGCAGAACTACACAATGGAATGTATTTTGCAACAAACTTTTTCATTCAAGGTCCTCCTCATAAAGAAAGGTCATAACAAGTATATTCAAGTTCTCAGTACGGGATCAACCCGCCCGCTCACAAAAAAGAAAATGGTAAGATTAGGGAAAAGGCAGAAAGTAGTGCTCTGGACGCCCTTAAACCGCCTCAGGGAAGGGGTGGGGGTTCGCCAGGGTGGTAGGGGTGTTACGGCGAGCGTTAGGACCAATCAGGTGGTCAAAGGCAGGGGAGTGAGAAACACGAGGGGTAAAGTCCTGCAGATCCCACAGGTAACCCAGAGTCTTGAGGACGGAGGTAGCAGAGTAAGAGGCAGACTTGCCAGTAGCGGGGTCAATACCGAAGTTCTCGATGTGGCCCTGAGGAGTGTAGGGGGAAACGAGCCAAGTGGGCATACGGCCACCGAGACGGTCAAAGTTCAGAGTGTACGTGCTGCCGTCGGTGGCCTTCTCAGTGTAAGTCTTGTTGTCTGGGCGGACAGCCAAGGGGGAGCGACGTGGTCGTAGAAACCACCGGTCTCGTCGAAGGTGATCAGGAGCAGGGTCTTGTCCCACTGGGGACCGGTGCGGACGGCGTCGTAGATCTGCTTGAGCAGGACCTGGCCGGTGGAGACGTTGCCGCTTGGGTGCATTGAGTTGGTGTCCAGGCCGCAGCAGGAGGGGTTGAGGTAGGAGAGCTTGGGGAGAGTGCCCAGGTAAGCATCCTGGTAGAAGTTCTCGAAGGGAACGACGCTGGACTTGGCGTTGGCGGCGGTCCAGTTGAAGAAGAGGGCGTCGGAGAGGAAGGCGCCGTTGGTGCCGTCGTAGTTCTTCCAGGAGATGCCCTTCTCCGAGGCAACCTGGAAGATGCTGGGGATGTCGATGGCAGAGACATCAAAGTCGTTGTCGTTCGAGCCGTGGCCGTCGGCGGTACCGGCAATAGCGCAGAGACGGTTAGGGTTGGTGGGCTGGAAGAGGGGATTAGTGATTGGATGTTAGATGGGAGGACAGGAAGCACTCACACCAGGGACACAGGAGTGCCAGTAGTTGAAGGTGGTGAACTCGTCAACCAGGTTGACAAGAGTGGGGATCTCATCCTCTGAGTAGTAGCCCATGACCTCCTCGGTGGCGAGCTGGCTCGAGATCTTGTAGCGGTCAGCCTGGCGCTCAACGAAGCCGTCCAGGCTGGGCTTCAGGGTGCCGTTGGCAATGGCATCGTTGCTGGGGTTGTAGGTGCCGTAGAGCTCAAAGTTGACACCGGTGACAGAGTGGTCCGGGTCATGGATAACGGAATCAAAGTCCTTGAACTGACTGCAAATTTTCTGGCCATTGGGGGCAGAGACAGACACGGGGTTGCAGAAGGGTCCGTTGTTGACAACGTTGTCGAGACCCTTCTTGTGGACACCACCCAGGATGTTGTCGAAACCACGGTTCTCCAAGAGAATCCAGACAACATTCTCAACCTTGTCCTTCAGGTTGGCAATGGACTGCTTGGAACCAGAGGCATAGCCAAAGGGTCCCTGGTTGTTACGGTTGACAACCGCGCCGACAGCGCTGCCGGAGAGACCCAGAAGGGGAAGCAAAGTGTTGGCCTTCATGATGGGACAGCTGAGTCTGATCTAGAAAGGGAAGAAGGAAGCTTGACCTGGTGAACGAGGAGAGAATCATTTCCCAACACGCGATGGTCCCATCTTTTTATATGTCCGTGTTGTCGTGGAGCTTGCCCTGCGGAATGCATTTGCATATCGCGACCCACGTGGGCAAGAGTTCCATGAAAAAGCCGGACAAGTACGAGCTAATCTAAAGGAATGGGCAAATGAGCGCCGATCGTCAGATGCACATGTTGACGCCACGGAATGTCATAGGGTCGTTAGGGGATGCAACGGCCCTCGATAATCACTGGCCGGTCTGCAGCGGGGAACGCTAGCCGGTGCTTTTGGTGTGCTTTTTGCCCGGTTCGGGTCTCGGCAGGAGAGACAGTCCTGCAGATTCTGGAAGGCATCTTCGGTGGGGGCCCTTTGTTTGGTTATTACTGTGGTCGGTTATCAAGGGGATCGAGATCCGTGGGGATATTAGAGAGGGGCCAAAGGCGGAGCTTAACATTTTTGTATACTCCCGTGCCTGGCAGTGGGTGGGTCCTGATTTCCCAACCCACCAATCATGCCGCCTCTTCAGGTCTGCGAAGCTCCACGCGGACGGGGTTAGCGTTCTTATTCAGGCGCCAATCAGTGCTTCTGTTGTGCACATGCTTCCCACGTGCGGCCGCAGAAGGGGAAATGTCCAACGTTGATAGGATGCTGAATGCCAAGTAGATTTATCGGTCTACACACCGGATCTCGCTAGCGATGGTGGCTCACCATGCGCGAAGAAGAGCGAGGTAGAGTTCAAGCCCTGGGCAAACGCTCGACAAGGGAGAAGGGGAATAAAAGGCTTAAGCCACCGGTATGTAATCCGTCGAAGCCTTCCATAGGTTCTATCATCACTGACCTCATTGGCCAAGTCCAGCATAAGCACGGCAGGATCCTGTGACGCGTCACGATTGGTCAGGTTTCACGTCAGCACTCAAGATGATGGGGGGATCAGAACTGTACCTGGATGTCGGGACTATTTTCCGATGGGGTGCTGACTGCTCACTCTGTTGCAGTATGCGATTCGGCCGACAATATCGTGTGAGCCCGTCTGTTCTTCATTACTCTCTGTATACGGGATGGAGACTTGCAATCTTTCATCTCAAGTGACTTTCATGCCCAGGAAGGCCGTTAAGGTAGATCAACCCATTCTCGCAAGCGTTGTATTCCATTCCTCTGCAAGAGAGCTCGGCCAGAGCGCCGTAAAACCGTAACCAACCTGAATCTACCCTCGTCGACACTTGACCTGCCGTGTCGTGCCTTGGAGTTATCAAAATCTGGGACCTAACAAAATGCATCCGGTGCAAGGGCTCGGTGTGGTGGATCCTGTAGTGCCATCCCTGCGTCTTGTGTTCGTCGTTCTCTGTGACAGCGTGAAGGTTGCGCTCGCTTTCGTAGATATGGCCGGTGTACGTGAATCTGATAGCCATGGACTCGGTGCAGTCTTGGTTAGCTGGACCCCTCACGCTGTAATGACTGATGGCCGAAATACCGTAGTCTCATCACTCCTCCGTTGCTGTCTTTGTTTCTCGATTCGGCCCCGATTCGGCCCCGATTCTGGCTGCGTTTGTGATGCTCCCGATGGCGTGGTGGCTGTCCTATGGCTGCAAGTCGAGTCGGTCGTATATTAGCTCTGGATTTGGCGACTCCTCGCACTGTGATGGTAGATATAATGTATTATCATCGGTCTTCTGTGCTGGCTCAGGTTCTCGAAGCCCTCATCCTGGGTTAATGATGCTCTTGGTCGAGTAATGACTTCACCTACAAGTCGAATCCGGCCTCTGAGCCTGGTGCATCTTTGGTTAACTGGACGGCACACACTGTAATGGCAGCAGACATACCGTAGTCTCGTTGGCTCTTCGTGGCTGGCTTGGTTTCTCGGTTCAGCTCTGATGCTGGATCGATGTTGATCTCGATGGTGTAGTGACTGCAGCTGAAACTTGAGTCCGTCGTGAAGGCAACTCTTATGGGTCATCTCAGGGAGCACGTAGCTCAGCATGCCTCGTCCAGTCCTTCTCAGGACCTGTAATGTAGAACCTGATGGGACCAGCCTCACAACGATATGGCTGATGACATCGTAGGTCTTCTGGCATCACTGCTCAGTTACAGCTACAGATATATTTCGGTGACGCAGACTGCTGCAGACGCACCCAACACTACTTTTAGCACCAGAATCCTCCACATTTCTCTTGATAAACGCCCAAATTCTACTGCAAGCACTCTCCACTCTAGCATATTGTATCCATGAGGCTCCACTCTGCCCGAGCACGTCGCTTGCATGCAAAACCCAGGCATACCGCACCCATCCATGCCCCCAAACCCATGGACCCAACTCCACCAGCCCGTGTATCCGCTGTGTTGATATTCCCGATTAGGAAGCCACGCGGTCGTCGCCTGGGAGTCACGTCCACGCCACACCCGTCCCCCGAGGGCCGTATACACAAACAATTGCCTGTTTAGGAAGGCGCGGCAGCCCACCCTCGCCATTCTAGACAGGCAAACACACCGATTGGGAAACTGGAAACTAGGGCTAGCTCGTCCTTGCCCTACTGGGTATAAATATCTTCTCCCTCCCTAGATTTCTTCTTCTGTTCATCTCCCCAACCCTCCTCCACTCTCTCCGGGTCTTGGTCCACCTTCTCTTGGCCCACTTGGACTGTCACTCAGCTTTATCTGGACTTCCACCTTGACACGACCCTTCCATCATGTCATAACATGTCCTTCATGCCTTGAGGTATGTATGCCCTACACCTCAACACTCTTATGTCTTTGTTGACCAAGCCCACTCACCCTCATCCCACTTAGCTTTGTCCAGTTCATGTCACACCATGTCATGTCCATCCTCACTTGACCTGTCCACACCATGACATGTCTACCATGACTCATCCACATCATGACATACCTTGATGACCTTTCATCACGGCCTTTCTATCTCAAGGTATGTTAGTCATGTTGTCTCATCTCTCTCTTACAAGCTTGACTGTCTGTTTTAGGTCCTTCCACCCACAACCACTTCCGATGTTGGCTCTGTTGTTCTTCGAACAGGCGTCATGTAGCTGGTCTTCCGGTTTGCATGTCAGGACAAATTCTAAGAGGAACTTAGTCTATCATCCACCTACTCTACCTGGCACATTGGTCTCCAGTCAATGCCTTGTTCCTCATTATTAACCCACTTTCCTTCCACTATGGTGCTGGCTTTGGATTCCTTCGAACAGGCGTCATGTAGCTGAACTCCCAGTTTGCATGTCAGGACAAATTCGAAGGGAAACTTGGTCTATCATCCTCCAGCTTTGCACATTGGCCTCCAATCACTGCCTTGTCTACATTCTTTCGTCACAGGCCCACGCATTCTCATCCACGAATCCTCGTCCACACGATACCGCACGAAACTCCATCTCGGGGCTCACTTGGCGTCTCTTTGAACAGGCATCACGTAGCTGGATCCCAGTCTATGTGTCAGGACAAATTCAAAGGGAAGTTGAGTGAACCATCGTCTGACTCAACATTCGATTACGTTCTCGTCTCCATATCCTCCGCCACGTTCCTTTCGACGCTCGCTCGCTCGTATATCCTCTCGCCACATCCTCGGGTTCACTGGCTTTTCATTGAACAGGCGTCACGTAGCTGGCCTCCAATTTACGTGTCAGGACAAATTCAATTGAGAACTCGGCCAAATCATTCTCCACTCGCCACATTCCTCTCCGATTACCTCCTTCGTCTCGCATCCTCGGCCAAACTCCCTCGTTGCACTTCCGCTCCACAGGTCCGCCTGACCAATCATCTTCTCGGCGAAACTCTCCTTTGGATACTGTTTTTTTCTCCTGGACAGGCGTCACGTAGCTGGTCACCTCCAGTTTGCGTGTCAGGACAAATCCAAGAGCGAAATTAGTCCATCATTACTCTACCTGACACATTGATCTCCAGTCCCTGTCTTGTACTCCTTCCTAATTGATTACCACTTCCTACCTAGCACATTGGTTTCCAGTCCCTGCTTTGTACTCCTTCCACTTGATACATTGGCTTCCAATCACTGTCTTGTACCACTCCTCAAACTACCACTCTCTACCTGACACATTGGTTTCCAGGCCCTGTCTTGTACTCTTCCTCGAACAACCACCACTATCTACCGAGCACATTGGTCTCCAGTCACTGCTTTGTACTCCTCCTCCATGACACATTGGTCTCCAATCACTGTCATTTGTTTTCTCTCCTCCACTATCACAACCACAACCACTTTGGGTGTTGGCTTCGCTCTCCTTCGGACAGGCGTCATGGAGCTGGCGATCTCCAGTCTGCATGTCAGGACAAATTCGATCGAGATCTTAGTCATTCATCCCGGCTCTTAACACATTGTTCTCCAATCACTATCATGCATCTATCCTTCCACCACTACCACAACAACTTTGGGGTGTTCTGAGTTCCTTTTTGAACAGGCGTCACGTAGCTGGGAAGCTCCAGTTTGCGCGTCAGGACAAATTCAATGAGAAGCTTGGTCACCACCAACACTTTGATCCGCTCGACGCCTTGGCCTCCAATCACCTACTTTGTCTCTTCGACCATTGTTCCGTCCGTCGTTTCCTCGCTCGCTCGTTATACACCCGATCACTACAACAATCCTCGACCTCACTGGCTCCTCTTTGGACAGGCGTCACGTAGCTGGGCTCCAGTGTGCGTGTCAGGACAAATCCAGAGAGAAGCCGGTCAACCATCGTACCATTCGAAACTCCTCCGCTCGTTCAAGCCCGCTCGCCAGCATCATCCTCTCCACGCAACCATAATTCGATTTCACTGTGGTCTCTTTTGGACAGGCGTCATGTCGCTAGACCACTCTAGCTTACGTGTCAGGACAAATTCAAAAGAGACTTGGTCAACCCGCACGTCCGCTCAAACATCATCCTCAATCCAATCACCATTTGGTCTTCCGGGTCCTCATTTGAACAGGCGTCACGTAGCTGGCGAGCTCCAGTTTGCGTGCCAGGACAAATTCAAAATGAAGCTCTGTCGAACCTTCCACACTTGCAATCCATCGATCAAATGACCTTTGGATTTTCCACTCTTCTCTTCAGTTCTAACTGGTTTTACCTCAGCGTCCTAACATGTTCCAGTAAGAGACTTCTTGATGTCTCATCTGCTGCCGAACAATCATCACCTACATTGGCAACTAAAAAACAGAAATTCAACAACAATACAGAATCTCATGAGATCCATCTCAAATTCCTTCTTCGTAATACAATTCTACGTAGTCATAACCTTCCCCGTTTGTCTCTTTGTACCATGTAGAAAACACCAACGAATCTGGACATCTTCCATCAATACATTACTCGAGTTCTCCGCGTAATAGAGAGCTTCCACCATGGAAATGTCATTCTCGAAGCCCTTGGCTTAGTTAGAAGCGTGGAGAAACCAGCAACACCCTTCTCCATTGAAACAAATGAGATCTATAAGTTGGGGCTGGCCACAACTGGAACGACGTAATCTATTCCAGTCTTATGAGGCCACACACAATACCCTTCAAAAATCGCTTGAGATGGACAGGAGAACACTCACTCAATCTGGTGAGGCCGTATCGGGCGAGCATCGCTACTATTCCCGTGGTCGACAGAGCTAAACGTTCGGGTTAAAGAACTAACATGAGACCAACATACCCGGCACAAAAAGTCGCCTTAAGGACAAGTAATCAGCAACCTGTACGCAGTGGGCGAGGAAGAAGTCGCTTGGCGACAGGTCGGAATAAAAGACACTGATGAAATCGATTCTGGGCCTGGATAGTGGGAGCTGATATGTGAATCTCTATTCTATCTACGTCATCTCATCTTCAAAGCAATTGTCGCCTGGGAGTCAAGGTTTTGATATTCGCGGATCCGTTGGAGAAAGCTCCCACCATGAAATCGGTCCTACATAAATGGGAACCATTTGGCGCTAAGTTACTGAAGAAAGTTGATACTCCGAGAGGCATTCATTCCTCTTTGACTTATTCAATGAGCAGTAATCTTACCTCTGCCGAGTCATGCTGATCTACCGCTCCTCGGGCCCAGAGACAGAGCAATCATAACAAGCATAGCGGATTTTCAAAAAAATGATCGTCGAAAGACTCTGCGCAGCATTCGGGTGCCGAAAGTCTCAAACTAATTTCGCCTATTTCGGTGCCCACCTTCCGAGTGGATCCTAGCACCGCGCTATACCGTAGGGCTGACCTAGCTCCAAGCCTAGTCGAAGCCTCCCGTAATACTGTAGCGTTTAGGCAACGGTCAATTGCAAGCTCGGATCTCAGGCCCAACCCAATTTAGGCAGCTATTAGCCATGAACTCAGCCACTGCCGAGTGTTGGCTGAAAACTGTGATCCTTTCGGGGGGAGGCTGTGGAAGATTGGAAATCAGCCGCGCCGCCGGGGGGGGGAGAGGAGGGGGAAGAAGTTAACTACCCACTTGAAGGATTGAGATGGGATTAAGGTATACAGGGTTGTGGTTTGTGTGAGTTTATTTGGACATCATCGTGAGTCCGTGATACCGGTGACTCGATGAGATCTGAATCGAGAGATATGCAGTACTTCGCATAGCCTCTTTGATACTGTGTTTCTAATGAATTGCCTTGGCATTAGGGCTCGTCACATTTCTCCTTCGGCCAGGCCGAAACGAACTTGGCACAATCTATGAAACCCATCACTCTATACCTCGGAACTCGATGCTTCCATTCCGAGCAACAGACTTAGCACATCCAAATCTAGTCAAAAATAGATAGGCATCAATTGCTAACCAAATAGTCATCCGGCATCCGACATCCGGCATCTAGATATCCGACCCAATGCAAGCTCCCAAAGCCACAAGCTGGACGCCTGGTTCCAGCTTCCCACACTGCCACTGGCACCGGTCAATGGTACTCTAAATAAGAGGCAGGATCTTGGCGCCGCCAAGCATCGAACAGCCCAGATCAAGACCCCGATCGCGCGCTCGGATGTTCCCCAGAATTTCCCAATTCGCCCGCTCGTATTCTACTGGGCTATGCTGAATACGGAGTTGCATAACCATGAACTGTAGATGACTGCAGGAGATAAGATATTCTTGGAATCAGGACCCTGCGCCACGGCCGAAAATGTAAGTTTCGTATAAGATGATTAAGATCGGATCTGAGATTGGCCATGCAAGGCAATGTTAGGTTCGTGTTGATTACGAGCATGTTCTAGAATTTAGAATTTGCCCCCGGATCGATTTATCGAGCAATGTACTGAAGAACTACCATATGAATGGATGCTACTGGATAACTGGGTTACTAGACGGCCGAGGCTTCGTCCCCGTGTGCGGAGTACGGCGGGCAGGGTAGCTAAATCGGAGGAAACTCGGGACCCGCGGAGTGCGCGAGGACGGGCCGGGAAATCCCCGTTTTTGCTGGTGTCACGCTAATTCACGGAACATTCACGGAACTTGCCAGGCAGCCATGATCGGCATTCGCCGGGGACGTAAAATGGATGAGGGCATTTTACTGCAGACTGTCCTGCGACTCGGAGGGTATAGTCAATGGAGGCGATGGATTTTAGTTGGTTATGATGCTCTGGACCCCCTATAGACTTCTTGAGTGGGCCGGCAAATGGATGTATCGAGGTAGTATTGCGACCCGACCGGGTTGATTTTTGATAGCAGGGTGGCTATTTGCTGATGGTTTATGGATGGGCAGATTGGAGGTTTGTAGTTACTAGTCTTGATTATCGTATGTGAATAAAAGATCGTAGATAGTACATAACTGCGTCCGATGATCACCAATCACCCTTCCAAGGATTCAGGATACTCGGGCAGTACCCAGGAGTACACTTTGTTCCATTAGTCAGCGTACTGATAGGTCACTGCCAGCATCTCGTAGGGCCGTGGACCCTGACCCGTTGCCAAGCGCGACTAACGAGGCTTGTCTGAATCTTAAATTGCGCGACCAGTCCGAATGTCGTCATTCTTTGCGACCGACGCTCAGGCACCAGCATTTTTGATCATTTCACGAGCCAGCATTTTCTCTCCCTTTTTTCTTTTTTTTTTCCTTTTGGCCCCAGGTCTTTGTTCCGTATCCGAGGGAGATAACATCACCTATGCAGCGTGTTTGCTTTGCGCAGTATCCTTTCTCAAGACATGGTGGCGTTTACGATCTCACGCGACCAGCATGTTAGGGAATGCTCGTTTCGCCTCTGTGCTCGATCTTCAACGATTGATGGCTTGATATTTCCACTGGTAGTTCAGATACTTTCCTCCTTAGACCCTTCTTTTCGCCCAGAAGGGTATAGCCCATTCAATTGAGTAGACCAACTGGCTGACCAGCCCCACCACAGCCTTGGACCCCGTAGATCCCGTCATAACTAGCCTCCTAGGCATCCGAGTGTGCCAGGATTGGTGAGTTCGTTTACGGCTGACGGAGGGGGGCAAGCTCCGAACGATACGGGGATTCTTTGGTCTTTGGTTAACATTCAATGCAAAGCTTGGTTGGCTCCGTTGAGGAAATCCCTCTGCCTAACGGGGACTGGGTACTGGTTCCATAGGTTGAAGGAACGTTGGCAGTTTGAACGTTAAGACTCAGGCTGGTACAGCCTGGCACGAAGGGGTTGGCACGACAAATCAGTGACCTCACTGGGTTCAGCAGGCTTTCGGGGTTTTGGGTCTCTGGTGACTGTGCAAGATGGTACCCTCGGATGAGTCCTGCTTGGGTTTTGGTCGGTTTCATACGAACACAGCCAGGGATGGGCCTGAAGGGTTGTGTCGCAGTCCTTCATGCGGTGCACCGTAAGACTCCTGAATTGGGGAAAATCCCCCGAGGCTTTCCAATTATTTTCCTTTTCTTAAAAAAGTATTTTTCTTAATTTGTTTCTTGGGGGCGTCGAAACGCCTTGTCGCGTCACTGCTGGGAAGCTTATTCTCGGGTTCTTGCGTCCCAAACAAGTTCCTCTCTTATTAATTCCTCGGATTTCTCTCTTCTCTTTCGTATCTTTTTTCTTGCTTTTTTTTAAAACCCCCCTTAAACTTCTCATGGCTTTGACCTGTCCAACGATCCATCTCTTTTAATTTGTTTGACTTCCACTGGCGGCGATCTCGCTCCGTTTGGACCACTTCCTTCCTCCCTCAGAGTCGCGTGTCGACTCGTTCATTCCTCCCTCCGCTGAACTCTCGACTCTTCTCGTCTCATCATGACCGCTGCAATGCTCTCCCCGACAGAGGCCATTCCGCCCATCATGGTCACCAGGGTCACCAATGCGATGGATGAGAACATGCAACCCACAATTGATATCCCTCCCGCGATGGAGAAGAAGAAGCGTGGCAGACGAGGCCGAAAGAACGCCGTCGACATTGTCGGCACAAAGCAGAAGAAATCGCTACTCCTCGATGAACTGGGTGATGCATTGGTCGACCAGATGTACACCACTACCACTGCTTCGACCAAACTGGATGGCCGCTTGGATATCTCCAGTACATCTGTCGTGGACCACCTTCGCAGCAACTTCACCACTTCCCTCATAGCCTCCTCGTGTGCCAGCTCACACAGCAGCAGCAGTCACACATTGACCGCGGTGGAAAGCACCAGCACACCCGCAACCAGCTTGGATGAGCGCGAATCGCACGAGATCGCCACATCAGCCGCATCAACCGTCGCACCCACCGTGTCGAGCCACCACCGCCCCAGCATGGAATCTCTTCGCTCCAGTGTTCCAAGTCATAGCCAGAGCTTGGGTACAGGTGCAGGTACTGCAGGCGCCGTGTTCTGCTTGGATGATTTTTCCACCATGTCCGCTATCCAGCGACTAACCGCACAATACGGCCGCGTCGCCCACATGGGCATCCTCGACCACAGCTATCGATTCTTCGTCAATCAAAGCCGCACCGGCGCCATCTCCTTCAAAGTACGAAACCACGTCGCCATCGTCGGCGGCGACCCCCTCTGTGAACCACACATGATCCCCTCTCTCCTCGCCGAATTCGCTACCTACCGCCACCGACACCACTGGGGTCTAGCCTTCATGGGCGCCAGCGCCGCTTTCATTCGCCAGTTTGCCCAACCACGGGGCTGGACGACGATCCGCTTCGGAACAGAGCGCGTGCTCAACCCGCAAACCAACGACGTCCTCCTCGAGCGCAGCGGGAAACGGATCGCCGTGCAGAATCGCCAACTCCTCAATCGCGCCAAGGGCGGTGTCAGTCTGGGCGTGTATGCGCCTGCCGTGCATGGGACAGACGCTCAGCTTCAGTCCGAGCTGGTGGGTATTTACGACGCATGGCGCGCGGAGCGAAATACCTCCGCCGGTCCGCAGACCTTTATCACCGTGTACGACCCCTTTGCACTGCCCGCACTGATGACCTTCGTGTACAGCCGCGGGCCAGACGGGAGAATCAACGGGTTCGCCGCGCTGCGTCGCCTCGGCGAGGGCGGATACCACGTTGATCCCTGCATCGCAGCCCCCGGTGCAGCCAAGGGAATCAGCGACCTACTCATCGTGTCAGCAATGGCATTGTTGCACCGCGCGGGCGTATCATATCTGGGCTTCGGCTTCGAACCCGTGCATGCACTCGCGCAAGAGGATATCACCGGCATGGCGGGCCCATTGGCAAGTCTCACGAGGGAATTGTATGGCTATACTTTCCGGAGACTCCCGATTCATGGCAAGAAGGCTTACCATGATAAGTTCCGGACGGATGTGGAGCAGGATTGTGGGCTTTATCTCGTTTTCCCGGGGGAATGCCGGGCCCGCGCCAGTTCTTAGGGATGTTTCATATGGCGAATATTAGTTTGCGGAAGATTCTGTGGGCTGATTTGAGGTCTTTTATGGCGAGGAGAAAGTTCAGGAATAAGGACAAGACTGCCAAGACTGGGTTGGAGGTTGATTCGGCAGTACAACCTCAATCAGAGGCCCAGTCGCAGGCACAGTCACAGTCACCACAAGGACCGTCAAATTCGGCGGATGCCCCGATTGCTGTACGGTGATGTGGACATTGCTTTTTGCTTCTTTTTCCTTGGTCGTGATCCACGGACTTACACTTTTTTTCTCTCTTATTGTCGGGAGGTCTTTTGGCTATACATATACTAGACCATGATGGTGCCAGTACTATGCTTATGGGCTCGTTGGTTGCTGTATCATATGCACAGATGGGAATCTTGTATCATAGCAAGGGCGTTTTGTTTCCATTTTGTTTCTGATTCGGTTCGGGTTTGGTTTTGGTCCGGGTTTGGTCTTGGTCTTGGGTCTAGCGTTGGCATTGGGCTTGGGATATTTGGGATTGTTTTCGTTCGGGTCTGCTTTGCTCTGCTCTGGTTCTTTCTGTTGCCTACTTATCACTGCCTGCCATTATCATTGTCGGGGGCAGTTGTCATTCTCTGTTTGATTATTTCTTTGTGTCGGTGTCGAGTGTCGAGTTGAGTGTCGAGTCGGGTGTGGCTCACTCACTACCTTACCTTAACCCATCCGGGTTCTCCTTTCTTTTCTTTTCTTTTCTTTTCTTTTCTTTTCTTTTCTTTTCTTTTCTTCTCTTCCTTTGTGTGATCAACATCATCCTGCTTTTAATAAGACTTTTTTTTTCCCATTCACGAGTTTCTCGAGTGTGCCATATTGCTATGCCGCATGAGCGGATATCAATCTAGTCGAGTAAAAAAAAAGGGAGATCACGAAGCATAAACACTCCCACATGGATTGATTTGGCTAGGGACCCTATAATAAAGAATCCAACGAATCGGTATCTTAACTTACACTGGGATGGGCGGGATTCGTCTCCAAAGGATCGATGGTTGAGTATTCTTACAAAATTAAAAATAAAGGTAAAGATCCTTCGAGGAGACAGGGGTATGTACGGTATGAGTAATGTTCACGTTCACGTTCACGATAAACGACCAAAGAGAAAGTCCTTGACGACAGGCGAGCTGGAGAATTCAGGATTTAACAAGACACAACTATAAGGAAAACGTTAGCACATGATTTATATCCTTGCTGTTGCCTCCCATCGTTCGAGGATGGCTGGGGGAGAGGACGTACTTGAGGAAATATTCCAGACCGATGCGTCTAGATTCGAGAAATTTGGGGCGGAATTTGACTTTGGCACGGTTAGTCTGGATGAGAAGGGAGATGGGGGGAGATGTGGAGGGAGGGAGGGAGCAGGGGTACATACAGAGTACACTTTTCGGGGGGAGGGCGGGTAATGCGGATTTAGCATGCGGGAAGGCGGATTCTAGTCTTTGGCGTAGATCGTCGAATTCGGAGTACCTGGATCATGGATCAGCATGAATCTAACCCGTCAAGGAACTGATCACTATCGAGACGAGCATACCTCATGCGAACAACAATCGGACCTCCCTATCGGAAACGTTAGCATCCAAATCACAACTACAACCACAACCGCATTCCCCGCCAGCACGAAACTCACATCAAGAGTCTGAATCCTACAATTCCACACAACATAAGACCCCACCCCACTCTTCCCTTGCACAACAACATGATCCTCAATCGCAACACTGCTCGCCCACAACCCACGACTTGTCTCCGAGTCCGGATCCGCCGTATGATCCTCCAACCGGATAATCCTGCTCTGGGCCAGCGAGCTCAGCGATGCCCGCGATACGGATCGCTCATGGCGTTGCCAGAAGGGCGGGATTACGCCGGAGACGGGGCGTGATTTGGTGCTTGATGCTGCGCTTTCTAGGTGTGGGAGGGAAATGTTATCGGCAATTGGATTGGTGTTGGTATTGCTGTCACCAGTGTCGGGGTGGGTGTGGGTGTTGTCGTCGTCGTTCTTGTTTTGGTTGGTATTGGCATTGGCAGTGGCATTGGCGCCGCCATTGCTGGATACGGTCTTATCAATGTCGGACGGCGCGATGGGACTATCGTCTTGCGGGGAGGAGAGTTGCGACTGTGACTGCGACTGTGGCTGTGGCGAAGGTGCCGATGCCGGTGTCAATGCCGGTGCCGGGGTGGCCTCCTCAGTCGCAGGCTCCATCCATTAGATGGTGAGACTGTGGCCTGGGTCCTTCGCGGAGAGCTAGGTTGTAGCCGATGTCAGCGTCAGTGGCGGTGTTGGCGGTGGGACTGTGGTAGTATCAAGTATCGGGTATCAGGTATCAGGTATCAGCGGAGCTCATTGAGCCCCGCGGTATGGCCGCATGTGGTGCGATGTATGTCTCATGCGGATCGGAGAGTTGGGACGTTGGGTCCATGCGGGGAGAGACAATTATAGAAAAGGGGGATGATTGGGGGAGGGGCGGTTGGAACTTGTGTGATGGGGCGAGGTAAAACGGAGCGAGGTGGGCATTTGATGCCCGTTATATTTGGGAGAATGGAACTGGGCACTGACCTTGGAACTTGCCTTCCGAATCCTAGCGGGCTTCGTTTGAGGGTGGGTTTTAGCTCGTGTTGAAAGTCAAAAGGCATCTGGGATGATCGGGGAGCATTTGGGGGTGCGGAGTCTGATTAGCTAAGCTGGTCAACAACGGGTGTTCACGACGTATTTGATGTATGGTATTGTAATGGTTATGTCTATACCAGGTAATATACTTGGCTCGGGTGGCCCTTAATTTGTAGTCTATCATTTATCTCAAACTCGTCATTTGATGCTACTTTATGCTATATTATCCTCGTTCCAAAGGAAAGTGAGATTCGTGAAGGTATTGAATATGAAGTAGAACTCTTGACTTAGCAAGGGCGGGCTCTTTAGCGTGTCTCAGTTTGACTTCAATGAACCAACATATATATGTGTATCAGCAGAATCCGATCGTGCTATCTAACGATTGTGTTCTAACGAACGGAATACCACCCCCTCTTTACAAAGCATATCCACTAGCACTATGTAAGCATTTATCGAGAGTCCTTCCATAGCCAGCTGCATATTCATGGAACCAGTAGCCACAGAAGTAGGTCCGTGCTCTATTACGATCGCGCGCTTTGAGGATATCTGCACCATAAAGTCAGCATTGGTAGAACCAACGCGAGAAACAATGATTAATCGGTCAACCCTACAACCTTTAGAGTAGTGAAAACCTATGTGTTTCCAGGACAAGTTTTCTAACCCGCTTCAGCTCAGGAGTCGAATCTCGTGCCACGACTCGAAAATTCCAAGGTCGGAATTCCTCTAGTACTTGTAGATCTAATAAGACAATTCTCATGAGCAATCTTGGTCCTTCGTAGCAGGATTATCTCGAATAACTCACAAGGAAAAGACCAGGATTGCGAATCTAGGAAGCCGACGTTGCGACTTGCCATTTCCACTCGGGGAATATTAGGACCAATAAGCGCTGCAAAATGAATGGCAATGGGGAATCTCCAGTCAGGTGCAACGTGTTGCATGATTTCTTCAATGGCCTGTAGACGATCGCCCATTCCTGTCGGAGCTGAGGTTGATGGACTGGGAAGTGGCCATATAGCTCTGCGAAGACGAACAACTTCATTCGCCCATGTCGGGGCCCTTTGCCTCTCACCACGATATATATTCGCGAATTGAGGCTGTATACGGCGCAATCGGTTGCGTTCAAAGAGCACATCGGCAGGAATGACCTGACATTTGTTTTCGATCTTGAGTGACCCCTGAGAGAGATATTCTCCAAAATACCAGGTATCACCGTTGCGTAAGGACTGCAAGTTCTGCAGATTGTGGTCAAAACCACCAAAGATGTCAAGCAAATCCAAATCACGCATGAACGTCCCTCTCGGAAATATTGTTGTATCGACGACGTACAACTTGATCTCGTCAAGGCTGGTTCCATCCTTGTAATGGCGATAGTAAATGTACTGGATTGCGAAGAGTAACGAGCTGGTCCATGAAACAAAGTTATCTTGCACGTCGTCTTTTGGCCACCATCGAAGATGTAAGTTGAGCATATGGGCTATCTCTTCTCGCTTGTCGATGTCCAAATTGGAGAAGATATCTTCCAGAGACGAGGGGTCATTGTCTACCGCCGCAGCTGAGCGAACCCATCTCTCGTCCGTGGTTCCGTCTGATTTGGGGGAGGCGAGACGGAAAAGATAACGAGGAATGTTATCCAGGACTGTGTCCTCTATTCCAGTATCTGGCTGAGGGTTGAATACGAGCTGCTCTAACTCTTCCGGTTCATTGTTCAAGCGAGTGCTCTGCAAAGCCTCGGTAAGGCTATCCATTGTGACGCGGAAGATTTTATCACGACAATTAATCAGAGATGAATAAGAGCATCAGAATGAATAGATGAAATAGAAAAGTTGTGGCTTCTGTGTTAAGTAAAAATGATTCCAGAAAGTTGGCTGCGTAGCTGCCTCTCGACAGTGGAAGTGTAGAGGTGAAAGAGATGAGCAAGAGGCATCGTAGAACTAAATGGTAGACACAGATATGCCATTTTATAGACGATTCCCGATCACTTTCAGAATAAAAAAAACGACTGAGTTGTGCAGATTGGAGTAATGAATTGCCTGCCGTTGGTAACCAACGCCCCGTGAGAAAACAGCCGGATTCGCTGGGCAGAGCTGAAATAAGACGAGGCCTGACATTGCTGACTGTGCTCAAGTTTAGCCACGACGTAACAGCCTATGAATCGTGAGACACGAGTCAAGTTGGATGAGGAAATGAGGCTCAATCTCGACATAGCCACGGTGTCACGTGGTCAGTATATGCTACGAGCATAAGTGCTCGTGGCACAGTCAACAATACTTTTAATCGATTGGCTAATAACGTCCTTGATACATTCTCTGAATTGGTCTGAGCCTCACGAGCACAGTGACAAAGCTAGGCAAAGACCAGCAGCTAACGCATAGTCAAGGTGGGCAGACCGCCAGGACATTGGGAGCCGCACATCGGTTGAGCTCACAACATATTACCCTTTGGATGATTTCAAATATACTCTTTGTCCCACCTGCCTTCAACAATTACAAAACGAAAGGAACCCGACCTAAAAAGGTATTTACATTGGACTCTTACGCAGGTATGCTTCTTCACGGTCAATATTGCCTGAAACTGATGACTCTCACGGTCCTGTCCAGCTATGAACTCCCAATCCTCACGGATACTAGATTTTTGTAATGGAATGGAACGACCGACTTAAGATATCCGAATGTACTCTGCTGAGAAAATTTATCGCGATTACCCGCTCTTGGAAGTCTGATCGTCAAGTCCAGCCACCGCCATATGCATGCGTGTACTCCACCCACCAAGATCGTTCTCACAGGTCGATGCAAATGAGATCCAAGGAATTACCCTGGCAAAGACCGTTTGAAATGTGCCAGTTCTAGAAGATCATTTTTCCTGACAAGGCCCTTAAATCATAGTCAGCCCTGTTAGATCAACGGTTGCCAAGTCCTGATCCAAGAGCGCTGGGTTTTGGGTGTTGGTCTCATTGTCGCATGGTCATATTTCTCGAGCGCTCAGAAGAATCCATTAGAATAACAAGTCGTACAGATACTCTATCAACGTTATTGTCAACCATCTAAAGAATTCGCAAACTTGCTCTCAGGGGACACTATTGTCGACCGCAACATTCATGTCATTGGTCGAATCGATTCTCTAGAAGAGGGCATCCGGTCCTTGAATACCAATCAAGATCCAGACATGAGCTTCATCCATGGCAATTTCAGTCAGTCTAGTTGACAAAGACCGACCGCTGGGAAATAGCCAGGCTGGGATTCTCGGTTGGCGGACTGCTGGACAAGTCGGTCGGATTCGAAGCGGAAACGAGAGTCCGTTGCGAATGCTAATAACAACTCCAGGATATGATGTTTTAGGATGATTGATATGATAAGAGGGACCACTGTATTACTATATTCCTGTCATGTACTGTATTGTATTTCCATACGTAGGCGTACGCTCAATATGCCGAGGACTCCCGTGGGCCAGCCCCTGATTGGATGGACTGAGAGACCGTAGAATGCAGCTACGGACATCCACCACTCCCTCATGCAATTATAGCATTGTAACTTGGTTCATTGCATTAATATAAATTCATCTACTGCATACAATCCTCGTCCACAGTGCAATATCCCACACCGTCACACCGACTTTTCTCCTTCTCTCCTGCCCTTCTCACCTCGCCTCTTCTCAAGGGAGGTAGTTTATTATTTACAAGGAGAGTGGTTCCCGAGGAACTTCTCCAACCACCAACTGTCAGCTCCACGCCGAACAACCCGAACTAGTCCCAAGCTAGTTTAGCGTCCTTGATCGGCGCAGCTGCTAGCACTGAGACATCCCTTATCAACCATGTTTTTCTGAACTTGTGGCGGACTACTACAGTAGTACTGGACGCTTGGAGAGGAGGGGGTGCTTGTCTTGCAGTGGAGACTGGTCGGTGTGTCAATGATGGGCATGATGACTGCACATGCATGTGTTCCAACGGCTTCAACATGGACTTTGTCGATGTACAGGACCGAGTAGGTATTAGGGAAATAGGGGGTACTGTACTCCTGCACAGTCAAAGTCAATTCTGATAGCCGAAATCCCCGGATCGGCATGTCCACCGCCTTTGGGTCGGGAAGCTCTGGAGCTGTCTGGAGAGCTCCCGGATGGTTTGACAGAATGTCAACAGAGAAGGGGATCGATGGAGGGGATGTCTTGGTGTACGCAAGTGACGTACTGTACTTCATAGATGGAGTACAGTGACCAATCTATGTCGAGACCAGTACCAGACTCCTCCTCACTGCCGTTTGCCTGTCTCTCTCTCGGCTCCATGCACCTGCGGTCTTACACTCCACCCGCAACTGCGCTAGCGATCAGTCCGGGCCGCTAGTCCCAGTCCAGTACTTTGTGGTTGACTCGCTAGACCCTGATAGGACCCTGACGATGGAGCAGAGAAGAACTTTTGGAAAGGTGACGAAGCTACTGCTGTACTTAAGTACAGTAGCTACGGAGTACAATACTTGCGAGTAAATTTAGCTTCTGGTCGTCCTCCCGAGTCCGGTCCTCGTGATCGACCAGACCATTGACTCCACTCCTTGCGTTTTTATTTCTCTTCCTTTCTCCTGCGCTCTCTCTTCTGTTTCCCTTTTCCTCTTCTTACCTGTCACTCGTTCCACACGTCTGTCGCTACAAGACCCGCTTGCATTCGATCTGCTTGCATTTGATCTGCCGTCTGCTCCTCTTCTCTTTGCTGTGCCTTGATCCTCGTCGCCTTCCCATTCCCGTCCATTCTTGCCTCCGTTTTCGAGGCAGGTCCAGGAATTCCAGCCCTTCACTGTGAGTTTTTCCCAGCCATGGACTCTAGCCCTGCCCAGGGCCCAGTTCCTCCCATGTCTGCTTTCTCCTTCTCTCTTTCCCTTGTCCTCCCTTGATTCCCTCCCACTGCCAGATCTGTCCATCTCGACATCCATAAGCGTGTAACGGATCTACATGCAAACACTGGGGTCTCCTCGTTTGTCATCTGTCATTATTACCACTGACGCTGCGTTTGTGTGTTTCCTTATCTAGTCTCCCTCTCCCAGCAACCTCCTTTTTGTCAACAGTTGCCCATATCTTTTTCCACGGAGCAACCATGCTGCCCAATCTCCTGCTGGTCCTGGCCTCTACGGCTGCCCTGGCGAGCAGCCAGTCCACCTCAACCATTGACCCGAACTCGGTACCCATCAGCACGCGTCGTAAGTCATGATCCAATACTTGTTGCTCCCAGAAATCCCCTTCGTCCATATCCCAAAATTGATCCTAACATCTACCACAGAATACTGGTGCAACTCCCAGAAATCCGCTTGCCCTCTGCTCTGCCTCCAAATCGCCTCCGGCGTGCCAGAGAGCAACAACTGCACTGCTGTAAGTCCCACCCAATCCTTTCCCCATCCACTCATATCCATACTAAACACCTCCCTCCAGGAAACCCTCAGCTACAGCTGCGTCTGCAGCAACGGCATCTCCCCCAACGCCTCAGAATACTCCCAAACCCTGCCATACTTCATCTGCACCGAGGCGAACAACCAATGCGTCGCCGCCTGCAGCGACTCCGCCTGTCAATCCAACTGCCGCACCGCCAACCCCTGCGGCGCGCAGGACCCGCCCCGTGTAAACGTGACTACCACCACTGCTTCTTCGTCCGTGGCGGCGACTAGCACCACTGGCAGTGCCGTGATTCAGACTGGTGGGGCTACTGGTGCGGCGCCTCGGGGATATGCTGTTGAGATGGGCCAGGTTTATGGGTTGTGTGTGTTGGTTGGTGGTGTTGTTGCTGGGTTCGCGGTGTTGTTGTAAAGTGTGATAGCCGGCGGGGGTGAGTGTATCTATGGCATACATATGATGACCACTAACAGCGCTTTCCAACGAACGTGTGCGTGGTCAGATGCCGTGGATTTTTAGTGTACACATGGCCCGCATTTGCTATCTTGGGGGGTTTTTGCGGGCAGGGACTTGTCTATGATTCTGACTTTTGATTTCGATTTTGATTTAGTTCTGGTCATGGTGTTCTTCGGCTGGCTTTGTGGATATCGTTTTCCTTTTTTTTTCTTCTTTCTTTCATTTGCATCGGCATTGAGCGTTCATACAAGTTTAAGCTTGCATTAATGGGATCGGTAATTACTGCAATTTACAATGTGTTTACATCGCAACCACAATGCTCGTTAATCTACAGCGCCATATCTCCTCCGTTTCAGCGAATTCTCCTCGACCTGAATATATTCCTCTGAACTATCAAGTACAAAATACAAAAACACCCTCCCTCGGGCTCCTCCTTCCTGATATCTCACCCCATCTAACCTAAATCTTAGCAGCCCGAATCTTCGTACTATCCATCCTATTCCCCTCATCATCCTGCTCCGCAACCTCCAACACCGGAAACTTGGCCGGCATAATCCGTCTCGGCGTCGCCCCGGGAATCACAGAGTACTTCGAAAAATCGGTGACTCCGCACTTCTCCCGGAGAAAGTCCTCGTCCGTATCCAGCAGCCCGTTTACCTGGGTAGCTGGGGCGCGGAGCATGGCGAGGATTGCGTCGGAGAAGATATTCTACGAGGTAGGTTAGCGAAATGAAACTGGTTGGTATGTATGAGGGAGTTGCGGTTTGGGTGGAGGAGTGATGTACCGGTTTCCGGAGGTCCTTTTTGTAGGATTTGTCGTCGGATTTGTTGAATTCTGTGGCGGCGGATTCAATGGACTATAGTAGAGGAGAGGCGGGTGAGATCAGCACATACACATATAATATAGACAGGATGTAATGTGTCAGTCAGGGCTGGAGATGTAATCCCAACATACCGATGCAGGCCAAATCCCAGTAATAGCCATCTCAGTCCGCTCCTGACGAACAAAGTCCATTGCAAGACCCTTGACCAACACGCTCATTCCCACCTTGCCTAAAGCACCAACATCAGCAACCGATCACAAAACCAACCTCTTGACAAACTCCAACTCCAAGGAGAAACACAAATACATACCGATAGCATACCCAGTCTTCCCCCTAAAAAACCTCGAATAAATCGGCGGACAAACAACAACAATCCTCCCCTTCCACCCACCCTTTCCAAAAACCGGCAACGCAGATTGAACACTCGCATACAATCCCTCCGGGTTAACAGCCTGCATAAGCTTAAACCGCTTCAACGGCGTATTCTCAACAGACGACCACCATATCGCGCCGGAATTGTACACGAGGACGTCTAGTTTTCCGAAGACCCGCAGGGTTTCGTCGATTGCGTGCTGGATTTGCTGGGGGTCGCGGACGTCGACGGTCACGGCAGCGGCTTGGCCGCCTGCTTCGTGGATTTCGCGGGCCACGGTTGTTATTGTTGAGGAGGCGGAGTTGGGGTCGGGTGGGAAGGGGGTTGTGTTGTTGGCGTCGGAGGTGGTTTTTGCTGCTAGCATTACTATCAGGTGGGGGGTGGTTGTTAGCTGGTGTTTTATAGGGTGGTGGTGGGGTTTGCAAAAAAGTCGTGTGTAGTTGGTGTGATTACCTGCGTAGCCGTTGCTGGCTAGGTCGATGGCTATTTGGCGGCCTATACCGCGGGAGGCGCCGATGACGAGGGCTACAGACTTGGTTGATGCCATGGTGTTGTGATGTTGGAGTGTAGCGCCGTTGTTCGTTGCCTCGTTGTGAATGTAGTTGAATGCGGAGATACTGCGGGGGAGCTATCCTGGGTATATAAGGTCGCTGCGCAGGGTAAACGGATCAAGGTCTGTGGAGAACTTAAGGCTGCCGAGATTAGAGTATCAGGAAATTATTCATCGGTAAATTGCAATATTAATAATATCCGAGGGTATCGTTGGCGTTTGGAGTCGCCAGATGAGAATCCCGAATCTGGGGATGACCCCGATTATTTCGTGATTACTACTCAACTCAAACTTCCGAGGCTCGGGAGAGGCCGAGGCGTCGTGCCTCAGGCATGAACTACTAGACTCGGTAGAGTTGCTGATTGACATACCCAATATGGAGACGGCACTATTATTGGATAGCAAGACGTTGGCAATGCTTTGCGTGACTTGAATGTGTGATGCTACAATTCTAGGGTAAATTGATGAACCTAGTCATGTCACGATTTGTCTATTTCAGCGTCTTGAGTTGCAATTGTATTTAGTCCTAACTACATTTCGCGATCTAGGTTGGTTTCAACTTTCAATCAAAATTGTATGGGCTAGAGGAAAACGTAATCAAAAGTTATCACCATCTTGCTGGTTTGTAAAATATCGATTTGCTGCACTCCGCTGTTCAGTCCACACATGGAAACCTCATCGCTGAGGCTGAAATGGCGGTGGTCCCGGCGGTCGGATACTGCCTATCAGCTCCCCTGTTCAACGAGCCATCACAATGATGAGCACCCCGTCTCTCACGCCCTCACACGACACCGTCTTCTTCCAAATCCCGATCTGACCTGAGATTCTGAAACTGTCCATATCACCCAGCAACCAACCAGCTTGCATTATCCGCTATTTGCTCCTCGCTTTCCACGTCCGAGCTAGTGCTGCACTTCCCAGCAGTGCCGGCGAGATGGACACACTACCAGACGCTTTCCCCTCATCTACACAAACCAGATTCGGTGCTCCATTTCAATCTGCCGCTTTGGGACCCTCTTCCCAGGGGTTGCCCGGTATGAGCGAGAATCCAGAGGTTAACACTCGAATCAAAGTCCACGGTACGTTGATCCTCCTGCGGGGCAGGCAACATACCCGCCGATAGCTATCCCGTGCCATGGAGGAAGTGCTGACTGACGTCTGGGACTTGGCAGATCCTCCCAAATTCGATCTCGAATCTTACATTGCGAATTATGTCGGTAAGTTGGCACCGCCGACCTTCACTCTGGACCAGTTTGTCTAACTTGCTTCTCTTCAGGCCGGACCCGATTCGACCGCCTCTACCTCATTGGAACCTCCTCCACAGTCCTCTCAACCGAAGCGCTGAAACTCGCAGTAGCCGAGGCCAAGTCTGGGAAGGATGTTTCGCAGTATGAAAAAGCAGTGCGGGCGCTGTCGGAAGTAGCGCCGAACGAGGAGGATGCTTCTCTCGACGCGGTTTGGGTGCATAATGTACAACGGCAGGTCCAAGCTCAATCTGAACGGTTGGAGCAGGAGCTTCGGGGGTACAAGAACAATTTGATTAAAGAGAGTATTCGAGTGAGTATCTCCATTGATTTGTTGGCATGTCATATCTAACTTATTCCTCTAGATGGGCAATGAGGATATTGGAAATCACTACTATGAGACCGGCGATCTGCTCGCTGCTTCAAAAGCATACACCCGCATGCGAGACTATTGCACAACACCGAACCACATCGCCTCCATGCTCTTCAAGCTGATTAATGTCTCCGTCGAGCGTGGAGATTGGCTCGCGGTCCAGTCCAATGTGCACCGCCTGCGCAACGCCCAGTCAAAACCCGAGGACCAGCTCAAGAATCAGCCTAAGATGGCGGCTGCCCTGGGGCTTGCACAGATGCACTCGGGATCCTATCTGGACGCTGCCAACAGCTTCCTGTCGACCGATGTCAGCCTGGCCGACACCTTCAACGAGATCATCACACCCAACGATGTGGCGGTGTACGGTGGTTTGTGTGCAATGGCATCCATGGACCGTGGGGATCTACAGCGACGCGTTCTAGAGAACAGCACCTTCCGCAACTTCCTCGAACTCGAGCCCCATATTCGTCGTGCGATTGCATTCTTCTGCAATTCCAAGTTCCGCCCCTGCCTGGACATATTGGAAGCTTATCGCACCGATTATCTTCTTGACATTCACCTCCAGCGTCATGTTTCCGAGCTTTACACTCTTATCCGCACCAAGGCGATCAAACAATATCTTGTCCCTTTCAGCCGCGTCACGCTGAACTCCATGGCCACAATCTTTGCGCCCGAGGTGATCGGCGGCGAAGCACAGCCCACCAGCGTTTCATCACCATTCGTCCAAGAACTAATCCGTCTCGTGAAAGATGGTGTGCTCAATGCTCGGATTGACCTGGAGAAAGGAGTCCTGGTCTCAAACCAGACTGATTTGAGGACAGATGTTCAGAATAAGACCTTGGAGAGTCTGCACTCTTTCAACCAGGAGGCACACTTGCGTATCTTGCGTGCCAGCGTGCTTCATGCTGGGCTGGAGGTGCGAGCCCCTGACAGCGAGCGGCGGTCGCGGTTGAATCAGGGGCCTAATTTGAGGGGAATGGGCATGGCGGAGCGGTTTACTCGGGGTGGATTGCGCAGTTGATCGGAGAGGTCAAAGAGAAGGTGCTGGTTCCTTCCGATACGTAGATGAAGCATGAGATAATACCCGTACGACAGAGCTCTAGCTAGATCGGGGCCATAGCGTGGCCCTCGGAGCAGAAATGAAATGGCTAAACGACCTTCCTAAACGTGCTTGCCCTTGTACTGTACTCCATGTAGATCTTTCAGTCCCGAAATCAAGGTTCACCCAGTATGTTTGCGTCTAAGCCCGACCAAGACGTAATTTTTCTTTGTTCCCCTCTTCCCTTGAGTCCGACAAGTCCAAGACTAGTTACAATCAGGCTTGTCAACCAGTCGAACACACAGAGTACTACCAAAGTGCACAAATGAGACGAAGGGCTATCGGCACGAAATGCTGTCTTGGAGGGACAAGACTATTCCCATCCACTCGACGCTTCCACAAGGCAGTCCCCAATATAATTCTGGGCATTTCCCAACCCCCTTTGTCCTACATGAAAAATGCACGCATGCCTCAATGACAAAACTTCTCAGACGAAGCAAATAAATCCTCTACGACTACGGCCTCGGTGCTAATCCCACCTTCCCTGGTTTAGGCCGTGTTCCTGAGTGGTTACGGTCCTGCTACACTGCTTTTTGTCGGAATTGGGGGCGTTTGACGAGCGAAACAAAGTCGATGTTTGATGTCTGTCTGGCGGTTCAAGTAACGAGTCCACTCCTCATGAATCCTGGGTTGTTTGGTTTTTGTTGCTGTTATCCCGCCACGGGTTCTCAGAAGCCTCGTGTGGATGATAGCAGGACTGGCGTGGGCACGGATATGGCTGTGCCGGAGTCTTTTCCTTCTGACGATCGCGATTTCACTGATTCGCGTGAAGATGGTGATGATACTGGATTTGATGCAAATCTATCAGCTCGATCGTTGACAACGTCAAATTCCGAGTCCCAGATCGTGATGAACGGCTCTCTATCAAAAGAAATGCCATCCTCCCTGTCACTATTACTCCTCCAGCCCAGTCAGAAATTTGGAGATGAAAATGCTCTTCACGAAGCAGAGATCGAGATCATGCCTCCACATATTGGCGTGATAGGAACATCTGCCCAAATTCCAGAAGCCCCTGCAGAAGCCTCTGAAGTGGATCGCACAGTCCAAGCCTTCTCTGCGCCCCACATCCTTGACGCTCAGGCCATTGTAGATCCGGATGTCGATCCGAAGAGCGATCGCGCAGAGCATGTACAAGCAATAACGCCGCAATTAACACCTATCCCAGAGGCAGTTGAAGAGGAGATCCATGAAGAACAAGGCCAATTCCCAGATCCAGAGTCGTCCCCGCTGCGTTCCGCGGACGAAGAAAATTCAACTTTGCGGGCGGTGACGTCCACCGACGAAGCCAGTGTATGGCCATCGACGAGGTCGACTTCAACCTCGCTATTGGAAAATCACAGTGAAACTATCGCAATGCAGCCGGAGAATTTTGCAAATCCGTCATCGTGGATTCCATCGGATCCTGAGCTGGAGGATTCCTCGAGTCAGCTCCATGATACAGAAGAGAGGGTCGACATGTCCTCCACGGAAGATTCGACCAATGATGTCGAGGGTTCTATATTCGACAATGACGACGACTATCATTCCGATACATCTACTTATACTGCTTCCCTGTTATCAGATGTAAAAGACTACGCTTATGAAAATGGTCGACGGTATCACTCCTACCGCGAAGGCCACTATGTCCTCCCCAACGACGAGCAAGAGCAAGATCGACAAGATCTACTCCATCACGTCCGCAACCTCGTCCTCAACGGCGCGCTACTCCGCGCTCCGCTGGGAAAATCCATCCAGCGTGTCCTAGACATCGGCACCGGCACGGGAATCTGGGCCATCGATTTCGCGGATAGCTATCCCAGCGCCGAAGTCATCGGCACAGACCTGAGTCCCATCCAACCATCCTGGGTACCGCCCAACCTGCGCTTCCTGGTCGATGATGCCGAGGAGCCGTGGCTGTTTAGCGCGAGTCGGCCCTTTGATTTTATTCATGCGCGCGACTTGGGTGGTGCGATTGCTGATTGGCCGCGGTTACTGCGACAGGCATATGAGCATCTCAAGCCCGGTGGATGGATCGAGTTGCAGGAATTTGAGGTTACGCTGAAATCAGACGATGATACGTTACGGCTTGCGCCAACGTTGTGCGAGTATCTGGGACGATTGCATGAGGCCAGTGAGGCGTTTCAGCGACCGATGAATATTGCTGAGGGACATCGGCAGCGGGTTGTAGAGGCTGGGTTTGCAGAGGTTCGAGATGAGGTTTACAAGGTAAGCCCGATGGACCCTGGTTCTGTTAGTTAGTGCATGATGACACGATTTGACCCCTTTTTGGGTCTAGCGGCTGGTCAGATTGTACTTTTTCTTGTTTCTTGAATATTGCGGGGGCTAACCAGGGACGCTTACTTTTCTCCGTTTCGCTTCTGGTAGGTGCCTTCAAGTACTTGGTGCAGGGATCCTGTCCAGAAACAGATTGGTCGGTATAATTTGTGCTCGCTGCTTATGGCGGTGGAGTCTTATTCGCTGGCGCTGTTTACGCGCGTGCTTGGCTGGTCCAACAGTGATATATTGCAATTTACATATTGTGTACGGTCGGAAGCCGCAGTCGGAAGCTGGTCTTTGACTGTCGGGTTGCAGTGGTTGGGTCAGCAATTGGACTAGGGATGAACAAGTGGATGAAGAATACGAGACATTCGGCGTGGAAGAATTGTAGAATTCATTATTATCGCCTGAGACGAGGAGATTCCAACATTCAACATCCTACAGCTTCGTTTTCGCGCTACTGCCACCATACAGACGCCCTCCGACTATCCCAATTAGTCGATTCCAGCTACCCGTCTTGGTGCTGAGCTGAGTTGAGCTGAGCTGGATTGACCTGAATTGAGCTTAAGGCTTCTCCTCTTCTTCTGTCATCATCTGTGCCCTTTTAAATTTGACTCCATCTCTTCACCCTGGTACAACCTTCGGGTTTCACTTTGGCTGTCCCGAAAATCCTCATCTCCAAACAACCAGCCAAGCCAGGGTCAGCCCCGATACTATACCCTTCAACAACGGACCAAGCAATCGACAACCCAAAAGAGTAAAATACCATGATAGAGACCATCGGCATGGCTCTGGGCTTCAAACCCTCCGCCTTGCACTCACATCTCGCCATGCTCTCAGCAGACCCATTATTCCACATCCCAGTCTGGATTCAACTTGTGGGAGTCCTGGTAAGTTGCATCCCTCGTACACCTTCATTCCGTACCAGCTGCAGGTCCCTACTCTACATCTACCCACACCTCATTCCCGAATCCTCCCTCCTCTAATCCCCGCCTCATATACCCTGCTGCAGACGCGGGCGCTAACCATTGTGAAACCTTCCCATCCCAGATCTTACTCGCCTTCGCATATCGCATACTCTACGAGCTTTACTGGTCACCACTCGCTCAGTTCCCCGGCCCAAGGCTCTGGGCCATCTCTCGCATCCCCGGCCAGTTGTCCATGCTCCGAGGAACCAATCATCTAGATATTACCGCTCTACATGAGCGGTACGGACCGGTGGTTCGCACTAGCCCGACGGAAATAGTGTTCAATGCGCCCGGCGCATATCGCGATATCTACGGTGCACGGCCGGGGGGATGTTTTCCGAAAGATCCAACGCGTTACCTGCCGCCGGCGAATGGCGTAAACCATCTCGTGGGTGAGACTGATCATGCCACGCATTCTCGGCAGCAGAAATTGCTGGCGCCGGCATTCTCTGAGCGGGCTTTGAGGGAACAGGAACCTCTAATTACGGGGTATATCGATACGATGATTTCCAAGCTGCGGGGCGAGATTCAAAAGGGTGCTCCAGTGTGTGATATCAAGAGCTGGATGAATTATACCACCTTTGATATCACCGGGGACCTGATGTTCGGCGAGTCCTTTGGTTGTCTGAAGAATAGTCAATTGCACCCGTGGATTGACTTGATTTTCAAGTCAATCAAGGCGCTGGCATACGACGGTATGGCGCGGCAGTTTCCGCTTTTCCACAGCTTGCTGTTTGCACTTGTCTCGAAGCAGATCAAGCGAAAGGCTGAAGAGCACTTCAACCTTGCTGCTCGTCGAGCGGATCGGCGGTTGGAGACGAAGACGACGCGGTCGGACTTTATGTCTGCTATTTTGCAGAATGGTCTGAGTGAATCGAACGAGCAGCACGACGATGGACCACGGATGATGACTCGAGCGGAGATTCACTCGAATGCGTTCATGTATGTATTTCTCTCCTGTTGATTGCATTGCAGCAAGTCCATGGCGAACTGACCAACCCCACTAGTCTGATCATTGCAGGAAGTGAGACTAGCGCAACGCTTTTGTCCGGGTGCATCTTCTACCTTTGCAAGAATCCTCGCATTATGAGCCAACTCGTCCACGAAATTCAATCTACGTTCCAGACAGCTGAGGACATTACATGCCGCAGCTCTGCTACACCCCCGTACTTGGCTGCTGTCATTGAAGAGTCGCTTCGGATATATCCACCTTTTGTGACCAACCTTTCGCGCCTTGTCCCAGCGGGTGGAGCGAGTATTGATGGCCATTTCGTGCCGGAGGGGGCACGTTCACCACAAAGTCTTTGTTTCCCATAGTTATAGTCCCGTGCATACCTGCTAACGCCCCGACTAGACTGAAGTCAGTTGTCACCATTACGCTTCCTATCACTCCGCCTCGAACTTTGCTCTTCCCAACACCTTTATCCCGGAACGGTGGCTCGGAAACGACCCCCGCTTCGATGGCGATAACAAGGACATGCTGCAGCCCTTTAGTCTCGGACCGAGAGGTTGTATAGGAAAGACGTGAGTCTACTCGCATGCATAACAAACCCTATTCTGTGACGTCATTCAACTAATTCATTCTGTGTGCATAGACTGGCCTATTGCGAGATCCGGCTGATCCTCTGCAAACTGCTGTACAACTTTGATTTCACCCTGTCTCCCGAGAGCTCTGATTGGACGAACCAGAAGGTGTATTACCTTTGGGATAAACCTGCACTCAAGGTCAAACTACGGGACCGTTTCTCGGATGGAGAAGAGCAGGAGGATGCGTAGCTTGCATCTTCGAGCATGAGCGAGATCTGGGGGAACATTGCCATAACATGGCATGGTTTATGATTTGCAATTTTTAATGGATTTAGTTTCTAATATCTTTTTTTCTGGTCCTACGAGCCTGGTGGGTTATTTTGAGGTTTTGTGTGTATCGCGATTGGTGGGTTTGTACTTAGATGGTGGCTCAAACAAATGATACTTGCGGGGCTATTGCATCGGCATATGGCATCACCGTGTGCCAGTTCGAAGCATGGAACCCAGCTGTGGGAGGTCAGTCATTTATTAATTCCAGATCATCATCTCCCCTTTGCGAGTAGCCACTAATGCCGTGAAATCATTAGCTGATTGTGGTGGTCTCTGGGTGGATGAGGCATACTGTGTCAAAGCAGATATAGCGAATACTACAACGACCACAGGTACAGACAGTGGAACTGACGCTGCTCCGGCACCGACGCAATCCGGAATCGTTGCCAACTGCCAGGAATATTATGTTGTTAAGGCTGACAATACCTGTGCGACCATTGCATCGGCATATGGAATTACTGTGTCCCAGTTCGAAGCATGGAATCCAGCTGTTGGAGGTAAAGTTGATCACCCGCAATGGCGCCCCCGGTCATTTACTGACATCTCGAACTTCAGCCGATTGCGGCAGCCTCTGGCTCGAGGAAGCCTATTTCGTGAAAGCCGGGACCGCCAGTTCCACGAGTTCCACAACAAGTTCAGCTGCAGCAAGTGTGACTGCTCCAGCACCCATTCAAGCCGGGATCCCGATCACCTGCAACGCGTACGATGTTGCCAAGGATGGCGATGGATGTGAGCTATTTGCCTCTTGCAACGGGATTACCGTGACTCGGTTTTGTCAGTCCAGCTCCGCGTTTAACACTGTAAAGGATTCAAGTTAACTAACAGAACCGTCTTTGATAGATATGTGGAATCCTGCTCTGAACAATGCCTGCTAAAAGTGAGATTCTCGTCTCCCTCCTCCTCCTTTTTTTTACCTTTGCCGGCAGCCACTGACTCTCATTCACTTCCCTCCAAAACAGCTTCTGGTTAGGTGAAGCCTATTGTGTCGGTGTATCATCCTAAAACTTATGGGGTTAATGAAGCGGATGATAAGTGCACCACGATCTGATCATTGGGGCGTGTACTATTTTCATTGTATATGTCAATTAGTATATCAAATTAACCTCTCTAGCTGATATAAATTGCATTTTTCCCTTATTAGATATATCCCTTATCATGACTAGATAGATTACACGAAAGACAAAGCGACGATCGACTCAACAAATTCTCAAAACCCCCACTCTTTGAACTCAATCTGCGGGCCCCTTCTAGTGTGTTCACGAGCAACTTTCTCCTAGGCCTTGAAGACCCGTTCATCGGGTTGGTAGAGGCGCTTAGCCTTTTCTTGCCTTATTAGTGTGTCGGTTTCAAACGGGTCAGCTTTATTATCTTCATTCCTCTATATAAGCCTCGAAGTTCCCGCTCGTACTTTATACTCTAGTGAGTACCGTGGGCGGCTATTAGTCTATAGAACTATCTGTCTTAGTTTAGGTATCCGGAGGGCGGCCCGGGTAGCTAAAATATAGAATCTGTTGGCGTGGCTCGCGATGATTTTGGATCGAAAATATCTAGACCTGCGATCCTCGAGAGGGGTGCGGACGGATTCGGGATATTCCTCCTCCTTATTATCTCTAGTATTATAGTATTCATAATCCGTGTTATCATCTATCGTATCCGTCTTTTCCGGATCCCGTTCTAGGAGCTACTCTCTAGACGGTGTAACTAGCGCATAGTTCACCGCTACATCTTTTAGGTTTAGCCAAAAGGGTCGATTCACTACTAGATCATCTTCCTATAGATTTAACGGCTAAAAAAGTTCTAGGCCTAAAACTATAGAGTCGTTAATTTTGAGACCCTCTAGACGCTACGACAAATCCCGTAAACACGAACTTAAAAGGTCCGATCCATCTTCTATCACGTCTGGAGGCGCGTAGTACTGATCAAGAGGGGCGCGTATTGAAATTGTAGATCGAACTGCTATACCCCGGTAGGGAGGAGGTGAAGATTGCGAGCAAAGTCTAGGCGAGATAAGTTAGGTCGATCTTAGCGTAAATTACTCAACCGAGCTTCAGCTTTTCACGATAGGATCTAGCTTACCATTTCGAAGGCGTTATCTTAATCGTTCGTCTCGCTTACACTCATCCCTCATAAATAGTTCCACTCGGTTTAATCGCGATAGCTTCGACGCGATAAATACACTCGATGCCGGCTCGATTAGCCGTTCGTTTCCGAGGCCGCGTATTAAAAGATAGGTCACTATAGGGACCGGTGGGCACTCGACATCTATAGTAGTTCGAGAAAATTCCAGGTAGGATCTCTCATATCTCTTATAAAGAAGATCGTCCAATCGCGATCTAGCCGCTTGTTTCCGTCGTTGCTTTAGATCGAGAAAGTCACTTGGGGACTTTGCCTAGATAGAAAGCTCGATGCTAGCAGCATCGTCTGGCCAGCATGATAGGATTTTGAAAAGAGTGCTGATCGTCGAGGTAAAGATCTTGGTGTTTTGTTGGCGTTCCTCGTCTGTCTCCCATCGAGCGCGCGCTTGCACATCGTATGACTCGAGCCGCACGACTAACTTGATGAGTTGGACACAAGATCTTCTGCGGCGGTCCGTTACAATGCGCTGGAACTCTTCCATTCGTTTGGGTGTGTGAATTCGAATGTTGGCGAATGTGCGTCTCTCAATGATAGCCTGCCAGTGACGGCCCAATGTGGCATATGAAGCCAGGCTGGGAGACCTGCGTGTATAATTTCCCACAGGAATCATGTGGTCTAACACCCGGGAGATCAATTCCGGTGGTAATGAATCCATGTTGTGATGGCTTGGGGGATTGAAGTCGAACAGGTTGTGGAGGAGATTCCTTCTCCCGGTGCCGCCAAGTATCTATAGGAGCCAGCCTAGGCCAGCCATGGTTGGGATCAACACAGTGATCAACACCCCGGTGGGCCTTTTGTTACCGCCTTCCAGGGTTGGTGGCGTATGTAATTTCCATGTAATTTTCAAAAACTCGATACAAAGTTGTCGTTTTCGCGGTTCCACACGTGACACCATCTAGAATGCATCTAGATCTATCTGGAACGATTATATGCAAGAAACAAGTTTGATAAATATGCCCCGTTTTCTCTACCAAGATCTGATCATCATGTTGAACATCGAACAGAAGATTCAATACAATCAACCAAGCTTTAGTCCTACCTTACTTTTCTCTCATCTTATCTTTATGATTCTAAGCCGATTTGATTTCATCCTTCCAATTCAATCAAAGGAAGAAGATCAATCTATCCTATTCAATCTTCTTTCTTCTTCTATCTACTGCGCAGCATAGCTTGCTCACAGGTTCCCTAGTAAGTCTTCTCTATCTACTACCTATCCTACTAAAAGATTACGTTTCTACTCTCCTTCTCGCTCCTAGGCCGGCTTAGACCTAGATAATAAATTAGAGTATTCTAACTCTAATATATCTATATCTAGTACTAACTCTAAGTCTAATACTAATAATAAATCTTTATTAGATAATAAGCTAGATACTCCTAAGGAGGATCCTACTAAGGAGTAGAAGGCGCGGAAGTAATCTAGAAGGATAGGGAATAGATAGTTTAGATCTTACTATAGCTACTATACCGTAGCGGTCTAACCTTTACTAATTACATGTCGCCTCTATTAACTAGCGAGTAGAGCAGGCGCTATATAAATACTAGACCTAGGCGTATTTTTGGAAATATTAGCCCCTTACCTACCGCTAATATTTCGACATATCAGGCTAGAGATAGTGATCAAGGGGCGAGAGAGTCCACGTCTATCGGTATTAAATCGACACTAGAAGAGCGAAAAGCTATATTGAAGGGAGATCGTCCACTACGAGCCGGGTTATGATGTGTATAGTGATAGTTACTCTTTGTATATACATTTATAAGGATTTTCCAAGATTGGTGACCCAGGCCGCGTAAGCGCGGCCGCACTTCTTGTACGACTTCAAAACATCTAGTAGACCCCACCTTAATTTCTAGGTAGGAACCACACGCCCACTAGAGTAAACGAAACCTTCGAGTTACATAAGACTGTCAAGGGAGAAAACCAATTTGAATTCAATCTGATACTCACTAAAGCATTGCTAATCTTTCAGTACTCCCAGGTCTCCGGGTCAGAAAGCCAGTCCTCCTTGCGAGGTCGTTTAGGTCGGTTAGCGAGCGCGTACGAGATATAACGATTGTCTGACCATTCTAATCGACCACGGATTGGCCATGCCATTCGAAACCCCGAAATGCGACTGAACCCATTGTAATTAGTAAGTATTCCTCATGAAGTTATGTAGATTCTTGACGTACACGTTGCCAGTGGACTGATCATAAATGATCTTGGAGATTTGAGAATCCTGTGGTCTCACACCACACCGCAGCATTTCTCTGTTAATCTTATTAGCGTTTTGTCAGTTCACTATTTTAGGTTTGCGTAGACTCACTCAAAGGCAGCACGAAATTTGTCACGGATATCCTTTCGTACAAGTGGATCCAAGCTCCAGAAATATTCCTCTGTAAGAGGATCACCAGGTACTTTCTCCCATGCGAGGTATTTAGCATAACCACCAGGAACGAACTCATTTCCGCCTTGCTGTCTTTCGCAGTATCCAAGGAAACGTGGAACAGAGCTACAGCCTTGACTCATTAAGAGTCTAAACGCCTCTAGTTCACCACACACTTCACGAGGTCGGATTTGTTGGGCTAGAGTAGCCAAATCAGCGTCCTCAGTCCCAGTAATGGGAATCTGATAATAAATTCGCATAAACGCTATCTGGGTTGGGTCCTCCTCTAGACAGCATAGAAATTTGCCAACTGTCATAGGAGACCCAACCCCCCTATCGACATGGCGCTGTGTGAGATGAACGGCCCTTTCCGACAGCTTTTCCGTGATAATCCACGTGCGGCTAATCCTTGGTATCCCTGGGGGTGGCGAACCAGAGAAGGAAAGGGTAGAGGCCGTGGTGGAGGTGGCTGTAGTGAGCGTGGCGGGCGCAACGGAGTCCGTAGCGAGCGAGGGAGGGGGCGAGGCCGCTGGTGGTGAGGCTCCGGGTGGGGAGGCTCCAGGTGCGGAGGCCGCAGATGCGGAGGAAGAGACAACAGACCCCTGTTGCTGGGGGCCGAAGTGAGAAAGGAAGTGACCTTGGTCCCTACCAGGCGGCGGAGGAAATGTGCATCGATTTCACTCATGGTGATTCTTGCCAGCAGGTATTTCTAGAGGGAGAGATGATGAGAGAGAAGAAACTTGATGAAAGTGAAGGGGTTCGTGTTCATATGAGGTGGATGAAAGAAGAAATGAATCCTAAGAACAAATGAAACTAGAAAACACATGTTCTGCCACCCGCGTCCCAATCTGTCCGAGTGATGCCATTCATACTTAATCTGGGAAGAACCAAAAACTTTATCTAATCAGACCTTACTACCTAAACTTCTGCAAATGTCCAAGTTGAGCATGAATAAGAAACTAATCTCTCCATATATCCAAGGCAACCGACTCACTCGCGACTGGTTAAGCGAACAGCCTCGTGATTATTCGCCGAGCCAGGCTACAGGGTGAAGTTGTATATTCCGCGTCTTGTCCTGATCATAGTGATTTAATGTAGGAGTGCGTTGGAAGAGGCCTGACAGCCCCGTCCCTAGTCTATCCAGTTAGGCGAACTTGACCTAATGGCAATAACTAGATCGAGGTAGATGGAGTTACTAAACGGCCCGCACGACAGCTGTTCATGAACCTCGGAACGAAATCTCGAGTACTATCCCCAGTCTAAGAACCGTTCCATCCAGTATGATATTTACCCCGAACGAGAAGGTACCTTATTCCGGGAGACATTCGAAAAAATATCCTACATGTCGAATATCTCGACTTTCACTCTCCAGATTAATAAATCAGAACGGAATGAGCTGGTGCTCAACGGCTATAACGTGGCAACAATGGGAAATTCTACCCGCTGATCAGGCTTTGCCAAATGGGTCGCTTTTCCAAAGGCGAGGTGTGAATGATGATTATCAATGCTCCAGCAAATATACCGGCAGCTCCAATGCCGGCAATTGCTCTCTAGATGAAAAGGTGTTGATTTAGCATCGTTAACTAAGTGACGTCTCTGGACAGCCTACCCCTAAAACCAATGCCAAGGATGTGGGTGCCAATGCGCAGAGAAGGGAGCCAACTTCAAACAATAATATTGAAGTCAAGAAAGTCCACTTTGGACTGAAAAGTCGATAAAGCTTGCCAAATTTTAGGAGAAAAGTGCATTGCGTGAGCGAATACGCGGATCCATACCATCCTACATCGCTTAGAGTATGGAATTCGTCAGTGATCTTCGGAATTGCACTCGAGATAATCGTATTATCTAGGGCGACACAGAATATAGAGATATAGATTGCTACCATGTTAACCGCGAAGACAAGCGTGGGTGGGTACGACGGTGGAGCGGGAGAGCATGGAGGAGCGGAGCCTTGTTGTTGCTGTATTAGCCCTTGGCCGCGAGGTTGGCCTTCTGGATCGGACATGGTGGCAAAAGGCACAGGCACAAACAAGCGCCAAGTTGGGTACAGTCGCAATAATTCGTTTACTTTATAGTACTGGAATTTTCATGCTTGCGATAGTTTGGCGCCAAACCTAGTATTTCTCGGAGAACAAAGCTAAGAGCCGATTGGTTGATGTTGACAGCTTTGTCTGACATCAGACGCCCTTGTTTTCCTGCGCTGATGGGGTATTGCACCACTGGGCAAAGCGGGCGAGGGGGCTTTTATCTACGAGCTATTATTTTTTTCAAGTCCAATCATGTGGATTCTTCCAATTTTAGGGAGCAACCATCCAAATTCACGGTCTTTTGAGACCGTTCCGCATCATAATACCCTCATAAGACAACATATTAAGGCGCCCGGGTAATGATTACATATTTGGTTCTGATCACCACCCCTCTGGCTTGCTTTCGTGCGGAGAGAGAGGCAGAAAAACGCTATTTAACCGGTGAGGTTCTGAAATATTGTATTTTGAAAAAAGATCTTCGTTGACATACGAAGTCGCAATTGATCGCTTTTTGATAGCTATCTATGAGTTTCGGAGTGGCTCACTCGCCCGTGTGGCCGGGCCTAATCGATCTTAAGGGTGTCGAATAATACCAAGTTGATCAATCGACAGGTTTGGGTTGATTATGGGCTTGCCCTGGAGATTTGATCTTATTTTGGGAGGTTTGCTGTTAGGCCTGACCATCAGGCTAGGTGTGCAGAGACGGAATTAGCCTCTAGCCTACTCAATGCTGAAAATAAAAGAAAAAGTACTTGCTTAACCAATTGTGCTTCCGAGCTCTTTCAATGTAAAAATGAACTTCACGGCACAAATCTCATTGTGCTGCCCGTCGAAGCTTATCAGCCTCCGTGCAAGCTTTGCGATACAAAAGGAAACATCCATCAAAGAGGAAACCCGGCCATACTTCGTACATCTCCTCAGCAAAGATCCAATTTTAAAGTAGAGGCCGTGTCAAGGCTGGTAATAGAATAGAACGCAAATAGGGGGAGCACTTCCCCAGTTATGTAAATCGCTTTACCACGAGGCCAAGATACCCAACCACTATTCTCTCTTAAATACTGACTACATATTTGTTGCCACTGACACCGCCTCTCATCAACGTTTCCAAAGCTGGCTGAATTGCCTCAAAGTCGTTGCCTACGACCTCGACTCTGGTAGGGAGCTGGAATTTGCCTTCCTCCAGCAATTCAGATAAACCCTGCAGCACTGCCGTCCCGCCCTTGGTGCCAAAAATCTGGCGACCAAAGAGCACAGATGCCTTGACTTCCTCAGGTACTGCCACATTCTGACCGGTGACAACCTGCGAGTAGAGTTGTGGTCCATTTGGATTGAGTGCAGCGAAGACTGCGAGCTGATTGGCTGCAGCTGCGACCGGATCAATGATGGCGTCTACACCGGCACCGTGGGAAGTCGAAGATCTGATATCAATGGGATCATCCTGAGCACGTCTTTCAAAGCAACGAGTAGCACCCAGTGAAAGGAGGCGCTCATGGTGCTGCCTTGAGCTGGTGGTAAGAATAGTTGCATCAGGCAAGGCCAGTCGCAAGTACTGGATTGCGGCTGCACCGATGCCGGAACTACCACCCAAGACGAGAATAGATTCCAGCTTATACTCGCTGGTACCTGTGGGATCAAGATGTGGCAAGGGTAAATGCAATCCCACCGTAACTGCTGCGGCGGCAGTGACGGTTACAATTCTATCAACGGGTCAGCATACTTGATTTTTACGAGCTTGACACAGCTTACGGGAGGGATGCTGCCTGCTCAAAGGTCAACGCAGAAGGTTTCTTGCCAACAAAATGCGCCGGGACAGTGAAAAGCTCTTGGAAAGCACCAGCCTTGGGCTCCATACCGGCCAGGCTAAATACTTCATCGCCGGGTTGAAAGGCGGTGACCTCGTCACCAACGGCCTCAACAACACCAGCAGCGTCAACACCTAGCACAGCGGGCCAGGCCTGGATCATGATGCCAAATGCACGATTCTTCCAATCCAGGCCATTCAATCCCACGGCTCTGGTACGGATAGATATCTCGTTCGGTCCGGGGGGCGGGGTGGAGACGGAGGCTAGCGCAAACTGGCCACCTTTTTCGGACAGCTGGTACTGAAGGTGATTATTGGACATCTTTGCACTGGAGCTTGAAACGGGGGTCAGATTTGGTGGGGGATGGTATTGAAATGGGGCAATTTTCTCGCAATAATTTGTGAATACGAGGCAATGACTTTCGGTGCAAAAACGAAGACAGCAGAAGCGTATAAGTCTTCACTGAATTTGATACTTTGCTGATATGGAATATCGTGATATATTCTAATATATAACGACTAGGGGGCTACCTATGTCTAATATGTTCTTTGTCTAAAAGCTTCGGCTTCGACGTGAGGCCATACCATAGAATCGCACGAAACCTTAACCCCGACACGTGCGGACTTAACCAGAGAATCAAATGACGGAGTTAAACAATGGCCTTAAAAGCCTGCAGTATAGACCATGGTTCCTCGGATAAAAAGTTTGCTATGACTGCATGTCTGGGACAGCTTATCAAATCTGCATAGGGGTTCGCGCAGGGGTATGCAAACAAACCCGAGCTATATACTGTGGTCGGGATACGTAAAACTGTTAGCGTGGTACCTCCGTCCCTAGTTGATGATTAAAATACTGCCACCTTTTAATACAGCTAAATGTAATTAAACCACTAAATACATCAAATAATACAGTAATAGCAGGGGGTAAGCCCTAACCGCCTCATGCAGTTAATCGTATGAAAACGTCTAAGAGATATCGATCTCCGATCCAATCGTTCATATAGTCCGAAAGCTGCTGAATTGGATTCAGATCTGGCGAATAAGGTGGCCAATCGATAGGGCAAATGGTACGTTCATGTACTTCCTCGATCGTTAACAAATTCCGATGTGAGGGCTGTATACGAATCGCTATTAATCGAACCCCATTTATTTCCCCAGAATAGGCAAGGCCTTTCTCAGTCCCGTAAAATGATCCCCAAAACATCCAACTAGGTGCGCGCGATACCCGCTCCCGAATACTGGTATCCTCATATTCCTCGCCGACTTTACGCGTTACATAGATCCGTCGATGATAAATTGATGTGACCCAACTCTCGTCGGTCTAAAGCACCTTTAACCATTGCTCACAGGTCCAGTTAACATGCTCCAAAGCCCAGGCTAGCTGAAGGGCTCGTGTGCGTTCTGATAACGGAGGCATTCGGAGGGCCTTACGTCGATGATAGCCTCGCCTTGCGAAGGCCTTTCGTAGGGTAGGTAGCCTTGCACACTGGAATTTATAGTTCTTTAATAACTTCCTCATAAGGTATCCATCATGTTTCCTTCGAGGACGTGATAGATTCGATCACTTCATCGAGCTGTTCTTCTGATGGCTTGCGACATTGGTCACGAGGCGTACGTGGCGGAGGCCTTTCGTTAGGACAGCCCAAATTGGACCTGGCATCGGGTAAGCCCTGTCTGGGCCAGTACTGAAACATAAACTCAAAGTGGACCCATCTGTCATGCTTCCAACGTTTCTGTGTCCTTCAGTGGCACCCACCGCTTTCACTTGTGGGTGCAATGGTGCACACATCTTCGTCACATTTTGGAGAAATTATACAATTTCCTATTTCAACCACCCAAAATGCCTAAATCTGCCAATTTTGACGCATATCGCATGGCCGAAGTGTTGATACTGGTGGCTAAGGATTTCTCGAGATGTGTATGGAGGATAGATTCAGGTGGGCGAGGAGATCTAACTGGGCTATCTACATGGCAATTTCCATCAACAAAAGGGAAAGTAGGTGACCTAGGTGATCTGGGTGAGAATCCTTGCCCTATTCTCACCCACTCTCACCCCGTTCTCTCTTCTATCACCCCAGTCTCCAAAGTTCTCACCCATGTCACCCACACTCGCCCTAAGATAAAATCCGACGCCATTGTAGAGCTCAAGGCGTATTGAGAATTGACTGCGTACTATAACGGGCTTAAGTACGGTTGAGCGGACGGGAAGCCCTGTTCTCCACACCCTGTGGTCGTATATGCTGGAAATGTGGTTCCGAAGATTTGTAACGGCTTCTCTAGCATTCAGGCTTCCTTCGCCCTTGACGAGATCCTCACGTCATCGCCTTCAGTATACACTCGCCTTACTTAGAATCTCAATAAACAGTTACTAAACTCCCTCGGCTCAATTGAAAAGCAGAATTGATTATGCTATCACAGATATATCTCGCAAATCTCCTAAAATGCAAGTCGCAAGCCTCCTCCACGAATACGTCTGGTCATATCTTCACCCAACACCAAGTAAACGGCCCGATGCTATCAAATTGGGTATCATGGTGGAAAACGCCCATCTTGACCCCGCCAAGAGTAAGTCCATCTTAATTTCTATCTCAGGATAACTGTATAGACCACCCCTTATATATTCAAATACTCACTATGAACTTTCGTCACCCTCTCCGCCTCTATCCACAGACCTCACCTACATTACCTACAATCTTCCTTTACCATCAACCTTCCTAAACTACTAACACTATATCTATATCCCAGTAATACACCCCTCAGCAACACACCCCTCCACAATCCTGCACGCCTTCTCCGCCCCAAAGCAAACCATCTACAAAACCCTCTCCACAAAATACAAACACACCTTCACAAAAACATATACCTCCCACGAGCACCTCCTGCAAGACTCCGCTGTCAACGCGGTGTATATCTGTGCGCCCATCGCAGCGAGACACGATCTTGCCGTGGAGGCGTTGCGCGCGGGGAAACATGTCCTTTGTGAGGCTCCTGTTGCTAGGAGTGGCGAGGGTGTGAGGCGGGTTCATGATGTTGCCACGGAGAGGGGGGGTTGTGCTGCTTGATGGGGTGGGTTGGTTTTTTCTTTCTTCTTCGTTGCGAAAGGGAAATTGCTAATGCTGATGCTATGGTGTTTATTAGCCTGATTGGCAGTTCCATCCTGCTACGCATGCATGGCGTAAGATTGTTGACGATAGGGGGTATGGACGGTTACTGCGTACCGAGGCTGTGGCCACTTGTACGTGTACACCATTATCAGATCTGGCTGGGAAGTTTGATGGTGCCGGTAAGTTCACTACACTAAAAGGCATCCCCGAATATATGTTACCTCCACATTATCCAGTCCGTATATGTATACACTATGCTTAATCCTCGACATAAAATAACCTTCTTCGTCCTCTCTAGGCGGCTCATTTATAACACTCTCCTCCGCGCTCTCCGCAACCCGCTTCGCCCTACACGCCTCCCTCCCGACCAAAATCCTCTCCTCAACAGCTCAACTCTCGCCCCGAGATAGTCGCGTCGATACCGCGCTCACAGCACACATCATCTTCAACGATCCCTCGTCGAACCCGGTCCACTCTAAGATAACTACTTCCCTCTCCCGTCCGTGGACACCTCCTCTCCCACTACCCCTACCACTCGGCCTAGGTAATATCCTCCCATATCTGCGTCTCTGGGAAGTACCTTCTATAGAAGTTGAAACCGACTTTGCGCAGATATACTTCTACAATTTCACGCAGCCACATGTTTATCATTATATCGGGGTTACTGATAAGCGGAGTGGGGAGACCGGGTATCACAGGGCGTATAGCGGGGGACCGTTGTGGGGAGGGAGGGTTGTTTCGACGGGGGAGAAGGGGGGGCGGGGTGGGTGGAGTAGTTCTCGGTGGAGGTTGGAGGCTTTTGTGGATGTTTTGCAGGGGCGGACGCCTGTGTTTTGGGTTTCTGGGATGGAGAGTGGGTGGATGGGGGAATGTGTTGATGGGGTTTATATGGAGGCTGGGTTGGGGAGGAGGGGGGATGCGGATGAAGATGCAGAGGGAGATGGGATGGTAAGAGTGGATGATGAATGTGGTTAGGTTAAGATATTTTATATGTACACTAGAGTATACATGGGAATAGCCAGAGTAGATTCAGAGAAAAATGGAACATATCGACGGGAGAAGGAAAGAAAGAAATGAAATGTACAGGAGCCGGTGCGCTGGATCATGCTGTCGTGGAGAAGGTATCAAAATCATTAAGTAATAGAATAGGGTTAGATGTGTACAGTGTATGGTGAGTACATGAAAACATCTATTAGAAAGGAAACATTACCACAAACCCCCCGGGGAAAGTAAACATCTCGCAGATACATGATATGCATGCAGTATGCATATCAAGTATCTGCGGGACAAAGTCGAAGAAAGGTAGTACGAGAGCAGTTCCCGAGAGTTCAAGTCGCTTTTGTTTCTCTCCCCCGTTTACGCGAGAGCGTAGACCAGGGCCAGAACGGCACCGCCCAGGGTCCAGCCGTTGCCGGCCAGGGAGACGGCAGCGTTGGGAGCAGCGGGTTGGGTGGCAGCTGGGGTGCCAGCACCGGTCTGGCTGGAGGCCAGAGGAGTGCTGCTCACCAGAGGGGTGGAGGCCGGGCGAGAGGTGGACTTGATGGGGCTCGAGATCGGGCTGGAGGTCGAGCTGGGAGTCTGGGTGACCACGGTGGTAGTGATGGTCGGGGTGGGAGTGGGAGTGCTGGTGAAGCAGTCTCCGGTCACGGTGACGGGCATCCAGTTGATGTTCTTGGCGTCCAGGGTGTGCTGGACAGTGACGGTGCCCTGGGCAGCGGAGCAGGAGGCGTAGGTGGTGCCAGCAACGCTGCAAGAGACAGTAGCAGTGCTGCGGTGGCGCATTAGAATTGCGATGACTATGCGACAAACTGAGGCCGCGTCGTTGGGTCAAGTACTTACCTGCCGTCGGGGTAAACCTGGAACAGCTCAGCAGCGCTGGGCGCAGCGACAGCAGTCATGCCCTTGCCGGGGATACCGCAGGCAGAAGAGGCGACGGAGGTCGGGCAGGTGATCAGGTAGGTGGTGGCATCGCCAGCCTATGCGACAGAGTTAGATGGGTGGTTATGCGTGGATGCCTTGCGCGGGAGTTCCAATGGAGTGCATCTCCATGCTCCTCCGTACTCGATGGCAAGACGCGCATAAACACACGTACCGTGGTGATGATACCAGCCTCGAGATCGCGACCCTGGAAGCCAGGCAGAAGCAGAGTAGCGGTATTACCCGCAGCGACAGCAGTTGCGCCGGTGAGGAGAGCGATGGTGTGGAAACGCATGGTGACTTGCTTGAGTGAGACGGATTGGGCCGGGTCTTGATGAGTGTAATTGGCGAGAAGAGAGAGTGTGTGTACACGGTACTTGAAGTATCGACGACTGGCAAAAAAAGAGCGACTGGATCTTAAAAAGATCTTTAACGAGAGACTGAGAAACGAAGGGAAAGACGGGCCAGAAGCGTCGCGCGCGTGTAGAGAAGCAGGTGGAAAGGAAAGAAAGAGAGAGAGAGAAGAGAGGTGAAACCCCAGTCCTTTCGTCCCTAGTCCTGCCAGAATCTGCTAGTCTGCTTTCTCTACTAGTCTGGGGGGCGCAAGGACCCGAGAGGGGGAAATAACAATAATCATGAGAGAGGGGCGATACGCCCAATACACCAACACAAACGAGCCGGGGCCACAGGGTCTTGTACTGTTAGTGCATACGAAAGCGAGTCAGCGACCCAACGACCCTTGGCGAGCGTTACTCGGAAGCAGCTGGAACGATGATAGGGTTGGACATTGCCAAGAGGACCCCGGGCGCATCGCGAGGCATCGTGGGATTGGAGTAATTTGCGTGATGGCGGGCGGCTAGTGAAAAAAGGAACGGTTCAGGCACAGCGCATAGGCAAAGTTTAGCCCAGGAACGGGTCCAGGAACGGGTCCAGGAACGGGCCCCAGGGGTTCCTGCCCAAGTTCCTGAGTTTAGGGCCGTATTTTGGCCATTGACGACGTCCGAGTGGGAAAAGGGGGCCACGCTAGTCCACAGCCGCTAGACTGTTGCTGGACTAGGGTCCAGTGCACATCCAAGGGTTGGCTGATTATTGCCCAGTTCCATGCCTGATGGGGAAAGTTGTGATGGCGGTCGTCATAAACTGTGGGATGGCTGATGAGCAGTTTGCACGATCCAGACTCTTGATGGAGAAAAACCTGTGATCTGTTCGGAAGAAGACTGCGAAGCTCTCGAGTCCAGACTTGATGGACGTTGACGAGGTTTGAATTTTGAATTTACTTGGGCGTGGGGTTTGTGCCTCAGGCAGTCTACTCTAGGGCAAGCGAACAAGGTCCGTTCGCTTGGAATTACCTCAGCATAACAGACTCATTTAACTGCCAATTAACTAGGAACTATGATGTTTATTATCCTTTCTCTATTTCATAAACAGACTACGATCCTTACGCGCCGGCCCCAGTTACAAACCTAGACCAACGTGCCGCACTCTCTGACTAGTAACTGCAGGATGCAGCAGCGCTCGACTAAACTAGCGCAGCGGCACCTAAAAATGCCTCGACTGCCCTGCACGAGGCGGACCTGGACTAGCGCGGCCACATTGAAACGCCGCTAAGCTTGACTACAGTCAGATGGACAACACGAGGTAAGAAGATACCCTATATTGAGACTCGACAAAGTCAACTTACTCAAGGTCATAAAAATAGTATCATTCAAACCCAACTTTTCTATCCCCTTCTAAATGAAAACCTTACACCTAACCAGAGACTCCCTTAGATCGTGCATTCAAAATTCCACACACGAGCCCCGTTACAAGTAAAATCCCATTAAACACGGCCATGATATAGAACGGTGTCCCCGAGGACAACACGTCAAAGAGCGATCCACCCGCTTTTGTGAGAATCAGGATTCCCGCCCCGCCGTACAGCGAGTAAACCCCGGCAATGGACCCCTTCAAGTGTGACAGGTGCTGCAGCCGGTGGTCGACAGAGTGGGCCAGCAGGGGCTGGTTCTCGCCTTCCCCACTGTGACCATTATGAATATGGGCACCCTGGCGATCGACACCCTGCTCGGCATAGATTTTACGCAGCGCGTCGTCGTCAACACCCACCTGGAGAATCCCATTGCTCAGCACTGCTAGACTGCAGACGATGGCGCCAATCTGACTGATTCCCAGCAGGGCCATGACAACGAAGACCCCCGCATTGCCGTCGGGGCCCTTGAATTGCGGGTTGGGTAGGAATCCGAATGCGAGATATCCCACCACGCCGACAAACGCCGCCACTAGAAGAGGGACATTGTACCGCCGCGATTTATCGGTTAAATATCCAAAGGCTGGCGCGGCCAGGAGGGCGATTAGCTGGGATACCCCGGTGAGAATCGAGGCTAGGATATACGCGCGCGGGCACGCCTTTTTGATATCCCCGAGCCCGGAATTGGGCATTGGCTCGTGATCTTCATTGCAAAGTCCGGAGACACGGTAATAGTGGTTCACGGCTAGTGGGATGAATAATGAGATTGCTACCGAGGAGGCGCGTGCAACAAACCCTCCCATGTAGCCCAGGGCAATACTGCGATTCCGGAATCCTAACAGCAGTGCCGTCGTCAGTTGTTTCCAATAGGGCATTCTTTCTTGTCCGTGGAAAGCCTCGTCGTCGTCATCCTGGTCGTCCGCATGTTGACCAGAATGATGACTCCATAATGCCCGCCACCCTTTTCCTTCCTCCTCGGACAGATTGCGGAGACCGATGAAGCTGATGAGACTGATTATCATCGCAACGGCGGCAACCAGATAATAACTGCGTCGAATTGCTTCCGCGGGCGAAAGGCCGATTTTCTCAAATCGGGCTGGAAGGGGCAGGAAGACACCGAGGGATACGAGAGCACCACAACCAGCAAATAACCCGACAAAGCCTGACAATCGAGCTGACGGCGATGCACGCGTGGCGGCACCATCAGGGTGGTGACCGTTTTGCAGGCCATTCAGCCTTGCAGGGGTAATAGTCAACTCTGAGGAGACCGACGCCCGGTAGGCCTGGTCTCGCAACGCCTTCCCCGTGACGGTAGGCAGGACAGCGGTGACCATGGTAGACACCGCCGAGCCCCCAAGGCTAAACAACAACCTGCCCAGCAAAAGCTGGGGGTAAACATTCGTGGCCTGTACGAAGAGAACCAATGCAACGGCAATAATTGCGTAGCCGATAGCGCACACCTACTATCCTATCAGCAACGGCGGCAACACACGAAGACCGCGATGATACGATCAAAGGGATAGCGTATATCTCAACAAACAACGTACATGGCGCACACCAATCCGATCAGAAAGCACACCCCAAAGCGGACAAGCAGCCAGAGCGAGTAACTCATCGGCAAAGCCTAGCGTTCCCACCGCATTGCCTTCGCCATCATGCAGCCCGATCAGATCCGTGACGACGAATGAGACCGAGGAATTGATAAAGACAAGGAAGGCGATGGAGAAGGGGCAGACTGCTAGGAGGTATGTTAGCGTTTGGCCTCGAGAGGCTGTGAATAATGCAGGTGATGAGGCCATCGCCATCGATGGGGCATTGCTGTGTTTGTTTGATGGGGAATTGGGGGGAAATGAGTCGGGGAGTACGGGATTCCCTTGGCGATCGACGATTGTCTCAGCTGGTTACGTCGCTGATAAGCGGGGTGGCACGTGATGCGATCAGATAAATGTCGATCGGCTGGGCGGGTTCCATGGATCGGAAGCCTGAAGATGTTGGAAACTATGTACGTAGAGGGGGAAAGTATTTTTCCTTTTTCACGTTGGAATCGCCCTTGAATATGCTTGTTTATACTGAATAAATTTGGGCTATGGGACTGGTTGAGGAGCACGTAGGTACATAGTAACGTTTATCAACTTATATCTGAGTCCAATACAGCAGTATCGACACCTCTCTACACACTCCCCATATGATCCAACCCTCTCGAAAACGCATCCACCCGATCCTGGAACCGCCTCGACGGAGGATTCCTCTGCCAATAAAACCACAAAGCAGCCGAAATAATCGTCGTCGGCACCGTTACCGCCCAATAAACCCAAAACTTCCCGGAAACCCTCCACCCCAGACTCTGATCATAATTAAAGAACGACATACTAAAAACAGCACAGATAAACGTGGGCGGCAGAAATGTAAAAGTGACAAAGGCAAGCGTCTTCAATGCCGCACTATCATCCATCATGATCAGGGCGTCATGTCGTGCAACAGTCTGGAACGTAAGCTGGATCTCGTTCTGCAGTCGCTTCTCGTTCGCGATGGATCTGTGTCGCAGACTCCCGAGGAAGCTTTGCGGGAAGGATAGACGGGATTGAATCTCTTGCCAGACGTGGGGGTCTGCGCGTGAGAACAAAAGAGCGGAGTCGCTTGGGTTCATGTAGATTCGGTGATTCTCTAGGATGCGCTCGATGGTTTGGAGGGTTACATCAAGGGTTTCCGTGACGTGGATGGAGTGGCGGGCGATGTCGTGTAATCTGCGGTAATTTGGTTGTGATTTGCGAGGTCCTACTTGTTCTTCCCCCTTCTCAATTGGTCGGATTTGGTCTCGGATTGCCCAGACGGCTTGTTCTTCTAGGTCGGAGACTGAGTCTAGTATATAGGGGTATACCCAGAATGGGTCACCGAGAAGATGTGCCTCGGGGGTTAGAGTTGTGAATGGGTGAGGAGTGTGTTTTTGGGTATCAAAAATGAGAATGCCGGTTTGGTTTGTTTCGGATATCCATCGGGTGAATGTGTTGAACTTGGACCAACAGTAGTCTCGGTCATTATTCATTTTCTTGGTTCGAAAAAGGGACCACATGCCTATCCAGAACTGTTAGATTTGAGTACTAGGATTTTCGTTGAACCAAGGACGTACTTAGGCCTGTAATTTTTCCTCCGTCTCGAGTCACCTCGCAGCCAAAATACCCATTTGACTTTCGGAGATGGTCGGTCCACCATACCGAAGGCATTAGAAAGGCATCAGTCAATGCTTGCCTGCATTGCTGGCAGCCTCTAATCTCATTCGCACTCGCTAGACTTAGAGAAGTTAGTACTCGCCATAATGCCCTCTGAATAACCGAATCGATCGGGCGCATAAAGCCAACGTACATAAGATAAACCTGGGTATCTGCAGCTATTACACCAGGTGTCTGGCTTCTACTGCTGGCACTTAAATGGAACGGATTGACTCTTTGCTCTCGCCATATGTCGCCTGAAATCGTTAGTACGGGTCCGATTGACGATCGGAACAACTGCGTTGCTTACCTTGCTTCCATTCCTGTAATGTCAGTTCGTGAGAACATCTGTGACTAGTAATAGGGCGGGCCATAATGGCTCTAAAGTCTCCGGTAGTCTAGAAAGTGCCGAAGGGACTCTGACTGGCGGGGATTTATACCTGAGGTGCGGGGTGAGGCTGAATCAAAAGGGCAGTGCACGGGCAACACGACATTCAGCAGACTCGAATGATTAGCCAGGGTACAGGCTTGAAAATGCAAGTTAAATCCCCGAACGCATTGGCGATCTTATCACAATTGAAGACGCAGCATGGTATTTCACTATCATTATCTTCGGGGACTATATACACTTGAAGGAAGAGAAGAAAAACTCGTACTAGCTAATCTATTTTCTGTGTGATTTGGGATGTCGAGGACGATGCTAGTGGGATTTAGCGCCGAATGCGACGTGTCACTCGATACTTACCGCTGCGATGGACTCAGCCCCACGCAATTAGCCTCGCTAATCAAGACCAATCAGTCTCCATCGTGATTTAATACTTTGGATGAACCTTATTCATATGGTTCTTAATGATGAGGTCAGTGTAGAATATATGATGCACTGCCTTTTAATATGTTCATGTTGCTATGTGATATAACAATCCATATAATAGGCACTGGAAACGACAGAGTACTTTCGGGCTAAACATGAGATAGTTGAGTGAACGGGTACATGACCGACAGGACGAGATCACTAGAGTATATCTTAGGCCGTGCTTCAATCAACTTGTTGACAATCTATTTGACTGAATAGCGTGTCAGAGACACCATCTATAGCTTTTGAAAGCAACTCCCTCAGAATGGCAAGTTCCCTTCACTGGAGATCGGGTGAAAACTTTGAGACGGGGTATTAATGCTAGCCATATTACGGACAGCATAAGGTAGGAGCGACTGGACCTCATCAGGTATACGTCTTCATGACTGGTTCTTAGGTATTGTAGAGGATATTCAGGACTGCCTCTAAGAGAGCAGAGTAACGGCAAAATTGGAGCCAAATGTGGAGGCCCTCTCTTACTATGCAATCAGAGGACAGTCTATCAAGGAGGACCTAACTACATTGCCTTCGGGTCTTCGACAACTCCTACGAGCTATGCGGATATGTTCGAAAATTCAAGGACTCTCAGGGCATGTCAAGTTATGCTCCTGAGAGACAGTAGAGGTCGGCGTTTACGTTGCCTGACTCTCAGTCTGCTAGTTGTGCGATATGTCAAGCCACGAGGAAACTACACGCCAATCTGCTTTCCCTGCCTGCTGCTCCTTCCGTCTCCCCAATATCATTCATATCCACGAGCATCTGTGCGATCTTTCCCTCCTCGCTACAACCTTACTTTACACACATCCCCGAGAGAAAGCTTCACGATTCTGCTACATCCCTCCCGTCTGTGCAGGCGACCACGTCAACTCTCAAGTCTCTCGACCTCTCGAGTCGCTCGACTCAACTTCATCCCCTCCAAATACACCACCAACCTGAAGATGGCAGACACCAAGCCCACCACAACTGAGCCTTCAGAACCCACTCTGGATACCATGACATGGGTGGAGGTCACCCAGCACGCCGAAGAGATCCTTGAACGCTTCCAAAACGATGAGACCACCTTCCAACGCTGGGAAGTCAAAGTGGTCTGGGAATACTGGCGCGGTTTCGAGATGATGGGCCTCAACCCTAAGCTTTCGATTCTCAAGTTCATGCAGGACGTTGTCATTCCTTTCGCGACTTCACGAGTTCAGTCTCGGCTGCAGTGTTATACCCGCCACGAAAAGGCTATCGGAGCAGACAAATCCAAGGCTCACAAGATTGAGACTTCCGTTGACGAAGGACCCGCTGTTGTTTATCGCAAGGGCAGCTCGCCAGAGACTGCAGCCGCGAAAAAGGCAGAAGAAGTTCAGCATGTACCAAGGCCCGCTCTGAGACCAGACTCGGCCGTGACACGGCCTTCTCCTCAGCTTATTCAGTGGGACCTCGGAGCTTACATGAGAGCGAACACAGCTACCAGACCTTCGCCTCCTCAAGCTCAGTCTGAGCATATTGAAGACGCGACGCAGTCTTCTTTCGCAGAGTCATCGTCATCCATCACCAGCAAAGACGTGCGTCCCATCTCCTCTTCACCCGCCCCGTTCCACAGAGTCCCTCTCAAGGAAGCTGCCGAAAACATCCTCAAATCGCCAATCTCCAATTCGAAGCTCATCACCCAAGGACCTCACACGGATAACGGATTCCCCGCTGCGTTGACAAGTCGAGTTGAAGGACACCCGGAGCTGATCAAGATCGTCTGCAATAATAAGGAGGAAATTGTCAATGTTGAAGACTTGGTTGCGAATAACTATCTCCTGCGATCTACTGTCGAGTCTCTCAATACGACTGCTACCTCGATGCAAGCGATCATCGAGGCTCAGAAGGATAGAATTGATGCTTTGAGTGGCTACATCGCATCGCAGCATGAGAAGATCAAGAGCCTCACTGACAAGCTTACGCTGGCAAAGCATGCTGACAAATGAAATTGTTGCCCGGACCATAATGCGTCCTGTATATCTTAATGAGCGGACTTGGCAAATATGGAGCACAAAGTGGAGTCGACGCTATCACGATGGAGTGCCGGCTTGGAGGCGAGTTTGCTGCTCATGTTCTTTTGAATCTTCTTAGAAAAGCATCCTCATCAATTCCGCTCTATCCTGAACGAGGCAATATCAAAATCCAACAAGTCTTAGTAACAATTCATATTATTGTTCGAAATAAGGTCGTACAAACAGTAATTACCCGTTCGGGTAAAGATCGGATCGCGAATCCTCTCGCCCCACTGGAAACATTTCGCCGCGCGTTCCGAAGGCTCCGATTCAAAAGACCCAGCTTCGCTAAGCACTCAAACACGACAGTCTTGATCCTACGATTCGGTATCAGTCAGGTACCTGACTACTATCATAATGGACCCTGTTCCTGTAGTCCCCTTCTGGGGCCCTGCAACGTCGTATCTAAAGTTTGTTTTGATCTTCCCAAGCCCCTCCCGACAAACAAGCCACTGACGTGTCTAATCTAGCTTTTGCGAAGAGGTGAACAGCTCTCCTCGGGGAAGTTTATACGCTATTTATAGGGCATTTCATGCTCACTTTTCACGCAGGACTATGTAATTACTCGGTTCGTGGCCGAGTTTATCAATACGTTCAGCAGCTCTGTTTTCAGTGAGTCAGCGCAGAGTGATGTCCACAAGGATGGCAAAGTTCGCGATTGATAACAATATCCTTCTAGTCCTCTTTGGAATTTATGGTCTGCGACAGCTTCAACAGAAGCAGCAAGCTGGTTTCCGCTCGATCTCATATTTGGGTTTGATCGGGGTGGGCGTTTGCTCGGCCGGTTATCACATGACCCTCAAATATCACACCCAAATGTGTATGTTTCGCGAACTAACAACATCCGTGCTTCCAAAGCGCTAACTGATGATATGGATATCTAGCGGATGAGCTACCAATGCATCTTCTGACAACGCCACTTCTGTATCGAATTCTGACCTTCAAGGCTAGCCCGGAGCGAACCAGACTCGTGGGGATTGTCCTCTCCGCGCTGTTCACTATCGTTATGGTCGTACACATGGTCATGGACGAATTCCTTCTTCACGCGGCTAGCTTTGGGCTTGCGGTTTATATGATCGCGACGCGTACGTCGAAGATCATCTCACAACAAGTTCCCAATCCTTACCTGAGGAAAAAGCTTCGGAATATCTCATTCTTTGGTATCTGTATGATAATTCATGGTCCGAAAATCTGATATACATGCTAATTCAAATCAGTCTGCTTTGGCTTGGGCTATTTTGTGTGGCTCATTGACGATTGGGCATGTGGATTCCTTATCAAAACTCGACACGCGGTCGGTCTGCCTCTGGCATTCTTGACTGAACTTCATGGATGGTATGTTTCATATTCTTGCTTCTAAGGGCCAGGTATATTGATCAAAACATAGGTGGCATGTTCTCACTGCTATTGGTGGCTACGTCGCCGTTGTACTCGTGGACCTAGTGACCATGGGTGAGGTCCATGAAGACCCTACCGAACAGCTTGCATGGCCTATTCCACCTGCAGCAAGGTTTATTGAGTCATTGACAGGGTCTGCAAAGCAGAAATAAGATATGGAAGGACCACAGCAGGTCTTTGGACAAGAGAGTGTTCATAAACCACATGCGCAACAATGTCTGAACTCACGTCATCTTGTCAGGTCATATACGGCCCTTGCTCGGAATAAACGTATAAAGACTGTGTGCGTATTCAGTCTAGAATCTGCAGAAAACACCAGGATTATAGAATAAACATTTGCCAGATATGATCGCGTTGTATGCTAGATCATTACTCCCCCGGGTAGATCGTCTTTCCTTGGCGTCGAATCTCATCCATGATCTCCATAATGTAGAGTGTCTCGGCCCACGGCATGATACTGCTCTCCTTCCGACCGGCAAGAACATCCAAAGCCGTGTTCTGTGCCTCATATACAAATCCACGTCCAAGAGGGGCATATTCATGTCTCTGACCTTGCCACATTTCTCTCTTGAAGAAACATCTATCTGCACTTCCCCCCTTCTGCTTAGGATACACCGTAAAGGACTCAGGTATCGAGGGTGCTTTTCCTTCAACCTCGACAAATCCCTCAGTGCCGTGGATCGCTGCAAAAACCTCACCGGGTGCGCCAGATGACTTGTTGGTAGTGGTCACGATGCCCTGTCTGCTTGTCGAAGGATATTGCAGGATAGCACTCGTAGTCACCTCAATACCATCCTCATGGGTTTGCGCAGCCATGATGTGCGGCTTCTGCCCTTGACCGGCCGGGCGATCGTTCAGCGCAAGCATGATCCAAGTCAGAGAATAGACGCCAATATCAAGAAATGACCCAGCACCCAGGCTTAGATCACGATAGCGAGATGTAGCGGGCAGATTCTCAAGACCAATGTCTGATGCGAAATCACAGTTTGCCCGGAACACATCGCCAATCACCTTCTCCTCGTGCAGAAGCCGCTTCAGCTCAAGGTAAAGGGGTCGATGACGCAGCCACATTGCTTCCGCAACATAGACGTTTTTTGCCCGCGCAGCGTCAAAGATCTCTCGTGCTTGTCGTGCGTTTAGGGTGAATGACTTCTCGCATAGGATGTTCTTGCCGGCCGCGATAGCTTCCATGCAGTCGCGATAGTGATATCCGTGCGGTGTGCCAATATAAACAATGTCCACTTCGTTGTCGAGGTAGACCTTTCCGTAAATATCGTATATCTGAGGGGTTTGCTTCGGACAGTACTTTGCGGCAAAGTCTTGGCCTTTCTGGAGACTGGAGGATCCAATGGCTTGAATGATATGTTTCACTTTCAACCCTTGCCATTCTAGAACAAGGTCCTCGACAAACCATGAGGATATCAGGCCGGTTGCTTGAAATGCATTAGCTATCATGCAACATCGCTTTCTCCTAAAAACTTACCAATAATGCCCCAGCGGATCGTCGGTAATTCGCCCATTGCCATTATCAATTATTGAATTAATCTTGGGATATCTGCCTTTGCAAATTGCCAAACGTTTGTTTTATCTTGTCTTGGAAATTGTTTGAAAGCTTTTCAGTAATCCTAGCTAACAAAAGTATAGATATCTGGGATCTTTTCTGGCATCGGAAGCCCCAAAGCTGCGGGGATCGCACTGATTACCGATCTCCCCACATCTCGGATTTGGAAATCCGGAGGACCTATCGTATACCTTGGAGCTTTCAAACTTTGTCGCCTATTGTTGCACCCTCTTCTTCTTGTGTATTATTGGCTAATACGGCGATACTCACAGTGCCAATGCGGAATTTGATGCCCAGATAGGTAAGCAGGCGGTACTTTAGCTCTAGATGCACTAGTGGTCGTAAGGTCTTAGTATAGGTGAATGACTAACTATGGCCTGTGCATAAATCCTCATGTGCTATAATGGACGCGAAAGATAATTAAGAAGATACATGCTTCCACCGATGAGATTTAGGGATTCTCGTGAAAATGGTTCCAGTACGACGTACAGACAGCAAAGTGCGGAGGCTTGATTGTAAGTGGGTCGCTATGCTGACGTTATGCGTTTGTTGCCCATCTAGATAGGGAGTCAGTGACCCCGTTTCCAGGCATCATCGCTTACGACGATGGATTTGGGCAGCATTATAAGCTGCACCTATTGTCCACTTGCAACTAGAGAAGTAAAACGACTTGTTCGTAAATATTCAATTCATCCATTGCAACCAGTCATGACGTCAATCGAACTAATCACAGATCCTTGGCTTCCTTGTCCACAAAGAGTCCATTTGGCCATCCATGAACTGGGTATTGATATCAACATTCGAGAATTTACCCTCAAAGAAAAGGAGCATAAGGTTAGCTATAACTGGAAACATATGGTTTGTTCCGTCTAATGCGGTCCAGAGCGCTGAATTCCTCAAAATGAACCCCTTTGGAGCATTGCCATGTCTGAAGGACTCTTCCTTTGACCCGCCTCTTGTGCTATATGAATCCCGGGCCATTGTCAGGTATCTTGCGCTGCAATATGGGCCAGGTCGTCTCATGCCCACTCCATCCGATGTACGAGCCACAGCACTCTTCGAGCAAGCAGCAAGCATCGAATTAACGTCATTTGACCCCGTTGCAAACCGTCTGGTATTTGAGGAATGCTTCAAACCGTACGTTATCGCTTGCTTGCAAATTTTGCCCCAAAGCCGCCGGTACCAATCTAAATTCTTGCAGGAGGTTCTTTGCCGAGGGTGATGATTCTGTTGATACAACGTTGGTAGCTAGTTTAAGATCTCGACTACTGGTCGTGCTCGATATCCTGGACCAGATTTTGGGAAACCAAAGCTATATGGCTGGAGAGGTATGCCTCAGATCAATGGTGCTGGAGTAATATTTCTACTAACTTGACCTTAGGATTATTCGGTAGTGGACTTGTTCTATGTGCCTTATATGCATCATCTCACTACCTCAGTCTGGCCTTCGGTGTTTGAAAACCGACCTCATTTGAAGTCATGGTGGGGAAAGATGAAGCTCCGCCCTAGTTACCTGGAAATCACCCGATCTTCATATTAGCTTTTGGGAGTCAAAATTGGTTGAGACTCAGTAGAGTTGAAGGGCGATTTTAAGAGTCGGTCATGATGGTATGAATAATGAAATGGGCCATCCCATCAAAGAATCTGAATTATCCCATCATTGGAATGCAAACTAAAATTACTTCGGAGTTCCTCAATAAACCAAACATGAAAATTATTTTCTTAAATTCCGGAAGACTCTTCTACACAACTATCTAGAGTAGCTGAAAATAAATCGGGGATAAATCGGGGATCGACCTCATCAGTTCTGACGTAAATCGGCGTAGGTTCTTTTCGGAGATTATCAACTATCATTTCAGTTGCAAACTGTTTCCAGTTTGAAGGATCCGTCAGTTAAAGCTGGTCTCTCATTCACCTGTGGCATGTACACACAAAATAATGAACACAGCTTGCTGAATGTTCTTCTATTCAAAACCAAGTCCAACAATGAAGGCACCTCGGAAGCCTGTAACCTCTCCAACTACTGAATCATTTATTCTCGCACAATGGTCCGTAGTGGCTGGCACCCTTGACTTCATCGCAGCCCTCCGATCCCACGCATCGCCAACACCAGAAGATATTTTCGGGGTCATACTCATTCTTTGTAGTTTCAAGTCGTCGGATTTGTCTCCGTACCAGGCCTCCTTCCAGTCTGGGTCATAAGGGTCGGCCTCATTCAAGTAAGTTCCCATGTCAGGAGTGACATCCTTCATCGCCTTGAACTTCTTATTGGTGGCGCGACCCCAAACCTGTCTCAAACCCTCCATTCCACTCTCGGGAGGGGCGATTTTAACTTGTTCGGCAATCATATAGGTCTTACGCCATGCGGGATGGACGGATGTATGAGGCTGAGACTTCAATACCTCACCACCACCGACGAGGGCCAAGGTAAGGGAGATTCCTGGAGACTGAACCCCGGAATCGAGTTTACCAAACAAAGTTTGAAGCATGGTGGTCAGCTTCTTTTCCTGGTGCAGCATGGATTTTTTGTCGAAAAATCGCGAAACCAGAATAAGGCCCCTTGGCAGCACCCTCATAATGGGTTCCGCTAGTGTAGTAGTCTTGGAAGGTGTTGTGTTGTTGAAACTGCGATTTCACGGATAGTCGGGTCCCATTATATCTGCGCAAAGTAACTACTGACAACTTCCTTAGTCATGGTTTCTTTCGCATGCTTGATGTCAGAGGAACAGTTTTTCTCGAGTAGAATTCCAAAACTGTGCGTGTAGAAAGGTACATTGCCGATTTTATTGAATGCTCCATTCCCAGAGAAGCCTGATAGTTTCTAAAAGGAAGCAATAATAGGGTGCAGGAGGGCTTGGAATCGTCCAAGACAAGAGATAACAAATGGTACGGCAAGAACTATAGCAAAAGACGGGCACATGCATCTTCCAATAATACATCCAACGTTGTTCCAACCTGTTGGGGCTGACGTAATATGCGGAGGCGGGCGACATTCTGGAAAGCTGTCCAGATTGAGGTATACTCCACGTCTCCCGAACGCTCGTGAGAGGTTAATCCCCCCCCGTTCCTCCTCTCATGACCATCAACTCGCGAGTCTCAATTCAATCGCCATGAGACTTGCCGCGTACGCTGGGGTAAGTGATTTCCCTAACGCGAATCGACACCCTCTGCATCCCCACTGACTCCTGTTAGGCCTCCGTGGCCTTGGCCACCGGTGTGTTCTTGAAAGCGCTACACCAGAGAGCGAACTTCTACTCGGCTTGTGTATATCTATCGCAGAGCAGTGCGAATCTTATGGTATGGTCCTTTGGTTCTTCCTTTGCCATGCCCTTGGCTCTGGGATATCACGTTCCTGATCTCTTCATACTAACATGTGCGCCTGGACGCGACGTTACAGATCCTAACGAATCTATGTCTCCTTGCGACCGGCTTCATTCTTTTCTGGCTACAGCGACTTCTATACGGACCTCTTCGACCGATCGAAACGGAACAACTCTATGAACGGGCATGGTTTGCTGTAACGGAGACATGTCTCGCCATGACCATCTTTCGAGGCGAGCTCGGAGGTTGGTTTCTGGTCATGTTCGTCTTGCTTCTGGTCGGGAAAGTCTGGGGATGGATCGGTGAAGGGCGAGTGGAATACTTGGAGCAGCAACCCCCGGCAAACCCACTGCTCTTCCATATCCGACTGGCGCTTTCGCTGGTCTTGTCAGTCCTCTTCAATGCGTCGATGCTACGGTACTGTGTCATCGTCGTCATTGAGGAAGCGCGAGCAGACATGATGATCATGTTTGGCTTTGAGTTTGCGATCTTGACCATCCTATCAACCTCGACCGCTCTTCGATATAGCATCGCCTTGACGGAAATCTACATCACCCATCAGCAGGTCAAGGCGAAGATGGAGGAACGCCGGGCCGAGATTCGAACCGCTCGTATTGAAGCCATTCGGGAACACGCACGCGCTGGAGCAAGCTCCCCTCCGACCGATCTACCCGACGAGAACGATGTCAACGAGTTAGAGATCGATGTTCCAGGGTGGGAGGAGAAGGGTCGATGGGTATTCTACCTTGATCTGCTCACAGACTTCCTGAAGCTCGTCGTTTACTTGGTATTCTTCGCCATTCTCCTCCGCTTCTTCGGTTTGCCGATTCACATTCTACGCGATGTTGTCGTTACGATGCGATCTTTCGCCCGTCGTATTATGGACTTCCTCCGGTATCGGAATGCGACCAGAGACATGAATGAACGGTATCCCGATGCCACTGCCGAGGAGGTTGCCCGTGAAGATGTCTGTATCATCTGTCGAGAGGAAATGACTTCAACTCAGCCCCCTGTAGGTGCTGACGGAGAGGCTGGTCCACAGCCAGCAGCGGCCGCACGGGTCCCTGATCGTCTACGTCCGAAGAAGCTCCCTTGTGGGCATATCCTCCATTTTGCATGCCTTCGCAGCTGGCTCGAAAGACAACAGAACTGTCCCACTTGTCGGCGTCCAGTGGTCGCACCCCAGCGTCTCCAAGGAGCCGCTGCCGATGTGAACAATCTGCCTGGAAATGTTGGAGGTGCCGCTCAACCCGATGGCCTTGGTGGAAATCAGATGCCCGGTCAGCCAGGTGCTCAGGGAGAACCGCCAAGAGCCAGAGTATTTCAGTTCGGTCCATTCCGAATTGGCTTTGGCGCCGTTCGTGGTGATCTGTTCCACAATCTTCATCAGCAGATTCACCAAGGCAATGCTCCATTGCAACCGCCCGCCGATGCCAATCCACCTGGTGCGCGGCAAATTGGTTTCGGGCTTGGATTTGGTCGCCGTCCACCAGTTCCAGCTCAAGCTCCAGCCCCCGTGCAAAATGCGCCGCAGGCCGCAGGGTCGAACTCTGCCACCATCCATGCCCAGTTGCAACAAATCGAGCAGCAAATAGCGCAAGAAATGAACTCTTTGCGTGTTGCAGCAGAGCAGCTGCGCCATGTGACCCAACTGCAGCTGGAGCTGGATCGGCTTCGTTTGCAGGCCAACCCTCAAGCCCAGTCAGCCACGTCTCCAACATCCACGACAACTATCCCCACTGGTACCTCGACTATTACATCCCGTCGTCAGTTTGTCTCTAACCCTGGCGCGATACCCCTGGCTGCTGGAGACTCTCGTCTACCAGAAGGGCTTACCCTTCCACCTGGTTGGACCCTTCTTCCTCTTCATTCTATGGAGCCAGGCAATGGGAACATACCGCATGGTATCAACCCAACCCCTACTACATCTGTCCCACTCCAATCTACTTCGCTAGATGGCCCCCTCGCGGATCAAGGTGATGAAGCCCTGGCCTTAGAGACTGCCGCGGCTCCCGCGAATAGGCATCATGAGGGAGCCGAGACCAGTTCCACAACTATCGCACCGGCCGAAACAGAAAATGTTATTCCAAACTGGTCTGTCCCTAGCGCGCCCTCATCAGCCGAGCACCGCGCAGACTCCCCGTCTCAAGAGTGGACAGATGTGCAATCCGAGCATGTTCCAGACGCTGGTCCCTCCGCTATCCCTTCAACCTGGGGTAGCAGCGACCAAAATGGCAAAGCCGTCGCTGATGGTGAGCCTGCGAGTGCCGAACTACCGTCCAAGGGCAAGAGTCGGGCAGCCACTGTGGAAGAGGCAACCGAAGAAGAGGCGTCTTGATCGACGGATACCCACTCATGTACCTTTTTTTTTACTTTCTATTACGCTGAGACCAGAATGGCCAATCGCGTACATTCACAACTTCTACTTTGAACCAGCGTTGCATGGCGTTTCTGAGCAAAATTTCATACCCGGGTTTTTAGTTCTTTCACTTCGATATATGCTCGTGCCTCCGGCACTGTTTCATCAGGTTATTCTTCTAGAGCGATGATTCGCATGATTGCCATCTCATGGTGTGCAAACTGTACTCTCATTGTCACAATCAACGAATTCGGGATTTCATCCAATAAACGAGAACATTCTCCTTGTTCCTGCCTAAACTCAGATAGACACTGCGTTTTGTGGGTAAGAATAGGAATTATTCCAATCTTGGTGAAACAACGATTGTGGCGGTCTATCCTCCTTCGAGATCGAAGTCTCTGTCAGACCGTATAATCGCCAGGGTTGCCGCGACTAGATGGAAGAAGAGTATCTTTAGAAAGATTCATAGCATATAGTTTAGTTTGATGGTCAATTTAGTACATACGACCATAGGGTGTGGAGAACAGGGCTTCCCGTCCGCTCAGCCGTACTTAAGCCACACGCCGGCCAGTTAGTAGTATGGTGGGTGACCACATGCGAATCCTGGCTGTTGTATGTTTTTGTTTTTGTTGCTTGTTGATGATAGAATTAGTGAGGCTTGATCCTCTAAATTCTGTTTTCATTCACGTGATCTTCGATCGCCTGAAAAGGCAAAATAACAACTTCATAATTTCTTTTTCCACGAGCCAGCATATATTCAACCTCCTTTCAAAATGCTCACCATGCACAAAATGTCTGAATCAAACACCATCCCTGCCGAGGTCGTCATCAAAATATTCGGGGAACTTTCTCTTCCGGACGCGCTTCACTTGGCTGCGGCTTGCTGTCGACTCCGCCAGGTCTTGGTTGAAAATACGCCTACTATCTACAAACGCCTACGCAGAAATATCCAATGTGAAGGATATGCGAGAGTTCTCCTAGCAGATCAAGGGGGTCTGCCATCTGATTCTTCTTCAGTAACTATACAGGACCTTTTACGATTGCGACGAAACTCCCGTATGGTGGAGAAGGCGATTAATGTGTTTGATCGTGATATTACACCGCATATCCGGAGTGAGTATAAGCACGGCAATTATACCTGTATGAGAGTTAAGCTAAATTATATCTCCTGAAGTTCCTACTACGAATATTGATGATAAATTTTATGGGGGAAAACCGCGTCCGTTGCATTTGACTCCGACAGAGCGTCATCGGTTTACTCGGAGCTACTACCAACTCTGGAGTCTCTTCCTACTAGATCGACCATCTCGGCAACAACGATATCGAAGCTTGCTGCTGAAGCATTTATACATGGTTTACGAAATGATTGATCTTGACCAGCTGATTGGTGACGAACCTCCTCCACCCACCGAGAAACGACGCGAACTTCTTCGAGAAGTGGACGCGTATCTATGTCATATCTACTACCAAACCCATGGAAAGGACTATATTGATTTCTCAGGCCAGAGCATTTCTATGCGTACACAAGGGCATGCAGCTATATGGGACCATTGCCAGCCTGATTTTAAGCAGGTCGTTTGCTACCAGTGGCGGGATCCGCAAAAGAAACCCATTAAGGATGAAGATGTATGGGAGCATACGACTGACGAGGAATGAATTTATGGTTTTTTAGCGTTTAGCACTAGTAGGACTATTACAGAGTTAAAAAAAAAACGGGATTCTCACCCGCTCTAAACCTGATAATCACCTTGTCTATTATACACTTGGCCTAATCGCCTCTTATTACGCGACCCTAAAGCCGCACTCACCTTATAGTCACCTACGGCATATTGTTTATCGCTGTCAGTCAAAGGAAGCGACCTTGTCAGTTGCCAGAGAAGCGGACTAGCGCTATTACTACCTAGTAATCTTTAGGCGGATTCATACTTATTTAATCCTACCGTAGAAGGACTGAGGCAAGGTGAAAAAGACAAGGTCAGGTTTAGCCCACAAGAGCATGCTGTCGCTAATGACACACCGTCTAAGGTATTAAGATCTTTATATTTACTATTCCTAATTCTCTAAGACCTAACAAGGGGAGAATTCACGATCTAGGCGCAGGGTATCTCGGATATCTTTTATTAAAGAATCGGCCCTCTTAATAAGAGGGAATAAAATTGACTAGTTAGACTAAGCAACAGAATAATGGTCAAGTATGTCTGGAAGTTCTCTCTAAGATCAATAAAGGTGTCAAACTTATTCAATTAGACTAGCAAACAGAGCAGTATTTATAACATGAGGTACACGATAAAAGATCACATGAAGAAATCAAGAACATCCGAGGTCATCCTCGAGTGTTACATAGTCTCGGCCTGAGTAGGCTATTCAATGCGAGATCGTTGAGGATCAATATGATAGATCTCCTTCTTGAGATCGAAAGTAGTGGAGGTAAACAGAAATAGGTTAATCCGCGTGTCATGTGACTCCCCACACATACACGCTGACAGTTATTTTGTAAGGGTAGTTAGTTAGTGAGATATTAATCGTTGAGCTAGCGGGACGAGGTAAGAGGAGAGGTTGAATAGTAGGAGACCGCTGCTAGACGCTCCTATCGCGTACTTATAATTTATCTATTATCGCTCTCTATGCTTGCCGCTCGCGAAATCTTTCCCTAAGTATCCTATTTTAAGTATGTGAATGGGATTAAACATTTCTCAATGGCAAGAACGCCCGTCTAACGAGCGAATTGCTGAGCGCTAAGTAGCAAAATGTCACATTATACGACACGGTCCCTTAGTTTCCTCGGTCGATGAAGAAATGTTGCTGAAATCTTATCAGCGCATGAAGTGCCAGCCAAGTCACTAGGAACAGATTTAACAATTGCTACGTTTTATCTTGACACCTTCGCACAATATTGAAAAGAGGAAGATTTATCTGACCCTTACAATACTACCGGGAAGATACATTTTGAAAAATGGAGGCAGTCCACGGAATCCTCAGAATATTATGATTAAACTCCCTAAAACAGCGAGATTATGCTCCATGTGGAGAACTCAACGATACTCCCCGGGGTTTGGAATTCAATCGGAGAGATTGGGTTCAATTCAGGACGACGTAGAAATCATTTGTAAACTACTCCAGTAGCCATGACCGTACTTAACATGGTCTCCTCCTGAGTGGACATGGCAGGTAAGATGGTTGGTATCAGCCTGGAAAGGATGCTGTTGGTCTCCTTCACAAACTATAAGACAACCTATTTCATTGGCCTTGCGAAATCCAATCTAGTTCATTCCGAAATTGTTGGTCTACCGACATAAATGCACTTACTCTGTGCGGAATAGGCGCTTGATCCTGGTCTTCCCATGCGTGTGAGTTGGAAGTAATTAATTCAACTCGATGCCGTATTACAAAAGGCCTGATTGGCAATGTAATCTGCCGGCGCCACTGGACCGACAGACCAGAATCTAGAAGCGTACAAAAAATTATAATCCAGGATCATAGACTATCATGCAGCAAAATAGTGGACATCATTTAACGGCATTAACGAGATCAATCAAATCAGGACCCCTGCACTCTTATAATATCATCTTGAATCGTGAATTTGCAGGTCTCAGGCATAGTAGCCTCACGTAGAACCTGGAGCTTCCTTTTCAAAGTCCTGACTTCTTTTTGAAGTTCCAGAATATTCACACGAGCCATCCCTAGTAATTGCACTCTCTGCATCCTTTTCGATGCCCCAGATCCAGCCTTAGTCTTCTCGTCGTGGCACTGATTCACTACCTCTTCCAGTTGTAAGAATTTGGCATTGAGGTTTCGACGGTACCGCTTTTCGCTTTGAGTGTGAGCAATCTTTTGTCTTGCAGTTATTTTTGTGCAATTGACACCAAATTTGGGCTCTCCTTCCAGACTGCGTTGCTTTTCCGAAGGAGGAGTCGATATATCAATAGGATTTGAGGAGAGAATGTGTGGCTCATGGTAGAATTCCACGCTACTGCGTCTACTCACGGAGCCTTCAGACAACTCCGGTGCTTCAATGCTCGGCATTGCACCTGCAGAATACCAAGAGTATTCTGGCATTACCTCACCTCCATCATATGTGACGTCCTTGATATTGTTCTCAGCTCAATAATTCATAATAATAGATGCTGAAAGAAACTCACATTGTTCCAAAGGAAAGGAAGAACATCATTATCAAATACGTAAGCTTGCAGCTCGTCATTAAAATAACCTCGGTCCTCGGAAGTCATACTTCCATTAGAGCCATAGGACCCTAGATAATTTGATTCAAAAAATCTGTTTGGTTCATCGACAAGCCTTGGTATTTGAAGAAGGTTATGCGTAAGATGCTGCATGGTCTTATTGTCTTGTTCTTGAGACTGACAGCCGTGAAGTCTTTCAGTTCTGGGTCTGAGGCATGTGTAGTATCCTTTCGGTGGGAATTTATTTTATTTGACTCTTAGCCACCCCCTGTCTTTGGTACGGGAAGTACCGGGAGCTAGGCTAAATTCGCCTCCGAACAACCTTTGAAACCATAGTTCTCCGAAGGTTGGCCGCATACACTATGTATTGGGCAGATCTTATAGGTGCACTAACTCTCGGCCGGTCAAAATTCTAGAGGAATGTATGGATAATTGCTTCGCCAATGGCTACTATTTGCTTGGTGCTATTAGAGCTGTTGGAGCTATGATGATGTCCGCGACTGAGCAATCCTATGGGCGATTCAGCCATCCGAGTAGTTCTAAACACCCAAGGTTTAATGGGACAATCCTCGGGTGGGCGGAACTAAATCTTAACAGAGCCGTTCAAGCTATGACTGAAGCCGCTGAGGCCGTGTCGAATTACGGAGGTGACAAGATAGTAAAAGCGATCAAATTGTGGCAGTGAGAATACGCCTCGTCAATCCTGACGGATTGATTGTCCAGTTTGGCCTATTATAATTTGCTATCAACGCAAGACTCCTGTGACCAAGTAATTCATTGATTGGGTGGAAGTTTTTCGCG